AGAGTAGTATCCAGGAAGTTTAGATTTGAGATTATTGGATATTTCCTGTACGGAGTTGTTGACCTGACTCACTGCCGTCTGAGCGGCTGCAGAAGCCTGTGCGACACCAGTCTCTGCGGAACCTACAACATTGCTTCCTGCGCTTGTAATATCTGATGTGACCGTGCCTGAGTCTAAACTGCCTGCTGAGATATCACGGCGGAGATGGACTGAGTCAATGGTAGAGAATGAAGTCAAGTTGACCTGTGAATGCTCAGCTTTGCCCCCAAATTACACTGGAATGGTACATGTAGACCTTCATGAAATACAAGTCACTGGGGGAAGAAGGAGATGTGCACCCAGAGAACACAATCGCCAGACAAATCAAAGAACCTGTTGATAAAGCCAGAGGGAGGGATTTCAAGATTTGTCCCAACATATTTACGTCATCAGGAGAAAATTCGACAGCGGCCGATGTGCGGCGTGAGGAATAATCAAGGTCTGTCTTGCTGCAAAGTTATAGTCAGAGATAAATATGTGATATGCCTCTTTATATGGCTTTTATAGAAAGGTTTTGTTTTCATTCTCAGTAAAACCGTGATATGCATAGTCTATAGACCGTCAAATTAGGTAGGTTAGGTAGCAGGTAGGTCCAATTTTTAATACATAGTACGTAGTCTTCGCGGGGAAATTCCGGATATCAATTGGGCACATCAAAAAAGTACCAGGTGTTCATACCTGAGACATCGAAGTCATTTACAATTACTAATCCCTCTAGTTCAAGTTTGAAAAATGACCTTCCATAAGGCTTTTATTACTTTACGCGCGATATATGTCTTGAAAACTCCGCGTAAGAAAGGTCACTAAAAGTGGCTGGCTATTTATTCTTACTGACAAGAAGTAAAGAGTAGTTCTTTCATGAAATTACATAAGAAACCCTTGGAGGTCGAAGATAAACGACAGGACGACGTATAAACGAGGTCCTTCGTCTGTTGCCCAGCAGATGCTTCAACAGTGGGACCACTTCAGGTTCGCTCTAGTACGAAGGTCAAGAACCGAGTAACTGAAAGTCCTATCCGGGACCGGAGTGGAAGGGTTACATGCCCTGCAGCTGCGACTGTGGCAAGATTTTTTTATCTTCTCTCTTTCGCAAGTCTAGCTTTCAGAAATTCGAGAATTGCGACTTCGTTTACGATCAAGGTGTCTATAATAACAATCCCTTGGTTAATAAAACGAAGGTTGAGGAGCTCCCAAGCCTCTCCATTTGGTATTTTGAGCATGAGAGTGAGTACAAGCTACAAAACATTCCACAGGGTTAGATAGCTGATAAGTACAATATCTTTTGCCTCCTATGGTGAAAATTGAGCTAGTTTAAGATCAACAGCATCCGAATCCTAATCATCCCAACAAGGCCTCAAGGTGTGGGGGCTGTTGTGTTAAACAGAGCAGTTCGCGTTCAATAGCTCTGATTGAATGACCGGGCCCTTGACTAAAAAGGATGTGATGCAGCGGTTTAGGATGGGGTTGTGTGGGCAGAAAATAAGTGTATTCACTATCTCCTCATGCGACCAAAGACGCGCACGGGCCATACCAAAGACTCTCTCCTCTCATTGCGAGTGGTCAGGGTAAGTAAAATCATCTATCCATCCATCCACTGTAATCTGAAAATCTGCTATTCGGATGTCTTCAATATTATCCCAACCCGTGTTTCATGTAGTCCTCCATTCAATATCCTGGCCATTTGCACTTTAAAGATAGTGTACTCACCGCATATTTTACTATGCCAGTAATTAATTATATGGTTGTTTTGGCATATTCGAGCAGATAATATTGCACATCCCATCGTAATCCGAGGGAGTCATCAACGAAGTCTTGGCTGTTCCAATGAAATACTCTATCGTGGGTATTCGATACAATGGGTCAAATCTATGTCTAATACCGTACCCACCAAATGGATGCAAAAGCTTAATCCAGTATAGGGCCAAATTGTTCCACAAGTTATCATTACCTTGATGATTAGTTTGTATTTCATTTTAAGAAACTCTCTTCTCCATTGTATACGGAGAAGGCCGCTCTGGAACTAGCAAAAACTTCTACATACCCTCAACTTATTTTGATTGTGGAGGTAGTCCCGTTGATGCTTGGCGGTGGGCGAACTTCAGAGGGCTCGAGTGGACCTTATTTACCGCTTGCTGATTAAATGGAGGAATTTGTACAGATTTTGGTTGAGAAGACTGGTTCTACAAGGTGGGCTGGTTTCGATGGAAAAACACCCCTACCAAATTATCAACACATCTATCAAGCAAGAAGATACTACGATAGTAGGTGACTGCATACTGAAAACATTGCCCATGGAGCATTTTGGTGTCGCAGTATCATCTTGCACTATCAAGATTCAGGTTGATTCACCTGACCATTGCTACCGAACTTGATGCCTTGCTCACCTATGGGAAGAAGAGCACTGAGAATGACATTTAAGGAAGTTTCCCATGTACCGTGTTACCACTTTTGCAATTTTGATCAACAAAACGATCATAGTATAAGCTTCACTCCATTCGAGGAAAACGATACCAGTATTTTCGCGTCGACTTTCATCCAACGTTCATGCTAGCATCTGCCTTACCCCCTGGTTATTCTTTGAATACGCTCAATTTGAGATATCGCTTGTCGACAGATAAGCCCTCGGGGTGAATCTTCAGATGTCCCAAAGAAGGGACGGGCATTTGATCAGGATGAATAGCGTTTGGAGTGTCCCACCATGGCGAGGGTAGACCTCATTCGCTTTGGAGTAATATGTCATCAGGGTATATATCTTGTCAATTCTCCCACTTATGTGACCTCCCTAATATGATTATATTCCAATTTCTTCTAATGGCAACAATGAGTGATTTTGAGTCCAATATCGCCCCAACTGATTTTGTTGCAAGCTGGCACCAAAAGCGGGACAGCAATCCCGTGACGTCTCAAAGCAGTCTTCTAAACTTCCCAAACACCAGCAATACGGAAAATCGCCTGCTTGACCAAGATAACTGGCCTCATTATGGTGACGAGACCCCCACTGTTATGAATACGAGAGACGACATACAAGCTAGGGAAAACAAAGACACCACGGAGCCCAGCTTCAGTACGGGGTGTCTGCAGAATTGCCCCCAATACGTGTCTAAAGTGCTCTTTAACACTATATTTGAGGAGTAAGAACAGACATTATTGAAAAAAGTTCATAGCTGACATCTCTACAGCGTAGACAGTCGAGCAAAGTGAGTTATCGCCATGTAATCGCTGACATTCTTCATGCGAACTCATGGATGTTCAGAGGAATCAATGAGCAGTTCATACGGCAAAAAATCTGGAATAGAGATATACAGTGGGGTATCAATACTTTTGAGGAGGGATTCCTCAGGATTCAGGCCTTAAATGATACGATAACGGCCTTGGAAGAAAGAATTGATACCTTGATCGAAGGTAGGGCTGGGGAAGTGTGAGAATCCTGGCCAAGGCAACTCAAATCAATCAATCATACAGCTGGCTTCGTTTGGAAACTTGATTACAAGCTAGTGGGTCTCCTATCATATTGGATGGTGTTTTGGATTCTATTCTGAATCGCTGATAACGTTGTCATTATATATCATTATTATTATTATTTTGCTAAATTAGTTTGGCTACTTTAGGATGACACTCCGACTAAAGCTACTTTTTCGCAAGAAGGCTGGGTAGAGGAGATCCTATCGTTTCTATCTATAATCGGCTTCCATTTCATCTCATCGAGCACCCAATGTTCAAGAACCTAATCAAAATGGCTCGCTGTACAATATGTACAGAGTTGTTGTATGTTGCATATCGCCTTAGCAGTTGGTTTACCCAATTAGGCCAAAATACAAATCCGTACAGTACCTAGCCTAGCGGGCTGTGGTTTATACTCGAACTTTAGCTAGGGGTCAGTGTAAATGAATCACACAGAGGCAGGCAGGCAGTATACTGTCGAGAGCAAAACCAGTTTCACCACTAAGCACACTCTTGTTTCTGAGCGCCACAGCCAAGCCACTAGCCACAAAACTAGGTGCACATGAAATGACCTTCAGATAAACCATACAAATATGTCGGCGAAAGTGGAGAGTTACAAACAGTCTCCTCTTATTGGTTGTGCCTACGCCCTCGTTTCCTATGTTATTGTATGTAATCTTGGGCTTGTGCAGCAACTTGGACCAGTTTACTCTAAGTACCTTGGTACAACCCCGCTCCTTTCAATCCGATTATCGGAAGAGACAGATGGGTATTTAACATGCCAACTGTTTACCACGCTCTCTAGATCTTTCTTGAATCAATCAACTTTGCGTCAATTCAATTGGTTCCCCTTGGTAAAATAGACCCATATTCGCATACCATGTCATACTGTATTAGCTTGCTTTGACAAAATACAATACCTTGTCTCTGATGTAATCACGTGATTATGAGCTGCGAGTGTGTGGAGTATTCTAGAATTTAGGAATGGCATCAACTTTTCCGGTTGGAGCTTCCCGCATTCTCACTATCATCAGACACTCGGGGGGTCTACGGTGGGCCATGGTTACATGTGTGCTTATACGGGGGTTTGGTTCTTGGCCGTTACTGCCATATTCGAAATCAGATTCCCCTTCGTCCACTCAGAAAATAATTCTCCAACCTATCCTAAGAAGCGCTAGTGAATATTCAGGCATGGAGGAATGTTAAAAATACATCATCACATTCAAAACACTGTCGCCAACGTACGAGGCCAACGAAATTAAATATAACTGGGGTGAGGTTTGAATAAATACAGTAGTCAAGCTGAAGCATTATTGTTAAAAGGTCAGACGTCTGCTTCCTCAGAAACCTTTCGAGACTTCCAGATGTAGTATACTATCATGCCAATCAAAATAAAAAGCAGAATACCAACAATGCCACCGAAAACTATAAGCACTATGGTAACATTCCCAAGCGAATTCCCGTGATCACCACCTGGTGGAGATGCTCCATCAGTTGGAGCAATCGGTACAAAAGTAAAATTAGGGTATGCTATTGGGCGTTCCAAGGACATTGGTACAGGTGAAATTGTCTGCGAATGTTGCCTAAAAATTTATGTGAATTCGTTGGCTTAATCTCTTATTTCCCTCACATAGAACACTTACATTCGGATACTGTTGACACAATTGAAAGGCATTCAACTGGTAGGCTAGTGCTGCAGTGTTCGCAGCTATCATGGCCATGTTGTTGCTTCGAACAGTGAGCTTATACGCTGCCTGTGCAGTCTCCAGATTCTGCTGGGATACTTGAGCAGCTGCGTCGTTGGCTTCGTTTTGTTTGACAGAAAATACTACTGTCCCAACAAAACCACCCGTCACTATTATTGTCGTGATCAGTCCTCCATAAGCAATGATTGGCTCGTAGGGTTTCTGTCATCTCAATGAGCAAGACTGCATCCATTTTTATGGAGGCACTAGAGGGTACCCTACCTTCTTCTCGTTAGTAATAACTTCAAGCTTTTCATTAATTATTTTCTTCATAAGACATTCGGTCGACATTCTTTCGTCACACTTCTCGTCAATCACTGAGAGAATTTCCGATTCGACTGCTGCCGAGAAACTTTCGATTTTGGCATCTCGTGCGTCGTTATTTAAGTCATCAACACACCCAATTGAAAGCGCGTAGTGAAGCCTCGCTTTAATTAGTCCGTTGATTGCTTGTACTAATCTTTCATCAATAGCTGAATCGGGAGCCTCCTTAGCCACCTGGCCCTTTGTGTCAGGAGTGGTGGTGACATTGGCATCCTTTGTGGTAGTAGAACTGGTTGCACTCGCCGGTGCGGTCGCTTCATGGACCTTTGACTCCTCCCCGGTCATCTGGCCCTTTGTTTCAGGAGTGGTGGTGACGTTGGCATCCTTTGTTGTAGTAGAACTCGTTGCACTCGCCGGTGCGGTCGCTTTGGGAGCCATTGACTTAGAAGAATTTACAGAATTCTGAACATTCGCATCGCGCATGAGGGTATGGTCATTCGTATGATTAACCGTGGGGTCAGCATGTGGGCTGATAGTCGTCCTCATCTAATTTAGTATGAGACGTCGCTGGAGGGATAGAGAGAACGTAAGGGATGAATGAGTCTGATGTCTTGATGAGTAGTACTCAGGCTTAGTATGATTTGATTGATATCTATTAGTGACACCTTGGATGACACACTTCCCCGAAAGTGTGGCTGGCTTTCATACTTATCCGGAGGAAAGAGAGATGTTGAAAGAATCACCACGGACTCTGGGCTTACTTATGTCATCTGTTCTGGTATTAACTATCTTGTGGCCGAGTATGCTTTTCCGACAATTGCCGGTATCGTATCCATGGTTCAGCTTCAGAATGTGATCTCAAGACATGGATAGGCCTTGGCACGGGACGGAAAAGACCGCACCTGACTGGACCGCTGGACGGGGACCCTTTTGACGGAATGACTGCGGTTTGGTGCGGTCAATCGGTCCTGTAAACAAGACAAACATAGAACGTTACTACACCCACCTGCAACTCATGATCACGTGATTACATCAGAGACAAGGTATTGTATTTGCATGGTTTATCTGAAGGTCATTTCATGTGCACCTAATTTTGTGGCTAGTGGCTTGGCTGTGGCGCTCAGAAATAACAACAGTGTGCTTAGTGGTGAAACTGGTTTTGCTCTCGACAGTACAAAAGATTCAATATCATAGACTGAGGAAGTTTCATGATAATGGAGACTGTTTCAAATAAAGGTATAGCCACTACTTGAAGATCAAGATCCTCCGCTCTCATTGCCATAGTGTCTTGCTGCAGTGAGTTGATATTCACATATATTCAGAGCTCAGCTTCTTTGCGAAATAGAATTTCAATAGAAATATGTGCGGTATTGGCCTCAAGTTAATTATTGTCTTCACATTGGAGGATATTTTTAAGGTTTTCCCGAAGATTTGCGAAACGCTGCTCGGAGTACGCTAAAAATGCCTTTTGGTTGTACGAGTCTCGTTCCGCAATTTGCAACCGAAGGCATAGCTGAGCATTGACAGAACGAAGGATTTTCATCTCCGTCTGAATACGGTGAAGCTCAGCTTTCTCCGACATGTAGAAATTCCAAAGCACTGAGTATTGTTCTAACATCTCTGTAGATGATGTGTGGTTCAGCTGCTGGGAACATTGGAGATTTTGCGTTTGTGGTTGTGATGGAGTCAAGCAAACTTGAAATGCGGTGCCTATATCTGGGCTCTAATATAGAAAAATAAGACTTAGAATCCCAAAGATACTTGCGAAGCGTCTGCCTGCCCTTACCTGAAAGTCATCGATAGCGGACTCGGCTGGGTCCGGAGAACCGGAGTAGGACCCACCATCCGTAGGAACTTGTTCGACAACTGACTCAGCCATTGATGCCTGATAGAGACTTGAAGACATTGTTGTTCTCCCTTGTGGTAGTATTTATATCAAGGAATGATTATAGCATCTGGACCTGGCCCAAGTTTCTAATTGTCGGATTCAAACGGTTTCGCGATGTATTAAGTTATTATACTGGAAGCTTGCGATTTGATTTTCAAGACTTAAACAACGTGTCTCTTACACCAATACCTGAACTTTCGACAGCAATAAGTTGGCTTTCAAATTTTCGATTCTAACAGAATGGGGCTATCGTGGTAGACCGTTGTGAACCGCACATTCGAAACGGGACAGCATCCGCGTTTCTTCTCAGTTGCTGTATTGCTGCCATTCACCGGAAGCAAAGCACTCTACAGGAAGAGCCCTCAATGTTCTTCTTTCGTATCCAATTCCATCTCATGTACAAACGGCCCTCCTAGGGCGGTTCAAATATTGCGGGGAATGCGTGAATGTTGGGAGATCGGCCAGCCTTATACGCTGAATCAAGGATTGAAAATTTGTTTCTTTATGCGACCGGTGTGCATCCGCCGAGTAAGCGTATACTTACTAACTAATCAAGATCGAATATAGGCTTTGAGATAGATTGTGTCGGAAACGTAGTGTTCTACTCAGGAATCTTTGGGCCTCGTGGGTTTAGTCATATTCCTTCGATAGAAGGACCGTTTTATTGGTGACTTGACGCAATCAAGAGGGACAAAGGTATACCTCGGTCAAAACTGGACACCCGTCAGGCTACCTCTGCGGTCTTTACAGTAACGTCAGGTGAGCCGTCCTCATTCCCATTAGAGAGGCAATGTGTCTGTATCCCAATGGTTTCTATGTACAGAGAGAAGTTTGGAGGCACAAAATTGAGTCCTGACTGAGTTAGAAGTGACGAGATAGCTACAGAGGCAAGCAATTAAATATCGTGATGTGATTGTAGGCGGGGAGACCTCAATAATGTTGGTGTAGATATCACGTCGAGGCAACCTCCGTAAAACTACTTTCCTGTGCACACACAAATCCGGGATCAAGCACCTTTTGGGTTGCTAAAAGATGCTCCGCTCCTGCCCTCTGCTAAATTACTGACATACTCTTCACAGTGGCGGAGATTGACATTCGATCAATTCAAGCCAAGGAAGCCGAGATATGTGCCCCATTTTTACAGTTTAATTTGTTCCAGAGTTTTTGGGGTCAACACTATCTATCACTGGATTGGTTTGATTTCGTGTAAAGATGGCATACAATGTCCCACTCTTCTTGAATAATAAAACTATTCTCATTCAGGCCGACTGTTGATGTCGAAGAAGTCTATTTGACTTCCAAGCTTCACACTCGAGCCGTTTGGACTACAATTTGCTCAACCCAACCTGTTCAATCCCAGTCATTTATTTTAAACCACAAGAAGGTTGGAATAGTTTTGGTACAATAAATTGAAACAGCTAACTCATTCCAAGGTAATGATTCCCGGTCATGCAACTCGGAGACGACTGTTTCGATCCGTCTCAAGGTCTTTCTCTGGAGTTTCCAGACCTCCCTGTTTCTGCTCCCTTCATACTGCATGACGGGGATGACTACGAGGTGGAAGGCCAATCATTAACTTGGTTGTCCTTCAGCCGCCGGCACTGGTGTATTATTAGCCAAGCTTTCCCTTTCCTACTGCCGATGATGATGATGATGATGATGATGATGATGATGATGATGGTTTTTCATTTACCCTGACCCCTCGCGAGTTGGATTATAAACCACAGACTGCTAGGCTAGGTACGGATTCGTATTTTGGCCTAGGTGAGTAAACCAACTTCGCGAAAGATACGCAGGATTCCGCAACTAAATAGATCTCTACGTATACAGCTGCCGTGTTCCATTTCCTAAGTGACCTTGATGCCTCGCCGGGGCCTTTCGTGACTGCATAGCCGTTTTCTTTTCATCCTGCGTTCATGGTGTTCGGCTTTGAAACCGATGTGATGCTTCGGTGAAGTCCAAGACAACCTCAACTGTCTTAGCCCTTGAAGCACTTTTGATCTTACACTTTCCCTCTTCTCCAGGTCCCCCGGACAAGGTTGCCATGCTGTTAAACGCCTCCCCGACCTTCCCTCGGAGCTCTCGTCGCAGTTCTCTCAGCTCCGGACAGTCCAGCAGAACATGGGTTACACTCTCTCGCTCGCCACAGGCACACAGGTCGTCATCGCGGAAACGGAATGCCTTCGCGTATGTTGATAGCCAGCAGTGTCCAGTTCGCAATTGCGTTAGTGGGTAAGCCCGATTTCTCGGCAAGGATCCGTAGAGCCGTCGCGTGTACTTTGCTGGCAATGTATTGTATACCACGACCCGCGAGAGCTTCCACTCTCGATTCGCGGTACCTGAGGAGGTCTCCCGTCTCCTTCCGTCAAGCCGACCGTGTCTTGCAGAAAGCCCTCAATTCGCTCGATCCGGCAGTGTATGTTGGTTGCTCTCCACTAACCAAGCTTGGTCCGGTGTCTGGACAGGTTCGACAGGTTGCCCGTGGCAAAGCCTTAACGAGTTCTGTCGGCTGCCGCCAGCCAAATACCAATATTTTCAGATTTCCCGTGTGTCTCCCAAGAGGATGCCCGTGTCTCGGTGGTGCCCGTGTCTCAAAGAACAGCCGGCCTGGAGGGTGCCCGTGGCTGGGCCTTAACGAGGTCAATCCGACGTTAGCTCGACTGCCTGTGTCACCAGTTCACTATTGTACCGCCTCGCCGCATCTCGCACGATGCGATCCCAGACGGTATGCAAGCTCAGGGGTGTCCTGTCTTCGTTTTAGGGCGACACCACTTTCACTGGTAATGCAAGACCAGCTGCTGGGTCCGAGTGCGAGTCGGGTAAAAAGAAGTCGGGTGGTTTTCGTATCCCATTATCCCCTGATTTCGGTGTGGTTGTGCGATCGTGCCCCGCGTCTCCCGCACCGGGCCGGACCGCCCAACCACGGCGGTTTCACTTTGGTGTTCCCCAACGCGGATTAACACCAGACACCACGAGAAGGTATGAATCCATTATTCCAGCAGCCTGGAGAGGACTGCTGCCCAGCACGAGCTCACCAGGGGCTTTGCCTACTGCCATATTTGCTTTCTCGATTGGAGGGAGCCCGATCTATTTTGCTCCTTCGGAATGACCCTAGAATAAAACTGAAATGGAGCGAAAAGAATTCAGTACATATTCTCCGTCTCTGACGCCAGCGTCGTTATAAACTGGAGGAGCCCGAAGGAGGCCTCAGGCACCAAAGACCTGTTACGTCGCACCCCACAACACTAGCTCGATTTCCTTCGTTAAACTACCATTAAAACACACATCTGGGTCCGGTACAATTGCATTAATGTCTTGGCCAGCCTTGCTTTGATGCGAGTACAGTAGATATACCCTTGCAAACTGTGCAAACAGGGCGGTTAGGCTTGCATAAACTATGTAACTATCAGTATTTCTGTAACAAACACATGCACAAATTGAGTAAATTAGGGGCTGAGTTGCTCCAACGGTTTCTGCTGAGAGACAGAAGGCTAGATGTGTAAATCCTAAGCACCACAGATGATATATAAAACTCAGTTATGGCATCAGATCATACATGAGGAGAGTTTAAAGCGGAAAATTGAGGTTGGTTCTGAACAAGAATTTATTCTGGCTTCTCTCCACTACTCCTGAACCATATTGGGGGGCATGGAAGCAGCCTGTGTGTAAAGAAAACCACGGGCAGTGTCAAGCCTTATTCTACAAAGACACATGCGGCAGACATAGGAAATTGATGGCCACCAATGTTTCTTCATGGAACAAGTTTCACTCCTTATTGGGACCACGTCGCAGCCTCTCTACCTTTCATCTATAAGTAGACCCGAGTTTGCTGGTTTCAATTCAAGAGCTCTCCTGAATGTACGAAGAACATAGTATGTTCGATGGATTCCAATAATATGGATACATCGGAAGACGGAATCTCGACAGCAAGGCCGCTTCGAGATACAAAAGCAAGGCAAGACTTGAAGGAAAGGCAGCAAGCGAAGCTGAATGAAAAACGAGAGCAATTAAAAGAACTCGAAAATGTCCAAGAGGGCGATCTCTCGCCTTCTCAAATGAAGAAGATCACTAATCTTCGGAGGGAGCTTGGTATCGATGCGACTAGCAAGTCAGTGGATCCCCAGAGTAAACCCCAGTACCCAGGATCCACCTCGGGCGACAACGAGGACAGAAACAGCGGAAACTCTCCCCAAACTCCAGCCAGTGGCGATTCACCTTCATCAAAGAACGAAAGACCGGGTTTTTATTCTGGCAGCCCGTCAACCCAGACGGCTGTAAAAACATCACCCGACATGTCTCACGAGGGCGGTGTTGCCATAGCATATTGTCGATGCAAATCCTTCAAAGATAATTCCCGGATAATTTACTGTTTCGGACCACCCGATCATTCAAAACACGAGTTTGGACCATCAAAAGCGCACACAGAAGATGAGATTAAGTGTCTTCCCCTAATATCTGGGAAACACGAAACGATCTGGGACATCCAAGAAAAAGGCCGGTGGCTGTATGGCTTCACCAATATTAAGAGAATAGTCAATGTTGTGACTCTGGCACCAAATCTCCACCGAAAGTGGAAGCCACGGATGACGAAAAAGGGCAAAGCCATTCATGTATTTCCTACTATGCTCTTGGGAATTCTGTGGGATCACATAGATCCGGATCACAAAATATTACTTAAAGATGGGCAAAGCTGGAATTTCAGGGGAAAATTGATGCAAAGACTCAAGAAAAGAGAAAAAATTATTCTGGATAACTGGATTCGTGACGCGGCGAAACACCAGGACCTATCGTACCAAGCCTGGCTAAGCGAAAATGGTGTAACCAATCGAGTTAGGCCTCCTACTTTCTTCCCAGGTGACGATTGGACCAATGCCCCTGTACAGCCAACGAAGACTAAATCTCGAACGAAGTCCAATTCGAAGAGCTCTGATTTGGACAGCCTGGGAAATGGACCCCCAAGAGAGGAGAACCATGGCAAGAAAAGGCCAAGGGCAAATTCCGGAGCGAATTCGGGCCGCACGAAAAAGCTTCGCCCTGGTTCAGCATCAACGGAAAAGTCAACTGAGAGATCCATAGATTACAGGTCGTATCTCTTTACCAACATGATGCATTTCGGGCTCACCGACGAAAAGCGCGAGAAAGATCCCGAGGAATATAGGCAAATTCTGGGTAATATCGAGCAAGACTGGACCAACTACCGACAGAATATGATCAACCGCGGTTTCACGGTAGCCCCCGGAGGAGAGAAACCTGAAGCTTAGGATGACCCACACTTTTCTGTGCCTTTACGGAGTCAGCGTTATCTGTTCAGCCTTTGGTATATGAACCGAGGGAACAGCGGTTTGATCTCACAGCTTACTTAATGTCCTAACGCATCGGGTGCTTTACGAGCGTCAATTTTAGACAGCAATGCAGGTATGGTTGGACATCTCTCGCTACATGAACTAACCGATGTTTGCCTGAGATTAGGTAATTTATCGTATTTAATTTATTCAAGAAGTGTGACTTGATCTTTTCGTGTTCATCTATAGGTGCGTTGTATACTTATAAAGATGAATATGGAGTCTTATACTTGCCATTATTAACGCTGACCCGTATCTCTATTTAGGAAAAAGACAACTAAAGTCACATTACAGTCCTTCGATTGAGTCGCATGTGTTGGTCGTCGATCGTGTGTTCTTCTTGTGGGGATATGCTTTTCATGTTTTTTCCTTGCTCACTTTTATTTCTTTCTGTCAAATATGGACCTGATATGAGATCCCCCGGTCGAGTAACCAGTTCCTTGAATATTGCAGTTTAAGTGCAATCTGGGGTATCGGCCGGACTCTATGCACTTCAACATGCAATGGGACCGCTGGGTTCAATCAATAATAATTCGATGTCTATTTATTCAAACAAAATCATTCCATTCGCATTTATCATGCCCTCACAAACCGTTACTCCCGTTTCCGTATCCCTTTGCAAGCCGTCCGTGGTACAGTAGTATGAGCCGGAACCAGCGCATATCTCAACCATTTGCTCAACACCAACTGTATTGTGCGGAAATGATGTGTTAAAAAGAAAGACGGAAATTGGCCTCGGTGAAAGTTGTGATTGACTTATGTCGACCTTGGCAGTGGTATTTTACCGTTAGCAACGTGCTTTTTATCGGACACCTACATTTTCTTTGTCTTTGTATGCAGGCCGGCCTGTTAGCCGGAGCACAAACGGCCCATCAAGACCGTGTGGAACCGATCCAGACACAGCTGACCGAAGAGCTAGAGAGCTGGAGGGCCGAGCAGCAGAGCCGGGAAGACCTGCTCAAAGAGCGGATCGCCACGCTGGAAAGCGAGCTCACCCGACTTCGGGGTGAATTAGATCAAGTTCGGTTCGAAAGGCGACGCCCGAACGGATCGCAGCACCACAACCCACTCAGCGTAGGGCAACGGTGCCAAAGACACTCCGCACAAGCGATCAAAACCATCTCTGAGCCCGCGACCAAGGCCACGTGCCGGTCCCTAAGCCCGTGTCTCGTTACAACCAACTGTCATCGAGCTTCGCGGACATCGCCGCACTGCTAGCCACCAAGCCTGCAGGGCACGGATGGCAAGACGTCGTACACAAGAAAAAACGTCCAAATTGAACGGACTCAAGCAATCAAGCTCACCCCAGTGCGCTTATGCCCACAAGAAACGCCCCGAAAGAAGCCAGACGAATTGTCTTCCGACGCGAGCAGGCCCAAACAGCCCGCCATGTGGACAAACAGGACATCATCCTTGCGGTCAGCCGCGGACTTGCCCAAGCCGATTTCCCGAGTTTTGTCCGCGCAAATGACGCGGGGTACAGCAGCACTTGGGCGGTCACTGTGGTCTTAGAGAAGGGGGCTCTAGGGTCTATGTTAGTACCAGTCCACTGGGGGCTGGTGGTTGCCGCAGCACAACAAGTAGACCCAGCAATGAGATCTGCCGAACTGCCAGAGCAATGGTACCGAGCCAAGGTGCATGGAGTTTCCATTTTTCGCTACTTAAGTCGTGGGCTGGGCCTTGCCAGGGAGGAAGTCGAACTGGGAACCCGGATCCGACTGAAGAGAGACCCCAGTGGCTCTGGCGACATAGGGATGTCCAGGGTGGTACCAGGAAATGGCCCACGATCGTCGTCACGGTAGGGTCCCTGGAGGAGGCCCGGGATCTTCTAGTCCATGGGATTCGGTTTGGAGGAGCCCGGTTTAAGACGGAACGTTACTGGGAAAGGGGGAGGATATGGTCTGCCCTCGATGCTGCTATCTAGGCCATCACAGCTTCAAAGCTTGCGGGAGCAACCCACCATGCTGCTTCATCTGTGCAGGCACACATGAAAGACACAAGCACGTTTGTCACGTACTGGACTGCTCGGCCAAGTCCTGCACCGCCTGCCAACAAACGCCCACGAAATTCGGCAACTGTGGAGTGCCTCACTCAGCCACGGCCGGGAACTGCCCAGCTAGGCGCGCAGCCCGAAAGCAACGACGGGTCGGCAGGGAGCTCATCAAAACCGTTCGGCGCCGCTGGCCTCCAACCGCCCAAGATCACACGCGATCGGTTTGCATCAGTCTACTACTGGAGTGGGTAACAGCGTAGCCTCGGAGAATTCGGCTCCGATGAATTGGCAAACCCCCGCAGATAAACATTCTTGGCTACCGCCGATCATGGCTCCATTCTTGTTACACCTCGGCTCCAACAGTTGATTGAGCTAGGGAAGTATTTTCAGCTCAAGGCACTGGACTCCGACGAAGCGATTCAACTACTTTTACAAGCGCGCGAATAGGCACAGATTAACCGGTATCGCGCTTCGCAGGAACCAATTACTACTGGTTTGCCGGAATTAAGTGATGACTTTTCCATGTTGCTTAGAGGGCGATGACCCATAGGCAGTTATATGAACTATCAACCTGGGATGCCTACTGTACTGTACAGTAATGAGAAAGAAGCCCGCGAATTATTACGTCTGCGAAGAAGGACATGTCACTATAATTGATTATTCAACAGGGTTACTATGTAGTTTCGTAAGCCGAAAGGATTGTAACTAAGTATCTCCGACCATGCATAGGTGAGTCAGAAGCAGACCAGCCAAATAGAATTCATGTTTGGACATTTGGTCCATAGTCAGTGTGGCCCTGAGCCAATATTGGTCTGATTGGCTGGACTTTAACTCTTGATGTGGGGCCTCTTCCATTTCATCAAGGGCTATAGCTCTCTTTAATTGGTTGAATTGCCCTTGGAGTGTAAGTTTTGTGAACGATTTTTGGATCTAAGACTTTGGCTGCTTAAGGAGGTGCAATCGGAGACATACATCTTACACTGAAGTTCAATCACTCCTTATGCCACTAAAGTCTGAGTACTCTCGCAACACTCACGTGATGATTGGGATCATTAGCTAACTTTATCTCTCGCTAATTTTGTTCTGATCCATCAGATGAAGAACTAGGTAACTATAGAGAAAGAGAAGCTCTTATAGTAGTAGAAGATAAAATGTAGTTGCTATAGTGGTAATGAATGCAGTTGCTGCGGTAATGTATGGTAAGGATTCTTGGCAAAATTGATTAGTTAGTTAACTTAACTAACGTTAACGTAATTCCCGCTTACCCTGGCCACCCCATCCAAAATCGCGTCTTCCTACCAACCTACCTAATTCAACCACCTACCATGCCACTAATTCGCTCTGAATCTCGGCAGAAATTGGCCAATCAAGAGGGCAAGATCTCATTAGCCCTTTCTGATATTAAAGATGGTCGCGTTAAATCTCTACGCGAAGCATTAAGGCTATACGCAATACCACGCGCTACACTACAAACACGCGCTTATGGTGTTGTTTCTATAGCAGAGAGACGCCATCCACGCCATAAACTCACACAATTAGAAGAAGATTCGCTTTGTGAGTGGGTTATCTCTATAGATACGCGTGGAGCAGCGCCTAGGTCTGCTACTATAGGAGAGATGGCCAATATCCTACTAGCTGCGCGCGGTAACCAACCTCCGCCTACTGTTGGTAAGAATTGGCCATCAAAATTTGTTGAACGCCGCGAAGAGCTTCGTACACGCTACTCGGTACGATACGACTACCAGCGCGCATTAAACAAAGACCCAAAGACCCTACGAGCCTGGTTTGCGACCGTACAACGCGTGATTAACGATAACGGGATACAACCGGAGGATATCTATAACTTTGATGAGACAGGCTTTGCAATGGGCCTTATATCCTCGTAGAAGGTAGTTACGCGAGCTGAATTCTACGGTCGGAGACGTCTCCTATAGCTAGGAAATCGCGAATAGGTTACTACGATCGAATCAATCTGCGCAGATAGCTATTCGTTACCGCTATGCGTTATCTTTAAGGGCAAGGTTTACCAAGCTAGCTAGTTTGAAAATCTACCGAAAGATTGGCGATTCGAGGTCTCTAATAATGGTTAGACTACCGATAAGATTAGCCTACGCTAGTTACAAAAGCTCTTTATCCCATCAACAAACTCGCGCGTACGCGGCCGATTTCGCTTATTAATCCTTAACGGTCATAGTAGCCACCTTACGCCCCAATTCGACCGAATTTGCGCAGAAAACGATATTATACCTCTTTGTATGCCTACGCATGCTTCGCATCTACTACAACCACTAGATATTAGCTGCTTTGCGGTAGTAAAGAGGGCATATAGCCGTTTCGTTAGCGATCTTGCGCGTACGGGATATAACCATATCGATAAGTGCGATTTCTTAGAGAATTACCAACACGCGCGGCTAGAGGCCTTCCAAAAACCAGCTATTATTCGGAATAGCTTCGTAGCTAGCAGCCTAGTACCAGTCGATGTAGAAAGAGTGCTTTCAAAGCTTAATATCTCTCTACGAACGCCTACACCACCAAGTAGCCGGCCAAGCAGCAGTTCTAGCCAATTCACACCAAAAACGCCTAGAACCGTCGTTCAGCTACAAAAGCAAGCTTCGTTACTAAAGGATCTACTACATCGGCGGTCAAAGACCCCTCCGAGCCCAATTAATAACGTGGTAGATCAGCTTATCAAGGGTGCTTATTTATCCTTACATAGCGCCGTATTACTTACGCAAGATAATACGAATCTCCGCGCAGCGAATGAGAGAATCGTCAAGAAACGCAATCGGCCGAATAGAAAGATACCCTACGAAGAGGGTTTAACCGTCGAAGAGGGCCTACAGCTAGTTGAGCAGCTAAACCAGCCGGAAGAAGCTGATGGGGTAGTATCGCATGCGCAGGGCGAATTGCCTAGTCAGCAGGATCAGCCACGCAGGAGGGCTCCGCCTACCTGTAGTGGATGTGGAGGAATTGGCCATAGGATTACTTCATGTAAAAATCGTATTATCTAGTTAAATTAATGGGTGTTGGTTGAGATAATCGATTTTGAAATGTTCTAATGGGGTAGGTGGCCAGGGTAAGCGGGTGGCCAGGGTAAGCGGGAATTACGTTATGTGATGCGGGTATTACATAATTGCGGTGCCAGTAGCCAAATCTGCGGTGTCCCTATCAATTCCCAACTAGTTAACGTAATTCCCGGTTGATCGGAACACACGGTTGATCGGAACACCCCATCCAAAATCGCGTCTTTCTACCCACCTACCCACTTCAACCACCTACCATGCCACCAATTCGCACTGAATCTAGCCATAAACTGGCCAATCAAGAGGGCAGGATCTTATTGGCCCTTTCCGATTTAAAAGAGGACCGTATCAAGTCTCTCCGCGCAGCAGCAAAGCTATCCCCTCGTCCGTCCGGGAAGGACAATTAGCGCATTTCAATTAGCGTATTATATTATCCAATAGGTTATCGGACTAAAATATTCGATGTGTTATTGGATATAGGGGCTCCACTATCTACTAAGTCATCAACGCGTGTTTTTCTACACGCGTAACCCCCTACCAACCTGCCTACCAACCTGCCTACCAACCTGCCTACCAACCTGCCTACCAACCTGCCTACCAACCTGCCTACCAACCTGCCAATAAATCTGCCATGGCTCCAAAGAAATCTACTAAGGCTACACGGAAGCGCACGCTTGACGAGATTACTGCCGAATTACCTACTAAGGAAGAACTCTCTCGGCAGCTAAAGCCCTTGATCCCTTCCTCCGAACCTCCACGGCTGCACCTACCTACTAGCATTGACCTAGATAGCCCATACGCGATCTTTACACTCTTTATTAGCGAAGAGATTTTCGATCGTATCAGCCAATCTACCAATGCATACGCGCAGCGAAATCTAGCGAAGCTAGCTACCACTGCCACTACTACTACTACTCGCGCGTGGAAGGATACTACAACTGCAGAGATCAAGGTCTTCTTTGGTATTCTTATTTATATGGGTGTTCACCCTGAGCCACGCATTGATCTCTACTGGGCGCAAGATAGACGAGAAGGACCACTACATACTCCTCCGCTTTATATGACCCTTAAGCGCTTTGAACAGATTAAGCGCTATCTTCATATATCTCACCCTGACGAAGATGAGATACGATCGGAGAAGGATAAGAAGCAGTGGTGGTATAAGCTAGACCCTCTGGCTTTCTTCTTCAAAGAGGCTGCTGAAAAGCACTACCAACCAGGTTCTAATATCTCTATCGATGAGACTATGGTTCGCTGCTTTGGCCGTACGAAGCATACTGTCAAGATGCCTAATAAGCCAATTCAACAAGGTTATAAGATCTTTGCCCTCGCAGAACATGGCTATATTTGGACATTTACATGGAGTAGCCGCCTATGGGGGATCGCGGAGATGTTTAAATATGAAGGCCTTAGCCCTACGGCAAGAATGGTGCTTAAGATGGTCAAGAAGCTTCCTGGCCTAGCTAGTTCGATGGCTAATCTTCCTGCTACCCCTATGAGCAATTCGCATACCAATCTTATAGCCAATTCGATGGCTAATCTTCCTGCTACCCCTATAAGCAATTCGCATACCAATCTTATAGCCAATTCAATGGCTAATCTTCCTGCTACCCCTATGAGCAATTCGCATACCAATCTCATGGCCAATTCGATGGCTAATCTTCCTGCTACCCCTATGAGCAATTCGCATACCAACCTCATGGCCAATTCGCCGGCCAATTCGCCGGCCAATTCGCATACCCTAGCACCCTATATTGTCTACTTAGATAACTACTTTACCTCGGTAGCCCTTTTCAAAGAGCTTCGAGATATTCAATGTGGTGCATGTGGTACTACCCGCCCTCAAAATGGGATACCTTCTCAGCTCGTTGAGCTAAAGGATCACATTAAGACGATCCCATGGGGTACACTCTATGCAGCAGAGGCTGAAGGGGTTCTATGTCTTGCTTGGCAGGACAATAATATAGTCCTTCTACTATCTACTATCCACTCGCCACAGATATACACTCCTACTAAGCGGAAGCGGCCATTACCAACCTCTACGAATGCAGCTATCTCGCGTATACCTTTTGGTGATGAGATAACTAAGGAGCTCGAGATTCCTACTGCTATCAATGACTACAATCACTATATGGGTGGTGTGGATATTGCAAATCAGTATAGGGCTTCTTATGAAATTCATCGAAAGTGCGAGCGTGTCTGGTTCCCTCTGCTTTTCTTCTTTATTGATGCTGCAATTATTAATGCTTACCGCATTCAATATATCTTTAAGAAGCAACAGGGGGATAGTGAGCTATCTAGTCAGCTAGATTTTCGGCGAAAGCTCTACCAGCAGCTCTTTGCCTTTGCACCTTCGCCAGTACCAAGGCCAGTACCTGGTATAAACCACCAGCGAATTCAATTCGATAGGCGAAAAGCTTGTGTGTGGTGTCAGTATAAGAGAGAAAAGGGCAAAAGAGGCCAACAGGCCAATCGGTCAAGATCTGGTTGTTTAGAATGCGGCAGTGTAAGCCTATGTGTAAAAGGGCAGTGTTGGGACGAATTTCATAGAATTAGCTAGTCGATTAGGCCTGATTAATTACCATACTGAATTGTGACCGCGATTAGCCAATTAGTACGCGTTATTCATATACGCTAGTATAGCCTAGTAAAATACGCTAATTGTCCTTCCCGGACGGACGAGGGGATACCGCGTGCTTCCCACGTGCGGCGTTTAACATGTTAAGTAATTGTCGGTTCAATGCCTCAAGGCAGGCAGCCGACCAGCACCATGACTCAGGTAAGGGCCGTCGGATGCGTAGGATCGCCGTTACCTCTCCGTTGGGCGGTCAAGCTAGGCGTAGCTCGCAGTCCCATTTGGCTCACAGGCACATTGACTGGCGAGAAGAAAGACGCGAGACGAGAACGCTCACGATGGGATCCACCTGGTCCGCAAAACGATAGCATATGAAGTAGTTCCCAAGACCAGCCCATAGGAAGGCTTTCGCACAATGGTTTCTGCACAACAAATACTGTTATCCTCGCTGTCCTGCACCCTGCAGCGCTTCTGTAGAAGGGGACATCCAAACTTATGCGTCACTGTAGTTGCTTGGTTGCCTTCTGCCAGCATTTGATTGGTCTTTTTCACTGATTGACCCACTGGTTGGTACCATATTATCCCCTCGTCCGTCCGGGAAGGACAATTAGCGTATTTTACTAGGCTATACTAGCGTATATGAATAACGCGTACTAATTGGCTAATCGCGGTCACAATTCAGTATGGTAATTAATCAGGCCTAATCGACTAGCTAATTCTATGAAATTCGTCCCAACACTGCCCTTTTACACATAGGCTTACACTGCCGCATTCTAAACAACCAGATCTTGACCGATTGGCCTGTTGGCCTCTTTTGCCCTTTTCTCTCTTATACTGACACCACACACAAGCTTTTCGCCTATCGAATTGAATTCGCTGGTGGTTTATACCAGGTACTGGCCTTGGTACTGGCGAAGGTGCAAAGGCAAAGAGCTGCTGGTAGAGCTTTCGCCGAAAATCTAGCTGACTAGATAGCTCACTATCCCCCTGTTGCTTCTTAAAGATATATTGAATGCGGTAAGCATTAATAATTGCAGCATCAATAAAGAAGAAAAGCAGAGGGAACCAGACACGCTCGCACTTTCGATGAATTTCATAAGAAGCCCTATACTGATTTGCAATATCCACACCACCCATATAGTGATTGTAGTCATTGATAGCAGTAGGAATCTCGAGCTCCTTAGTTATCTCATCACCAAAAGGTATACGCGAGATAGCTGCATTCGTAGAGGTTGGTAATGGCCGCTTCCGCTTAGTAGGAGTGTATATCTGTGGCGAGTGGATAGTAGATAGTAGAAGGACTATATTATTGTCCTGCCAAGCAAGACATAGAACCCCTTCAGCCTCTGCTGCATAGAGTGTACCCCATGGGATCGTCTTAATGTGATCCTTTAGCTCAACGAGCTGAGAAGGTATCCCATTTTGAGGGCGGGTAGTACCACATGCACCACATTGAATATCTCGAAGCTCTTTGAAAAGGGCTACCGAGGTAAAGTAGTTATCTAAGTAGACAATATAGGGTGCTAGGGTATGCGAATTGGCCGGCGAATTGGCCGGCGAATTGGCCATGAGGTTGGTATGCGAATTGCTCATAGGGGTAGCAGGAAGATTAGCCATCGAATTGGCCATGAGATTGGTATGCGAATTGCTCATAGGGGTAGCAGGAAGATTAGCCATTGAATTGGCTATAAGATTGGTATGCGAATTGCTTATAGGGGTAGCAGGAAGATTAGCCATCGAATTGGCTATAAGATTGGTATGCGAATTGCTCATAGGGGTAGCAGGAAGATTAGCCATCGAACTAGCTAGGCCAGGAAGCTTCTTGACCATCTTAAGCACCATTCTTGCCGTAGGGCTAAGGCCTTCATATTTAAACATCTCCGCGATCCCCCATAGGCGGCTACTCCATGTAAATGTCCAAATATAGCCATGTTCTGCGAGGGCAAAGATCTTATAACCTTGTTGAATTGGCTTATTAGGCATCTTGACAGTATGCTTCGTACGGCCAAAGCAGCGAACCATAGTCTCATCGATAGAGATATTAGAACCTGGTTGGTAGTGCTTTTCAGCAGCCTCTTTGAAGAAGAAAGCCAGAGGGTCTAGCTTATACCACCACTGCTTCTTATCCTTCTCCGATCGTATCTCATCTTCGTCAGGGTGAGATATATGAAGATAGCGCTTAATCTGTTCAAAGCGCTTAAGGGTCATATAAAGCGGAGGAGTATGTAGTGGTCCTTCTCGTCTATCTTGCGCCCAGTAGAGATCAATGCGTGGCTCAGGGTGAACACCCATATAAATAAGAATACCAAAGAAGACCTTGATCTCTGCAGTTGTAGTATCCTTCCACGCGCGAGTAGTAGTAGTAGTGGCAGTGGTAGCTAGCTTCGCTAGATTTCGCTGCGCGTATGCATTGGTAGATTGGCTGATACGATCGAAAATCTCTTCGCTAATAAAGAGTGTAAAGATCGCGTATGGGCTATCTAGGTCAATGCTAGTAGGTAGGTGCAGCCGTGGAGGTTCGGAGGAAGGGATCAAGGGCTTTAGCTGCCGAGAGAGTTCTTCCTTAGTAGGTAATTCGGCAGTAATCTCGTCAAGCGTGCGCTTCCGTGTAGCCTTAGTAGATTTCTTTGGAGCCATGGCAGATTTATTGGCAGGTTGGTAGGCAGGTTGGTAGGCAGGTTGGTAGGCAGGTTGGTAGGCAGGTTGGTAGGCAGGTTGGTAGGCAGGTTGGTAGGCAGGTTGGTAGGGGGTTACGCGTGTAGAAAAACACGCGTTGATGACTTAGTAGATAGTGGAGCCCCTATATCCAATAACACATCGAATATTTTAGTCCGATAACCTATTGGATAATATAATACGCTAATTGAAATGCGCTAATTGTCCTTCCCGGACGGACGAGGGGATAGGCGGATGGGGGGTTGGTGTTAGGGTGGACAACTGGTGGTCAATGGGAAATGGGATCAAATTTTTGCACAACCACTATACAGCTGAATGGAATAAGCAATGCACTGCCGAGGGGGCTCACCGCTCAAATTCCATAATTGATTGGTCTTGTGTGTTACAGTACACTGCACGCGAATGATTGTGATTGAATGCCGCTGGAGAATGTGGGAGCCCGTCTTGACACAAAGCAGCAGACCGAATATCGACCAGAAAAGCAGAAAAGATCCAACCGACACCAGATACCGGGGCAGATCGATATCGGCGGAGGGACTAGTATAAATGCCTGGTACTGTAAATGGCATCAATGAAATCATCCTGGTTGGAGGAACAGTAGGGGCAAAGAAAATTCGTGGTATAAGGTGGGAGGGAGTAGGCCAGGGGTGGCCGACGTGTTAGGAGCTGCACGTGATGCTGATCAGCAAAACAGGGGACTAATCTAGAACCTGGTATTTGGGAGTGAGTCATCGTTTAAGAGTCGACCTGCGACATTTTCATCTTTCAACACTTTTTCGCTTCTCTTTACTGTGCCGACCCGTCTTCGTACGCACTCAAGATGCAAAGCTTTCGATGGCTTCAACAAAGCCGATGGACTGTTGTTCTCCTTTTGTGACTTTGCCCATCGGAGTTCGGAGGATCGGACTTCCACTTGGCCTGTTAATCCTGCTTCCCTCTCAATGCTTGAATCTCAAGGGATTTCAATGCATAGCTTGCCGAACACATTCCAGACATCCCACCACCGCCGGAATGATACTATGATTTGAGATTGGGTGACCGGACCGACTGCGCAGAGTAATCGGAAAGGTATCGAAGCAATTATCAATGACGCACTCGACTGGGAGAAAAGGAGCGGAGCGACTTTTGAGGCAGACAAAACAGCCATCATACACTTCGCTCCTAAGGTCCACAAAACGGACCAGGGGTCGTTCACTATTAAGGGACAGACTGTGGTGCCTAGAGACCATGTCAAGATCCTGGGCGTTCTCATGGACACGAGACTCAAGTACAAGGAACATATCGCGAGGGCAGCGTCCAAAGGCTTAGAGGCGGCGATGGAGCTTCGGCGACTTCGCGGCCTAACCCCAGCAACTGCACGCCAGCTATTTACATCGACGGTGGCCCCGGTGGTAGACTACGCTTCTACCGTCTGGATGCACGCTTGCAAGGACAAGGCCAGCGGACCGATCAACCGAGTCCAAAGGGTGGGAGCGCAAGCAATTGTAGGGATATTTCTCACAGTTGCGACCAACGTTGCGGAGGCAGAGGCTCACATTGCTACTGCACAACGCCGTTTTTGGAGGCGGGCCGTGAAAATGTGGACGGACATTCACACCCTTCCAGAAACCCACCCACTCCGGAGGAGTACAGCATGGATCAAGAAATTCAGGAGGTACCACCGTTCGCCGCTGTACCAGGTAGCGGACGCGCTGAAAAACATTGAGATGAAATTTCTGGAAACCATCAATCCGTTCGTGTTAGCACCATGGGAGACTCGCATGCAGAGCGATATTGAAGCAATGCCGGACTCGCACACCGTACCAGGCGGATCATTGCAAGTTGCGGTCAGCAGCTCCGCACGAAACGGCCTCGTAGGATTTGGGGTGGCGATCAAGAAACAGCCACCTCGATACCGGAAGCTGAAACTGAAGACCTTCTCCGTGACATTAGGCGCAAGATCAGAGCAAAACCCATTCTCCGCGGAGCTAGCAGCAATGGCACACACATTGAACATGCTAGTGGGACTAAAAGACTACAGGATCACGCTGCTCACGAGCAACAAAGCGGCGGCCCTCACGATGAGGAACCCTCGACAACAGTCGGGCCAGGAGTTCGTCTGCCAAACGTACAAGTTGATAACCAGACTGCAGAGAAACGGAAACCGCATAAATATTCAGTGGGTCCCTACCAGCGCGGACAATAAACTGCTAGGTCTAGCCAAAGAGCAGGCCAGGACCGCGACCCAGAAGGATGCCGTCCCGCAAGGATCGGCCCCCAGGATGAAGTCAACAACACTGAAGATCGCTCGGTCCCAAGCAGCTGCCAGCAAGGACCTGCCGGAGAAAGTTGGAAGACACGTGAAACGAGTAGATGCAGCATTGCCAGGAAAACACACTCGACAGCTGTATGATCGATTATCGTGGAAGGAAGCGAGCGTGCTGGCCCAACTCCGGACTGGCATGGCCAGACTCAATAGCTATCTCTACCGGATCAACGTTGCAGAGTCGGACCAGTGTGCATGTGGACAAGCAAGAGAGACCGTGGAACACTTCCTGTTTCGATGTCGGAAGTGGACCACACAGCGAACAGCACTACTGCAATGTAGCCAAACTCACCGGGGCAATCTCTCCTTCTTCCTGGGCGGGAAATCGCCCTCTGATAATGAGCAATGGGCGCCGAACTTGGAAGCTATGCGAGCCTCAATACGATTCGCGATCGCCACGGGCCGACTGGACGCCACCTAACCACGTCGACCAACACAATAACACCCTCCCCCTCACCAACCCACACCTACCACCTTGTGCCAGAATTGGTGGACGCGCTTCAACTGCCGAAAATAGGATGTTGAACACTTGAAGAAGCGCCTTCAAGCCAGTCTACTAACAAAATTACTAACCCACAGGGATTCCTATGATATTGACAGCTGAGAGGACATATACTGAAAGTATCCATGTATGGGCTCGAAGGAGGTACGGCATAAGCATATTAGGGTTTGTATTGATAGATCAGTTTTAGTTGCCCTTTCGGCTTAGCCGCCGGGCGTTAATGAATTGTGTGTGTGTGTGTGTATCACTATGCATGGAGACCAATTTCATTGCTCGCGACGCTGGGCAAGATACTGGAATCAGTGGTTGCGGAAAGGATCTCACACGCGGTGGAGACGTACGGCTTGCTCCCGACCAGCCACTTTGGAGCCCGAAAGCAGCGGTCCGCGGAGCAGGCACTCGTGCTTCTGCAAGAGCAAATCTACACAGCGTGGCGCGGCTGACGGGTATTGAGCTTGATCAGCTTCGATGTCAAAGGAGCCTACAATGGAGTGTGCAAGGAACGATTGCTTCAGAGGATGGAAGCGCGAGGTATACCGGAGGATCTGCTCCGGTGGGTTGAGGCGTTCTGCTCGGAACGGACGGCGACCATTCAAATCAATGGGCAATCGTCTGAAGTCCAAAGCCTGCCCCAGGCTGGATTACCACAGGGCTCGCCGCTGTCTCCAATCCTATTCCTCTTCTTCAACGCAGACCTGGTTCAACGACAGATCGACAGCCAGGGAGGAGCAATCGCGTTCGTGGACGATTTTACCGCATGGGTGACCGGACCGACTGCCCAGAGTAATCGGGAAGGTATCGAAGCAATTATCACTGAAGCACTCGACTGGGGGAAAAGAAGCGGAGCGACCTTTGAGGCAGACAAAACAGCTATCATACACTTCGCTCCCAAGGCTCACAAAACCGACCAGGAGCCTTTCACTATCAAGGGACAGACCGCTGTGCCTAGAGACCATGTCAAGATCTTGGGCGTTATCATGGACACGAGACTCAAGTATAAGGAACATATCGCGAGGGCAGCGTCTAAAGGCCTGGAGGCAGCGATGGAGCTTCGGCGACTTCGCGGCCTAACGCCAGCGACCGCACGGCAGCTATTCACATCGACGGGCCGTCCGTGTTCTGCTCATATTTTCTGACAACAATGCGCCAATTTGCGGACCCTCGAGAAATCAAATTGCTTCCTAGGAGATTTTTTTCGTTATTCTTTATTCCCAGGAATAATGAAGCTTGATTGATTGATTGATTGATTGATTGGATCAACCAGTCAAACCAGCCCCTGTCGCTCCATGCTGTCCTGAGAGCTATTATTTATCTGTTCAAACTCATGTGTCTGGGACTACTAAACGTTTAGATATCAAGACTCGGGGAATCTAGCAGTTGCTTTGATTAAGGCCTAACACTGTAACTCTCAAGACAGAAAATGAAAACCCATATCAATAGTGCTTCTTTCTCATCAGGACATCTTCGCGTTCCAGTTGGACTCTTCTAGCCCAGCGCAATGACACCACCTGGATGCCCAGTTCCGCCTTGTTCGTCACTTTTACTGTCCTCCTCCACACTGGGTCCATCTTCACGAGTCTCGGCTTGCTTGAGAAGAATGTTGAACATTGCTTCAAACGAATTGCAGTCTTTGTCGTCCGATCGTCCCTGCTGTTTCAAGAGATAGTCGGTCACAGCCCCGAGCTTTCGATTTACTTCGTAGAGAAGTTCGGCCAACCCCACGGTCTCTTCCAGATCCTTTTTCGTCTTCTCCAGGGCATGGCGGGTCCTGCCGAGCTCCTGCTTGTATTCCGAGGCAATGCGTTCGGCCTGGGTTGTGCGTGCGTTCAGCGATGCGATGGTTCGAAGGATCTCCTGAGGCCAATCAGCTGACGCTCTCAACGTATAGAAGAAGTCATACCCCGGTGTCCATAGTAGCTGTAAACCAAAAGAGTTGATATACAAACACCAACGAGGGATCTTCGTGAGACACATTGCTCGATGTTGAGCAGGGTTCCAGTTATATAGACTCGATTCTCTCTAGTCCAGGCCGCGGCCTTCCTGATGAGAGTAGAGTTGACGGTTGATACTATTATGGATCATGGCCATCAATTTGCCCGGTGGAACAGGGTGAGAGATCTCGCAAGCCGTGGTACAGTAACTAGAGCTGGATGACAGAAATTTCGGACGGATCGTACAGAAGAAACGTCGTATGAGCAGGTCATGTATAACCGTGTTTGAATTCACTTTATCAAAGGCAAAGAAATGATCCACAGGCACTCAACGATTTATTCCAATGTGCTTGACCTCAGCAGAGTAACTGTATATGATGTAAATCTATCAAACAGGGCTCACCATCCCATGAGATGGAGATAGCAAGTCGGTGATCGGGACGTCGTGGAGCTTGGAAGTTTGCACTGAACATTATATGGATTGAACATTATATGGCCATCCAAGTTGCCCGGTGTTATCAAAAGCACATTCGGGAAAATACAAATCCATTTCTCCTCGAACACAACCACATTGTAGCCACATGGTACTCGTAATTACCGGACACAGAAAATCCGGCTGTTGGCGCGAAGTTCGTAAATCAGCGTGCTTTTCAGTATAACCGACAGTCAACTCCAGTTACACGCGCTTGTTAATTCCGAAAAGACTACTTTGGCGGAGCCTTGATCACGCATCTTCCCGCCATTAATCCACCTGTTCTTCTAAATATTCAAGATTCCTCTTAAAGCCCATTCCAGATCAATCACTTGGAGGCCCACTTAAGCATTCCGATGCACTTGTTGAATCAATCTTCAACACATGTACTTGTGGTTGCTAGAAAGACATCATGTCCCATATCACTGTGGACGAGGAAGGCACTTTCACAGTTTCCGCCCAGGGGCCGGAATATGAATCAAGCGAGGCCTCCAGCCTAGAAGTCCGTAGAAGTACATACTGGATTTATAGTGGCTGTCTCAAAGCAGTAAGCGGTGTAGGTTGGCTCAGGGCTCTGCCCACGCCTGCTCACCTCCCTTCAACTACATCTACTCCTTCATTCCTAAATTCGTTTCATTCTACACAGCAACCTGTGTCCACCATGGCTACCAATGAGCTGGCATACTCTGCTGACCAAGAAATTGCTAATTTCTTCGAAAAGAGTGCAGCGACTGGCCGAACCTGTGACACATCTGCGAGGGAGCATGTTGGTGGCAATGTCGTTCCGGTGGCCGTCATAAGCAGGCAAAAAAACCTTGTTGAAACCCCCTGCAGTGTGCTAATGCCCGAGGCCGACCTTGCCTACTTCCACCCTTATCTCGCGTTAGCTGTTCATGGTGGTGACTAGCCCGTATCCGGAAAATAGCACGGCAGGGATTCATTCATTTCTGTTCAATTCACTTCCATCATGCATTGTGTGGTGTTGAGGAGGATAAAATAAATGATACTTGGGCAAGAAGGCGCAATTAGACTGCGTCAACTCGTTTTTCGACTACAATCCTTAATGTATTTAAGCCGCACTAGGCCTATCCTCGGATTAATATGCAAAACTTCCCTACAGTAGGTGTGAACCAAGCACTTCGAGTCTTACCTGGATAAACTGATGTAAAACTTCTCCTGCTTCTGCATTGTTTCCCTGCCTGCGGAGCATTTGCGCAAGAAAATTGACACAGTTTATTGTAAACTGATGCCTAGATCCCAGTATCCTCCGGCTCATCTCCAAGGCTCGTCGGTACATCGTCTCTGCCTCTGTGTATTTATTTTGGCGTCGACAGACCCCGGCGAGGAAGTATACACGCACAAGCGTGCTTTCGTTATCGGTCCCAAGAACTCTATAACTTGCATCTAATGCACGGCGGTGGAGTTCTTCTGCCCTTATGTATTCCCCTTGACGCTCCAAAGACGAAGCCAAGTCGGTGAGGGCTTCCAGGGTAGAGGGTTGTTCTGGCCCGAATATTCGAGTCCTTTCTGACCACACTTGGTTCCACAACTCGGTCGCCTCGCTATGCCGGCCCTGGTCCTGGAGTACTCGGGCAATCCCACTCTGAATGTTCAGGGTCTCTTCTTGGTCCGGGCTGGTTGCGCTTGTTGTAGGATCTATCACTGTCCCGTAAATGGCCATCGCCTCGCTATATTGACCCTGCATCCGAAGATTTCTCGCAAGCCTTCTCGTCCATTGCAGGGGGTCCTGCATCTCTGGGCCCTGCTGCGCCTCTGAAATGTCTCTAGCTTGCCTCAAAATCGTTTCTTCCTCTTGCAACTTCTGAGAATCTTCAAGCACTCTTGCCAAGGTTGAGTAGTAATTCAAGGTCGCTGTGCTTTCAGGTCCATGAAGGACCTTGCTGATTTCCACCGCCTGTCGGTTCATTTGTTCAGCCTCTGCGTAATTCTCCTGTCTCCAGAGGACGAGTCCCAGGATTCCGATGGTGTCCAATAGTGTTTTCTTGTTAATTAAATTTGGTACGGCTTCCTCGGCGGCAAGCGCCCGTCGGCAGAGACGCTCTGCTTCGGCATATTTGGTCTCTGTCTCTAGAACCCAAGCTAGGTCTAGGAGAGCTCTCCTGGTTTCCGGATCACTCGGACCAAAAGACACCTCGCAAATATCCAATGCTCTTCGAAAAATGTCTACTGCTTCAGATAATCTGCCCTCGTCCCTCCTAAGATCTCCCAGAAGTCGAATGCTGCCGAGAGAGGATAAATCACGTGGATTTCGGTCGCTGTCTGCCATGCCTAGTGCCTTGTTGGCGAAGGACTGAATATGGCGCGCCACCAATATGAAGTCTGCACTATCGCGACTAGAGAATTTGCATATACCGGAATGGTCTGCGTCGATGCCAAGTACCAACTCGGTTGGAGAGCCGAGCTTCGCTGATGTTCGGTCGACAATCATCTTGATAAAACACTCAGAAATAGAGTAAGGCTGTTAGAATCAAAATGGCACGTACTCTTCTCTGTCCCAAGAATCTTAGACCTCTCCCTATTAGCCTTGTCGGTCGCATTTCAAAGAAGCTAATCACATTATAATTCCCAAGTTGGGTTCGAAAATCGTCGGAAGTTGCCTCCGTCAAAAGCGAGTTGCGCTCCAAGGCAGGTAATAGACTGTTCCTCCTCTCCCCAGTGAAGAAGCTGACCAAGCCTGCCACAACTCTGGCGGTGCTGACCATATTTCCGCCCTGGTGGGGGGTTGCAAAGAAAATAATCCCGTACGTCGATTTGCGGATCTGTTCGTACAAGTGATCCATGACCCTGGCCGTGACAAGAGCCTTCACTAACCATCAGCCGGTAGATAAAACATCCTACTGGGTTCGCGACCTTACCTGCTTGACCACGAGCCCTCCTAGCGAGTGACAGATGAATATGATAGGGCGATTTCGCTGGTACTGCAATCTTTGGTGAGGCTTGACTCGTTGTATCTTGCCCATGGTCTCACCTCATTTGATCTCATTCCACCAAGCCTGTCAAGCAGCGTGTTTGCATGGTTCCGGACGGTTGCCTCGGCTACGTGGAGGATGGCGTTTGCATTATATCCAAAAAGGAGTACTCTCGCGTTGGGAATTTTGTCCGGAAGCCAGCTCTCCGGCCAACAAATTCCATTCTCATTCGACCAGGTTCGCATGGCATGTTCCGGTGCGCCTGTCGGGTTAAGGCCATGAACGAAAACAATGCTAATGATAGACACAGATTAGTTTCATCTTATATAGGGGGCACGATACACGGAATGGAGGAGTATACTCTATCTGAGACTGCTGGTCGTCCCCAGGCTTGGGGTAGAGGACATTTATGAATTCCTATATTCGCCTGTCATTTCGACCCGGACGACCATAAACAACTTGGGGCCACTCTACCATTTGAGGTCAGAAAGAGAGCGTTCGAATGCCTGAGTAAGACTGAATGTGCACTCGTAAGTAGGAGGAGGCGGGGGACACAGAAGGATACGAAGAAGTGGCAATGAGGGTGCGTTGTGGGTGAGGCTGAAGTACCCCACTCCACCCCACCTCCCCTCTCCTGGCAGGGTCCATCTACGGAGGTTAATAACCATCACGAGTGCAAAAACCCCAGAATCCAATATGATTGGGCAATCTGTATACCGCCTCCTTTTCCGCCCGCAGTGTTTATCCTGTTCGCCTTACCCTAATTAGGTTAGCCAGCATGGAGTGGAACAGGCTTACCGTTCCAGGTCGGAATACTGTGACATAATCCACAGGCGAATAAAACACCCCAAAACTCCATACTAAATGCGATAAATAACAACTTCATATCTCAAAAGCCGTGGGTCTTTCGGATAAAATATGAGGCTTGTATAACCTCGATAGCGTTTCTGACCTACTGGTGCATTGAGAGTTTACTTTTAGAAAACTCATGGCGATATATATATCCGTGTCTCAAGGTCAAAATGATACTGTATTTTATGGTAACGCGTCGAAATAATGCTCTCACTAGCTCAAAATCTAGGCATATTATTCTTTTTGCTTAGAAAACTGTTAATTCAAAATTTAACAAAAATAAAGCGCTGGTGGTTGAGATATAGAGGAATAAAAATGTAGCATTGGATATGGTATTTTATAGTTTCACTTGCCTATAAATTACATTACTGAATCTCCGATTCAGTACGCTACTGTAGTGTAGTGTACAGTATACAAGACCGTATGACTATGTATTTTTCAGAAGCAGACAATCCTTTCTTTTGATTTTAACATAGTGCAATTCCTACTGTTCTGTGCTCACATGAATAACTTCTATTTTCCCATGCCACGCCCTCAAATTGACCTGGAGCCTTACAGGGAGGAGATTACTCTCTTATATTCTCAGAATGCACGTATTGCCAATATCCAGACCATCATACAAAGCCACGGCGTCAATATCTCACTCCGCACGCTCAAAACTCGCCTTTCTTCCTGGGGCCTACGGCGCCAACTACCTAGCCAAAATGAAGCTTTGCACGCTCGCCTTCTCACACTAATTACCGAGGCAGGTTTATCGGCTAGAGAAACACTCGAAGTGCTACAGAAAGAGGGATTCCGGGTCTCTGAACCTACGCTTGAAAGGTTACGAAAACGGCTTGGAATTCAGCTTCGTACAAACTGCCCGCTTCAGCGGCAGCAGCAACGGCTCGAAATCGAGGTTCTCTTGACTGAGGAGCTTGGAATTGGCGATGTCGAAGGCTATGGGCGTCGGATTCTCTATCACCACCTTCGCCGGCATGGTTTTCTTTTCCCACAGCACCGAGTATTCGAAGTCTACCGCTCTCTTCGCCCTGACTCACTCCTCCGCCGATCATACGATCTCCAGCGCTCCCGCGGCGAGTATTGGTGCCCTGGGCCGAATTTCGTGTGGCATGTGGATGGTTATATGAAGCTAGCGCAGTTCGGGGTTGAGGTTTATGCTGCCATTGATGGGTACTCTCGGTATATTCTCTGGATATACGTGGGAATTAGTACTCGTACCGCAGTGAGCGTTCTCTCTCAGTTTCTTGACACCCTCGCCGAGCTCTCCTACCAACCGGAGATTATTCGGTCTGACCTCGGCTCGGAGACCTCCCCTTATTGGGGATGCACAATGGGCGCTGCGGCAGGTGTTCGATCCAGAGGCTGCCCATGGAGACTGTTTCTGGCTAGGGCGAAGCACAGATAACCAGAGAATAGAGGCTTGGTGGGCGCAGTTATCTAAGTCGTGTACTTTTCTCTATTACCAATATTTCCGGGAGCTCCGGGAACAAGGTAAGTCATCCTGCCCACTATCCGCTGCTGGTACTAATCCTCTATAGGTCTCTTCTCCGGCTCTATCCCTGAGCAGGTCGCCCTTCTTGCGGTTTATATGCCTACGCTCCGCCGGGTTATTGGTGAGTACGCTAAGACCTGGAATATTCATAATATCCGCAAGCAAAAGTCACGGCCGAACGCCGTTACTGGGAAGCCTTTTATGAATTATTTTAATGCGTCTAAGCCGGATTACCAGCGCGCAGTTGATCAGATGCTGCTTCGCGAGCTCCAGGAGGACGTCCGGGACTGGGATAAAGATGAATATTTACCCCCTGATGTCCTTGCTTGGTGCCACCAGCAGCTTCAGGAGATTGGAGCCGAGCTTTATGGGCCTGGAAATGGCTTCAATCCTGATAATCCTCCGTCTCGTGTTCCAGAGGAAGTTAGCCAGCCTTACCGGGTCGAATATCTCGAACTCCGCCGCCGTGCTCTTCTTCATGACCAATTAGATGAACATCCAGTGCTCTGTCTTACTACGAAACCCCTCGGTGCATGGGATTGGGAGCCTGGAGAGGCACAGGAAGGCTAGTTTTCAGCACCTCTCTGTAGGATCTCGGCCCAAGATCTAAATTCAGGCTGATCAGCGTGTGCTACCGCGCTCTTGGGATTTTACGATAGCCAATTAGTATCCACGAGGTAGGGGATCGACGGAGGTAGTTCGGTATATAAACTTTCTTACGTATACATGTCTCAACGCCAAAAGACCAGGTTATCATAGTGCCACATAAAGTGTTAAACAGGGGAACTTCCGTCCTGACTAGTACTAAAGTGAGTAGTATTAAACATGCCTATTTGAATGTGGGTGAATTGAAGATTGTGAGGTCCGTTGGATGATCCTCCGGGGTCTGCCATAGCGTGTTACATGCTATACTTCCGGAGCTATCCGGATTGCCATTAAAATCTAATGAAGGCGTGGAAGCTGAGTAAGCCTGTCTTTGGATCCCTTGTGGTAAGATATCTGCGCCTTAGTTCGTCATAAAATCTTCGCTAAGTACTAATTTTACAAGAGGAAATTCATTCAGTTTCAAGATAACTCGGCTCCTTCTTATATTTAAATTATTTTTGTACCTGATATTCTTCCTCAGAAACCCTCCCACTTGTGTTTCTATGGCTAACTACCGGAATACCCTGGCCCATCGTACCGGGGAAGATGTTTTTGCTTATGGTCCTATCTCTACTGCCCAGATCACCTCCCCTACGTATAGTACGAGCTCTTCTATACAGAATTTATCCTCTTCGGCCAGGGCGACGCTATACCAGAGAAGCCTCATTACCCCAGAACCACGCTTCCAGGCCTTATCAGAGACGACAAATGAGATACGGCAGCGCCAGATCCAGCAGCAGTCGATTCAGCGCCAATTTATTGGTGGGAGAAGCTCTGGAGGTAGCCGCCTCAGTCGAGGGCGGCCTCAAGTTCCTACAGCACCAGCAACGGTCTCATTAATCGTCCACTGCTATTTATATTGGTACTTGGGGTCGGGAAAGCCAGATAGGCTTGAAAAGCTAAGTATGGAGAGATCGCGCGGCCAAGAGAGAGATATACTAATTTGCCTCGTTATGAGTAGCTACAGTTACCCCAATCCTTACACCGGGTACTATCAATAGCTTCGTCGACTTCATCGAAAATGAGCTCCTAGTGGAGCTCGATCCTGAGGATTACACGCGTGAGCAAGGAGATACATTTCGATTTGCAACTGCAGTTAAGAATAAAAAGGAGCCATGGTTCCTAGGCATGCGGGAAGATCATGAACAGCTCCTCACAGACTTCTGTACGAAATTTACCAAAATCAAGGATAGTTATGAGGTCTTCCTGATTATCAAGAGAAAAAGACTTGAACCAGTGACGATAAAGCTTGAAGCTGAAGCTCCTGTGGCAGCAGGAGCTCCAGCGCCATCTCCTCCGCCCTCAGAGGTATCTATCTCATCATCTCTCCCATCGCTAGGAGCAATTATCAGGTCATTATCACCGCGGAGAGCTGTGGAGTTTACTCCGCCGCCGGCGCAGCCAGCGGCGCTGCCGCAGCGGCGAAAGCGAGCTCGTGTGCCGCCAGGGATCTCTCCACCACGTACCCGGCGGAGATACCAGCTGCGAGAGTCGGATATGGAGAGAATGACTGCGTCAGGACCTGTTTCGGAGACCTGGAGGGCAAACAGCGGGTAATTAGCATATGACATAGATGACGGAGTGGAAGGACTGGAGAGGATGTGTCATTTCGTGTTATATTTTTCGATTTTGAGACTCAATCAACTTCAATTTGCATGTCTTGACTAGTCAGGAAGAGAAGAGAGTTGCTTTTTAGCGAAAACACGTTATTTGGAAGAACTCAGCTTGTTTTAGTGCTTCTTGGGTAGAGAAGGGCAGGAAGACGAGTTGGCAGATCAACAGGACGTTAGGTCTGTTTGTAGGTGCTGGATAAACTAAAGCCTAATTAGGCATAATTGACGCTCCCTGGTATTACGCTAGTTGTAATAAGGCTAGACTGGTACCAGCATAACTATCCACACCACAGCTAAGTGGGCAAAACGGGAATTCTGCCGGACAAAAACAACCATTGGTCATTTTTGCACTCGTGATGGCTATTAACCTCCGTAGTCCATCTTCGCAAGTGAACACGAAGGCCCCGTTGCCAGGTACAGACTGGCTGTGAACTTCAAGTCCGATCACATGCCCGTATATCTTTGAGTTTTGCCATTGGTGCCATGCCTCAGGAAAGCGTTGATGGAGCAGGTGAACTCTTCTGCATCGCAGTCACGCCGAAGGCTCATGCTGCCAACTTCCGTCAACTGCATGTGCTGCCTGGGATAGCCTGTCCATAATATCCTATTCAAGCGGAGCTAAATGTCGTCCGCTCAGGCCTTCGGGTTCTACCGCTTTCTTCTCTTCCTTGGCTCTGCGCCCGCCAGCCTTGCGTAGCTCCTTTTCCACGCTTGTAAAATCCGATAAGATCGCCGGCCTTGTGTGCCGAAGCGGGAGGTGTTTGTAAAGCTGAGTCGCTGGTTCGCAACGGGGACTCCGTCGCCCGTCCAGTGATGGGCTCTATCGGGAGGAGCAAATCGTCTTGGGATAGCTCGGAAGAAAATCGTGGCTTCTGCCACTAGGCTTTTGGCTTTGTTACCTTGTGCAAATACTTGATTGGCCCACTGGCCATACCTCGTCCGGTTGTCATTCGACCCCGATTTCCGTCCCTCTGGCAATGACTCTTTGTCCGTCGTCTTTAAACCTATGCCTTGGAACCTTGGGCCTCCATCCGTGTCCTTCCGTCATCGGGCTTGCGGCGCTTGGTTTTTGATCGATCTGATTGCTGATCTATGAACTATTAGCATGTTTGGCTTTGAATAATAAACAAGAGGCTGCTGAAGACAGATAGCCAGACAGGCTTTGTCTCCTAAGTCCGCTGTCCCGCAGGGGCGGCCCGCCCTCGTTCAGCGAGCCCGCCTAGTTTTACTAGTGCCGACTTGGCAAGCCCAGACGGAGATGATCGACTTCGCACTTACCTTAATTCATCATCCAAACCCGCAGCTGAACCGATGTATGAGGCTTAAGCGCAGACCCACACTTTGTTGCCAGAAATAACGACAATAAATGTTGCCTGGATGTAAGTGTTATTCATAAGATTCCATGGGTCCTGCTTGCACTTACTCTAACTATTGAAGGAAGAACGACTCTCTCAAGCGGCTGGCTATCTTCCATTCCATAAAATGCCGGAACTGTTACGGCGTCTTTTCCATCGTCCATCGAGACCAAGCTCACCAGCTGGTCCGAGAAACAAGGCTCCGCCCCAATATGGACTGAGGTTGTTGCATGAGCCACCGGATAATCCTGGATCCGCCGTTGAGTATGATTCTCAAGGAAATAATTTCTTCTACAACTGACTTTATTTTTGGATAGCATCGTCTTTGTCCACGGCCTTACACTGCAGGAATAATATTTGGTGATAGCATTACAGCGCTATAAACAAGAACGAGATGCATGATGTATAAACTGGGTTGCCATCCCCGGAATAGTCCCATCCTTTCAAGCGGCCGGACAAAATACTGCATGGCCCCAAGAGCATTATAAACGGCAACTCGAGCAACTTCCAAAGTAAGTGGCACCGGCTGGCCCAGTGGCCCTGCGAGACTGTGGATAATCGGTACCAGGGCAAGCAAGCCCAAAGAGGCACAGTGATATTGAAACTTGAGACTTGTCACATGGGGGCCCGAGGTTTGGACCAGCACCTCGACCAGATGTCCCACGAAAAGCAAAGAGATAGCGCAAATGTATCCGAGCTGCACCAAGGCACGAGTGGAGAACTGAAGAGCGACATAAGAGATGGTGGTTGTATAAATCAATAGCAGGATGCCCCCGAACTCCAGCTTCTCCCAATTGCATGCATTGGTGCTACCAAGGACGAGGAGGATACGGTAGGTGAGACTCAGGAAACACCAGGAGACGACACCAACGCCAAAAAGAAGTGTCGCGAGCGAGTTACTGATGTCCGCATGGGACAGAGGGAAGTGGAAAAGCAAGCATTGAAGGGTAAATAAAGAAAAGTAAGAGATCCCAAAAATATCGAGAACAGCGATCACCGTGGAGTCTCGTAGAGTGAGGATATTGGAACCCTCCATCGAAAAGAGTAATTTGATACAGTCGCCAAGCGATTATGAAGAGAATCTGCTTACCATCTGAGTCTGGGCAGCAAGCGTCTTTTATAAGGGAAATCGGGAGAAGAGCACGGGAAGCTGTTCATTCTAAGTAACGGTGCTCGCCTTGCCTATGATGTCAAATTGCGTTCGGGATCAACGGAATCGTTGAGAGACCGGATTAGAAAATGGAGGGAGTGCCGTGAGAATAAGTTTGGTAAGGGTTATCCGTTATATGATGTCTACATTCTTGGTGGCTAATGGGTTTTCTAGGTTGTGTTCTCGATGGTATACTTTCAAAAGACCAATTGCAGGACCTAGCTGACTGCTATGGTTTGGATAAAGATGCTGATTTACGTTTCATTGGTTATCAGGCACAATTATAGCTAAGCGAATGTATGAGTCAGAGAGTTGATAGCATGACAAGGCCCACGATAGGAGAATGACCCAAATACCACTCTTCCTCTCCTTGCCTTTCGAAATTGATGATGGCGATGAATCCCTCTCTGGCGCAGTGTGGAAAGAGCACCGCTCGTACTGCAAGAAAGACAAGTGCTATAGGAATCAATAACAAAGTCTATAGACCCGGCACGGATACACTCACCTCAGTCTAGGCGCCATTGGAAGCTCCTCGGCATTTCGCGCATTTATCTCGACGGTTATGGGAGCTTCCCATGGCCACCTCCGGCTAAGGTTGGGGACGATTCTGAGGACAGGGACGCGGTACTCGTCTAACTTCCCTATCTCCGCAGGCATATATAGTGGTCGTAACCAACATTTCGCACATGGCAGGCGACTTGATTTTAGTCAGCAATGGCCTGTAACCAACTCGTGTGTCAAGGAACATTACCAAGAGTGGTACAGAAAGCTTTATGACGGGATTCGAATTGTTGCGGACTTAAGGGAATATACTCGAGGCATTCTAATGGGAGGCATCGCCGCCCTTTTATCAACCTGTGGCTACAGGCGGATCCAGGACATGAATTCTATTTTTGACGTGATTTCCCACTCGTTCTAGAAAAATCTGCATTGAAATATGAATAATCGAGCCTCTTCTCTGTGAGCGATCTATCAACATCAGTGTATGCGCTTTTCTCTCTAGATGCCGTGAAACCCCAGAATTTCCGATAGACTACAAGTTGATTAGTAAGGAGATAATTTCGAAGTGGCGCGAAGTATCAGCTTACATCATTGTTTTCCAAGTGTCCGTTGGGAAGTCTGTGTCAGTGGAGGGCCAATTGGTGAAGTTGGCTGCTTCCCTGTGTTCGCCGGTAGGATCGTGATATGGACTCAAGTACTTGTGGGCAAACGCTTTGGCAGCGCATATTCTATGCCGTGGGTTACAAACGAGCATTCTCCTCAATAAGTCGAAAGCTGACAGACGTAAGTATTCTGCAATCAAAATTTCACTCCCCCAAGATTGTACCTTGTGGCTTGACTCCCCGAAATCGCTCACGGAGTGACAATTGTCCGTTGTCCGACTGATCCTGAACTAACATTATCAATGGGACCTAAGGGAGATTTGTAAGCAAAGGTGCTGTTGAGGGTATGCAGTTGGGGATGCCCGCTGTCGTACAATCGTGGATCCTGTCTGCATTTCGTCCTGCCCGAGGAGCTCCGCAATAATCGACAGTTGGCTCACATCATTCTTTCCTGGGAATAATACCTGGCCGTGCAACATTTCCGCGAATACACATGCTGAGCTCCATATGTCAACCTCCAAGCCGTACGCCTGCCCGGTGAGCACCTCTGGTGCCCGGTAGAACCTCGTGGTAACATAGCCTGTCATTTGAGACTCAAATATACGTGCAAGTCCGAAGTCGCAGATCTTCAGGCAATGGTTTTCATCTATAAGGATATTGCTGGGTTTTATGTCACGGTGGACGACACCTGCCGAATGAATGTATTTCAATCCGCGCTGTCGATGGTTAATCGAAATTGGACCTGCCCCAAACTCAATAAACTTACCAGCATCTGGTAGAGGTAAAATTGGGTTACTCGGTTCTCTAAAGGCCCCAAACCTAGGCGACTATGTAGGTCAGACCTCATTAGACCCGTCACGATGTATCTGCGGTAGTTAGCAGACGTTGCGCACCTTTAGTGCGCTAGCCTACGTACATATCCTCAGATGCAGAGACAAAAGCGTCTGTCATTGTAATGACCTATGCACCGTTCAGCATGTATGCGGAGTTCGGAGCTTCAAACGTTGCATATCGGATACATTCTCGTGTTGGAGGTCTTTTAGCAACCTGACCTCTCTATATGCGCGTTTCGCCGCTTCTTTCGTACTGAAGGCATTGCATATCTTCTTGATTGCCACATGTCGCTGGCCAACTTTGTCTATCGCAGAACTTGTTCCCCACTTGTTAACCGTTTTTGCTTCAGAAAAATGGTAAAGAAAAGAAAAGGCGAAAGGGATAACACCAACGATACGAATGCAAAGGTTCCCTGCCCAACTTGTTCTAAAACCTCGTATCTGCGGAGCAAGTCAACTTCAAGGTCAGAAAGCGCGACCAACGCACATTACCGGGCTGAAAGTTCAGAAGCCGTCCCTAACATCGCCCCTTTGGATAACCTTCCCAAGTCGTAAAACGCTGCGCCAGCTATGACACAGAATAAATACCCTCATATACAAAGGGAATCGTGTCCCCTTTTAAACTCATACTATAGGGGGGAAAAGGGTATCGCATACGTCAACATCGGCCGCTTTATGCCGCAAGCGGACAGCAGATACGTAACACAGGATCAACCCGCAAGCAGAACCCACTAAGCAGTTAGTCTAGTGCGTAATGGTCCAACCAATTTTCGCATCACACAGTTGGCTGGATTGCTGTCTGGAGACCGGACTCCAAGGTCCTATACTAAACTATTGTTACCGTAATCTGTGCTTATTGCTGGTTGATCTCGTTCTTGTGTCCCTTTTTTACGACGGGATTCTCGGGAATTGTTAAGGACACCCCATCTTTTTACTAACGGCACCCCAACGGGATTATCTAATAAGGAATTGTTAACTAACGTAATTCCCGGTTGATCGGAACACACGGTTAATCGGAACACCTATACCAATTAGAAAATTTCAAATTCGATTATCTCCATCAACACCCATATAATTTTCTATTGCTAACGATTCTTACAATGATTGATCTTATGCCCAATTCCCCCACACCCACTACACCTAGGAGGTGCCCTAGTACGTGGTGGATCTGCCTGATTAGGCAATTCGCCCTGCGTATGCGATACTACCCCATCAGCTTCTACCGGCTGGTTTAGCTGTGCAACTAGCTGTAGGCCCTCTTCGACGGTTAAACCCTCTTCGCAGGGTATAAACTTATGCGACCGGTTACGCTTCTTGACGATCTTCTCATTAGCTGCGCGGAGATTCGCGTTATCCTCTGCTAGCAACGCAGCGCTATGCAAGGATAGATAGCTACCCTTGATAAGTTGATTTATCATGCTGTTGACCGGGCTCGGAGGGCTATTTGACCGTCGTTTTAGTAGATCCTTTATCAATGAAGCTTGCTTTTGTAGCTGAATAACGGTTCTAGGCGTTTTTGGTGTGAATTGACTAGATCTGCTGTTTGGCCGGCTATTTGGTGGTGACGGAGTTCGTAGAGAGATATTGAGCTTCGACAGGACCCTTTCTGCATCTAATGGTACTAGACCACTAGCTGTAAAGCTGTTTTGAATAGTAGGATTGGTTGATTGGAAGGCTTCTAGCCGCGCGCGTTGGTAGTCTTCCAAAAAATCGAATTTATCGATATGGTTATATCCTCTGCGCGCAAGATTGCTAATAAAACAGCCGTACGCCCTCTTAATAACCGCAAAGCAACCAACATCTAGTGGCTGTAGTAGATGTGATGAATGCGCAGGCATACAAAGGGGTATAATAGCGTTTTCTGCGCAAATTCGATCGAATTAGGGCGTAAGATGGCTACCATGGCCATCAAGAACTAGTAGCCGAAACCGACCCCGTACGCGCGAATTCGTGTGTGGGATAAAGTGCTTTTGTAACCAACGTAGGCCAATCTCATCAGTAGTCCAACCATTATCCGAGACCTCAAACCGCCAATCTTTTGGTAGGTTATCAAACCAACCCGCAATAGCAACTTTTGCCTTAAAGATCACGCATGGTGGTAGCGAATAGCCATCTGCGCAGATAGCTTCGATTGTAGTAACCCATTCACGATTTCCTGGTTGTAGAAGGGATCTCCGACCGTAGTATTCAGCCCTTGTAACTACTTTCTGCGAAGATATAAGGCCCATTGCAAAGCCTGTCTCGTCAAAGTTGTAGATATCCTCCGGTTGTATCCCGTTCTCATCAACCACGCTTTGTACGGTCGCAAACCAGGCTCGTAGCGATTTTGGGTCTTCGTTTAGTGCGCGCTGGTAGTCGTAACGCCTGGAGAAGCGTGTTCGAATCTCTTCACGTCGGTTTATGAATGTTGATGACCAATTCTTGCCAACGGTAGGCGGAGGGTAGCTACCGCGCGCAGCGAGTAGGATATTAGCCATTTCGGCTACAGTAGCCGGCCTAGGGGCTTCATAGAGATAATCCATTCAACAAGCGAATCCTCTTCGTATTGGGTCAATTTATGGCGAGGATGGCGTTTATCTTCGCGTGAGGATTGACCGTGTAAGCGCGAATGTAGTGTTGTGAGCGGTATTTCGTATCCCCTCGTCCGTCCGGGAAGGACAATTAGCGTATTTTACTAGGCTATACTAGCGTATATGAATAACGCGTACTAATTGGCTAATCGCGGTCACAATTCAGTATGGTAATTAATCAGGCCTAATCGACTAGCTAATTCTATGAAATTCGTCCCAACACTGCCCTTTTACACATAGGCTTACACTGCCGCATTCTAAACAACCAGATCTTGACCGATTGGCCTGTTGGCCTCTTTTGCCCTTTTCTCTCTTATACTGACACCACACACAAGCTTTTCGCCTATCGAATTGAATTCGCTGGTGGTTTATACCAGGTACTGGCCTTGGTACTGGCGAAGGTGCAAAGGCAAAGAGCTGCTGGTAGAGCTTTCGCCGAAAATCTAGCTGACTAGATAGCTCACTATCCCCCTGTTGCTTCTTAAAGATATATTGAATGCGGTAAGCATTAATAATTGCAGCATCAATAAAGAAGAAAAGCAGAGGGAACCAGACACGCTCGCACTTTCGATGAATTTCATAAGAAGCCCTATACTGATTTGCAATATCCACACCACCCATATAGTGATTGTAGTCATTGATAGCAGTAGGAATCTCGAGCTCCTTAGTTATCTCATCACCAAAAGGTATACGCGAGATAGCTGCATTCGTAGAGGTTGGTAATGGCCGCTTCCGCTTAGTAGGAGTGTATATCTGTGGCGAGTGGATAGTAGATAGTAGAAGGACTATATTATTGTCCTGCCAAGCAAGACATAGAACCCCTTCAGCCTCTGCTGCATAGAGTGTACCCCATGGGATCGTCTTAATGTGATCCTTTAGCTCAACGAGCTGAGAAGGTATCCCATTTTGAGGGCGGGTAGTACCACATGCACCACATTGAATATCTCGAAGCTCTTTGAAAAGGGCTACCGAGGTAAAGTAGTTATCTAAGTAGACAATATAGGGTGCTAGGGTATGCGAATTGGCCGGCGAATTGGCCGGCGAATTGGCCATGAGGTTGGTATGCGAATTGCTCATAGGGGTAGCAGGAAGATTAGCCATCGAATTGGCCATGAGATTGGTATGCGAATTGCTCATAGGGGTAGCAGGAAGATTAGCCATTGAATTGGCTATAAGATTGGTATGCGAATTGCTTATAGGGGTAGCAGGAAGATTAGCCATCGAATTGGCTATAAGATTGGTATGCGAATTGCTCATAGGGGTAGCAGGAAGATTAGCCATCGAACTAGCTAGGCCAGGAAGCTTCTTGACCATCTTAAGCACCATTCTTGCCGTAGGGCTAAGGCCTTCATATTTAAACATCTCCGCGATCCCCCATAGGCGGCTACTCCATGTAAATGTCCAAATATAGCCATGTTCTGCGAGGGCAAAGATCTTATAACCTTGTTGAATTGGCTTATTAGGCATCTTGACAGTATGCTTCGTACGGCCAAAGCAGCGAACCATAGTCTCATCGATAGAGATATTAGAACCTGGTTGGTAGTGCTTTTCAGCAGCCTCTTTGAAGAAGAAAGCCAGAGGGTCTAGCTTATACCACCACTGCTTCTTATCCTTCTCCGATCGTATCTCATCTTCGTCAGGGTGAGATATATGAAGATAGCGCTTAATCTGTTCAAAGCGCTTAAGGGTCATATAAAGCGGAGGAGTATGTAGTGGTCCTTCTCGTCTATCTTGCGCCCAGTAGAGATCAATGCGTGGCTCAGGGTGAACACCCATATAAATAAGAATACCAAAGAAGACCTTGATCTCTGCAGTTGTAGTATCCTTCCACGCGCGAGTAGTAGTAGTAGTGGCAGTGGTAGCTAGCTTCGCTAGATTTCGCTGCGCGTATGCATTGGTAGATTGGCTGATACGATCGAAAATCTCTTCGCTAATAAAGAGTGTAAAGATCGCGTATGGGCTATCTAGGTCAATGCTAGTAGGTAGGTGCAGCCGTGGAGGTTCGGAGGAAGGGATCAAGGGCTTTAGCTGCCGAGAGAGTTCTTCCTTAGTAGGTAATTCGGCAGTAATCTCGTCAAGCGTGCGCTTCCGTGTAGCCTTAGTAGATTTCTTTGGAGCCATGGCAGATTTATTGGCAGGTTGGTAGGCAGGTTGGTAGGCAGGTTGGTAGGCAGGTTGGTAGGCAGGTTGGTAGGCAGGTTGGTAGGCAGGTTGGTAGGGGGTTACGCGTGTAGAAAAACACGCGTTGATGACTTAGTAGATAGTGGAGCCCCTATATCCAATAACACATCGAATATTTTAGTCCGATAACCTATTGGATAATATAATACGCTAATTGAAATGCGCTAATTGTCCTTCCCGGACGGACGAGGGGATACCACGTAACTCTGTATACAAACACGGCATGCGGATGCTGCAGCGCATCCATGCTAGGTATCAAGGGAAGTCTCTACTGTACAACAAATAGTAGTTGTTCATATTCTTCCTCATTATAAGTGGTTCTTGTGGTGGCTCCGGAGCAGGTAACAATATAACGCACCCATATATCGCACCCTGCAGGCTCAGCCCTCAGAAAGGCACACAGACCACATAGCGAAAGCGATCTTTTCTTTAGGCAAACAAAGTAAACGTGATTACTGTGATACTGTACTGTAATAAAGAGCACAGTCATAGGGAATGAATCAACGCTGCCTATCTAGTCTCTCGAGCACCACTTAGTCTCTACGATATTCTGCCGTGTCCTACCTGGGGCGGTTACAGTAACGTGCCAAATCTTGTCTTCATAACGTAAATCGACACAAGACCACGCTTTTTTTTTGAGAAAATAACGTCCTTCTTTTCGTATCGAAGGCTCGCATATTCAGCTTCTCTTGGTCGGATTTCAGACTTGTAACTTCCGGAAGTCGGGATCACTACCTAAACACTCTCTTTCATTGATTCTCGGCGTCCGTACAGTCAATCCATTCCATTTACTGCGGTATCGCATTGACCAAGGACAACGTCGCCCATTATGTGTACAGTTCTTCTGGGTGGCCTGCCGGTTAAGAATATGAACTATAGCTCGAAATCAAAGGCCTGGTCAATGATGTAAGGTTTAAATGATTTCTGCATTCGCCCTGGGGAGTGACGACGACTGTTCGCGAATGCACGTGATCTACAGTCTAGGAGCAGGCGCAACGTTATTCGATCAGTGCAAAAGAAAAGACCTTCTACTTGATTTTACAATAGTCCAGTAACCTCAGGCAAGGATTCTGTGAAAGCATGATGATGAGCTCATTTGCTCGATGTAGCTCGCTCTAACATACGCTGCTGCTCTGCGGGAGTACTGACAGGCTCGCCGACAGGACTCAAATACATTATGCAAAATGTCGAGGAAAGGACTGTACATCAGCTAAGTGGTCCGCTATGAGGATTGTAAGACTCAGGTTCTCCGATCTAATCCGATCGCTCGGAATGGAGCGGAGGCTGTGGTGCTCGTAGGGTGGGTTGACCTGGGGGTCCCAAACTATTAGGAGATGCACGGGCCTACGCCTGATGTGGGAGGACCTTGGCTACCCTAAACCATTTTTGAACGGTCGAGTGCGTTGGACGTTTGATGACAATTCCACCATTTTCCTTCAGTTGACCAAAATTTTTGGAACCTTTTGTGAACGGGTTAACCGATTCACATCTCTGTACAATTTTGGTCGATTTAATTTACGGCCATATTAGTCTATTTTTGCTGCGGTTAGCAAATGGCAATTGTAAACCGTTTTCACCAAGTTTATTTCTGGCACGATTTGGTTGGAACCACAAGCTATGGCGATTTCACCGCCCGGTTGATCCTTCATGTTTTTCACGCTTTACTATTGACATGTCTATCTACCGAGAAAGATCAATCTTTTGTTCACCCGGCAAAATGGCCCTAGTTGTTCTAGCACAATCAACTAACTTAAGCACTCGTCCGCATATTTGTGCTCTTTAATCACCATCTCTTAATTTTACATTTGCTCACCCTCAAATGCTCACGGTTGATGCGTTATTGTCTGTCGATGAAATAACGATTACAGTAAATGTAAACACTCTTGGAAAGAACAATTGAAGTTAATCAAAGTTGACTACCCGGTTATACGAAGGAATGGGCACCGCATTTTACCCTATCATAATTTCATAGACAGACATCGACAGATTCAACCGTGCCTATTTGAGGATGATTATTTGTAACATGATAAAATTAACTACGATATGGTGGCTGAAGACCACAAATGTGGCTGGCGGGTGGCTGGTCTGTTTTGAACTGGCCAGAACCCAAGTCAGCCTCAGGGCCATATGACGAAATGGACGATCTTCCTGCAGGTAAACACATCAATATTACGCATTGTAGAAAAATGAGTCTGTCCACAAGTTAAATTTCGGTCAAGTGCCTTGCATGCCCAAATAAACTGATGCAGTCAGGAATAAAACTATCAAACACTGGGTACTGTCTCCTGTATACAGTTAACCATCAACGCAGAGATTCCAACGCTCAATTTGAGCAATGAAAGTTTTATGGGGGCCAGCGAAACTGTGACCAAACTTGACGAAGGTTGGCGGTTAAAACGGAGTGCAAGAATATCAGGACCTTTGTTTAACTGTACTGCTAATTCAAGACGCAGAAAAATAGAACAGCGATGAGATTTGACCACCTTTTACAACGCGATTCAACAGGTCTTGGTGTTGCAACAGAAGGAAACAGTGAAGTTGTTGTCGAAGTTTCAACGCACTTTGCTGTTCAAAAAATGGCATCTAGTATGTGTGAAATAATTGGCTAGCTAAGAAAGCGTCCCAACAATAGATATGGGTCACGTGCATTTGGTATTACCTGGAAGCCCCCAGGCCAGGGCGGTCGCAACCAGACCAGAAATTTTTTCAACCTACTATCTCCGCTCTATCCCGAGCAATCGGGCTACACCGGAGATCCCGGGCCTATGATCCTCCTGCTCACTGTTAAGGAAATACACGAGTGCACAATAAGTGGAGGACACGGACCCACACCGCGGATTTGGGTTCCCCTGAACGCGAGGAAGCCATCTTTTGCTTCCTCGCGCTACGTCTTGTATCTAGAGTCAACTCTATTGTAGTTGTCCTAGTATTGATTATTCAGTCTTGAACCCACTGTCCTCATCCACGGATACGTGAGATCCTCACCCTCACTCGTCCCAAGTTGATTATATAAAACCTACTTCCAACCTGGGTTTAGTGGTACTTGTATTAGGGACGATTAGAGGACGATTGAGCAAAGACTTGATTGGCTTAATTGCCCCATTTTTAGATTCCAGATTGGTCACCGCCTCGGCCGAAAGCTGACTTGAGAATCAATTCCAAGGACAGTGTTTAGGCACAGTACGGAGTACAATAGCCGCAATTTTCCCCAGAACAAACCAGCGGTGACATACTCCTAGCGACTGATGGATAACATCCCTTGCTTGGTGTACGCATTCTTGCGTTGGGCTGCGGCTCCAGTGTCGTGACCGCCGAGGGGCGGCGGGGGGGATCCAGGGGTGTTTTCTAATTAGACTATCTACATCTATCTACATGAATCAATTGACTTTTAAAGATAAGGATTTCTCTTCGAAAAGAACATTCTGTCTGAACCTAGAGAAGCGCGGACTTCTTCATATGCTTTCTTTGGGAGAGCCAGAGCAACTTGGATTTACTATCGAATGGTATAGACATTCCACAGGTTGAAATGAAAGCTCAGCTGCAGATTGCGACCGAACAGAAATCCAGGTCAACAAGGTGGTAAAGCATATCATCATGAAGATTGGTAAAGTAGAATGTAGACTTGTGAGCCGTGGATGCTGTGGATAATCGGATGTGGTGAAGTCGGCCATCACTGGATTCCCGAATCAATGCTCTAATGTCCAGTATTCGCTATTGTGGATTGCATAGAATGAATACAAGGAGATCACGACAAATTCTAGCTCTTTTGGTCAGTCGCGCTGATCGTCTGGGCTTGAAAGAGTCCAGAGTGACTATTACACTCCTGCGGAAGAAACGGAAACGACTTCCCCTTGAGCCCAATTAGCATGACACTCCCGCAGACGGCTCCGTTGCTTCCTTTTCTCGCTTAGATATAGCCTCTGCCGAATGGTCATGGGCATTGACAGAAGAGCCAACAGTTCGACGAGATGTGCCGGTTGATCCGTGTGCTCCTTTAGTACCTTGACCCAGAACATGCTGTCCTGCTTTGAGAAGAAACATATTTCGTTATGCTGCAGGAATGCACGATAATTTTCTCGCCTGGGGCGAAAAATAGCTGTCTCCAGTAGGTAGATGTCCTGGCAAGCTTGTCGAGTTTTGCTGCATTGAATCTCCGCTGTCTCAAAGCATTCCATTGTGATATATGCGAAGGTGGCACAATCATGTGAGTCCGCCAGGACTCTGGCCCAAGAGCTGTCATCCTCAAGGGGGATCTTGAGACACCCGGTTATGTCACCTTTGAACGGCCAGGCAACGCAAAAATACTTTCCCGTGGAGTCCAATCCGGTATGACGAAGGGTATCAAGGATTTTGCGGGTAATTTGAAGAAATTCTACGCGCAAGTCTGAGCTCAATTCACCCAGCCACTTCCGAACTTCTCCTGGTCCCAAAAGTTTATTCCTCAATTTTGATTCGACGGTGTTGGTTTTGAGACTCGAGTCATAGGAGAAATGCGGCATCAAGTCAGCCACGAGCCTCCTCAAGCGGACTCTCCTGGCTACCCCAGTGCAGTAGCTCAACTGGACGCCCCAGTACGAGTCCATTTTTTGAATTAGGACGTCCTCGTCTGGGTATACAAAGGCTCGATCTTTCACTGAGATCCCAGTTTGCTTGTCCCAAGTTGTCCCGCATTGGATGAACACATACTGGCCTCCACTGATGCTTGTTTGCCGTTCCGTTTCTCTCCACCAGGCGCGTGTTGTTCCCAGTTCTTCCAGAATATTGGATGATATCCCTCGGCACACTGCTTCGCTAAGGCCACATGCAGCGTTTTCCGTTATCAATGTGCCAATCAGAAGCGGCTGCGCAAGGTCAATATGACTCAATTCCTTGGCATCTGGTACTCCATGAGCCCAATGGAGGCTTTCGCTTTCACCAGCAAAGATAAATCCATCACCAATTTGTATGGCGACAGGAGAACTCCTCTCATTTCTTGGGAATACCAGGTTTCCTGGTCCCCAAGTGTCAAGTATGTCTTCAACACGGCCCAGGATGTCACACTTTCGAGACAGTCGCGGGCTTTGTGGTTCCTCTGAATCTCGGTCGTGACCTGAAAGCTGGCTGGCACGGAATACTAAGACCGGGCCACGGGTCATGCCACGCAAACAAGTAGGATCGACGAGTTCTGCAATTAGGTGGAAAAAGGGTTCTTCCCTTTTGAGCCCCATCAACACTACCTGTTGGACGGGCCCATCCAAAAAAAAGGGTTGGAAAGGGCCGATGTGTGCCTGAGAGTATGAGAAAAAGCCAAGGCAGAGAAATTGGACTGCTAGCGCACAGAGATGAAGGCAATACTGAATGCTAGAATCGACCTCTATTTCTGTTAAATCTGGCCAGACCAGTCCCAGGATTGCCTTGGACGTAAGTAGTAGTTTTTCGACAGTGGATTCCTCAGGCTTTGTTTCCAGACCCAGTGATAACGCATCATCGAGGTTTTTGACAAGTCCAAACGCCACAGAAACCACTTCTCCTCGTGATATTCCTGATGATTCGTGGCTGTGACATCCCGACTTGAGAACTGTGAAGGAATCACAGCACAAATGATTTGATTGGGTCAGAGCGATAGCCTGGCAGAGCCTTTTAGAGCCTGAGAGATACGGGTATAAATAATTTGGGTGTCGAGCAAATTGTTTCCGTCACATGGTAGTGTGAATGACACCGCTCCCACGTGGTTCCCGGCGCCGAACTCAATTGATCCAATCCAATCTGTCACATTTCGGGTCGTGGGGCTGATTCCAGCCAAGCCGCAGAGTTCTTGAATCTCTTCAATTATGTCTTCGTGGTCGACAGTTGTTGACTGATATTCGATGAACTGCGTCGGCCCTGGTGGGTGAGCCAGACAGTGATGGCAACATTCCGGGATATGCCGATTGGCCTCAAATTTACCGTGATCGACGTAGGTAGGCTCAAAAAATATCCAAGGGGAATCGTGCAGGTCTTCCAAAAGCAGGTCGGCGATCTCCTGGGAGCTATACCCAACAATACCGACCTCCCGTGCCCAATGATATTCATCAGAAAACTTGACGTCGCTCTCAAGAATGAGGGTCATTAGCTTTGTTGCACTCCTCCTGTTTGCAGCTACTGCTTTGATCACTTCCTCAGTGATGCTGATTTCATCTCTCCGCCTGTCCAGAAGGACGGTCACCAGTCGTTCTCCTGTATGCTCATTCCGTGCGGCCTTCAGAATTTCTTCCGTAATAGTGATCCCCTCTCCTGGATCGGGGAGATCGGTCACCGGCCGTTCTCCACCCTTATTCTCTGCGGGCTCCTTGATAACCGCTTCGGTAATAATGTCTGTGGGAGAGTCACCATTACAGTAGGCCCACAGTCGGCTCAAATTCTTCACCTTCAAGGCCTTCAAGGGGACCCCGTTGGTTCTCGCCAACTCATCAACTACCGAAATCATAAAATTGCCTTGTGGCCTCGACGTTTGCTCTTGGCTCTCCGTCCACACTGATGATGGACTACTGCTCAGAACTCTCGACTCAGGCTCGATGCTTCCTGATGTTGCTTCAAGGCTCTGACCCAGGCCTTCCCTGGCTTCTGTATCGCCACCTACCCAGACATCCATCTCCATAAAATCACCATCCGCCAAGCCACGTACAAATCGTCCAGTTGGATCAAGTGGGAACATGTTATCAAGATAGTGCTGGTTGAATTGATGGCCGCCTCCAGGCCGTTCAAAGACACGACCCATGAATCTGTTCTGCAGCGGGTCTTCGCTGACTTTGCGCGTGAAGTGCAAGACCCCCCATCGGCTCACAAAGTCCTTCCTGTTCGCATAATGCTCAATATGGGCGACTGCGCGCTTATTCTGCGTTTGTAAATAAGCAGAAGTGTGCTTTGAGCCTACACCTGCACCGACACCGGGAATATTGACTCGATAGGGATTGTTGAAGTGGTTCGCGGCGTTCCCGAACGTGTAGACTTCCAGCTGTTTGAGCAAATCATGGGGTACTTCATCGTAGAGCCAATCGAGGATCATGCCCCCTTCGATGCCGCCCTGAGAATGTAGGATGAGAACGACTTTTTTGATTCCCGGTGCGTAGAGAGCCTTCTTAATGAGCATGTGGCACTGGCGGATATCGGAGTTGCTGTAGAGTAAGGCGCGTTGTATCAGGCATTCAATTACATCGAAGATTATGCCATTTCTGGCGCAGGGTTAGACTGAAAACTCCGACGCCTGCAAGGAATCGCGGGACATACGTTCTATTGTGCACTCCTACCACTGGACGGTGAAATGTCCGTGATATCCTATCAATATTGCTTTGCAGCCAGTGTTTCCTGAGAGGACGGCTTAGCAACTTATGTTGGCTATGGGAGACACCAATTGAGACATACCCCACTGCCACGCCATTGAGGAAGATCCAGCTTTCATCATCGTGCCGTTTCCAAGCTTCAGAATGTTCATCCTCAGTTGATTTCAGGCCTTCTTCGGGAATCTTGCCATTGAGGAGGTTGCAGACAGACATATTCAAGGCGAGGAATAGTCCAATATAGAAGATGTAGAAGACGAAGGGAATCGTGATCAGGAATGGTAGAGAGACCAGGAATGATGATTGGGCGACGACGAGAATAGTATGCAAGAGGATGTCATGGATATTGGCCAGGGACGGATAGAGTTCGTCCAGGCAACGGGATGGACAGGGCCACAGTGGAAGGACAATATTGATCAGGTAAGGGCTCCATTGCAAGAACAGCAGGATGTCGGAGATGAAGAGTTTCCAAGGGGAGCCTGTATATGCTAGAGGTGCCACTGTCGCCCTATTGTTCTGGGAACCGTAGAATTTCACTTCCATTATAGGAACATGCAAGTTGAAACTTCCGAGATCAGCCAAGCCTAATATGTCTTGAAAGCCAGATAACCTCATGATCCTTATGCCTTATATAACCAGTCACAGCCAGCTTCAACATAACATGACCTTCAAACATCTGTGGATATCATGACGTGTCATATTCTGTCACGTCTGGATATTTAATATCCCAGTTCTACTGGGGGAAGATGAGCGTCATACAGTATGGAAAATGTCACCTTACATGAGAAGTCAAGAATCAAGATTACCAAGGGTGCACAGAAGTCAACGACATAAGTACCCAGATTGGCCTTTCCGAGAATATTGAATGTGATTCGACATATCTTTCCTACCATGCGGTTCTCGGTGGAATAAACTTTCTTTACATAAGAAATAGTAAGATACAACCTGGGTCTAGGCTCGACATTTCTTTTTTACCCAAAGTTACACTGGGCTGTTACACCCAGTAGTATAGTCATAGTCACGTGGCATGGCCATTCTGACGGAGCAGCAGCATTGGTGGATACCCGGAGAAGGGAATTATCCGTGCCCTTTGGTGACACCCACCGCTTCCGCTTTTGGGTGCACCACGGTTTACCGGAAGTAACCAAACACCGTCTCTTTTTCAAGAAATCATCGAATTAATCAACCAATTAGCTAGTTATCAATAAAAAAAGATCCCCCTGCTCGTACGCACAAGTTGGGCGTTCTCTATGTGATTGACTCAATCATCCGAGAGTGGGTAGAGGCCACTCGCAGGGCAGGCCGACCTCCACGTAGCCCTGCGCCGGACGGAACTCTCGCCGCTGGAATCGACAGAATGACCAAGTCATTACCTGCACTGATGACGGATATCATCAATCATGCGCCGCTGAATCACAAGGTATGTAGACGGATGTTGAAAATGAACATCGGGGCTGACGCCAGTCGTAAACCGATCGTCAAGACCATTCTTGGACATACCATATCTCCGAAGATATCAAATCGCATTACGCTGATAATTGTCTGCAGAGAAATGCTATTCCTTTGTCTGAGTTAAGAAGCTTGAAAGTATTGTAGCTCTTTATACGGGGCTGCGAGGGGTGCTTATACACTTGAATTATCAAAAGGAATTTTCTTTCGTGCTTTCGGGGATTGTCTTGTGCCTACATGGCGCCGTTTTAGTAGTCGCAGGGAGCCGTTTTGGTAGTCGCAGGGATCGAGCGGTATTTATTCGATTTCCTGTTCCGCCCAAGGACTTCTTATGTAGCTTCACAAGGGAATCTACAAGTTCTTCGTTGCAAGACGGAGTGCGTGGCTAGAGGGCGGGCTCATCACAGCTAGAGACCAGGTAGGTCCTGAACATCAAACGCGTGTATCACTATCCACTCTGTCGGCGACACCGATTCCTGTTTATTTAGGGGCTGTTCACGCTAGAAAACAATTACTAGGAACCATAAAGGTGTCGCTGTAAATGTGATCTACGTACGAAGCAATACACACGCAACTTATGGGGATACACCGAAGAGATACACCGAAGAACTACTAATATAGACTAGTGTATCTTGGCGTAGGGGACAGGGAGGTCAATCGAAGAGTGTAAGGTGGTTGTACAGTACCATTTTCGGGACGTACTGTAAACCTAAGCAAACTCTCCCACAGAACGCGTAAACGTTCAACATCTCTTGGCAAACAATCGAAAATATAATAGATACAATATAAGAAGTCTGTGAGAACAGCTTTGGTTGGAAAACGTCGGCACCTCATATCTCGCGTCCCAGAAACTTGGGGCAATAAGGAACACGAGTAACCTAGACGGAGTCATTGTTATGACTTCAGTAAATCGTAGGCGTCTTCACACCGACTTGTGCCAAGAAAAAGTTGAAAAGACTAGTATCACAATCCGAAAATGTCGCCGTGAGGAGCGTTCCATTCCACGCTCCTACATTCGAGCTAGACAATTAACCACCCTTGGTCACAATCTCGCCAATTGCATCCTGAATATTGGTCCAGTCTGGATCATCCCATGATCCATTCCCGCAATTTGGAAACAACCCCCATCCTATACATGCTTCCCCTGGGATCCCATTGATTTGTAAATATTCATAATTAGATCCCGGGAGAAGCACCCAGAAGAGCAATATCTCTTGTAGGGAGATCTCCGCGATTCGCGGTGCCTCCGATGAAAGTGATGTCCTGGTCACCAAATTTGATTTGTTTTAGTGCAAATGCCGGCCGGGAGATGGCTATCAGTATCAGGCTAACCATGAAGGAATAGCTGAGTCCACTGAGCGCAGGCATTATCGTAAGAGATATCGTTAGACGGATGGAACAATTCCGAAGGAAGAACAAGTTCTGGTAAGGATTTTGGAGTCGTATCGAACTGAAAATATCTATGGAGCAGAGTGACTTTCCAGTTGCCAATCCCCGGGATGAGAGGCCTGGATTTCTTTTTATAGTACCGTAATAGGTATCTTGTTAACGTAATACCCCCAAGGATTTTCTACGAGACAAAACGGGCGCTGCGACAACCAAAACGGATCCCTGCGACTACCAAAACAGATCCTTGCGACTACCAAAGTGGATCCCTGCGACACGAGATAACGTGGCCAAGGAGTCGTCCTCAAGAGCTGCTTCCACCTACACGGATTTCCCATGACATGTGATGGAGATTCCCTCCCTCTGATGGATATTTCCGCTGTTGTTTCCAGGACCAGCGTTTACTAGGTGTTTCCGGTTTCCCTTCTGCCTCCTGTGGCCTATATTAGGCCTCTTTCTTGCCTTTCCCTTCGTTCTTCCTTAGATATCAGAACTCGTGTGTGTGTGTTTCCTCTCCTGCTTCCTTTGCGTAGCCGATCTATCAACATCAGAACTCAGCACTCCGTGATCCTAGGAAGCTCTAGGAAAATCTAGCGGGGGAAGGTGAATTCGCTATAATCTCCTGGATGGAGATAGCCACCCTGCGACTACCAAAACGGATCCTTGCAATGGACAATCTATGACGTCACTCCCGAAAGGGCCAGGGAGTGGGGGTGGGGGAGATCATTCCACCCTGCGAATGGAGATAGTCACAGTAAAACGGACACTAAGATTAAGTTTCTTATCCAGAGAATTGAAAGAAGCCTACTGCTAAATCGCCTTTCTAAGAGAATCTGAGAATCTTCCTGTCAGATACTGTGCTTCCGGAAATCGGCGTCACTGCCTACACTCTTTCATTGTTTCCTAAACCCTGATGGCAAGAAGAGCTAAACTACTTTTAGTATACATTAATATTCGAACGGCTTATCAAAATCACTTTTTCGGTGACATGTGCTGGTACCGAAACGAAGATCAGATGCTAAATAATCCCTAGGCACCGTTAGATCGCAAAACGATATACCGCAGATTATTAGCCCACGCAGACAGGTTACCAGCCATCGCCGCACCGGTCATCGTTAGATCTCCAGAAACTAGCTCTCAATAACAGTTACCCTTGTATCTAGCAAGCATACAGGATATTCAGACGGCCATAACTTCCTGACACTCGGTAGACTGGCTCCATCTTTCCCACTTTCCCAAATACTAATTCGATGATTGGTCATTTTGGTCCGCTAGTGTTCACCTAGAGTCCTCCATGCAGATGGAGGATTGGCTAACACGTTTGTGGTGTGACGGGGGTTGGGGCCGCAACGTTAACTGAGACATGATTGGTGGTATCGGTCAACACAATATCGGAATATTCGAGGCTAGTGAGCAGAAGATTTTGGCCTGGAGGACACGTAAAGTCGCCTGGGCTCGGGCCGGACGTCAGGGTAATGCTTCCTTGAATGTTGCCATTCTTCCCTGAATTAAAGGTGCCCGACCCTGAGACAAGACCTGTCGTTGTCTCCTTGTTGCCCGCCTGAGGATGCTTGCCGCCCTTATTGCAGCACTGGTACGTAGCTTGGAAGTCCGCTCCGACTGTGTAAAGGATGTTTTGGTTTGCCCCGAGTCCTGCCTCCTTAAAGGAGACCGTCAGAAATCCATTGTTGTTGATAGAAGCCGACGGCTGCCCCACAAAATGCGGGGACTGGGCGAAGGCTGCGCCAAAGAGAAAAAGATAGGTAAAGAAGTTCGCCTTCATTTTTCTTCAAGGCCTCTGATGTGAAGTGAATATTGTTGAATCGAACAGAAAGATTGAATGGTGCCGAACTATCTAGTATTCTTAAATACAGCGATGGAGGTCCAGTCCTACCGAAACAAGTCAGTCACACGACAACCTCTCGTCTACGAGTCATCGACAGTTACGTTCACGTCGTAACTATCGAAGGTTTAACTATGACTTGATTCGTCCGTCTAATAAGCCCAAACTCCTTAAATCATGGGGTGCATGCATCATGTCCTTTGATGCTGGCCACTGATATAACACCCGTATTTTAGTATTGTTTGGTTCGAAAAAGAACGCAAAGTCCAGATACAGTGACTACGCAAAAGTCCTAACACCCCCTCGGGCCCCACTTACCAGACCGCCCAGGCTAGTAATTTACCGCCTACCAAAAACGCGTAGCCAGAAACACGAGATATTGCATAGAACGCGATAGTATTTCGAATTGCTCGCAACCTATACACACAATCACCCAATATACCTTATACTTAACTATCTACGCGATATATCTCATCACCAATCATCATGGCTTATTCAAAAGAGCTTACCCCAGCGCTTAGAGAGCGTATTTGCGAGCTACACGCGATTAACTGGGGTTATAAGCGTATTCATAAGCGCTACCCCTGGATATCTCTCTCAACGATTCGATATACTATCAAAAAGGAGCCTGAACGCCGAATGGGTGTTTCAAAGCCTCGCTCTGGCCGCCCGAAGAAGCTTACCGAGGACGATAAACCCCGAATCTTGTATGTTATTGCTGAACAACCACGCGTGACCTATGAGGACCTACTTTCTGAGGTTTCTTATAAGGTAAAAAAGGATTCGATTCGCCGACTATTGAATGCTGAGAATATGCGAAAGTGGCGATGCTCCTGGAGACCCTATCTCGACGATGAACACGCAGCTAAGCGTCTCCAGTGGGCTAGCCGATATCGACACTTTACACCAGCTGATTGGGCTCGTGTTTACTGGTCTGATGAGTGTACTGTTGAGCGTGGCATCGGTATTCGTCGCGAATGGACCTTTATACGCCCTCGAGATCAGCCAAAAAAGGGCGAATGCCAGGGTTTACCGCATCGCGGTAAGCAGGTTAAGCAGATGTTTTGGGCTGAATTCTCGGCTACTCGACGTACGGGTTTAATACCCCTATTCGGCGATCCTTCATCACAGCGTGGTGGTATTAATCGATTCGTTATTGAAGAATTATACCGCCGAGTCTTACCAACCTTGTTGCCTACTGAAGATGGTATTTTTATGCACGACAACGCACCTACGCATACTGCATACGTTGTACGCGATGCATTAGAAGAGATGGAGATCGAGGTGATGATCTGACCACCTCATTCGCCTGACTTAAACCCAATTGATAACCTCTGGGCGCTTTTGAAGGCAGAGATTTATAAGATTCGACCTGATCTTATGCATATGAAGAATAACGATGAGACTAAGCGGATTTTAGAAACAGCACAAATTGCATGGCAAAATATCGATATGCGCCATCTAGAACACCTTTCTGAGACTATGCCTAATCGGGTGCAAGCAATTATCGAATCAGAAGGGTGGTATACGCCCTACTAGGCCTATTGTATGTGTGCTTAGCTAGCTATCTGGTAGTTAATCAATTTCATGGAGTTTTGGTGGAGGTTTTGTGACCGGCAGTATATTATGTAATTAGGGTGGTGTGGGGCTAGGGGTGTTAGGACTTATGCGTAGTCACTGTAGCTCTATGCCAAGACCGGGCTTGTTTTTGACTTCAGCCGCACATCCACAACGCCAGATACGCACATCGATCCGTCCAGCCATATTTGTATGATCTCAGGTCACATGTACTTATATTTCATCGGCATTCGATACCATCCAGCGACGTGGTTCTATCCTTAAGACGGTATTCGCGGGCTACCCGTAGACGACCACCCATCGAGGGTCACATACCTTCGGTTTAAGGGTCAAGAGTCTGGGCCCCTTACCCGCAGCGAGGGTCACCAAACAGAACTGCAAGAAGTCTGGTATCCAATAGGGTCCGACGCGGCAGCATGGTGATTAGCAGTGGTGTAGATTTCGGAAGATGCCTTACTATCGCTCCTTGCCTATCAACTAGACACTAGGTGAACATCCAGGAAAGCACCCAGCACTCTGCAGCAAAATGCCACTGCAAGATGCAGAACAGAGGTATTGGCACGTTGGGTGTGGTAACAATTTCTTTTTTTGCAGTGTTTGCACGGAACGTCTGGCAGCTGCTCTGGCTAGGGATGACAAAGTGAAATTTCAAGATTTTGTGACGAGTTGGCCGATTTCGTAATTACAACATCCCTAACTTCTAGTCGAACCCTGGTACATAGAATACTGAATGTTATTACGAGTACATGCCCTGAAACGAACGTAGTGAGAGAAGGGAACTAATCAACGTGCTTGTCCGTGCGCGGCCGCAGAAAAAGAGCGCTTTTCTACATTGGAACCCTTCTGCCACGCGCGCTCCTTATTCGCCCCGCTATTACTGTTTTAGGTTTGGTTTCTTTTAACGTTTAGGGTTCTAGGGCTTTTTCTGCACCTATCTGTACCTTAAGCCTCTATGATTGCTCCACATGCATCTTGTCGACGCCGTTCTTATAGTAACGCGCTATAACGTACTACCACGCGTTACTTCTCTGCTAAGGTTGCGCTCTGCCCTCGCACTTCTCTTTATTCTTTTAGTGTCGTTATACGGCTTTCCAATACTAACGCGTCGTGCCTACCATGGTTATGATCGCGAGGTGCGGCTATCTACCTCGATTCTGCCTCTAAGTTACCCGGCTTGTCGATTAGTATATTTACTACCCTAGATCATCTCTATCAGGAGTTATCCGGAAGTTCCCATCTTTATAACTCTTGTAGCTATACAGTAGCGCTAATAGCTATATGCAAAATAATTACGAAAGAAATATACTCTATATCCTCTGCAGTCCTAGGTATACGAGGCAATAGAAGTGAACGCAGATACCTCTGACTAGACTACCTTCTAAAAACCACTCAAAACCCAAGCACATTATCAGATTGAGCTTGGGGATCTCGATACAAATCACGTGCCACGGATCATGCACTCACGGCAGTATTGACGAATCACAATGCGAGTAGTATGCTACCGCGTATGGTACCAGCTAGACTCTCACAGTTTCACCTTTTCTCTTGTCCTCTCCATTCCTTCACCTTCTCCTCATTTTCATCGCATCAGGTTTCAGGGCTGATGCGCGCTGCGCGCGTCTTCCAGTACAAAACAGGTATTTTAGTCACGATCCATATTAGGTTTAGCGTATCATGTGATTAGGGTTTGAAAGAGCATCTCTATGTTTCTGGATATGGAAGGCAATTACGGTCGGCACTGTAGCACAAGGGGTACCTCAAGATATCAAATATATATCGAATAGAGGCTATTCGGAAACGTTGTGGTCGATATTAAGGCGATATAAAGCTGCTGTGCTGTGTGCCGAGCGGGAACTAACCCCTGACCGATGGCGGACCCACCCGCGGGAGGGCCCGAGACCCCTCCCACAAACACGCAAGAAACCACCGCCAGCTTCACGGAGGACGACCTCGAAGCCAGAACTACCGTCGAAAGCCGGAAGCGAACCCGGAGTGGAGATATCTTCGCTCCGTCGGATCCAACCGGTCGAATCACCACCAAGGAGGTGTGGAAACTGATCAGCACGCTGAAGGACGTCATCCGCCACCAAACCACGACCATTGCAGCCACCCAAAACGAACTCCAGGAGATCAAACACAACCAGAACGTCCTCCAGGAACAGAACGAGAGACTCCATGAGGAAGTGAAAGCACTACGAGCGCAGCTCGAAAGCGCCCCAGCAGTGACCGCGACGAAGACCTGGGCGACAGTCGCAGCCAATGGCGGCAATACCACCCCCTCGCTGAACCACCAACAACCCGAGAAAGAGCAAAACTGCGTCCGAATCAGTACCCAGAGAACCTTCGTCGATCCAAGAGACAATTATGACAACGACGGAGACGCATTTGGACGATATCTCCCCACTGACACCGTCAACACCCACATTCGCACTGCATTGCAGAGCGACGATGCAACGCAAGACGTCCAAGTGGCGGGCATTGGCACCACCAAGACCGGCTATCTTATTCGATTCAAAAATACGGAGTCGGCTGAAGCAGCGCGCAATAACACTGGATGGCTACATAAATTAGGCAACAACACGAAACTGGTCAAACCACGATTCGGTATTGTAGTCCACCGTACCCCTACCGAGGACTTTGACCTGGAAACGGGTGCCACCCAGGCAGCGGAGAAGATCATCAACGATAACGACCTGGCGGAACTCGGTTTCCACATCGACGAACTGGCCTGGATGAAAGCGAAAGATAAGGCCTTGGGGAAGTTCGCATCGTTAGGAATCTGGTTTGACTCCGCAGAGGGAGCAGAACATATGTTACGGAACGGCTTCCTTGTCAACCAACACTATATCCCTCACGTTGAACGACGTGAGATCAAGAAAAAGAGATGTTTTCGGTGCCAACGGTTCGGACACTTGGCATGGACGTGCAAGGAAACGCCTCGATGCGGACACTGTGCAGGACAGCACGAGCGTGAACGATGCCCACCGGGAGTAAGAGCGCGGTGCCTGGATTGTAATGGCGAACATCCGACTGGCGATCGACAGTGTCCAGGACCAGCGACCTCCAACCCCGTCAGATGCTAGAGAGAAACCTCCGCATCCTACAGTTGAACATGATGAAATCTGGACCAAGAATGGAGGCACTGATCAATGATCCTCAAAGTCAAGACCTGGATGTTCTTCTGATCCAGGAGCCCTCCATCACCACGTACCGCACACACGTCAATCACAGCGCCTAGCGACTATATCGGCCTACCGCACAGCTCGATGCTGGTCGGTTTCGCAGCCTGATCTACGTCAACAGACGAATCTCCACCTCCTCACACCGTCAAATACCATGCCACCACCCAGACGTCGCAGCCATCAAGATCTGGACAGCTAACTCTCAAATACTTCTCTTTTCTATCTACATACCGCCAGTACCACTTTTCACCGGCGACGACGCATCGGCGTTGCCAGCCCTCACTGCGATTCAAAGCTCCATCACAGCTGCTACACAAAACGAGCAGCGGTCGACCAGTATCATTGTTTCCGGTGACCTCAATCGACACCATCCGATGTGGGGCGGCAATCACATCGCGCCTAGGTCTATCGAAGATGCTAGCGACCTAATCGACTTTTTCCAGAATCGCAACCTCCAAAGCTGCCTCCCCCGAGGCACGGCAACTTACTGGGCCTTGAACAACCCAGGACAAAACTCAACCATCGATCAGACAGTGACAGACAGCCCGGACCGGCTCGTCAAATGCCATCTATACCACGAGAACTACGGATCTGACCACCGCGCCACCTACTCGGAATGGAATTTGCAGCCTCAGACTAAGCCAAGAACCAAAGCGAGGAAAGCGTACGAGCGGGCGGACTGGTCCAAAATCGGCAAGGAAGTAGCTCGTCGGATTTCTCCTTGGAAAGACATTAAGACCCGGCCAACACTCGACCGAGTGGTGGAGGAGCTCACATCAGCAACGGCCCAGGCGGTCGACCGATTCACGCCCGACATGCGCCCAACGCCATACTCTAAGAGATGGTTTACCCCGGATCTCAAAGTGCAACAAGTTGAAGTCAATCAACTACGCAGGAGGTGGCAGACGAGCTGCGCGGAACTCGGACGAGACCATGCTAACACCACGGCTGCCTTTGAGGCCATGCAACAAAAGCGGCGAGCGTGGACCCGGACCATCCAGAAAACCAAAGCATCACACTGGAGGCAGTTCCTAGACGAGGCGGGTGAAGGAAAACTCTGGAAAGCCGCGACCTACATGAAGCCTCGGGAAACATGGGGTTGTACCCCAACATTGCGAGCTGGCTCTGAGGAGATCATCCAGAACGAAGACAAAGCAAAGGCGTTCCTCGATACGTTCTTCCCCGCAATGAACACACCCGAGCCCAGCCCACCAGCTTCACCACTCCCTGAGCTTCCATGGCACCCAATCACTGAACTTGAGGTTGAGCGATCACTAAGGACAGCGAAAGGGACGACAGCGCCAGGGGAGGACAATCTACCAATGTTGGTCTGGAAAAAACTTTGGGTACATCTGAAGGCCTTTATTGTCCGCATCTTCACGGCATGTGTAGATTTAGGACACCATCCAAAACAATGGCGCAGCGCGAAGATCATTGTGTTACGGAAGCCAGGCAAGCCAGGCAAGCCAGACTACTCGCTTCCCGGCGCCTACCGACCAATCTCACTGCTGAACACACTCGGCAAGCTTCTTGAAGCAGTTAGAGCGCGACGACTGTCCTATCTAGCAGAAAAACACGGCCTGCTGCCGAACAGCCAATTCGGCGGACGCCCAGGCCGAACGACCGAGCAAGCCTTGTTGGTGCTGTCTAATGCGATCGACCAAGTGTGGTACAAACACAAGGTAGTGACTTTAATTTCGTTCGATCTCAAGGGTGCCTTCAACGGGGTGAACTGGGTGAGCCTAGATTACTCTTTACAGGCGAGAGGGGTTCCGAGGGTGGTACGGAAGTGGATTGCAAGCTTCATGAGTGACCGCCACGCCAACATCGGATTTGACGATTTCCGCACCGAGACAGAGCCCCTCGCGCATGCAGGACTGGCCCAAGGGTCTCCACTCTCTCCTATCTTGTTTGCATTCTTCAACGCCGATCTGGTCGACCAACCTGTCGACTCCCACGGAGGTGCGTCGGCATTCATTGACGACTACTTCCGATGGCGAGTAGGCCGCTCGGCCGAGGAAAACCTAGCCACTATGCAGTCCGAAGACATCCCTCGTATCGAGAAATGGGCACGGCGAACCGGATCTAGCTTCGCCGCCGAGAAAACCGAGCTCATCCACCTCACTAGAAAGAGGGGAGAGCACCTGGAAGGGCAACTTACCTTCGATGGAGCCGACGTTAAGCCGTCACCTACAGCAAAACTACTGGGGGTGATATTTGATCAGGAACTCCGCTGGAAGGAAAACGTTCAGCAGGCCATCAAAAATTTCTGCATGTTGATGGCGAATTCAATTAGATTGAATTAGATTGAATTAGCTTTTTAATACGACTTGGTCAAATTGAGCTTTTCTGCCGGCAATATTTTGCATAAAATTATGTTTTGAACAATGGCATCTATCGGCCGCCGCAATACCAGGCAAGACACACCCATTAGTCCTTTAATATCACGCGAGAGGGCACACATCAGACAAGGAATCCAAGATCAATGGGAAAAGGAATGGAAAGAGTCGAAGACCGGCAGTCACCTGCGCCAGATCGACAATACATTGCCAGCCAAGTATACCCGACGTCTCTACGGGTCCCTACCTAGAAACCGGGCTTACTTACTAACGCAATTGCGAACTGGACACTGCTGGCTATCAACATACGCGAAGACCTTCCGTTTCCGCGATAACGACCTATGTGCCTGTGGCGAACGAGAGAGTGTAACCCATGTTCTACTGGATTGTCCGGAGCTAAGAGACCTACGGCGAGAGCTCCGAGGGAAGGTCGGCGAGGCGTTTAACAGCATATCAATCTTGTTGGGGGGACCTGGCGAAAGGGGAAGGGGTAAGATCAACAGTGCTTCACGGGCTAAGACAGTGGAGGCCGTCTTAGACTTCGCCGAAGCATCACAACGGTTTCAAAGCCGAGCATCATAAAGGCAGCATGAAAACAAAGCGGCTATGGAGCCACGAGAGGCCTCGGCGAGGCATCAAATTCGCTTAGGAAGTGGGACACGGCATCTGTACACATAGAGATATAAACAGTTGTAGATCCTGCATATCGTTCGCGAGGGGTCAGGGTAAATGAAATCATCATCATCATCATCGGCAGTAGAGGAGGAGGTCCATATCAATGCGCAAGACGGGCATTATGGCAACGCTCTTGAGGCTGCTTCGTATTAAGGGCACAACGAGGTTGCGCAGCTGCCATTAGAGAGAGGCGCTAATGTTAACACACATGGCAGGCGTTTTACCAATGTTCTTCAGGTCACTTCTTATCAAGGGCATAAGGAGGTCGCACAGCTGCTATTAGAGAGCCTTGCTAATGTTGACACGCGATGCGGGAGATTTGGCCACGATCTTCACCCAGCTTCGTGTTAAGGCCATAAATTGTCTGCTTCTTCCGCAAAATGTGTGCTCCTTAAGCGCTTTCAAGAAGTTGAAAATGTTCATCCTCTCCCTTTAGAGCACTTGGCTCTGGTCCGACCGGGCATGTGGTTCATGATCGATCAAGGAGTAGTACCTCTCGAAGAGCTCTGCTTTTGCATCTGTTCGATTTGGCATATGAGCCCAAGCCCCAGCAAAATGCACGACAAACATCCCCGGCTCCCACTTCTTGTTGTAATGGTCATAACAAGGTATCTCTTCTGGAAATGCATTCATTTTCCACTGTGGAATAAATAGCACCTGCTCCTGCTCATCGTGCTGATTCTCTTCAATTAGCTGCAGCATGCAGTCTTGCTCAGAGGGATTATTGTTCAGACCAGGCAGAGGGTCATATCGGCAGGTTTTGGCCCGAGACAAGAAGGCGAGCACTTGGGAGGTGGAGCGAAGCAGCATGGAGCCAGCGTTTAGTTTGAAGCTATAATGGGACGGGCCGGCAAAGTCAGTCCGAATTTTGAGCACTGCTGTTACAACCTACTGCAAGTTCGAAAGGGAGGGTCAAAAGCCAACTGGACTTACCAATCTGAGGTTAACAGGAAGTTAATCCTATTTGGGTCGGAGACACTTGCTAACGAGCCCTCGATGAGATCCTCCAGCTTAGTGTCTGTATTTGTGATGAGAGTGTCGTAATCAATCCACCAGATCCAGTCATATTTCGCGTGTGCTATAAGCTGCTCCATCATGTCCAGCTTGTGCCAGTATCCATCCCCGAACCAGTCGAATTCCAAATGGTAGCCATGTTTCCCCGCATAGGCTGTGTGTATTCATGCGGTATCAGCAAAGGTGTCAGATCAATGGTGACATGGTCAAGAAAGATACTGACAGATTTTGTTACTTAGTGATTTATGGTCATAAGAGGTTTCAAATGTGCTCATGCATGCGATTGCAATTCTGTGTTTCTGGGAAATTGAAGGCAATGGGTAAAAGTAGAGCGCGAGACAGACTAAAAAGGTCAAGAAACAGACGTCCGACAGCCTAAACCTTATGGATCTTATTGCAAGAGGCATGGTGGTTGGCTCCTGTGGTGTGTAGCCAAAGTCCAACGGCGATGGCAATATGAGGAGGGATTTGGAATAGATAGATAGATTTTTGTAGATGATTAGAATGGCTTTAAAGCGATAGAAATTTTTCTCCCCCGTACACGAGGTCTGTATTTGCTTTGCGTGGTATTTCTTGCGACAAATTCTTGAATGAAAAAGGGCAAATTTTTTGGAATTATCCAATTTTGACCTCTGCACACATCAGTTTACCATATGAATAATGCAGGGGTATCATTACAAGGGATCGGAATTCTCTTGCACTGGGGATTGGAGGGCGGTATTCCCCTTCATTTTTAAATACTCCATTTCATAAGCTGCCGTGACAGGGTTGGCAGCTGTTCCCGCTTGCGGAACAGGATCTACATAACTTACAGTGGCGTTCCATAAGTATTTGGACATGGTACTGTTAGGATTCTCCCATTCCTCTGCGGGTTTAGCGCGCCCCGAGGTAGTCAGCTGGGTTAGGAGTTGGTCGCCCAATAAGAACGCAGTGTGCTTCCCGACTCTCATAGGTTATGGCCCTATGTTGACAATTCGTATGTGCTGAATTGCAATTTTATGAGGGATTACCAGTCTGTCCAATAGATCTAGATCACCCTGTTTTGTACCTCAGTTTTGACGGCAATAACTGAAGGTTTATGCCGCAGTCATAATAACGCGAGGAAGACAGTCTCAGGGGCGTAAGCCCCAACACACAGATATAACCCCTAAGGGTGATGATACAGACCTTAGGGATAAAAGGAATCCATCCACTTCTCCGCGGCGAGGCATGCCTGATACAGACATCAAGGCGATATTAACCCAATTAACTGCTAGTGTTTCGGTCCTTATGCAGAACCAGGCAGAGCACGGTCGCAGACTCGATGCATTATCCCAATTGGCACCTCGAGAGGCCCCTGAACCAGCTTATCCTTCAATGAGTGTGGAGGACCGAAAAGACGATCCCAACCGCCGGATCGACGACTTACAGGCCCCGACCGCAGTCGACCGGGAAGAAGCCTCCATTGAGAGAGAGCTACAGAGGCTACGACGTAGCATCAAAGACCTTTAGGAGCACAAACCAGCAAATCTTGCCATACACAACTTCATTGCGTGGAAGACGAATACTCTCAGTGATGCGTCCTTAATTAACGTTCACAATGTCTCTGCTTATAGCATTCTGATTAAGGGATAACAAACAGCCTTGAAACTTGTTACGGTGTAACAAGTGCGATACTGTACTATATATATTGGTTCCTGGGTCATATCCGCTATCGGCCTATGTGTGCGATCCCCCGCACTGACGTAATTCCCGGCCGTCCCGAACACCCGGCCGTCCCCAACACCTCATCCAAAATCGCGTCTTCCTACCTACATACCAATTTCAACCATTTACCATGCCACTAATTCGCTCTGAATCTTCGCGGAAATTGGCCAATTAAGAGGGCAAGATCTTATCAGCCCTTAATGATCTTCAAGATGGCCGAATTAAATTCGTACGCGCAGCAGCGAAGTTATACGAAAAACCGCTTACTACCCTACACGACCGCGTACACGGCCAATCTTCTCCCGTCGATTCTCGCCCATCAGGCTATAAATTGACCCCATTAAGAGAGGATTCGCTTTGTGATTGGATTATCTCTACGAATTCGCGTGGTGCAGCCCCTAGGCCTAGTACTGTCCGCGAAATGGCCAATATCTTACTAGCTGCGCGCGGTAGCCACCCTCCGCCTACGGTTGGCAAGAATTGGCCATCAAACTTTATAAAACGACGCGAAGAGATTCGATCACGCTTCTCTAGGCGATATGACCACCAGCGCGCACTCGAAGACCCAAAATCGCTACGAGAGTGGTTTACGACCGTACAGCGCGTTATCGACGAGAACGGTATACTAGCGGAGGATATATACAACTTTAATAAGACAGGATTTGCAATAGGAGAGAGACTAAGACACGACAGAGAGGGAGTCGGTAGTATTAGATAGAAAGGTTGAACAGTAGCAGGTCAACGTAGTATCCCCTCGTCCGTCCGGGAAGGACAATTAGCGCATTTCAATTAGCGTATTATATTATCCAATAGGTTATCGGACTAAAATATTCGATGTGTTATTGGATATAGGGGCTCCACTATCTACTAAGTCATCAACGCGTGTTTTTCTACACGCGTAACCCCCTACCAACCTGCCTACCAACCTGCCTACCAACCTGCCTACCAACCTGCCTACCAACCTGCCTACCAACCTGCCTACCAACCTGCCTACCAACCTGCCAATAAATCTGCCATGGCTCCAAAGAAATCTACTAAGGCTACACGGAAGCGCACGCTTGACGAGATTACTGCCGAATTACCTACTAAGGAAGAACTCTCTCGGCAGCTAAAGCCCTTGATCCCTTCCTCCGAACCTCCACGGCTGCACCTACCTACTAGCATTGACCTAGATAGCCCATACGCGATCTTTACACTCTTTATTAGCGAAGAGATTTTCGATCGTATCAGCCAATCTACCAATGCATACGCGCAGCGAAATCTAGCGAAGCTAGCTACCACTGCCACTACTACTACTACTCGCGCGTGGAAGGATACTACAACTGCAGAGATCAAGGTCTTCTTTGGTATTCTTATTTATATGGGTGTTCACCCTGAGCCACGCATTGATCTCTACTGGGCGCAAGATAGACGAGAAGGACCACTACATACTCCTCCGCTTTATATGACCCTTAAGCGCTTTGAACAGATTAAGCGCTATCTTCATATATCTCACCCTGACGAAGATGAGATACGATCGGAGAAGGATAAGAAGCAGTGGTGGTATAAGCTAGACCCTCTGGCTTTCTTCTTCAAAGAGGCTGCTGAAAAGCACTACCAACCAGGTTCTAATATCTCTATCGATGAGACTATGGTTCGCTGCTTTGGCCGTACGAAGCATACTGTCAAGATGCCTAATAAGCCAATTCAACAAGGTTATAAGATCTTTGCCCTCGCAGAACATGGCTATATTTGGACATTTACATGGAGTAGCCGCCTATGGGGGATCGCGGAGATGTTTAAATATGAAGGCCTTAGCCCTACGGCAAGAATGGTGCTTAAGATGGTCAAGAAGCTTCCTGGCCTAGCTAGTTCGATGGCTAATCTTCCTGCTACCCCTATGAGCAATTCGCATACCAATCTTATAGCCAATTCGATGGCTAATCTTCCTGCTACCCCTATAAGCAATTCGCATACCAATCTTATAGCCAATTCAATGGCTAATCTTCCTGCTACCCCTATGAGCAATTCGCATACCAATCTCATGGCCAATTCGATGGCTAATCTTCCTGCTACCCCTATGAGCAATTCGCATACCAACCTCATGGCCAATTCGCCGGCCAATTCGCCGGCCAATTCGCATACCCTAGCACCCTATATTGTCTACTTAGATAACTACTTTACCTCGGTAGCCCTTTTCAAAGAGCTTCGAGATATTCAATGTGGTGCATGTGGTACTACCCGCCCTCAAAATGGGATACCTTCTCAGCTCGTTGAGCTAAAGGATCACATTAAGACGATCCCATGGGGTACACTCTATGCAGCAGAGGCTGAAGGGGTTCTATGTCTTGCTTGGCAGGACAATAATATAGTCCTTCTACTATCTACTATCCACTCGCCACAGATATACACTCCTACTAAGCGGAAGCGGCCATTACCAACCTCTACGAATGCAGCTATCTCGCGTATACCTTTTGGTGATGAGATAACTAAGGAGCTCGAGATTCCTACTGCTATCAATGACTACAATCACTATATGGGTGGTGTGGATATTGCAAATCAGTATAGGGCTTCTTATGAAATTCATCGAAAGTGCGAGCGTGTCTGGTTCCCTCTGCTTTTCTTCTTTATTGATGCTGCAATTATTAATGCTTACCGCATTCAATATATCTTTAAGAAGCAACAGGGGGATAGTGAGCTATCTAGTCAGCTAGATTTTCGGCGAAAGCTCTACCAGCAGCTCTTTGCCTTTGCACCTTCGCCAGTACCAAGGCCAGTACCTGGTATAAACCACCAGCGAATTCAATTCGATAGGCGAAAAGCTTGTGTGTGGTGTCAGTATAAGAGAGAAAAGGGCAAAAGAGGCCAACAGGCCAATCGGTCAAGATCTGGTTGTTTAGAATGCGGCAGTGTAAGCCTATGTGTAAAAGGGCAGTGTTGGGACGAATTTCATAGAATTAGCTAGTCGATTAGGCCTGATTAATTACCATACTGAATTGTGACCGCGATTAGCCAATTAGTACGCGTTATTCATATACGCTAGTATAGCCTAGTAAAATACGCTAATTGTCCTTCCCGGACGGACGAGGGGATAGTCAGGTAGGCCTCAAATCTCTACTTGCGAATATAAAAGTTCTCAAACTTTTCAATTTCACTAGGAAAATAGGCAGTATTTATAACGTGGGGTATATAGCAGAATATCATAGGCAAAGACTAATAAAATCTGAGATAATAATAGGGGTGTATGAGAGTTTTAGGAAACTCGTTGCTTTTTCTATCTGATAACATAGTTTTTATTGGTGACCTCTTGCAGTCAAGATGGGAACAGGAACATGTACAGTTTGGCCGTAACGGGTCACCTGTCGCTGCGGTCTTATGCGTAAACGCATTAGACTGTAGCATCAGAGAAGGCCCGTCCGCGCTCCCATGTAGGGAGGCAATGTGTCTGTATATTGCAATGCTGGTTTCTATATACAGAGGGGGGGGTGGGGGGGACAAAATCGAGTCTTGACTGCGTGAGAGATGACGAGCTACCACCAGAGGCAAGCAACTGACTCTTGCGAGGCAGTTGTAGGAAGAAGGAGCCCTCCGTAATGTCGGTATAGATGTCACGTGAGGCAGCGTGGGCAGCTTGAGGCAACCCCAATAAAACTCCTCCCAATAATGGGGGCGACTGTTGGCACTACCCGAGAATTCTGCTCGCACTACTCGGGGCCTGATTTCTTCCTGATTTCCGCTAAGCCTGTCACACCGATTACTTACGAATTCACCCACCCCCTTCCTTCTTATACATACTGCCGAATTCGAAATCAGATTCCCCTTCTTGCACACGTAGATTATTTTCCAAACCCTAATTCACAGTACGCTAGGCTAAATTGGATTAGCGGCGTTAAGACCCCCTGTCAAGCTGTTTTGTCTTGCATAAACAGTATCAAATGAGTCATCGTATTATACTGTAAAACCCCTTGGAGCCTCTTGGAATCTTCTCTGCAAGCAGGCCAAACAAAGTAGACGTTTCCACAGACTCGTTTCCATCATACTCAATGGCCTCGCCGAGATTTAGAACGTTACTAACCGTGGTAGGATATTTTGATTCTTGATTTTCGTGGATCCTCTCGCTTGTGGTCTTCCTTGGTTGCCGGTGTCTTTTGCAACGCTGGGTGTCTTCAAGCAAACTGTAGTGCCGACCGTTATTGCCTTCCACGTTCAGAGACAGAGATACTCTAAGGGTGGCTGGTATTAGTCGCGATAAAGTTTCTTGTCGAGGCAAGTCAAAACAGTATGGGCAAGTATGCGGCAGAGCGAATGGGATCAAAGATATATGTATTGGTGGTTATCTCTCTAACACAAGAAAAGGGGCACATAAGGGGGTGTGTGTTACGACAGGAATCTAGCCGAATCTGGCTAGTGGCTAGCAGGACTGATGGTCCATGTCCTTGACATTTCTCTTGAAGCTTGTTCCTTTTCTTAAACATTCTTCATCCCTGCGGGCAGCCTGAGTTATGGTAAAGACTAAGGCATACACAGCTCTAGTCCATGAGTGAAGCTATGCCCCTAGAAATCTGCCCTTTGGAATGACTGCGTTCCAAACAATGTAGGGTGTAGAAAGCGTCCCCGAAGCGGCCCGAACACGAGTAGAACCGAATTCCAAGTAACGGCTATGTTGTCTAAATTTACAACCATTCTCAGGACAATCACAACCTTACTCCGAGGAGGCTCTGAGCTGCGCTGGAGGCACGCATGCGCTAACCCTCGGAATTCCTAGAGCTAAATTGTAATTGCTGGCAGTTTCCGCCGGAGCATTAAGTATCGCCAAAGTATTCAACGTATCTGTCGCCCTTCATTCTCAACTTTAACATTGTGGTACACGAGTTCGCAAAGAAGTCTCGCTGGTGTGAAAATGGCCACGTCTGCTTCGCTCTAGATAACCCAAGTGACACAAGCCAAAGGTATAAATAGGCCCTGCCCTTTTCGAGGATCCCGCATCAAGTCAACCGCTAATCAACACCCTCTTTCAAAGCTCTACATTGCATGATTCGAGGCTTTTACAAAATGCTTTCTTCGTTTTTCATTCTTTTTTTCTGTGCTCTTGTCACTGCACTCTCCGCAGGAGACCCTCGAGAGAAGTGGGGCGGGCATGGGGTTGGAGGCGAGATTTCCCACGGGGGTAATAGTATTGGCAATGGGGATGTTGGTGGGATTAACGGCGATGTTGGCATTGGGGGTGGCGGGGGTACTTGCGACCCGGCCACTTGTGACGCCCAGGTAGGACATGGCATAACCGAAGAGGTTATATCAATGGTAACACGCTGACCTATGAAAGTGCAAAAATTTGGGATTCCAATCGGGTACCTGCGGTAACGGTGGTGGAACTGCCAGTTTACTTGGACTTATCCTCGGAGGGACTACGCCGTTAGTCTCTTCTTGATCGTCTTAGGATTTCAAAGCCGTTAGAAGCTGATATGAAACAGAAGCTGCGTTTGTGTACCAACTACAACTAGCTGTACCACTACGGCAACAACCACAACCACCGTCTCCAGTACAACCTGTTCTACTACAACCACCGCGACAGCCACAACCACCGTCTCCAGTACAACCTGTTCTACTACAACCACCGCGACAGCCACAACTACCTCGACAGCCACAACTACCTCGACAGCCACAACTACCACGACAGCCACGACCACAACCACCGCTACTGTTATCCCTACTGCCATCTGCTTCTGCTGTTCCAGCCCTAATCAGCCACCAAGTAATGGACTCCAAGGAAGTTGTGACCCAGCGACATCGAGTACTTGTACAACCCCCGGTAATACCAACCGTTTCTGTTGTAACGGGGTCTCATGTTCCCCCGCCTAGGGTCAATAACTGGTTCAAAGCTAGCATGAGGACTATTCTGAGCTCAGTGAACGCTGAAATAGCTGGAACAAGCAAAGGTGTTGGGTTAACAGTCAAATCATTTTGGCTCCTTGGTAATGTTGCGTGCGACTTAGTTAATTAATCCGCACGGCCGAAGTACTATTGCGAGATCAGTGTGGTAGTACTATAATCAGTGAAAGAGAAAATCAATGATGGGAACTTTATCAGACCATATCTTTATTTTACTATAAAGCTTCACAAGTGTTAGGGCCAGATACTGGACTCGAGATCAGACGGTCGCTTCTCTACGGCGGCGTCTGCGATGCCCGCAGCAACCCTCCCTGCTACAGAAAGCAGTATAACCGCGGGACACGAGGTTAACTGGGCCAGCACGTCGCCTTTTTGGAATCAAGAAGTTTGTCACAGCGCTCTTCATGAACTACAATTTGAGTATCACCCGGAGAGTGTGCAGGAGACGGTCAGGAAATATAATTTTAACCAGTAGGACCCGGCCCAGAGTAGGACATGATCGACGCATTAAGGCCATCGAGGCCTATGCATCGAGTCCCTGCTGCCGGTTGTCTCCTTCATAGATTCGAGGCCTTTGCCGGTTGTTCCCTTCTGCTTGTTGCTGTTCGTGTCGGTTGTTTCCAGGACCAGCCCTTTGGCGGCGGCCTATTTAGGCCTCGTCCTGTTTTCCTTCCTTGTAGTTCCCTAGTTCGACACAATCGAACCGCTTTCCCCTCTTCCTGCTTCCTTGCGCCGGCGACCCAGTCGACATCAGGACATTCACCACGGAACTCGTTAGTGCGTTGCGTTATTGATACTGACTTTACTCTATACTACCCCGCGTAACTAATTTAGATCAAGGCTGCGAAAGGATCTTGAAGTTTACAATTTTCTGTAAACATGAAAACATGGAGCGCGTGATCTAAAATCGAAGTTCATACCATACATATTAAAGTTGTTTGCAATATTTTTAATCGTACGTTCGCTGCATTCAGCCTGCTCGGCTATTTCAGATGTGGTTAGCGACTGGCTCTCTATCATATCACGAATGAAATAGAGCTTCGAATGAGGAAGCCTCGGCGCCAAATTATGTAGTTGGCTTTGTGCGACCTTCCAGCCAGCGAGTGAATGGTTATTAACGCAACAGTCTGGAAGGAGCGGATCTTCTTGGAGGGGCATCGAGGTTGCAACCTCTATGGCGGTACCTGTAAATTACCGTATCTTACGTTATGTAAAAACATAGGCTTATTTCTAGCATCGGAGGGATCTGCAACTAAACTTAATATAGACTAGCGTGCTTCAGGGTAGGGCTGGAAAAACAATCTGAGAGTATAAGCCGGGGAATCTGATTTCGAATTCGGCAGTATGTCCCTTTGCCTACAGGTTTCCCAATGAGACTACTCTTCCAGGCAACTCTTGCCGACAGAGTCTATCACAGTCGCAAATCGATAGTCTACGCTTGGTCAGCCAGCGTGGATACATGTAGGCTCGATTGTTCTTCACCTGTCCAAAGCTCCACTTTGTTCATTGATTCAGCAAATTGTCCAAAGACGGTTTTCACCCTCCGATCCGCCTCTTTCCTTGCCAGTGTCCCTTTTCAACCTGATCACGCAAATATCGGGCTTGCTGGAAAGCCTTGGTGAGCTCCTGGCGAGCTCGTATGGCACTTTTGGCGGAGTTCCAGCCCGCGGTCTTTACCACCGCTTTGGAAAATCGCCAGTCCTCTCTTAGCTTCCTTAAGATGGACCAGGACTCAAAGGTCGACCAAAATTCAAGTGCGCTTACCCAGTCTGTGATAATTTAGATGAGAATGCAATTGATGGGGACAGCACCGACGAACCGTGTCTGGTGTAAGGAGGTGGGTCGATGAGACATTCAGCAGCGTGAGACATGACGCTTCCTATTAAGTCTTCGTGCAAGTCACCTCACGGCTTAGTCGACAGAGGAACGGATTAGACTTTGTGGTTTTCGCGGTGATTATGAGAATTAGCGCTTCACTACGCTTAGAGAACAGGTGGAGGGGCAAAGATTTATTAAAACTTGGGTCAAGTCATACATCTATAGAAGCTTTAGTCTTGCACGTGCCCCGTTGCTTCTTGACGGCTGAACTTGGCCCTTCTCTTTCACTGTTTGATCGGTCTCTATACATAGGAGAGTTTTGTGAGGATCCGAGGATTAATAAGAGCAATATCGTGAGCATTTTAAATCTACGATTTTGCCATTCTGACCGACATTGCCTCTCCGTCGCCGAGAATCCAAGTCCATCTATAACAGCGAAAGGTCTTATCGAAAGCACCTTTCGGTAATTTCATCCTATGGTTTCCGTACCGATTTCCTCCCCTCGGGTGCTAGCCTTAACTAGTGTATCAACTTCATACCGCGGGCTAGCCTCTGAGAAGGCATCACAGACACTGCAAGCGAACTTCGCACAGCTCTCATACATTCGTCCAAGCTCCAGACTTGTATCCGATGAGGTAACTCCTATTAAGGCTCATACGAGTTGCTCCAAAAGTCTTCCCCCGAAACTGCAGCTGATCCAAGCCAAGATATTTGCGAACACGCGTGAGAGCGAAGGGATGCCTGCGAACAATCCTTTGGGCAATGGGTCCAACATAACTCCACCAACGGCATCAGTGGAAAGTCTGGCAAGCACAACAGAGTCCAACGACACCCTGAACCAGCCATCCCCTGAGACAAGCCACTCAGATCCAAGTCTTCTTGGCGCAACGCCTTCTACCGATTCTCCCACTCAAAGCCTAATAACAGTCAATATGTATTCAAGTTCCACCAGCAATCTGGAATCTCTGGGTTCTCTACATAACAGCCTTACTGTTTTAACAACCTCTTCTAAGCAAGTCGACCTCGGTATCGAACGTTTTGCATCGGTAACTACAGGAAGCAACAAGTCTCCGAGTGACGACAGTAATGACGACTTGGGACAAACTGAAATTACTCAAGCTTCTCTCATCCGCACGTCTGACGAGGGCCGTGTGCAGCTTGGCCACTTCTCTCATACGCAGATGGAAAGTCAGAATGCCTCGCAAGGGGAAACAACGCAGGGATCCTATGGCCCGCAATTATCTCCGACACGTGTTGACATCAGCCCCCATCCATCTTCAACAACAACAACAACAGATATTGTTTTCTCGAACCCAACCAATAGTTCTACGGTGGATGGGAGCGGGGTATCGCGACAGCCCTCGAAGCAAAGCCTTAGTGCCATTTTTGGCAGTATTCTAGGAGCAAGCATCTTTGCTGGTTGCATTGTGATTTTGCACAGGCTATGTTATCAAAATTTCCGAAACACGAGTGTCCAAAGGCATCCCATACATAGCGCATGTCAAGGCGACCAAGAAAGCAAACGTACAGAACTAATCTATCCTGAAATATCACGTTTCTCCAAGGATTCTTAACGCGTCTCGTCACATTCTACCACTAACTTGTATACATCACAGTATCAGAATACAAATTTACAAGTGCCTAGCACTAGACAAATAGTCACAGAGACCCCATGCCGACTATGAACCACGGATCGTAGTACCGATGAAAGTGTGTTCCTTCTTCTCAAAATCCGGTGTAAGCAAAAGCCCCTGCTCGAGCATTCAGGACAAGGTCGATCGCTGTCTGAACCAAGGTTCTCACTATGTCGGCCAATTCCTCCCTGCTATTTGTTTGCCCAGCCATTATATGCCCAGGTGAATGGACGGGATGAATTGGACATCCTTGGCAATAAACGGCGCGCAACGTCGAGAAGGGAAAGTTAATGTAAAGAGGGTAGCATTCCATATAAGGGATTGTTCTATATTCTTGGCGCGACAGATGTCCCTCCTCATCCGGTGAAAAGTAGAAATGAAACTCATATTCGTTCAGTTGTTCGAAAAATGCGTTAAGGCCGTCTCGATTGTTCGGAAGCAAAATAACCCGCTCGGTCCGGAAGATTGCGATCTCGAATCTGAAGTGCGTGATCTGAACAGAATAGGACTGCTCTGAATGAGAGACGGGACTAACCAAGTTCGGATTGGAACTCGGCTGCAGAGGGTCAAAGTCGGCTGGAGTCCGTCTAGGTGCGCGGACGGGAGACGGATGCTCAATTTCGCGGGAATCAGGTCCTTGGTCGAACGATTCCGATCCCGCAGTCACACCACCGTCATATACCTGTCCAGATCGGCTGGCATCCTGACTGGAAGTCTCCTGTGGGAGTAGATATCCAAAAAAGGCACAAAATACGGACTGTCGCACTAACACCGCACTAACACGTGTTGCGGCAGTTGGACGTGAGATAGACTCAAAAGAGAGCGCATAACGGTCGGCCTCGATAGAGTCGGTGAAAGGCTTACCACATCGCCGTTCTAGATCTATATCTTTGTCCTGCTCTGGTGGGAAATCGGACGGCACTGGTAACGGGATCTCGAGTGTGGCCGTCTCCAGATCGTCCGACACAGGAGGATGAATCCCATAGGAACGGGCTAGCCCGAAGAAGAGGAGCCGGAGGGACGGGGCCATCTCTGTGGGGTGTATTTCATGGAGACCGAATTCTTGTGCGCGTTCAATATCCTCCATTTTTCGAGGCACGCGGCGATGATGATCCTTTTGCGTCGTCATCTCGAAAGCAAACTGGAGGCGGAAGCGCCAAAGATCCCAGAGCCCAAACTGGAACCGACCCCCAGGAATTCTTGGCAGATCGGACGTAGACCCACCCGAGTCTACAATGAATTGTTCTTCCAAAGCTTCGTCGATCGACCGCGCCCCCGTCAAGGGGCTGCGGCAGAGTTGGCGCATTACGCTCTGTCCAACATCGAGAAAGAGAATATCTTGGAAGAAGGTCTTCAGCGTCGGGATGGGGAGCTGAATCTGCTCTATTCTGTGCCAGATTGCGTCGCGTTCCCGTTGGCAATCGATGTATCTGAAGAGTCTATTTTGCTTCCGGCGGAGAAAGCTCAAGTCCCACTCAGAGACCCCGGGTGCTCGGGACTGCAATAGGCGAACTGTCACCGCGTCGATTTAGGAAAGAAGGTCCGCCCGTCCTCCTACCATGTTGTAAAACACGCGTCGAATATATTCCAGGTAGCAAATCACTGGCTACGCACACTTCTTAGATCAGTACCTTTTCACAGACGACATAGGATTCAGGGGGAGACAAATAGCGTCACCTCGCTACATCTCATGGCTCTCAGCTTGTGCAAAACGCCAATGCTCATATCCGCCCAAAGACCCTTGACGGGGAGGAGTGCATTGAACGCGTCCGCCAGGGGTTGAGGAAGCGCACGGAGGTAGTCGGCTTTTCGGCTGCCAGGCTCGCTCCGTAAAACCGCCCACCAGAAGTTCTCGGCGATTGGATTCTGACGCCCGCCCGTCGCGCCTTGATAGACACGAATACTTTGGTAGATGCGCCCATCGGAAGGAAACCGTTCTTTGTGGAAATTTTCTCGAAGCGTGCGAATAAGCTCCTCGTCGAGTGATTCAGGGTGACCTTAATCTGTGTCAGCAGCCACGTCCAGTTGGGGTTACGTTGCGGTCAACGGACCTGAGGCAGTCACATACACATCCACTATCCACCACGGATTTTCTTCTCCTAGCTCCCGAAATCTCGCGCGGGCGGCCGTGATGAGACTCTCTTGATCCAGAGCTAGCAGGGTATAGTCTGGGCTTTTACGTAGTTGGCGAAGGCGAAGCGACCGGGCCGGACCCAACGTTGAGGGCTGCAGCCAGACTCGTCTAGCATCCCAGTCCGCCACGTCGATCACAACGGGCACATGGAACGCATTGCTCAGGCGGTAACATCCTTGCGATCTCAAAGTCCGTTTTAGACGCACCACATTCTGCTGATCATCAATCAGTCGGCTCGCATCACACTCAATGGACAGATCGGACAGCTGGACAAGCGCGACGCACTTGAAACAGGACTCCTGATACGTAAAGAGCTTGTACTCATCGCTCTCAATCTCGCGTTGTTTTCTTGATGCGATAGTTGTACCTCGAGGTTGTTGACGTCTGTGCCTCCTGGTCCCTCGAGGCATTCTAACTTGGCTCCCGTGCTACGCCTTGAAGTTAAAGCTACATCGAGTCGTATGTGTGGGCTTTCCAGGCGATTTAATAAAAACAGCGATCCTCGGGCATTGTGCTATTATCGGCGTGCAGAAACTAGAGCCGTTTAAAGGTAGAACAGCCGTCATTGACCATTCCATCCCAGCTTCGGGAATTACAACCTCAACAAACATATGTCAACAAGTGTGCTTTATGTGCCGCCGTAGTGAATGGCTAGCCAATTTACACTCTGTCTGCGCCGTCATTGCCCAAACTGCACTCGGAGTGGCAATACGCTGCTGCTAAGCAAAAATCGGCGCCAATGGTTCAAAATACCCCTCCAGATTTGTACCATACATAATTCATGCTGCATAGATATCCGATTTCCACGTACGTGACCATGTCGCAGGAAGCTCGTAGACAACCAGAGGGCCGTCGGTCTGAGCCTGAACCTCAGCACACTTGGTCCGCATTCGCGAACAGATGCCAGCGGCCGGGTATAACACCGGGTTTTGCCTGTGTTCCCGATGATAGGCTCGAGATCGGCGGCCGTGGCAGCGGATACAACGCAAAACTTCGGCTGTCTGTGGGACCGGGTTGGACAGTGTGTTCTGGTCACGGCCTTCTCTCTCGGAATCTTCGTGGGGCATCGGCACATAACGCGATTTCTTTGTATCTGGTAGAACTCGTTTCAGAAGATCAATCCCCATGTTCTCTCTGGGGGGCGCATACCGGGCGCGAAGCCACAATCTCGTTCCAGAAAGCCAATTCATAGCTATTCCATTATTCCAAAAATTCTGATGGGCAGATGGCCATTTGTACTTGACAATAACTTCAATTGTGTCTGGAATGTTTGCCTTTCCCCAGCAGGAGTCCGACATTTGAAGGCTAAGGGGATTGAAAACAAAAGGCTAGGGCTTCACCTTGCGTTGAGCTTAGCCGGCGAACAGTGGATGGTTCCAGCCGAGGGATGATAGAGATAGTGTAATTGAACCCACATAGCAAATGTTATTCAAACATGCTGTCAGTGAATACTGTACCAGAGAATGCCAAATATCCTGAAAAATTTGTCTGGACGGGAATAGGAGGCGAGGATGCACAAGCCAGCGTACTGCAGGTGTGTGAACAACCTGTTTAAACATCAGGAGCCAGTATCCGTGCGCTCTAATTTGTACAAGTGAGGGAATCCATAAGGAACAATAAAGAACAAGAAAAACGTGCTAAGTCCTTGGGTAACGAGAGCGGGATCCTCCTCTATGATATTGTCTATTATTGAGAAAGGATTGGGGAAGTTGTGATACTGTATACTGCTCCATTGATGGCAGGCTACATACATGTCATAGCGACAAGTCAAAGTTGATTTGTGTTCTAGAAATTACTGATGATGTTGTGGACAAAAAACTCTGGATCAAGGAGAGAAGTCTCTGAAAAATTCCCTTCCATGTGCTCGATTCCAGCTCCCTGCTGCCACGGCCATATCGCTAATTGCAGCACAAACTGATCGAAATTTGTGCCATGATGCCCGTGTGAAACCCAGTGTAATAGAACATCGTAAACACGGAGCTGAAAATTGCTTAACGAGTCGGCGCACCATTCACTTGGTGAAATTCTGAATGGGAGATCGACTACTGTCTGACCCGAAAGCCGACTTGTGATAGACAGTCTTGTGTTGAGCCAACTCACTTTGCCGGGCAGTGTGGAGTGAAGGAAAGCAAACACATCCTCACTGCAGGTAAGCGAGGAAAATAGATCGGGTCCCCTCCATTCGACAAAGCAACAATCCTCACAACTAGGGAAGAGAAGACAATGTATAGTCAGTGGGAAGCTGGTTGGCCCGTAATAAATTGGTGATGGCTGAAACGGTAGCCATGGTAGTGATCGGTCTTGCTCCTCGCAAACATCCCAAGCATCCACAATGTGAGAGGGAATGAGGATCTCTGGAAGACCTAAAAAGAGATCTTGAGGCTTGATTTGTGCTGCTCTCTCAAAGTTAAGCAATCCTGGATCATTCCCTGCGATGGGTTAGTTGATTATTGTTGGTACTGTATCATGAACGTTTTTACCCACGATTCTGCATGTTCCTCGACAAGAAGATGTCTGCTAGAGACGAGGAACGGATGTATAGTGCCAGGCTTGGCTGATCTTCCAGAGTTCGTAGAGCCATTCCTTTATTTTACAGCCTCACAGGGTGGATTCAAATAACCTTGGTAGGCTTTCACAGTCCTGAAGGGATGATATTGTTGGTTGGAGTGTCCATCGCCATGGCCATGACTCTCTATTCCACATATACTGGATGGGTCATTTTTTTCGTCCATTTACACGAATAGGCTCCAAAACGATGTGCAGTCAACCGATATATACAACCAGAATTCAACCGGTGATCATAGTTACACCTGCCGAGTAAGTCTGAACTTCATTTCAATACCCTTATCCGAGTCCTCAAGGGCGTTCGAATTTCCTGGCATCTTCAATCCAGCTCGCTATTTAGTCGTGTTTGTTTCAACATGTTCTGTGCCAGTCGTATTTTTATGCTTATTCTGTCCGTTGACAAAAGCTCCGTCCTCTTCTCCAACACCCATTTTGCTTACCCGCAATTGACTTGTTGGGGTGCGTAGTACAAATTAGTCGGGGCTCCCTTTCGGTGAAAGAGAAACAGCGGATCGCAGAAAACATGCTTGAGGATCTCCCGAACGAGCTCCTGGAAAATATTGCGGAGTGGGTGCGTATATTCTTGCGAAACTTAAGGACTTTCCTGATACCCTTAGTTACCACCGCTTGCTCTTCGATCCCTGAGCCACGCCTCCTCGAAGCTCTACCATGCTCTGCTCCCTCGGATTTACCGTGTGGTCGTGTTTCGTGCTGCGAGTAAATGGGCCTTAAATGTGCTTAACATCGATGATTTCTTCATCCAACACTCCCAAAGCGCCAGCCACCTTCTACACACCCGCCACTTGAAAATTGACGCCCCGATCGATCTTACTCGGTTCAATCGCTGTGCGGCATTCAACATCTTTCGGGCGGTCGGATTGGCCGCTGATCCTTTCTCGAGCATTGGGACTTCCGACGACGCTAGGGCCCATCAGCAGTTCTTGGAGGACATTGGCGATCAACTTCACTTGGTCTTCGCACATCTCAGTCCTAGTCTCCTTCGATCATTCACGTGCGTATCAGGTCATCCCACAACATGGATCCCAATCGCCGTGCTAATTGGCCACCAGGTGGCGCTTGGGCACATGCCTTCCGGCGGGTGTGTTGGATAGAGAGGGATATCTAATCCAACATCAGGAAACTCTCGTCCATCTTTCGTTGGTCACAGACGGCTCCTGCCCCCATGCCGCGGGCCATCTAGGTGGTCTGTACCGACTGTCTTCCCTACAGGCCATCGAATAGGAAGGTATCCAGCATTCGACTGAGATCGGGCTACTGCAAAAATGCATCCGCCAAAACCAAAGGCGCTTAAGAACACTTTCGATTGGATTCAGCGCATCAGCTGGCAGACCAGATTTCTCCCGTCAAGTGCTTGGGCTGCAAGGGTGCACTGTCGCGACCACAACACGCGCCTCGGGCCCTGCTCCGGCATTTTTGCCCTCTCTTACGTACCTGACACTCTCCAAGGCATATCTCCAGAAAAGCCCGCAACCGACCGCTTTGTCGATTTTTGCTGGCTTGAGATCCTTGAAGTTGCGTGACTGTATAAACTCCTGCGAGTTTTTGGACGCACTGTCGTGCTTGCAGAATAAGCTTCAGTTGCGGCTATTTGAGCTCTGTTGCGATAATCTGGCGCTTGACCCCAACAAGGCAAATTTGGGTCCGGTTGTTGCTTTCTTACTTTCCCTCCAAGGCTTGCAGCATCTCTATTTGAAACTTGCCAACTTTGCACATACCCACCAAATCGAACCCGTGATTCGGCATCACAGCCGGACCCTAGACGCCCTTGTGTATCACGAGAAACAACTCGCTCCGATAGATAATGAGAGACTGTGGTGGGATACTCGAGACTTCTGTCCGTCATGGATAGTCGATCGGGCCGAGTTGAGGCATCTCAATCGACTCTCTGCCTTAGCGCTGTGTACCAACACATCTTCTGTGGTCAGTTACTCGCGTGAGAGAACGGTAACCAAAAGAGAGAGGCTGCTGATCCTTTTAGCACAGCGAGCGGGCCTTGAGCCGGGTGCGAAAGCTTCTCATCTTCAGGTGCTTCATTTTCGAGTCACAGGCGTAGACCATCTCCATCGAGACATTCAATCGGAAGTCGTCTCGCAGATTCGGACAGCAGAGGACCGAGACGAGGGATGTCCGTGCGGTTGTTGGGGCGGGCAGACAAGACGGATCTCCCTCTCCGACCGGGATTTTGACTTTGCGAGTCTCTGGGAAGAACAATCTATCGAGTCCCCGCGAACTGGGCTATCGGACGGGTCAGGTGGGTCACAGGCCAGCACCGAATCAGCTGAGATCAAAGAAGTCCTGGACTTTGCGGACTGGGCGTTCGGGCCGAATGGGTTACCCAGGCTAGAGGTTCTAGCGTTCGGAGACTTTTCTTACGAGGAGCGATATCAGAAGCAGCGGTTTCTGGCGCGTCGGAAACGCTCGGTGCGATTACGATTGCCTGGTCAACGTCCCGAGACCCGTAAACACTACGGCTGGATTTTTTGCATTGGCGATATGAACGATCCATCTCTTTGGAGCGACGTTGGTTTGGACGGTAGCAAATTTCTTTCAGCCTGCCCCGATGGTGGTCTAATGGAGTCGCCCGATGAGTGGTGATCAGTGTCGGACAGCTGAGGGAGGGCTCCTGGGGCTTCCCAATGTGCCGTTGACATCACAGTGTCTGTCTGACCCTGACTCCGACAGTCCCCGATTTGGGCTGTTTTCTGCCGTAGTATTGAGTACTTCCAATAGACTCGTTGCTGCTGTACGGTGCCAGTCGCCAGTAATTTGGTTATCGTCTATAGTGATCAGTCATATTCCTGGTACACCACCGAAGCATCCTCCGGGGCAAGTTTTTGCTTGTAGGTAGGCACAGTTGGAAATCAAGTAACTACATGGCCTTGTTTTGTTCTTCAATTTGATTATTACTATCGTTTTAAGAAATAACAGTTGTCGGCATACTGCTTAGCGTTGTGAGCTACATGGTGTTGCAGTGCTCCGGATATATATTTAGCAGCCTGCGTTCGGGGAGTCGATATTTACTCGCAGGGTATTCAGTTCTGATAGGACCTCTAACCCAAATTCGCAGGCGTGGCCCCATATACCCGAGAAATGGGTACGCTTTTGAGTGCATTGAGGGACTACGGTGGACTGCACCAGTTTGCAGGCAATGGAGCCAGTGAACCCCAGTTGAACCCCAGTTGAACCACTGACACGTGACCCGTTTAACCACCTTTCCGGAATAAGCGTCTTGAGACCTCGCTCTAGCTTCCTACCAAAGCTTACCGAAGACAAGAAAGCCTAAATCTTGTATTTTATGACTGAAATCCCGCGTTTTACCTAAATTAATGAATAACATGCCGCAAAGTGGCTCCAGCGGGCACATCAGTATCGTTTGTTTACCCCAGTTGATCACGCCCTCGTGTACTGGTCTGATAAATGGACATATATTCGCCCACGGGATCAGCCAAAAAAATCGGATGGCGAATTCCAGGGACTAGTTACCATATCACGTTGACCAAGAGGAAACAGCAGAGGGATGGGAATGAAGTGAAGGGAACGTGGAAAAGGGCGAGGGCAACGGGGGGCAACTGCCCGAGAGGCAAGGACATGGTGTCTGCTTCCGCATCGCGAAATATGTCGCTTGATTAAAAAGTATAAAGGAACATTTTCTGGCAGGGCTTCACCTCTCTGGGTGAAGAACATTTAGGTGGGCGAACTACCGCCCTCCAAACCCGCCTGAATGGGCAGCACCGAACGCCATCGTTTGGCTTTTGTTTGTTGATCTTTTTTACGTCAAGCTATATATAGCACGTAGAGAATTATAAATTGTACATCCATCCCAGGTCCCAAAATAGCGTCGGACTCATAGTCAGCTCTGGAATAATTGATGCGTTTGGGTCGAGTTGTTTTGATTTGAAGATTGTTATAGTGAAAGGGTATGGAGTCGCTCTGAGCGGCCACTAAGGAGTAAACTTTAAATTCGGGACTGGTTGCCGAAGTATTTAAGCCTGCCTTGGACCTACTTTTCCCTCGTTCAATACCCCCCAATTGATCGAAATCCAATTAACACAAAGTACATGCCTGTCCAATGAGAATTCCACAACTTCTCGACAAATGAGGATTCTAAAATCGAGAGCATATGATGCCACGCCACATTCATGAAAATGAATGGAGAATGGAGTACTACTCTGCCATGTTGAATGTACTTGCTTTGACCAAGAAGCCAGCAAATGATACATAGAGCCGAAAAGGCAAGCAGAGAATACATTCCTGGGCTCAAATTCCAACCAAACGTTGCGCTATGGTTTCAAGGGAGACAGACCTTGACAAAAATATATAATCTGGTGAGGGGAAGCTGGATGTTTCCATGTGCTTCACATCTAGGGGTCAATCCTAGGTACGATTCTCACCTAGATTTCTCCTGTTGTTCTACCAAACCGCCCTGTCAATATGCGGATTGCGATCCTCACTCTCCTTTTTGGAGCCGCACTGGCCGATACTTCATCCTATGTCATGCTGAAGCCTACCAATGGCAACAAGGTTTGTTTTATTTTTGTTCAGCCCTCATAGTCTGAGCTACCAAGGCTCTTTCATAATATTGAATTTTATTGACGCATGTATACCTCTTTCGTACTTAGGATTCTGATTACCCAGCAAGATGCTACCCCGATCCCTGCAAAGGAATCACCTTTCAAAATAAGACAGCTGTGTGTGGTGATCCACGCCTCGGTCCGATCGATCTGCCCCGATACTTCCCCCTTTCCACAGAAGTTGCAACATACTACCGCTTTGGAGACCTGTGCCCCTACGAATTTCTCGCAAAGTATAGCGTGAACGTCTCAGATCCGAACGCCTTTTTCATCTTCCCTGGCGCCAACGGGTTCGCAAACACCACCAATCAGACGCCCATCGTTGGCATTGCAACCTTGGAGAAAGGACGAAAAATAGACCGATTTGGAGACCCAAGCGGTACCTTCTTGTCTCCCCTCGGTGCGCCTTACATCGAGCGCGCCCTGCCACCTAAGAATTTGTTCGCACCCGAGAATAGCAGCTTTCCCTACAACTACCATGTGTATCAAGTGCTGGAACCAATTACTGTCGCGTTGGGACCGGTCACGGGCTGGTTTGAGCAGCCGGGCCTTGGTACGCAATTTGTCTTGCAAGGGAACGACACCGTGGCCAGTTTGGTTGGTTCCAACAAGCTGAAGATCTTGGAGAAGAGGGAGTATGATGAGGCTGCAGACTTTGCTGCAGATTATTTGCCTACCCCTCCCCAATAGTCTTCCTGTTGGCATCGTCTATAGTCCCGTGCACTAATCATAATCATACCGGGGTTACAACAGGGTCCAGAGATGTATTCCGGTTATGTGTGATAGTTTGTTTCAATTGTCATCCAAAGGGACTATTTCTATTCAGCTTGTATACCTAGGGATCGGAGAGGATGAGAATAGGTTAACTATGAGCGAAAAATGAAAGACGATATGTAATTGTTGTTGCGTATGCCGAGCGGAGCTAACCGCCCGTAGATGTCTATATTCTCTTAGGGGTCCCTGAACAACGAGCAAATTACTGGGTTTTGGCCCACCGCAATATTCATTTCAGCATTGACGGTTAGCTAATGCTGAGCTGAAATCGATAATATATGCAAACGCCAAAAGCCCAGGGACGAGGATCAGTTTGGCAGTTGCAAGACAGGCCTTCAGCCGACTTCTCACCCTCTCTATTACCCATGCACTCATCCTGGTCACCCCTGGTCGCGTGATGCTAAATCGGTGCTCACATTGTCTTTAGGTACATTCGGAGGATATAAGTCTCTTTTGTGCAGTTACTGATGCATACGACCATAGGGTGTGGAGAACAGGGCTTCCCGTCCGCTCAGCCGTACTTAAGCCCCATATAGTACGCGGAAATTTCTCAATGCGCCCTGAGATCTAAAACGGCCTTGGATTTTATCTTAGGGTGAGTGTGGGTGATATGGGTGAGAAGTTTGGAGACTGGGGTGATAGAGGTGAGAACGGGGTGAGAGAGGGTGAGAACAGGGTGTGGATTCTCACCCAGTTCACCCACCACCCCCTCTTGAGTCCGAGCTATAAGTATGAGGTCTATGGCGCACGTCTGGTCTACTGTATTATTTTCCTTGACGCTTAGTAAGTCGAAAGAAGATGCTCCCAAAGGACTTGCAAAAGAAACTAGATGAAAGAATTTCACGTGCTGCGTCACGTGGTTTCACCCGCGAGTACCAGCATAGGCGGGAACAAGATGACAACACTATATACCTTAAAGAGCTTGCTCCAGCTACTCTGCAAAACTATGAAGAAACGGCAATCAATTAGGCATTGTAAGCTATGTTATCCACAAGTATAGATCGCGTCACTCATTTCAGCAGATGGAGACTTCCTCGTAACGAAGCGACCGATGCTAATTTTTCCAAACACGAACCTGACCCCAGCCCACAACTTCTGAAATCTTTTGCCGAAGACTATATCGCAACAAGAAAAAAAATACCAACACAGAATTCTGCATGTCAAAATTTTATTAGCTTACTTCAAGATGGGAGCGAGAGACCTCTCAGTCTCTGCTGACGTTCTAGAGACCACGCAGGGCCGCTATAGCCTAATCGTACTGTTTGACTGGTTTGCATGGTAGATAGCCTAGTTAGATCTCTTCCCCATCTTCCCAACTTAGCTCCTTGCACATCTCGCCATCTCTTTTCTACTACGTACTATTCCTACTTCGTACACGTGTCTCTTTTAAGATTCTTGCCAGCTACAGTACGTCCCGAAACTGGTGCAACCGCCTACACTCTTCGAGCGATTTTTTCAGCCCCCCTACCAAGAGACATTAGACAATATTAGAGATAGCTCCAGAATATCAATATTTCTGTACCATTCTCGATACCGTGATTTACTTGTATTAAAATACGCTGCCTCGTCTCGTAACTGTATTGGCGATCCAAGAGAATTAAAATTTTCCATGGAAATACCAACAAGTCAGACACTAAAGCTGGGGGGTACCTTGAGAATCTGGCGACCTGCCACATCCTTCCTGCTATGTCCAAGTGGTGGTCTGGGGTGCTTACTCGGCACTATACCTTGCAAATAGTGACTTGCATTACTTGCTTACTGTACCTGCAGACTAACTACTCATGAACCTGCTTATCATAATACTCAGCCTGTTAGCCGCAGTCTCTCTTCATGACGCCCTGTAACACACTTGGTGGAAGCTAACACACAACCTTGTTAATAGACTCCTCAGTGGCATCTTCTGCCTTGGGGGGATGACTTACACTCCTTTCAACGATGATGTCAGTTTGAAATTCCAAGGAGCTCCTATGGCCGGGTTTAAAGTTTCCGTCATGCGGTATCTGAGGGCCGGAATTTTGTGAAGCAATTCATGAAACTTCACCTGAAGACGTAATTGTCCAGCCAGAGTATTGATAATGATACCATATACAATAATAATAAAGGATTTAGCTTTGGATTTCAAGCCACGAGGTCTCTGGTATGAGAATCCCTCGCAGCCCTATCATCCAGCACAAACACCAACAAATAAAATATAATTTCCGAGGGACCTTTCGAAGGCAAGCATACGGATGCCTTGACTGATGCCTTGACTGATGCCTTGACTAGTGCATCCAGCGGGGCGCGGCCAAAATAAAATGGAACCCGCGCCCCCGATCGGCGAGATATTATTCTACATCTCCAATATGGTATTCCTGTCCCTCCCTCTCGAGATACAAGCTATGGTTATTCCCCGTCTATCATCGATTGGTGATCTGGCCGCTCTATCGCAGTCATGTCGGTCAATACATCGCCTGTGCGATATGAAAACACGCGAGCGGTTCTACCAGATCCGTGTCGACCCGAAAGACTACAGCATCAACAAGACTTTTGACCTCGTCATGGAGATCCTCAAGAACCCTACTCTGGGAAACTATGTATGGGAGATCGTGCAGACTAGACAGCCCAGCATGGAGCGCGACTACGTCCAGACGGCAGAGCAGCGCGACCTCAGTGCGGGCGATAGGGATCTCCTCCGCGCGGCTGTGCGGAAGGCGGGGTTTACCGGCTCCCAAGAAAACGTGGTGCTCAATATGCTTATGCAAAACACCACGAAGCCTCCAGGTGAAAACAGGGAGCCGTTTAGGTTCCCAAATACCGCTTATGGATACGAGTAAGAAAGTCGCCTCCTAGTTAGTTGCTTAGCTGAGCGCTCACAAGACGAACAGCCATGGTCAGATTCATGGCACCTTTATTGCACAGGCATTGGCCGCGATTCTCATCTCAGTGTCACCCAATCTAGAGTCCCTAGTGATGACACAGCCTTTCAGTGTATTCTCTGGATTCTATAGGGGTGGCGAGAGGCCCCAAGACGATAATGTTCTTTTTCCCCTCGATCGACTTCTCCGTCGGGCCAATGCGAAACCGGCTAGTATTCCGTATCTTCAAAATCTCCGCAAGGTGTACATGATAGTCGACAATAGGAACTTGGATGACCGTTTCTATATGGCCATCGACTTCTTGGAATGCGCAATGCTTTTCGACTGCCTCCCGTCTATTGAATCCATTAGCACCGATGCCCTCTGTGACGATGAAAGTGGCGAGGCGCGCGTAGTGCTAGAGCCCAGATCGTCAAATATTAGCAGAATCTATATTAACCACTCTGCCCTCCAAACAACTTTTCTTGTCTCTCTCATTCAGTCCTGCAAAGTACTGCGAGAATTCCAGTACGCCATCGGTGGCCGGTGCGTGTTAGGAGGTTGGAGTGCGCCGTTCAATGCCAGGACCTTCATCAAATCAATTTGCCCTCATAAAGACACACTGGAAGTCCTGGATATCGACGCCGAGCACAACATGCACTATTTCCACCCCTCTTATTTCGAGGAGGATCGAGTTGACCAAGAAATCGATCAAGAGCAAAGAGCGCTCGAAAGTGATAATGACGATGATGATGAACGCCAAATGCTCCGGTCCTTCTCGAGTAACAGCGGGTCACTGAAGGAGTTCCGGACCTTGAAGCGATTGAGTGTTGGTATCGGGTTTTTGGTATATTTTGCTATGGGTGTCAGAGAAAATAACGAGCCAAGACAACCATTTCTGCTGCCGGAGGCTCTCCCAGAGAGTCTGGAATATCTTTGTATTCGGGGGTACGAGAAAGGTAAGTGCAAGAAGTGGGATGCACATATTGATGCCTTAGTCGCGTCCTTTGTCTCAGGCTCATCGGGGATCAAAGAGATCACAGGAATTGAGGAAATCATTCCTAATTCCGAGGATGTGGATGATCCAGACGATAATAAAGACCTGTTGTGGATTCCGATATATAGTATTGACGACTAGGTCAAGGTCTATCCTGACTCAGAGAATCCTCCAAACTTGTTTGAAATACAAGATTTGTCAAAAATCTACCCTAATATTTTTAAAACTCATACCTATATACCGAAAAACCTCTACCCGGTGGGTCTGATCAGGGCGGATCATACTCTTGCTCACTAAGCATGATCGTGGTTTCTCTTTTCCTCGATACCTAGGGATGCCAGAATGTAAGGTGTTGCACGTGATCTTATAGCAGATAAATTGGTTGGTTGTCATTGCCCCGTTGTTAGTCGAGGTCCCTATATATGATTGGTGACCAGCATGTCCGTAACACATAGACGAGGTGGTGAGACTTGAAGTCTGAGATAAAAAAATTGTATCCGTCCCGAAGGTCAAGGTTACGTTCTCGGGCCTTCACCCGGGCAGACTTTTTGACCAGCCTTTAGACTGAAGGGCATGGCTGATGCTCGATTTTGAAACGAGACTTAAATCTATCAAGAATCGGTTGATATGCTTAGCCAATCCACAACTCTTCCGAAATAAGGCAATACGGCTACAATATTGGAAACAAAACAACTTATTCTACAAGGTATGAAGGCGTCACCGAGCGAATCTCTCTTCCCTGCATTCATATATCTTGAAAAAGGCATAACATCCGCTGAAACTTTGCTTCCTCATTCATTTTCGAGTTTGGTGTCGCCATAATTTCACGAGCAGCTGCCGCCACATGATCTGGTCGAGTATCCGTCTCCTCGCAGAGCATAGCTCCAATTGGATAGGACAACATATCCGATGGCATCTTGAGCACATCCACAGCTTGGTGGTTTGCGACGAAATATTCGTTGAGCGCCCTAGACATCACATGTTCTTTGAGATATTTAAGCAGGTTATACTTCAGGAACATAGCGCAGAGACGACGAATTCTCGATTCCTTGACCTTAGGATCTTCCTCCAGGCCCTGCTCCTTGGGCCAGTAGCAATCCACGAGTATAGCAAATATTTCTGACTTCTCATCTTCCCCCAGAGTCATCGCTTTGCTCTCTCCTCGTGCAAGTTCCAAAGACGCCAACAAGAATGTTTGATGTGTTTCTCCGGGGAGAAAGTCGAGCATCATCTCGGGCTTGACATATTGCAAATACTCGTCTAATGGCCCACGGATGCTTCGATTCGGCAGTTCAATATTGAGTGCCCTTGAGTCACGAATGTCATCTAGAACACACATCACCCCGTTTCCACGAGCGATGACATCGAAGTAGAGTTGTCTATGACTTTTAGTGGCGATAACGCTGCTATAGCATGCTAGTAGCCGACACGCCTCTCGCATCACGGTATTGTAATATCCTGAGCGCATCCACGAGAAGGCCCGATATGTTTCAGGAGTAACACTATCCACGGAATAGAACAGCTTCTGCCGGATATCTTCACTAGAGGCCCTTTGCAAACGAGCACCAGCAACCGACAGGTAACTCAAACAGTAATCTTGGTAGTCGTCGTAAAGACTAAGTATTTTCCACTTGAACGGATGGCTGTCCGGCACCAGGAAACGCAACGCTCGTTTGCCAATTGCAAACAAAACACCAGTATCAGTAGGGAATGTCACCGCATGGCGAGTGTGCCACGTGGGACAGCCAGCGCGTTCGTCACATTGATCGAGCCTGTCATCGACTAGGATCGTGCTTGTTGTGGCGATATCGAAGGCGGCACTAACTGCGTAGACAATCTGCATATGCGCTTGAGTCTGATATTCCGGGGTCGTGATGCGTCGGTAAAAGTGAACAATAACATGAGCTGTCCAGGCCGCATTCCAGCTTTGACTCAAACTCCCTTTGACAATCTGGCATGGTTAGCTTTCTATATAAATTGTCACAGGTTGGCAAATTCTAACATATTCCACCCACGTCTAAGAAGGCCGGCGAAGATGGGGTCTGTCATCTCTGGCATAAGAGGAATGCGCGACAGAAGATAATACGCATCCATGAAAGGCCCACGAATCTCCTCTGCGATGGGTGGCTCGAAGGTGTCTTCGTGAAAATAAAATGTTGGTTTGCCTATATTCTCCCGAGGCCACACAAGTGTGTCGACATCGACTAATCCGTGGCGGTAGTAATCAGCCACGAACGCCTCTATCAGGTTCCGATCAGGATCGATTGACTCCAAATATGGCTCCATGGTATTGGTATGTACTCTGTCTGTCTCTTGTAGCGAAATTCCAGTAAACTTTACATATGTACCCCATGAACTGATTTATATTTCCACTGATTGACAATCGCGGATTAGCGAAATAATGCTGAAATGCACCATACACGTGTTTAATAATAGTTAGCACAAGAGGAATCCACAAAGGTGAGATGCAGGATAGAGGTAATTGATTCGTCATATATTGTTGACTGGGCATGCATAATACAGATGTTGATTGTTGATTGGATATATACAATTTGCCGCTAGACCAACACTTTTGTGGAATCACGATGCAGTCAGTATCTTCAAAGTCAATTGGCTTGCATGCCTATTATGACAATCTTACCCCATTTCAATTCCTTAGCCAAGATTAACTGGGATGTCGAGGAACATATCCACATACTCGAGTTACCAACCCATCAACACCGGAAATGTTAGTGAGTAGTAGACTCACCCCCCATTAATAATCAACACCAAGATTCTTTTAATGTAGTACTCATTCCCACATCTATTTTATTCAAACACGTTTCAGGGCTTACGGCGTGCGACAGCGCGCGTCACCAGTTGGATTGACAGGAGTACTCCGGAAAACCTCCCAAAATAGACTAGTGTATCTTGACGGTGGGTCTAGAGAATCTCTCGAAGAGTGTAGGAGGGTGCACCAGTTTCGAGACGTACTGTGTGTAGAATCCATCATTTTCCTTATTGCGGCGACGCTGGATGTATCACATCTCCTTGCGCAATCGCTTCTCCGCGTGGCCTCATTAGCCGACTGTCTAATATCCCCGTATCAAGCTGGAATACAAGGTAAGGGTTTCAAATTCAATTGATCCAAAACCGACACTCTCAAGGACATTAAGATGAAACAAGGCGTTGCATCCTCTAACCTCAACCCGTCTTGTGGGATTTTCCATCGAGATTACCCTGGTCATACATCGAGCACTCATTGGCGGGCGCACGCGGGGCCAGTCTGAAGTTGTTTAGGGCCAATTATTTGTCGCCAATCATAGCCCACTTTGGATATAGGATGTGATGGATAGTTAGATGGATTTACATCGGGATCATTTGCGGAAAGGTGAATTGATCTCCCACTCTCAATGCATCACAACGTATAGTCTATGCGTATCAATGAAGGAGCAATCTCCAGCGTCCTATGCACTCGGTGATGCAGGGTTGGTACGAACAATAAAGATGAATCCAGTTGCATTTCGGCAAATCTATCGTAATGATCCTTCAAAAAGTGTCTCTCGCTAAGAGGAATCCCTGGGACCAGCCCGAGGATATCAAAAATCGTTCATATCGTGTCCTCCCAAGGTTTCGCCTTTTCAAACCAAAAAAGAAACTTCGCATCCGAAACTCAAGTCCAAATCCCAATGCATACCCATAGCCAAGCTCATTCTTAAACCTCAACCTTCTCACAAGTAACCTGATAAGACGCATACCGGCGATGTATATGAGGAACCAGACACATCTGCGTCTTCGTCATGGGCCCTGCAACGTCAAAGATCTCATTCCGATCGCACATAGTATTATCGAAGAACTCGATGCGGCACCCGTCCGCAACCGTGTCCAGAGTGTAGCCCGCGGCGAGGGTGTTTAGGTCGGCGCGACAGCCGGTGCTCCCGCTGCCGGCGTGGAGTTCGCCTGTACCGTTGCACGCTTTTGATTCATAGAGGTCAAAGGACCATTGGATATCCTGTGCGAAGAGAGGGAAGGCGGTTGTTGTGGTTGTGAAGAGGAATGCGACGGTCGCAAAGGCGTAGAGAACGAGGGATGGCATGTTCGTGATGATGATGGCAATAGCTGTGGTAGTGGAAATGGTATATGGAAGCGAGAGTCACAGATCACTTCGTAGAATATAAGTATGGTAATGAAGGACGAGGCCTACCAGTATATTGTCAGGAACTGTAAGATAATATGCGCTTCACAATAATCAAGAGTACATACCAAGACCACAGCACTAAAAACAATCCGAATAAAAGCAGACAGCCCAAGGCGACACAGATGCGGCGTCGTAGACAGATATTAGAATCCAGAATCTGCTCACAAGGAAGATGACAAAAAAAGTGCACTGACAGTAGCCAAGCCCCAGTTTAATAACTTGGCTTCTTCAGTGGCGGGGAGCAACATTCAGCACCCCAGCAAGTCCCCAACCTCCGTGCTGGACTGCGTAGCCACCATGTTTCAGGGCCAACCCGGCGATCGTCAGTCCGCCAAGCAGCGCAGGCGTTCCTGCAGGAGTACGTATATTGGGCTTGGCAGTGCTTCGTACGTACGGAGTACTCCGTCTATAACAATAAACACGCCACGCACTTGAGGATTCAAAAACTACTCACAGTCCCAAACTAAGTGACGATATCGACATCACGGTGACTGGCAACATTTCATAACCTTCAATCTCATTGAAATCCACTTTTCGCCATGCCAACGACCATTCCAATGAAGTCATTTGAGGCGATCGTCACGGGTACCCGTTGAGGTGGTGGGGCTGGCCCCTCGATGCTCCGCTTCTTACGTACCGGGCGTACGTATCCTTCCAGCACGGGTTTGAGGCGATCGGCATCAGAGTCTGTGGACTCCGGTGGAGTGAAGATCGTTTGTCAAGAGTCTAGAGGTGATGCTTGGATATGGAGGGAGAATATCAAAAATTCAAAATAGATTTCATTGAGGAGCGTAGCGAAGCTTATTACTGCTTAAGTAGGGGATATACGGAGTACTTAGAACTAAAATGCCTCTGGCTGTGGAAACCGGGCGACGGCCAAACAGGCCATTGGTGGGTGAGAACTATAGGTAAAAAGGCAAGCAAAGCCTTTCGCATGTTATGGATTATCATAGTTAGTACTCCATACTTGAACAGTACTGGAGTTGCCCATACTATCATTGGTAGGTGTGTCTGGCGAATAGTCATGTGATAATGTGATCATGTGATATTAATGTTGTTCGACGCTCCCTTTAAATGGCATCCTTTCCTTCTGCTAATCAAGGGCGGCTTCAACATGCTCTCATACATAGTTAATCGGTTTTCATACATACAACAATACAAAATGGACGAACGGTCTTGCGGCTGCTGCAAAAAGACCACTTCCCAACATCATAGAAGCTATCGATCCTGATCAGCCGGAGGGATTATATCTCCGCAAATACCAACAACTGCATATGGATGTGAATCAACACAGGCTCGCCGAATCAGATTGTACCGCGAAATTGCCGATGCTCTATGCCACCTCCACAGCCTTGGTATTGTGCACGCGGATGTAAGGATTGATAATGTGCTTGGTGACGATCAGCTTTCGGCGATTCTTTGTGATTTCAGCCCATGCGGCGAACCCAAGCCGATTTTTCCAGACCTCCCACTTCCAATTAATGGTCCCTCACCGATTTTGTCCGAGGCATCCAATATGTTTGCACTAGCTTCGCTCATTTTTCAAATGGAGCACGGTGTCACCGCTGAACTGTCACTTGAGAATGGGAGACTAGCTCTGCCTGAACTGAAATCGGGGAACGAATGCATTGATGAAGTCATACGGACGGCCTGGCTGGGAAATTACAGCCGCACGTCAGATATGGTACAATATCTAGCTTTTATTGATTCCCAGATGAATCATTCCGCTAAAAGCACTGAGGTACTTCATGATCTTGAGGATTTGAAGACTCAGGTCATGGATTGGTCAAATTACCGAAAGCATAATTTCGGTAGAGCAATCCCATACCATGTTCTAAAATGTCATCTTTGCCCGCTAGCCTTTCTACAGGATGCATCCTCGAGGGGATTCTTTCAGAGGAGCAATTGAAAGTCCTGGCTGAAAGATACGATATGGATCCAGAGGCAGACCTACGGTTTTCTCGTTAGTGTTTACCCTTATAATCAAAAGTGTGATGTATAACTCGGGCTAGAAGGTGTATGCTAGAGATGCATTTTCTAACCTTTCCATTGGTGTCATCATCCATATAACCGGCTTGGCCCAGGCGAGAGGCGCGAAATTTCTGCTAATAAATTATGTTAACAGCTAATCACGATACCTTATACGGCGGCACTTACAGATGCTAACGTTAATAGCCATTTGAAGCTCCCGGGCATTCGAGGATTTATACCGCCGGCTATTAGAACTTCTCATAGGCACTTCCGGCTAGGGCTCTCTCAGGGCATAGATACGACTCTCTTCTTACTTCTCAATCTCCGCAAACGAAGATAGTGGTAGTTACCCAGATTTGACACATTACAAGGTTAGTAATCAACTACGAGACTAGCTTGAGCCGTGAGAAAGTCTCACGACTTGCCGGCGTGGCGTGGCGTAAATGTTTGTGTTGAATGCAGTCCCCTGCCTTCTCGGTTACAATTGCATCACGTAGAGTGGCAGCGCTTTGGAGGTACACCTATCCTCGAATACCTCCCCATCACAAATGTACGGAGCGAGAAGGGGCAAGATAAGTGCAGTCCGGAAAGAGCCATTCGTATTTAGCTCGACTCGCAGTGTTCTGATTGGACGCTGAGAGTATGAGTAATAAAGAGTCACACCCGCCTGGTTGACGAAGGCCTGCATCGAACGCAGAAGCAATGGAGGAACCGTCTTTCTCTATATATACTTGCTGTCGAACATTACTATTGTCCGATATGACACCTTCTAATCTTATGAAAAAAAGACAATCTTCCGATAACGAAGCATGATGGAGATGGATGGACAACAATCTGCCCACGGCGAGAGCTATGCTTATACCAGTCCGTACTGGGCAGAGTTCTACGACATGTGGGTGGAGGAAATCATTGGATCAGCCGCTCTAACAAAAGACGACGACTTCTTCTTCAACTTGCTCTCGCCTTTCCTACCGAACAGCACCCGTGTCCGGGGGCCACTGCGGGTGGTTGACATGGCGACAGGAACGGGGCGAGTCATTCGTGGCATACTGCAAAAGATGAATTCGCGTGCACAAGGAGAGCTGCCCGGTGACATCCAGAAAGAGCTAGAGATCTGGGGTATAGATCATAGCCAGGCAATGATCAATCGTGCCAAGGGTCTCCTTGAAGACAAAATGAAGCCGTCTACAACGATAGTCTGGCGCACCTCCGCGGCGGCAAATTTCGTCGATGAGAACCCAGAACTTCGGAATGCAGTCGATCTGCTCATCTTTGCGGCTGGAAGCATCGGGCACTTGACAGCGCATGGAGAGAGGAGAAAGTTCCTACAGCAAGTTGTGAAAGCGCTCCGCATCACAAATCCTCCACAGACGCCCCGCTCCATTGCTGCCATTTCTATCTTGAAGCCAGACGACGGTCTCCAGGAGAATTGTTCAGAGCAACACGTTGCTGGCAAGGAAGTCCGATTTAACGCTGAGATGCGAAAGCCTTCTCGGCAGTGGCCTCATCTAGAGTACTGCAAGTCTGAAACAATGACTCTGAAAGATAAAGGAATACTGGTCAACTCATTCGATCTGAAAATTGTGGAGACGGCCACTGGAAAGCTTCTCTCTCAAGAAAAGTATTCCTGGAGCTTGCAAGTGTTCAGCCAAACGGAATGGGAAAGGGAGCTGTCCGACTGTGGTTTGAGCATCAGCCAGAAAGTTGAAACGGGGAGCGAGACTTGGTATATCCTGCATCTGGCCAACAAAAAGAGCCTTGTATGAGAATTAGCCCGCTTCATAAGACCTTTCAAATGAAGTTGTTCGACTCTGATGGCCAGTCAACCGAGGAGTTTGCATAACAATTTAGTTAGCAAAACGTGAAATACGAACTGTATTTCTCTGGAAGAGTAGGGTCATGCTGCCCAATCCACGAAAATTGCCGTTTGATGAAGAAAATGATGGCTTTCGGTCGATGGGACTGCCATGGTATCGCGGTTTCCCAAATGCCGCGCTCCACATGGCGCCACTCCACAGTGTAGATCATATCTCTGTTAAGTCGAATGTTGGTCACTTTACCCAGCTAATGACATCATGAGCGAAATTCTTGAGGGCATGATATATCATAAAATGCTTCCAATGCCTGACAATGGGGTGAAATATGAGTGTAGAGGTGGCTAGTTCTATGTAACGGGTTTCTTTATTCCGGCACATGTACAGATCATCCTACAGTAGATATCCTGAGATCTGGGGCCTCCGGTTTTCGACAGCTGCAAAGCTTAAAATTAATTCCGGATTCCTTTTAGCCTAAACAGGATTTGTGACTCATATTTGCGATACGGAACCGTGTGCCCAGCGGGATCTCGCATGAAGTTGGAAGGTGAAGAAGCACTTCGTTTTAGCAAAAGGATCAAGGCCCCAGTTTCTGAAGGCAGGCCGATATGACCACTCCATTCAACCGCCAGCAATATTTCCCCAAGCTACAGTATTAGACTTGCCATTGCACTCGGCTAATGAAAAGTCCCGATTTCAGTAATTCGTCTATCGCATCGTACTCTTTTGCGTTGTCCCAGATACGTCTAACCTCGAGAAATCCCATCGCGGGCCAAGCACTGGCCACAATCGCTTTGTTTACAGAAAGAATTTCGCATGATATTTCATAATCAAATACGTATAAAGAGGCTCAAAGCATCGCTGCTTTTACAGTTGGACCCTGGTTCCACACTCCTAGGGCGTAAGGTGCGGAAGGGCGCAAAATGTGGGGCATCAAGTATGAGTAATAGATGAGAGCAAGCCAAGAGCTTATATAAAAAGGAATTAAAATCTACAAATTAGAGACTTCATATCAGGGTTTATCTCATTGGTCTTGATTATCATAACTCTCTCGCAATGTCTCCTAGTGACTTCCTATCTCAATGCCCCGGTCTATCCGGTCTGAATGCATACATGCGCCCCCTCTCCGTCACCGATGTCAAGTCCTGCGTTGAAGTCGAAAATACATTCCCGGAGCAAGAGCGATGCTCAGAAGAGAAGGTACACCACTACAATCTCGAAATCATCACACAGGAGAGACAGTATGCTAAATAGTGCACAGTTCATCTACCGCCTCACAGTCTGCCCAACCCTAAGCATGGGCCTCTTCATCAAGACCCCAACAGGCGGTCGCCAAATCGGCCATGTCATCGGGGCCAGAATATCCTCCAACACCATCACAGAAGCATCAATGGGGATGCCTGAGAATTGGCAGTCTCTGCCTGTTTCCGAACCCGTCGTTGTTGACGGGCAGACGGTAGGCAATGATCCTAGCGGCGGGAACGTTGCTATTCACTCCGTTGTTACGATTCCTGAGTTTCAGGGGAAGGGGATTGGGAGGGATATGGTGAAGGCTTATGTTGAGTATATTAGGGAGGAAGCGAGGGATGTGAAGAGTATTGTGTTGATTGCGCATGATTATTTGATTCGGTTTTATGAGCAGGGTGGATTTAAGAATCGGGGGACCAGTGAGTGTCGGTTTGCTGGGGGTGTTTGGACGGATTTGGTATGTTCACGTTGATGGGCCATGGAGTGGTTTATGGGACGAGTGCTGATTTCTATACAGGTATGCGATATTTGAATGCGTAGACATGACCTACAAAAGCATTGAAAACACGTTCATTGGTCAAATGACTCGGTATCAATTTCTCGTAAATGGCCGACATGAAAACGTATTCAGGACTCAAGCTCCTAAAGATGCAATAGTATCCGTCCATGTATACATTCTATGCCCAAAATCAACCATTATTCTCCTCCTCCGGACTCTCACAATGTAACTGCTTAAACGAAGACAACCATTGCGGATTATCAGCAATAGTCTGATCCCACTCATCCCCACAATCAAAAACCACTCTCCGCGCCTCCTGCTGAAACATCTCATCCGTAGGAATAATCCCCTTCTGTATCTGTTCTCTCGCAAATTGACCCAAGTGACGCGTGAAGTTTCCCAAAAAGTTATCGAGCTGCGACATTGTAGCATCCGGCGCACCAGCCGCGACAGAGTCCTGACTGGTATTGAGATCTCCCTTGGAGGCGTCGACTCGAGCCGACATTTGCGCATAGTGATCGCGGACATGCGCGTTGGTCGAGGAGAAGGGGATCATGCTCTTGGATTCCGCGCCGATGAGGTATGGTGGGAATGCATTTCTTAGTTGTGCAGTGATGGATGGCGGGAAGCCGTGGTCGCCTTGCCAATCTTTCATAGTCAATCCGGCACGGAAGTGATCACCGATATGCTCGGTGCGTTCGTCCCAATCATGTAGAGCTTGATCGCAGAATCCACATCTTGAGGTGATATTCTTGGATTCCTTCTTCCATTCGTCGATGGATGGGACGGTGTTGACTTGGTGGACGTGGCGGAGGTGCTGTACTAGATGATCCTTCCGTCGGAATACTCGCGAGGCGTTTGAAAGATTCTGGCACTCTTGATAATTATGTTCGTCGATAAGGTGCTTGCGAGACGGGTTCGGGACATTGCAGTATGCGCAGTGTTCTTGGCCAGTTGTCTCTAAGAACACTGACGGCCCCAAGGGGGCGCAATACCACGTTTCCAAGTTCAAATGTAACGACTTCTCATGTCGTACCCAATCATACTTGCTCCTGAAGCGGTCGCAGCAAAAGGTACAACAGAATATCCGCGGCTTTGAATCGTTCCACGGCTTTGCTTTGCTCTTAGCAACACGTCCCTTTGATCGCCGGCTGCAACCGCTCTGAGGAGTCGATCGCCCGGCCGATGAGCATGCCGAGTCAGCAGACGACGCACTGAATTCCCCGCTCGTGATCGAGGCTGATTGACGATAATGTCTGAAGGCATTGCTGGTTCTACTACCGTGCACTTGTCCCGGGCTGCGATTAGCCGGCATCTCGTCCATGGCGTTCATAATTGCAGTGAGGGAAGCCGGTTCATCCTCGGGCGGCGATTCCTGCCATCGCTGCATGGGATCCATCTCTTTCGATGAAGGAACTTGAATAGGAGCACTTCTTTCGACTGGCCGCGAGACTAGATACCGACTTCTGCGCCGTGGCAGTCCACTTCTAGTACGTGGTGCATGCAAGGGTCTTTGCTGCGACAGAGATGCAGAAACCGGTTCTTCCAAAGGCGACGGTTGCGAGACTGGAATCGGGTCGGTAACAGGACTTGATTCCCAAGTCCACGACGAGCCCTCAAAGGGTTGCGTATTGGGTGTGTCTTGCGGTAGACCGGTACCGGGGCTCGTCGCACCGGAGTAGACATTGATCATATCGGAAAAAGCATCCAACGATGCGACGGAGGCAGGGAAACTATTGGTTCCCAATTCATAGCCCAGGAAAGACGGGATCTCGGGCACCATGTTGGTGGCATCATAACTGGCCCCCGAAAAACATAGATCGGACGCATCCAATAGCTGGGGGTCAATCAGATCCCCTGCATGAAAGGACGAACCAGTTAAATGGAAACTACCCGCTGGAAAGATCTCAGCCGTTGCCGTGTCTGTGCCATAGGGCCAAGTATGATCATTTGTTAAGAGTTCATTTTGCTCGACAACGTCGTGCTGTTCTGCCTGGCTGTCTGGTGGCATAATGTCGTGCTTATCAGTTTGGGGGATATATGTGGACGGGAAGTTGGTAGCTTGCCCCGGAGAGGGGGCCCGAAAGGACCATCGGCCATCGGTGTGGGTCGGCCGAATTCGCAATCCGATAACGTAAGCCCGGGCCTTTTCAAGGGCCGGATCGAGGATATGTTCGTACTTCTGAATCTGGACAAGGTAAGGCTTAATGTTGCAGTCAGTAGGGTTGTGGGTTTTGGTTTGCAGGTAATGACAGGTGCAAGTTTTGTTGACTGGTGTAGGCCCTATACTTCCACGCTGAGTTCCACCTGGAAAGGGGCGACTACCTTATCTACGAGGTACGGATAGGTACCTAGATGCGACGGGATATATATTTCCAGGGCGCTTAATTGTAGGACGACATTAAAATCCTGGAAACACTCGACAGCAGATCGTAATACTCCAAACAAGGAATGTCCCGTGCCGGAACCGATGTTTTCAAAGTTTAGCTTGGATCAAGAAAAACCTCGTCGTAAGCTGACCTGAAACAACAGACCGGTGGTTGAGAAACAATTACAATATCTGGCAAGCACAACGATGGAAACATGCCAAAAGCTTCATTCATCTCTATAGGACATCAAGTACGAAAAACGTCATCATCAGCAAGCCCATACAAGGCAAGCCTTAATCTATAATCTAAGCGAAAACCTTAACCTCGCCAGCCTTCAGCTTACCAGCCTCAACAAGACGCTGAGACTCAGCAGCCCAAGCAGCCTTGACGGCCCCGCTGTCCTTACCAGCAACGGTCAGACGCGAGGCCAGCTCAGCAAGCTCATCAACGTCAATCTTGCTCATGACCAGGTCAACATCGCCGAGGACGGCGTCAACCTGGGCGGCAGAAGCCTCGCCGTCAGCGAAGTAGTTGACCTCCTTGACGGAACCCTTGAGCACACGCTTGTTCTTCTTAGCAGCGCTCTTAGCGGCCTCCTTGGCCTTCTTCTTGCCCTCACGCTCGACCTTGGCAGCCTCCTCGGCGTCCTTCTTGCGCTGCTCCTCCTCGGCCTTGGCGCGCTCACGCTCCTCTACCAAACGCTTGGCCTCGTCCTCCTTGGCCTTGCGCTTGGCATCCTTGCCGGCACGGGCCTGCTGGCGGAACTTCTTGATACGCTCATCCAGGGCGAGACACTCGTCGACCATCTCACGCAGGCGAGCGATATCCTCGGACTTGCGCTTGCGGCGGGCGTTGGCGTTCTTCTTCTCGGTGTGGCGCTTCTGGTCACGGCCCTCACCATCATCGGGAATATCCTCGTCCAGGTACTCGAACGAGCGCCAGCTGTCAAAGTTGTACCAGAAGTTGTAGAAGGTCTCGACCTCCTCCTGGGTGGAGTTCTCGTCACCGAGCTGGGGGACGGGCTGCTTGTTGGAGAAGCGGCCCTCAGCCTTGAAGACGGGTCCCCAAAGCTTGTAGAAGTTGCCCTTCTGCAAGTCCTTCTTGCTGGGCGGGTCGATATCGGCGGCCTCGTCGACAGAGTCGAATTGGCGGCGGCGGACGGGGTCCAGGAGGAGCTCGGTGGCCTTCTGGATGCACTTGAAGAAGTTGTCGTTCTCGTCGCGCTGGCCCATAGCGGCCTTCTTATCGGGGTGGTGGCGGAGGACCTTCTTGCGGTGGGCACGCTTGATCTGCTCGGGGGTAGCGCGCCAGCGGTACTTGGTCAGGCCGAGAACGGCGTAGTGGTCCTGGGCCTGGGAGGGTGTTAGTATGAGAGAAAGCGCAGTTTCAACGCAAAGTGAAGTAACTGACCTTCCAGTCCTTGGCCTCACGGGAGAGCATCATGGGATCCTCATCCTCAGAGATATCCTCATCCTCCTCATCCTCAGTCTTCTTGACGTTCTGCTGAGCCTGGATGCGCTCATCCTCGGAGAAAGTGCGGGCGTGGCGCTTCTATCAGGTTGTTAGAACGGATATTCATCGCTGCTCGCGTCAGTAGACAAGGGTTTCATTGGAAATACATACTCGGCGAGCGTGGGCGAGGAAGTGCGGGCCCACGGGCTCAATGTTGCGCTGAATAGCGGCAGAGAGGGAGCCAACAGACTTGAAGTCCTTGTCTGCACTCCAGCCCGAAGGCAAAGAGGGGAGGGAAACGTTGACAACCTGCACAGAAGCCATTGTAAAGAGAGTGTGATGGGGGGTGGTTTCGAACGATTGTGGGATGAGCAGTTGGGTTTTTTGCCTGTCTTTTTTTTCTGCCCCTGGTCGCCGCCCACCAATCACAAGTCGGACAATCCCGTTATGCTTCAAGAAACTGCGACCCTGCATCTTTGATTCAATCGCCTCGGACTCAGTCGACAACAAACCGGAACTGGATTTTGGGGATTCTATTGATACTTCAACATGTCTGCTCCAAGTATTTCTGCTCTGAGCGCCTACCGGCAAATCCTGCGCTCTACCCGGATCGCATTTAGAGGTTGGTTGCTGAATTGCCATCCGCAATAGTATTGTCCTGTTGACTATGAGCACTAATATCTTTGCAATAGATGACGCGCGCGTGATGATCGCTGCTCGCCAAGAAGCCCGCCGAAACTTCGACCAGAACCGTCGTGTTGGTGTCGACACCGGCATGCAAATCAACCACGCCATTGAAGTTGCCAACATCTTGCGACACAACATTGTGCAAGGCGCTCGGGAGGATGGCAACGAGTCTGCAAAGTGGCGTATGTGAAACATGGAGATACCTAAAACATGGAGGGTTCATTGCTGGGAAGTCCTGTGACCGGCGTGGATTTTCATGTCCGAATTCATGGCTAATCTTGAACGCATTTAGAACTCCGGATCCACGAGGAGATCGAGCGCGGCGACAACGACTCAATCAAAGTCGGCAACACGGATGTCAAGATCCACAAAGCCTGTTCTTCCTAATCCGAGCTACCTACCCTCGACCATGTTGCATACACCTCCCAGCGATGAGTGATCCCTCTACAGTACAGAACCCTCTGACGGGGATATGGAAGGAACCGAAGCATAAACTACCGGGTGTGCTGGGATTGAACCATGTATTATAATATACCCGACTCTTTTGTATCACTTTTGGCGTCTCGGGGTATTTTTGATTTGAATAGATCTGCATAAACATACATACAAGAACCAACCAGTCCGTATCAACGCCCGCTTTGTGAATCCGCATCATGCAAAACACTGTCAACCTGAAATCAATAGAAAAACAAATGCTTCGATGCTGTCGTCTAGTCACCAGACAGACTGGCGTACTGGACTTGGCCCGAGCCCGGAGGCGGAGCTACAGTGTGCCCCTGAGCCTTGTCTTGCTCGGCCGCGCCCTCGTCGGCTGCCGCAATAGCCTTGTTGGTGGGGGCACCCTTCGTAGCTGGACCAACAGCTGCTCTACCGTCGCGCGCGTTTCTGATTCGCTCCTCTCGATCCATGTTATCTAGTGACTTGGGCTTCCCCCAGCGCACGCGCAAAGGACAGCCATTGACAATTGCCTTGCCCTGGCATTTCTCTGCGGCGGTCTCGGCGTCGGCGCGATTGACATAGTTGATGAAAGCACAGTGCGAGCGGTGGGAGCAAACTAGGGAACGGAGCTGACCGAACTCGGCGAAAAACGAGCGGAGAGCGTGTTCGGGGAGGTCATCCTCAACACCTGTGATAAAGAGCGAGGTCACATTAGGGTCGGCGGGCGGCTTGATGTCTTCAGCTGATGGGGGCAACTGCGCAGTACTGGGGAATGGACGGCCGCCCCGACCACCACCGCGACCTCCGCGGGCACCTCCACGGCCTGGAAGCCTGTTTCCAAGACGTCCCTCGTTTGTGCGTACCGGACCCGGTCCATTTCCATAGCGAGATTGTGTACGTGACTGGTCTGACGGCCCAGCCTCCTCTCCCTCCTCTCGCTCAGCCGATGAAGGCCCCTCGATGCGGCGTGGTTTGCGGTAGTAGGGTTCGCTGTTAGCGAGGCGGCGCAACAATTCGCGCGCCTTGTCGTCTGTCTTCTCATATTCCTCGATGGCACCGATTCCATCCTCGATTTCCTTCTCGTGGTTCTGCGCATAGTATTCGCGGTTGATCGAGCTATCCGGGCCTGGGGCGACCATCTTAAGGGCGGCATCGCGGACTTGAAGCGGCAAACCGAATGACAAATCGAGCATGCAGCATTGACAGCAGTTCTTCAGACGGGCGCAGGTCAGACAGATATTGGTGCGCTTCTGGCGCGAGGTGCGGTCCGCCTTCCAGCGGAAGATGGTAAAGGGACGAGTGCACTGATCATCATGAGTTAGCCTGGGTGTATGGCCGAGAAGAAGCTTGGGAAAGCGGCAAAAAAACTTACAATCTTGCACTCGGCGCCGTGGTCTTCTTTCAGCATCTGGACATATGGGTTCTCAGGAAGACAGTTTTCGCACACGGACGGGAAGTCAGTAGACTCCCAGCCAGAGCGGTTGAGGTCATGCTTGATCTGTGGAGGCATGGCGACGTGGTGGAGTGAGCTTGATAACTCTCGGAGTTCAGTCGAGAAGGATCCGAGCAAAGACGAGCCTGATTATCGATAGCCAGTGGCGGTGTATGGCTAGTGTGTGGCGGATGTAGCACGTGATTGGCATACAGAGAAGAGGCTCTGCACATGTTCTGCTGAGAAATCCGGACTATTTTACCGGAGTAAGCTGATAGAATCTCGGATTAAGCTCCAGCAATTCCGATATCTCTGCCCAGATGATCTACAGCCTTGTTTTAGCCTCAATCCTCGCCTATCTCCTCTATCAGTCTCCCCGCAAGATCAGGTCACCCACTGCCATCGCCGGGGCCTGTTCCTTCCGACGCAGCCACCGCCCGGAAACTCGCAGTCCCGCCACCCAACTGCCCGCACGTGATTGGCCCGTGCTCGGTCCAGTCGCGGTCGTACGCAGTCAGGGGCTCGTGATTGGCCTGCCATTTTTCCCAGTCCGCCAAAAAGTTGTCCCCTTCAACAGGCGCACCCTATTTATCCTTCTCGACCATCTCTCACCCCCTCAACTTTCTCTTTGAAATTCTACTCCTCTTCGCTTCTCCACAGCTTCTGGATTCATCTCCACTTGCTGTTCCCTGTTATTCTTATACGGACCGTTGTCCCTTTTTCTCCATTGCAATCCCTCAATTCCTCCGCCTTCGAGTCCCCTCTCCCCCTTTTTAATACCCCCAATTCTTCACAATGTCTCCCATTGCTCTTGAGCGCGAGGATGTTGTGCGCGATGCTGCCTTCAACCAGGCTATGCACGGCAAGTCAGCTAAGGTTCGCGGCGGTCTGTCCGCTCTGAGTGGTAAGGACAATGCTGCCCAGAAGGCTGCCGTCGACGAGTACTTCAAGCACTGGGACAACAAGGGCCACGAGGATGAGACTCTCGAGACCCGTGAGGTATGCGATTGGAACAAATCATGTGAAATACATTTGAAACGGCCATTTGACTGATTGGATTTGTGAAACAGGCTCGTCGCACGGAATATGCTACCCTCACCCGACAGTACGTACCCCCGGATCCCTTACCCTGGAAATGCGCTTTGTGTCTGAACGAGCCATTTCCTGTTTGATGCCACGATTTACTGACGCCTATAACAGCTACTACAACCTGGCTACCGACTTCTACGAGTACGGCTGGGGCAGCTCCTTCCACTTCTGCCGTTTCGCCTACGGCGAGGCCTTCAACCAGGCCATTGCCCGCCACGAGCACTACCTCGCCATGCAGACCGGCATCACGGAGGACATGAAGGTTCTGGACGTTGGTTGCGGTGTTGGTGGCCCTGCCCGTGAGATGGTCAAGTTCACAGGTGCCCACGTCACTGGTCTCAACAACAACGACTACCAGATTGACCGTGCTACCCACTACGCCGTCAAGCAGGGTCTCTCTGAGAAGATGGCCTTCGTCAAGGGCGACTTCATGCAGATGAAGTTCCCCGACAACAGCTTCGATGCCGTTTACGCCATCGAGGCGACTGTCCACGCCCCTGAGCTGGTTGGTGTCTACAGCGAAATCTTCCGTGTCCTTAAGCCCGGTGGCAAGTTCGGTGTCTACGAGTGGCTCATGACCGACGAATACAACAACGACGACCCTGAGCACCGTCGTATCCGTCTCGGCATTGAGCAGGGTGACGGTATTTCCAACATGGTCACCATCTCCGAGGGCCTGAAGGCCATCCGCGATGCCGGCTTCGAGGTCCTCCACCACGAGGATCTGGCTGCCCGCCCCGACGCTACCCCTTGGTACTATCCGCTGGCCGGTTCATTCAAGCACATGGGCTCCGTCTGGGACTTCTTCACCATTGCCCGCATGACCTGGTGGGGCCGTGGCTTTGCCCACCGCTTCGTTGGTGCCTTCGAGACCATCGGTTTGTTCCCCAAGGGCTCCCGGAAGACCGCTGACAGCCTGGCTCTGGCTGCTGACTGCCTGGTCGAGGGTGCTCAGAAGAACCTGTTCACCCCCATGTACCTGATGGTCGGCAAGAAGCCCGAGTAAATGGTCGTTGAAAAAGTTGCATTCCACCTTCCGTGATTTCGACTGCGATTCTCTTTTGGCCTGTGATAGACACACACAGCACTGCCTTCTTCTATTCCCTCCCCTTTTTCATCGGGCCCTGATCATACCTACCCTGACCCTCTCGTCCCGAGGCTTTTCACTCGGAGTCTGTTCCTCATTGCCTTACCATGTTACCATGTATTTTTCTTCCCTTGTCATTAATTCGAATACCTGCTGTGCCCTTGAGGCTTGAGTCCTTTGGCTGGCTCCCTTCTTGACGGATGTTGACGTTGATGTTTTTCTATCTTCTTTTCCATTGTTTCTTTTGCACTGTCATAGATATGTAATAATTATTGAGGCAAGAGTAATGAGCAAAGGACTTTATTGTTCTGTATCTGCAATCTTTCTTCTACCTAACTAAACGTCTTATCCGCGCCGTTCATTTTAGTGAGATCACAGATTCTTTACGGACCCTAAGTCTTCTTTTGACCTCTCGAGATCTCGACCTCACCGTGCCCTTCCATTCATAGGCTCATCGCGCTCTTGCTTTTATGTATACTTCAGTGCCTACATCCGCGATCTAGCATAGAATGATACGGCAACTCCACCATGCCGCTTGAAAGACAACATCTTCTCTTTGTAACCCACAACCAGCCCGCATCGTTTGCTTTGCTTCAACGATATATATATCTATCCTATCTATACTAATCTCTATACTCTACTACTATTTGTACTATAGTATAAAGAGGGGGGGGGGGGGGGGGGGGGGGGGATATATAGGGCAAGATACCTAAGTCGTTAGGTAGTATATTAAGCTAGATTTATAAGACCTATATAAGAACTGCTATAAAGCTAAATATCTATAAGCTTTATACTATACCACGGTTATTACTATCTAATCGGATAATTAGGCATAAAAGGACGTATATAATAGTCATGCGATCTACATTATCACTACGGTCAATTATATCGTACAATTAAGTAACCACTAATCAAACCGCTACTGTATAAGATCACTATATATCTAAAATGTATCTAGACCTATCTAAAACGATCATATACAAGAAACAAGTTTGATTCTTATAATCAATATAATATTGATTATAAATATGCCCTGTTTTCTCTACCAAGATCTAATAATCATATTTAACATACAACCAAGATTCAATAAAATCAACCAAGCTTCAGTCCTACCTCACTTTTCTCTTATCTCACCTTTATGATTCTAAGCCGAATTGATTTTATCCTTCCTATTCAATCAAAGGAAGAAGATTCGATCTATCTTATTCAAATATTCTTCTTTCTTCTTCCTCTCTACCTACCTGCGCAGCACGCTTGCTCACAGTTCGGCAACGAATCAATTTCTTTTTTATGCTAGTCAAAACATCAATTAATTCTTGAGGATCTTCCAAAGGGCCCTATTATATAGGCCTTTTATCCTCAAGGCTCTCTTAACTACATAACGTAGTATATATATGTTACCTGCCAAGTAGAAACCTTCCAGAAGGGCCCATCGCAGGGTGGACCCATCATCAAAGAAAGCAAGGTTTATATAACACACTTAGTAGGGGCCTAAACTAGCCCGAAGCGTTACCTAAAAGCGGTAGTTTTGATTGGTTTCCTATACAGAACCAATCCATCCCGAGAGACATGTAGAAAGATCTCCTAAAAGATATATGGAAAGATTTCTTTTTACACCTACTACTAGCGGCCTCGACGTGAATCTCCTTAAAAGAGGAAGTTCGAGATTAATGAAACGCCTTAATTAGGTATTCGATAAGAAGGTTTAGTTATGAAAGGTGGTAGGATCGCATTTTGTCTATATTTACTGTAGCTATCTGTTTCATGATCTATTGATACTGTGATATAAGGCTAGACGGAATTAGGGCTTTAGTCGACTGGAAGACAAGATGTAATAATGCTATTGCCTTATTTTATGAATTTGCATTATTTCATATTAACTAAGCTGCAGCTCTACCGCAGTGAACATGGTGCTTGTAAGGCCTTTCTTTTGATTCAATCAATGCCAAGAGTGTGCGGTTGTCGTGAGACTACATAATAACAGATATCAGATAATCAGTTGGGGTGCCGTTAACGTAGTTCACAAGCGGGTGGCCCACCCCAAAACACCATATTAAAGGTCATAAATTACAACTTCATATCTCAACAAGCATACATATTTAAGACAAGAGATTAGAATAATATGGTCTAAATAAACTTCTTAGCCTACAGATGCAGTACAGGATAATTACCATGAGTACTAGCGAAGATATTCGTATATGTCCCTAAAATGTCTAAATTACGGTGTATTTTATGGTAATGTGGGGTAATAATACTGGAAATTGCTTCAAACTAATTCATATTATTCCTTGAAGGTGCAAAAGTGTATGTACCAAATTTAAGTAGAACCAAGGTATGGTTGTTGAAATATGGAAGTGCAAAAACATAGCATTTAGTCCGTGTTTTGGGGTGGGCCACTCGCTTGTCTGGGCCACCCGCTTGTGAACTACGTTACTAAAAAGTTGGGATGTCCTTACCAATTCCCTAGTTATTCCCCGAAATGACGTAAGCATCTTATTGCTTTGCCTTAGCTAACTGATCTATCGAAAAAGCAACCTTCCAGCGCTATTTAGACGGATACTGGCTTGGTTTGAGGAGAAGAAAACAAAGGCGGTTTGATGAGGCTGCAATCATGCAAGTACCCACGAAACCATCTCATGAAATCATTGTTTAGCTATGGATGGGGATGCATGACACATACGCATAGTTATGGATTGCCCTGTTTCGGATATGGCTTGATGTATGGAAATAGCTCTTTAACACCCAGGCTAGCTTGTACATTAATATGATAAGGCTCTTAAGAAGCTTGGAAAAGCACGTGACCACGAACTTCAACAATTAAGACACGCAAACCTGCAACTTCGAGAGGATCTTCAATTGGTAAGAGATAGGCATGAAAAGACGCAAGAGGAACTTGCAAGACTGAGAAAACTGGAATGCAAGATCTGCTATTTGCAGCCAGACCGTTGGGTGACTTTGGTATGTGGGCACATGGCTTGCATGAAGATGCAAAGCTAGCTTGTCTCATGGAGGACCGAGATCAACAGAAGCTCCCAGTCACATGATATCTATTACGAAGCCTCAGCAGTATCGGAGACTGCTGAAACTCAGCATATTTGTGGTTTAGTAAGGACGACTTGTTCCACGGCTATTTCCAGGGCAAGATCGAGACAACAGTTGAGCGGATTTGCGCCGGCTATTGCGGAGGGAGTACGGAGGGGATCCGAGGTGGCGGCATTTGCGGGAATTACGGTACTTCCGTCTGTCACGAATTGAAACGGTATGTTTAATATTCCTCTCGAGTATTGAAGTTGCCATCTACGCTCAACTTTTCGTCACTATGGCTCCTACTCGTGTTGCCGCATGTCATGTTGCGTCTCACTTTTTCTCTGCGCGAAAATCCATCGAGAAAGCTATTTCGCTAGTTCACCGTGCTGCTGGAAATGGAGCCAACTTGGTTGTCTTCCCTGAGACATATGTATCGGCATTTCCTCTCTGGAGCGCCCTGCGTGCGCCGACTGAGAACCACGACCATTTCTGTCAAATGGTCCAGGCGTCCATATACGCCGATGGCGAAGAAGTTCAGAAACTCCAAGAAGCTGCGCGTGTCACAAGAACTGTCATAAGCATTGGCTTCTCCGAGAGGTCTCATGCCAGTATAGCCTGTCTCTACAACTCAAATCTGATAATTGGCACTGAGGGTGAGATCGCCGTGCATCACCGGAAGCTGATGCCGACATTCTTTGAGAAGCTGACCTGGAGCCCTGGGGACGGCTACGGGCTACGCATTGCTGATACGCCTTATGGTCGTATTGGAGGTCTTATATGCGGCGAGAATACCAACCCGCTGGCACGATACTCGCTGATGGCCCAGCAAGAACAGATCCATATCTCAACCTGGCCAGCGATCTGGCCAACTAGAATTCCGAAAATATCCAATACTGCTTCTGGCCCCAGCTCGCCAAACTATGACAACATTCTGGCAAACCGTCTTCGGGCTGCAGCTCACTGCTTCGAAGCAAAATGTTTTGGAGTTATGTGCAGCGGCTTTCTCAATCAGGAGGCTATTGACGCCATTATTGCAGGCTCTAGCTCTCCTCAAATCATTAAGAACGAACTTGAGAATTCTCCTCAAGGAGTCACCATGTTCCTGGACCCAACAGGAACGCCTCTTGCTGCATTCATCATTGAAAATGATACGAAGGTTCAGACACATACCGACTTTTTACAAAAGACCGAGGATATTCTCTACGCGGATATGGAACTGGAGCAGTGCATTGAAGGAAAGCAGTATCATGATGTTGTTGGAGGATATCAGAGACTGGATGTTTTCCAACTGCAAGTCAACCGGTCTCGGAACGGCCCTGCCGTCTTCATAGAGAGCCCCAGCACAGAGAGATAGATGTCAGATCATGTTTTCTTTTTGTCTTTCTTGCTTTGTTATTAGCATGTATCCTGGTCCTGTTGCACGATCCGACTCCGTGTGTTCTCTACGTCATGCACGCAAGGCATTGTTCTTCATTGAGATGATGTTACTCGTAAGATTGAATTGGGTCCCAATCTCTCTTAGAATATTTATTGTTTTTCTTGCTATTCCAAAGTGCCACTTACTGGAATCAGCGATTGCTGGAAGACTAGGTCCTAGTCTGATATATCAAAAGTTAGTTATTGGATTCTAGGACTGTCAAGTTCAAGCATTTGAGTCTAATATACAAGAAATCGACCCACTTGCAGCGGAGATATATACGTGCAGGTAGGATAGAATCTAGTACTGTGTACGCAACGAAGGTATAGGATTTAGGACTGTTTGAGACCAAGTTCTCCTGGGCTGGCTGTGACACTTCAAAATACGTATCACACTTCCATCTTTAGCTTCTAATGAGTCACTTCCAGACACTGGACTCTATCTTAGCCCTATATACAATGCTGAGACTCCTCCGCTGGATGAAGATACGGAGGGGCTGGACCTGGCTTTGGAACATAAAACAATGGGTTGATTGAGGACATAATCATAGGCTAGCATCAGTGATATCCTTCTTGACTACAATTTCTGATACATTCTCATCAAAGCAGAACAGGCTCAAAGGTAGCTCTCCGCATACGATAAACCGCCATGAAGACGCGAAAAGTACATCGGTAAATAAGAGGCAGGAAGCGAGAAGCTTGGTGCAACACGAGTTTAATCAAGCGGTCTCTCTGGAAATCTTCGAGTTCTGGCTATCTCTAAGAAAAAAGGGACAGGATCGAAAACAGCAAGGGTCTTCTCATAGCCCACCAAGGGCTCAGACACAGGAGTAGACGGCAATAGCGTGTTCCTGGCAAACTCCTACCCAAGGGAAACTCCATCAACACAAAATCATGCTAGAAGATCAGCTCCAACGGTCGGCACAAAGTGGAGAGTAATACCGAATGATAATGTCAACAAGCCAAGCATGAGCCCACCTGTGGGTACCGCATTAACTGGAGATAGAATGATCGAGTTCAAGATACAACCGACAATTCCTGACATGCCCCAGGCAATCAGCACTCTACCGTAATTGAAATAGAATAGCTGCTGATTGTTGCTTTGTGCCTTGATCAGCCCCGGAAGAATGCTAAATCCAGCACCATGGGCGAAAAGAATTGCCAGCATGGAACATATTGCGTTTGTGGAACTTTCAAACTGCGAAAGCAAGATAAGAAGCGCTCCCCGCAAGCAAAGAATACCGACAAATGTCAGTCTGGCTCCTAAGTATGCATAGACGCTGGGTGCCAGAGCTCCGCCGAATGCGAGAGCAAGCATACAATACGACAAGATCCACATTGTATCGTAGTCAGTTCCGTTCGTATAGTGGGAGGCAAGGGGCCGTAAGCCAGTGAAAACCGTCATTCCTGGCAGTGTGTTGAAGAAGAGCAGGATCGAAAAGAAAGGATCGGAATTTCTTGATAATGTTTTTGAAGCCCCGACCGCGGAGTTCTTAGGGAAATCAGATAATAAGAGCTGGGTGGATCTCCCAACGGCAGCGAATGTCATTCCTAGAAGCACAAGCATCCGACCCAGGGTCTCTGCATCAGCTGTGTTCACCCCAAAAACAGAAGATAAGAGGAAACACGTGGCTGTGGCAGTTGAGAACCCTAAAGGTCCAATTGCACTCTGGGCGAGTGCGTGCCTCGGAAGCCCCTGGCCAATCAATACAACCACCGCCAGGTATGTCCATCCAATACCCAGTCCGCCAAGAAGGAAGCATATCAGCATGAGTCCAAATTTGAGGCTTTTGAGGGATAGGCCGGCACTGATTACTGCAATTCCCCAGAGGGTCGTGCCTCTGGCGACTGTGACGTGGGCTCCGCTCTGAACAATCATCGAGGCGCTCGACATGACACCGATTGAAAGACCCAGGCATGCTACGCCAAATGGCGCGAAGCTATATGCATCAGATATTGCAAACAGACGAGGTAGCTGTGCTTGGAGCGTGCTCAGAGCGTAGACTGAGCCGATGCAGAATATGTTCGCGAAGCTAGCTACAGCGACTGTGAACGGTGTCGAGTAGGGCTCAACAGATATCAAATCGGACTTGTCGCGCATCGTGATATTGGCTCCGAAGGAAGATATTACAGAAGCTAATATCTGTAGACCGGCAGAGTCAAGAAAAGAAGCGAGAGAAAGAATGGCACAGGAGCACATCGAGCGGAGTGACGGAATGAGTAAAGTGAGGTTCGTCCTCTTGAGAGGATTACCCGCTCCTTCCGCTTTACCCGTAATTCCCACGGTATTCTTGCGCCTTCTGAGAACATTTATATCAATGATTTCTGATTGAATCCTTGGACCCCGAATTCCCTCCATTCCACTCTAAAATTGCAATCGGATTCCAAAATTCTGCAAATACCATGCAGGGTGAGCTTTCTGAGCGAGGGAAAGGCCTCGCCGCGCAGAGACCATCTTTCCTCGCTGTATTGAGTGACCTATGGTCTCCGACATCGAATCCCGACGGAATCGTGAATCTTGGTCTTGCCGAGAATATGGGACAACAACCGATCCCCTACTGAACGTAAGCTAATAATAGCCTAGACACTTATGCACGCGGAGATGCTGGGCTTCATCAATTCTCATGTTAGACTTCAGCTCTTTCTAGGTCAACCCGTCGTCAGTGGACTCTCACTGTGGTACTAATCAATCATTACAGCTACAAGCCAACGCACATGCATTGACATACGGAGACGGATTCAGCGGCTCGCACAAGCTCAAAGAAAGCCTTTGTCGCTTCATGAACAGTCAATTTTCTCCTCAGAGTACACTCTACCCCTCCCATCTTGTCATTACGTCTGGCGTTAGCAATGCGATCGAATGTTGTGCCTGGGCTTTAGCCGATCATGGAGATTTTGTTATGGTCGGACGGCCGTATTTCAATGCATTTAGGACGACCTTTGGAATGCGGCCAGGGTAAGGAATATCTCCAGTTTTCTGGTAGGGCTAGGCTTACTGATTTCAGTGTCCGGCTCCTGGAAGTCGATTTTGGAGAAATAGATCCATTCAGCATGGCCGCAGTCCAACAGTATGAAAGAGCACTTACTGAAGGAAAAAGCAGAGGCTTACGCATTAAAGCTCTCATATTGTGCTCACCACACAATCCCCTCGGTTTGTCCTCGCAACATACTTGAGCAAAATCGATACATCTTTACTAATAGGCAATTTAGGACGTTGCTACCCTGAGTCTGTCTTGAAAGAATACTTGAAGTTCTGCTCGAGGAATGGACTTCACGTTATTTCTGACGAGATCTACGCGTTGTCTGTCTGGGATAACCCTTGTATTCCTGATGCCCCAGGTTTTAGATCGATCTTGTCCATAAACCTAGAGGGGATTATTGACCCAAGCTTTGTACATACTGTATGGGGCTTAAGTAAGGTATTATATTTCCCCTCTTCCTTCCGGGCGGAACTGACAACTTTGAGTAGGATTTCGGTGCAACCGGACTGAGGATTGGCTGCTTGGTTAGTCAGTCGAATAAGCTGCTTTTGGAGGCTGCGGAGGGCATTTCGTGAGATTATCTGACCTACTTGTGTGGGGGAAGACCGCTGACTAACTTTTCCCAATTAGCCTCTACAATATTCCATCGAGCCTCGCAGACCAGATTACCACATCGCTCTTGCTAGATGATAGCTTCGTAACGAAGTATATTGCAATCAATCGGGCACGCTTGGCTGACAGCTATCATTTTGCGACAAAGACGCTACGATCCCATGGAATTCCTTACCTTGAGTGCAACGCCGCGTTTTTCATTTGGATCAACTTGGGAGCTGTGGTAAAAGATTCCACTGCCGAGGATATTCTTGGAAGGCTCCGGAAAGAGAAAATTTACATCGCCGCTGGGGAACATTATGGGGCGGAAGAAACGGGTTGGTTTCGGCTGGTTTTCTCGCACCCACTAAACGTTTTGGAGGAGGGACTCAAACGAATGATTCAGTCTATTCAGTAACAGGTCTTAATTGCTTCAATTCAGTCGTTTATGTTCTGCGTATCAGGCCCAGCCCACGTGGTTTTAATGCAACATAGGGGCCGCGGGGCTCACTCGAACAAGAACGGCAGAAGACCAGCATCTAAAGGCAGATTACCACTTCAGCTGCCTAAGATACAGAGCCCGTTGAGGGCCCTGTCAGAAATGCTCCTGCTGACAAGGCACAGCACTATGCGTCCACATACAAAACTCGCCTACATCAGCCCACCCAAAGAAGCCCTGGTTCAGTACGTTTTGAATAACAGATATGAAGCACCCTGCGGGATCACATCATGAGTAGCACAACAATCAATAGTTGACTTGGTCGTATTAAAAACGATATAGGACATTTGGAAGACAAGCTTCGTATGGTTATAGAAGATGGAGCTAGAAATGGACGAAGACAAAATCTCGCAAACTCTCACGTGACTCCCTCCGTATGCATATGTGACCGCACCCCTCTAGACACGACACGTTCAACTCATCTCCTGCTCACTGAAGCTCACCATAACCTGCTGCAGGCTTCAAAAAGACCAGCTCTTTGCTTTGCAACGCGATGGGGGGCATTTTCTCCAGCATCTACCGGGTCTACCTCGACTTGAACGCCGTCATCTCTGAGCTGAGTAGAACAAAACACTCCTTTGATTCGCTCCTTGCTCGGGTTTCGATGGTGACCCCTCCCGTGTCAAATCCATCGATATCTTATTGGCAAAAGGATCCACCATTTCCCAATTTAGTTGACGCCCACTCTCCTGTATTCCCGACTACGACCGATATTGTCATAATTGGCTCCGGTATTTCTGGCGCAAGTGTGGCATATACGATCCTCAACCAGTCGCATAAACGCGGGATCTCTCCGAGAATTGTCATTTTGGAAGCGCGAGACCTTTGCAGTGGCGCATCTGGAAGAAATGGCGGCCATATCAAGTGTTCGCCATATATGGACTATGCAGGACTCAAAACGAGGTTTGGATTGGAGCATGCGAAAAAACTACTCAATTTTCAGCGTCAACATTTGGCTGTTATGCTTGATTTCGTGCAACAGAACGAAGACCTGAAACTTAGCGAGGCTCGAGAAGTTCAGACTGTGGATGTTTTTACTGACGGAAATATGTGGAATGAAGCGAAGGAAATGGTGCAGGAACTGAGACAGGATGCCCCTGACATGGCCGAAGACATCGTGGTGTATGACGGTATCGAAGCGTGTGAAGTGAGCCTCGTATCTTTTCCCTCTATGGATGCGGCACTAAATAACATAGGAATTTCAAATCGACCCCCAGCACTGCTACGGCATCATAACTTATAAGGCTGGAGCACTCTGGCCATACCGCTTCGTTACAGCTCTCCATGCATCCCTTCTCTCGAAATATAGCGCCACTTTTTCTATTGAGACGAACACTCCCGCAACGGATATCCAGGTCAACCCAGGTAATCCGATGAGGCCATTCACTGTTCATACACCCCGCGGAGAGATAACTACGGCCCATATCATCCACGCCACAGACGCATTCGCAGCAAACCTTCTTCCTGGATTGAAGGGCAAAATATTCCCCGTGCGAGGTCACATGACGGCACAAGAGCCAGGAACTCTATTTCCCAAACTTGGTGGTGCTAGGTCATGGAGCTTCATCCACAGGCGCGGTTTCGACTACATCAGTCAACGTCCTGGAGCGGGTGAGCTTATGGCAGGCGGTGGCGCTGTTCAATCCCCAGAAAAGGGGATGGATGAATTCGGTATTTGGAGGGATGACCGAAGCAGCTACTCTATCCGCGCCTATCTGGATGGTCTCTTGCCCACGATCTTCGGGGCGCACAACTGGGGGGCTGATATGGGTACCAAGGTGAAAATGGCCTGGACTGGCTGTATGGGATTCACGCCGGACCTGCTGCCTTATGTTGGTGTTCTGGACCAGAAAATCACCAAGCGAAAAGCCCCAACTGTGCGCTCGAGCAAAGATGCAAAACAACCAGCAGAATGGATCTCAGCGGGCTTTCAGGGCGAGGGCATGGTCCTAGCTTGGCTATCTGGAGTCGCGGTTGGCTTGATGTTAGTTGGGGAAGAGGATGAAATCTTTGAACAGGCTCCGGGGATACCAAGCGGGAAAATTGCGGAGTGGCTGCCGGAAGAGTTTGTCTGCTCCACGCGGAGGTTGGATCGTTCAAATGTGTCTGATCTTGCGACACTTCTCTAGGGCCCTGACTTGATTATTGACTCTTGTTGCATAATTGAAACTTGCCAAATACTGACTACGGTTGCGACATGACACGATATTTTGTTCATTTGGTCCATGGCAACAGTAAAGGCGCACTAGAGCTTGGAGTTTCTTGTCTAGGGTTCGAGATAAGCCGAGGTAGTACGAAGAGATATTGGAGGGGGAGTGGTAGATTCAGCAAAAATCGACGGGTACATGGATTGGACTAATACCACTAAGACCATTTGGGGCATAGGCTTATTCATCGTTCGCTCAATACCCTGGTATGAGTGGTATTCGGGTTAGACTCGGCAGTACGATGTTGTAACGCTGTAACTCGGATCATGCAGACTCCAGAGATAGCTCAACCGATCCTGAAATCGTCAATCACATACCGCATATTATCAAACGCGGTTAGATGGGTTTACGTTTAGCGAAATAGGGTTTACTTTTAGCAATGCTCCAAGAGTTTCAAAAACTTCCCCGAAAAGGCAATAAGTCAAATTCAAATAAATATCAAGTTCGTAATTACTGTATTGCCTTTTTCTTTTTTCAAACACTCAGACTAGTCACTGACTCGCCTTTCCTAGTTTTCCTCACCCCTTAACAATTTAGTAGAGACTACCGCCCGAGGCTTGAGGAAGAATAAAAAGAATTCGGCTCTATGAACTGACTACAAGGTACTTCGTAGGTGTATAACATCAAATCGTTCCTACCGTTTTTCGCTTTCGGAAGTTGACGGGAGAGGGGCCAACTAAGAGGTTACGCGCCGTTATTGGATAATCCTATACCCATGCTAATAACCTTGAGAAGTTGTTGGATATTGAGATACATCAGCTCTATTGCCAAAAAAGATTCTTTTTGCCTATTTATCCCTTTCTTTTCGTGTGGAAATTCATAGGCCATTTCAATCTTTAATAGGGGACATACGAGTTTTTTATCAAGCAAATCCCTGCTTGCTTCATGCAAAAAAATACTCTTTGATGCAATCAGGTCTCTGTAAACTCTTCAAACAACTCAGAATTGGGAAGCATAATCCACAGACGCACTAAAAGGATTCATTATCAAACAAGCTTTCAGGTAAATTCTGCGGTGGCAAGTATCACAGCCGCTGCCCATGGCTATCCTATTATCCAATATGTAACCTCGAGAGCGACTATTGACATCACACATTGTTAGACTGCTGCGTTCTGGTAGAGTGATCCCTGCAAGCTACCTACTAGATGGGTTTAGGAGAATTAACCAGTCGGCAATGACCCTCTTATCATGTGTATTATTATAACATGACTGGACTCGGGTGAAGCTGTTTGTATTGGCGGACAGTTACATGTTGCATGGCACTCCATGTCCCAAACAGGAAGTTGCGCACTTGCTCGATTCCTTACTTCGCAGCCTCACTTTATCCCTCGGTCTTCTACAGTCAACAGTCACAACAAGCTCGCTTTTCGTCAACAACTTTCACGCTTCTACCACCTCCGAAATGAGTACAGCGCTGTCTTTCCGGGACAACGGTACCCCCGACTACAGCGGGCCCCCACACAAGAGAAGAAGAATGCGTTCTGGGAGCTGTTTCTTGCTACCCCTCCCGAATGAAGACAACCCGCGGGAATTCCGAGCTCTGATCAACCGAGCAAGCACCGAAGCCGAAGTGTGGGTTGCCGCATTAATCATCGAGAGTGCTCTGATATCCCACGGTACCCAGGAGTTGATGACTTGTCGTTATGGAATTCAAAAGGGCAAGAGGAAGTTGGAGAAGAAAATGCTAAGGATGGTAACCGAAATTTGTGGATCTGTCCACGATGAAAAATACGATCGACTCTACCAAGAACACTTCCCGTTCTGACCTATGCCCCAGGGTCGTCTGTACGCGAGGCTGTACGATGTGAACAATCTGATCGGATGCCGGAGGCGCAATCCACAGAGAAGCCGGAGAAGCTGGGTGCTGGGATATGGCCGACGCTGAATCAGGCGATTCTGCAGGGCTGTTCTTAACGTAACGTTGGTGAGTATAGAATGGCTTCATTGGAGGTTCTGCATACTAGCTAACTAGCGTCAATGGAATTGCCTCAAGGTACCCCATGCCAGTCTGAGCCATACAAGAACAGATAACCCGCAATAACGATGGAGGATCTTGAATGGACCATGTGTGACGAAGGTGGTTTCCGGATTCGGCACTTTCGGATGCATCTGGTGACATAAATGCGTCCTACACCTGGAATCTACACTGTACTTCCCTAGGCGGATCATTCGAGAAACCCGTTAACGAAAATAACCATCTCAATTTATTAATCTTTTCTTGGAGGATAGGAAGTTCGAAGGAGCCAGTAGGACTTGCGAATGATAGTAAACATGATTTAACAAGAAAGTGCCGTTGGTACTTCTAGAAACATCGATATGAATGTAGTGAAGCTGCATTGAAATGTGGTTTGATATTTCATGGAAACTCCCACGACAGTGCCTAAATACGAGCGTAGAGCGAACTTTTATCCTCCATAATTCCTCTCCTTCCCCAGAGACAAGTTCCTTCAGTTCTTGCAGTTCTTAGTCTTGCCATCGTCTTTCAGTCAGCGTCGCAACTCTTCTTTCTAATTCCCAAACATGCAGAAGACCTGTCTTCCTCCTCCTGAATGCTGAAGAAGAGCCAAGTGAGTCTGATCTATCCTCCGTGTTCTATCAGGTTGGTGCTACTTTCCAACATCTATCTATTCCGGCGATCATCAGAAGTGACTTCCCTGCGACACTCATGGCTTCTAATTCTCACCTTTGGCTTCTTACAGACGTCAATCTAAGACCCCTCCTCGACAGCCTACACATCCAGAAAGACATCCAAAGCAAAAGGCATCGGCTTTGACATCTTCATCAGCCACAACCCCGAACACTCAGCAGTTATGCAGAATCCTTCGGAAATCCCCAGTCCTGAAGAAAGCCCTAACACTCATACCATGCATGACGAAGGTACGGGAGCCTCGTATGAGGAGTACTGGAAGGTTATCATATCCATGAACCCAGACCAAGAAACAAAATGGAAATGCAAACGAATCATGGAAAGACCTGATACCAACCTCAAAGAGGACATAGTCGCATGCATCATTGAGGCTATGAAGACCATCCAAAGCTATGCCCAGGAGCTACCACACGCCATGCTGGATCGGAAGGCCATTGTCTTCTCCCGTGTCCGTGCTCTTCAAGCCCTGCTCACTACTCTGATGGATGCTGGTATTGATGGCCGTCCTGCTTCGCCCGGACAAGATGTGCTTAAGATGTTGGAAGAAAATCATCGTGATATTTCTAGGCGGCTGCTCAAGGTGATCTGTCAGTTATACGGGGAATCTCAAGGCGAAGCGCTATTGGAGTTAGATGGAGCCAATGCATAAACGAGAATCCCTGGATAATTCGAGGTTCGAATTGGGAATCGCGAGTATCAGTTTCCTTTGCTTTAGAGATTCTTGAACGTCAATTCTTAGTTGACCCGAGCCATGCAAGCCATTTCTTTTGTGATTTCAGCTGCCGAGTTAGGAATATTCACTGTACATAGTGCCCGTTACAACATGCACTCGGACCCCCTAACTGAACAGGCCAAAACACAAAATAGGTCAGAACGCCATGTTAGAACTGATATAAATAGAGCATGTAACGTCAGGGTGGACAAGGTCCTAATTGTCCCCGTGGTTGGCGGGTAAAAATGTAGACCTAGTGGTTGCTAATGCGAGCATAAGTACAGTTAGATTCCAAATTGCCTTCCATGTTTTACACAGAGAAAATATCTCAAACCCTAACGCCAAGGCCATGGTGAAGCCTATTTAGGGCAGGTGCAGCTAGCGTGCTTATCACCCCTGCCCGTAAGAATGGAAATGTAAATATCTGACACTACTAATACGCCACATTCCCTTAATCATGCGTTTCATGAATACGCTTTCTGCTAATATTGTCCACCTAGTCAGCGGCACCTCAGACCACTTTGTCCCTTACAACCTCCGTTGTAAGACAAAGGCACAATGGCTCCGAACCTGCCAGCTTCCACTCGGAAGTTTATCCGAAATTATCTTCGAACTCAAGCCGATTTCCCCTTCTTTTTGATCTGGCAACTGGTCACACAGCCGTCCTTCCTGAGCTCTTCTTGTTCCAGACCTACCTACAGCTGCAAACCCCTTTTCTAGTGCTTTCAATTGACCCCGTAGGATGACAGCCAGTTTATATCCCACACCCAGCAGTACCGTTATGGCTACGAGGAGCAGACCACTAGTCAACAAATCTACGAATATAAGAAATTGTATCACAACCAGGACACCACTAGAAGAATCGTGTCGTCAAACACGATTATAACCCCTAAGGACTCGTTCAATCGATCCTCAGCTTCAATTCAATCAATTCTCTCGGTATACAGTCTGATGGGCGCATCGAGTACTAGCCCGTACGACAATCCTCAAAAGTTGACATGAAATCATAAAGGCAAACTTTGACATACCCCTCTCACTGATTTGACTGTTTCCCTCTGCATATGATTGTGGTTTAGGCTCAAGGGGGCTTAGGTGTACAGCACAAGTCCCTCGTAGCAAATGCCTTTGCACACTGGAAGATTTCTTCCACTGCCTTTTTATAATTCGCCGCTTCCTCAGCCCTCCTTCGGTCTTTGTGACGGAGGTTGTCAAAGACGTCGTAAAAGGCCTGGCGGTGAGTCTGAGGACTTGTAGCAAGTGGTTTTGTCCATGTCGTCCGTTCTTCTCTCACAGATCCAGCATATTCATCCAGTGCAATCGTGCGAAGAACCACGATGATAAAAAAGTCCAACATCCCACTTCTCGCTCCGATACATAGAGCGATGTCGAATCTTTGTAGTCAATCTCGTTATCAGAAGTTTGATCATCCACGATTCAAAAAACCCGAGCTAAGCGGTAGGTTAGGTGAGTGAAGGAAATGGTATTATACGTAATCCTAGAATCCCGAATGGCCATGGCCCTCGAGCGTCGATCTGAACTGGCCAGATGACGGCTTAGGCCAATTAAAGGATACAGTAGCACTGTGATCGTGTCTTTGTCCTGCGGCATGATTATGGGGTCTTTACCAACATGTATTTCTCTTAAAACCTTCAGACCAGTCTCCTGGCAAATTCTTGTGCACCTCCATTTACTTTCTCCTTTAGAAAATCTTCGATCAAACAGTTTTTCTTCATTAAAAATTCCGAATCAATGTCACGCTCCACCCTTTTCAGTTCTTTTCTCTTTCTCCACTTGTGCCTGATGCTCTTTTTGACTTCAGAAAGCTTCGCATTCTTTTCCTCCTCGATCTTGATCAGCTGTGGTGACAACACAAGATAATCATCGATGAATTCCCTGCGCTTGGCAATAAACATTTCCTGCATAGCCGTTTCTTCTGCCTTTGCATTTTTCTGCATGGCCTCTGGGAGCTTTCGTATATTTTGCTCTGCGTTCATTTTCCGGTTTTGTTCTAAAGCATATAGTTCATTTAGCATCTCATGAAGCGAATCTTCGTTTGGCCAACCTTTATATGTGAGTTAGACCTCTATCCTAGTTAAAGATTTTTTCACTTACCAGGGTCGCCTGGTTTTGGAAAATCACTTAGAGGGCAAAATGTGCGCGTTCTAGGATTCCGAGCTGCGGCTTTTTGGGGTCAAAAGCCATGCATGCTGCCACGCCTAGCAGTGCATAGCTCATGGTGCTGCCCGACTATTACGCAAAAATGGAAAACCAGATTCTGCGTCCCAGTGTATATATTCAAAGAATGGTGACATGCCGGGGGCCGTGGAGTATTTGAGTCGTTGACGCAATGATGAAATGATGACGTGAAGAGCTTTCCGGTCGCTAGTAAGTCTACAAATTATTTAAAAGCCAGGATATAGTCTTTTAATATATCCAGAGTACATGAATGTGAGACTTACATTTCACATATTTCTATTAAAAAAGGGAGTTATCAGCTACAATGCGCTGGTGCAAATGCGATGTTGGAAAATACATCAGCACGCCTGCTTTTCAAACGGGATATCCGAAATTCTCCAGGTTTCTCACTAGTGACCCTGATCGCTTTCTGATGGTTTTCAGGCGATTTGACCGCCTTGCAATCCAGAATCTTGTTTATCTCCAAAGCGAATTACAATCATTGCAAGACGAATTGGATAGTCTATTTCATGACGATTTCATGTACAATGGTCCTAACGCCGACTTGAGGAAAGATTGTTTGAGATGCTGGAGAACTTTGGAGGAAGCTGCGCAGGCTCCAGCTGTGCAAACAGGAGCTATCGAACAAGGGCAAAGGCTGCGTTTGATTCGCGACATACGCGAGAAAATGAGAGCTTACCGTGCGATCAATTATCGTTGCACTTAAGGAACAGAAGCCAACTGACATGATATTAGGTGAAGCATTGTTGCAAGAGGCTGCAGTTACAAGGCTGGACGCACCATCCCAGCAAACAGTCAAATCAATCCAGGCGAACATTGAGATCGAAAAGACATTTCCTGTGGATGCGGAATCACTTTACATGGAAATTGATGATCTAGTATCCCTTAAAAGCCCTGTATACGAAGATCGCATAACATCATACCTGGAGGCGAATTTCCCCGGTTGGTTCAAGGCAAGTTACTCTTTTGAAATCAAAGGTATTCGAACCTGACCATGGTTAGATCTGCGATAGTGATAACCAGTCTACATTTTATTACGATCATGAAAAAGCTGTCCATTGCGCCACAAGTATTTGTGGGGTTTTGGCTGTTGCCAGCTTAGCTGCACCCGTCTGGGGTCTCTATGCAGTTGGCCGTTATGTCAAACCTCGTTATGCACCGTGGATACAGCTTACGATAATGACGGCTTCCACGTTTGGTTTCCTTTTCACTCTAATCTGCCTAGTAAAAATCAACCGCTCAGAATTATTTACTGCGGCAACAACGTATGTGTCACAAATACATCTTTCACCCACGAGCTAACTGAAGGGGTTATCTAGGTATTTCGCGGTTTTAGTCATATTCTTAGGCCTTAATTTAGGGCATTAAATTGCTACAGACTTTTACTTTCTTTTTACCGTTGGCTACGAATAACTTTATACGATATTCCGTTTAGAAAGCGAATCAGAACATATGAACTGACCTACTTCTCGTCCTTTCATTATTTTCTATTTTTGAACCCGTTTGCCGACAGCAAGTAACTATTAGAACCAAGGTTTCGTGGCCAGGTATGGAGAAGCCCGATGTCCCCGAAAGAACGTCCAAAACCTAGCGCCCAACCGAAAGTTGATGATATCGCACCGCTCCATTGATAAGGCTTTATCTGATCTACTGTACTGTTCGTTCTCCATACTGTTGTAAGCCATCGTATCGTGACCTGATTTACAGGCGTTCTACCATGTAAAGTGGATCCTTGACAGGTGAAACAACCTAGCTGTTCCGGTCCGTCAGTGTATCTAGCCAGCAGTATCCACTAGTCCAAATACCATCGTTTTCCCCCTTTCCGTCAACAGGTTTGGGGCCTTCAAAATGTGGCTTCAACATTCGTACTTAAATGAGGTACCTTGCCCCTATTCACGCTGTAAGTCTCTATCTTCGCTCCTCAAGTCTCCGATTAGAGCGTACAATAAGATTGTGCATTGGTGATTTTTTTGGGATTATAGCTTTTGCATGTAGCAACGGGCAAAACTCCCATCATGTCGTGCCCAATTGACGAGAACGTTCTCAACCAGCTAAAAGGGGAACAGTCGGAACTCCTGGACAAAATCGACGAACTACGCACCATAGGTGTTGGAGGCCTCGTGGAACTCCCCCAGATTGTTGTCTGTGGAAATCAATCCAGCGGCAAAAGCTCCGCTCTAGAAGCTATCTCAAGAGTGCGATTTCCTGCTAAAAGCAGCATTTGTACTCGGTTTGCGACCGAGATTGTTCTGCGTCGGAACCCCTTCAACAGAGTCAAAGTATCTATTGAACCGGGAAAATCTAGAAAGGACATCACGGAACGGGAGAAACTTTGCGCTTTTACTTTAGAGTCTTTTTCCTCTGGCGAGGACCTTCCCTCTCTGATCGAGTCCGCAAAAGAGTGCATGGGACTGTCTAACACCGACAGCCTTGCCTCCAATTCCGGCTTTAGTGATGATGTGTTGAAAGTTGAGATTTCGGGCCTGATCGACCAGAGCTGACTCTCGTTGATCTTCCCGGCCTGTACTACTCCACAAGCAGTGATCAAGGCGAGCCAGGAATGAGAATCGTGCAGAGTCTTACCGAGAGCTATATGAAAAGCTCTCGCACTATCATCCTGGCTGTGATTAGCGCACGGAACGATTACCATATCCAAAAAGTGGTGAATATGGCGCAAGAGTTCGATCCTAAGTATGAGAGAGTGTTGGGTATTGTGACTCAGCCCGATGTTCCTGATGCTGGCTCAGACGACGAGGATTACTATCTGCAACTCATTCATAATGAGAAAGTCCAGTTACAGCTTGGTTGGCATGTGTTACGCAATCGCTCTTTTGAGACGATGAACATTTCCGACGATGCGCGTGATGTTCAAGAGAAGGAGTTCTTCAACAAAGGGCGATGGGCTTCGCTTCCTCGCGACCAGGTGGGGATCGAAAATCTGAGACATCGTCTGAGCACTATTCTGCTTTCTCATATCCGTCGAAATCTTCCGGATCTTATTGGTGACATACAAGACAAGATTCTACGCAATGAGCAAGCACTCGCAAAAATGGGCACATTCCGGACGAGCGTCCAGGAGCAGCGGCGATTCCTTGTTGACATCAGCAGCAAGTTTGCGCGTATCACGAATCAGGCATTGAATGGATCGTATGTCGATGACTTCTTTGGTGGTTACAAGAATTATACTGCAAACACAGAGGAATTCCCTTTCCGTCGACTGAGAGCAATCGTTCGCGAGCTTAACGAATGCTTTGCCCACGCTATGAGCATTCGTGGAAATCGTCGGATGATCCAATCATCCTCAACACCTGCACTTAATATCCCAGAAGAGATATGTCAGCCGTATATGGATGGCTGGACTCCGCAGTACATCACGCGGGAGTCGCTGAAAGGGGAAATTAAGGAGCAAGCGCGCGAAAGTCGAGGGATTGAGTTACCCGGAACCCCGAACCAACTCTTGGTTGGCAGCCTATTCCGCGACCAGTGTGAGCCTTGGAAAGGGATCGCAGAAGCTCATCTCTTGAGCGTGTGGAGCTCAGTGGAGTACTTCATCCAGATTGTGCTTAAGTATCTCATAGACGATCACACTCGCGGTTCCCTTATGCGGCACTTGATTTCCCCAAAGCTCGAGAAAATGAAGGAGAAACTGATGGCAAAGCTTGAGGAACTAGTTTCCTACTACAACCATGGTCATCCACTTCCTGTGGGAGACTCTTATCTTTCGAAAATGCAAGAGTCTAGACAAAAGCGTCAGCTCGCTGCATTGGCCCAAATTATCGGCTTGGAAAATGATGCTGTGAGTAGCTTGAACTTAGATCAGGCAGCCAACAAAGTAGTTTCTTCCAGCGACGAATTCGGTGCAGAGGAGATTATTGATCAGATGCAAGCGTATTATGATGTGAGTTACGGACGTTTAATTTTGAATGGCCGCTGCGCAATACTGACTTGCTCTATGTTTAGACAACGATCATAACCTTCGTCCAAAATGTTGCCATTCTTGCAATTGAGAATTGCTTCCTCACTCCATTAGAAGATGTATTTTCTAGTCAAACTGTTGTGGACATGGATGATCAACAACTCCAGAAAGTAGCGGCTGAGCCGTCCGTGACGCAAAATGAGAGAACACGACTGAACGAGGAACTCGAGAAGCTACGACTTGGCAGAGAGACACTTGATGCCTATAAGCCGGATGAAATCTCTCTACCGAATTCCCCTATTTTGGGTAAATTTTTCCAAAGACGGAATGAGTTTATGGAGTGAAGTATCGCTGACTGATATCAATATCATCCAGGACTACAAGTTTTGCCAACTCAAGTTCTGAATGGTGTAGTGAAGTTACCGATAAGATGTCAGCTCGAACGAGATTCTATTACCTTGCCTGAGTGATCCTCACAATAGCAAATCTACAGCATCAAGTCCAGCACCAGCACCAGCACCAGCAATAAAGGGCACCCCTAATCCACCGTCGGTCCCGAACCAGAAGCCTGATGTTGTGGCAACACCTTTTGACCCTCCTCCCGCGAGTTCAATGACAAAAAGCCCAATTGCTCCTGGTGGGTGATTTCTCTGATATTTAGTTCTTATGCTACAATTGACTAATGCTTAATTAAAAACAATAGTGTCTGATCCCCTAAAATTTGGCTCACCTGCTATCGAAGTGAAATTTGGTCCAAATTTGGCGGCCGCCACTAGGAAGGTAGTGACAGAGGCCAAGCTGTCTTCACCAAGCCCTTTTTTGCAATCCTGCTGCGACGGGCCAAGCCACTCCCAACTTGAGCTCAGCGCAGTAGTCTGAGGCTGCAACACTACCTTCTAGTTCTAAAGGGCCCCTTGCCCTTGCTTCCGATGCTTTTTACCTTGCGGGCACGCCAATTGGTAGTAGCAGTGGGTTCGGTGGAAGCCCTACTCCCGCTGCATTTGGTATTGGCACTCCCTTTGGAGGTAAAGCTTTTCCTTTTGCAAACAATGATGACCGTGGGTATGGAAGACCCAAGTCCCCCAGTACCAAGAGGTTCAAACAGGGGTAGGTCAAAGCACGTGTCGCGAAGCTTTTATCCTGATAGTAGACTACTTCGTCTAGGCTTCGCGAGAAAGATGTTCAGTCACCCGTAACCAATTGGTATCAACACATCTGCACCACATTCCCATTTAGCGAATACTCCCCTGAGGTTTGTGCGACCACCCAGATTGATATATCATGCTGTTTTGTAAAGAGAGAAATGATTAGGGCGAAGGTTTACTGACGTCGAATTGTTTAGGAGCTTCGTCTTGGAGACTGCTTCTTAATCAGCGGCGTGTGATGACCTCCTTTTGGGATGTGAGAGAGCCACTCTAGTTGTGAGAATCAAGTAAAATTCTCCATTGGAAGAAGATATTTATACTTGGCAATATTTTGGTTTGGGCCACGGCATCTCTTTCCTTGCATTATCTGAGCGCATTAGTTCCAACTAGACCACTGAACCCTGAATTGGTCTGGTTTATTTAATACAGAGATGGACAAACACTTTCTCCACGGTATATCCTTTCGGGAGTCAATAGACCGTTCCAAAGTAAGCTACAGTGCCGGGGATATATGCACCATCCTGGTGCGCCTTGACCATCCACTTATGGTGTGATTTTAGACAAATACTGACTGGCTAGGAATACATGGATTATGCATACTTACTCCACGCTGTATACGACTTTCTTACATCTCAACAGGAAGGAATAGATCCTTGGTCCCGGTACTTCTAGCCGCGAATATTCAATTTCTAACGTAGTAACAGAAATACAGAGAGATTTCCCAATAACAGGGACTGTAAAGACAGTCCTCAAGCACTTTAAGGCACTATGGAGGTCCATAAAGTGCTCTCCGGGAATTCACCCACCGCATAACCTCCGGAGAGCTCTTAGATCGTCCACGCCTCTTAACTACTGGCCGAAACATAAGCCCTTTCTTCAATTCCTCGTGGTTGAAGTTCCGAGTGTGCACTTCCCTGCCTTGAGTCGTCGTGAAGCTGTCCCAAAGCCGCGGTCGATCAGTGTCCCAAATTGGGTGCAGATTCACCATTCCATATATTTGCTGTGGACTGCCCTCTTCCTCTTGCTCTTCAAGTTTCGGATCCTGAATGAACTTTTCATACAGGTTTGAGAAGCTGACTTTTTCTAGCCCTGGCATTGATTGGTTCATATAAGAAAAAATCGGCGTCCATGACCCAGTGGTCAAAGTACACTCATGCAATGTGAAAGATCTGAGGCCGGGATGCTTTTGGAGAAACAGCAGAATCGAGTCCCCTTTTGCCGGGAATCCCGAAAATGCGCATTTTTCAAGTAGTGGGAACTGGGTTTCATGGGCCATACTCTCAATCAGACGGTTGTAGCTGTCCAACTTCCCTCTTTCCAGGGTATTACGGAAGAATAAATCCAGCTCTCGAAGAGCGAGCGCAGGTTTGAGCAGGGACGTAATACCCGGAGTCCCAACATCTAGTACTTCACCAGGATCATCGCATATCAAGTGATCCTCTGTTTCGTCTTCGTATTCGCTTTCTGTGTCTTCATCTCGCTTGGAATTTTCAACGGTGTCGGTAGAGTTAAGCGCGCTCTGTACCTCCACGGACATACTTAGCTCGAGTGATTCCAGACTCTTGACCACAATCCCTAGCTGTTCTGAGTCGAGATCAGATGCGTAGGTGGTGATATGACCAGATGGAATGCAGCACCTGGGAGTTTGGCGATATGCATTGAATTTCTTCACTGATACCCCGCTTTGTGCCAAAGCCGTCACAACCAAAGAGAAGATGCTTGAGGCTCGCATCCAGAGAGGATACCACTTCCCCTGCGAGGTCGATACCCTTTGCTCACGTCCGCGGATGAACGCACCATCTAAGTGTATAGAATCCAACTTGCCAAATCCTTTGAGCAAGAGTTGAAGAAGCTCCAGCATTTCTTCCGATGACTCATTGGCTCTGGCTTTTCGCTGTTCTTCAAACCAGTCCAGATCGGATTTGGCGCTTGAGAGTTCCTCCGGAGTATAAGGGGTTGTGACGGCCTCGAAAAAAGGCCCTCTGGCTGTGTGTACAGTGTATTTTCCTGACTTCACATTTTTCTCCAGTTCGGATGAATCGAGGTTTGTGGCCAAGAGGGTCAGAGAATAGATCTTGTTGCTGAGGGCGGGATTGCAGGCCAAGGCGTAAAGAGAACGAAGATTATGCAAAGATACATCGAGAGTTGGTTGTTCAATGGATACTAAAAAGCGGGGTCCGATGCACTTCTCTGCGAACTTTCGGGCTGTTAGACGAAGAGCTTTGACCTCGTCCAGATCCAGATATGTGATGATTATCTCGAAGATTTCCGGAGGGAGTGTCGTCCAGTCAATGATGGGGGATGAATTCCCCTTCGAATCAAACATGTTGATGAGAAAGATGGAGTGAAGCGTTCAAGGCGAAAACCACGTGCTACGGAGGGGGTTGACTGGGGGCCGGCGCTAACAAGCTCGACGGGGCGGCTGCATTTTGGGGCTCTCCAAATCAATTTGTGGAAATCTGGAGGTCACTCTGGATTGGAATATTACTATGTTGCCGCCTTCATATTTGCGAAAACCACTTTATCGTCCTGTCCATGTTATACAATCTCTTGTGAAGATGCAAACGAAGTAAGGCTTTCCCAAAGATGATCTTACTAGTGCCATTCTACCCGGTGTGAGTCGATAGATTTACTTAGCCTCTAGGTGGTTTTACCTGTATTTGGGGGCCATCACATAGTCTGCGCGGTAGAATATATACGGATTCCCCCATGGTAACGTTCACTTTGACTATGAGCCTTGCTTCGTACACAAGTATGGGGTATGCAGTGTGATGTACGCGTTACTTGAGGATGGTGCGTTTATCCAGCCAATCCTCGACTGTCTTAGCCACAGCCTAGACGTGGGACGACGGGATCCTCAGGACCGGACATTATTTCTTGCCGCTAATACGGATCCGCTTATCTAGCATAGTCGTGGGAACACCACTCTACATTACCTGGCAGTAGGTAGACTAGGTAAATAGGATCGCGTGGGTGACGAGCAGAGATGTTTACTTTCAGTGTTTTTCTCGAGCGCAAGAGGTGACCCAAAAGCCCGAAACACAACGTGTGTAACTGAGTTAGAATTGTTGTTCATGACGCTCATGATAGGGTATGAGCCGATCTTTGCAGTAGACCATAACTACGACCGCTTATACCCCATTAGTGAAGAACTAGTTGATTCATTCCAGCCGAAGGGCTATATCTTGACAGAATAATGCCCCTAACCAGACGCTTTTGCACCTGGTGGCTTAACTTGACTCGGGCCGTTTGTGCACGAGGTTCGATCTTCTCAAATGTAAAGGGCTGGATCTTGAGGCCAAACATGATAATGGAGCAGCTACTCTGGATAATACAACATGCCATTGATGGTTCAAGTTACATGTTCAGGGTGATAGTGCCTGAAGCGCTTGTGTTTTGCATGATTTCAGTTAGATGGAATCAATTGACTTCGCGAAAGGAATACATTGTCAAACCAAGAAAGCAGCTACCTAATGCCTAACTATAACTTCTTGGATCACTAAACTTGGTATATGTAGTATAAGTACCACCTGTAAGGTTACTACATCAACTTCACTATCAAGATATATAGTCTTCACATAAGGTTCATGTTACACCTATTCTGTCTCACACCTCTAAGTCTCAGATCCGGAGGTTTCACATACATCTCCAAGTTTGCATCAATTCCTGCCCAGGTGTATCTCAATGGTATGAGAGTCCGCATAGTGTTGAAAATCAGCGTCTTCTCAGGGATGTACAAGGAAAGAGCGCACGTGACGGTGCCGAATTGCCGAGAACGATGAGTCAGCCAGCCCGGGACCGGCTTCGCCTGAGCCGCCCGTCCACGCTACAACCTCGATTTGCCTCCGCTTTTTCCCCAAACGAGGTTGGCCATGCCGGTTCAGGCCGCCCTGGACCGGATTTTTCACTGCTTGGCGGGGCCCAGGAACTGTCTCGATGGCCAGTCCTCTGTCAAGCTTCGCTGTACAGCCTATCACGATGGATTCAACTGAGATCGATGGGGGGCCCAGTGGAGGGCAAATTTCTTCATCGATGGGCGGGTTTAAGGGTCCATTATCACCGTATGCATGGTCGGAAAACTTATGCTTTCAGTCCACGGCAGAGTGGTATCCGGTGATAAAGTCGTTTAAATAATCGGCTTTCTGCCAATTTTTCGTTTGGCCTTGCAATTTTCGTTTCGCTGAACGAACGTGTATCTCTTATTTATACAGGAATCACAGCAATTTCTGGTTGAATATCATCATCTTAACTGGTTGCCTGCACTCTTATCACTGCATAGACTACATTGATTCCCGACACAGCCATGTCGGAAAAGGATGAACACGACCATCGATCGACACATTCTCATTCTACCTCGGATGCCAGTTCAGATACCGAAGACCCCGCATCGCGGACACCGTCGCTCCCCCGAGCAATGGCGGAGTCCGTCAAGTCAAGACGGACGTCCAAATCCAACCTTGACGATGTAGATCTGGACCGCGTTCACTCTGGGAGATACCCAGATGATATCACGGTGTACCACAGCCACGAAGATGATGACAACGATACGACGGATGATTCTTCGTTGGAGGCCGCCAAGGTCGATACCATCCAGGAGGTAAGAGGTGGGATCGTCAACGAGCGGGACGTGGACCTGGAGAGAGGCGAACAGTCTGCATCAGACCTTGAGAAGACGAGGACGTTGCGATCGACGAAATCTCGCCATGGCGGCAAGCTGGTAAGTTCTGATCCAGATCTATCGGCTTTGTAGCAATCTAGTCTAACAAGTTCCCTAGGTGACATGGGACGGACCCGAGGATCCAGAGAATCCCAAGAATTGGCCCTCGAAAAAGAAGTGGGCAGCAACCATCACAGTCTCCCTATTCACTTTCATTTCGCCAGTGTCTTCCTCCATGGTAGCACCCGCCTTGACCACCCTCGAGGCCCAATTAAACGTCACCGACCCAATCGTCTCCCAGCTCATGCTCTCCATCTTCGTTCTGGCATACGCTGTTGGACCATTATTCCTAGGACCACTCTCAGAAATCTATGGGCGAACTATCGTTCTCCAACTCGCCAATCTATTCTTCCTGGTTTTCAACATCGGCTGCGGCGTGGCCCAGACCAAGACCCAGCTGATCGTGTGTCGGTTCTTCGCCGGACTGGGCGGTAGTGCGCCCCTCGCAGTCGGCGGCGGCGTTCTATCCGATTGTTTCAGACCTGAAGAGCGAGGCAAAAGCATTGCCATCTACAGTCTAGCCCCCCTGCTAGGCCCAGCTCTCGGCCCTATCGCAGGTGGCTTCATCGCCGAGAACATCTCCTGGCGCTGGGTCTTCTACTCAGTATCCATCGCAGACGGACTCATCCAATTCATGGGCCTCTTCTTCCTCCGCGAAACCTATGGCCCCCGCATCCTCCGCGACCGCGCCAAGCGCATTCGCAAGGAAACCGGCGACACCACCTGGCAAACTGAAGCAGAGATGCAAAAGAAAACCCTCGCCCAAGTCCTCCGCGAATCTCTCGTCCGGCCTTTCCGTCTGCTCTTAACCCAATCAATTGTCCAAGTCCTCGCCTGCTACATGGCCTTCATCTACGGAATAATGTACCTCGTCCTGTCGACCTTCCCCTCCCTCTGGACCAGCAAAGACTACTACAACGAGTCCATCGGCATCGGCGGTCTAAACTACATCTCCCTAGGCCTAGGCTTCTGGTGCGGCTCCCAAATCTGCGCCCCTCTCAACGACCGCATCTACAAGCGCCTCAAAGCCCGCAACAACGGCGTCGGCCGACCAGAGTTCCGCGTGCCCCTCCTCGGCGTCGCAGCCATCCTCATCCCAAGCGGCCTCTTCATCTACGGCTGGACCGCGCAGACCCACTGCCACTGGATCGCGCCCAACATCGGCGCCGTACTCCTCGGCGCGGGCACGATCATCTCGTTCCAGTGCATGCAGACGTACATGGTCGACGCGTATACGCGGTTCGCGGCGAGTGCGCTGGCAGCTAGTGCGTTCCTGCGGTCACTGGCGGGCTTTGGGTTTCCGCTTTTCGCGCCGTATATGTATGATAAGTTGCATTATGGGTGGGGGAATAGTGTGTTGGCGTTTATTTCGATTGCGATTGGGATTCCGGCGCCGATCTTTTTGTGGAAGTTTGGTGAGGCGCTGCGGAAGAGGAGTACGTATGCTGCTGGGTAGATTTGGCTGTTGTTAGATATAATTCCTGTCTTAGCGAAAGAAAAGATATAATTGCATTTCACATTATTACCCTCGAACTGGATGATCTCCGAGCGACTAGAGAGGTAATCACTGTGGTATTCATTATTCTGAGTATACGAGGTTTGCGAATTCTGGGCAACATCGTGATATAGAAGATTGATCGAGGTTCAGAGACAAACTAACAACGGAGATAATCCGTTTGGAGGATTGCGCTCGACTATTTGAGATATCCAATAGGAAAAAGTCTCAGAGAATGATTTATCAAAAGTATGTCAAGTACATTGAAGGATATTGGAAAAACCTTGTCATAGAATATCCTTGATGTTGTAAGTGGTGGGAAGACGAGTGCAGGTTCGGCTTCTCAGAATGTTCCTGCCAGTGCTTCATGCTAGATGCAACCATGGGGGTTACCTGTCTCAAGGAATGTGTAATTGAGATTAATCTCGTCAGGTCATGTTTGCAAGGCCGCGGTGTCCATAGGATCAGAGATAAAAGCGCTAAGGCGCCAAAAGCTATTCAGTTTATTCCTCTAGAACCCTGACGCCCCGCGGGCAGCAGGCCGCATTACCGTGTTATCGAATGATTGAATCTAGTATGACGAGCTGGCTCCTAATTTTAGGATGTCTTTACAAGCACTTATTCTTGAACAATGGTGTTGTCACTTTCGTACTATATAACAAACATTTTTTACGTACCTCATTTGCGGATTACACTAAGGCACGGCAGCGAAGTATGTTCAACCTTCCCGCTCCAACTTGAAGAAACGTGGTCCATATGTTCCTCATACTAAATTAATATATACAGTCTATCGAAATACAACACGAGATCCGCGACAATTACCGCAGATCCGAATTTGTTGCATCACTCAACCCAGATACGACATCTAGTTGGTGATACCACTCTCCTTGTGGCCATTCTTCTACATAAATTGTCAGTAAAATGTTCTCTGGTCAAATCACAAAAGATCCAGAACTCACCAGAGTACGGGTGTACTTGACACCAACGTTAATACCAGCAGCGGCGCTGTATGGGACAGGGCTGATGTAGTTGTAAGTAGCCTTCTGACCCTTGTAGGTCTTCTTAACGGTCTCCAGGATACCGTGGCCAGCAGTGCAGCGCTCGTTGACAGTGGGGATGGGCCACTGGGAAGTGTACTTGGAGTAGATGTTGTCAGACAGAGGGCCGGGGGCGGTCTGGTTGAAGTAGTCCTTGGCATTGATAGTCGCGAGATCAACCTCCCAGTTAACGTAGCCGGTCTTCTCGGCAACAAGGTTGAGCAGGTTAGCACCGCAGTCCCAGCGGCCAAGGGAGGGGAGACCCCAGTTAGCGCTGAGGGAGGCAATGACCGAGTAGTGGGTGTAGAAGGTGTCGTCCTTGGTTCCCTTGAGGTGCTCGGGGACGGCGCCGCCAAGGAGGATGGAGTAGACGCGGTTCTCCTGGAGATAGGTGGAGGTCTCGTCGAAGGTGACAAGGATGAGGGTGTCCTTGGTGAAGTAGTCATTCTTCAGGAGCGGGGTCATGAAGCGGTTGAGCCACTCGCCGGCAAAGGTGACGTTGGTGTCGTGGGCATCGTTGGTCATGTTGGGGGTGATGAACATGTGCTGGGGCAGACGGTGGTGCTCCAGGTCCTCGTAGAAGGTGGTGAAGTTCTTGATCTGACGGGGACGGACAGCGTCATTGGTGACGGAGTCGAAGAGGATCAGAGGATTGTGCTTGCGCACGTAGTCATTGGCTCCAGTCTCGGGGTAGCGGAAGCCCTGGTAACCTATATCAAGGATAATTGGTTAGCTGATGAAGTGCCAATTGCGAAGTGCATGATGCGCGGATTAAAGAGTGCCCTACCAGCATAGGGCAAATCCTCCTGGTACTCGCCCCAGGCAACGCCCTTGGTGTCGAAGAGGTCGGCAATGGTAGAGACGTTGGCGGGGATCTGGTGCCAGTCATCATTGTCCATGCCGAAGTCGTCACCAGCAGCGGAGGCGCAGTAGTTGGGCTCGGAGGGGTGAGTGACGCCGAAGTAGTTGGTCAACAGGATACCCTCCTTGGCCAATGCCTCGAAATTCTTGTCACCAGCAGTGGTGGCAAAGTCCTATCAGATTTTATTAGCTATAAAGCCCGGCTGAATATCCTCGTCAATGAATGAGACTACTAACAGTGTTCTCGATCCAGACATCGACGAAACGGTCAAAGGCGAGACCCCTGACATTGGAGACGGGCGAGTAGGGCAGGACAGAGGCCTGAGCAGCCTCAATCTCAGCGGGAGTCGGGTTCTCGATGGTGGTGGTCTCCGCTGCGGCCATGGCCAGGCAGCTTACGAAAGCGAGGAGGCTCTTCTTGGTGAACATTTTGACGATAATAAGACCCGGTGATTGTCTGTTCTACCAATTGTTTTGAAGATGGAAATTCTCACAATGCGAGAAGGAAACAAACCGGACGATCTTTGGGTGACAGTCCGGATTCTTATAGCTTTTGCGCGTCTCGGGCGATTGGTGTACCGTCGTCGCTGTTTAGCCAGTGGAGAGACGCGCATTCGCATCGCATTCTTCTCGATTGCCCCTCTTCGCTTAGAGAATACGACGGAGGCCGAGGCGGCCAAACCGGGTGATGGGTAAGGTTGTATCTGCAGACGAGGAATGCACGTTGCATTGCAGGCCAGACTGACTGGCTCTTTCTCCAAGCCAACGTTCCCGCTCTTGGAAGTCTTAGCGGGGAAGCTTGGCCCGGTCTGGCCTGGTTGATTGGTGGGCCTCCCGTGGGCTGCTCAAGTGGAGAAGCGGCGTGCCTGGCACGTTGCGCCCGAAAGCTTCGTGACTGGCTGGACTACGAGATGAATCAAGGGCCATTGGAAATTGCAAAAAGGCCCCGGACTGGAATACTTCCGAGAAATGTCCATGCAGAGGACATTTAGCCAGATTAGATTTCTGACAACAGCGCCACAAGCATTGACCAAGACGAGTCAGATTTCAAAAAAGATGTCAACCAGGGCTTTTCTGCGCGGTCGGCTCGGCAATTGAATTCAGGTTTCTGACCCACGGGCCTCAGCTGTGGACGTGGAAAATACCCCGATAGGTTAGACATCGCACCACTGGCCAAGCTGATGATCGATATTGCCCTACCAGACACCACGTGGGAAGCACGGTTTGCTACCCTTGGCAGGCTTGGCGAGGGGAATAAGCCCTGGCCTCTAGATCGTGATTGTTGACCGTGACGGTGAAATTCCTGGAAATCAGAAGATATGTTCAACATGGGTATGTCAAAACAAATAACATATCACTATGGAGTGCCAACCTCAAGTTAAACCAAAGTGCGAATCAAAGAATGGCAAAGGATCGTGCACCGACAGGGAACAACATGTATCCCGGAGTCATATTTTGATCTTCTTTCCGGATCACTCCAAACGGCCAATAGGAATGCCTTGAAGTGTCATTACAGGCCAAAGATTAGCGCACTTTCAGGTCGTCGCTAGGGTTCGAATCGTCCGATATTGCTAGACGCTACAGTACTTGCAAGCACGATATGTGAAGAATATCACCAAAGCCGTGCGGCCACGAAACACCTTACATGATTTTGCACTTCTGCCTGATATAAATATACCGATCGGCGCGGATCACTGGGTGGGTCACTGTAAGGCTGCAGGCAGGGAAATCCAGGGATTAGCTCTGCCTTGCAGGAAGATAATAACGGCTCAGAAGTTTTAGAGGATAATGGCAGACTGGAGATCGGCACGGCAGTATCTTGGCAACAAGGATCTTAATGAATGCTATAAGTCTTCCGGTTCAGGCTTTTCATACGTACTTATAGGCTATTGCACACACCCTCATGACATATGATGAGAAGTGATGAAGTTTGCCCTTGGGAAGATTTCTTGTTTGCCAGGCCCTGTACTGTACGTGTCTTTGGCCTTTAAGAAGCCTCCTCTTGCTCTTCGCTTTCTTGGTCCCTAGAGCGATCTCTAAATTGAGGGATTGAGTTCTATTTCCCCAAATACTTCCTGAATGCTTCCTATGAGTTCGACGTAGAGACGTTTTCAGGTAGCATTGGTAGGCAATAGTTTTCGGCTGTTATCTTTGTTGAGTTGTCCACCAGTCAGTCACGCCAGCTTAAGCCAAACCATGGGACGGATGCATTCGGAAAGCATGGACAATAGAAGATCCTGGTGCAAGCTGTTTGACCATATATCATATACCAAGCGCAATTTTTCAGGACGACGTATTTGAGAGCAGCGGGCGCAAGCACATCCGAGTGTCTGAATCTCGTGTATCTTATTTCTTTAGGATTAGTACAGTAGATAGTGCTTGTTAGAGGAGCAAACGAGGTTATACTGAGAAAACTGACCATATCAATCTTGCGTGATCAAATGTGAGTAACCATCGCAATACGTGATTCAAAACTCTGTAGAATATTGTAGAAGGTGGTATGCTCTCATTTCCTCTGCTAGTGCTCACAACGACCTAAAACTCAGCACCGTATTGTGAAACATCTGCATATCATTAGTTACACGAATGGTGACAATATCGACCCTTTGGACTATATCATCCTAGCCGTGGTGATGAACCGTGTGCGTAGACACTTGGACCAGTAGTTCAAGAACCGGTCGCCGCATTCTTGAACCAATGGGTGTGATCGCGATAACCCGCTGTATATCTGCACTCGTGTTTATCTTGCAGGTGCAACCCTCCCACCCGTATAGGCTCGAACAAGGATCCCATCAATGTAGAAGTTGGATTCTGCAGTCATGCGACTTAAGAATGGCCCATTCAGGCCAATAGATTTCTCCCTCGCGCTAGAAAGAGCAGAGAACCGGACTAAAGGGGTTTCTAGAACTTTTCTCCGGTCGCACGTTCCCTGATCGAGATAACGATAACGTGTGGCAAGATAAGGCTGCAGGATGATTATCTGAAAGGCAGAAAGCAGATTCTCTGGCTACGTAACTTTGGATGAAATCACTGGCTTCGATTCAAATTGATCCGCCCAAGGAACAATTCTATCTAACTTCTGTAGTATCCAACCAAAAAGTATGAATGTCAGCCCAATCGCCACCAATTTGTGTGTTAGCGGAGAGCGCAAATAGACTTTGGCTTACCCCACACCCACACGAGTCCAGCACGTTTCTTATCAGCCCCCCTTCAAGTTCCGCTCGATCTCCTACGTTTCTCACACTCCCCACCCAAACACGATGCCGCCAGATCGACAACCGCGCGTGCAGCGGATTGTCCGCGTTCGCACAGGATGCTGGTCCTGTCGGCGCCGGAAGAAGAAGTGCGACGAGTTGAGACCGATATGCTCGGGGTGCAGGCGGAATGACCTACGGTGTGAATGGCCATCGACTGTGCCAGGAATGACGAACTCGGGCCCGGAAAACGACAGGTCGAGCTATACTCCGGCAGACAGACGGTCTAGCTACGCCGGATCGATTGAAGATCTCGATGCCATGCAGCTACCCGGTAGTCCGCTGTCCAGGCGCCATTCCTCGCCTTTGTCGACCGCGGGACTTTCCGCCATCATGGAGGAGCAAATGGGACAGGCATCCGATCCAGACGAGACTATCGATCGCCGCCGGTCAACTCTGGGCGAAGAGGAAAATGCGCTTGTTGCTAGTATGGCCGTTGGGAATGTCGTGCCGCGCACTATGTCAATGTTACCGGGGTATGACCCAGAGAGTTATGCACTTCTCTCGCATTATCTGTCCAACACGGCCGACGTGATGGCCAACGGCACAACACCCATCAACCCATTTCTCGTCCAAATCGTACCACTAGCATTCACCAGCGACCTTCTTCTTCAACTCGTCATTGCGCAGAGTGCTGCGCACCGCGCCTTTCGACGACGCGACGATTCAGACGCGGTGGCGAACTCCCACTATACCAAAGCTATCCAGCTCTTCCGACATGGCGTAAACGATTTCATCGAGGGAAAGGAGTCAAATCCACTGATGCTATTGATCGGCGCCTTGTTAATGTGCTTTACAGAGGTAGGAAGGACGGACTGAATGGGACCAGTCATCATCAGATACTAATCCGAAGGGTAGACTGCCAAAGGCGACATGACGGGAACCGTATTCGATCATCTATCAGCCGCCCACACTTTACTACTGAAGCTCCTTGAACAAAGCGACACTGCTGTGCCCAGAGAATTAAAAGACTTTGTCATCGAGTACTACGTCTACACCGCGACCGTCAGCATGATTTCGATCGACGCCCGCTTAAGCGGACAGTTATTCTTGAACTTTGACCTCGAACAACGCGCGCGGGACATTCTTCGCACCCAATACGTGGGCAACCTATGCGGCTGTTGGCTAGAGTTACTCCTCCTCATCCCTTGCATCTTCGATCTCGGTCGACAGTGGATGATAGGCGACTCGCAGCCCGTCGTCCCGACTGCAGACGACATGGCCATGTTCGCCTCCATCCAAGCCCAGGTCCTCCGCTGGTCACCCTACTCCTTCGTCGAGCCTGAGGTTTACTTAGCCGGTCTAGTATTCCAACAAGCCGTGCTCATCTACTTGTACACTTCGCTCGGCGGTTATACCTACGCCCCCGACGGCATGTACAAAGGGCTCATCCAAACGGCAGTCACAGAGGCACTGTCATATCTTGTCGAAATCTCCCCACAAGCCCGGATCAACTCTGGTCTCTGTTGGCCGATCGCTGTAGTCGGTTCATGCCTTGAAAAGCCTGAGCAGCAGGAACGTCTACGGGTGCGTTTAACAGCGATGGCAGCACACTTTGGTCTAGGAAATATGCAGCGAACGCTTTTACTGCTTGAAGCTATGTGGGAACTTCCCCAGCTGATGCCGGGCCGTGGAATATTTGTCGGACAATGCAGTCCAAGCAAATTTGGATTTCTTTCGCGTGATTTGGACCAGATCAACGCCGTGTGCGTTATGTACAAGTTTGTAAGACGGTGTTCATGTTCACCAACAAGGTCTACGGGCTAGCGAAGGTCTTGGGCCTCTTAGACGTGGATTTCTCAGGCGTCATAATTCTTCGCAAGATGACCGTCAGCGAAAAGTCCTCGGTAATGACGAACAAGGTCCCATGAACACAGCGGCATGAACCTGTTCAATCACCTGGCCGAACAGACCGCTCAGAAAGTGAACTCTGCCAGCAATTCGCTTTTCCTTGTCAGGATCTGTCTCACTCAAAGAATCGGGGTGAGAGCGACAATCATGAGTGGTGCAAAACACAGCGAATTGGACCAAACCCCCCTCAAGCATACGCAATGCCAAACTCGTGGTTCGTTGTCAAAGATCCTTTCGCCATCGGTATACGCCAGCTATGCTGTAGTCGCACCGACAAATCCAATCCTACTCGCCGTATGGATCACATGAACGGGCTTCTTGCCCTGCTTCTGAAACATCCAATAGCCGGATTGCTTCTATATTACACCCCTGAGACGAATTCCTGCATTGCGACCTCGAATATCCTTTGAACACGCCTCGGCGTCATCGTGTGTCAGGTGCGGGTTACCCAAATCCTGGAAATCTAGCGCCCATGCCACTTTCCCGCGTCGATACGCGCAACTTGCATTTTCGATCTGCAATTTTTGAAGCCTCCAAAGTGTTCCCTTTCGTACATCATCGGGAGGAATGATCAGGTCACTTCCGGTGGATAGAACTGTGTTGCTGATGTCAGTCATGGGAATTGTTTTTATCCCGTCTGATGCCGCAGTTCTCATCCTTGTCAGCCTTGTCAGTCTATCAGCTGACGATAAGGACGTTTTGCGGTGCAGGTGCAGTCTTTTAGCCTGTATGTTTTCAAACATATATAGGTGAATCATGTACCTGATTTGAGCACTTGAGAAAGTGTAATTTTGTACAACTAAAGTTGGGGACTTCTGGGAGCCGGAGATGCCCGGTGAGGTGCCAGGTATATATGTTCATTGAATAGCATTCACGCCACCATCTCATGAGCAACTACATGGGTCTCAAGCCCACTACTAGTCAAAATATCATACGAACTCATGGAAGGCGCAGGCTCTAGTCGAAATTCCTGGCAGCGTACCAACACTCACCGGGACCTATAAGCTGATTACACCTCATGTCCACACCAAATCAACTCCTTCCCTATCGCGGCTCTGTACGGACACTACTGTATGGGTCGCGAAATATGGAGAGGTATTAAAGCGCCGCAGATAGGTCTTTGTTCACTAATAGTACTTAATGCTTCGAAACGACTACCACTTGCAATAGTAAACAGGAGATAACCAGTTAAAACTCCGTGGCTCATGTGCGTTGGGTAATTATAAATGTGTCACGTGTGCTTACCGCGCTTCGGCTAGCGCAGCGCGGTCCGGGACCGCGCTGGAGTGGGTCCGTCACGGGGTCGAGAGTAGAATGAATGGCAAGACTAGTGTGAATAGGAACACATGGGATTGCGAATGACAAAATAGGTAAAGAAGGGGATCTGAGACGAAATAGAACGATAGTATGATTTAGATTGGCTGCAGAAAATACTAGAGCTACATCAAGAGACGCCCTGGAATATGAAGAGTCAAAAAGTAAAACGCGATTTATGTATTGGAAACAAAGCAGCCATCAAAATGCCATTCAGCATATCAAGATCTACGCAGAAGCATCCTTAATGTGATAACTCTTCAACTTCACAAATCCATCATAACCACGGGGTCCAAGTGTGGAGCCCAAACCAGAGGTCTTCCAACCAGTCCAAGCAAGATCCTATAACAGAGTTAGCAATTCCATATCCTCTGAGAGACAACGTCTGGAATACACACCGGAGCAGGATAATCACAACGGTTAATAAACACCGTTCCAGCTTCGATCTGATCAATCAACTCCTCACCACGAGCCATATCCTTCGTCCAGACACTAGCAGTCAATCCGTAGTCGCTGTCATTCATCAAGGCAACAGCCTCTTCATCACTGGAAACCTTCATAATAGGCATAACGGGACCAAAAGTCTCCTCCTTCATGGTAACCATGTCGTGGTTGACGTTAGTCAAGACAACTGGGGCTAGGAAATTGCCCTTCTGGCTGGTCTTGGCCAGGGAGAAGGAAGCGTTCTCGGGGGTAGCGTCGATGGCTCCCTTCTGCAGGGCATCGTCAATGTGGGATTGAATCTTTTGTTTTGCCGGCGCGGAGATGACTGGCCCGGTGGTTGTGGTCTGGTCGTGGGGGTCGCCTAGTTTATATCTAGAATGATGGTTAGCTGCTGCCACATTGACCAAAACTTGCCCAGAGAGAGGCTGAAAACTCACCCCTTAAGCTCCTCCTGCACATGGCGAACAAACTCATCATAAATCTTCTCATGGACGTAAACGCGCTCCACAGAGCAGCAGCTTTGTCCGGAGTTGAACACTGCTCCGTCAACCAGGTTCTCGGCAACATTCTTAACGTCCACGTCGGGACGCACGTAGGCGGGGTCATTGCCACCGAGCTCCAAGTTCACAGGCTTAATTTGCTTGGCAGTGGCTTCGCGGAGCCGGATACCGCCAGCAGTTGATCCGGTGAACGACACAGACTGAATCTCGGGCAACTGAGCAACTTGGTCCAGGGCATCCAAGCTTCCAATGTGCAGGATGCTGAGCACGTCTTTGGGCAGGCCTGCCTCGGTGAAGATCTCGGATAGCCTGTTACCAAGGAGAGGAGTCTGAGGGGATGGGCGTAAGAGCACAGTATTACCCGCCAGCAGAGCAGGAATAAGGGCATTCACAGTTGTGAGATAGGGATACTGCGCCAAGTACATTAGCGTCATTTTTTCATATCACCGGTATTAGTTGATAAAGGGGACCTTACGTTCCAAGCAGAGGCAATAAGAATAGGACCCAGAGGCACTTGCTTAACCATCCGTCTGAATCCATCTTGCGGCTCACCAGGCAAATCAGCCAAGCTCTCCTTTGCAATCTTAATCATGTGCTCTGCGCGAAGCGCAGCAGTCTTGATCTCTCCAGCACAGTACCGAATAGGCCGGCCCATCTGCGTGGTCAACTCCTTCGCCAACTCATCAATGCGGGAATCAATGATCTGGAGAGCGCGCTTGACAATTGCAGTTCTGTCTTCCAGGCTCACGGCGCGCCAAGACTGGAATGCCTGCTTCGAGGCGGTGGCGATCTTGCCAGCTTCTTCCAGGGAAGTTCCAGGCTGATCGAAGATGACCTCATGGGTCGCGGGGTTGATGGTGCGAATTTGGTTTGACATTTTGAGTCTGAGATGTAAAATGGATGGATTGGAGGGGAGAAGAAAGTGTTGTGAAGACGAGCGAGGAGGGGCATGGAATTTATGTGGTCCCGCCGCTTATCGCGGTCTCTTCACGAGGCTTCCGCCCGTCGCCACTTTCCCCGCCGAGCGCTTGATCTGCTTACTCCATTGTATTACCTTGACTAGATCTACCTCTATTAGGTACTTAAAGATGTATATTGTAATTTATAAAACGTAAACATGGTATTCTATGTAGTAATTATTCTATGCTGTAGCCTCTGCCATAAACTTGATAATCTCCGTCGCTAAGAATTCTCCATCATGAGGCTTCGCCGCTCTCGAAGCGCCATCCTCATAAAGCTGGTCATTGAATACTCCACCATCATGCCGGAATTTCAATATGCGCGACATGATAAATTCATTGAACTCGGGATGAGCTTGCACACTCCACAATCTCTTCGGCATATACAGACCCTGGATCGCGCACCGGGGGCTGTAGCCGAGATTGACACAGCCTGCGGGCAGCTCATGCACCACATCACGGTGCATTTGTTGGAGATGCTAGATCATGTAAGACAGAGATCAATATTATGTGTTGGATATGCACGAGCTTACCAGCTTGTCTTTGCCAAATATCTGTTTGCCAACATCTGTCAAAGTAATCTCTTCAACGGAGACCTCCCATCCATCATCGCCACGACCAACGCGCGAGCCTAGGGCACGAGCAATAATTTGATGGCCAAAACAGATCCCAACAACGGGCTTCTTGTGCTGCTCAATCACGCCCCGGATGTAATCGGTGAGACTCACGATCCAAGTATCATCTGCGAATGAATCATGTTCTTCATCGCCACGTTAACACATAACCTCGCCAATGACTCACACAGGCGGTACAGGGAGATACATACTGCTGCCAGAGAGAAGAAAGGCATCATACTCATTCGGATCAGGATAAACGGGATTATCCACGACGTGCCACTTGCTGATCTCCTGAATCTCCACCTCCGAATTCCCAGACGCCTCTAGACCCTTCTTTAGCAAGCGCGTGAAGATATCTCCATAGCCACCGAGCTCGTCCTTGACTGGTGGAATCGGCGTATCACATTCCAGCACGGCGATGCGTAGTGATCGAGTCATGTTGCCGGTTATTGTTTGTATGTGCACCTTGGTCTATCTTCCCCGGATTGCTGGATGGTAAGTGTAGAGACGCTTGGAGCCACTTGATGTGTGCTTTATGGATGACCGGCCCCGCGGTGTTGGGTGTCCCGAATCGCCGAGCGCGCTTGGCCCCACTGCGCGGTCCGCCGGGAGTGGGTTATCGTGATCCTATCCGACGGCCTGTCCACGAACTTGTTTGGGCAGGAGCTTGGGTTGGTTCACAGCATGCGGCGGCTGTTTTGCATGGATAAGGTCAGCGTGTTGTCTCGCTGTGTTCCTTTCAGTGCAGAAGAATCGTCTTGTCACGTGCACGGTGGAACAATAAGTAGGATGTGTAGCTTGCTATTTGCTATCTAGTCCAGTCGGCGACAATACCCAATATATTGTCTGATTCAAGGGTCAAGACCATTCTCGAATTGAAATATTTTGGAGTATATCTTTCAATAATGAACTATCTAGCTCAGGAGCGTATGTTGTGGTCACTTAAAGGACTAAATTGATGCCTAACTGCCTTACAAAGGATTTCGGAACATGACGTCATCGGAGAATTCCCCATCAAAAATTGGAAGGAATTGAGAGGGGTCTCACGTAATACCGATCATTACTTGATTATTATCAGTACGGATAACAAGATTGACCTCTGCAGCTACGAGAACTTCTCATGTGAAGGGGTATTTGAAGAAAGATGTTTGTCATTTCAAATGTCGGTGACTCAAAGGAGGGGAATGATCTATAAAGTGGTCTATGCAAGTATGAAAAGTCTAAGTACATTCTACCGCAAACACCATGATGATAAAAAATGAACTTCTTTTGAAGTCGGTCATAAATGAATGAAACGGGACAATTTATCCCAAAGTAACGATGTACTGCGCATCAACCGAGCAGGACAGCGTGTTGACATCGTCAGGGTGCTGATAGGAGTCGGCGCAGTTGGTGTCACCAGGCTCACAAGTAGCAGACTGGCAGCTCGAATCGCTAGGCTTGACAGAGAAGCCACTCTTAATGAAGTCAGAGGACGAATCCAAGTTGATGGATGACAGATCCCAGTAGAGCGTGTCAGAGTCAACGGTGTATTCGAATTGAAGCACGCTGTCCTCGGTCTGGGTGGTGGACAGCTTGATCGAGATACCGCCGCCGTTGGAGTTGGTCTGCCAATTTTCGCTGTAGGTGCCACCGCCGGAGGAGAGAGTTTGCATGCTGCCGGAGTCGGAGGATGTCGTCCAGAAGTAGACATCTGAGCCCATGTTGTTCACGAATTGGACATTGCCGCTGGAGCTGGTGTCACGGACACGGTGAGGCAGAGCTGCGGCGGTGGCAGCGAGAACACTAGTGAGGAAAACGTTGCTGAAGATCATTTTGTATATGAAGTCGGTTGAACGAGGACGTCGAAGAAAAGGACTGTATATGGTGATCAAGAGAATGTCTTTTGGTGAAAAGATTGACAAGAGAATGACAGGATCTGAAAGAGAGTGATCAGATCGTTGCAATCAACAAGAAAAAGAAGGTAATATTGAAAGGACTGTAGTGGTTGACAAGAGAAAGGACGGCCAATGTCGCGGATCATGCATAGTTATATATCGTCCTCGGTGGAGATACTGGAGTAGTGGCACTTGTAAAAAGCTGCCCCTGTCCGCCAAAACTCTTAAAGTTGAGATATAATGGGGTTCACCAATAGTTATTGTGATAGTGGAGCCGGTTCAACAGCCGGTGGTCTCGAACGACCTTGCCATCGCCGGAAATGGTAATCCTCCAACATCTCCACCGGCTCCGAGTTCCTCGACCTTTTGAGGACACTGTCTGGAACAGTTGATGGTTCGTCCCTTCCCCTGGCAAAAAATGATAAAAATGGAGATGGTTCCGTAAGTGGCGTTGTGTGCCTTTTTGAGTCTTATGTCTCGCTTGATATGATTTGCCTCGAGCTCCAAAACTGGACTTCAGAGTTTGCGTTCCTGCAAAACCTAGGAACAGAACCAAGTTCACTCTGCGTCTCCTCGGAACCAAACTCGACATTTTGTTTTTCAATAATTAACCGACCTTTGTTGGCGTTCCACGTTGAAATGAGGCAAATTGGGCATCGGGCCACTCCTTCACGAGCGTACAGCCACCATGACAGCGACACTCTGCGTTGACTTCTTGTAATTCTAAAGGGAAATGCTAGCATATTATTAAGGTGACAATTGTTAAATTTTGAAACTAATTAAATGTTAAATGTGAGGGTGTGATATTCGGAGACCCCGAGTCACAGGGATACAAGCCTGTATCGCTGCCAACGCTCTGCAGGGCCTAGAAGGGAAAGCAACACCTCCATCTTGTGAGTGCCAGTCCTAAGGGGGAAATCTCCAGCTCTGGTGTCAAGGAACAATGCCTTTGTTGGAGACGGTCGTTGGAATACGAATAGCAGGGATGTTCCGGATCTTCACGGAAGACAGGCTGTATGTCCCGTTTCGGTAAGTAGGCCGAGCAATTGCCATGTTCTTCAAGTGGCATGCAATCACCAAGAAAATGAGTCAGCACTATTTTACTGGAGTAGAGTCTATTTAAGGGTCCATTTGAAAAGCCTGGACTATCGGCTACTGGGTCTTGGGCGAGTGGGTGAGGTTTACGCAAGTGTGGGGAGGGCTTTCACCCAATGATAGGAAGTGATAGTCAGGCTTCATATCCTTGACATCTGACAAGCCTGAAACATGATAGATCTAGGCCCGAAGGTATTAGAGCAGAATTCTCCGGAAAGCCATGTGAGAAACAAGCCAAGCGCAACACCGAGGCTTTCTCTATTGCTTACCTTTAGAGAATCGTATGATGCGTTGCGTAGATATTCTAAGGGAATGTTCATTTCCCCTGCACTGACATTGCTTTTCTGAGATATCCAACTGTTTGCGCGCTCTGTATAAAGCCTCTAAATTTCTACTCTCGCCACTTATTTCATGAGAGTCTTTCCGATGCTCTTTTAGATTTGGAGGCCCCCTCTCCATTCATCAATGAGGACTGATAGTCGGCTTCCATTCACTGACCCAAGTGTATTTTCCATATTTTACTAGAAAGACAGAAAGCTTCCTTTCTAGTATCCTGCTTGCGAGGCCCGAGGAACACGGACACCTTCAACCTGACCATTCAAAACGCTAGTTGAAATCCGTCTTCCTCTATGTCTCAATTTCGCAAGGATATGGTTGGTACCTCAAACAAGCAACTATAGCAACTTTAACTCGTATTGATAGCGACAATATGAAAGCTATAACACTGATATCAAGTAATCGCTAAGAAAAGCTAATCGTTGGGTCCAAGTTCCCGAGAATAAGGAGATCACATGCCCATCCATTTTGACAAATTAGCCTCCTTGCTCTGATATATAATACAGTTGGATCCAGGAGCCAGAGCACAAGCCGTTGCTGTGAAGATTCTCTATTCTAAGAATCTCCACAAGAAGAATACGGCATGTATGCCCGCGAGATCCAGCCCTAGAGAAGAACCTCAGATAAAGCAATAGAATGTATACATGTCTACCGTAAATCTCAAGCGAGAAAATCTTGGAGCAGTAGCCTTGAGATGCCGCGTTGGTGCTTGAGGAAGAACGCCTTCTTCCACTGGTCTGTACATAAGTTTTCGTTGTCGTAGCTATGCCGTTTAATGGGACTACCTTGATATGACCAAGAAGTTGGCGAAGGCTAGGCTGGATAATATATGCAAGCCATGGAATTCGGATATAAGGACACCATCCGATAAAGTTTGCTGTAGGAATTCATCCGATATCTTGTTGTTTGATTCGTTATCCGTAGTCAAACCAAACACCCGGTATTCTATCTTATGCTTCACAAGGGTTTTTACAAGGACACTACTTAAGGTTCGCAACAGTATGGGCCCATGAATAGCTTTGAAATCAAGTATCACCTGCCGATATACCTAATCAGCATCTATAAAATAGCCAGTGATTGCCGTAAAGCACGAGAATATGAGGATGTCCAGCAGTCAAGGTCAAGCGTGATAGAATCTAAGAACCAGCAGGAAGAATTCGAAGAGTGCGCTGTTGTCGATCCTTAACAAGGCTTTCTGGCCAAGGTGGGGTAGTCATTGCGGAGCGGATCGTAGGAAGAGATGGGGTACAGCGAGCCATTTTGATTAGGTTCTTGAATATTGGGTTCTCGATGAGATGAAATGGAAGCCGATTATAGATAGAAACGATAGGATCTCCTCTACCCAGTCTTGTTGCGAAAAAGTAGCTTTAGTCGGAGTGTCATCCTAAAGTAGCCAAACTAATTTAGCAAAATAATAATAATAATAATGATATATAATAACAATGTTATCAGCGATTCAGAATAGAATCCAAAACACCTTCCAATATGATAGGAGACCCACTAACTTAGCCTGTAATCAAGTTTCCAAACAAAGCCAACTGTACGATTGATTGATTTGAGTTACCGTGGCCAGGATTCTCACACTTCCCCAGCCCGACCTTCGATCAAGGTATCAATTCTTTCTTCCAAGGCCGTTATCGTATCATTTAAGGCCTGAATCCTGAGGAATCCCTCCTCAAAAGCATTGATACCCCACTGTATATCTCTATTCCAGATTTTTTACCGTATAAACTACTCATCGATTCCTCTGAACATCAATAAGTTCTCATGAAGAATGTCAGCGATTATATGGCGATAACTCACTTTGCTCGACTGTCTACGCTATAGAGATGTTAGCTATTAACTTTTTTTCAATAATATCTGTTCTTACTCCTTAAATATAGTGTTAAAGAGCACTTTAGATACGTATTAGGGCTAATTCTGCAGACACCCCGTACTAAAGCAGGGCTCCGTGGTATCTTTGTTTTCCCTAGCTTATATGTCGTCTCTCGTATTTATAGCAGTAGGGGTCTCGTTACTATAATAAGGCTAGTTATCTTAGTTAAGTAGGCGATTTTCCGTATTGCTACTGTTTAGGAAGTTTAGAAGACTGCTTTGAGACGTTACGGGATTGCGGTCCCGCTTTTAGCGCTAGCTTATAACAAAATCAGCCGGGGCGATATTAGACTTATAATCACTTATTATTACTATTAGAAGAAATTAGAATATAATTATATTAGGGAGGCTATATAAGAGGGAGAATTAATAAGATATATACCCTGTTGGAATTGCGTATGGTGCATAAAACCTTGGTAGAAATCGTTCGTGCGCACTAATCTTAGTGCCACGATTATGGAAGAGAGACGAATCAGGATAGATCACAATCGACTGATCAGACAGAAGAATCAAGCAGTGGAAGGTTGATTCAGATGGTCTACTATGTCCGGTGATTCTTCCTGGGATAAAAAGGATGTCAAACTTGTTCATTCTAACTAGGAAACAGAGTGCAATTTATAACATGAGGAACATAGCAAATATCACATAAGGAAATCAAGAACATTCGAGGTCATTTTGGAGTGTTGAGCATTCCTTTGCCTAGTCGGGCAATGTTGACACGATCGTTGAAGATCAGAATCTAGGATCAGAATCTAGGGGTAAACAAGATTGGGTTTTCCTAGCGGTAAGCAAGATAGGAATGCTTAGTAAGCAAGCAGGATTCAAGATGCATATCTGGCCCATAGGCCATACATGCCGACAGGTTCCTTATATAATTTTATGAAAGAACTACTCTTTACTTCTTATTAGTAAGAATAAATAGCTAGCTACTTTTAGTGACCTTTCTTACGCGGAATTTTCAAGACATAAATCGCGCGTAAAGTAATAAAAGCCTTATAGAAGGTTATTTTTTAAACTTGATGTCGGACTTTGTAGTGGGGCAGAAGGACAGTACGGTCACATGATATACTAAGTAGGCCAAAAATGCTCCATGGGCTACATTCGTAGCTTTCTTAAATATATATACCGTATCGTTCAGGGCCCGGACTTTCTCATAAGCGTATATGCTGACACTTGAACTAGAGGGATTAGTAATTATAAATAACTTCGATATCTTAGGTATAAACACCTAGTACTTTTTTGATGTGCCTAATTAATATCCAGAAATTCCTCGCGAAGACTACGTACTACGTATTAAAAATTAGACCTACCTACTACCTAACCTACCTAATTTAACGATCTATAGACTATATATATCACAGTTTTACTAAGAATAAAAACAAAACCTTTTTATAAAAGCTATATAAAGAGGTATATCTACTATATTTATCTCTAACTATAATTTTATAGTAAGATAGATCTTGATTATTCCTGCTTACGCCGTATATCGGCTGCTATCGAATTTTCTCCTGATAACGTAAATATATTAGGACAAATCTTGAAATGCCTCCCTCTAGCTTTATCTATAGGTTCTTTAATTTATCTAGCGATTGTGTTCTCTAGGTGTATATCTCCTTCTTCCTCTAGTGACTTATATTTTATGAAGGTCTATATATACTATTCCAGGGTAATTTAGGGGCAAAACTGAGTATTTATAGGTCAACTTAACTTTATTCTCTACTGTTGGAAATGCGTCTGGTGCATAAAACCGTAGAAGAAATCGTTCGTGCACACTAATCTAAGTGCCACGATTATGGAAGAGAGACGAATCAAGATAGAACACGATCGGCTGGTCAGACAGAAGAATCAAGCAGTGGAAGGTTGATTCAGATGGTCTACTATGCCCGGTAATTCTACCCGTGATAAAAGAGATGTCAAACTTATTCATTCTAACTAGGAATCAGGGTGCAATTTATAACATGGGGTACATGGCAAATATCACATGAGGAAATCAAGAACATTCGAGGTCATTTTGGAGTGTTACGTAGTCTCCTGCCTGGATAGGCAATGTTGATGCGATCGTTGAAGATCAATCCGATATATCAGAGAGCGGTAAACATGATGGCGTTTCGTAGCAGGGAAGATGCAGAAAAGGTGCATAAGAAGGAAGATGCAAGATAGTGTTCTTCCGCGGTAAAACCAGAGGTTGCTTAGTAAGCAGGCAGAATTCAACTGGCAATCTGGGCCTAAGACCCCACATATGCCGACATCTACTATTGACTTGGTCTATCTCCGCCGTGATATCTTAGTAGGCAGTTTAGACTTAGGTACGAGTATATTAGATATTATAAGCGTAGGAAGTAATATTATAGGTTCCGCAGAGACTAGTGTCGTATAGGCTTCTATAGCCGCTTAGACGGTAGCGAGTTAGGTTAATAACTCCGTATAGGAAATATCTAATAACCTTAAATCCAAACTTCCTAGGTACTACTCTATAGGTCTATTAGGGTACTATAAAGGGTATAAAGATAAGGCTACGTATTGTTTATATCCTAGTACCTTATTTTTCTTTAACATAATAACTATATTCCAGGAGGCTTTGTTATGATATTTCCCACCATGAGGCTATTCACACTTTTCGGCCTTGGGATTCAGGCCACCCGGGGAGATCATCCATGGAGATCAACCACGGAGCACCCCTTCAGGGTGGCCTATCCCCTGCCTTCTCACCGCTGTTCCCACGGAGGAGAGTCATCCGCCGATCTGCATACAGCTCATGCAAGCTACCGTGGTTACCCCTCTCGTGGTAGGGTTTACTGTATATAAGATCAGTGGGGGGACGGGAAAGAGGGCCCCCCAAGAAACAGTCTCTGTTACAATCGGACTTAGTGCTTTGCTCTCCTACCTAGTTGACAGGCTTTCTACCCTGCAAGTAGACTATCTTTACAGGCTTCGTCCGAAGTCTCTAGCCTAATCGCTAGCGTTAAAAGTAAGGCTTTAGGAGGATATTAGTCTATTGCTCGATAGTCTATTGCTACTAACATTCTCGGACTTATATTCTCGTTTGTATCTATCATTTTCGGAATCACTATTCTAACAAAATAGGGAAAGATATTTCTTGTTGTCTCCTATCTAGTACGTTTATTTATTAGCAAAATAAGCTAAGATTTTAACTATAGCGTAGATAGCTACTATTTTCATTACTGCCGTAACTATAAGCACTATAGTGATTTACGGCCTTTTAACCGACGTAATTAAGACAATACTAGAAGATTTTAGAATATTTACGAGCTTTAGGGAGCGGATATTTATAGCGGTATAGTTAGGTATGCTTTTCTCCTTTGGAGTTTTGTTGGCCTGTATGATCGAGATGTTTTGCTATTGTATTTAGGTTACGATAAAATAGGTACCTTGTAGGTGTTAAATTAACGAAGCAACGTGGTATAGTATATAGATATCTAGGTCCGATAGATAGTATATCCTATAATAAAATAGTATCTTTGTGAGCAAGCGATGCTGCGCAGGTTAGGTAGAGAGGAAGTAAGATTAATTGATCTTCTTCCTTTAATTGAATAGTAAGGATAAGTTCAATTCGGCTTAGAATCATAAAGATGAGACAAAGTAAGGTAGGACTGAAGCTTGGTTGATTGTATTGAATCTTGCTTGTCTGTATTGAACATAATTATTATCTTGGTAGAGAAAGCAGGGCATATTTATAATCAACTTGTCTCTTGCATGTGATCGTTCTAGATGATGCATGATGATCTCATGCAGATAGATCTAGATGCATAGTGATCTCATGCAGTAGCTGATTGATCGGTGGTTGCTTGATTGTACGATGTCATTGACTGTAGTGATGATGTAGATCGTATACTATGATACGTCTGTTCATGCCTGATTATCCGATTGGATAATGATGATATAATAGCATATTCAGCCATTTTGTATAGGCCTTATGAATCTGGCTTGATATGCTGTATGACGGTTTAGGCATCTTGCCCTATATCTCACAATCTTACTATACTGTGCTCTAAGCCAAGATACGAGTATATAATCACTCGTTTAGTTTATTATATAAGTTTATTACTATAGATCAAGCTATTTAAGTTATGTCAAGATATATCGGTCCGGCAGAGGACTAGCAACGGACAGATAGCCCTCCTGAGGGGAGATAGTGGGTCCCGGGGTTATTTTTCCGATAGAGAAGTAGAGATATGAATAGACCAATGTTTTACTTAAAGAATACACAAGAAGTAGATACTTAATTATGAACGAAGTACGTAGCTAAACATACCGACAGATTTGAACTCTTACGTTGCTTCAAGTTCCCTAAGAGAATGGCTAACTAGGACTTTAACTTCGCGTAGAAGCAACAGGTATATATTACTAAAATGCAAGCATGCTAGCTAATTTACTATTGAGTCTATTTCATGATTCGACAATGTAGCTGTACTGTGGTGAAACCCTCACTACTTCAAAGCCATCTTCCTGAACAGCTTCACAGATGCTCCGGAGTCAGAATTTCTTAAGTACTTGGTACCGTATAGATTCCTTCGTATTTGGATTCATCTTGAGTCACCGATCTACTGTTATTCAAGACCGACATTTGTCTAGTTTAAAATATGGGACTACTAATGAGTAAGTGGAGAAAATGTATTTCATGAGGCGCGTGTCCACCCTATCCGTCTTTTCAAGTAATTCATATGCTATAGCGGAATTGCTTGATATGCTCGGTATCCGTATAACACATTTGCACAAAATCAAGATTTGGTTGCAGGAATTCAAGTTAAACCCCGTCCCGGTGATATGAAATGACCTATGTGATGAAACGACCACTAGGTACCTGCACATTCGTGCACCCTCATTCCTAATCCACAAACTGAATATTGCCTGAGAATAGCAGAACTAATAATTATACAATCTCTTACTCTATAGCTTTTTTCAATCCAAATATTACAAACTGTTCGAGTGGCGGATTACAGGACGAGACGCACTACTACAAAATCCGCTGTTTACTACTATGACGCCAAGATCATCTATAAAAACGTCTGAGCTGGATAGCAAAGGCATATTTGCATAATTTCGCCTATCTAGTTTCCCATGTTAGTTTTTAATAACATGTTAACCACGTTAGCTGAGAATATACTAATCTTAGTGGAATTCTTGGCAGCAGAAAGGTACGAAAAACCAAAATACAGATACGGCGAATACACGGCAAGGGAACATTCATGTAACTTGATGTATGAAAAATACTAGCGCCCCTAAACGGAATAGCCGCCCCACACGCTAGTTAGAGATGGTCCGTTTAAGGAGATATAGTTAACTGCCAAGGTTATTGATATTAATAAGCGGGTCCGGATGCTCAGACACAAAAATCTTCTCTCGTGCTTCTAGAGTTTGTCTATGCAGCACTTCCGCCTCTTCATACTTGCCTTGGCTGTCGAGAGCATTCCCGAGATTACTGAAAGCCGTAAGCATAAGGGGATGCTCACGTTCAAGCAGTTTCTTAAATACTCCTAATGCCCGTTGATGCATCGCTTCTGCCTCTTCCAACTTCCCTTGGCCATCAAGAGCTAAGCCAACATTATTGACACTGTTCGCCGTAACGTGATGCTCCGTGCCAAGAACCTTTTCGTTGATTGCGGCTAGCAAAGCGCACGGTGTCGCTAGCAATTTTCCCCAACGTGGGCCCACACAGGGCAAAGGGCTCGAATAATACGTCCAAATTAAACATAACCCCTATCTGCGTTCGAACCATACGGAACTACTAAAGTCTACTTTCGAACATCTTTCCAGCCAATGTAACCACGGAGGGTAGGGCGACACTAAAATCGGGGAGAGAAAACTGTGATCGACTTACTTTATGTAGCTGGAAGAGCACGAGATTTGACCGGGAAGAAGTGTACGCTGTGGCGATTACAATTCTCGTTTGAAATGATATACATAAAGCGGCTTGCCCATTGTCAATTTTCACAATTTACATCAGTCACTAATTCTTCCCCTCGGAAGATCATCCAAACTCCCAAGCTCAGCAAGATCCCTAAGATTGTACCATCCACAAAGATCCTCGGTAGAATGGAGTGAAGAAGGAATACCGGTGTCGTTGCAGGATATGTCACCGTCCGAACCATGACTTCTCTGGCCTTGACCTCGATAGAGGAGCGGCACTGCATTGGAGCTGGGAGTGCTACTTTTACTTGCAGCGCTGGACTGAATTCCCAACACGTGCTGAGCGATGATTTGGATCTCTCGCACATTCCTCGCTGCCCGCGGCCAGATATCACCCAATGCCTTGAGACAACCGATTTTCATGCGAAGCTGTTCTCTTGCGGTTGCCAAGTCTTCACCGTTGAACAGAAATTTGCAGGCCGAGAGGAGCGCCAGCGTTCCCTCGCTGACCATGCAGGTCGTAAAAGGGGTATGGTGGAACTGTCGAACTGGGAGCGCTAAAAGGCGGATTTGTGCGTTCACAGACCGCAAGACTCGTAATGTGTGCATATGGATGAGCTCGGGTGTAGGTGTATCCAGAGGTGGTTCTCGAGCGCAGCTTGAGATATCCTCCACGGTGTTGAATTTGAGGTCTGAGAACGGCCTATGCAATCCAATCGTCGCACTAAGTAATCGATGAGCTTATATATCCCGAATCAATCCAGCAATAGACTTACACATTGATGACTAGGTGTGCCTGAAACATAAGCTCGTCGACTTCTCCTGTTTTGCTGATGACATGTTTGCGATTCTCCGGTAATAGAAGCCGCCAGCCATCAAGACTGGAGTCGGCAGCCTGAATAATATGTATTGAGTCTTCTATGGTTGCAATCTTTGGCGCTGACGATATTGCCAATGCCGCGCAGCGTACAGCGCCGATGAGATACGCGAAAGATGAGAATGTGCTTTCGGAGGTAAATTCGCGACAGTCAAAATCCTGAAGGCTTTTTGACGCGGGAATATGCTAGTCAAAGGTGAGCCATGTAAGCCTCGAGACGACCCCGGAATCCATTGGTAACCGGACGAAGACAAGAAACCGTTAGTACTTACGCCTGATTCATATTCTGACTCCTCACATAGCAGATCCACCGTAGCGTCAATTTTAGCAACCGCAAAGTTCATGGTTCCGAGGGTTCTAGTGTAGTATCCGTCCACAAGGTAGAGCATCCACCACGTCCTTCTCCAACATTCCTGTAAAACAGGATCGTCGGCTCTATACTTCATTAAAAAGAAACATCTGCATATCAATAGCGGAACGGGTTGCATGGTTAATTTCCGTTTTAGCTTCGGCTTAATAGTCGTACCAAAATAATGCCATCGAATATAAAAGTCGACATTGGACCATGATTGGATCTCTTGGTAATGTTTGAGAGAAGCTTGTCTTAACATAGTCCTTGAGCGGACTTAACCATTCGTGCGATGTGAAGATATGTCCAACTAGCCGCATGACAGCAATAAGGGGGGTGAAATTGACCTGCCGGATCGGGTCTTGGCAAAGTCTGGTGAAGTGTCGTTGAGGTAGCAGGAACGGGTGGAGCGTGTGAAAGTTCTTATAATAGGCATCGATCAAGGGATCATTCTCGATATTGCCAACAGCAAATTGGGTCGCTGCCGGGGAATTTATACCAGACCAGCCATCGCTAATGCTGATCTCGTTGAGCAGGCCGTTCTCGTTGAGCAGGCCGTAGCTACCAGGGACCTCCGCAGAGAATTGAGATATGCATTCTGGGCCTTGTTGAAAAATCGCACGTCTTTGCGGGCTCACCTGCTCGGCTACCGTGGATTCTGTGGCAGCAAGTCGTTTCCGCCGCTCTGCCAGAGCTACGCGATCCAGGCCACCTCTGCGCGATTAAGCGTAGTTGCACTGCTTCCCGATCTCAGCGCAGCGAGCGCAGCACGGTCGCTTTCCGTCGCACTTTAGGTGGCGCGAGCGACAAGGCAAGCATACGAAGGAGGAGCGCATAGTTCTACTCTTATACGGTGTGGAATTCATTGCCAAGGCAAATTAGAAAATCAAAGGAGGGCTGATGTTCACGGCAACGTGAAGATAAGCGGGTACTCGGGTATTCGGGTATTCGGGACCCGCTTCAGAATCCGACTCTGAGCTCGGACGGCGAGCCGCCGAACGTGAACTAGCTACTGATGGCTATTCGCAATGTTTCATGACTTTGAACGGCTCCTCCTAATAGCCTAAAGGTTTGTCTGGGAAAAAGCATATAAAACCATGTCATTTTTCTATATTTTAAAATATTTTACATTTCCACATCAGTCATTTAGAACACCACAGCTCACTTTGCTTGCGGGTATACGTCTTGAATCGAAAGAACGCCAACAATGACCAGAATCATCATCATTGGTACCGGATTTAGTGGCGTCTGGAGTGCTTTCTCAGCTAAGCGCCTTATCAACCTTTCGCAGAAAAGGAACGATATTGAGGTACTCGTCATCTCGCCCGAGCCAACGCTGGTGATTCGTCCACGACTCTACGAGGCAAATGCGGCCAGCTTCACCCACCCCCTCGGAGCTATGTTTGAGGATGCAGACATCAAGTTCTTCCCAGGCATTGTGAAGACAGTTGACACGGAGGCCAATACGGTTTATGTCCAATCTCCCTCTGGACTCGAATCAAATTTTGATTACGACCGCCTGATTATGGCAGCTGGTAGCTCCGTCGTGCAACCTCAGGCTATTGCTGGAATTGCAAAATATGCATTCGACATCGACTCTCTCAAGTCGGCTATCAAGCTCGAGACTCATATTGAGAATATGGCATTACTTCCTCCAAGCCCTGCTCGCGATACTATCGTTGTCTGCGGTGCTGGTTTCACTGGCCTTGAGATTGTGACAGAGCTGCCCAAACGCCTTACTCATATTCCAAATCATCGTATTGTTTTAATCGACAATTCTAAAGAGGTTAGCCAGGCACTTGGGCCGGGGCCTCGTCCGGTTATTTCTCAAGCTCTGGAGGATCTTGGAATTGAGGTGAAGCTCGGATCTAGAGTCGCATCAATCGATGCCGATAGCGTGGTCCTTACATCTGGCGAGCGAATCCATACCAAGACCGCCATCTGGACTGCCGGTGTGAGGGCGACCACTCTCACGCAGCAGATTCCCGGATCTAAGGATGGACTCGGTCGCCTTTATGTCGACCAGCACCTTCGTGTCCCAACAACCCCGAATGTTTTTGCTACCGGTGATGCAGCCTCTGCTCAGTCCGATACCGATGGCCACTATACCATGATGTCCTGCCAGCATGCAATTCCACTTGGCCGTGTGTCAGGGTATAATGCCGCAGCTGATGTTCTTGGTGAGCCTATGATAGCTTACACTCAGCCTGGATATGTGTGCTGTCTAGATCTTGGTTCTTACGGCGCCGTCATCTCTGAAGGCTGGGAGAGAGACATAAAAATCACGGGTGATATGGCAAAGCGGGTGAAGTGTTTTATCAACCGGGATGTGATTTACCCTCCAAAGGATTACCGACGGGCACTGGATGAGGCCAAGCCAGTTGAGCTCAACGGAACCCAATTGATTGAGTTCATCCTTTCTGCGGTAACGGAAGATCGATGATTCTACATGATGTATCCCCTCCGATAGGAAGAGCTCCGCTTGAATATCACAAATAGTTGTGAAAGAGCACAGGTTACATCCTGGGGCCTCGGAAGTCTAGGATGTGGTTAGCCATCTTCCATGGCCATATCGCAAATGGACTCTCCGGTAGCCATAGGGATAGTGAGGGGCATCCTATGTCGTGGTATATCGTCCGATATTTCTAAGGTTGGGTTAGAATGGGGGAAGTTGCAACTTCAACATAGTACTAGTTAGGTGCTAGGTAGCAAGACGGTGTAATTTTATATATTCTGTTTGTAAGACTGACTTTGGATCTACACTAGCTCCAGAAGCTTTCGTCTACCATGACTCCGGTGCTCCACCTTTCGGTCCTACTTATAGTGTAACATCATCTAGAGCAGAGTAAATCAAAACTGTGCCATTTAACTGTATGGTGCCTGTGACGAAAGTGGACGATCGGATGCTTGAGGGCGGAGTTGGTAACTGGTGAGTGCGGTGTTTGCTTGGAATACCTCATGCGATTCCGAAAGGGGAAGTTCCCTGAGCGGATGCCTTAGGCAAGAGAGGGTATAAAAGGCATATCTCCCACCACGCATCTTCCTCTTTCCTCTTTCTTCCTTCTCTAGACTTGATACCTTCGTTAGATGCACCGAATGAAAGCTTTTGCCCAACTTCGCTTGGCTCGTAACAGTGCCAGCCATTGACAGACCCGGGTACAGTACGTGGAAGGGTCACCGTAGGGCAGTCTAGGCTTTGAAAATTTTATTGTACTAGGACTAGTAGGGGTACTAGTACTACTAGTAGTATCTTACGCTAACTAGCAGTCTAAATCCCTGTCTTTCAAGGCCGTCTCCGGACTCTTTGTGCTCTTTCCGAGCCTTATTTTTCTATCGAATTTGACCAACAGTTTCCCAAGTTGCTATATAATTAGACTACTACGGTGATCGAAATCCTGCCTTGATGATCAATGTAATGCAATGCAACTTACATTCCGTGCAAACCAGGATGGAGGTGTTCCGCCAAATGCACCGATGAGACTTTCACCGAGGATAGGAATAAATGCCGCAATAAATAATAGCTTCACAATGCCCTCTTGCGTCCTTTTGCCTGGCGCTCAGATTTGCTCAGTCCGTCTAATGCACTGGAAACTGGTAAACCCGCCCAACTATGCAATATGACAACTATGTCGTGACCATCTTCTTCCTCTTGATCGACAATAAACTGAACAGCGTCAATATTCGGTTGGAGGTCTGAAATCCTAGTCGCCGATTGAATAGAGGGAAATGTAACAGTACGGCAGCGGTACTCGGGCAGCTTGTCAATGATCAAATCGAATGCTGTAGGCAGATACCACGCGCCAGGTGCCAATATCAGAGTCGGGTTAGACATTGTAGAGCACTGGTTGGCCAAAGGAATTTATGGTCATAAACGAGGCTTTATGTACCTGTAGGCGGAAATCCGGGCGGGTTGCCGAAACGCAAAAAAATCGAGTATACGTTTGTTAGCCTACGGTGGTGCTTTCTAGTCCGGTAACCACCTTGATTGATCACTGCCTGTGTGGTCAAAATTTGACCCAAGGTGAGCCGCTTGCCATAGTTACGGATTTTCACGGCTATTATATTCCCTGGAAGACTTTGTTAATGATTAGGGCAGTCTACCCCGACAACTAAACCAGCTGTCACTGGCGACTCTGGCGAGATACCGAGTGAGGTTTAATACGATATTTAGTGGTATTCATGGTATTCAGACCGGCAGAACACAGGAGGACTGTCTTGTAGCCTTGACATGCTGACGAACTTTATAACTCACTCCTCGGAACCCGAGGGCACCGGGAAAGTAATAACAATTCTCTGACTGGGAAAAAAAGCGTGTATGTCTCGTGGGGGAGTTTGTGTCGAAGGCCCTGTAGTCACGGTCTTGTTCGAAGTGAAAATAGATGATTACTTAGATGGTACAAGTCACACACAAATAACGTAATTCCCGGCCGATCTGGACACCCAGCCGTCCTGGACACCTAAAACACCATAGTAATTTAAATGTGATATTTTACAACTTTTTTTCAACACTCAAGGCTTAGCATTAGGTCTAAAGTCATCATAGTCCTTACCATGTGTCTCTAAATATATTTATCAAGCCAATAAGAATTTTGAGGCTTCACACTGCAGAGATACATATCGGCACCACGAGACCGGAGCGTATTTTTGGTAATTCAAGTAAATAATAACTTTTTGTAGCCTTTAGTTACGCTATGCTGTTTCTAATGCTAAGAAAAGCTATACTGTTGAAAATCGAACAAACTTAACCTCTCGTTGATATACTGTGACCAAGGAAATTCCATTTAGTATGATGTTTTGGGGTGTCCAGATCGGCCGGGAATTACGTTAACTTAGATCTACTGCTTATTAAGAATCGCAGTGGCTAGTTAACTAACTAACTTATCTGACTTAATTGACTACATTGTCAGTTGACGTTAGTAACTACCATATGGAAGAGGAATTCGGGATTCCGTCGTGGTGAGGTACCCGGATACCCGAGCCGAGTAACCTTCAGAGCTACTCCGGTCCTTGTATGATGTGATTCTTGGCCACTAAACAAGCACCTCAACTTCATCATAGAATTCATTCAAGAGATCTTTTTTTGCAATGAAATAACAGGGGAATGACCACAGCAGACGGCTTCAAGTCAGGAGATTCAACCAATATCAAATTTTGGTATATAGAAGGAATTCTACAAACATCATCGAAGTAACATTCTAAATGGAGCTATGCAAGGACTAATACTAGAGTTTTTCTTTTTTGATGAGTCATATTGCTTTTTTGCAATATCATGTACCGAAGCAGACAGGCATTATTACTCTGCTTTACGCCTTTACTAGCCTATGCATTGATAGCCTATGCATTGATAGCCTATGCATTGATAGCCTATGCTCCTCCAACATGTAATGACGGCAGATTGTCCAACCACCACAATTTATAATCGCTCCCCAAACCCAAACGAACCACCTGAGGATATAAGATCTCTTGAGGCCTGAAATCCTCATCAACGCAATACTATACCAAGTATCATATTTCCGACTCCCTAGTTTATTTTAAGTTCACTTTCAACATGCAGGAGGCAGTCTACAACCCTAGGTAAGACGTAATATGAAATTGAACAACTGGTCTCCCACCAAGCTAACTCAATGTTTAGCCGCCCGAGGCCGTCCCTCGAGATTGTCTACTCATACTGACTGGTCGGCATCCCAAACAAAAGCTTGGTCACCTTGCGGGTCGAGTTCCCGCCGAATGGTTCAACTCCTCACCGACACGGAGGCGCCTCAGTGGGAGCATTTGTCCTCAAGGGTAATCTACTGAACAAAATGAACGATGACCTGATGAAATTCATCACTGAGGGCGAGTCTTGGTTTGAGGCGCCGGGATGCCATCATCGCATCAGTGATAACGCCAGTGAGACTGAACCGGCGACGTTGATTGCGACTCTGGTGACAGATACCGATAAGTTTGACAAGGATGGAATGGCTGCTCTTATTCAGATTGACGAGGAATATAATTGAATTGGTATCTTTTGGGGACTAGTTAGCAATGAAAACCGGTTTTTACACACCTGTCATGGGGTCAATTTGCCCGTCTTACTAGCCGGGCCTCCTACTTCACTAACTTGCTTACAACGTGCCTGAACATCTCCCAGCCAAACTGATCTATCACTCTTCCTAGCTCAAGAGCCGCCCAGAATGCAGACCCTTCCGGAATCACGATTGGTATTGCATCCTTCCGTCAGCAGTGGCCAAGTAATAACATCTCGTGCATCTTACGAGTGAGGAGAACTTTTGGTTGGGGAGAACATGCTCAAGGAGTATGCATTATTCGCCGGGTTTGAGCAGCAAACATCGAACGAGCTCAAATCAAGGTTGATAAAGAAACAAAAAGTCACAGACTGTGATGTCAACACGTGATCACATGAGTTGTGTGAATATTTGATCGTAGAAAGAAAATTTAAAAAAAAAACCCTGAAAAGCCTCACGGCTTTCCCTTTTCAGGTCTTTGGTGAATGAGTACGTATATGACTGGATGACATGGCTTCTTGTGAAGCTTGAGGCGATACTGTTGATAACTTCTACTACTATATAAGTCTCCTCGGAAGTGTCACCCAGCTTGCACTTTTTGTCCGTGTACCCCTAGTAAAGACTTCAGTAAATTAGACTGCAGCGACCTGTCCCGCTATTACAGTCTCTATTTACTCCACCTTGCTTTACGCTAAATATACTCTCGCTAATAGGCTGCGGCAAATCCGCTCCGATAGATGTCAAAGTGATGTCCGCATTCGCAATCTGCTGATGTTGAATAGACCTCGACACGGCCCGCCCATGGGCGACCCAAACAGCCCATTTTCTCTTTCTTCTGCATAATTAGGATGAAAAAATCGCTGGTTGAGCTTGAAATATTACTGTTTTTCATCTTTACATCCGAGCTTACTACTTCCCTTTTTCTCACTACGTTCGTTTCAGGGCACAGTCACTGTTCATTAGTGTTTAGAACGCGGTACTCCGGCCCACGGGCAGAAAGATAGGTAGGGTGGGTACTACGTTCCAAACAATTCCGAATGGTGACCGTTTTATTCACAAGCCACGATCTGCAGCTAACCTGAATAATCACTAGCGCTCCTTAGGATAGGGCTGGAGAATTATTTTCTGAGTGGACGAAGGGGATCTGATTTCAAATATGGCAGTATACATTCTCCGGGAGAATGGCAGGATCGGCCAGCTCTCGGCTAATGATAGCAACCAGTGTCGGACTTTGTCTTCCATCTGCCGGTCATCTCGCTTCCAATCGATCGCCCGTAACCGTCGCGCTTTCAACTGTGGGTGGTGCAGGTAGAGATCCTGCGGCCAATTTTTTCCCAGAGGTCGGATCTCAAGGCGGGGATCTATGATCTGGAAAGTCGAGGATCGTTGGCACGCGATGACCAGAGCGAGCGATTATAGAAACCTGACTGGAAGCGGATAGTCATTGTCCGCCAACCGCAACACATATTCTATCAGTGCTTGCTCCTCCTGCGGGGGTGTGGTGCTGCTGCTTGGCGGCTTTATCGGCAATAGAAGGCTTGCCGTTGGCCCGACGCCACAAGGTGGATGCGGGGATCCCGGTCGATCTCGACCTGGTTGCGTACGACGTCCGCCTCTGACGTTGATGGGTGGGAGACATCGAGGGCAATTTGAAGCATAGCCAGCCTGCTATAAGAAATCTGCTGGTTGAAATGGAACCTTTCGATTTTGAGAGGGCATAGGAGTAAATACTGCGAATTATAATCACTAAAATTGTTCTCAACTTGTAACTTAGTGAGGTAATGTTAGAAACGACTTGCACTAGTCAGACTCGGCGAACTCAAAATCTTAAAAGGCTAAAGCCTACCGAATCTCTACACGAAATTTCACCACACTGTGAGTAGCAATATTCGGGAATGCTGAACATATTTTGCTTATAGATTCTTAATGACTGTTGATGTATTTGCCAGACTAAACAACCGCCATCACGTTTAACAATCATAGTTGAGCCTTGTAAGTCTGGCGACAATGGTGGTGCTGTATCCATAATCTGCCCTAAAAACCCGCGGTTGACCGTTGAAAACAGGAGACAATTTGAACACTGTTATTTAAGCATAGTTACTGGCACATGCTGCTTTGATAAAAACAAAACATGTATGACTGTTTACATCAACAGCCTCTAACTACAGCACGGACAAATAAGCTGCAGGACTTAGAAGTGACCTTAGATAGTGCCCTATTTAACCATTAAACACCAAGAGGAAAATTGAATCTTGCCCGCTAGCAAAAAGTAAAAATTTCAAAGCAGAAGTTGATGGGGCGGTCAGTTTAATAAAATTAAACGTGATATTTGGCCGTAGCCGTCAACGGCCGAGCAATATAGGCACGTTCATCTAGGCGAATTTCATCATTTTACAGTTTTCACTAGGATCGTTTGACGAGATGCGAGTTAAACGAAGGCCTTAGCATCCATTATTTATTAAGCCTACCCTATTAAGTTACGGCCGGTGTGAGCTTACACAGTGACATTTAAACCGTGGGGCCCCTTAGCTTGATAAGTCCAGCCCAATAGATATTCTACGCTAAAGTCTTAGTAGCGGGGCCGAGAAAGATAGTCGAAGAGTGTACTAGTTAAGCCGATTTCGAGAACGACTGTATTAGCTAAAGTCAGCGAACCGACTAGCGACAATTCGAAGAGAAACGACGCTAGACTGCAACGTCTAGACCTTACTATTAATAGCATCTTCGATATAAAACTAGTGTGGTCGTGTGCTGAGCGGGACCTAACCCCGGACTGATAGCGGACCTACCCGCGGGAGGGCCTGAACCCTTACCTATAAATACCTAACGAGGAGGAGAGATTTTTACTCTTAAGAACTTCGAACTATCGATTATTCCTCGTAAGAGAAGAAGCCCTTACTATAGAAATAAAGTTACCACTATTACACGCTCGAATCCCGAGTTTATATATACCGAAGATAGTAACGGGCGGGTAACGACTAAGGAGATCCGATAGCTTATTAATAGCCTTAAGGAAGTTATCGCTCACTAAACCACCGTTATTGAATCTACGAAGGCGGAGCTTCTAGAAGTTAGGCACGATTAGAATATCCTTCGTGAACAGAACGAAAAGCTCTATAACGAAATTAAAGCTCTACGAGAACGAATCGAAACCCCCGTACTAGCGGCCCCGACTAGATCGTGGGCTATAGTAGCGGCTTGCGGTAGTATTAGTTCCCTATAACCGAGCTACTAGAAACTAGAGAGAGAACGGAACTATATCCGAATTAGTACCTAGCGATCGTTCGTGGATCTAATAGATAACGGCAACGGTAACGGAAACACCTTTAGCCGCTATCTCCCTATAGATACCGCGAACACCTATATACGTACCGTGCTACTAAACGCTCTATTAACGCAAGATACCTAGGTTACCGGGATCGGCACTACTAAGATAGGTTATATAATTCGTTTTAAGGACTCGGAGTCGGCCGAAGTAGCTCGCCGGCAGCTCTTCAACGGGAGAGCGGCCGACCAAAGTACCAAACACCGCATTTCATCCTCTTCAACATAATGATTTGCAAACCTCACTAAGTGCATCGTCTCTCGAGAGATGACGGCCAAGAAAAGTCTTTAGACTCGCATTCCCGGGCCGGGCTCGACACTAATTTTTCGTTCAGAATGGGGATAGATAGGCTTGAGTCATCTTCTTTAGAAGAATATTAAACATCGAGACATATTTCTCCCACTAACATCGCCGAACGCTACTTTTGAACTGGAACGAGTGATCTGGGAAGTTTTTAGATAATCATATCAGCTGATTAATGAAAAAAGCCGAAGTGACTGAACGACCCCAAATCACAATTTTGGAGTAGAATGGGAACTTCTACCTCCTGTTGACGTTAGAGAGGCTCGATCGTGCGGGGAGCTGATTGATCTATGTCTCCGCTAGGTGCGGGGAACATAGATAAGCCATGTGACTAGATATATGTCGCGAGACGGCGCTATGGACTTGTCATCCAGAATACGCTTACTTGCAACTTCCCAAACACACCTCCCTTGAAAAACTCCAAAATGGCACCTGTACAGAGAATCGGACATGATGTAGCGAACTTCTGGGCCTACGAACTGGACAGCGATACAATTGATCTCTGCCGTGGATCGGATTCAAAGCGGCTCATCAACCTCGAAACAACAAAACAAACCATTCGACTAGATCCAGAGAAGACTGCACTGCTGCTTATTGATCTACAAAACTTCTTTTGAATCCAGCTGTGCGACCACGAGTCGGCGAGAAGCCCACCCCAGGGGAAGAAGCCACGAAGGCGCTTCTTAACGCTGGAATCCCAGCTGCTCGGCATCACGAAATACAAGTCATTTGGCTCTGCTGGGGCTTGACAGAGGATGATTTGAGCAACATGCCACCAGCAGCTATTCGCGCCTTTAACTGCTACGAAAATGGTTCATCTGCGAGGAATCAGAATGAAGAGAAAGGTCTTCTCCCTTCAAACCCGAACATGGTTCGAACCAAGAACCCCGCACTTTACAAAGGCCTCGGGAATGACCTCGGTACTGTCAAACTAAACGATAACGAGGGGGTGCCTGGCGGTCGAGTGCTGATGAGAGGTTCCTGGAACGCCGCGCTTTACGACCCCTTCCACCTGCAATACAAGGCCAGCCAGGCCATCTCCCACGAGAACCCGCGATCGAAGCCTGATGTTCTATTTCATAAGAACCGCATGTCTGGGCTGTGGGGAGCGGGATCGGAAGTAGAGAGCTTCCTGCAAAAGAACGGGATAACTACACTTCTCTTTGGAGGGGTCAATACGGATCAATGTGTTGGAAGCACATTGACGGATGCTTTTAGCAAGGGCTACGATTGTATCTTGTTGCGGGATGGAGTTGGAACGAGTACACCCTTTGGTGCGAGTGAAGTGTGGGAATGGAATGTCATGAATTCTTGGGGATTTGTTTCAACTTGCGAAGCTTTGAACAATGCTCCGACATGTTAAAGTTAGTAACTTTCGAGTGCACTGGGCTCTATACTACCTTGACTCACACCATCCCCGCTCTTCTTACGGTCGCGACGAGAGGGCAAGACGATGGACGGTCAGCACAAGGGCCAAACGACATGCACTCATATAACGTCAGCTTACTGTACATTTCAATCAGGAGCTGCAATCTTATAACCTCTATCAATTTATGATTATTGCCCATCATAGCGTTTTTTATGATTTTGTAGTGTACAGTTGCCTGGCATGTGGATAGCCCCGTGGCTTGGCCTCAAAGGGGTAAAAAGGCTCGTCAAATACGACCTCGCTAGTCGGGCACTAGCTTCGGCCTAGTCAGCTCAAGCATTATGAATCACCACAGCCTCACAAAAACTGTAGATTAAGCACACGGCCCCATCTTCCTTTCTTCCCCTGAAGCTCGTTTTCCTGTCACTCTTCCTCTTCGACCGTCATCATGGGCGATTCAAAACGCAGATCCCTCGACTTCAAGATCCTCCCCGCAACAGAGGCTGATTGCGCCACGATCGCAAGTATAGAGGCTATCTCCAACTGCGAGGCTAGCAAGACCAAACCGGAGAACAACATTTCGCGAGTCATATTTGGGCCCTCTAACGATACGTCACTTCGCGCCAAGGATCTCCTCGATAAACTGCAAAATGACAAGAGCATGCAGATGTGGAAGGTTGTAATCAGCGATGACAACGGCGAAGACAAAATTATCGCCCTTTCTATTTGGCATTATTATCTTGAGCCTAAGGTGATTGAAGACTGGAAGGATATTGAGTGGCCACCTACCGCGCATGCAGAGGGTTGCAACGCGTACATTCGCTCGGCCACAGCAATGCGGAAGAAACACATGTCGGGGAAGATATTTGGCCGTAGGTGGCTCTTCGATATTCCAATTCGGGGGCATTTGAGCTAACTGAAGACAGACCTGCAGGTTTTGGCCACTCTCCCCCAGTATCGTGGTTATGGAATTGGTTCGACTCTCATGAAGCGGGGCCTTGAGGAGGGCACAAAAAATGGTCTAACAGATTTTTGGCTCGAAGCCTCTAACGATGGCCATGATCTTTACGAGAAATTTGGATTCCGCGACGTGGAGCCGAATTTGATTGATTTGGAGAAGTACGGTGGAGAGGGCATTGCGGCAGTCAGAACTATGAGAAGAGTGCCTAATTGATTACACCTCACTGGAGGGACTTTTACGAGCTGTTAACATGTCCGAAAGACTTTTAAATGAATCAAGCTAGCTTATGTCCATCCAGGATGGTTATCGTGATAGAAGCATCTCATGTACATACAAGAATGGTAATTATGACTCATCGTTAAATAAAAAAAATTTGTTGGTATACGATCATCCCCCCAATCTGAGTTGAATCCATATTGATCATCAATCTGAATGCTGGGAACAACTAACTCAAGCGTAAAATTTGTACAAGTAGTGTCAGACATTATTGTTCATTCTCATCACTTCCTTCCTGGACGAAAGCGTTGTGGTTGGCAGTTTCTGACTTGGCTTTCACGGTTGACTCCTTCTCGGTTGACTCCTTCTCGTTTGCTGCGGCATGGTCATCATCACCATTTTCATTGGAGTCATGAGCTCCACCATTGCTGGCCATAGCTGGCCCTGGATGTGGAGTACCCTTCTCTTGGACCGATTTACCCTTCTTCTGCTCTCGGATGGGCATGGGAGTCTCCCCCTCGCTCTTCAACTCAGCAGCAGACTCCTCACCAGCTTGTGAGGCGCGAGAGCTACGGTTCCTGAGAGCCCGAGCACGTCGAATCATGCGATTATGGTAGTCTACTTGCTCTTCTTCTGGGTCTTCGTGAAGAATACGGCGAGCAGCCTCCCGGCCGACAACAGGGAGGCGGTCGACTCCTTGGGCGGACTGGGGAACCAGTTTAGGATCCAAAAGACCGACTTGAACTAGGACGCTGGCCTGATCCCAGTATGTGTGCTCCGAGTATAGATGACCCGCACGAAGGCTGACAATACTGATAATAATGATTTCGACGCGTTTGTTGGTTGGAGGGACTCCAGGGAGCATCCACGGGATCTCTTGGGAATGCTCAAAGGAGACGTAAAGTTCATCCACGACGCGGTCTGCTCCAGTTGTTCGCGAGAGCAGACGAATGCGCATAGATTGGGGTAGCTTTCCGATGAAATGGTGCTCATAGAAACGACGGAGAGCTTGAGTGCCAATTCCTCCACTCACGGTAGGAACATACGTGACTGCGGGTTTCTTCTGCGAAATGTACGCATCCATAGTCCTGGTAAGGTTTGACGCGAAGAATTTTGCTGGTTCACCGTTAGCACCATTCAAGCTCAACTCACAAGCCTTACTTTACCTTCTTGGTGCTCCTCCCATCTTCTCTCCAGATCTGCCTCTCTCGAGAATCCCTTGCGCAACACCTCGAGTGTTCGTGCCCATGCCAAGCCTGCGGCGAGGTGATCATACTCCTCCATATCATGTTCAGCAAAGCCGGGTGGAGCATGATTGTAGGTATACGCTGGATAGGCTAACTCGAGACGTTCGCCAGTTCCGATTCCAGGATTGATAGGGCGAGTCTTGCGTCGCTTCTTGCCTTGCAGACCAAGCGCGACTGGGATGGTAGTGACGTCCACACTATCGCCTGCTAGGTGCACTAGGACAGGGAGGGAAAGAGGAAATCGCGATCGAGTGTCGGGGATCACACTGGGATAGTATGCGATGAGTGCGCATAGCCGATTGGCATTTTGTGATTTCAGATAGTAGTCCAAGCAATAGTTGGCCGCCTCGCCATAAGCTGCTCACAGTTAACCATATGTGTTTCTATCGTCCTGGTCTTCGATATCTTACCAATCACCGCATAGTTTTCGCCAACCCCCAGTCCTTCCTTAACACCCCTCAACCGACCCTCATACTCCTTACCTCCTCCATCTAGCGCGACATAGACCACGTCGAACCCTTCATCCTGCCAATTCTTGATCGTCTCCATGTCAAACTCGCCCGTCTCCGATGTAATGCACACTCGCGCGTTATTTGAGCCATTATTGTAAAGGAGACCCCCGCTCAACCCAGGGGCACTGATCGAAACAGTCGCCATTTGGTGTGGATTCCGCCCAACGACGACTTGCAGCAGATCCAGTGTTTGTTTACCTCCGGTCGATGGAAGATTTTGCAATAATCTTCAATCGAGTATCCGATAAAGTTGATATGTCTGATGGATCTGAGATAGAATTACGAGGTCAGAAGAGAGGTTGGTGGTGATTGTTCGTTGTTTGACAGTTAACGGGCGCTACGTCATTGGCGCTCATGTCAAGTTTCAAGCACCGACGTCATTGCGGTCGCAATTCCTGGCACTGGCCAGGTTCAGGAAATTAATTGGTTATGGGCTACATCAATTCCAATGGAAGAAGGACCACGTTGAGATTAGCGTTCCTTGGGATATCTGGGGCATTTGGTGGCTTGGTAAGATACATCTCGAAGCTGTTACGGACGCTGTCGATCGCACGCTAGCCTTCTGTTCAATCTTGTAGCGTTCTTATCGATGACAGGTCTGGGAGCTTATCAGCGGTTGCCCCCACGTTTATTCTCCGATCCTGAAAGGCAGACTTGATATTGTCTACTTTGTCGTGAGCCGGTAGGAGGGTGGTCCGAATATGAAAGGCTTCAAAGTTCTAGACTGAGCCATTTTATTTGTTAATAGACTAAACTCGAGATAGCTTTGTGGCTTTCACCATTTGTAACATGCCATGTACTTGCGCCGCAAATAGCTCCGCCAGATAATAATTGTTATTCAATCACGTCCCCAGCCTAAGATCTCGATACCGAATGCTCGTGCACTGAAGAAAGGCGATAACCAAGTCGCAATAGAAAGACCGTTACTTAAACTACAGAATCGTCCTTTGGTATGTGCCGGCTTCCATTATCCGTTTACTGGGACCCAGCGGTGTACAAGCAGTGATCTTTTCCCCAACCTTACTCGCAAAGTGTGCCTTTGATTACTTTGTCTCATCCGAACTCTCTCTCGAATTCCTCTGTGATTCAGTTCAAGTGCTTGTTCTATACGCTCACAATTAAAACATTATCTGTACATGCTGGACAATACTCTTGATCCCAACAATTCTCTTCCACCAGGCAATCGCCTCAACCCTTTCCCTGTCCGCTCCATCCGTGTAACAACAAGGCTCAATGTATCTAATTTACGTTGAACAAGATGATCTACTATCTTGCGATCATGACGGGGCCAACCCGCTATGTCCAGTTCTAGACCTCGTAGTTATGGTCCTTAACGAACTAAGATAGACCTCGAGGACGTGAAGCTCAATGTGAATAAATTTCAACCCACATTTCATCCTTGATGAACGATAGTCTATCTAGCGTTGTGTTGGTCTCACAATCAATAGCCGGTTGAAAACAGAATGCACGGAAAGTCCCTTCTGTCGTGCAATGGGACCATATTTCTCTCTTCGACAGTCTTTTCTTCGGAAGCATCCATCGAGCTTCCCTGGTAAACAACACAAATAATGTCGCTTCAACAAGATGGGTCATATCGCGCAACTGTTGATAGCGGGCATGAGGGAGGAAGTGTGAATAATATTTCGCCAATTTTATCAACTGCCATCGACCACTATCTCAGTATTCAGCCCCAAACGTCTCTCCCGGACGAAACTGCGAGTGTTCTAGCACATAAACACTCTACCACAAAACGAATTGGCATGTGCTATATCCCCCAAGTTGAAAAGACCGCTAATGTTGTACAGTGCAGGTAGTGTTCACGATTCTCGCCTGCAGTCTCGCATCCGGTATTGTATTTGGATTTGCGGCGCTAAAGCCAATTCTTATCGAGGAACGTGTTTTCCACGATCTCTGTGGTGATGAAGATTCTCGTGAGAATGGCCACTTTTGCCCGGAGCAAGACTTGAAGTATGTTCCTCGTCCTTGTTTAACGTGTATTGTTCTGTTCACTGGCAACTCAAACACCCCAGGCTGAATCTTTTCTACACGATCGGATCCACGGCGGCAAATATCTCTTCAATCCTGGCTGGTGCTATTCTCGATCACCGTGGTTCACGCTTTTGTAACGTTCTCGGATGTGTCAATCTAGCCTTCGGCTGTGGTGTGATGGCTATATCGTTTCATTTCGCCCACTATCAGTGGTTGTTCGTTGGGAACTTCTTTCTTGCCCTGGGAGGTACATTCGTCTTTGTGCCCTCGTTTCAGGTTGCAAATGCCTTCCCACAGTTTTCGGGACGCATCGTGGCTTTGGTGACGGGCGCGTTTGATGTCTCGGCTGCTATATTCCTTATCTACCAAATCGCGTACACGACCTCGGGACAATATTTGACGCCCTATCGTTTCTTCTTGTGCTTTACTGCAGTTCCGATTTTGCTTTTAGTTGGATTCGTCGTTGTCATGCCTAGGGATGAGTATGGTTTCTGTCCGCCAAAAAATAAACAGGCGTTAGTGGAGGATCCGCCCGAGGATATACACTCCGCCTACAGTGAATCCACCACTCCAGCAGGACACCGTCACCTGGGTAGTAAGCGCACGTTTCGCCTTAGCGGAAGATTCCGCAAATTACGGCGAATCCTCGGCAAACGCCAGAAAAGAAAGCAGCAGGTCAATCATGAACCGACTCAAAACCAAACCCGCCAAGGCCGGGGTGCACTCCAAGGCTTATCTGCTCGCCGACAATTGGCCACGCCGTGGTTCATACTCATTACCCTGATGACTACCCTACAAATGATTCGAATGAATTACTTCATCGCTACTATTCGCATGCAGTACGACTACTTGCTCAGTTCTCCAGCCCAGGCAAAGTCCATCAATGGTTTCTTCGATATCGCTCTCCCACTAGGAGGTATTCTTTCCACGCCAGTGATCGGATATCTTCTCGACAATCTGAGACTGAAGAATATTCTCGCTCTGATCGTTCTATGCACAACCACAATCGGGGTGTTGAATTGCATTCCTGCTGTTGGGGCTGGATATGTGACAGTTATATTGTTCGTCGTGCTGCGACCGCTATACTACTCCGCCATGTCGTAAGTCATATATTTGTCTGTCGTTTCCATTTCAAGTCTTCCCAATTGACTTTGTAGTGACTATGCTACCAAAGTGTTCGGATTCGGCACATTCGGGCGAATATATGGAACGATCATCTGCCTTTCGGGGCTGGCAACATTTTCTCAGTATGGACTTGATGCGCTAACCCAGGGTTCTTTCAAAGGGAACCCAACACCCATCAATGCTGTCTTGGCCGTCGTAGGCTTTTTTCTAGGATCTGTGCTGGTTGGCTTTGTATCTGTAGCGGGAAGACGTCTCAGTTCGGAGGGCACCGGGGAGTCTAGTGAAGAGGAAGAGGAACGACCACTGCTGGCGGCTGATCTCGACGAAAGGTGGGGATATGAGGCCTTTACCGACCCGAGGTGATTTCAGAGAGTTTAATAATGGCGTAAATTGATTTGAAAAACGAAACTGAAGAGGAAGATAATATGATTGGAAGTCGATATAATTGGAAATCTTTCTTTACTTCTCCAGCGTAAAACGAAGAGCTCTTCCAGCACAGCTATGTATGACCGGGTACTCCGTATAGGCCCTTCTAGTCTCCCTAGCAATCGTGAGACTACGCGAGCATCCCCGCCCATTGGCCACACTTAGAAAGCTGGGGTAATATCTCCGCGTGGGCTCAGTGCGGCTGTCCTGCCATGTCTATCAACATCCCTGTCCTCAATTCCAAAATCCCCGATCGATGCATCCTTATTTGCAGCTACAGATCCAAGTCGGCTATATGACATGCGCTAACCTTAAGTGATGAGATCATACGACAGGGTAAGATTCAGCCAAGCATGGGACTTGCATCATGCAACCACTACGCGTTCTAGTTAGTGCCAACAAATCGTATACATCCGTCCGCGACATGCCGCGGGTACTTTCGTGATGCTTTTCGGCCAAGCTCTTACTCTCATTCTTTTTAACTTTACCTATCTCCTTCCTCCTCTATCTCTGCGATTATCATGACAGGGTCAACCTCGTATACAGCCCGTGGCTCAAAGCACTAGCTCCCTCAAGGCAACAGTATACTTTGCTCGCCCCTAAACCTTAAACTTTCTCAGCAACCCCGACAGTGGGGGTAATACCGTGGCGTTGGGGTACTTCAAGCACGCTAAAAACCTAACAGATACCAATTCATCCGATAAAAATACCTACAGTCCATGCCTAGCTGCTAAAATGTCATATCAGAATGCCTCCAGCCCCGATCCCGCCCTCTCCCAACCCCAAACCCTCCATTCCGGGGTAAACATTCCCTTTCTCAACTCCAAACCTTAGATAGACAGACACACAACTACCACCACAACTATATGGCCCGGACCCCCGACCTTGACCCACAACCCTTATTCCTAAACCTACCACATCTACCAACAAGCAGCTCAGCAGCTCAATCCAGCCACCCACCACCCATCACGCTCTGAGTCTGCATGCCAAGCTGCCAAGTTCCCCCATCGAGGTCTCTTCCCCGCATTTCCCCCCGGCTAACAACCCCAGATCGTCACCAGTTCCCACGCCACCACCACACAACCTCCGGGCCATCGCCAAATCTGACCCGTACACTGCTCTGCCCAGCCTGCGCAGTGGGGTTAACACCCCTCCTTTGCGCTACTTGCTCTGCTTTTCGGGGGACGTGTCTCACGCTGAGATTGCCGATTGCGTGCATTGCGCGCATTGCACCGAGGTACTTTCCTGATTTCTGTCGGTTATGCTGTTTGAAGGGCTCGGCCACGGTGGCGGGGATGGGCTAGACTGGCTGGGCGAGATGGTGATCCGTAGTCGTCTAGGCTTGGACGGGAATTGTTTCCCTAGTGGTTTCGTTGTAGGTCTTGGAGTACGCCCTACTCCATGAATGCGTTCATTCCGGGCATTCCACGATAATTCCGCTGTCTAGATGGTAGTGTCTCCCAAAGATAAATGCAGTGTACCCCTCCATGATTCTTGTACCCCCGTGAGGGTTTCAAAAGTTCAAAACGTATTCCCTACGCCTACATAAGCCCTTGACCAAATAATTCATCTTCTTGATCTCATTTCTTCCTTGTTCATCTACATCATGTCCGCAGACGAGAAACCAGGCAGCGTGGATCGCATCGAGGATATCGCACGACAGTCGACGGGCCAGGAGACGCCGCCCAGTGACTATGATGAGGAGTTCACGCCAGAGGAGCAGAGGAAGATTATCCGGCGGATTGATTTGCGCTTGGTTACTATGACGGGTCTTGCGTATTGTATTTCGCTGATGGATCGGACGAATCTGAGTGCGGCGGCGATTGCGGGGTATGTTTTGTGTATTCTCCGAGTGTTGAGGCCTGGACAGGACCGGATAGGACTAATGGTGATGTGATGGGGGTTTCAGTTTGAAGACAGAGCTGGCATTGAGTGTTGGAAATCGTTATGTGAGTATCATTGATATTTTCCGTGTTATACTTGGAGATGGGCGCGCTGACAGATACATCTTCATCTAGTCGATTGTCGTCCTCATGTTTTTCGTTCCCTATATTATCTTCCAACCACCGATGACCATCCTGATCCGCAAGATCGGGCCAACCATCTTCCTCAGCACGATTATCATGACTTGGGCGGTGATTATGATTGTATGTGGAGTCCATCGTGCTCATTGATGATTCGTTCATCTAACATTAATCATAGGGAACGGGATTCGCCAAGAATTGGGGCCAATTGGTCGGATTGCGTGTTCTACTTGGTGTCCTGGAAGCTGGATACTTCCCTGGGTGTGTCTATCTGCTGTCTTGCTGGTATACGCGATGTAAGTTCTTGTCAAGCCGGTGACTATAAAGTGTCTTCCCATGTCTGACTGGATTATAGATGACGTTCAAAAACGGTTCTCCGTCTTCTACTTGATTGGCTGCGTGGCCTCCGCGTTGTCTGGTATCCTTGCCTTTGGCTTGATGCAGTTGAATGGCCAGCATGGGCTCAGCGGATGGCGATGGATCTTTATCCTTGAGGGTGTGGTATGTGCAGTCGTGGCAGGGACTCTGAATGTGAATATCCGACTGTTCTAACCTCACCATTAGATCACCGGTGCTATCGGTTTACTCTGCTACGTCTTCCTGGTGGATTTCCCCGACCGGGCAGCCAAATCGTGGAAATTCCTTAATCAAAAGGAGTGTGACTTTATCGTGCGACGCATCAACAATGACCGCAAGGATGGAGATCTAGAAGCTTTCTCGCTGAAGAAGTTCCTGCGACCCGCAGGTGACCTTAAAATCTGGGGCTTTGCCCTGATCTTCTTGTAAGTACTGACCCCTACAATGCCGTTCAAGCAAAACCACTAAGAAGGCCTACAGCTGCCTGACCACCGTCACCTACGCAATCGCCTACTTCCTCCCCATCATCCTTATGGAAGGCATGGGCTTCGGCGTCGGCGCAGCTCAATGCCTCGTAGCTCCACCCTACGTCTTCGCCGGTATGGTGATGTACAGCACCGCCTGGTTTGGCGACAAGTACCACGTGCGCGCGCCGGTTCTCATCTTCAACGCTCTACTCTGCATCATCGGACTGCCCATGATGGGATTCGCCAAGGGCGACGCCACGCGCTACGCGGGCGTGTTTTTCACCGTAGCTGGCGCCAATGCGAATATCCCCTCGTGCATGGCGTACCAGGCGAACAATGTCCGGGGACAGTGGACGAGAGCGTTCTCGAGTGCGACCCTCGTTGGATTTGGTGGTTTGGGCGGTATCGTCAGCAGTCTGGTGTTCCGTACTCAGGACGCGCCAGAGTATCGGCCGGGAATGTACGCCGCGCTCGCGTAAGTGTTTTTCACTTTCACTCTCGGGATCGCTTGTGCGCTTATCGGGAGGGCTTGATAGCTAGCTCTTGGCGGTGTAGTCTTTGCTCACTTTGTTCTGTGCTGACCGTTTTTGTCCCTTGCAGGTGTAATGTTTTGATTATTCTGATTGTGGGCGTTATGAGTGTCTGGTTCCGGTTCTGCAATGGACAGGCCAGCCAGGGGAAACGGGTTATCGAGGGGGAGGCCAGCTTCCGGTATACCATTTAATCAATCGGGTTGGGAGGGGACGAGACCGAGACCCGCGGGGAGAAAGGAAACCGGGGCTGTTCTTGTTTGGTGGATCAGAGATCACATGTCACTCTGTCGTTCAAGTGTCACCCTTCCTGCGGGCAGTAGTTTTCTCAAGCATGCGTGCTTCCATTGTTCAATTGTGGTCCACGTAGTCGTACGGAGTAGTGTAGACTGTAGGAGTATCGATCGCACGGACGGAATGTCAATTGCCCTGGACTCGATCGGAGGCTCACCGTGGAGACCGACTGGAGAGAGCTCCCAGGCCCGCGAGGCCCGCGAGGCCCGCGAAACCGGAGGAGGGTTCCCCTTGGGCTGTGGAAGCCCCGGCTTTATCGGTGGAGACACTCGACTGCTGGGGACAGGAATGAGTCGAGAGGCACTTTCCCGACGGAAAACCAGCGGAACCTGGTCCGATGCCAGGGCTGTTTGTCCTGTTTGCATCTGCCGATAAGCATTGCCAGTCACTTGATTCGCCCGATAAGCCCGCCTTATCGTCCCGGCGCGTGTTTCCCGTTGCCCGTCCGTCGGTCAAGTGGCATGGCTGAGAAACCAAAAAAAAAAATTAAAGCTGCCCATGGACTCACGAAATAAATATAGTATTTCTCGGCCCCTGCTTCTGAGTCTCCTCTGAACACTCTCTCCCCTCCTTGCACCTCCCCCCCAATTGCTTCTCGGGTTCATGTGTTGAGGCTGTTCCCCCTTGGCTACCGCCCCTCAACAATCTCCCCTCTCCCGACGTCACTCTCCGTCACTTTCCCGGTAGCTTCTCTCCAGCATGGCGGCCTCTTGGTTTGCCCTGCGTGGTGGCCGACAGCTGGCCCTGCGGTCGCGTGTGCGTGTCGGTCCTTCGCCGGTCTCGCTGCGAACCGCTTCAGTGGCGCCATTGAACATTACTCGGCGCGCGACGCACACATCCCAGAATGCTGCTCCGATCACGCCCGCGCGCCGCGGCGTGTATACTAGCTCCGTGAACGCCCACGGTGACCCTCACCCCGAGGATATCTTCCAGCCCCTCGACACTTTCCCCCGCCGCCATATTGGCCCTTCTCCCGAGGCAGCCTCGGAGATGTTGGCCGTGTTGGACCCCCCCGCGGCTTCACTGGACGAGTTCGTGAAGCAGGTCCTTCCCGAGGATATCCTTTCCAAGAAGAACCTCAAGGTTGCCGAGCCCCATGCCGACATCAACCTGTACCGTTCTCCGATCCAGGGTGGCCTGGGTGAGACCGATATGCTCAAGCTGCTTGACACCTACCGCAAGCAGATTGATATCTCTGGCAAGACTTACATCGGTACTGGCTACTACCCGACGATTGTGCCTCCCGTTATCCTGCGCAATGTCCTCGAGAACCCCGCCTGGTACACCAGCTACACCCCTTACCAGCCTGAGATCTCCCAGGGTCGCCTGGAGTCTCTGCTCAACTTCCAGACGTTGACCGCTGATCTCACTGGTCTGCCCTTCGCCAATGCCTCCGTTCTCGACGAGGCCACTGCCGCCGCCGAGGCCATGACCATGTCCTTTGCCACGATGCCCGCCTCCAAGCAGAAGAAGGCCAATAAGTCCTTTGTGGTTTCCCACCTCTGCCACCCCCAGACCATTGCCGTGATGCAGTCCCGTGCCGAGGGATTCGGAATTAAGCTGGTGGTTGGTGATATCATGGCCAATGACTTCCAACTGGTCAAGGACCAGGGCAACCACCTGATCGGTGTTTTGGGCCAGTACCCCGATACCGAGGGTGGTATCAACGACTTTCAGTCTCTCAGTGATTCCATCCACACCCAGGGTGGTACTTTCAGCGTCGCGACCGATCTGCTGGCTCTGACCGTCCTCAAGGCCCCCGGTGAGTTCGGTGCCGACATTGCCTTTGGCAGTGCCCAGCGTCTGGGTGTCCCCATGGGCTTCGGTGGCCCGCACGCCGCTTTCTTCGCTTGTGCCGACAAGTACAAGCGCAAGGTCCCCGGTCGTGTTGTTGGTGTCTCCAAGGACCGCCTGGGCAACCGTGCCCTTCGTCTGGCTCTGCAGACCCGTGAGCAGCACATTCGCCGTGAGAAGGCCACTAGCAACATTTGCACGGCCCAAGCCCTGCTCGCCAACATGACTGCCATGTACGCCATCTACCACGGTCCCGTTGGCCTCAAGTCCATCGCCCAACGCATCATGTCCATGACCTCTCTACTCCGTGAGAAGCTCATCGGTCTGGGTTACAACGTGCCGTCTCGCTCCAACGTCGAGGGTGGCGCCGTCTTCGACACCCTTGCTATCGAGCTTGCTGATGCCTCCGAGGCGGATGCTCTCTACGCTGCTGCTCTCAAGGCCAACATCTTCCTGCGCCGTCTCGAGGGTAACAAGGTTGGTCTCTCCCTGGACGAGACTGTTGGCCGCGACGAGGTCAAGGGTGTCCTAGATGTCTTTGCCGCCTACAAGGGTGCTTCCCCTGTTGAGGTTGACGGCACTCTGGGCCTTGCTTCTGTCCCCGCCAGCCTGGAGCGTACCTCGCCCTTCATGACCCAACCCGTTTTCAACACCCACCACTCCGAGACTGAGATGCTCCGCTACATCCGCCACCTCGAGTCCAAGGACTTGTCTCTTGCTCACTCCATGATTCCCCTCGGATCCTGCACCATGAAGCTCAACGCTACAACGGAAATGATCCCTGTCTCCTGGCCCGAGTTCTCTCAGATCCACCCCTTCATGCCTGCCGACAAGGCCAAGGGTTACATCCAGATGATTGATGATCTGGAGGCTCAGCTGGCTGACATCACTGGCATGGCCGAGGTCACTGTGCAGCCCAACTCTGGTGCTCAGGGTGAGTTTGCCGGTCTGCGTGTGATCAAGAAGTACCAGGAGGCCCAGGGAGATGCCAAGCGCAACGTCTGCCTGATCCCCGTCTCTGCCCACGGCACCAACCCTGCTTCCGCTGCCATGGCCGGTATGCGCGTCGTTACCATCAAGTGCGACACCAAGACCGGTAACCTGGATCTGGCTGATCTCAAGGCCAAGTGTGAGAAACACAAGGATGATCTCGCCGCCTTCATGATCACCTACCCCAGCACCTTTGGTGTCTTCGAGCCCGGTGCGAAGGAGGCCTGCCGCCTGGTTCACGAGTACGGTGGCCAGGTGTACATGGATGGTGCCAACATGAACGCCCAGATCGGTCTGTGCTCTCCCGGTGAGATTGGCGCCGACGTGTGCCACCTAAACTTGCACAAGACTTTCTGTATCCCCCACGGCGGTGGTGGCCCCGGTGTCGGCCCCATCGGTGTGGCCGCTCACCTGGCTCCCTTCCTGCCCTCTCACCCTACCAGCGAGTACCTGCAGACTAAGCGCGGTAGCTCTTCCTCCCCTCCCATCAGTGCCGCCCCCTGGGGTAGCGCCAGCATTCTGCCCATCACGTTCAACTACATCAACATGATGGGCGACCGCGGCCTGACCCACGCCACCAAGATCACCCTGCTCAACGCCAACTACATCCTGTCCCGCCTGAAGCCCCATTACCCAATCCTGTACACCAACGACCACGGCCGCTGCGCCCACGAGTTCATCCTCGACGTCCGCGGCTTCAAGGAGACCAGTGGTATCGAGGCCATCGACATTGCCAAGCGTCTGCAGGACTACGGCTTCCACGCGCCCACCATGTCCTGGCCCGTGGCCAACACGCTGATGATCGAGCCCACCGAGTCTGAGAACAAGGCCGAGCTGGACCGCTTCTGCGATGCCCTGATCTCCATTCGTCAGGAGATCGCTGAGGTCGAGGCTGGCAAGCAGCCTCGTGAGGGTAACGTGCTGAAGAACTCTCCTCACACCCAGCGCGATCTGCTCTCGACTGAGTGGAGCCGTCCGTATACCCGTGAGGCGGCGGCTTACCCGCTGCCCTGGCTGTTGGAGAAGAAGTTCTGGCCCACTGTTACCCGTGTCGATGATGGTAAGAAATAACCCGCCCCCTCCCCCTCATAAGTTCATCAGCTAACCCCTTTCTCTACAGCTTTCGGCGACCAAAACCTCTTCTGCACCTGCGGCCCCGTCGACGAGATCGAATAGATATATGATACCCACGTTGCGTTGTGAATTAAGATTTAACTCTTTGGTCTGAAGGGCTGGTCTGACCTGGTTCTCTTGGTCTGGTCAGAGCCTTGGCCTTGACCTTGCATTGTTTGCTATACGCGGATCCTTTAACTGGTTCCGTGTGGTGTTCCTTCTTGTGTATACATTCAACATCCTTATTACTTTTTTTCTCTTTTCCTTTTTCTTGTCATGGGTTGCCTTACGATGATGATTTCTTTCTTGTGTTGGTATTTGTTTGAATAGCGGGTAGAGACGAATTGATTCAACATGATCATCTTGAATATACTCGGTTATGTAATTGTGAAGATTTGAGAAACGAATGTCTTACTAGAGGCATATTTGAACCAGTCCCTGTCGATTGTATGCTTACCCTAGTTATTCCTGGCTCATCTATAACAGGCCCGTTCCCTACTGGAACAGCTCAACACAGTCAAAGATCTATAAATCATCAGCAGTCAGCACATAACCCACCCAACAAGCAGTGAAGAAGTAAGAGGAAAAACTCACAAAATTCGGACTCAAAAACTCATCCCCCGAACTCCCCGAAACAACAGAAATAGTAATCTACCCCCGTCAGTACAGCACCCAATTCCACACCCCCTACACCACACCAAACACCACACGACCAGAAGAAACATACCGTATTCGTGCCCGCAACAATACTCCCCCCAGGCAAACCAACATCATAAACCTCCCCGAACCCCCTATACGCACCCCTCGTCACACCCCTAGAATCCAGATTCGCCGGCGCACTCGGCACACTCCCGCTATAACTGTTAACGGTGACTTGGGGCCGTCCACCGGCGAACGAAAGCGTGGTGCCGATGCGTAGCGTTGCGGCGCCTGTTTGCGCCGATGTTGCGGTGAATTTGATTGTTAGGGGCGAGTTTACGGATTTGAAGAGCGCCATGGGGAAGGACGATGGGGAGGTGGTGCCGACTGTGTATGTTGGGGTGGAGGTCCAGGGGGACATGCGGGTGTCGGATGGGTGCATGCGGAGTTGGGAGGGGGCGTTTAGGAAGCCTGTTGGTCTGTTGTTATGGTGGGTTAGTCAGGTTATATTGCGTTTAGGAAGCAGGAGTTGGATGGAGGTGTTGTGCTTTGCGTAGGTTTATCTTACTGTCCGTCCCATTCTCCGATTTTGAAAATTGTCGTCCCTGTTTTCACGGAGCCGGAGATATTTTTGCTTATCGTTGATCCTGCTGTTACGGTTACTGAGCTTGTAGCGACGGGATACTCGCCCTGGTAGTAGACCATGGTGTATGTGCCTGGTTTCATGGCGGGCGATGTGAAGCTCCCGCTAGAGGAGGTGTAGGTCCAGTATTGGGCGGCGTCGTTGTACCTGGCTTCTGTTAACAGATTGTAAAGAGGCTGCTTCTACAGAGGATACACTTACCAGTGGACAACCCATTTCATAGAGGAGTCCGCGCCAGACGCTGTGCCGGAGACATATCCCCGCCCAGATGTCGCGACGTACCCCTTAATGCTGAGATCCGCGAAGAAAGACGTGTCGATGTTCGTGCTCGGGGTGCCGCTGCGACTAAAGTACATCAGGTAGGGACCGTGCAAACCCTGACGGTATGATTCGGTTTGTACGTGTCCCGAGTTCATGTACCAGTATAACCCGGTGTAGCTGCCAACGTTGTTGGTGTTAATGTCGCTGATCATGTTAGCAAGACAATTAGAAACTATATCACTCATATCCAAATTCAGCTGCTTACCGGTGGAAGGGTCCTCCGGCGGAAGTCTCGTATTGATTGAGGATCATGCAGACTCGATGGGCAGATCCAGACACGCCTATCTTTGTTAGTAACGGTGTTCCAAGGTTAGCGGTTTAGTATACCCACAGTGTCTCTGATCATCGATGAATCGTTCGCTTGAGTAGAACTTGCTGCGGGTCTCGGAGCCAACTAGGTACACATCTGATCCTTCGATTGCAGTACCGCCGGCGATGTTGGAGACTGTGCCGAAAGGTTCTTCGTTCGGGAGGAGGTCTGCATTGAGACGGGCGATGTACCGAAGTTCTCCGACCGAGGGTTCTTCAGAGAATCAGACGTATCCACTATGATCATGGCTTGGGTACTACGAACCGGCTGTAGTATACGTCGCCATATAAATGATAGAGTCTCCACTGTGCGCAACATAATAGTGCGTCAGAGTGTCCGTCTCGCAGGTGATCTTGATGTAGTCGCCTGCTACCATCAGCGACTTGCTTCTACTTCCAATCTATACTGATCAGTGCCGAGAAAGTGGTGGATTAACAAACCGCTCTGCGTCGCAGTAACAGTCGCACTACCCAATCCCGAGCCAATATGCGAGCCGGTAGATTGATACTGCAGTTCAGACCCATAGTAGTTGATCGAAGTGATATCACAATTTGACCGGTCAACCGTGAATTTCAGTGGGTTACTAGACCCAGCATCAACAATGTAGGTATCAGTATTCGTAGTAAGACCAAAAGCAGCCTCAACTCCCTTGCCCCAGAGGGCTAGTGAGGCCAGAATCAAACCCGAAATGAACATGCTGCCAGGCAAGTCTTTGAGAGTGCGTCTCTATCGTCTAATTCCTCACAACTCAGAGCGACAGCCCATCTCTTGCTTTAAAATCACTTCTTAAACCGCACCTCTTCAACCTGAAACCATCCTGAATGGCGGAGATTCCCACACACCCTTCTTCGTCCCTGCATAACCTTCGAGGATTATCCCATATTCGAGTCAAGTTCCACCAATCTGGGCAAGTAGACAATCCTAAAGAAACCCGGACAGAACCTCCATTCGCCGCGGCAACTAGTCTACTCTGGTAATTCACAGCGCAGATCTTCTACGGACGCCCAAAATGCACCTGTGGCAGGGAATAACAAGTTCCGCCCCGAAATGCCAAGACTCTGTCACTAGGACGGGCTTGCCAAGAATACCCTGCAATTCCGTGTGGGGTAGACGGTGGTTTCGACGTGTCGCGAGTAACAGTCTGGCGGTCCCGGCTGAATTGACATTGCCTCTACTTGTGCTCGGTACTCATATCTATGAGGTGAATTCTTCTGGAGATCCCCGATCGATGGTCGCTAAGATGAAAGTCGAAAATGGAAATACTAGGGCTCTATCGGTGCGCTTTATGGCGAAACCCCGAGGACTTCCTGTGCTCGGTTGCTATTCCTCCACGACTGGATAACCGCTGCTGCAAATGTACAAGCTGAGACGCCATTTTGAACATGTATCGCATATAGAAACAAGGTCCTCTTGCCCTGCCCCTCGTAAGTTCTCGAACTGGAAGGTAAAGAAAGCAAAGTCCACTTCAATGCCTTCCATGCGACTGCAGCTGACTATGGGAGTCAGCTATTTCAAATACCCTCTAGAATCATGTATCTAGCAGAACTAAGTCTGGACTGCTCCCCGGCGCCAAGATATTTTGCGGGGTTCAGCCGCACACTACGAGCACTACTGGTGGGTAAATACGGGACAGTGAATGTGAGAGACTAGCGGTGCTAGTTATAAATTCGGTCTATCTTTATTCGTGGCATCTGACAAGAGAATCAGGTGAGGTATACCATCAAATTGAAGCAGCCTCGTGCTTGGTGGTACATGATTATTTTATTTTCTATAAATATTGCAGTTCGCGCACGGTATATCTCGCGTCCACCAGTCGACAGACACTAGTTATCCAACGAGCATCACCCCCAAGGAGTGGATAACGACCGGAATTATTACCCAGGAAGCACGGTCGATGTCAATATCAGGTGCTTGTAAGGAGAATAAAAGGTTCAATTTTTCACACATAGCCCAGGTCTTTCCATCCTAGATCTCTCAGGGGTTAGATACAGAAAATCCGCTGTACCGTACGTAATTCGCTGTCGATACCAGCATCATTGATGACAGCCGGCCATGTTTTCCGCTGCTGTAGCCCACTATATTCGCCATGTGGCTTGTATTACTGACATTATGTTGTTCGAGTGTCCATTGTCCATTGGCCCGGACAATTGTAATTATATGTTATGACATAAACTTCCTTTTGGGATCCGGCTGTAGAAATTGGGTCAGCGCATAGCTCCTTTGGCGACTTCTCGGGCAGAGAGGATAGCGCCGGCTCGATTGGTGCTGGGGAAGAGCATGATGCTACATGGAGTGCCTGCTCACATTGTTTCGAAGACGAAGGTGGCGAGAATTTTTCTATCTTTAGGAATCCTGCTGACATACAGCGTTGGGTTTATTGATGAAAGCCATTGTTTGGGTTGTTCGGGTCCACGGACGACCTACCTCCTGGTCGCTGGCTAAATATGTCGCAGCTCATCCATCGGGTATTATGGAGAAGGGCGTTCGAATACATCGAACAGATTGAGCTTAGGTACTATCTCCAGGGCATATCCCACAGCGTCCGCTGATATCTGAGATCCGCTCCGTCTATGCACCAGCTTTCGTTCATGCAACAAATCGAAAGATCTCAATTCTGAAGCCTAGGGCACGCCTTGACATGACAGTAGACCGAGACGGAAAGAATGCCGAGCTCAGGGTGCTGTTTAAGCTTCGCGTTGATTTCCTCTTCGGGATGCGCAGGGCCGATCGTTACTGTTTGCGTTCTTAATGATTTCCAACGGATTTCGACTTTGACTCCTCCCTATTACAGTCAGGTTGATTCGTATACTGCAGAAAATTGCTATATGAATGGGTAGATAGGAAGCTGAATTAATTATATGGATGTTGTTCATCGGTGCTGATTGATGAAGCTAGCCGAGTCTGTTTTGGAAGGTCGCTGGTGGCTCCGACAGGTGAACATTCTTCCCTTTTGAGCAACATTCCAACGAGCCTCCCTAGCCGGTTCCAGCCGTCAGCATGCCGTCCACTTCCTATCAGTCCGACCACAATACCTAAACCCCCACTGCATTCAAGAACGCACTATTCAATAATTACCACATCTCGGTCGTGTTGTCTGGGTACCTTGTCGGCTAAACGAGACCTAAAGAACAATATCATTCCCCACCGATTGTTCGCTGTGTAGGCGCCCACCACCACCACAACCTAGTGAAACTCGTGTCTAATTAGTATAATCCATTTGATTCTTCCACTAACATTCTTGAGCATTCTTCACCGCCGCACAATGATCCTCAATCCACTCTGAATCTCTGGTTCCGGATCTCGATCCAACGGCTGCGGCGCGCACCCGCGTGCCACGATCCAGACCGCGTGGTCCCTTTTTTTAGGTCGTTGATTTGACTTATTTCGGCAATTACTGATACTATAAACAGTGTCCTGCATCTCATACACTCGTAATTTGGAATTGTTGTGAGTGTCGGGTCTCCGCTCAGCTTACACGATCTCTGCTTCCGCGATCGATTCCCCGCTGTGAAATCTCCGATCATTCTAGGCTATGATACGTAGGTTAGGTTATATGTATGAAGTACGGAGTACTCGGTAGCTACTACTTACCGACGGAGTCCGGCGCAGGAAGGTTAATCTTAATATTGAGCGCGATGTAACAGCTTTATTGTCGATCGGCAAGGAAGCAAAGCATAAAGTGGGGGTTAACGCTATACGTTGCATATATTTTGTTTGGTGTCGCTGGTGCCTGGTGACAAGGCCCAACGTTGCCAACTGTCAAGCAGTGTTTGTTTGGGTTGCATCATGCATGGATACAGGACAATCCAAGAGAAGATCCCAAGCCGCACGCGATGATTTGTGTTTCGGGGACCCTCTGCCAAGTTTGCCCGTCTGGCCATTCACAGCGCCCGATTGCTGGGCACTTGCAGTAGCCTCCGCAAACAATACTTGGCGGGTATTATTGTTCTCGGAGGGGTCCCAGGCCACAGAGCCAGTTGGGTAAATATGACCATGGGGAATGGGTTTATATACGGAGGGCGGCCTTTCGAATTGGTAATATGGTTCTTTTGACAATTACCAAGAGCAGGATTCTTTTTCAGATTGCATTCCAGCGGTATTCGTTGAACTTTGCTTTGCTGTGGAAAGTATGCGGTACTCTGTGCTCGGCCAGGTGGCCGTCACCCTGACAGGGCTGTCTGGTCTGGCCGCTGCGATGGGCATGGGTGCTATTCGGCGGGAATTGAGGCTGGCGGCGGAATTTGGGATCAACCCTGATTCTATGATCAAGCAGCAGAAGTCTGCGAATGAACTGGCTAACGATGATGACTCGGGCAATGTCGTGGCGAAAACGGTTTTGGTAGGTGAAATCAATATGCGACCGTCGCTTATGAACAGAGTGCTGACTTGCGGAATAGCTTCCAATCGACCATGGAGATCCCTCTGTCGGGCACTATGAGAATCGCTACTGGGTCAATGATGAGTATTATCAGCAGGGAGGACCTGTCTTCGTGTACGATGTGGGCGAGGCCACTGCAGAGGCTGCGGCGAAGCAGAACTTGGGCAACTCGACTTCAGTCCTGACCGAGATGTTGAATCAATTCGGAGCAATTGGTATTGCATGGGAGCATCGGTATGTTCTGCATCGTTTTCGTTGACTTGGTCATGACTGACTCACTTTCTTGGTTATAGATACTACGGCGAATCGCTCCCTTTCAACGTCACTGTCGATACGCCGCCCGAGGATTTGAAATACCTCACGAACAAGCAAGCATTGGCCGACATCCCATTCTTCGCGAAGAACTTCACCCTTGACGGGCACGACGAGGATCTCACCCCAGCTGCGAAGCCGTGGGTTATGATAGGAGGCTCATATTCCGGTATGCGAGCTGCTTTCACTCGCCATGCTTATCCAGGCACTATCTTCGCCTCCTACGCGTCCTCGGCCCCCGTCGAGGCTCGGGTGAATATGAGCATGTACTATGACCAAGTCTATGCTGGCATGGTGGCCAACGGATACTCGAATTGTACCAAGGACATCAAAGCCGGACTCGAGTACATCGATGAGGAACTTTCCAAGAACGCAACTGCAGCTGTGGCAATTAAGAAGCTCTTCTTTGGCGACGGAGCGGAAAAGAATAACAACGGCGACTTCACCGCAGCCCTCGCAGGCATCTATGGTTATTTCCAAGGATACGGTCTCGGCGGCGGTAAAGGCGGACTCGGTGCTTTCTGCGAGTACCTCGAGACCGATCCTGCGACTCTCCAACCAGCCGGACCTGACGGCTTCGCGCCCCAGCGAGGCAATAAATACGTCGCCGAGCGTTTCGCCTCATGGCCCATGTTCGTCAAACTCGTCAACTTCAACTACGGCACAAACTGTCGGCAAAGCAACACCACCCAACCGCTAGAATGCACACTCAACCCCAAATCCACGGACCCAGACACCATCAGCTGGACCTGGCAATTCTGCACTGAATGGGGCTACTACCAAAGCAACAACTTCGGCCCTCACTCACTGCTCTCCAAATTCCAGACCCTCGAATACCAACAATACACCTGTAACCGGCAGTTCCCCGAGGCCGTGGAAAAGGGCCTCTTGCCCAGGATGGCACACGCCGACGCGACCAACCAGGAAACCGGTGGCTGGACTATTCGTCCGTCGAACGTGTACTGGAGCGGTGGACAGTTCGATCCCTGGCGTACCCTCTCACCTCTGTCCACCGAGGATATCGCCCCGAAGGGGGTGACGTTCACGACAGAGATCCCGAGGTGTGGCGTGGAGACGGGCGAGCACACGCTGTTTGGGTACATCATGGACAACGCGGAGCATTGTTTCGATTTGATGTCCAGGTTCGCTCCGGGACGGATCTCGCGTGGATACTTTTACGAGGCGTTGGAGTCGTGGTTGCCCTGTTTCAAGCCTGCGACAATGCACGGGGACTGATCCGGATTGTCTTGGAGGGATGGAGTGGGAGAATGACGATGACGGGAGAGGAGAAGCCCACTGGAGGCGCGCCTTCGGTTCAGGGATCGGCGTAGTGGAGACTCATCGTGAGTGGCTTGTGGTTTTTGGTGACTTTCATTCGTTTTGTCCATATGATATTTTTTTCTTCAGTCTGGTGGTTGGCTCTGGAGAGTCACAATATGATGTGTAACTTGGTCAACGGCCAGTCGCTGTTCTCTCCGCGGATCGTCTATACCCTTTTTCTGGTGTGCTTGCGATCCCGGCCCTGAAGAGCTTATTATTCACCAACATAAGAACCTTCGGTTCCGACGAACCTTCGTTCGGGTACTGGTCGAGGTACCTGTCCGGAAGTTAATTGCACGTGCGGCGCTGCCGAGGATTTTCGCTTCCCCGCGGTAATTCGCATGATGAACCTTTGTGTGATCGACGGGATACTTTATTGACTCATTTTCCTCCGCTCTTTTGACAATGACAACCTACATTCTTTGAACACTCACATATTATAGATCAAAATCACCTATTATTATCCAAGTATCTCCCCCTTCTATATCCCACGTCAGATCTCAATCGGAGATATACTGCCCCCCGCATAAGCCGCAAGCTGCAAGCTGCAAGCTGCAAGCATAAGCTACAATGTTACTCAGCCCAGCCATCGTGCTACTCGCCCTCTACGCAACCTTCCTAGTCCTGCGTCACCTCGCCCAGTTACACCACCACCGCAAACTCTCCAAGCAGTTACACTGCCAACCCCCGCCACCGGCAACTCAGGCTGGCTCGGCATCCCGGCCTTTTTACGGCTGAGCAAGGCCGTCCGCGAAAAGCGGTGGATTGACTATCTGTGCGACCAATTCGATATCAACGGCACGACGTTTACCCAGCGGTTTTTGTCGCGCAAGTTGCTGACTACGATTGAGCCGGAGAATGTGAAAGCTATCCTGGCGACCCAGTTTCAGGACTTTTGTCTGGGGACCAGGCATGAGCAGTTTTATCCGTTGCTTGGGGATGGTATTTTTACCTTGGATGGGGCGGGTTGGACGCATGCTCGCGGGTTGTTGAGACCGCAGTTTACTCGGGATCAGGTACGTTGACATGACACACCTCTATTCGAAGGCTCTCCTTTTGTCGAGGTTGATTATTAACTCTTCCTGCAGGTCGCCGATCTCTCCATGCTGGATGACCACATCACCCACCTCATCAACCTCATCCCCAAAGACCGCAGCAGCTTCGACATCCAACGCCTCTTCTTCCTCCTCACCCTCGACTCAGCAACACACTTCCTCTTCGGCGAATCCGTCGGCTGCATGTCCCCGACAACAACGGGCGTTCTCGAAAAATCCGCCGTCCGCAACGCCCAAGGTTTCGCCGAGGCTTTCACCACCGCACAGGATTACCTCGCCGCGCGGTCCCGCGCACAGGGCCTGTACTGGGTGATTAACCCCAAGGAATTCCGCGAGGCGAATCGCCGCGTGCACGAGGTCGTGGATCACTACGTGAACGTGGCGCTGGAGGCGAAGCGGAATCCGGAGCGCAAGCAGGGCGATGGTCGGTATATTTTCCTGGAGGCGTTGGCGGCGGAAACGGATGACCCGAAGATGTTGAGGGATAATATGTTGAATATTTTGCTGGCGGGGCGTGATACCACGGCGAGTCTGTTGTCGTCGACGTTCTTCTATCTTGCGCGGTATCCGCATGTGTTTGCGAGACTGCGGAAGGAGATTGTCGATGCATTTGGGGATGGTAAGAGTGCGACGGTGGAGATTACTCAGGCGAAACTCAAGGATATCGCATATCTGCGATACGTCTTGAATGAAGGTCAGTACCTGCCTCCTACCGCATATGGGTTCCTGACGACAACAACTGACCTGTGCTAGTCCTCCGTCTTCAACCCCCGTCCCCGTCAACTTCCGCGTCGCAACAAAAGACACCTCCCTCCCCGTCGGAGGAGGTCCCGACCGCCGATCCCCCGTCTACGTGAGAAAGGGCACACTAGTCGCCTACAACGTCTTCGCCATGCACCGCCGCACCGATTTCTGGGGCCAAGACGCCCGTACTTTCCGCCCCGAGCGCTGGGAAGAGAACGCCAAGCATGGATGGGAGTATCTGCCCTTCAACGGTGGCCCACGTATTTGTCTTGGTCGTAAGTCTACCAAATTCCCTCCACTTTACCTGTGGCACTTGCAAATAATGGCCGTGGCGAGCCGGTGCTGATATTCATATAGAGCAATATGCCCTGACCGAGGCGAGTTACACCGTCGTCCGATTGATGCAGCACTTTGACTGCCTTGAGAATGCGGACCCGGATTCCCGTTTGGAGCCGATTAAGAACTCGAATTTGACGATGATGCATGATCATGGTGTGCCGGTGAAACTGTATGCTTCGCAGTGATTGTCAGTGGGTTATGAATGACGTTTTGATTTCTTTGTATATAATTGAACGATGGGTAAATAACCATGGAAGTATTCGAGTTTAATGAAGTTATTCGGTGAGGTGGAACACCGAGCATAATATGCCCGCATTCAGTCCCCCTGATACCCACCACCCGTCCCAAGACAGTCAGCTCTGACAGAAATGAACTGGCGTAGCAGCTTTTCGAATACGAACGGTCGGGCAATATATCACGGTTTCGATAAAAGAGGAAACCGAGTGCGAAAACAAGCTCCAATCATCGGAGATAAACCCGGCGTTTACCCGGTCTACGGCAGGAATTAAGAGGGTTACATCATCATCAACTATGTTCCATTTAAAAGGTGCCTTTCCTCTGTAGATGGTATAAAGTTATAGACGAACGCTAAGTTGATTGCAAGTCATAAACCGGCATCACCGACAAAATGTCCTTCCCCTACAAACACGTTCTCCTTATCGGCGCCACGGCAGGCATCGGCCGTGCCATGGCCGACCGATTCATCGAGACGGGCATCAAAGTCACAGCCGTTGGTCGTCGCCAAGACCGACTCGACGATTTTGTCCAGAAATATGGCAAAGACAAGGCCAGCGGGGTCGTATTTGATATCTCGGATACCTCCAAGACAACGGCTTTTGTTGATAGGTGTGTCTATTCTTCCATCTAATTGATCTTCCGAGTCGTCACGCAGCGAACTAACTCCAACAAAAAACATAGTGTGATGCAATCGCATCCTGATATTGACTGCTTATTCCTCAACGCGGGTACACAGAGTGTTTACGACTTGAGCGATCCAGCTAGCTTTGACCTGGAACGGTTTCAGAGCGAGGTTCACGTCAATTACATTAGCCTTGTTGCACTTACGTATGCATTTGTCCCGATCTTCAAGAAGAGAGAGACACCGACGAGCATCATTTTGTGAGTGAAGCCACTTATTGAATTGGGAAATACAGTACTGATAGTTCTTAGTACGGGCTCCAACATTGCCATCGTCCCTGCTGCAACGCTACCCGCGTACTGTGGATCCAAAGCTGCCTTGAACGTCTTCACGCTCTGCCTTCGGGAGAGTCTACGAAACACAAACATAAAAGTCATTGAGATCTCTCCCCCTCCTGTGCAAAGTAAGTACTACCCCTGGGATTACGAAATTCAATGTTCTGACGTGTATCCCCAGCTGAGCTGCACGATTACATGGGCGAACATGGCAAAAGCTTCGGTATGCCCGTGAATCAGTTTACGGATGAGGCGCATAAGGGTCTTCTCCAGGGAAGAGACCAGATCATTATCGGTGCAGTTGGACCTGCGGAGACCTTCAACGAGATTGTTGACAAGCGACGGGCGGCGTTTGAGAATTTGGCCAAGATGATGCGGTCAGCCCATTAATATGGCTTGGATCAGGCTTCGGGATAATGTACATTGAAAAGGGTATAAAAGAATATCGACCTTTTTGCAGGCAAGTTTGATTGACATTACTCATTGACGGAGACAAGTTGCAGGTTAAGCCGAAGAAAATTTAATCACGACTTTGGTCTCCAGATGCTGACTAGCTCTCTCGTAGAATTGCGGCGCCTCGTCCACACTGATGATACTGCTCACAATGAAGCTAGGCTTGGCCTTGCCTTGTGAGATCATTTCAATCAACTGAGGTGCAACCAAGGTCGAATCGATGGCACCAGATCTAACCAGCGGACCCTTTTAGAGAAACTCGACATCGCCCACTGGAATGTTGGGAACAGGAAGTGCCATGGGGAGGTACTCAACGCATCACCCGTAGCTTTGAACGTGCCCACTCGGCCAATTCCACCGCCAATCTTCGTGATGGCTGTCATATTCTCTAGCACTTTGTCATCTCTCAGTTGAAGCTGATGGGCGGCCTCGGTTCCAACACAGTCAACACTCCGGAGGACTCCGTCTGATTCTTGACGCAAGATTTTCGTGATTGGGTCTGAGTGGGTAAGATCAATTGGCATAGCACCAAGGCCCTCGGCAACTGATAGTCGCCGGCGATCACCGTCCACGAGAAACACGCGGGAAGCACCGCGCAGCATGGCCGAGTAAACAGCCATCAGCCCTATGGGACCAGCACCAAATACTGCGACCGAGTCTCCTGGTTGATACCCGGCCAAATCGAGGGCACCCCATCCTGTAGCGAAGATACTTGATGCGAGGAGGTAATCAAGGTCGGGGTTTGCGAGAGTTGATTTTGAGGGGGCTTCATCGGTAGCTTGCGGGATTGGAAAGAGGTTGTCATTTGCGAATGGTACTCGTACGTATTCCGCTAACCAGTTTGTCAGTGTTAGGAAGCACTGACTCAGCATCTTGAAGACGTGGTTCTAACCTTGACACCCCGTCGTCAAATAAGAATCCAAACCCAGCCCAAGCCCCATCAATTCGGCTGTAGAAAGATCTTCAAGCCCGTTAGAAGCTTGATCTGGAACCACGACTTTGTCGCCGACTGAGAATGAAGTCACCGAGTTCCCGACCTCGACAATGATCCCGAGTGCTTCGTGGCCCATCACCCACGGTACCTCTTTCTCCTCGTATGCGCCATTATAGGTGTGAATGTCTGCACCGGATATAGCTGACAAGCTAACTTTAACAATGACGTCCGTTGGGTCGAGTATTTGTGGAATTGGTAACGTCGATACGTTGACCTGAAGAGGATATCCACCCCAAGTAACAGCCTGCATAGACGTGGCGTTGAGACCCATGATGAATCGGCAGATTGATAGAGATACACAACGGTAAAGCACCAGGACTGTCTACTAGATATAACCTAGCTAGAGCGGCTGTTATTCCGTACTTTATCAGATCTAAGCATTGATTTTAAATCAGCTTGACAACCCTTATCCGCCAAGCATGGGCCCGAAATCCGAACAACCAAGCCACACTTCACGGCCAGCTCTTTCTTGGCGGTCATCAAGCTGTGGATCTGCAACTTCCCGAAACGATAATCTAGATTAGGCATCAGGTTTTTGGGCATGTAGCCAAGACGCTTGATCACTGCACTTTTGAATCCTACCAGTAAAGCCGATACCTGGAATGTCGACAAGAGCTTGGCATTGTCAGCGAGTTGCATTAACTAGTGTCAGCTCAATTAATCGTGTAGCCAATCATAGCGGGCTTCATGGACTTAAGGATTAATCCAGCCAGTGGGGGTGGGCGTTCGGCATAGCCCCGAGGATCCACTATTTATCATCACTAGACTTTGTTTCTTTTTTTCTTGAACGAGTCGCCGTATTCGGGAAATAGTCGAGAGATGTCCTGCCGAATTTGGGACTACCTACTTCCAGTGACGTAGATTCAAATAAGATTACTCAAGATTTAAAGTGTTTATCATGAGGTGTAAGCGTACTAATCAAGATTTGATCGCGGGTTAACGATATATATCCGCAGCTGAAGTGCGAACTGCCCTGGTGCCTGAACTCAATCAAGGTGTGTGCATTGCCTACCTGCCTCTGAGGAGGAAAGTTTTGAAGTAACTCGGTGAAGACCTCCAATTGATGCGATGACCAAGCTTAAACTCGAAGAATAGCTCTCCAAGCCAGCACCATACTCCATCGGCGGCTACCGATCTGCGGCAGCCACCGTTGCCGAAGATCCTCCGGCCGGACCCTGTTCATCGGAGGTAGTCACCCTTAGCCCCGCCCCGCCTCTTTGGCTTACGCTTCTCGAATCCATAAATTGTGGGTCCACGATTGAATTGCGCCGCAAGCGAGGGCCTAGTTCACTGAATCTTCACAACAGCCGACAAGAGTATCACATCGAATTGGTCAAATCGGCATACGTAATGGCATAAGCCTCTTTCGCTGAATTCTTGTAGACCAAGTAGATTACCCGTAGGCTCATGCCCAACTGGACGAACGATGCTGCGAGTTATATGGTGTTGAAGGATTTGTTGGGTATTCCACCCAAGGTATTAGTCGGTGCAGTACGTTCCGCGCTACAAGAGTTGCTTACAAAGACCCACGCCAACGCCACACGAAATATGGAGGCCTATTCAATGGGAATGGGCTGTGCTAGGCTGGGCTATAACGAACCCGTGAGAAGTCTAATTTCTCGGCTAGAGATGACAGAAGCGCACTCCACTGCGAGGAACTGCTATCCAACTTGTACGCAATCCACTTCGTAACATCGATGAGAGAGCTGATAAACAGCAAGCTTGATGAAACGTGTCTTACGGGCGATCTGCGGTTGGTCTAATGCAGCCACGTTGGAGTAGAGAACACATAGATAAAGTAAAGTTAGCCCACAAGAAGCAGCTAGCGAAGGGACTGCTACGGTCCTCTCAGAGACTCTCGCGACCATGTGTCTCAACTTACATCCTCAAACAACCCAATCAGATTACATTCCAAGATCTAGATCACGAGTGTTTGATTACTACCACAAGAAAGGAACTGGTAGTCCATTAACAACAAGGACTAGGCAAGTTAAAACACAAGAAAAAGAGGCATATTCGGGAAAACACAGTTAGACATAGCCCAGCAACCCCACAAATAAGAAAGCAAGACTTGCGAACTGGGACATTCCGGACTCGAGGTCAAGACACCAGCCTATATGGCTCACCCTGATATCGGCAAAATTTAGTTCTGAGCTGCGTACTACGAAAGCCAAGCCAAAGTGACAGAATGCGATCAAGAAGCCGCCAGGCGTGAAAGACGATTGGAAAAGATTGTTTCTGACCGCGAGTTGAGATTGATTCATCTGTTTCCAGCTTAGCGCTTACCTTTAAGGCGATCCGGTCTAATTCGGCCGAACTTGACCGAGTTAGCGCAGAGGCCATAAAAATAGCGGACGCTCTATCCGCTCCAAAGTTGCATGTTCAGAAACAACCGATAAGAAGCCACAGCAAAGAATCTATCATTATGTTGCGTAGCTCAACGCCTGAACAGCATCGGCGGAAGAGAGTTCGTAAAGGAACAAAGAGCTGCTGGGAGTGTAAGCACCCCGCTCCGTGATAAAGAACGCATCTGACATCGAGCAGGCAAGCGGCGAAAGATCAAGTGTATTCCATCCCCGGAATCTTCTGTTTGCACTGGTTGTCTTGAGAGAAGCACGTCTTGTCTAAGTCAGGCGTTTGTGGATGATGATCCATCACACCATGCCGAGGACCCCATGTTGGCTCGCCGTATGGCTAGGGTGGAGTCATTGCTAGAAAAGCTGATGGAGAGGATGCCCCAGGGTCAAAGTGGTGACAGCTTGACTCCTGTATCTCATCCGGTAACGGCGAACCAGGCTAGACCTCTTTTTGCATCACAGGCAGATGATTCCCGGGCGCAGGCTGGTGTTAGTCCTCTTACTGGAACACTTGAGACACTTCGACAACAACTGACGAGGATGCTACCTTCTCAGGCGGATGTGGACTTTTTACTCTCGTCGAGTCACGGATGGTGGCTAATCCAGCAACATATTATGACCCATCTACCAGACTCAACTCACGATATGTATAACGTGACCGTTGTTCCACAAGGACATCCGATAGCGATAGCGAGACTACTTCTCTGTATTACAATCTGCATTCAGCAACTTCCACCTGACATAGAAGTGCAAAGACTTCAAACTCCGGTGCCATTACGAGAGACCATGAATAGTATCATGGATTTTCTAGTGTAGAATGTCACCTCTCATGACGACATCACTGCAAGCATCGAAGGAGTTGAGTGTCTGGCACTTCAAGGAATATACGAGGTCAATGCTGGTAACCTTCGGAGATCATGGCTCTCTTACCGAAATGCCGTCGCAATATCCCAGCTTCTTGGTTTACACAGAGCGGCCGCCAAGGCGTCTTCGGAAACCCAGGAATCGACGGAGACAAGAAGAAATCATCTGTGGTATCAGGTTTCGAGAGGAGTGAGTTGTTTCCCTCAATTTGCAACCGATCATCAATGCTCATACTCACTAGGAGCGTTACCTCTCTACCTTACTCGGCGTACCATCTGCAACAGGATCAACTGTTCTTCCTTTCGATGACGACGCTACTTGGCTTTCACCGGAAGACGTCTATCACAAGCATTTATATCACATAGCCGGACTCATACTGGTTCGCAACCAAGAAGATTCCACACATTCGTTTTCAACCACCCAGAGAATTGGCGAACAACTCGATGCGCTCGCAGACCAAATGCCGTCAACATGGTGGGAGGTTCCCACCAGCATCCCAAGCAACCGCACGAAAGAAGCATCCAAACAGTTTGAGCGAGTAATGTGCCAAATATGGCACTTCGAGCTGGAAGCTCTGTTACACCTACCATTCATGCTACGCGCAGCGAACGATCGACGCTATGAATATTCGCGTGTCTCTGCCCTCAACGCCAGTCGGAGCCTAGTCAAGAGATGGCTTGCCATTCGTGAGAGTCAGAGCACCTTTTACTTCTCTAATCTCCTCGAATTCGAGGCTTTCACTGCAGCGATTACGCTCCTACTAGGGCTCCTGGGACAGGACCAAAGTATGAACAGGGGCGACTCTCAGGAACGGGACGAGGATTCTCGCATTGTAGAGACGGTTGTCCACAACTTAGTGAGGCTCAAGCAGCAGGGTTCTGGTATGTCTGTGGGGGATCAAAGTATCTCGGTTATTCGTACACTTCAACGTTTCCTTTATAAAGAAAATTTCTCCGGAGCCCTGACACTTGAAATTCCCTTCTTTGGAACGATCAGGATCGCACATATGGGCGCGGTACAACCGCTGGAAGGGGAGCGGATCCTTGGGGCTAACCGGCGCCAAAACACTTCACTGCCTCGACCTGCAAAATTGGCGCCGCCTTCTTCAAAATTGGGAACTGGCTACTCTCATGATTGGGTCTCCTCTCGAGAAACACCAGTCCTGCCTGAACTGGTTGAACGTGGAGAGGTTTATACTGAACAAGATGTAGCGGGAAATGCCACGATTTTGCAATTCTCTGGTGGTTATCTTCAACTTCCTGATATGCCGGACGTTCAAAGTGGTCGTGAAACAAATGAGTGGCCAGACCTAGAAAGGGATATGATATTCTTCTACAGTCTGGTGAATACTGATCTGGTGGGTAATTGGACGTTCTAAGAAATGCTCCAATGCCAAAAATTGCGTAAGAGGAATCATCGAAAACAGGTTTTGGCAAGTGCTTGCTTCAGATAGAATGTCAATAAAGAAAACTCTCCGTCTCGTATTGAACCCACACCCTCTAGTTACCCATATAAACCGATGACGATGCCTCATCCTCAGCCGGGGATGCTCAAAAGCTTCATCCTAGTGGCACACCCCGCGAATGCCATCCTCATATAACCGCAAGAGACAGTTAATGAGCTTCAAAAGAACTGAAGACAATCTTCTAATTTGGCTAGTTATTATGACAGAGCGAAAACAATGAAAATGATCAAAAAGATAACCACGAGGGGTGTTGTACCTCTCGCATTCCACCCACCCAATTCCTCCCCGCACTGCTGGCCGAGCGAGCTCCACAAAGTTTGCTTCACAGCTCAAGCCGGAACAGGTGGTTACCGAGTAGACCACCGGCAGGGAGGGTTGTTTGTTCGAACTGGAAGTGATTTATAACCTGCGCTGAGGATACTGCTAGATCCGAACTGGCCTTCGATTTCCCACCCCCTGAGTTACTAGAAAATCAAGGGTAGTAGTCTGCATTTGATTGATTGCAGAGGATAAATTACCAGCGCCGCATATCTCCGTACTGCAGACAATCCGTCATGTAGTCGGCCGAAATCGACCGATACATACAGAGGGACGGCGGAAGAAGACAAGGTCGATGTGCAAGACGGCTTGACACATCACCTATAAGAAGATGGGTCCTCAGATTTGATGATGGTGCTCCCAAATCAAGACAACTGTACAAAGATATCTTCCATTCCAGCCGTAGACAGTCTCTGCTGAAGCCAATCTGAGACTATGGCCCTCAAGCAAGACACAACCGGTATCATCGCCGCCGCCGAAAGCCACATGCTCTCCTATTGTGCCGACCTCACCTCACCCACATTCGAAACCTCTACCGAGCGGGCCGCAAAAATGGCCACCTACTACCTTCCAGCCATCTCCATCTTCACAGGTGGAACCATCACCCAGCTATCTGACCCGTCGCTTTACGTACAACTGATCGCGGGTCCTCTGAACAAGTTGGGGGACCTTCCTCAGGTCAGAGGACATCGAGTCGATGCTATCAGCGAGAACAGTGCAATTATATGGCTTTTACTGGAGGTTAGTGGGATTCAGATTTCAAAGGTTTATTTCTTCAGAAAGATGGAGCATGGAGTCGAGGGGTTCGAGGGTGGTATTTTTGATGGTGAGATCTGGTTGTTGAAGGAGCTGGCCAAGGAGTGAATACGCGGGGATAGTGGAATGATGTTATATTAGGAGAGAATTGCAAAGCACCCACGCGACGTTCTGCGTTGTTGTGTTGCCCCAGCAACGCAGATCTTTAGGTTCAGCACAGGCACCGTGAGAAGTTGACCATCGTCGTGTAAATAGATACAATTCCTCCTGGCCTCAATTAATCCCTAATATACGTATACATATCATCCTGGGTATCACTTTTGCAAATACAAAACAGGGTCGCTATCAACATCCAACAGGCAAAGCATGATTCTCAGCGGACTTCAAATTGTCTCTCGTCAGCTGGTGCGCAATCTACAACACGTTGTCCAGCAGCAACAACCATGCGGTATTGATCTTACTCTGCGCCAAGTTTCCGAGTGGACATCAGCGGCTACAATCGACTTTGATAACACGAAGCGACAGTCCGCCAAAGTTTCCGGGCTGTGCTTCGACGTTCACAGTCAGATGATCACATTACCACAAGGCGCCTATTTGGTTGATTTCAATGAAACTATTCATGTTCCCCGAAACTGCATGGCAAGCGTTTTTGCCAGATCATCACTATGGCGATCTGGTGTTGGGATCCACGCCGGGGTCGTTGATGCGGGATATGAAGGCGCGATGGGCGCCTTGATGGAAGTCAAGAATCCTAATGGGATTGTACTGTATAAAAATGCCAAGCTTGCTCAGATTGTGTTCGAGGAAATGGCGGAGACAGTGGAGGGGTATAAAGGAGTTTATCAGTCTTCAACGAGCAGTGCTGGACGTGATGGGCAGGGTCGTGTGACAAATAGCTAGCATGACAAGCGTATATTGATTAGTTAGCTCTATTTCTTGATCCGCGAGAATCCTAATAGGCTGGACCTGTCTCATGAACAGTCCAACATCTGATACTCCTTATAAGACAGCGCCAGATACAGTAGAAGGTACGCCAAATAGCAAGATTAGACAACTCGCCTTTGTCATATAAATCAACACATCCTCTGGTACTCATGTACATCCACCCAACACCCCATTCTTCCTAAGTCTTGGTTGGAGGCTTCAATAAATGGTACAGCAGAATACACTCTTTTTGGTCCGAGCTCTTCCCCTGCAATTGTAGCCGATTCGTGTGTATGCTCTATCCGGAGAGGCCCTTTTAACTCACTCTTTCCGAGCGAATAGGCCTGGACCCTGAGCAGTAATCAGACGAGCAAATCTAACCCCGCATTCTACCAGTACCCCACAATCCCCGGGATTCGGATAACTCCCTCTCCTTCCCAACTTATCAATTTAACTTCAAATGGGTGCGGAGCAGATAGGTCCGATTCGGGACGCCGTTCTGTAGAAGCCAATCGCCGACCCCGACAGACCGAGTCAGGCCATACAATATGCTCGGTATTGAATGGCTCTAGCCGCAGAGGTTCACCGAAAAAGTCAAAAGCCGTGAGAATCTGTACGTGATCGTTTGGTAGATACACCTAAACCTTCGGCTTTGATTAGCTAATTGTTAGCACAAGGAAGTGGCTTGAACTCTCGTATGATGTGCCAATCATAGTTGTGCCCGGAACAGAGTAATCCTCGGCATTAAAGCAAGTGAACTTTGGAACTGGCTTCTTTCCCATCAATTTCTGCAAGATGTACCAGGTATCAAGCCCCAGAATACAGCAATTCAGACCAAATTAGCCTGTTCAGACCGCAAGGGTGTCATGGTGTATTTGCAATCCTCCAGCGAAGTCGATGTGTGAAAATCACCGACTCTATGGACCTCTAGCATCTGCAAGAGGTTTCTAAAGTTTATCCAGTACTAAGGATACTCTACGTACCATATTTCCTCTGCCGGGTGGGGCTTTCCTTTCTGAGCTGCCGCCGCTTTTATGAGGGCGTTCAGAGTTAGACTCACTGAGTAAATCTCAGTCCAGGCTTACGCAGAGTGCTCACGTGATCATAAGTGAGTGCTCACCTGGATATGTTACTAAGCACCGGGTGGCCAGATCGGCCGGGAAGTACGTTAATCCTCAGCGCTTTATAAGCCCCGCCGACACCGGCCGGCGAATCACACGTGCCGATGTCTTATCTGCCTTTCCTGATAGCCCGCCTTCTTGACCCTAATAGCTCGTCGTGGTTGAAACCGCTACGATTGAGGGCACGTTCGTGCTAGCAGATGTCCCTCCTTGATTTCATCTCTACTGGATCAAATCCTGGGATATGATATTTTTTTTTCACTGCGACATGGTGGATTCACAAACGCGGACCGGCGTGGAATCGAATGCTCCGCTCACAGCGCGCAAGTACCGGTCGAAAAGACAGCGACCCTGCGATCTGTGCCGCGGACGAAAAACCGTCTGCAAAGTTCTTCTTGGGAGTAGTGTCTGCGAATTGTGTAAAAAACTGGGGAAGAGTTGCACTTTTGTCTTACAGCCGATAAAAAAGCAGCAGCCGCGGCCCCAACCCAGCGAGGGCCACCTTCAGACTAATCCCTCCCAAGATCAGAGAGCCTCTGGGAACACTCCAGAGGACCCGATGCGATGCGAGCCACGCAATATCGCTAGTGGGCCTGTGGATAGTTCGTTTGATGTCGACATGTTCTTGGCCCCTCCAGCCACCGCTCAGACACCAACATTCAACCCCCAAACTGCATCGCTGAACACTATCGAGTGGCCGTTTTTGGAGCCTTTTGATGGTAAGAACCCGATTTTGCTCATGTGGATTGTATGGCTGAGAGTATATATCACTAGCTCATGTAGAAGATGGTACCGACTTCGAAAGTCGACCTTCGACGGCCGAATCTCGATCTCAAGCAGAAAGTCTATCGCCAGTTCAACTAGAGAACAGAGACGAGCAGCAGCGTCTCATTGATGCGCCCGCGATTGGCAGCGAACAATCCGATTTCCACGAATACACCTATCCTGCCGTGTCTAATGATGTATTGTCAATGCCGAGCGACGGGGATTGGCCCGAGGGATTCTCTCTGGACACACGACGGGGATACTCGACGCAATTGATCGGTTTGTCCAACGAGACGGACCCCTTCCTCCTACGTCACTTTCAATACGACATGTTCGATAATTATACCATGTGCCGACTCATCTACCGCAAGATGACAGACGATGTGACTATGCAAAATCATATTAACAGTTCTACTGCGGGCGAGACTCTGAAGATCCCAGCCAGCGAAATCCCCATCCATTTTCAGGTATTCGACGACTCTATTTGTCACGAGAATGTGAGAGCGATGGAGAGGGACTTTTCGGTCTACAATTCCGAGGCGGAGGATTGCAATCTGCTTTATAAAGTCGTTCCGAAAGGCTTAGGCTTTCGGCTTTTGAACCTGTAAGATGATGGCGCTTGCATGGTGTGACTCTATCGCTGACTCTGTAGCTTTTTCAAATTCGTTCAACCTTCATATCCGGTCTTTTCCCCGCGAGATTATGAGCAATTCAACACTGACAACGGATATGATCTTCCCGTGGGCCTTAAGGCAGCGATGTATGCCTTGGCCATGCCATTTTACTTCTTGGACGACCATCTCTGTATGGACAAAGGGTACCTGGAGCAGCCGCCAACGGACGGACTGTGGGGAATTGCCCAAAGAAGTTTGCAACGCCATTTCCAAAAACCGCACCTCTGGTTGGTTCAACTTTGCTTGTTACTATTGCAGAGGCCACCCGCAAACTTTGCTGTTGGGGATTTACCAGGATTATGGGCCTTGTCCTGCTCGGCCCTCGCAGCTGCCGAGTCACTGGGACTGCATTTGGACCCGTCAACATGGCGCCTGCCGCGGTGGGAAGTTCGCCTGCGGAAGCGATTGTGGTGGATTATATACTCTGATCATACCTGGCGTGCGTTGGTCTCCGGGCGCCCTTCCCATCTAAGGTCCGATAGCTGGATCGTTCCGAGGCTCAGACCGGAGGACCTGGAAGCGGATGAGTATAGGAATGTTGAGGTCGGCAACGTGATTCGACAGCAAAGTGCGTACTCACTCGCGTTGTGTGAATTGAGCGTGATAGCCAATGATATTCTCACCGATCTGTAGTAAGTTCGGACCTCTCTTTGTTCCCCTTATTGAATATGCTTCTGACATCTGCTCTGTGCTTTTAGTAGCGCGAGAGCAGCGTGTGAGGCAAATACTCTACCTGAAATCTTGGCTCGCGCACAACCACTCAGGGCAAGGCTGCGGGAATGGCAACACTCTGTCTTCAGGGATCAGGACACCGAACTCGACTCTGGTGGGTTTCGCCAATACGTTCATTTACGTGTGGCACTCATGACACTGGAGGTACTCCTCTTCCGAGCCATCCTTCGAGCTCTAGTCTTCCCGCCTCCTTCGGGCGATGAGAGTTATACACAGTTACACTCCGAAATCCTTCAAGACAGTCAATCATGTGCTGAATCGGCAGTTGAGCTAACCTCGCGTCTCACATCGACACATTTCGTTAATTTTTGGCCTTCGTGTAAGTTCTCACCGCACTGCACTGGTTAACCTGTCCTAGCACACCTTTCAGTACAATATGAGTATTAGATATCTATATCTATGGCTATCTCGTTTAGCCCTAGCTGACTCTGGTTTTCCTTCAGATGCAAGATACTTCTTTGCCTACATATCAACATTTATACTTCTTCTTTTCGTGCAGTCACCTTCTATGGAAATGGCTTCCCAGAACAAAGCACTGCTCGAAAAATGGAGAGAGATCATTCGAGCACAGGCACGAGCTTGGCCGGTTCTAAAGCTCGCCGTTATTAGACTCGATGCCATTTTCTTTGCGGGTCTGGAGAAGGTGGTGAACTCTGCGCGAATGGATAGCCCGGCCCAGATCCTGCTAATTCTACAGCAGCCACAATTTGCAAACCCCTGACGGGCAAGACCGTTAAGTGTTTTTGGAAATACCCATTAGATAAGACAAAGACATGAATTCATAATTGGTTGTTGGAGGATGCTGCAGGTCAGAACTACCTTTATGGCTCATATTCAATCATTGTTATGATACAAATAACCAAATTCTATATATATTGAAACATTCTAACTCATACAATTATATGTCGCCTTCAAACTCGGATTTGAAGCCGGTATACTTGCGTTCCAAGTATCTCAGCGGAATATACAGAAGAGTAACAGCCCCCAAAGAAAGCTCCCAGCTAATATCAGTTCCATAGGGTGCATTGCCCACTTTCAAAGCAATCGGGCCAACCCACCAAGTCTGGCTCATGCAAAGCAAGGCCAATACAGTGCCGATGACGAAGACCGAGAAAGCTGCGATTCCAAGAGGAAGGCGCTTCCGATCAAACGCCGCAGAAACATCATATGTTGTATATCCGCGTCGGAACACGAAATGCTCGACCATCAAGATAGTGCAGAAGGGCGTCAGCCAGTAGGCACAGATGTTCAAAAAGTCGGACATAACCGCCTCCAGATTATTGCGACCACCAATAGCGGCCGCCAGGAAGATAACGGCACCGATCAGAGACCAGACAACACGGGGAATGATCAGCAACTTTTTCGACATCATTTGAATGCTGAGTCCCAGGGAGTAAATGTTCGTAATGATGACCGCCACGGTCGAAAAGGACAAAATGAGCTGGACGAACTTGCCGAAACCAGTGACGCCCGCGCCGTGTCCCTGGAAGCATTGGCCGATGAGGCCGCCCAGGCCGCCGCTGTTATAGGCAGCGGTGAAAACAGGGTTGGAACTAAACACCAAAGTGCCAATAGCAGCGCCGAGTGCCTCAATCAGAAATTGGCTGGTAAAGAGGCCCAAGAATGCATATAGGAAACACTTCCACGGCGGAGTGTCCGAACGCATGTACACTCCGTAGTCGGCTGCGATCGGCGCCCAGGCAAACTCATAGCCGACGATGGTAGTTCCGAATGACAGAACTGCTGAGATTTCGGCGGGGGCCCTTGCCCATGGGCACATTCACAAAGTGTGGTGCTCCGAAACCAGCGAGGATACAGAAACAGATGAGCATTGCGATCCAGGACCACCTCTCATAGACGTGCACCAGATGATAGCCAAAGAGGCCAACGATGACAGCTGCCAGGCCGATGATGAGGACAGCCACGGCCATTGGTAGTTTCCCGTCTCCGACATCATAGAAAATGGTAGCACCAGCAATACAGTTAACCATGGCCCATCCGATCTGGTTCAGGCAGTTGAGCAAAACAAGCACCTTAGCCGGCCACCAGCCAAAGCAGAATCGGGGGAGTATCATAGTGCGCAGGCCCATTTTAGGGCCAAAAGTTGCCAGCCAAGCCGCGGGGATCGCCCCGATCAAATTGAAGAAGAGGCAGCACAGGAACGAGTCCCACCATCCCAGGTAGAACAACGTAGGTCCCAGATATCCGAGTGCAATGGAAGCGGTTCCACAATTGGCACTGAAGAAGAAAGTAAACAGGTCTCGCGGATTCTGGTCGGTCCTCACGTCTTCTGGGATCTGCTCGACTCCATATTCCTCTGCGCCAATGAGATTGATCCATCTGCTGATTTTGGACCAGACGTTATTGGACTCAGATTGGTAACTCATCCCAAGCTCGACCTCGGTCGGTGATGACGCCTTGCTCACTGGCGTCTCCTTCATTTCTTTGCCGGTGGTGTATTTGTTGTATGTTGGGCTCTGTCTTTCAATCATGCCGGGATCAGCCATGGTGGTGGATGTTTGTCGGTGACACAGAAAGAGTTGGCCGATGGGGAGTGCAAGTATAAAACGATTTCTCGATTGAGATAAGTGAATGTAATAGGAACCCTATAGCGTGGTATAGTGTTTCTGTTTGTCAAAGCTCTTTGTCAAGCTTTTTGAACACTTTTGGAAGTCCATTGCGGATATAGTGGCGAAGTAGGTTGCTCGGTTTGGTTCCCGTCGGGCGTCGGGCGTCGGCTGTCAACCTCCTCGGGGGATAAGATAGTGGCTTGACACGGTACCATAGATTCATTCACTTTAACCGTCGGGCATGAGCATACTGCTCTTATTAGACAAAGGAAGATGATAAATATTGTCGCAAGATCGATAGCCCGCTATAGATAGCAATTTTTCCTGCCTAAGAGTTTCGATAACTTATCGAAGTGAAACTCTAAAAGTTATCGTCGAACAGCTTCAACCAAGTGGGAGCTCGTTAGGATATTGTTTGATTCCTTCCAACTCTCTATGACAAAGATGACTGCGACAGAATACGATGTCGTGATTGTGGGCGGTGGCCCTGTCGGTCTCTTGGTGGCATACCAGATGGCACGCTTCGGCGTGTCGGTGTGTGTACTTGAGAAGCAGGACACCAGGACGCAGGAAAGCTTTGGGCGAGCAATCGCTCTCTTTCCCCGAACATTGGAGCAGCTGGATCAGCTCGACCTGATCCAACCGATGCTGCAGAAGGGATTCGCGTGCCGGGACAGCGTCACTTACAAAGATGGAATTCAGCAGTAGGATACCCTTCCCCTGTTCTCTGGTTGTGTTATTCATTGCGGTAAATGCTGACACTGAGCTCCTCCGACAAAAGGATTCCTGGACGAGTCTGGACGTTCATGGAGAATATCAAAGGCACTCAATTTGATTTCACCCTTGTGCTTCGACAAATGTACACCGAAGCCATCCTCCGTGAAAAGCTCGAGTCTGTCGGCGCCGTCTACTATCAGTCAATAGAGTGCACTAGCTTCGAGATCGACGATGCTGCACCACTCGATGCCTACGGTGTGACGTCTTATTTTGTGGATACCCAAACTCAAAAGCCTATGACGCTGCGCAGCAAGTTCATCATTGGCGCCGACGGAGGTCGCAGTTTTGTGCGCAAACACGCTGGGATTCCCTTTGATGGCGATACTTCGGAAGACAAGTGGATTCGAATTGATGGCCTCGTGGAAACGGACATGCCCATCAATCGTGCGTATGGGTGAGTTGATCTTGATTTTCTATTGATTGGTATATGGATCTTAACCACAAAATACAAAAGTGCCATCGAAAGCAAGACACATGGAAACATCCTCTGGGCGCCCCTGGACCATGGAGCGACGCGCATCGGCTATGCTTACACTGCCGAGATCGCTGCGAAGTATCCCGACGGAGTGACCGAGGAGGTCGCTGTCAAGGAAGCCATCGAAAGCATGAAGCCTTTCAACGTCAAGTTCACAGAGGTGCACTGGTGGACCCTGTAAGTTGTCTCATGGACTGTGCCAATTTTGTCTCAGAAGGAGAAAGGCTGATGGATGACAGGTATACGATTGGACAGCGCATGGCCCGCGATTTTTCAACCCAGGAACGGGTCTTCCTCTGCGGCGATGCCGCCCACACGCACAGCAGCGGCGCCGCGCAAGGCTTGAACACCGGTATTCACGACGCAGTGAACCTGGGCTGGAAACTAGCCTCGCACATCCGTGGCTTCACCCGGCCAGAGGTCCTGAAGACTTACTCTGCCGAGCGCAAGACTGCCGTTGAGAAGCTGATCAATTACGACAAGGACATTTCCCTTCTCATGACCCACAAATGGCCAGCATGGTATGACGGGGACAAGAATGCTGATCCCTATCTCGTTCTGGGCAAGATTTTCCAGGAGGCAGCATCTTTCAACACCGGGTTGGGCATCTCATACCCTGAGAATGTCATCAACCAGACTCCGTCGGCTGAACTCGGCGTCGTCCCAGGGACCCGCTCTCCTGACGCCGTGATTACTGTACCCGGAATCAACCACAAGACTAGCGTCCACCAGGTCGCTCGCAATGTGGGCAAATTCTGGGTCATTGTGTTCACAGGAAAGGTCGAATCCACCAAATCTGCACTGAAAGCACTCCAGAGCTATCTGGAGACCGACAAGGAGCTGTATTCCCACCCAGCTCTGCGGTGGGTTACAGTTAGTGCCACTCCCGGGTGCTCGCCTTACGAAGCATTGGGTATGCAACCGTTTGGCGATACCTACTTTGACCAAACCGGTGAGGCCCATGCTGCGTATGGAGTTCACTTGGCCAAGGGAGGAGTCGTCATCCTAAGACCCGATGGGTTGATTGGATCAGGGTGTAGCCTCAACGGGGCGTCAGTCAGGCAATACCTGTCAAAAATCATGAATTTGTAGATGGTAGTTTTGAGGATCATCTGTCTTTTACGAGTTATTTTGGATTCAATGTCTGTATATTAGTGAACAATAGATTAAATTTTTTTGAAAGTTTTTCAGATAGGATGGCGGGAATTTTTCTAACGAGCTAAATAGAGTATTACAATGTTTGATTGCGGAGCTTGAGCTTAGCGGAGCTTAGCGCAGCTTTTTCCTTGGTTATCCAGTGGTGATGCCAAAACGTCAAAAACGGGGGATGGTGATTGGTCAATTGTGGCGATTAGATCTACCCACTAGGATAAAAATGGAAGACAAAATGGCATCGAGGAGGGATAATCTGACACCAAAGGTACTTAATTTATCATATTACGATAGTGGTAATTTAAGAACTGTAAATAATTTTCAATGTCGTGCGTCTAGACGATCACTTGTTTAAATGAATTCACATAGCTTATATTCTCATGAACATTTGTTACAATCGAGTCTGATTTACAGGAGCAACCAAAAGGTTGCAAAATCTACGCCGCGGTCTTCTTAAAGAAAAGGACCTGCGCGTTGCAGTGAGCCTTCATCCCATCGACACCCCATTCTGACCCAAGACCGCTCTGCTTGTGTCCTCCAAAGGGAGCCAGCGGCGATAATTCGAAATGCGTGTTGACCCATACGGTCCCTGCCTGTAGTTGCTTCGCGATCTTGCCAGCCCTGTCGAGGTCCTTGCCCCAGACCGATGCACCAAGTCCGTTGACCGTGTTGTTGGCTCGTTCAATGACGTCTTTCTCGTCGGTCCACTTGAGAAGGGGAACGATCGGACCTAGACAGAATTAGAGAAGACACCCAATGTAGCTAAGGAGAATCTTACCAAATGGCTCTTCCACGACAATGCGTGAGTCTTCCGGCGGGTTATCGATGATTGTAGGATGGATGAAATAACCGGCCGATTCCTCGATCTTTCCTCCAGCGACAGCTTTCCAACCCTGCACCTCAATGTCATCGAAAAAGGTCTTCACACGAGCGTATTGCATCGCGTTCTGGATCGGTCCGTGGGTGGTGGTTGGCTGGGAGCCGTCTCCAACGACGTAGCCATCGACGCTCTTGACCATGGCTTCCTTGAACTTGTCGTAAATCGCCTCATGGACGTAGATGCGCTTGATATTCAGGCAAATCTGAAAACGACAACGTGAGTGACATTCTAGGCTGCAGACGAAATGGTAACCTACCTGGCCAGTGTTCAAGAACGCGAAGGTTGCAATCTAGCAGAAACATTGATCAGCAGGGAATTTTCAAAGTCAGTGAGCATGCTGCTGTTACCTGGTCCGCGACCTTCTCAACATTCACGTCTGGGAGGATAATAGCGGGATCATTGCCGCCGCTGTGGTGCGTTAGCAGATTTGCACATCAGGCAATGATGCTTGGGTGGCGGCTTACAGTTCGAGGGTTACCCGTTTCAGCGTTTGGCTAGCACTCTGCACCACCTTTTTCCCAGTTGCGGTCGAGCCCGTGAAATTGATCTTGTCAATACCAGGATGACTTGTCATCCACGGTCCGAGATTATCATCACCGCTTAGACTTTGGACTACACCCGGAGGGAAAAACTGCTGGGCCAACTCGACCAGCTTCAGCCCGCAGTAGGGAGTGAAAGGCCTGTTCTCTGCGCGTCAGCGAAGTTGTTCCAACAATCTCGACTGCCTTGCGGGGGAACGTACGAAGGCTTTACGATGACAACGTTACCAGTCAAAACCGCCGGCGCAATCTTGGCAACTGCCAGTCGGATGGGGAAATTCCAAGGAACAATGGCCGCGACAACACCAAGCGGCGTATACCTATTGAGCACAGTGTTTTGCTCATTGTCCTCGATCACCTCGTCCGGGAGAGCAATACTAGCAAGTCCACGGATCCATTCCGGCGCACCGCCGACCTCCATCCAAGCCTGCTCTGTCTGTTGTTGACTGCATTAGCATTTGATGCATATCCCGCACAAAGTTTTACCACAACGGAGATCAATAATCGAAACGTACAGGTCTTCCCTGTTCTCGTGTAAGAAGCTCTACCAAAGCAGCAGAGTGCGCCTCCACCGCATCAGCATACGCAATGGTAGCCTTCTGGCGCTCCTCAAACGGCGTCCGAGACCATGTCTCAAATGCGGCCTTTCCAGCAGCAACTGCGTTGTCGAGATCCTGTTGCGTCGCTACTGGGACCGGAGGCAAAGCCTGCTTGTTTGCAGGGTTCACACCATGCCGGGTCTGCTCAGTTGGAGCGCTCTTGCCATTGATGATTTGGACGTAATCCTGTGAGAAATCCATATTTGCGCTGTTGCTGTGGCGAAATCGTCTTCGGATCGTCCGAACGGTTGACTAGGAGTTTCCTGATTCTGAAGAATGATAGATAACAAGGCGGTGTTTCTGTTCGGGGCATAATCGGGATCCATATATTATACTTTAATTATAAACAAAGTTTCGGCCGTCATAGTCCGTTCTTATCGCCCGACGACTCATCGGTAGATTTGACGGAACACGGAGTACAGCCCGCTCCAAATCAAACCGATCCGATAGGCCAGCAAAAATATAGCATAGTTACTGTAGTGGGGGAACTGATGACGGGTGCTTGGTAGCCCGATTTCTTAGGCGGAACTTGCTTTGTTGATTTGATCACGTCGTTCTCTTGTTTGGTTTGTTTACATCGTTTGATTGGTTTAACTTGTTGATGCAGAGGACTTCGGCGAATGGCCTCATATGAGATGGGAAGAAGAACCCTTAGGAGGATACGCTTTTGATATAGAGATTGATACACATTCTTTTATACACACCGTTGGAGAATCAATTCTATTCTATCTTTCTTATCATCTTCGAACACTGATTTCTTGATATCCGATTAGCCCTTTTAAAAACTTCTCCTTCACAAAACCTGACCTCTTATTTGATTTGGCCTTCTATGCGTCTTCTTCTGCTATGCTAAGGGGCTTTTCACCCCCCGAATCTCCTCCTAATCGCCTACTTCTTTCGTGCCTCGACCTGTCTGTTCCGCCCAGACTGCCATTGTGCATCCCCTCGTTTATTACGTACATAATTAACTAAGTTATGCATACATCTTTGAGTAATCCGATTAGACAAAAGTATCCAGTCCAGGAATCTCGTCTTGATATATACGTATTTATCTTATGTATGGATGTACAATTGTAGTCTACGTCTCACAAAGTCCCAGGTTCAGCTCATTGGACCTGTATTAGATGGGGATATTTTTTGTCAGTCCACGAAGAGGCATGAAACTCCAATGTATGACTGCGCAAAGTATCTTTGATATCTGTTGGTGGTCTAGTGGTATTATTTTTTGGTCATTTTGTATAAGAGGGGGTCTAGATTTATTATGATCACGGCAGATTGGCGAAGGAATGTTGGTTCGCATTGGTTGACCCTAACGATACTACACAGTAGCTATGGAGTTGTGCATACTGTACTGTGAGAATTCTTGAAAGACATAACCGTATATAACTGGAGCTTGCAGAACAACTGGTCTCAATCATAATCCAGATGGAGTAAACACATGATCACATTACAAGTACAAAGACACCTCGGACATTGGACACATCATAACCCTAGAAAAGTCTAAGCAACCTTGGCCTTCTGCTCCGCGAGCCACTCCCGAGCAATTTCCTCGTGAGTGCAGAACTCGACACTGTCGCCCCAGCTCTTCAGCCAAGTCACTACCCGCTCAGACATGCCGATAATGTGCGCCATTCCACTGGTGTCGGGATGCATGAGGATTGGGAAGATGAAGTCAGCGGACTGGGTGCCTTCCTTGCCATTCTCCCACAGCCACATGAACTTGTCCTTCCACATCTGCTCCACGACGCGCGTGCTAACGTAGCCGTTACTGTTTGCCAGGTGAGGCAGGTACTGGAGAGGCATCATGTCTTCGTTGTACCAACCGCACGGGATCTCAACCAGGGGATGCTGGCCGGTGGGGTAGGCCTCCGATCCCAACGGAGTGGGGTGCAGCCATGAGGAAGCGTCCTTGGAGAAATCGATGGTCTTGATGGGCGGGTCGCTGGGCGTGAAGTAGAGTTGCGAGTCATGATGCATGAGCGATGTGTCGTACAGGAACTCGTGTTTGCGGAGTAGCTCCACAGTGGTCTCGCGGATGGTGTACATGGGCGCACGGTATCCCCTGGGTTTCTTGCCACAGAGTTTGGTGGCGACTTCGATACACTTCTCGAGCACGTCTCGCTCTTGTTCCAAGGTCATCTGGTAAATTCCCTCGTGGGAGTACCCGTGCAATCCAATCTCGGCTCCGGATTCCACAACCTTCTGGACGGTCGACGGGAAGGTTTCCATGGTGTGTCCTGGGATGAACCATGTCACTTTGTTCGCGATGTCAAATTTCTGCAGCATGTTGAGGAGACGAATTGCGCCGACTCGACCAGCGAAGATACCGGAACTGTAATCGGCCATATTGTTATCAGGGTGGCAGCCGGTTCCTAGCCAGTGAGATACGGCATCGAAGTCGAAGGAGAGTGCCACCTTCACGCGACGGCGAGGAGGCTGGGCAAGTCCTCGTGGAACAGACTGAGTGACGAGGGATGTCGAAGCCTCGGGAGCGGGGATAGGACTCGTCTCGTCGAGGATTTCGTATTCGCAGTCGGTGGGCAGGCCGCCGTTCACCGGCTCCAAGTCTTGAGGACAAGAGCTTATGACCAGAATCAAATCCGCATGGGCTCTCAGGACGACGTACTGACCCTTCTCGCTAGTCGGGGGCCTGATGTCCAGACCACCGTGGTGATCGATAGCCACGTTCATGAACACGTTGAACGGGTCGGGGACCCAGTCATCGGCAATGCTGAAAGCAGGGAAAGTCTCTTTCAAGGCAGTGTGCATGTTCTCACTGCAATTGTCATGATGTCCTTGGAAACCTTGCATGCGGTATCGGTTTACATCGCACGCCGACCAGATGATGTCGTGGACTCCTTTGGTCGTATCTTCCTCCAGCGTCACCATAGGCTTGCGACGGGTGCTGTACAATTTGTCGCCCGTTTTGACGGAGACGGCGAGAAGGATGGTCCGGGTATGGACCATGGAGAGAAAGTCGTGAGGATCATTGGGGTTGAAGGCCCAGAAGTCACACACCTGCTTGCCATGGGTGTTGATGATCTTGATGGCTTGGCCTTTGCGGATTTGGACGGCCACCGCTTTCCGGGCTGGAATGAGGCCCATTTTGCACGACAAGAATGGTGTTGCTAGTGAATACGATGAATAGAGGAAGCTTAGATAAGTCAGAGAACTGGGATAGGAAAACCACAGGCATTAAGTATCGGGGGAGGAGTCCCCCGTTCAAAGTGGAGACGCCTATCGGCCGTTAGCGCGCAATCTTATTCTTATCGCATCGCCCGCGTGGCGGGCGTGAAACCTACGCATACAGGACCCACTCGCGTTGGTGAGACAATTAATAATGATGAGTTGGATCATTCCTTGCTGTTGTTGTTGTCGTGGGTTGTTGTGTTGATTACTGCCAACCATGTTTTTCACAGCAGCACGAGGCTCCTCGCTGACTGCATGCCTCCGCCCAGTGATGAAATCCTGGAAATCTCCGACACGATGCGCTTTCCGGGAGTTCTCAATGACGTCTGGGCGGTCAAAATTCACCAGCGAACTCTCCGAGGTCGAAGTCTCCAAGTTACGGGCTAATCAAGAGCGATTGATGAAAGATTTACACCACAGTTGTCAATGGGGAACGGGAGTCAAATGGGGCAGGTATGTATGCTCCGAAAGCATTTTGCCCACGGGGCTTGGCAATGGAACTAAATGGTGCTTGCCTGCCACAGCGACCCGACGGAAACGGGCATGGCTCGCCTCGCCTTGTCCCAAGACGACAAGAGTGTGCGAGACTGGTTTGTTGAAAAGATGAAACAGCTGCGATGTAATATCACCGTGGATGAGATGGGCAACATCTTTGCAGTGCGTCCGGGCCGTCGGACGGACGTCCCAGCCACATTCATTGGCAGCCACCTGGATACGCAACCCACAGGTGGAAGATATGATGGTATTCTAGGAGTCTTGGTAGGAATTGAAGCCCTCCAGGTGATGGATGATCTGGGCCTTGAGTCCGAAGGAGGTATTGGCGTGGTCAATTGGACGAAGTGAGACTCTTTGCGATCGCGTGACGGAACGAAACTAACCCGTTTCCTTTAGTGAGGAGGGTGCTCGTTTTCCGATGACAATCATCGCCTCAGGGGTATGGGCGGGGAGCTGGCCCCTCGCCCATTGCCATGCTCTGAAAGAGGTCCCTACAGTTGCCTCTCTTCCTAGTGCTACTTCTAATCCGGAAACTTTGAAGGAGGCTCTCCAGAAGATTGACTATTTGGGGGACACCCCCTGCTCGTACGAGGCAATGCCCATGGCTGCTCATTTTGAGCTGCATATCGAACAAGGGCCTCATTTGGTCTCTTCTGGTCAACAGATTGGGGTTGTCACTGGCGCTCAGGCATATCGCTGGTACACTATCAAAGTTGTCGGATCAGATTGCCATTCTGGAACCACGGCTTTCGAACATCGGGCCGACGCCATGTATGCCGCTGCCCGGATGATGGTCAAAGCCCGAGAAGTTGGCTCCTCCAACGGTTGTTTGGCCAGCATCGGGATCCTCAAGGCACTCCCTGGAAGCGTCAACACAGTCCCTGGGTTGGTAACTTTCAGCCTGGATGTTCGAGGACCGAAGATGGAGATGGTGGCAAAGGTTGAGGAGGAGTTGAGAAAAGAGTTTGAAGTGATTGCCAGGAATGAACAGGAGAGCAAACCGTGCTCTGTTGAGTGGACGGTAGATTTTGACTCGCCTTCCGTTGAATTCCATCAAGACTGCATCGACTGTGTCAGGGAATCTGCCGAAGCAGTCGTCCAGGATCCGAAATCACAGATTCGGGATATGATTAGTGGGGCCGGCCACGACAGTGTCAGCACCTCAAAACGGGTCCCCACAAGCATGGTCTTCGTTCCCTGTAAAGACGGGGTTAGTCACCATCCGCAAGAATACTGCACAGCGCAGGACTGTGCCGCCGGAGCATCCGTGATGCTTCAAGCTGCAATTCGATACGATCGGAAGAGATTTGCATAGATTATTCGCAGAGCGAAGCGATGCGGTATATTGGATTAGTTGGGCAAATGCGCAGGCCTTCGATTGAAACTGATTGGCTGAAAATAACATCCAGTATGAGTGGTTCTGTGAGATCGAGTTCGGCATTTCATTAGCCTGACGACGATGGATCACGTGGTGCTTACTCATTCTTTGTATAACCTGCTTCCAAACTCCTCGCAGTAGTTACTAGACTTGAACAATACAAAACACTCTTTTAATCTTAGGTCTGGTAGTATGTCGTTGCTCTGGGTCCTATCTGTTCGGGCATCACGAAGGTTTTCGTGTGCATCACGCGGGATCCGTGACAACTTATATGGTGTTGAGATTTCAGCAGTCTTCGATACCGCTGAGGCCTCCTTGATAGTTATCATGTGAGACACTAACTTTGTATGGTAATGTCGATCATCGGGAAGCGTGAAAAGCACGCTTCCACTCAGGGTTTCTCTTAAAAAAATCATCTTCAATATACCTTTTTGGCTGGCAGAAGCTACAGCTCCCCCTATCCTAATTTGTCAGGATTATTGACCTCATTTCACCTAACTTAACCTTTTAAACGCACTCGATTCAGTCAAAATTAATGATCTAAATTGACCATCAGGATTCGAGTGGCCGGTCTAGGTGATGAGTCTAATTAATCTAGACGAGTTTGGATGGATAGCTAGCTAAATTTTGGTGGTTAATTTAGCGGTAACTTTACGACGTGAATTCAGCAAAATTGAACACCCTAACTTCACCCAAATTGATCCGCCTGGAGTCAGATGGGCCTCTGAACTCATCTAATTCAAAGACTGAATTAACCGCCCTAATTGGTCCCCAGAATTGATCACCAATATTCGAGAGGTCAGTCGGAGCGGCCGATGTATTTGGGAGGATAAATGTAGGTCAATTCAATGAATCAATTATAGTACCTAATCGTGGTGAATCCAGCTGTCGATTCTGATAAAGTTGGTTGGGCAATTAGGTGAAAGCCCACTTTAGGTAGATGATCAGATCAATTCAGCTCAACTCTGGAGGCTAAGTCTGACGGGCCAATTCGGAGGAATTCAGGTCTTAGGTTAATCTATGTTAACGATTTTGAGGATCTTCTCTAATGGGCATTTAGTGGATTTCCACTAGCTAATATCTCACCTATTATAGCTTCATTCATCTAGTATTCCTCGGGGATGCCCATTGTGGAGCAAGTAGACGAAGGATTCCCAGGAGCATGTCGTCTATTTGATCGGGTGACCATCCAAAAGGCATCATTGTGACGGAATGAATAGCAGAAAGTGTACCAAAACGGAATTTCAAATTCTTGATGCCAGTGCTTTTTGATGGGGCTGTAGAGGCACTTTACAGGAGGGGGGATATTCGTGGATACGGCTAGCGTGTTGCGTTGTATTAAGGTACTACTGGCCAGGCTGTGCTTAGTGAGCCAGAGAGCTTATGTAATGCTCACTGATCAGATCAGGGCACTCAGAGGCGTGCTCAGGTCTACTCAGTGAGCAAAAGCGGCGAGGGTCTGAGCACTAAAACGGAAAGGGAAAGCCAAGACGTCCACCAGGGCGCGGGGATCTCGAGCTAAACATAAATTCTCCGAGAAAGCCCCGGAAAGCACTAAACACGTACATACGCTCAGCATTTAGCGTTTGAACCGTCCAATCCCTCGACAGCACAGCGCAGCCTTGGCCGCCCAGTGGCAAAGATCTAACCAACCACAGCCCTGGATTCAATGACGGCCAAGGTTGCACACGGCCCGTGTGCCTTTTGCTTTTGAGCCCGACTTGGACGGCACAGGGTTCTACAGACTCCAACAGACCAGCAAACTTTAAAAATGTCGCAACCCGGAGCCGGTGCTCTTCTCGGGCCCAGGGTCTGGCCCCGATAGCCTATTATGTTGCGCTCACCGAGTAGCTTTCCCGAGGTCCTTCCGAGATCATACCGACTCGATCGTGGAGAAACCCACTCCTCCGCAATGATCAGAAAACAATGGCCAGATGCTGTTTAGTCCCCCACCGCGATACCACCCCAGACATGACTGTTTGACTGTTGTCAGATAACATGGATGAAGTTTGTTGGTAATGGTGATTTGTTGAGATAGTTAACATGGGGTCCCCGCGTGCTGATCGTCGGACTATAAAAGTCACGCCAAATCCCCAGATTCTCATCTCCAGGTCTCATCTGAATCCATCTCACACAACTGAGAAGTCACCTTTCATACCTTTCCCCACTCTCTGCCCTTTTCTAGCATTTGATTCATCGCAAACATGGGCATCTTGCTCAAGCAGCCCGAGGGGACTGCAGGAAAGGCATGGCCAGCCATTCTAATCAGTGGTTTCGTCGCATTTGGAGGAATTCTCTTCGGGTATGTTACTGTTATGTCCCAATACCTAGGCCCAAGCTCATTGCCGATACAGCTACGATACAGGCACAATCAGTGGCATTCTCGCCATGCCATATTGGGATAAGACATTCTCAACAGGCTTCAGAGACTCTGATGGCAACCTCTCAGTCACTTCTAGCCAATCTTCAGCCATTGTGTCTATTCTATCAGCTGGTACCTTCTTTGGTGCCCTCAGTGCTGCCCCTATGGGTGATGTGATTGGTCGTCGTTGGGGATTGATCGCTTCGACTGGTGTCTTTACGCTCGGAGTCGCCTTCCAGACTGCTGCGACTGCGATTCCTCTTTTCCTTGCGGGTCGTTTCTTCGCAGGCTTTGGTGTTGGTTTGATTTCGGCACTGAGTGAGTAGTTTTCTACCGTGTTATATTCTTTGTCCCTTGCACTAACACACTGTTTGTTCTTTAGTCCCCCTCTACCAATCCGAGACGGCGCCCAAATGGATCCGCGGCTTTATCGTCGGCTCATACCAGTTCGCCATTACGGTCGGTCTCCTGTTGGCCGCTGTCGTGAACAATGCCACCCACGACCGTGATGACACCGGCTCTTACCGCATCCCAATCGCAGTCCAGTTCGCGTGGGCCATCATCCTTGTGGTCGGCATGCTCATCCTCCCCGAAACCCCCCGCTACCTAATCAAGCGAGACGATCACGAAGGTGCCGTCAAGAGTCTTGCCAAGCTCCGACGTCTCCCTGGAGATGATCCCGCTTTGCTCGCAGAACTTGCCGAGATCCAGGCAAACCACGAGTACGAGATGAGCATTGGAAGCGCCGGCTATGTCGAATGTTTCAAGGGAAATCTTGGAAAGCGCCTTCTGACTGGATGCCTGCTCCAAGGTCTCCAGCAATTGACTGGTATCAATTTTATTTTCTACTATGGGACGCAGTTTTTCAAGAATTCTGGGTTCAAGAATGAGTTTGTTATTAGTTTGATTACCAGCTGTGTCAATGTGGGCTCTACTATTCCCGGTCTGTATGCTATTGACAAGTGGGGAAGACGTCCTGTGCTGCTCATGGGTGCTATTGGTATGACGGTGTCTCAACTTCTTGTTGCTGTGCTCGGAACTACTACGACCAGTCAGGATGCCCTTGGAAACATCATTGTCCACAACGAAGCTGCGCAGAAGGCGGCCATCGCGTTCATTTGCATCTACATTTTCTTCTTTGCTGCTTCTTGGGGACCAATTGCCTGGTACGTTCACATTCCATCTGTCTTCCTTTTTGTCCTCATCTCCTTCATCAAGCTAATAAACATTCCAGGGTCGTCACTGGAGAAATCTTCCCCCTCAAGGTCCGAGCCAAGTCCCTTTCCATGACCACCGCTACCAACTGGCTCCTCAACTGGGCACTGAGCTTCGCAACCCCGTACCTGGTCAACTACGGACCCGGCAACGCGAACCTACAATCGAAGATCTTCTTCATCTGGTTCGGCTGCTGCTTCCTCTGCATTACTTTCGTGTACACCATGATCTACGAGACCAAGGGGTTGACCTTGGAGGAAGTTGATGAGCTGTATAATGAGATCAGTTCTGCCAGGAAGAGTGTTGGCTGGAAGCCGACCATTACCTGGACTGAGAAGAAGGAGATTTCGAATGCACTTGGAGAGAAGGGCCCGGCTGATGAACACAAGGAGTTCCACGAGCCGGGGATTGCTCATGTTTAAGGAGAGGTAGGTCTCTCTTTGTTCAAGTATGAACGCAGGGAAAGCTTTCATATGAGATATTAGCGAGCTTGGTGATGTCAATAAATATTATCAAATATATCTGTGTCGTGCTAGGCTTCCTGGAGACCCTTCAAGGGGTCTTAGCATATAGCATATCCATAAGTACATGATCTATGATAGGCAACAAGGAGTTTCCTTAGCGTCGAGACGAGTGAATTGTCAAAAAGGCCATTGGCGTACCTGCTCAGGGAGTATATTTTCCCCATTTCAACATTAGTCTCCTGAATAGATCTTTGACATTTGGAGGCAGTCATGAGTTGTTCACAATACTGTCAAATCGTGCCCATTTATCCCAGAAATATGTTCGCAGCATTTCCCGAGCATACTACAACTTGGATAGACCTTTCCACCATGCAAGACCGAAAACAGTAGACAAAGAGGAAAAAAACCTAACCTTCTACCCCTGTGATTGGACCGGGGAATAATTGAGCCTCACGTTATCCTCCCATGGTGAGGTGAATCGCCTGCATCTGATAGGTCCCAGCCCGATTCGCCACCTCAAATCAAAATCTGACAGGAGGATCGACCAATCTGCGACCATTGCTTATCTTTCACGTGAAACACTATATATTTTGATGTCAACGGCCTAACCTCCGTTCAATAAGAATTTATGTATGACAAAGGCTATAGGAATGGCCTGGGCGAGAGCTCGGAATGCAAGATCCGTAGATTTCCGAATGCGGATGCTTCATGTCTCGGATTGCAATTACAATTTCCAAAGAGTATATGTCGTGCTATGTAGGGAACTCTGGAGGGATACGAGATCTTACAATGCTGGAGATGAAACTCGGATCACTAAACTCCGTACTGGCTCTTGTCTCGGTCGGCATGTATAGATCTCGGAGACCTGGTATCCGGGCCAAGCTTTCCCTCGGCCTCTCTATCCCAGCAGGTCCCAAGCGAAGCTGCTCCAAAACCTTCTTATTGATATGTGGGTAGGTTTTGGAAGGATCTTCTCAATTTCCCGAGACCATTCTTGACGGGATGATTGGGGATCTTTTGCTGTGTTAGGAAAAAGACACGGTCCGAAAGGGGGGCTACAGTTTCTGTAGGATCCTGATAGAAGTCTCGGGCGAGTACAGGACTGTAGAACAGATTTTTCTCATTGTGTTGGTAAAACTATGAGGTACCAAGAAGAGCGATGATAAAAAAGAAGCATTGCGCCATGCATTAGCTTTTAGGCGACGATCCGAGAGCTAATCTGGTAGTACATCCAGTATATTGTGCCTTCTTGCTCTACTCGGTGCTGGTTATTTGGGTGGCAAGTCTGGCCGAAGGAAGGGCGGTGTGGGGCCAATAGCTGACTTGCTGTTGGAGAAAAAAGAAAGTAAAAAAAAACTCTTCACTTGCGGATGACCTCCTCCTGAATCCTAAATTTATCGATTCTCTTGAGCTAGCAGCCTAGCACACTATCAGTGAACGACCTACCCCGTGTTCTGCGAACAATTCCCCAATGAATTATCTCGCTATCGACTTGCCGTGGGCAGGTGGCCCCATCGAGGCGGTCTCGTTCGAGAAAGTCGCCTCCGCGATGGCCAAGTTTATCTCCACCTCCCCTGATCTCCACTGTTTCGAGCCCAAACGATCCAACGAGATCCAGCGATTCGCAAGATTCTCCAACAGCTTCCAGCCTCTGCCCATGGATCTGGACCCCACCGCCCACCGCATGATGTAATGCTGCTCCCGGCACATTTTTCGGCGATCAGTCAAAACCGGCGGTGACCCTCCGATTCAAAGCTGCCAACTCTCCTCCTCTCTCTTTCTCGCATACCCTCTTCTCTCTCTCTTGTCATTGTTGTCATCTAACCTCCTTTCCTTCCTCCCGCTCACAATGGCACCCCTCAAGCTCAACAATCAGAACCTCGCACAAATCGCGACCGCGGGCGAGACCCAGGTCAAGGTTCCGACCTACCAGCGCGGTGGCGCCGTCAAGGAAGGAATCGTCCATGTCGGTGTCGGTGGCTTCCACAGAGCTCATCTGGCTGTCTACGTCGATCAATTGATGCAGAAGCATGGTGTGACCGACTACGCCATCTGCGGTGTCGGCCTGCAGCCCTTCGATGCCGGCATGCGCGACGCCCTGGGTTCGCAGGACCATCTCTACACTGTGATCGAACGGTCGGCCAAGGGCAGCTTTGCCAATATCGTGGGCAGCATCAACTCCTATCTCTTCGCTCCCGATAACCGCGAGGCCGTCATCGCCAAGATGGCTCACCCCGATACCCACATTGTCTCGCTCACCATCACCGAGAGCGGTTACTACTACAACGAGAACACCCACGAGCTCCAGAGCGAGAACCCCGATATTCAGCACGATCTCGACCCGGCCAACGAGAACGCCCCCCGCACCACCTTCGGTTTCCTCTACGCTGCTCTCGTCCGCCGCCGCCAGCAAGGTCTCAAGCCCTTCACCGTCATGTCCTGTGATAACATGTTGAAGAACGGCTCCATCACACGCCACATGCTCGAGTCATTCGCGCACCTCCGCAACCCGGAGATGGCCAAGTGGATCTCCGAGCAAGGCGGTTTCCCCAACGCCATGGTCGACCGCATCACCCCCCAGACCGCCCCCTCCGACAAGGTCGCCCTCGCAGAGAACTTCGGCATCGAGGACTCATGGCCCGTCGTCACAGAGCCCTTCATGCAGTGGGTCATTGAAGACAAGTTCTCCGACGGCCGCCCACCTTTCGAAAAGGTCGGCGCCCAGGTTGTCAAGGACGTGCACGACGTCGAGCAATTCGAGAAGCACAAGCTGCGCCTGCTCAACGGCAGCCACTCCGCCATCGGCTACCCGGGCCAACTAGCCGGCTTCAAGTACGTGCACGAGGTAATGGAGAACCCCCTCTTCCGCAAATTCATCTGGCAATACATGCAAGAAGAAGTCAAGCCCCTTCTCCCCGAAATCCCCGGCGTCAACATCGACGACTACTGCCACACCCTCATGGAGCGTTTCTCCAACCCCACCATCATGGACCAACTGCCCCGCGTCGCCCTCAACGCCTCCGGCAAAATTCCCCAATTCATCATGCCCTCCATCGCCGAACAGATCTGGGTCACCGGGCCCTTCCGCCGTCTGTGCTTCATCGCCGCCGCCTGGTTCCACTACATCAACGGTGTCGACGATAACGGCAACACTTTCGCCGTTGACGACCCCATGCGCGAGGAACTCCAGGCCAAGGCTCGCGCCGGCGGTACCAACCCCGCCGAGCTCCTGAGCATTAAGAATCTCTTCGGTGATGATTTGCGCGGTGACAAACGGTTCCTCCAGGAGATGACCACTGCCATGGAGGACATCGCCCGGGATGGTATCTTGAAGACTATCCCCAAGTACATTGATTAGATTTGTGCTGTACCATACCAACCACCGATGTCGTCTGGAAATATGGTGTGCATTCATAAAGATAGATTTGTGTCAGCGAGCGATTTTGTTTTGATATGATGTTTGATTTCTTTTTTCTTCGTGTTATGATTTGGTAATTTACACATCTGGACATAGAGATAGATCGAGGATAGAAAAAAGTCCTTTTATTCTCATTTCAATTATTACCTACAGTACCTAATACCTACGACGATGCCAAGAGCGTAACCGAATGGCAATTGATGGCTACAGGAGAAATGCAGCGCAGAACCTAGCACTAGTCGAATGGAGGGAGTCATGGCTCAACTCGCCTCCATCCATTAAGGCATTAAACTTGCTGGCATGATAGCATCCACAGTCAATCCCACATCTCACCCGTGGAAAGAAGAAAGCAAACCAAACTCAGTGGACACATCTTCAATTCACATCTCTTTTTTTGAATGTTATGCGATATCCGCTGCCGACGCTTAATTATCCGAAAACGGAAATACCTTTTCTATGTTGACGGCTGATTTTCCTAAAACGGTAGCCAAGTACTCGAGCTTGCGATATCCCGTTAACTTGAACCGAAGAAGGGATACAAAAGTAGTAAGGGCAAAAGGGTCACATGGTTTGAGTATGTTGATTATAGACGATTTATCTTGTTGTTTACCGTTTTGCAATGGTGGCCTTGTTGGTAGGCATGACGGCGCTATGTTTTTGCTGAGCTTTGCATGGCTACGTCAAGTAGTCACTGGACATAATTGTCATATAATAACATATAGCGTGTGCCATATACTTCATTGCCATTCTCTACACCGTTCCAATTGTATACCTCGTTGACGAGCAAGAATCAGGCCTGTATCTGGCATGAGTCAAGTCTCCAGACAACCCAACGATAACGATTGGAATAAATGCGTAGCAAATGGCCGTATCTATTTTTCTCTTTAGAATCTGCTCACTCTTCACCGCAGGTCTCATTGTAAATGGTGGAAGTCTGTGGCTTGAAACAATTGTATGGACGGCGGAGAAAAAGCTCCCTGATGATCCACCGTCGGAACAGATGTGTTATGAATCTGAGATTAAGAAGGTTTAACGTGTTTAAACGTTCAAAACTGTAGAGTTCCCAGAGTCTGACATCAGTAGTAGGTGGAGATTCTAGTATTCCTTGCTTCCTGGCCTCTGCAGGACCAGCCATGGTGCCCTTTGTGGAATTTTCCAGCATGTTCCCTAGTTGGATGGCTTCTTGCAGATTGATTCTGGGTGTTCCCTTTTAGATTGTCATTGTTCAATGACTTATATATCGGCCCTCTTCTATCATTCTGTTTATATTCAGCTCTGATGCTCAGGGGGAGAGACAAGATTGCTTCATTCTCCCCAGGCTTGCTTCCCTGCTGCTTTATATATAGAGTCATGGACACGTTCTGGGGTTCTGCCTCCGATAATATTTTCTTATTTCTTTTTTTGACGATTGTCTTCTATTAGGCCACATATTCTACATACAACCCGCACGCCATGGCTATTCTGGGCCTCGAACCAGTCTTTGCTAGACTCCCATCAGAAGCAGCGGATTATATATCATTCCTGGGTCTTCTGTCTTTGCCAACGACCATCTACGAGGACAAAACGGGCACAATCTGCCTGACCAAAGGCAGAGATATCCACCAAAGAACAAAGAATATCGATGCTAAGTACCACCATATTCGTGACCAGGTCGCAAGGGGAGTACGTGGATTCGTCAAAATCCCGACCAGCGAGCGGGCAGCGGACGGGTTTACCAATCCGCCTAGGCCCAACAAATTCAAACAATTCGTCACGTTTTTGGGTCTTCGTCAACTGCCATCGTTTGCCTAATTGGGTAACTACATCTACTCATTCTTTTACTGCAAATTCAGCGGTTTTGGCCCTGGTTTTGGCACTGGTTTCTAAGTGTCCTTTTTTTTTTCGCGTACGTGGAGTCGAGTCTCAGAGATCAAGTGGTGTTGATTTGGTAAGTTTGATAGGTTTGCATGATCGTCCTCCATATTTAGATCTCTTCCCCCAGTCTCCATTCTTAGCTTTTTACACATCTCTTTACCCATTCTTCTTCACTGTAACCTCTATAATTCGGACTAACAGCCGTCTAGCCATACAATCTCATTTAAACGTTACTACCAGAAGAAAACCTCCAGCCCGAAGACCAACAAAATTCAGTAATATCGCTTATGACCTTGAAGTTGTGAAGTCGAAATAATTATCAAAATACTATGAAAATATGCACGTGAAAAGCCAGTTACCTATTAAAAGAAGGCTGTTATCCCTTGTTGAAAACTCAATTTCTATGGAACAGAAACCCGTCGACTATGAGATGATGTTAAGCGATATATACGAGGTCAAATCATGCAAGTCTATTTTAGCGGGATGCAAGCAATGACTAGTGCATGTAACCCTTAAGACTGGAAGACTTAGCGAGGAAGATTTGCCACAAATCACCCAAAATCTGCTGAGAGGCGCTCTATTATAAAGAATTAGTCGGGGGGAGGCTATAGCTAATGCTCTACATAATGGAAGGACAAGTATCCTGAACGAGTGTCAACCAAGGCATCAAGCCATTCCATTAATATGGTGCCAGTCTGGGCGTCAATTTAAAAGAAATAAAGAGGAAAATGACACCAGAGCGTGAGCACAGCTAACTCCTAGGCCGTTTCCAGTCATCGGCAGCGTTGACGCCGCAGATCTTTCAGCTTCAGAGGAGATATTTTGGTCATCACATTTCTTTTTCTAACAGCACATCAACAGCACAGCTAACTCCTAGGCCGTTTCCAGTCATGGGCAGCGTTGACGGCGCAGATCTTTCAGCTTCGGAGGAGATATTTTGGTCATCACATTTCTTTTTCTAACAGCACATCAACAATCCAACAAAATATTCAACCGCGCCCGTGCATGAAGATAGACTTTCGGATATTAGGATCTTCAAGGCTGATTTAGACTTTAGTGAAGCTTTTGTGAAGAGGTCTGGGGCTTAGATAACACGGATGAAGTGAGTCTGGTAGAGGGGAGAAAGCCCATCATCGAGTGATCTTTTTACGGAAAATTTGTCAAGCTGGATTCTCACAATGAGGACGATTGCTAGAGAATCTGTTGGACCTTGAACCGTGATAGAAAATTGCGAACTTGCGATTATTGCATCTTGTGTTATCCCTAAGGTGGGGGCGGGGTAGGAGAGCCCCGCTACTCAGTAACTCTGGTGGCAGGGACATCCAATTTGATCAATGATGGGAGTATTAGTGAAGATCACTAATTTGATCCACTGTGACTCCTGGTATGCGCGATTTCTATAGCTATCTTCTATCTATATCCTGAAGATTCACCAGACTACCAAGGATAAAATCCGTCTTTCCAAACAAATTGGCCAGCATATTCATCTCTGCGCCCGGCTACAATGTCCAGAATGGCTTTTCCAGATTCCATGGGGTCTCCGGCATGCCCTTGAGCACTGACTGCTTCCTCAGATTCACCTCTCAACTTTGATCGCACAAGGCCGGGGCAGAAGGCGAAGACTCGCACATTTTGGTCCTTCAGTCGCTTATTCATCTGAATTGTCATCATATTCAATGCAGCTTTGCTCATGCGGTATTCATCCCACGGGGGTATACTGTGCTCACTCGATGGATCGGTTGCAAGTCCGACCGAGCCTAATGCGCTCGATATTTGAATCAGGCACGGACGACTGGATTGAAGGAGAAGGGGGATAAAAGCCTCCGAGACAAGCATCGCACCGAAAACGTTTGTAGAGAATATCTTTTGAAGCCTATCCCGTCCAGTAGAACCAGGTGAAGTTGTGCCTGCATTACTGATGAAGACGTCGACTCGACCGAATTGTTCAGAAACAGAATTAACTGCCTTGGAGATCGAAATGTCGTCCTCGACATCCAGTTGAAGAACGGAAAGTGTTCCTTGAATATTGGTAGCTTCAAGTTCAGACCGTGCCTGATTTGCCTTTGAAAGGTCTCGACAGGCCAGGATTACATGGTAGCCTGGCTGAGATGCAATGGTTTCAGCTGTTGCATAGCCCACACCTGAATTGGCACCTGATTGATGTGAGAATTGTGGAATCTTCCGAGGCAAACCGAGACCTTACCTGTAATAAGGACAATAGTTGATTCAGACATAATAGTGCTCAGTCAATTGGATCTGTGGAGTGATAGGGTGAGCTCTAGGCTTTAGTTATTTGTGTTGTATGAATTCGACCTGTTTCAAGCTAAACGTACTGAGACAGAGGAATTTGGAATGAAACCAATTCGGCTATTGCGATGCAGTCATCGTAAGATGTGGTCAAAGGTACCATTTCCAACACCTCCAGTACATAATATGCACGGAGATAACCTGGCCTCCGTGTCCGGTTTTAGACTCGGAGACCGGTGGTATTTTGTTTCGCGAATATGGAAGGTCAAGTCGATTACCAGAGGTACGTACTTTTTCCGATCGGGAATAAATGCAAATCCGAAAATAATATTCTTTTTTGAGTCCGAAACCTTATCTTTCTGCATCTCGATCTCCGGCCAAGTCCGGATCAGGGTCGAGCAAAGCTTCGGTCACAGATCACGTGCATTCAGGTTGTATACATCGGAGTGTCTAAATAGGCCTCAATTTCTGTAGGTTTGCTTCTGTAGTGCTGCTTCCAAACTTTCTCATCGAGGCGACATATTGCAACCAATTCTTGAAAAAAATGAAGATGCCACACACTATCAAGAATGTGGCCCTTGCTGGTGTAAGAACGGCAGAAAACACTACATCATCTACTAAGCTAACAAGCTCTTAGGCTAGTGGCAATGTCGGAGCACGGGTGCTTACTGCATTGATTGACCTGGGCTTCAATGTTACAGTGCTTACGCGCACTTTTAAGCCGTTTCCGACCGCTGCGCGCGTGGAAGTTGTTGATTTCACCTCAGTGGAGTCATTGGTCGCTGCTCTCGAGGGACAGGATGCAGTTATTGACACGACTTTCTCGCCCGAGGTTGAGACCCCACTTCGACTTATTGACGCGGCGGTCCAGGCCGGAGTCTATCGCTTGTTCGTGAGCCTTACACTTTGATCACGGATTGACCTAAGCTAATATGCTTATTTTCCACGCGATTAGTATTACCAGCGACTTCGGACTCGACCCTGAGCTACCGGGAATTCATGACCTGCCCGTTTTTGGGCGTAAGAGGGCTTCCTATGAGGCCGTGAAAAAGCAGGCGGCGCAAAACCGCTTGACGTACACCTTGGTCGCTTGTGGAGCTTTCATCGACTGGAGTCTCTCTACTGGTTTCCTCGGCCTGGACTTCAAGGGAAAGAAAGCCTCCATCTATGGGGATGGAAACAACGTTGTTCCATGGTCGACTTTAGAGGACGTCGGTACAGCGACCGCAAATGTTCTTTTGCACCCAGAAGAAACTCTGAATCGCCCGGTCTATGTACACTCCGTGTACTTGTCACAAAATCAGATTTTCGCCGCGACCAAGGAGGTTGTGGGAGGTGAGGGTTGGGAGGTCAAGTATATGGACATGGAACCTCTTTTGGCTCAAGCCATGACGGACCTCAAGACCGGTAATATTAGCGCTGCAACATTCGAAGTCCAAATTCAGTACTGCCTCGCTACCAAAGCGCTTGCGCACCCTTGGGCAAGGGACGACAATGGTCTCTTGGCATTGAAAGAGTGGGACCAGGAGAAAGTTAAGGGACTGATTAAGTCGATCGCCTAGAAAGCGGAGTGATTTACGGATTCACCGGCGCCAGCGTATCAATTACCCGAGCTTGAAGAGGATAGACTTGATGTTACTTACAGCCGTTTGAATGAAAGCAATTCCAAGATTCTGGCCATAACGGCTAATGCATGGCCTTCAACAACACCCAAAACAAGGCATTTAGGGTCGCAAAATATGGCAATGTCTCCCGATCTAGTGTTGGCCCGTACTTCGTAGGTAGCAAAATGCCAAGCAACGCTATATTAGCTTAGCATATTCACAGGCCCCGCCCCCTCGCTAAGAGAAGAGATTTCGCGTTAAGTAGTATTCACAAGGGGCTCTAACAGCTATTGACAAGGATAAAAAATTGATACGAGAATTAGATGGCGGCCGATGCCGATAGACGCGGTAGAAGAATGGGCTAGTTTTGACCGCTTTAAAGTCCGCCTTGCATTGATTGGACCGGTCGCCCTGGGGCACAAAACCTGCCTTAACCCCGGCTAGGACTGTCCAGCTCAGGCGGCCTGGACCTTGGGGTCCACGGGGTCCATCTCACCATGACTGTGGACCCGCATGGTTGTTAAAGAGTAAATCACCCTTGGTCCAACGTATTAGGCTATAGTACTTTGCGCTTTGTCTGAAGTAAGAAGTAGGAAACTAGCGTGCCTAAAGATCTGATCAGTCAGTAAGTGGAGGCGTTGAGGGAAGAAAGAACGCCGTTTTATTGGCCAGTTGTCTTATCCTTTGCTTTCTGCAACGCAAATCCCAATAAGTTTAGCACATTCTCCTCTGGCCTCTCTTGGCCGCCATACCCGTGCCCATAAAAAATGGCTTGATCCTGAAGAGCCCGAGCGGGACTTCCCGGGCAGCTAAATATCCAACCAGAGCACTGACTGCTGCCACACCCGCAGCCCCACCATATACGAGCGCTCTTGAGATCACCGTGGCACTAGAGTAAGCCATCAGTCTCACCACACGGCAATCATTGAACGCCTTCCCTTTCCAGTCACCATGTCCGGTAGAATATCACACCTCGGCAGGTGTCAAAGTCATGGCTTTGGCATACTTGAAATTATATCACCAATCGATTAGGAAGGAGGATTTCTTCATGTTCAATATTCCGCCAAAAAAAGGGACCAGAATCTTGATTATAGTAGATCTAGGCCACGCCACAATCTGCGGGTGATTCGGGCGATTCCAACCACAACCGTGGTTATGCAGGATCATGAGTGACTAGGGTGGAAAACGACTCGCGAACTGCGAAGAACGACCTACACGAACCTCCACGTGATCTATGGAAAGTACGGTCCGTATGAGGAATGTAAACTACTAATTATACACTCGGATAGTGAAACTCTTAATTGCTGGCTTGTCAATTACTATAGATAATTCCAGTGATTGGACAATTGGATGACTAGTTGTATCAGATACTGTAAGCCTGACTTACCATGATCTTGCTGATTGAGGTTGGGACTTGGAGATTCCCATTGTGTCAGCAGATGTGCCTTTTCTCACTCGACTCTACGAGAAAAATTCTCATTACATGCCCTATAAACTTGCCACATGATAAACGATTAGATATCTTTAACGCCCTGTAAGGGTTAGCTGTGTAAATACACCACAATTCATGAGCAGCAGGGTACGCCTGAACTCGTAAGATCTGCAAAATTATACATGTTTTGTGGGTCACAAATGACTGTGAGGATCGGATCGCTAGCTTAATCAAAAATCCGCAGAGCATTGACCCACCCGAGGATTATGACAAGGTTGGCCAAGCCGTCAGATTTAACCCTTTCGAGGCTACATCATTTACGCAGGAAAGAAGATCTACTCGGGGAACTTTGATTAGGCTAGCCAATTAAGGCATGGTCTATTCAATACGAGATAGGCTAAGCAAGTCTGCAGAAGCACATGTAACCATACGAAGGGGAAAATCAGATCGAGCCAACAAATATTTTTTAGGCTGTAGGATACAGTCAAGCCCCGTATTACGGAATAGGATTCCTCCAACTGTTTTCATGCTCCCTGACCCCTTCAGTTTGGAGCCTTGGACTAACTTACCGGGCCCACATAGAACTGAAACAGAGCGGAACGGCGAGGGGGCCGAAGCTAGTGCTGACGGTAAACGTTGTGTTGGAAAACTCAGAATGCCGATTATATTCGGTGGCGTTGTCGTATCTGCAAGTCGCAAAGGTGGACAATTACCTACCAGAGAACTGTCTGACGAAACGCCTCGCCGACGCGGAAACTGGAGAAAGATCGCGTTATCTACTGCAATGCGCTTGTCGAATAGCAATTTTCATTGATCACGAAAGCTTAAGGCAGGGGTTACACTTCCAAGCAACCAATTGTAGCCCATTACAGACGCTCCATCAACTCAGCCACTTTGCAGCTGAAGACCAGAATATTCACACAAACAGCGTACGGTGTACTCGATTTGGATCGATACGACTTGGTGGTGGTAGTTTGGGCGGGGTGGATGTCTAGGTAGGCAGCGCCAGCTCGAGCTGGTGGCCTTTTGTGGTTGTCCCATAGAGTGGGGCGTCGTAAGCATGGGTAATCTTGTTGTTCTTTAGCGGGACTATCCCAGGATACATAAGTCTAGCAACCTCGACGAAGCCAGGTTGTCCAACCCTGTCATTTTATTCAGATATATACTTATGCACCTGTTTTATTCCTTATCAAACACAACAATCTTGCCTAGTTCGCCAGAAATGTTGGACGAGAACAAGGTGCGGCTCCGGGCTTCGTGCAACGCTTGCAACGAGTCCAAAGTGCGGTGTAGCCAGCGCAAGCCGACTTGCTCAAGGTGCGAACGGAACGAAATCGACTGCATCTACGGTCTGTCACGAAGAACGCACAAAGACGCGCCACCTATCATGATTCCCCCGTCACAACGAGGACGCAGAACCTCACGTCCAGGGAGGTCTTCACGACCCCCGTCCAGTGGCGATACTCGAGTCAGTGCTGTTAGTAATAACAGCAGTATTAATAAGATTGTAACACAATCCGACGATTGCTCAATGTCCGATGAGCCAGCGGAGATACATGACGGGACTACAAATATGCTAGACCACTACATGTTTCAAACAACTGTTGAGACGGAGATAATGGACGCCACGACACAGCTCCTGGACTTTAGTAGCCTGCTCGCGGGCACAACCGGCAGCACACCGATGACAACGGAGCACTTCCCAACTACAGACCACACACCTGGTGACCTAGATTCCTTCTTCTTCAGCACGAGCCACAACAGCGAGGTCATGGAGATGGGGATTTTTCCGGGTTTGCAGGGTCAGGGGGAATGCACCTGCCACGCGGGCGTGACAGACCTGCTAGCGTCGATGCGCAGTACCGGCAGTAGCAATGATCAGCGGCTGTCACTCGACGCGCAGCTTGCCAGGCTAAAGCAATGCATTGTATCATCCGAGACATCGATGGGTTGCATGCATAGCCGCAATGATTCCGAGCCCATTCACATCATGGCGGTTACCATGCTAATTGGCTATGTGATTGATGACTTCAAGATGCTTGCCAGCGAGTCCTCACTACGCAGGTCAGCATCGCTGTCTTCCTCGTCATCAATGCCCGATTTGACGACTCTGGGAAACCTCGACAGGGGAAGTAGGTCCGGTGTCGCTACTCCAAGCAGCACTTCCACATCTGTGGGGGAGCTCGTGGAACCTAGGCTATCGTGGGGTGTATTTGAATTAGAGGAGGATGACGAGATGGACCTGCGGCAGCGGCTTTACCTACTATCATTTAGAAAGCTGGAGCGGCTGCTTTCCCAGCTCACCCTTCATTTACGAGACCAGCACAATGCGTTAGCCAGCCTTCCAGATCCGTCGCGTCATATGGCATTTGTGATTGCATGCGATTATGCGCGTTTATGGCTTGAACGGAAAGCTGGTGATGTCAAGAGACTGTTTGCAGTTCCCTTGAGCGACGAGATTATGAATTCAGCTCTTGCACAGCACGTATGATGAATTCTTTACAACGGTCGGAGGTTCACTGGTGTTTTATTATGTCTGAGAGCTATAGAGGAGGAAGTTCGCAATGTGTGACTATAAATGAATTCAGGGATTACGAAGTATGACTGCTCGAAAGACATTATGTATTCCACACATAGTGCCTGGTGCCCGAGTCTATCACCGTGGTGAGGATCGCTAGACAAAGATGACAACGAAATTATGAACGCAAATTCGAATTCAGAAGAGATTCCTTGTTCCATATATTCCGTAGACATAAGATCCTGTATCAAACTCGATTACTGTAAATCAATTATGAAATATGGAGATCAATTTTACACTCACAGGCGTTCACGATAGCAAAGGTCTGACGTACGTTGAATGGGCAGCGATATCTACTTCGAGATACATTTGTAAAATTGGGAGAGCAACAGCGCCAACTGAGGTCCTCCATTCTTTATGTGCGAGTATTTATTTATTAGTGCAATTTTTCAATGCCTTTCATGTAACCATAAAACACAACTCCAGGTCTGGTCGGCTTCGTGGTAGATTGAGATGATCCTTCTCCAATCTCAAAAGGAAGACTAACGGCGAGCTGCTCAAGATCGAGAGCCGAGAAGCCGGGGCTACAAAGAACGCGACATTCGTTGCCGGGCATGAACCCTGTTCCCCGGGCAAGAGAGTCCCCGAATGCTTCTTCCGGGAGTGTCTTTCAAGTCCCCGTGCGAGTAAGGCCACCCCCGACTACACTCGGGCATCAGCTTGACGCGAACCATTTGATGTTCCATGAAGGTTTTATAATCTTACTACATACCCAAAGTAATAATGACGCCCAAATCACCTACCCCTAGACACAATCATGGGCGTCGTTACCAATGGCAACCACAATGTCTCCACGGATACCCCAGACATCCTCACTCTTGCGCTGGACATCGTAAGCCATGCCGCTAATATCAAAGCTTTACTGGGCTCACAGAATCTGCCTGCTCCAAATTTCTTGGCGGGCTCGCCTGAGTTACCTGACACGCCTGAATATGCTGGTCTCCGCAGCAAACTGGTGGCCTCACTTGAGGATCTCCGCCTGCTGGTCGTCGGCCCACGGACCACGATGCGCGGCCTGATGGGCTCAAGTAATGATCTTGCCGCACTCCAGGTCGCCTTTGAGTTTGATTTCTTCAAGACTGTGCCCGTTGGAGACGAAAAGGGTATTGCCGTGGAGGAGATTGCCCGGAAGGCAGGCATGGATGCAGGCCGGGCACTGCAGGTGCTCAGATTCCTATGCACCCATCGCATCTTCCGGGAGGTCAAGGATGGCTGGTTCGCCCACACAGCATGCAGTGCTGCCTTTGGCAAGGACGAAAATTTGATAGGGCTAGGACAATATTCGTGAGCTTTGATTCTCATTCTGAATTATCTAGGGGGTAAATAACTAACTTGGTTGGCGCAGAATGGATGATATGTTCAAATCCGCTTCTTCGACGGCCGACTGCATCAAGGCATCCCCTCAAGTCTCTGATCTCGTCCATTCGCCATTTACAACGCGTCTCGGCGCAACCATGTTTGATTATTATGATAAGAATCCAGACAAAGCTGCCCGATTTGCCAAAGCTATGGCAGGTGTTACAACTAGTAAGACGGTTGCCTTCAAATTATTTGGATCTAGCTGACAGTTTCGGCTCCCTCCAGTCGACCGTAAACCCAACGTTCTGAGTGATATATTCCCGTGGGATGCCCTTCAGGGCACAGTAGTCGACGTGGGAGGTGGTAGTGGACACGTCTCGCTCGCACTTGCCCGTCGCTTCCCGCACCTCTTCTTCCGTGTCCAGGACAGCGAGAAGATGCTGGCTGAGGGCCGGCGCGTCCTCAAAGAGGAAGATCCAGCCGTAGCTAGCCGCATCGACCTGCAGCAACACGACTTCTTTCAGCCGCAGCACCCAGGCGGTAAAGGCGTTGCGGCATTTTTCCTTCGCCACGTATTCCACAACTGGGCCGACGCTGACTCAATTTCAATTCTTAGAGCCCTTGTTCCGGGCCTTGAAGCCTCGCCTGCGGGAACACCGATTCTTATAAGTGACAGAGTGTTGCCGTGCCTGGATGATGGGACACCGCTGCATGAGGAGCGTGCTATGCGTCGGCAAGACATTATGATGCTGGTGGGATTGGGTGCTAAGGAACGCACTTGTGCTGAGTGGGAGGCCTTGTTCCGGTCGGCTGATGAGAGACTCGAACTGAAGAAGGTACACGGCCAAGGACAGACGGCGTTATTGGAAGTTGTTTTGAGGAAGTGAGCCAGTAGACCTAGAAGACGTTTAGCTTCGTACCTAGATTGATACACAGTTTGTCTTACGAGAGCAGGCATTTCGATTAACGAGAAATTTATTTTCAAAGGCTGACACAAATGATTGAAGATACTTCTAAGCCTGTTATCTGTCTACATCTTCTTGACCTTATTCAGACCCCTAGCCGAGTTTATCATCCTATCCACGAACCACGTAAAATTCAGCCAACTCGCCCATCGCACCAAGGAAGCAAACGCCCCATGCCAGATTTCACCCCTCGCCCCACCAAGTATATCTTTAACCAGCTTCTCTGCGAGTAGATCGACATCCATAGCCTGACGCTGGTGATCCATACGTTCCTTCCATGCTTCCTCCTCCACTCCGTGATAGTGCGATGTCTCAGGTAACTCCATGGGGCCACCGGGCTTGCCAAACATAGGCGTGTCACAAGATCCACATATAGAAGTTATGACGCGTACACCTAGTGGTTCGAGCTCTACATGCATAGTTTCTGACAGGCGTGCCATGGCAGACTGCGAGCTTGCAAAAATTCCTGGACAAGAGCGATCACTGCAGGTTAGCTCGACAGTCTATAGCCAAAATATAATCCAAAAAAGAATTCATATGTATTGACAAAGGGACAACCTACCCGCCCACACCATGTTCAGGACCCCGTCAATTGAGCTCTGATTAAAGACAACCCCTCCGGCTTCAATAAGCAGTGGCGCAAATGCCTGTACCATCGCAAGAGGACCCCAGACGTTGACATCAAATAACTTCTTTGCCTCCTCGAGATCAGTGTCTAGCAACGGACTATTGAATTCAATTCCAGCGTTATTCACCAAGACATCTAAGCGACCGCCTGTGCGCTTCACGACTATCTCTTTACATTGCGCGATAGTTTTTGGAATGGTCACATCCAGCTCCAGAATCTCAATATCACTGAGATTGAGGAGGTTGTCGATTCTAGAGATGTCGCGCGCAGTGGCGAAGACGTAGAAGCCTCGCTGGTGGAAGTTTTTCGCCATGGCCCAACCGATGCCGCCAGTGCCACAGCCCGTGATTAAGACTGACTTTTTTGGTATGGTCTGCATGTTGTAGTGTGGTTTCTGTGTGGTTTCTGTGTCGTTTCTGTGTGGGGAGGAGTGGCATAAATTCCAAGCGTCACGTTTTCTTTGTTGAGTAAAGGTAGATAACACGGGTAATTCATAGTTGAACAGGGGTTGATTGGAGGATATGCAAAAGAGGCCTAAGATAAGTTGTAAGTATAGACTTCCGCCTAAACTGTCACTAGTTCACTTTTAGTCAAAGGTATACCAACAAAAGGTAGATTACTTGTCTTGGCACTGGTCGCCGGGGTATGTGCAGTCCTCGGCTTTACTTGTCAAAGGTCCGAAAGTCCGACCACCGGAGATGAGTGGGTAGGCCGAGCTGGTCCTACTGGAGATACCTCGGTAAAGGAAAAGGTTTAAACATATCTTTAGTATCAAAGTTTCTGTAGTCCTACGGGCCGTGCCGTACGTGACCCCTCCATGATTCTGTCATGGAGTTGGTCGGTCTTGACATGAAATACTTATGGGGCGGGGTTGAGCTTTGATGCACATGTAAACATCTGGACGACCTCCGCATGTGGACTATTAATCTACTTGTATAGTTCACAATCTTCGCTGGAACTCGCTTAATTAATTCACCCCATATGATATTCTCTTCGCACTCAGCTCTGGCGATTACTTGTTATTCCACTACTGGGGAGTACCCACTTATGAAGAGAGACAATAATCCTCGAATGGGAACTCGCCCGTCAACGAGGGAGCTTCAATGGCTACATATCATGTGTCGGACATAAAAACACACTGTGATGGAGCCTCCTGAGTGGCAGTCCTGTACAAATGGCGCTACGATGAATATGGTTAGTCTGAGTTTCTCTCATACTTGCTGCCAGGAACAAAAAGTCAGAAATCGGAGTATCCATCAGGGTTACAGCTTTGCATGAAGGGAGACCATTTCTCATCGACATGACCAATAACCAAACATACTATTATTCTTGAGGCCTACCAATTCTGGCATTTGGATAGCACGAAGGTGCCTTCCCGAGTACCGAATGGTCCCCACATTAGCTGATCCCCGAACTAAATCCCCGAACTATATACGAGCCACAACGCCGAACTCCTCGTATCGGGCAGCGTTCATCGTGAGATCTGGAAAATTTCACGATGACCGTGATAGCTTATTAGAATGGGACTTAGATGACATCGAAATGGACCCGAATTCTTTTCGTATCTCTGGTTCAAAGACTGCAAGTTTCCTGGAATAGCTCTCTGTCTGAGTAGAAAGGCACTCGCTGTTCGTAGCCATGATACCTTCGTTGCTTTCCCTGCTTGCCCTTGCAGGTGCAGGGGTCTCAGCCGCCTCAATCCCTAGCACCGCCAGCGCAGGCCTCAGTGCTCGCAGCACCAACCTGACTCCAGGCTGCAAGAACGGCCCCACATCCCGCCAATGCTGGGGCCAGTACGATATCAACACCAATTACTACGACACGGTCTTTCACACAAACCACACCGTCGAGTACTGGTTGACCCTCGAGGAGATCGACTGCGCACCAGACGGGTACCTGCGTAAATGTCTGGCAGCCAATGGAACCGTCCCTGGCCCCGCAATCACGGCTAATTGGGGAGACGAGATCGTCGTCCACGTCACCAACAACATCAAGACCAACGGCTCGGCAATTCACTGGCACGGTGTGCGGCAGCTCAACAACAACGCGAACGATGGAACACCCGGTGTCACTCAATGCCCTATCGCACCTGGCACAAGCATGACATACAGGTTCCACGCCGACCAGTACGGCACCACGTGGTACCACAGCCACTTCAGCTTCCAGTATAGCAATGGTCTGTATGGACCACTGATCATCAATGGCCCTGCTACTGCCGATTACGACGAGGACCTCGGTCCCGTCTTCATCACTGACTGGAACCACTATACCGCCGACCTCGAGTGGGCCACCGTCTCCAACTTCAACGTGACATTCAACGGCTCCGAAACCGGCCTCATTAACGGCATGAACACCGGAAACTGCACGGCGCTCAACGCGACGAAAGCAGACCCTAATTGCCTCAGCGACGGCAAGAAGTTCGAGCTCCACTTTGAGCAAGGCAAGAAGTATCGTTTGCGAGTGCTCAACGTCGCAGAGGAGGATTGGGTTCAGTTCAGCATCGACAATCACACCTTGACGGTCATCGCGATGGACTTTGTGCCTATCGTGCCTTACCAGACCAGTAGCATTTTCATCGACATGGGTCAGCGATATGACGTTATTGTTGAGGCGAACGCACCGCCAGCCGACTACTGGCTGCGTAGTGGTTTCGAGCCGTTATGTATTCCCAACGGCGCGGGTGCAAACAATATAAGCGCCATTGTGAGATACGACAAGACCAGCACTGCGAATCCGACCAGCTCGAGCGTGGACGGTAACATATTGGGGTGGGATCTCTGCGTTGACGAGCAGCCAACCAACTTGGAGCCCTGGGTGCCTGTCAGTTTGGACATGGCCAATGTGGTTGCAGGCATCCAGACCGAGACCATCATACCAGAGTGGGTTGACAACAATACCTATCTCCGCTGGTCAATCAATGACGGGGCGTTCATGTGGGTGAACTGGTCGAACCCAGCACTTGGAGACGTTATCACTGGAGACTTGAATGCAATTCCCACGTCAGACAACATCTTCCAGGTTGGCTCCAACTCGTCGGCGAAGAGTACGCTTCGCAATGAGACGGAATGGGTCGTCCTGGTCATCGAAGACAAGACACCCTTCACGGGTATCTCTCACCCTATCCACCTCCACGGACACGACTTCCTCATCCTCTCGACTGGCTACGAGCCGTGGACTGGAAGAACGTACGGATGGCAGTTAACCAACCCGCCACGTCGCGACACGGCCACTATGCCCAGTAACGGGTATCTTGCTATCGCTTGGCCGCTCGATAACCCGGGTGTCTGGGCTTTGCATTGCCACATTTCCTGGCACAGCAGTCAGGGTTTCGGTGCGACGGTGCTGGAGTCGGCGGACATGATCCCCAAGCCGGTGGGAGGTGATTGGTCTAAGGAGCTTGATCCAGTTTGCAAGGCCTGGCATGAGTGGGTGCCAACTGCACCCTTCCAGCAGACTGATTCGGGTATTTAGAATGGTGTCATTGACGTGATATGATGTACCTTCTGGTATTGTTGGGTCAAGTCATGACAGTCGATTGAGATGTCAGGGGGAACTGGGTGTGATCTCTGCTATGTAAATAGTTGTCCGAGGGGTACTTGCAACTTGCAGCCTGTACTCCTCACTCTCCTTTCCTCTGTATAGAGCCCGCATAAATAATCAACACAATGTGTGATTCAGTGAGTATACGGCGAATCTCAAGATATAGTTTTTCGCGATCTGTTGGTCGGAAAGTTTGTAGAAACAGAACACCCCGCTCATAGTGGATAATGGCTGGATGATCCCGCTCACGTGATAACCCTTAACCCCAACAACTCAACACAACATTTTGTCCACTTTCCACTTCCCACCTTGGTTCCCTGCCGACGCTGTAGAATACTTGGTCACGATCGTCGAAATTTAATAAATTTAACAATGTCCTGACCTTTCTTTCCTCTACTCACCCCTTTCTAGGAACCCTCCAAGTTCTCCCCTGAGTTATGCAGGTGCAATTCCTCGTGCGATATATAAAAGGCAGGCATGAATAGCGATTGAACGAGTTTGAATGGTACATACATTACATGCTATTTAAGTCTTAAAGCTTCCATGTGTGTCCTCGCCAATCTCCCTCCTTGCATTGAAACACCACAAAACCTTCGCTCTACTCCGCACACTAGCCAAGCGAAAAGACGAAGCAATGCCACCACCAGTGACAAGGGTAATGCAGGGTCCCTTGAGATTCGAGATACTTTGTCTCCTATTTTATTACTTTACTTTCTCGTCTTTTGCTGTAGGGGCTCCTTTGCTGTAGGGGCTCTACATATTCCTCCCATTTGGCCGTTCACATGCTCTCTATTTCGGCAACAGAATAAAATGAGATGTTTTACGGCCCCCATATCAATTATACATTCGGTCAGTATTCACACTCTCATACTCTAAGCACCTCACGCCTGGCTCCACAATCTCCTCCCTGATACAAGGAAAATACTCACGCAAGACTATCTTTGGATAATGAGCTCAGACAGGGATGGCAAATGGGGTCTGAGGCGCGAAGATACCTCAGCATGCAGCATGGGTGGTCGATATTCCCGACGGGAACCTTGTTGCACAAGCTGAAAAGCTGACATAAGGTTCGGTGAATCAAGGTGTACCAGGTAGCATCGGGAAACGACATTTCGGTAAGGAACGCTTCGGGTACGATGAGGCTGTTATCGAGTCAATATCATCGGGAACAAGATGACATTGCACTGCTTGGTGCTAAGCCTCGAGAGTAGCCATGTGGTAGAATTAACTTAAGATATGTCTTGGACTGTCTACTGTTTCCACAGTCTGTAGCGATTCATCATCGCCCTGACGCCTATCAACACTATAATTTGCCATTCAATTCAGAAGGGCAACAAATGGCAACAATGGGTTCAACTCCTCCCACGGTCCTCCTGTTTGGGGACCTCACAGACTCATGGGTCGATGGCATGGACTACGTGTTTGACCAGGCCACAACGACACCATGGCTCCCATCCTTCTTGGATGACTTGTTCACGGCCTTCAAGGCCGAGGTGAGAAGCATGGATGCCTTCTTGCAGGAGAGTTTTGGTCATTGTTCAAATTTTCAAGAGCTCGCTCAAAAATATCGCCGTTCGAGCGACCAGGTTGGCCTTGTCCATGCAATGCTTCTATATACCGTGAGAGCGGTCCTACTACTAGAGTGCGTCCATCGTCCCCTGCTTCAATCCACATGCTTGCTGGCTGACCTGCCCCTTCTAAATTGAAGACATGTAACGCGGGAGCCACGGCTGCTCCACCCAGGCGAAGAGGGCAGGCCCGAAACACACCTGGTTGGTATCTCTGCCGGTCTATGGAATGCTGTAGCTGTTCCGATCTCCACGAATTTCAACAATTTGTACGATTCGTCTATTGAAGCCGGTCGGGTATGGGTCCGAGTCTGCAGTCTCATGTTTGGGCGGGCTCGAGCCAGAGAGGACCGCCCTGGTGTCTGGGGCTGGGCTGTCTTAGGTATTTCCTTGCATGAGCTTGAAACAAAGCTCGAAGAGTTCCAACATACCATGGTAAGTAACCATTGCCCGCGAGCTCAAAAGTCATGAGTCATGCGAGTCGTGGGATAATTTATCGAAGTCTGGATCTGTGGTAAGCAAAACTGACACAAACTTTATTAGGGTGTTCCTACATCTAAACGAGCCAAAGTTGGTTTCACAGGAGATCGTTGGAACACGATCATCGGACCCCCTTCCGTCTTGGAGCTCATTTTCACCAAGTGTCCTGAATTGAAGAAGCTCCCCAACCACAAGATAGCTGGTATCCGCGGCTTGCAGCACACTCTCGAAGTCTCTGAGTCGGACATGGACTACGTTATAGGGAACTCAGCGCTCCTGGAAAAGCAGGTATACCAGGGATTCAAAGTATGGGGCATGACCGAAGTTGACGCCTTTACAAATTACACCAGCTGGGGTGATCTTCTGAGGATTTCTGCAGCACAGACCTTGTCCCAACGCCTTGATCTTGTCAAGATCGTGGAAGATCTCAATAACTACCTCGGAACTTCAGCTGAATATGTCAACGTTAGGATGATGGGCCCCAGCGGCCACGTGGCGTACATTAACGGCGTTCTCAAAACAACAAGAGATGTCTCCATCAAAGACGACCTGCAATCATCCTCGGCCTCAAGTGAAGGCGAGGGTCTCCGCGAAGGGGCTATTGCCATCGTGGGTATGTCGGGCAAAGGACCCAGCAGTGAGAACACAGACGAGCTTTGGAAGGTTATTGTAACCGGCCAGGAATGCCACGAAGAGATTCCAGCGGAGCGGATGGACATTGACGAGTACTACTGTACCAAACACAGCCCCGGAAAGTGTACCATGACGTGTAGGCATGGGTGCTTTGTCAAGAATCCAGGCCACTTTGACGCCAAATTCTTCCACATCTCGCCGCGTGAGGCACTGTTGATGGAGCCGGTCCACCGCCACTTCCTCATGAGCGCTTATGAGGCCCTCGAGTCTGCCGGATACTCTGCAGGTCAGACTAGAACGACTGATCCCAACAAAACGGCTGTTTTCTTCGCCCAAAGTTTCGACGACTGGCTCAAAGTTAGCCACCATGCGCTGGGCTGTGATGCCTATACACTGCAGAGTATTCAGCGCGCCTTCGGTCCAGGTCGACTGGCCTTCCAAATGAAGTGGGAAGGGCCAACATACGCACTCGATTCTGCCTGTGCAGGCTCTACGTCGGCAATCCATCTTGCTTGCATGAGCTTGCTCTCGAAGGATGTCGACATGGCCGTGACAGGCGCCACGACCATCTTGTCTGACCCTCATTCCTTCACCTTCCTGAGCAAGGCCGGAGTGTTATCCGAAACGGGTAACTGTAAGACCTACCGAGACGACGCCGACGGGTACTGCCGCGCCGACTTCAGTGGAGCTCTAGTACTCAAGCGACTTGAAGACGCAGTTGCTCATAACGACAAGATCTTGGCCGTCATTGCTTCGTCAGCCAGAAACCACTCTGGCAACGCAACGTCCATTACAACTTCCGACGCCAATGCGCAGGAGAGCCTCTTCAAAAGGTCCTCCGCAATGCTCGACTTAACCCTGATGACGTTTCATATATTGAGATGCATGGAACTGGAACTCAAGTTGGAGACAAGGCGGAAATGGGGGCAGTTTCAAAGGTCTTCTTGCCAAGACCGAATGGCAAGCCCTTGCCAGTTGGAGCTATCAAGGCAAACATTGGTCACAGTGAAGCAGTGAGTTTCCCGAAATAAGAGGATCCCGAATTGACAAGACGAATCAGAGAAAGACTATCAATACTGATACTTGGTACTTTCTCTCTCTTAGGCTGCAGGCATGTCCTCCGTGCTCAAGAGCATTCTTATGCTTCAAAAGGGTGTTATTCCTCCCCAGGCCGGCATGCCACATGCCATGAACCCCAATGTATTGGAAATCCTGGGAGACGACCCCAGCGTTGTGATTCCCACACAGCCAACTGAGTTCAAGGCGGTGGATGGCAAGCCAAAACGCATTTTGATTAACAATTTCGACGCGGCTGTAAGTCCTTATACTTCCTCTCGCATCAAAGCCTCTCCCTTCCCTTGACGGGGCAACGAACTAACTCTTTCTCCCTCATGCTTCTAGGGAGGCAACGCAAGCGTCCTAATTGAAGAGTACAAGCAAGACCCAGCCGCACTGGCAAAACGTCAACAGCCAGACGTCCGATCAAATCACGTAATTGCAACGTCGGCCAGAACGCCTGTATCACACATTGCCAACATGAGACGACTGGCGGACTGGCTTCGCTCGAATCCAAATGCTCGGATCCAAGATGTAGCCTACTCGACGACGGCTCGGAAAGTACACCACCCTTTCAGATTCGCGCTAGCTGCTCCAACACTACAGGATGCCGTATCCAAGCTTGAAGCAGAGATCCAGAGGGCTAGCAGCGCAGCTAAGAAATCATCAGCTCCTCCCGTTGTGTTTGTCTTCACTGGACAGGGCTCTCACTATGCAGGTATGGGTAGCGAGCTGTACCGTACAAGCCCCGTGTTCCGCAAGACTGCCGACCTTTGCGCGGCCGTTTGTGCTTCCCACCGGTTCCCAGCCTTCCTGGATATCATAACCAACGACAGTGTCGACTTATCCACCAAGAATGCGGCGCAGGTCCAACTCGCCGTCGTGACTCTGGAAATCGCGCTCACGGCCTTCTGGCGATCCTCAGCAGGCATCGAGCCATCTATGGTGATGGGTCACAGCCTGGGCGAATATGCAGCTCTGCACGCAGCTGGTGTCATCTCGCTGACAGACACATTGTACCTCATTGGGCGCCGTGCTTTACTGCTGCTCGAACGATGCGAGCTTAACTCGTGCGCCATGCTCTCTTTGTCCGCACCTGTGACAACAGTACGAGAGCACCTCGGCCGACTGAGAGAGTCTTCCTGTGGTGTGGCATGCATCAACAGCCCCACAGCCACCGTCATCAGCGGGACCGCTGAGGACCTGGCACGTGTTCAAACAAGCATTACCACCCAGGACGCTAACACCCGCACCAAGATGCTCCCAGTACCGTTCGCTTTCCACTCATTCCAAATGGATGCCATCTTACCCGATTACAAGGAAATTGCCCGTGGTGTGACGTATCTGGCGCCCAGGATCCCTGTGGCATCGACGCTCCTTGCATCCGTGGTCGATGCATCCGGGGTTTTCAGCGAAGACTACCTCGCGCGGCAGACACGGCAAGCCGTTGATTTCTCCGGGGGTCTCGATGCCGTCAAGTTGGCATTCAAGAATGAGGAGCCTCTCTGGCTAGAGATCGGCCCCGGTCCAGTGTGCACCTCATTTGTGCGGGCCACACTGTCACCGCCAGTTGCCAAGATCAATCACACCATTGACGCGAACAACGGCAACTGGGCGACTATCTCCAAGAGCCTTGTGGCAGCATACACGAGTGGTGTCGATGTGGACTGGCTCGCCTTCCACGAGCCGTACGAAAGGAATTTGGAGCTGTTGGCGCTCCCAACCTACGCATGGGACGTAAAGAACTACTGGATCACACATACTGACAAGAACAATGGCACACTGGCTCCTGCCGCTACCCCTGCCAAAGCAACTGTGCCGGAGCCATTCCTCACCACCACAGCGCAGTACCTCGTTGAGAAGACCCTGACGCCTGGTGGACAAATCAAGGTTACCTTCCGAGCTGGCTTATCTGATCATGGATTCATGGGTGTGATTGACGGCCACAAGATGCAGCAGATCGGTTTGGCTTCGGGCACTGTCTTTTGTGACGCCGCTGCGACAGTGGCCAAGTATGCTCTTGAGTATAGCGGCGGCAAAACCGGCGTTACAGCCTCTAATCTGACCTTCCACGAGCCCAAGCTGCTCGCTCCGCTGACCCGTGACCTCGTTGGCATTGACGGCGATTTGCTCACCACGGCCACCATGGAGACTGCGTCTTCTGACGTTATTCTGGCTTCTTTCAAAGCTGTCTCTAAGAGCGGTGAAACATACGACCTCGGATCAGTGCTAGTCAAATATCGTATCCCCGACAAGGCCCAGGCCGACTTAGATCGCGTATCTTTCTTCATTAAAGCGAAGATGGAGGAGCGAATCAGGCTGTCTAAGGATGGTTCCGGCCACCGCATGCAACCTGACGTTTTCTTCGCGCTCTTTGCCAACGCAGTCGAGTTCTCGCCTGATTTCCGCGGTGTGCAAGAAGCGTATGTCGCGGGTGACTACCAGGAAGCCGCTGCAACAATTAAAATACGACCCGATCCAACAGGCGCGCGGTTCACGGCTTCTCCGTATTGGGGTGAGGCTTTGTTGCATCTTGCGGGCTTTATGGTCAACGGAAACCCGAATACGCCGCAACCACTCACATATGCACTCATGGGCTACGATAGTATCGAGCAACTCGCACCTGTCGAGGCTGACAAAGAGTACCTGACCTACACGCATATTTCGCGGTGGGAGGGAACCACGGCTTTCTGCTCGGCCTATGTCTTTGACGCGCAGACTTGGAAGATTGTTATGCTTGCCATTGATCTCCGTTACCAGCAGTTCAAGAGGACCACCTGGCGCCACATTCTCGGCACACGGCCACACGCTGTTGGTGCAGGACCACATCACGCAGCCGCTAAGTCGGTATCCCTGCCTCCTGTTAAGGAAACCAAGATCACACATGATAACCTCTCTGCTGCCATGGCCACGGTACCGATAAAGCAGGAGCGGAAGGGTAGAGCGAAGGAAAGTTCCAAGGAACAGGAGACTGGAGACTCGCGAGCATTCCAGATCATCCTCGACAGCCTCATTGCTGCCACTGGAAGCGACCCATCGGAGTTCACTGATGATGCAGAGATCGCCGATATTGGTGTCGACTCCATTATGGCAATTGAAGTGGTCGCTGCGGTCACGGAGAAGGGCGTTGATCTGCCCGCCTCCTTTGTTTTCGATTATCAAACAATCGGCGACCTTCGTCGCGCGTTTGGTGCTGGTACACAAGAGGACTGCGAAGGTAATGATACCAGCTCGACACCTTCCACTAGTGATGAGGAAGGCATGTTGTCCATGACCCCAGCCGCTCCTTTCACTCCTTTTACCCCTACCTCCCCAGCTTCAAGCGTATGCGACGTTGACAAAGAGGATCCATCGATTCTCTCACCGAAGCTGGAGAGTGACACGTCACCACTACCCAACGCTAGGATCACTCTTCTTCAGGGCCGACCCGAAGCTGGCAGCACTCCACTGTATATGATGACTGACGGGACGGGAACTGTTGCGTCGTTCATTCACTTGCGACCCTTCAAGTCGAACCAGATCGTCTACGGTATCGACTCGCCTTTCCTCCGCTGTCCCTCTCGCATGAACAGCAAAGTCGGTATCGAAGGCGTTGCCAAGCTAGTCGTGGACGCGTTGATCAAAGCGCAGTCTACAGGCCCCTTGATGATCGGTGGCTACTCCGTCGGGTGTTATGTTGCCTTCGAGATGTCCCGCCAACTAGCCCAGGCTGGACGCCAGGTAACGGGCCTCCTCTTGATCGACATGCCCTGCCCACGACCGCGGGGAGTAGATCAGGGCAAGATGGTCGCCGAGGCCGAAGCCAGCGAAGCCGTACTAGAAGGAATCGTCAATCGAGACGGACAGTGGAGTGCTCTCGGGTCCTGTCGTGAGCATATGCGTCAGTTCTTTGTCGCTATGAACGAGTATTCCCCAGTGCGAATGACAGCGACAGAGAGGCCTGCCAAAACGGCCGTCATTTGGGCTGAACATGGCTTGATCAACCGTGTTGTAGATGACCCTGCTCAGATTCAGAAGCTGGAAGCTCAGGGTGTGCCTACCAAACCGTATCCAGGTTTCATGCAGGATCCAAAGTTGGGTACGTTCGCGTGCCATGTACCCAACAAGGGCGAGGAGAATCTCGGTCCCAATGGCTGGGACGAGTACACAGGAGGAGATGTGAAGGTCCTTTCTGTCAATGGTGATCATTTTGAGTTGCCCATGCCAGGGCATGTCCATCTTCTCCAGGAAAAGATGGAAGATGCTTTGGCTTATTTCTCTTCCACTTAGCGATTGTGTAAGTTGTCATTTATATAGACCAGATTGTCCATACATAGATTGATATATTAAATCGGTTGCTTGAACACTGAATGTCATCAAAATTGGATTCTTGAGGACAGGTACATGATATCGATCACCCTGCACGATACGCACCTATGAACGACTGGCAGCCGTCGGTGGTGAGGACTTAGGCCAATTTCTTGCATCTCACGACCCGACCTCTTAAGGGTCCTATACACTGGCGAATACTACCTGTAGCTTGGAGGTGAAAGAGCGGCCTGGTCTGCGCACGCTCTGTTTATTTATGTGGACGGTATACCGTGACGACTTTGTGCTGATTCGGATAAATCTCCCCCTTACCTTGGTCAAATCATTGTAATTCCTTTGTACAAAAGTAGTCATACTTTACCTCAACATGATTAGGGGGCTTACCCTAATTTACTCCGTTTACCTGTGGCTGGGTAGGCTGTGACAGCTTCCCGGCCTGAAGTGGTTCCGTGATGTATTTTCGCACCGTGTCATGCAATATTCGCAAACCCTTGATTAATTTAGGTAACTGCCATAAACATCATTTCTTTCTACTCCTAGGATACGAAATTAGGCAGTAGCAAGAACTGCCTTGCATTCTCCGATCACATCAAACGAAAAGACATAGTCGTTAATATCATCTGTAGAATCAAGCCTCGTACCAGCCGGAAGATACGCGGCAGCAGCATCACGAACGCTTTGCGATGCTGGCGGGTTCGTGTTGGAAAGAATTTGCAACGCAGAGCCTCTGTTCCGGCGAACTTGCTCAAAGAGCTGCAGTCTCTCTTCGATGGCACCTTTTTCATGAACTTGGTCGAATAGTATACCGAGAGCGGCACCGTCTTCGATGGCTTGTCCGCCACCTTGGCCCTGGACTGTCGACATGTTACTACCAGACCTAACGACTGGCCATTTGGGTACTGGATAAATGAAAACCCAGAAGCATGATTTGAACTTACAGGTCAGCATTGGATGGGCTGCATCTCCGATCAAGACTAATCGGTCCTTGTGCCACTTGGGGATCGGCCCCCTGGCAATCAGTTTCCAGAACTTCACGTCTCTAGCTTTTCTAGCCCGGATATGTTAACAAAAATATAGTTCTCGCGGCACAAGAACCTATCGCGGGGGTTCAAGACTTACTTGATCACACTGTGCAGGGCCGGGGAAAAGTGCTTTTGCGCATATTCTAGGGGCATGCTTTGGTCGACCATCGCCCGGAAATCTAGTTCATGTTAGAAATAGATCATTTTTGAGAGGCTTAGACAACCGGGACTGTTTTCTGCCCCCAACCTTACCTTCACCGACATGAGAAGTATCGAATTCCCTAGAAAGGTACAAAAAGTTTTGCACCTCATTACTAAAGGATATCGTCAGCGTATGTTGTTAAACATCGGCGCGAATCGATAATATTGCGACCAGGATATCGAATCAGGAAGGCAGGACGCACTTTCTACACGGATACCACACCAGACCAGCCGCACCCTCTGCCGCCGTGAAATATCTTGTGGCTGAGTCGACAATCATATGTGCTGTTTCAGGGTCTGATAGTATCTCATCTCTTGGAACCAGCCATCGCATACACGCCCAACCGGTATCACCAGCCTGAACAACCTGGTCGTCTTCAAGGACATGCCTGACGGCAGTAGAATGAATCCCATCTGCCGCTACAACAAGATCAGCTTGCAGGACTTCGCCATCTTCAGTAGTGACTGTTCCGTTGCGCGCGTCGTAGTCAACGGCTTTGGCTCGCACGCGCACCTCGCAGGGACATCCTGGCCCTTCAGGTTGAGTCGCAAGCTCTCTTAGTTGAGTGTGCAGATCAACACGGTGAACAGCATACATAGGCAAACCCCAGGTCGATTCGCAATCCTTGTAATAGGTAGGTATCAGAGTCTTCATGTTGGTGCCGTCGATGAGAGTCATCCCACGCAGAGTCACCATGCCAGATTTTTCCGGAACAAAGTCCCATGATTTGAGGACGCGCGAGGCATTGGGCTTAATAGTAATGGCTGCGCCTACTTCATGCAGCAATGAAGATTGTTCGAGGATCTTGAAGCATATTAGAATTTTCGGAAGTGTAATAACTTGTTAGAACGATTGGGATGTGCAAACCGTCACTCTGTGACCTGCTCTGCGTAGAGCAACTCCAGCGCCGAGGCCAGCAATTCCCGCGCCGACGATAAGAATATCCATGATCTATTTCAGTGGCTCTCTTATTTCTGATTTTTTCAACGATGTCTATAAAATCTATAAGCGATAGGTCTCGATTGATGTGTGTTCTCTATATATTAACAACAGCGCCCGTAACAAGTGTGTCCCTATAGCAGGGATGCTATCGTGCCACAGCTCGAAATGATCTGACCAACAGGGCTATTCCCTCGAATAAGCGTCCGATATTCCCGACCTAACTTGAGTTTTTTCCCCCTAGCGGTGCCATATATTTTTAGGTGGCGGTCCCCGATTGTCATTTCCCGAACTTCGGGGACGCTATGCAAGCCGCCTTACAAGCACACCACACCCCTGTAATGCTGGACTAGACCCGCAGATTTTCTCCAGCTCCCAATGGCCTTCTACTCGGGCTTCTAACATAAGTTGTTTTAAAATGGTAGATGATCTTGCAAGCTAAATTCGACAATTTATCGTATTCGGATCTATCAGGGAAAACCTCGCGAAGCGATTCAATGCCTTGCGTCAAGTCTGCTTTGAGATCTTCAAGGTCTTCAACAGCGAAACTGATTCGAAGTATTGTTTGACACGGTGAGCTGGCAGGTGGTCAGAGACTTTTGCGTACTACTGTACACATGAAAGGTATGTACTTTACCACGGTTCGGAAGTACCAATTGAATTTGGTGGTCCGGGCTGGGTACTGTACGCTCATTGGCCAGACGCTTGTTGGCAGTTCAGTATCGCGACTCTGGAACTACCTTTCGAGCCATGATTCGTCGATTGTATACAGCTAAATCCCTACAATTTACTAGTTGCTTGAGTTAGACTCAAACAGCCAACAGGAAGCCTAGATTGGCATTCAGTCACAGTTGCTTGCCCGTAGAGCGGTACTGGTCTCATGATTCTAGCGGTTTAAAACAGTGACCTTGAAGAGAGGTATTTGGAACAGCTACCTAGCGAACCACGACTTACTTATGCTAGCATCATATTACTTAAGGGGGCAGAAACCCTCTCCTCTTCATTCTTCGTCCTCATGCTTTCAAACGGGTTTCAATAATAAAGAACTCCAATCTTGATTTAAAGGCTCAATATTGGTGGAAGAGATGCGTTTTGCTGACAAGGTAATATATACCGAGGTTCAGAACAAAAGAGTGCACATCACGGCATCGGAAAGCTATTCTAGTCCACCAAAGGTTAGTACAACTGGCCCAAGAATGGGTCGGACCAGATATGAATCGCGACCAGGCCCGACTCTAGTATAGGTACCGTAGCACAAGGGGCGCTCTACTCTGCGGAGAATCCAATCCGAGACACCAGTGTTGCCGGGGAGGATGTTGGCCTACATTTTTGATGGATCGATCCGGATCGGGCGTCGAGTGGCTCGGATATCGCATGGAGGAGGCCATTGGATGGGTGATTGAAAGAGGTATGGTGCCTTCGTCATGCGTTGGCTGGTTTTGTACACGTGCTCATTGCCGACAGGGCCAGCCAACTCGTTACGCAGTCACGTTATGATGTCGATTGGGATTGTAAATACACACAGGTGTCACGTGGCAGAACGATTGAGAGTCATAGAGTGCACCAATAGGATATCAACAAGTCTGAATTGCTATTGCCCCTAGCTGGCAATTTATGTGGGCATCATAATGACTAATCTCGGCGGGTCTATTGTAACTAACCTAACTAACTCCTTTCTCCGGTATCCACCAGTGCTGCTGCGAGACCAGCTAAGATCTGCCTGAGGCGACAGCAGTGATGGCAGAAAGAAAGCGGTCAACCAGGGGCCCAAGACTGAGAGATAAAAATGATCCATCGCTTCGGATACCCCTCTGGCTGCTTAACGGATCGCAAAAGGGGAGAATCTCCCACATTCGGCGACTGGTGCTTAACAGGGTAGGATCGTAGGGCGGCTTTTTTTACACATGAGGGACCCGCCCACTAGCGGATTCTGTTAACCATTTCCCTGGCGCTAGCGCGGCGAGATTATCGGCGCTAAATAAAGGGTGCCGTGCCGCGCCCTAAGAATCTTGAGTTTCTCAAACTTGCCCTCCAATATCCCACCAACCATCTTGACTGAATGGAAAACGACACTCAAGACTTTCATTGCTTCTCCCGGCTGCCCGTGGAACTAAGACTTGCCATATGGCGTGAATGTCTCCCAAACCGAGTCGTTGAAATAGACTATCCATGGGATGATGGTGGCGTCTTCGGTCCTGATCCGCCGCCATGCAAGGTGCAGCAAACGACCAATCTCAACCGACGCGCGCCAATGATCAGCCGTGTATGCCGCGAGTCGCGTCTTGTCGCCTTTGAAGCTGGGCATTTTCGCAAGGAGGGTTCGACCCCAGAAGAGGTGCCGTGGAATTCCAATATCCGCGTTGACAAAACATGGATCGACCCCTCTCGTGACACGATACACTTGAATTGGACACCGGCCTACAGTGCTGGATACTGGGGTGACGGAAGTGCTCTCGACCATTTAGCTTGGAGTGCGGCCAAGGCTCGCGGAGGCTCTTTCATGTTTGATTATCTTGATAATACGTGCGATGGCGATGTCTACATTGAAGAAAGGATTGGGGCGCTCAGGAAATTACAACACGGAGTCATTGTGATGCGTGTCATCGTAGTGCATACCACATTCGAGAATGCGGCGAAGACAGGATTGTTTGGACTTCTCGGTGATGCCTGCATTCAGATTGTCGATGTATCCGACGAGACGAGACTGAATGCCTTTTTCGATTTTGCAGAGAAATGCGAATCTAAACCCAACGGATACATTACTAGGAAGCAAGACTTCCACAGGGAGTCTCCAGAGTCGGTCAAGAAACTCCTCAACGACCGCCTCGCATATGCATTTGATGCCCAAGCTGCTCGGACGTTGCCTCTGCGTCCGGCTATCATGTTCAGATTCTGCCCCTACTGGTGCAACCATTCCATCGGAAATTTTCGACGGGCTGAAGATGTCGCCAATGAACGCGGCGGCAACGGGATGAATAGGCGATCCGAGGGTAGGCAAAGTTTCAGATCTTTTATGGAATCTTTGCACACGAGGTAAAACTAGAGTTCAAGTATTTCAACTCAGACTTAATCTACATGAGAACCTCTAATAAAGGTATACATGTTGCCGCTCTCTCAAGTCTACCACGCACTTGCGTTACTCCGGATAGAGCGCATCCTGAGGCGGTCCACAGTTTTCCGTCTGCGCTCCCGATCCCGAGACTGACCACGAGTTCCCTCCTTCTGTAAGGCCAAGCTCATCGTAGGACAGTCCACAATTTCCCCTCGTCTCCAACCATCGCAGGTCAGGCCGTTTCTTCCGATCGAACTCAATGTAGGACCGGCCGCGATTTCCTCCCAAGACACGCAATTTCGCTACTCCAGATAGCGCGCATCCTAGGACGGGCCATGGAAACCATACGCTAGCCATACACGAATCGGGCACCTCGCTATTTGGTAGCACAGGACCTAAGCGATTTCCAAAAGATTGGTTGGGAGGAGACAAAGCTGCTAAGAAAGGAGGTCGGTCACCCCTACCGAAAATTTACACAATGCAGTCAAAGTGGAATTTCAGGTAAGATGATAAAGAGTGTCTCAATGAAGTGGCCGCCCTGTTTATCTTCCTGGGTATCCAACTTTTGCCTTCACCTGAATACGCTGCTTTTTTCCGTCGAGGAACCTGCCGTTCTCCCTTTGTTATATGAGGCGTTATTAAATATCTTGACTACGAGTGGTTATTGTGGACTTTTCTCAAAATCAAGAATTGTGCGACCAAATATCAGTATGCTGTTCACGCGTGGCCTCGCTTTGCAAGACACATTTAACCAAGAAACCTCGACTATTTATGAGAGGGGTAGACCAAGAGCCGGCAAAGGTAAGCAGGAGACAATTCCATTCACTCCTTGCGCATGGTTCAGGAGTGCCGATTTTGACATCAGATTTTTCCCGCAAATGTTGCACTCACAGTGTATATCACTAGGGAACGGCTTGATATGTTTGTTGACGAAGTGTCGGCTAAGGGACCCGGGATTTTTGTACATTTTCAGGCGTTTACTTTCTGGCATTTTAGCATTACTAAGACATATAAAGTATATCGTTAGTCTCTCTTCTTGAGATTTGACGTAAACAGAAGCGATAGCTTAAGAAAACCTATCGTTACTCTTATCTAAAGGGGTAGAGTTTTGTCTCTTAGGTAGAGGAGAAGCAGGTAGTATATTAATAGCATCGACGGAGCGTTTTTACGGCGCATAAGGCCGTGAGGGAGTACCCTCTTCCGTATTATAGACTATAATCACTATATTAATTGTGGTAATACGGCGTTCGTATTCTTTCGCGACCGTTATACCCGGTATAGTTAGGATACTATTAATAAGTATTATATACTACGGTGTTATATAGCTAGTTTGCTATAACGTACCTATAACTTCTTCGTCGATAACCTTTCTAGAAGGTTGCTGCTCGCTATCGATCACTAGCTACTTATTCTTATACTAATCTAGGTTCTCACGAATTAAGTAGTTCCTTGACCGCCTCTTCTCGTTTCGTAGATACTTTACTACGCGATTATACTACTCGTCTATATAATAGAATTTTTAACGTAAATCTTTTAGGCTTTTCTCCTAAGTCTTCCTCTACTTACGGACGGTTCTAGAAAGAGTTATACTCTATAGGTTATTACCGAACTCTTGTTAAAATACGGTCTCTATATCTTTATAGGTATATATCTTAACGTCTTAAATACGCTTTCTTGCCTGTTTCGTGTCTTCTAGGGCACGCACGCAGGGGATATCGTTAATATAGCTTAAATCCTTAAGCCGGTAGGGCCTATAGAGATCGATAGACTGACTTATCGAGCAGGCAAACTATATAAGTTATTTCTTAGCAGGTAAGCTCTAGATAATAGCCTACGTATCTACGTAGATACCTATACTATAGTGCTATATAAAAGTATTAATATTTACGTGCTATAGTATAACGTTCTAAAGTTTATTCGATATATCCGCTAATTAAGAGGACGGTGTTAGCCTAAAATTCTCCTAATACACTCTTAATACAGTATTACTTATAACTATCGTTAAACGCTTTTCTAGCACTATATTAGAGGCAATACGGCTTCGCGACTTCCGCAAAGCTAGTAATCTCACTACCTCTTTTTATTCTATAGCTAAGCTATCCGTAGGTAAGTAGCTTTTCTAGTACGAATCTAATCCTATCCGCCTCTTATAAAGCTTAGTAAAATATATACTAATCGAGGATATCATCTTTTAACTTTAATTCCTATTTACAAAGTCTATATAGGACCCGAAGACGGTATAATTTCTTAGGGTAGTATAGTATAGGGCTAACGTTAGACAGACTTTTGAATACGCTAATTCTAAATAGAATACCTAGGAGAAAGACGTAAGGACTAAGGACTAACGTAGGATTAAAGGTAATGTAAAGATATAGTCTACTTGCAGGGTAGAAAGCCTGTCAACTAGGTAGGAGAGCAAAGCACTAAGTCAGATTGTAACAGAGACTGTTTCTTAGAGGGCCCCTTTACCCCGTTTACCGCTGGGCCTTATATACAGTAAGCCCCTCTTTCGAAGGAGGGGTAGACATGCAGGGAAGCGGATGACTATCCTCCGTAGGAGCAGCGGGGAAAGGGTGATGGTAGATCACCGAACCAATATATTCATGGTTGGTGATCCTTGGAGGCCTGAAGCCTAAGGCCTCAACATAGGAATAGCCTCATAGTGCAAAATATCATAACAGGTAATTTCTAGAATTGGAAACGCGTCTCTAGTAGAAAAATGATAAGCAAGAGGACGTAGAGACGTATAAAACTAAACGGGGCAAGGCAAGCGTAAGGAATAGCTTAGCGAGTAGATGTTACGATTCTTTTTCACTAAGAAATGCTTTTGTGAATTCCGGTCTCAAGTAGATGAAAAGTCGAGGACGTCCTCCGTTTGAATCCCGAATCAATGTCAACTTGAGATCCCGGAAGCAGAGTTTCAGTAGCGCCCCGGGACGGTTACCAGTGATAGCGGCCAGCTGGCAGAAAAGGAGAAGTTGTATCCGATACCAGCCACAAGGGAAAGTCATCTCTAAATTCAATCCGAACAAAATAGAGATGAAGACAGACGACACAGTACGACGTAATAGAGGGTATTGATGCAAATGGAAGAACAACGATAGCCACGCGTTGGTATTCATATGAAATAATGAAGCATGATGACAGACTATTGATCCGGCAAAAGTCCGGACTCGGATTTCTATTTTCTTGTCTTCGTTTGTGCCATATCAAGGTCTTCAAATAATAATGCTTGTTGGAAAGATTGGTTCAGGTATGGTTCAAAGAGGGGCCAAGGTGTGGAATTCCAGAAAGCTCCGATATATCTGAAATGTCAGATCATTTAGACGACTGGGGGAAGGCAAAATTGTTTGGTTATTTGGTCTTAAAGGAAACCCCTGTGCCACAATATCATTCTCCGGGTCGAAAAGCTCTGGATAAGTGCCAAAAAATGAAGGGTCGAGTTTGTAGTGTGAAACCCCGTGGTTCATATTCAGCAGCTTGAAAACTGCTTGGGCACAATCAGCAACCAAAAACAAACTTGACACGTCGGGAGCCGGAAGTATTGTAGCAGGATCGATGTCTTTATTTTCCGTGCCGGCGGCGCTTATAGCAACATCGGTAACCCGGACGTAGACTCTGGTTGCGGAGGCATCCAAGACCAAATCCGCCATACAGGCTTCAACGACATAACTGCTAACTACATCACAGAAAATTTGATCGATCAGAGGGTTTGCAGAGTGGAGACGAATCAGCCGATCTCTTAGAGCTGGAAAAGGTATCCAGTCAATGATCGCAGGGTGCTGGTTCCGTAACTGCAACATTGTTGGTCGATACTGCTTTTCAACTCTATTTAAGAGCTCTGGGGAAGGATGTAATTGCCAGGTAGTCAAGTCGACGATATGGTAAAATCGTGTTTTTGCATACCATTCCATGGCTGCAGGTCTTGTGAGACTGTTAAAAAGACCCAGTGCTGCAAGGACTTGTCGATAAAGCCTGTTTCAATGTTAGCAACGTGGCACTCTGAAGATATCATCTCGGGCGGAAGTACATTTCGTATTGTTTCACTTGGGGCCCGATCTGCCCTATCTTTGTTCGTAACAAGTGCCGAAGGGTAGATATATGATCCGAAAATGGAGAGTTGGTCTCAACCCAAGCTTTGCCAAGTATGAGACTTGTACTTTGAGATGAAGATAGAGCTCTCATGTACGGCTGCAAGCCCATCTGGTACTCATGACTCCAGATATTCGGGATCTGAGGTAGTAGCAGAAAACTCGAATCGCTTGAAATTGCATCCCAGCCGGCACCGTCACAGGGTGTTTCCAGATGACCGGGATTTTGAAAAAATTGGGCGGGATGAGTGATGGTTGCCAAAGGCTCGACAAAAGGCATCCCAGGATCCTCTGCCGCGCCAACGGAGCAGTACACAGCCGAGGTGTCGAGTTCAGAGTTGAAGATGTGACCTTCAGGTTCATTTCCGCTCGGCTCACTAGAAGACTCAATATCAACAGCCTCATCACTTGATCCCTCGGCGGAACATTTGTCTAATACATTTGATACTGAGCCAGCCATGACTTTTATTGTTTCAGCGAGCGCGGTTAACTTTGACTGAAGCTCAACCAGTTGCTTTCGTAAATGTCGATTTTCTCTCCGCATCTGCTTTAACGCTTCACTTTCCGGCGTTTTGGCATCTTCAACGCATTTCCGGAGTTCCCTCACATACTCGGCATGTCTGCGACGGTAGGCACGCTGTGACAAGCGATTGCGAGTTCTTCTAGACCGGGTGTTTAGAATACATGAACCACTCCTGCCAATGTTCAGACTTACTTTCTCTCTACACCTTCAGGATCCGGCTTCTGGTTCTCTTGATGGTGTCCTATCATTCTCGAGACTTTCCGTTTGGTGTGTGCGACGTTAGCGGGGGACTAGAGAGCTTTTTTTTTTTGGCAATGCTCGTATACGGCAATGGGTTTGCCACATGACAGACTTTCGGGTGTCTGTACTGTAACGCGAAAACGGAGCGGGTGGCTCGCTAAGGCACGGATGTCCTCCGACAAATGGGCTTTAGATGATTTTCTTAACAATTATCCAATTAGTTCCTTTCATACATGCACGTATTATTGCCCCACAATCCAATAGACTAACAGGTTCACAAGGGTAGTCACACAGGCTGTATCGTATTTTACGAACCTTCCCCCCACCACCCAAAAACCAACCGCGTGCTGTACCACTTCCAGTACAAAGTCCCCTCACTTGCCAAGGCTTTTCTGCTACAGTAGCTCTACAGTCAAGCTTCATTAGTATTTTTACTTTGTACTTTGGCATGCCAAGACGCCCACTGTTATTCTGCCGGTCGAATCTCACTTCCCACATAAAGTTCCCTATTATCTCGTGTGTCAACCTTTATCCCTGCGGTATACAGTAAGGCAGTACTAGATAGAGAATAGAACAAAAGGGAGAATGGTAGCTCGTTAGTGCGTAGCGTGTCTTGCTGTTGAAGTAGTAAAGGTATACTAAAGGCAGGCGGTAGATAAATGGCGGTGTTGCTCGGAAGTACCATAGTGCAAATACTAATGAATGGGCACTGTATTTGAAACACCCCTCCTTTGCACCAGCCTTTTAGTGACATGATCAATTTCCTAACTGTGTGATAGCGTACAGAACTATGGATAACAATCAAGGTAACATTGACAGATATGAAATTGAAGCCCACAAACCTAAGGTCCAGTGGATAAGGGCACATCTGAATAATCTTCTTGAAGGAAAAGTTGCAAGGCATCCAAGGCTACCTCGAGCTCGCCTGTGTCACCCCCGAATCCAAGACGTACATAACCAGAGAAGTTAACTCCATCTCCGAAGCATTTCCGCCCCGGCACAAGGAGAACTCCCCTTTTCTGTAGGAGAGCAGTGCACAACTCCAGGTCGTCAACAGGCTTACCGGATCGTGTAAATCTAATGAAACCAATAGGTCCTCCTACAGGCCTCACCCATTCACAGGCTGAACTATTTTTATCAATGAACGACTGTACCAAGTAGAGGTTGCGTTTTGCGAGCGTGTCGTTCCTTTCGATCAAGCCTTGGCCAACAGAAGGGCTCAGAGTGAAAGAGGCAAGATATTCGTCAATCTGGCTGACAGTGATCAGGGCGTAAGACCGTGCATTGACGCAAAGATCGATGACCTTGGAGCTGTGAGAAGCAATCCATCCCACTCGAAGTCCTGCTAACGAGTATGCCTTTGATAAGGAGCTTGTGGCAATCGTATTTTCGTAACCCATTGACAGAATTGAAGGAGGGTATTCCGGATCTGTTGGAGAGATCGAGTGGAAGAGCGGACGGTAAACTTCATCGCTGAAGATTGTTATCGAGTGGTCTCTCGCAACGTCCACGATGGCTTCCAGTGTGGATTTGGTAATGATTGCACCAGTTGGATTTTGTGGATTGCTAAAAATATGAACTCCAAGTTAAAACTTATGTGGGGTAAGGGGAGACATCATGGCGGGCTGGCTCACTTGATGATGATCATTTTCGTATTCGGGCGAATGAGACCTTTGAGTTGTTCCAAATCCAGTTTCCAGCCTTCATCTTTCTTTGTTTCCCACAGACTGACATCTATTCCGAGGGATTTTGGGAGGGAATAGAGCTGCTGATATGTGGGATACTGGACGATAACATGATCGCCCGGACCCAACAAGGCAAATATGACGAGGAAATTTGCCAATGAGGCCCCGGGAGTCGTGATTATATTCTCTATTGACAAATCACTGGATGATCCAGTCAAGTACCCTTTGGAGATTTTGGACCGCAGACGTTCGGACCCTTTCATCGGGCCATAGTCCAATGCCTTTGAGAGAACTTGAGAGAAAGCCTCAGTAGCCGCATCGGAATCTCCGGCCAGTTGTTGCAGATCTCTAATCGATCTAGGAAGACAATAAGAATGTGCGAGATTATGCTTGACAGTGGTTGAGCTGCGAGACAAGATCCACTGTACAAGTCTATTAGTATCAACATCATGTCATTTCGACGGAAGATCTATTCGGATGGTTTTATGAGGACACGAACATGATCCACTTCGAACAATTCGATTTTCACCATCTTGGGCGACAAGAAAGTTCCAGGTAAAGATTTTTGAGTACGGCGAGGAATAAACTGATCTGTCAGGCTATTGACCTTTGCAGTCCTCTTTATAGGAATATGGAGCTTTCCCTCTGGAGGATTATTGGCCAATCAAAGCAGATGAGTCATCGAAAACTTCAAGAAAGCCTTCGCTTCCAAGTTCCCACATGACGCTATCTTTCGTTACGTGATTGGGTAGTTGCTGTAACGCCCCACACGGAGGGGCGTTACGTGAGTCCTCGATTACGTTAAGACCTAGTAACGTTACCCATGGTCGATAATTATCACCCAAATTCAACCAAAATGGAATCTATTCATAATAGTCCCAGTCGGCAAATCCAATCATGGGTATTAATTGCATCCTTCTCTAATACTAAACCATTGGTTGCTGGAAACAGTTGACACAGCTCCGGACTTACGTTCTTAGCACCGATTATATCTCCGATCTCATGAACGTTAACGTCCATCCTCACGGTGCATTAGAGCTTCTAGTCGAGGCAGACGCCTTCACTGGGAAGATTATAAAATACCTCCTGAATCCGCTTAACTTTGACTTCTGCTAGGTAGTATTCTCAGTCCAATCTTTCAACCAACATCTATTCAATCCTCACATCCCATCACTATGGCTTCACTTTTCAGAGGGACCGCGGCTATTTCCAAGCCCGCAAAGCTCCTAAGAGGGGGAACCATCCTTGTCCACGACGACCAGGACCGTATATTACCTCAAAAGGCCGACATTCTAATTGAGGGGGATCGGATCTCCAAGATTGAGGCCTCAATCTCAGCACCTGATGGTTGCCGTATCATCGATTGCTCGGACAAGATCGTATCTCCCGGCTTTGTCGATACGCATCATCACGTATGGCAATCACCGCTAAAGGGACTTTTTGGAGATACCGCTCTCTTCCCATATCTGGCAATAGGTTCGTTATCGTGATGATTAAAGTAATTGTGAATATTAACTTATACCTCCAGTGCACGCGGCCGGGCTGGCACTCACGGTTGACGATATGTTTTGGGCAAATTTAGCTGGAAGCTTGGAGGCTGTTGATGCCGGAACTACCACTACTCTGGACCATGCCCATATGAACTGGTCTAAAGATCATAGTATGCTCAGAAATCTCAGATGGGTCACTCTATTACTGATATTTATCAATTTAGGTGGATCAGCAATTGCAGGCACCCTATCGTCTGGTATTCGCTCGATATTCGGCTACACCCCAGTAGCTACATTGGCAGCCGTCGAACCAAAGGTAAAGTTCTCGCCTGAGCCTTTACCAGACTGGGTGATGCAGACCTTTGAGCAACTTGCCACCTCGCACCCACTGAATGACCCGGGATCCCGACTAAAGTTGGGGCTTGGGTTCGACTTCTACCATCTTCCCAAAGAGGTCGTCCTGGGTGTTTTTGAGAAAGCCAAGTCGCTTGGGACGAAGATCATTACTTCGCACTTCATCCAAAATTTTGTTCGGGGTAACGACAGCTTGCCGGTCCTGCTGAAGTCTTATGGTCTTCTCCAAAAAGGCATGGTTCTTTCGCATGCTGGCGGCGCCAACGCAGACGATGTCAAATTGATGCACGATTCTAATTGCTTTGTCTCGGCCACTCCGAATACGGAACTCGCCATGGCTGTGGGTCCCCCTGTCTGCTTCCGCGTCGACCTCCCCGGCATCGATGCAATTTGCTCTCTAGGGGTCGATTGTCATTCTGCGACAAGCAGCAGCATGGTCAACGAGATGCGTGTTGCCTTGCAGACCGCGAGGGGTATAGAGAGCGAGACTCATATACGAAATGGCCAGTGGCCGAGGGATCTTTCTTACAAGACAGCTGACGTTTTCAACATGGGTACTATTCAGGGTGCCCGTGCATTGTGTATGGAGGAGGAGATTGGTAGCATCAAAGTGGGCAAAAAGGCGGACCTGGTAGTATTCGATACCCTTAGTCCGGCTATGTCGTGCGTCGCCCAGCGAGATCCGGTTATGGCTATTGTTCTCCACTCGAACATTCGCGATGTCGACACTGTGCTGGTGGATGGAGATGTGAGAAAGCAAAATGGCAAGCTCTGTCCGGTGAAGAGATTTGAATGGCATAGAGGAAAGGGATTTGCGGATACGGATCATGTTATACACTGGCAGGAGGTGGCTGACCGCATCATAGCCATAAACAAGAGACTTGTGTCCAAGATGCCAGAGAGCCTTCTCTGGAAGATTGAAGATCATGTCCGGGAACAGTTTGGCCACAAGCCCTGCTCTATTAAGTTGTGATTAACGTGAAAATATGTACCATATATTCGGGTTATCCGTAGTTTATTTCGAACTGTCAGAGGTGGAACCGATCAATCTGAACTAACAATCTTTTACCACCGTATTCCCTTTGACCTAAGCGAATCTCTCCTATAATGTTTTCAGTGGATTTTTTTATATAAATTCAGGGATCATATAGTAGCGGCTACTCTTAATTATGTTGGTAATAATTGAACTCATTCAACGCATCCTTAGGACCCGTCATCCTGTGGTTTTTGTCAAGAAACACAAAGGCGTCGCCGGGAGATGACTTCTATACTAACTTCATTTTTACGTTGTATCTCAACTGGAATAATCATCGGTGTGTCAGTTGACGCAGAAGTGCTTGCTGTTTTGTGTGCTTGAAGTAGAGGTGAGGTGGGGATTTTGAAAGTCGAGCCCTTAGTCAAACCCAAATTTTAGGTCTCAAAAGATGACGGTCTTCTCATTGGAACTTTAACAATTCTTGGGGTGGCCGCTCCTATGCATCAGCAACCAGGGAAGTGCATACTAGTTGGACCAACCTTCTGATTGCTATCTATGCGCTAACGTAGTACTTAGTTTTGATTGGAGTCGCGATGGGTCGTAAGTTATATGAGGTGGGTACACTCGTCGCAAACTAGTCGTCATCTACCGTTTTCCTTCAGTCAGCCAACTTGGTATCGTATGTGGACCCTTGCTCGGCGGAATATTTACCCAACACCCAAGTTGGAGATGGTGTATGCTGTCCTTTGCTTGTCGACCCATAAGGCCTTTTAACTTATTATTTTACTAGGCTTCTATGTGAATCTCCCTATCGGGGCAGTCACTGCCTTCATCATCATCATCATCATTCATATACCGAATCGAAATTCATCTCTCACCGACGAAGCATTCGTCGAGAAGCCAATGCGCAAGATATGGGCCGTCCTCAGAAAGCTAGACCTTGTAGGCTTCATGATATTCGCCGGCTTTGCAGTCCTTATTTCTCTTGCTCTAGAATTCGGAGGATCAACTTATGCCTGGAGAAGTTCTAACACTATTGGCCTGTTTTGTGGTGCGGGAGTTGCATTTATTGTGTTCGTGTTATGGGGGCGTGCCGTCGGCGATGCAATCGCTATGATTCCTGGTTCGATCGCTAGCACCAGAAAGATTTGGTGCTCTTGTTTCTTTATGGGGTGCTTTTCCGGATCTTTGGTAATCTTCTCTTACTATCTACCCATTTATTTCCAGGCCATGAAGAATGCTTCATCCACAATGAGTGGTGTGTACATGTTGCCGGGGATCATTGCACGGGTTCTTACGGCGATCATTTCTGGTGTCGCAGGCATATAACCGCTGCATATACCCTTTTTCTTTCTCTCATGCCTGTGAGAGATTAAATCAAATTTGGTCTGAATGATATGCTCACACTCAGCTCAACAGTCGGAAAGACAGGCCATTACTATCCGTGGGCAGTCCTCAGTGCTCTTCTCACTGCCATTGGTGCAGGCTTGCTATCCACTGTTCACGCTCACACAGCTCTCGTGAGACCGATTATGTACCAATTCATTGCTGGCTTCGGTCGTTGTTGTGGAATGCAAACTGTGAGCAATTTTTAACCTCATTCCTTCTCAACCTATAGTTACCTCGTGCTTGAATGAGATAATTGACATGGCGGAAGAACTAATATCCACACTCAATTTATTAGCCCCTGATTGTTGCCATCCAAAACGCACTCCCCCCTGAACGTGTCGCATTAGGAACTTGCCTCGCGGACTTTGGACAAACATTCGGAGGATCGCTCTTCTTAAATTTTGCCAACCTTGATTTTGATGATGGCCTTAAAAAGGTCTCCACAAGTATGCGCCAAATGTGAACGCAGAGGCAGTGATTTCAGGAGGAGCAACATCGTTCAGAAATGTCGTCAGCAGCCAGGAACTTCCAGGGGTGTTGAGCGCTTACAGCACAGCAACCGGTCAAACCTTCTATTTATCAGTGGGCGCTTCGGCGGCTACATTCTTTTTTACATTTGGGATGGGCTGGCAGAAGATCAAAACAAAAAGAGATGCTCAGGTTGAGAATGAGACCAATGTTGAGTCTGGTACTTGGCATAGCTGGGTCATCTTCAATAATTCATTGTACTCATACTTTCAGATATACCCCTAGGGGGTATTCAGGGCATTCGGGTGAAGGGCCTTGAAGAGAGTTAAGAGAAAGGCGACAAGAGCAATATCTTCATGAGAGTTAAAAAATCCAAAATCAAAACATACAACAGCCATTCTATGGCGATGCTCACCTAGCGCCCATCGTTTGGTCATGGGCGCCTTGCCGCTTTAAGCCCTCGGGCTTCAGGCAGCTTCAGGCGGCCTCAGGGGGCAGTTCACCCACATGAATATTCTTCACCCAGAGGGGTGAAGCCCTTCCCAAAAGGTACTTTTGTACATTTTGATCAAGGGGAAGATTTCGCGATGCGGGAACAGACACTATGTTGCTTGCCTTTATGCAGTCGCCGCTAGTTGCCTTAACCCTTTCCTCTTCCGCTTCTCCCTAACCCCGTGGCTGTGTCCGTCGAGCTTCAACCCGATCGCAGCACGAAAAACGACCTAATGCTGGCTTACACTTATAATGTAGTAAACCTTAGCGACTTCGATAACTCCGAAATTAGATGGGTAGTCCTGCTACGTATAGAGCGTGAGTATAAGCGTATACTAAGACTCTTTGACAAGTTAGTATCTAGTCCTCTATAGAGTTCTATAGATTAACTATCTTCTAGGTTCCTTAAGCTATATCCCGACGCTAAAAATCCTCCTAGCCTCTAAACCTATAGAAGCTTCCTCGTGTAGGCTACTAAAGGGAAAGGAGGCCGAATCGATCCTTTGCCTAGGCTTCCGCAAAACCCAAATTGGGGTCCTAGATCACGAACCAGAACCCAACCCGGACCCAGTGATTGGGGCCCCAGAAAACCCAGTTTAGACCCAATTTGAACCCAGTTTTGCATAACATCTTACTCTTGGCATTCATAATTCTAAAATTTAATACTGTTCTGTACACTTGTTCTGGTTCTGTTTCTGGATACTGCTTGATGTTGTACTCAAAAGTTGGAAATTTTAGGAAACTATATTGAAATGGAAGGGAGGATGTTACGGACTTTGCTTTCATGAAGCTATTCCCAAGAGACAGGAGTATGATGGTGGAACGGTATCCGTGCCTTTCTGCCCACCCAAACTTCTACCCGGTTGGTTTAATTAAAAACGATAGATTCGTAGTCGGACATACGATACAGGTAACGGTAAATCACGGCCGAGCCGTACGCTCACTCCCATTACAAATTTTTTTTTCGGCATATCTCAACCAACACCAATTAATTCAGCAAAATATGGCGATTTTTACATGAATTGGTCCTGTGGCCAATCTCCCTACACCAATTACACCTCGGCGGAGCCCTAATAGCCGGCTGATCTAGCTGAATAGGCAATTCGCCCTGCGCATGCGATACCACCTCATCACTTTTAACTAGCCCATTTAGCTGCTGAGCTAGCTGTAGGCGCTCTTCGACCGATATGCCACCTTTAGAGGGTATCTGCCTAGTTTACCGATTGCGTTTCTGGCGTTTCTTCTCATTTGCTGCGCGTAGATTGGCGTTCTCTTGCGTAAGAAGCGCTGCGTCATGCATCGTTACTGCGCACCCTTTGATAATCTGATCTAGCATGATTTTCGATGGCATCGGAGGGCTATTTGACCGTTTCTTTAGCAGTTCCTTAAGCATCGAAGCTTGCTTTTGTAGTCGAGTCGCGGTTTTAGGCGTTTTTGGTGTGAATTGGCTAGATCTGCTGCTTGGCCGGCTATTCGGGGGGCGACGACGTTCGTAGAGAGATATTAAGCTTTGAAGCACTCGTTCTGCATCGATTGGCACTAGACCAGTAGCTACGAAGCTACGAATAGCTCTGGTTGAAAAGCTTCGAAACGCACGCGTGGGTAATCAGCTAAGAAATCAGGCTTGTCGATATGATTATATCCCACGCACTCAAGGTCGCTTACGAAGCGACCGTACGCACGTTTAAGCACAGCATAACATCTAACATAAAGCGGTTGTAATAGATGCGAAGAATGCGCAGGTATACAGAGCGGTATAATATCGTTTTCTGCGCAGATTCGGTCAAATTGAGGCGTAAGATGGCTACCATGGCCGTCCAGAATTAATAGCCGATATCGACCTCGTACGCGCGAATTCGTTGATGAGATAAATAGATTTTGTATCCTGCGAAGACCAATCTGATCGGTAGTCCATCCGTTATTCGAGAACTCGATTTGCCAGTTCAAACCAACCTGCGATACTAACTTTGCCCTGAAATATCACGCATGGCGGTAGCGAATAGCCATCTACGCAGATTGCTTCGATAGCAGTAACCCATTCGCGATTTTCTGGTTATTGGATAGATCGCCGATCGTAGTAGTCTGCCGCGTAACTACCTTCTGCGCTGAAATAAGGCCCATTGCAAATCCTATCTCATCAAAGTTGTAGATATCCTCCGGTTGAATACCCTTCTCATCAATAACGCATTGTACCGTAGAAGCCCACTGTCGTAGCGATTTTGAGTCTTTGTTTAGGGCGCGCTGGTAGTCGTAACATCTTGAGAAGCGTATGCGAAGCTCATCGCGCCGTTTAATCACCAACGGTAGACGGAGAGGGGGTTCCACGCGTAGCAAGAAGAATATTGGCCATTTCTCGTACGGTAGCTGGCCTAGGCGCTGCACCGCGCGAATCCATAGAGAATATCCATCAACAAGCAAATCCTCTTCGAATTGGGTCAGTTTATGGCCGTTTGGGCGTTTATCAACGCGTGCCTTTATCCCATTTGCGCGACCGGTCAGGCCTGTATGGGGGATTTCGTATAGCTTCGCTGCTGCGTGGATAGATTTGACGCGGCATTTTTAATATCATCAAGGACCAGTAAGATCTTTCCCTCCTGATTAGCCAATTTTTGCCGGGATTCAGAGCGAATTGGTGGCATGGTAGGTGGTTGAAGTGGGTAGGTGCTATACTAACGAAAACAGCGAAACTAGGGAGAGGAAGAAGACAGGAGGAAATTCATGGGTTATGGGGGTTTTGACAAGCCACGACTCTCCTCCATACGCGTTTCTCCCATATTTGTCCCATGTCCCTTTTCCATTCCTCCCAAGTCCCCATCCGTCCTAGATCGCTATATTCGTCACACGCCACACGATTTCCGCTAACCACATATTTACTGCTAATTTTGATCAACCCATTAACTTCACATTCTTCGGAGCCATACACACCACACACTATACGAATTATTTTGAAGCCCTTCTGTGTAAGTGTTAGCACAGGCCTATACTCAATAATCACTCAGCCACTGCTTACTTCTAACTACGTTAGTTAACTAAGTTAACTAAATAAATTTAGATAGCTTGGTTAACTTGCATCACTCGTCTACCCATTAGTCAGCAAATCATATAAACTTTGAGACGGAGCAAAATCCATCGCTGGATGATCCTGAATAGGAAAAGATTGCCTCTCCGATCATTTGAAAATAACGTGGCCGGGCCGTCCGACTCTGCTATCAAAAGATACGGGAGTTCCCTCAGATAGAGAGATAAGGTAGGCCTACTTCGTAGATAGTTTGCTTTAGTCAAAGAGAACTATCATTTAGCTTACTACAGCCTCCTTCTTTGCTGGTCAAAGCAGCGATGCGGCCAGTGAATAAAGCAGGCGAATGATGACATCTGCAGTCGATCGGACTACCCGAAGAGTATTCGGAAGGCACTATCCATACCGCGGGAAACAATAAGGAGATTCACCTATAAGGGTTTCAAGGTGTATCACGTCCGACTAAGATAAGACTTTGGAATCACTTCCGTAAGACAAAGTGTGATCCTTTGTCGAATGTCCTATTTCGCTGATGGAGAGGCTTGGTTTTAATCTCAATTTACAGTACCATGACCGATCCTCGAGCCAATATACTTCTCTGCGGGTGTGGTGCGGTGGGCAGTATGACCTCCATCACACTTGAAAAATCTGGACGTCCCGCCATGACAGCGGTGCTGAGATCAAATTTCTCTAAAGTTGAGAAGGAGGGGTTTTCAATTGACAGTGTGGACCACGGGAAGCTCAGTGGATGGCGTCCATCATACAGTAAGTCTGTTTGTTAACATCGAAGCCAAATTCACTGCATGTGGAGCTTATTATTCTTGACAGTATCTGACTCAGTTCAGGATGCAATAAACAATGGGCCCTTCCAATTCATTGTTATAGCATTGAAAAGCCTCCCGGATATTTATTCAATCCCTCAGATCCTAGCTCCAGCCATAACGCCCTTTGAGTCGACAATTGTCCTCATTCAGAACGGTATTGGAAACGAGCAGCCATTCATCGATGCCTTTCCAAATTCCAGTATATTGTCCGGTGTAAGCAGATCAGCGCCCATCAGCTCAGCAGCGGCGTGATTAAGCATGACGGACCTCATCTTCTCCACCTAGGTCCAATCTACACCGCGGCCATTTCACGAGATAGGCAGGATGAACTTGCGGCTGAGTTCTCCTTGCTCTACAGATCCGGTGGCGCATCTTGTCTCCTGACTGACAATATCATTTGGATGCGTTGGAAGAAGCTTGTGTGGAATGCATCTTTTAACAGTGTTTGCGCTATGACGGGCCTTGATTCTGGTACTATTTTGGACTCTGGGGGCGTAGAGACAATAATTCGCCCGGTGATGGATGAAATTGTCTCCATTGCCAAGGCAAGTGGGAACACTCTACCAGATGGCATCCAGCAGTGGACGATTGACTCCATACCGCGAGAAAGGTATCTTCGTCCGAGTATGTTGGTTGATGTTGACCGCGGCAATCAAATGGAAATCGAGGTTATTGTCGGTAATCCACTGCGGATAGCTCAGGAGTTGGGATGCCAAACCTCATTGTTGCGAATGATTTATGAGCATATGAAATTGGTTCAATGGAGGATTGTTAGAGATAAATTTGGGAAGAGCTTAGTGAATAAGTAAAAGGGACATTTCGGGCTTTGAAATGACCTGTACACTAGAAGTTAGGGCTTGGTTTGAGAATAAGGGGTATTGGCTGTGAGAGGAGATGAATGGTCATTCAGTGAGAGAGTCAGAAAAGAATAATACACGAAGATAAGACATTCAACAATTAATTGAATCCTATGCCAGCCATTTAAGCCAACTTGTGATAGATACCCCATAGACCCGAGGTACCCAGCCAATCCAAAAACAATTCATTCAGTCCTTGTCGCAAAAGTTCATCTCCCATATAGTACTCTCTTTCTTTATCCCAAATAAAGTTTCCCATTGTGGCTTTAAGAGGCCTTCCCAAGCGAATGGCCTCATTCGAGCTTTGAAAGTCCATCCAGTAAACACTCTCCGGCATCCAGACTCGATTTTTGTCCGCAGATGATGCAAGTTTCTCAAATTCCGGTAGAGATTGAACAGTTCTCCAAATCTTGGGTGCGTCGTAGTATGCTGCGCTGCCGTATGCTTTCAATATCCGCTGGTGTTCCTTGGGAGCAATCATCTGCCGCGAGGTTCGCTGGAGGTAGTCGGTTTGCTCAGCTATTAGTTTTTCTAGCGCCACTTCATCTAAGGCTAATTCTGGCTCTTTCTCGACCTTATTGAGATAATGGGTGATCTCATCTCTTAATTTTCGCAACCTGTACTGAGTCCATTCCGGGTAGAGACTGTTCAAATTTGCGTAGGGTCTGACGTTGGTCATGTAACTGGAGTCGTAAACAGTTGGTACACCTGATCGATATGAAGTGATGGTGGATATGCGCTCCTTAACACCCTTGGCTCGAGCAGCTAAGTGTTCGACTTCGCCACCTTGAAGCATCACTGCATGGCCGATCCGAGGCCCTTCCACCTTGGAGCCTGTCAGTTCCATATGCTCAGCGGAATGTAATTTAACTTACCTTCTGAGCTGTCCCATCTCCTTTTTTGATGTATGTTTCTCCTCCAATCATACCCTCTGTTTCACTTAACATCAACACACAGACATAAGGATAGGAATCATAGCTCCAGTCAAGTTAGTCTCGATGGTATCACTGGCAGAGAAAATGGAGTAAGCTTACTGCCACGGAATAATTGTGCTAACATCCTTCAGGGGATCATAAGCCCGTTCCTCTACAGTCAACTCCACCTTCTCAGCTGTTGGTTCAACGTTGAGGTTCTTCGTCATCTCTGAAACGGTAGCTCCTTCAACTTGGATATTGGTATGTCCGATCTCTGTAGGCATGATGACATCCAAAGGTACACCCATTGCCTCGCACACTATCCTCATCGTCTCAGGATGTGTCCAGAAATTCTTGATGAAGTTCGATTGCTTCTCTGCATCACGGAGAACCAAGGTACCTGGAAATGGCGAGCTCGCACATTGGTCAAGTACCTTTTTCTGGAATAAGGCTCTTCTGTAGGCTCTTACGCCTTCACGCGACAGCAGTGGAAATGGCGTTGTTCCTGCAATGGGAGAAGCAGTTGCACTCTGATTCAAGAGCAATTCTTGCATTGTTATTTTCTTTTCCGGTGGCGAGTAATGGAGATGGATCTATTCGGTGTAAGTTTTCTGGCCAAAATTGACTGTTCTTTTTATTCGTGTGAACTCACTCTTGGTTCGAATGTCTCTTCCTTATCCACACTTTTAATAGAGCCCCGGGGCCATACCTTTAGCCAGAGGAAAGGATTCATTTTGACCGCAATATGGTATTTGAATAGAACTAAGTACGGGCTCTTGGAGGTTTCCAAACACGATCCCTTATTGTATCGATGCACAACTCTGGGTATTTCAACCCTGGTAAAGCTCTTTTCGAAACTCTTGCTCCTTATGGATCGAGGAATGGCCTTTCAATTTCATCTATTGCTTGGGAAGGCATTAGATATGACCCAACAGTCGGGTCAGCCGACAACTACGACTGACACCCTGCATGAAACGATATCTTATCGCTTAAAAGCTGCCGGGTGGACTCCATTTCCTTATTAGGCATGTCGGTCCTGACATTAAACACCATTTCGAGCAAAGATTATCATGCCTGTATCCAAACAACCATTACCGAAGATGTCTTAGCTCACAAACGCCCTGTGAATTCTCGGTCCTTGTGTCGGATTCCGCGTCGCCTGTGTTTGGTTTACGATCAAAAACATACTGATCTTCGTATCTGCCGAAATGTACTCCGTAGAGATGACACAGCTTTTCTTATCTCTCTCTTCCGATAGGTCCATAATATAGCTGATAAGTGAATCACAGAGATTTACCAGTTGATGCCACTTAACGAATGACAAAATATAATTCATTCTACTAGAACAATAGGAGACTGGTAATGATCACAGAATTTTAAACAGAAACTCCATCTTTGCAAACTTCAATCTTTCTTTATCTTTATAACAAAATTGTCTAAAATCCACCATGATAGTCAGCGATCCAGTCTCTCATGATGATCCAAAAGCCGGACCACTTCCGGTAGTCGATCCACTCAGTCTGGCCGATGAAGTGCGGGACAAGAATCCCATGGTGGCACTAGTTCAAGTGGATGAGAAATATTGCACTACCAAACTGGAAATCTGGGCCTATTACGCGTGTGTCACCAACAATCCCACAACACAGCCGTGACTAAATTGTGACAATAGTTACTACGCTGGAAACAATGGACTGTCTCTATTCAGTATGCCTACAAGTCGAGTCTCCAGCAATCCTTTCCTCTCTAACGAACAAATAGATTTCGCTCCAGCGGCTTTCCAAAATCTTCTCTACCAAGCTGCCGGAGACAGCAACACTCTATCTTTCGCCGGAACTCCACGATCAATCAACGGCATCGTGCTGCTATGCAATGGAATCTCATTTGCCGTCCAAATCGTGGTTTTCCTAGTCATCGGCAGCTTTGCTGATTTCGGGAACTGGAGGTCTAATATCCTCATCGTGCTCTCTATCGTCGCTTATGCCCTCGGGTTCGCCTGGTTGGGTATCCACACGGGAGACAAATGGCATATAGGTGTTGGGCTATACATAATTGGCCTAATCGCCTATCAGACTACATTGACTTTCTGGACCGCTGCGTTCCCGGGGCTTGCGCGCAACACGCCTGAGATGAAAGGTCATGCTGATGATCTCGCTGCCGGGAAAATTTCTCGTGAAGAGTATGATTTTGCTGATACGATGAAGAGGAGTCAGTTGGCGAATATTGCGTTTTACATCCAATCACTTGCAGAAATTATTATTCTTGCTATTATTGTTGGGCTCATGTTTAAGATTGACGTTAATGCCAGCGAAGCAAATAACAATTGGGGACTGAGTGTGCTGATTGCTTTTGCGAGCGGTGTTTGGCTGCTTGTGTCGTTGCCATGGTTCTTTTTGGAGAAGAGACGGCCTGGTTTGAATCATGGCAAGCGGAATATCATTTTAGCTGGTTTGTCGCAGCTTTCAAATGCTATGAGTCAGGTATCGAAGTTGAAGCAGAGTCTGCTGTACCTTATTGGTGAGAGGGAAATGATCCATCTTATTGCGTGAGCTCCAGACTAAGTTTTTCTCAAGGTTATTTCTTTCTGGGTGATTCCCTGAATACCACAGTCACCGTTATTTCCACTTTGCAGAACAGCATAGTGGCATATAATACCTTACAGTTAACATATCTCCTAATTGTGGGGATTACAGCACAGGTGAGTTTGGTTTCGAAAACATTCTTAGTTCGCTTCTAACCCGTTTCCCCAGGCTGTGGGTATTTATGCGTTCTGGTCAATCCAGAAACGATACAAAATTGGGACAAAAGCCATGTTCAATACTATTGCATTCTGTATTATCCTTCTTGATGGTTGGGGTATGATAGGCATTTGGACTAGCAGATTTGGTTTCCATCATGTTTGGGAAGTTTGGGTTAGTCGACGATCTCCTGCGTTCCTTTGATTATACAGAGGAAGACCATGTATCCAGCCATGGAAGGACTAACTCCCCGCTAGATCTACCAAGCCTTCTATGGTCTCTTTATCTGCCCATGGTACAGTTATTCGCAAATCATGATTTCCGAAGTGACACCTCGTGGCCATGAATTTCTCTTCTTCAGTCTATTCAGCATTGTCGGGAAGACATCATCATTTATTGGACCAATCGTCTCCAGCGCTATCATTGACGCCACCCCTTCCAGAAACCCATCAACACCCTTTTACTTCCTATTTGCATTGAGTCTGTTGAGCTTCGGGATCTTAGTCGTCGGCGTAGATCTGAAGAAGAGCCGAGTGGAGCAGGAGCAGTTCTTAGAAGAGAGAAAGCGAAAATTGGAGGGAAATATTACATTCGCACCGTAGCATGGATGGTTCATAATTCAGTGATCAAGATCAAGAACTTTAGTAGCATCAATCTCTCTACAGGGACCTGCTCAACCCAAGAGAGATGATGGTTGCTCAAAAAGGTGTTCTGATGCGGGTGATTAATGGTGATAGAAATGGTTCTTTGTCGTTATATCCTGAATAAGCGCTTTCGAGTTGTATGTTGCCCAAAGTAAGATTTCTTCCCGTAGTAAACTCATTTCATCGCCCTGGCACTGGTATCCTCTAAACTTAATTATGAGGTCGTGGAGCTAGTAAACGAATTATTTTCAGGAGCATATAGTTAGAATGTAAGTTTAACTGGTTTGTACTTTGCAATACCACTTATTGCATAAAAAACGACATAGTATATCGGCAGTCATGATCCTCCTGTGGTTGTTCTCCAAATAGGATGCTCGCAAGGATAGGTACCTATTAACTAGGGGGAAGAAAGATATCTGGAAGAGAAAACAACAAAATTAGATTGGACAAAGACTAAATATTGAGGGACTCAATCAATGAACCCCTAAGCGTATTTGACAAGGGACTTCACATGGCTTTCCAGACTGTCCAGTTGCAGAAGGGTTTCCTGGGCCTGCGTTGCGGCCTGGCCACTCCCAATACACTGCCATTAAACGGGCTCGTGGAGAAAGGCTCAACTGAGATCTTTGAACCCGACGTTGAGATTGGGGGAAGTCCAGACATCACCCTGTATTTACTGTAATTGAGTCAAGTAGTGTTTGTTCAGATGGTTGTTTGCTCAGTCTACGCTTGATGATCATGATAGAGGTGAAGAACCTTTCCAGTGAGACTAATCTCATGGTCCAAAAGCCCATGCTGTAACTAAACATCAGACAAGGGGATAAATTTGGTTAATTACCCTCATATTCGTGTTTTTCTTAACATTTTCAAATATTCCATTAATGATTTTATCGCAGTATTTAACTGCCTAGTATTTGGCAAACGATGAACGGTACTTGAAGGTTCCTGAGCCACCTTATACTTCTCTGTTATTAATTTCAAATAAAAGTCAGCGAAACACATCTCCAGAGTATTGAATTCCAATAACTCATTCTGCAGTCCTGAGAACAAGGTGCTCGACAACCTGGCCCCAATTCGTATCTCTTTTTATTTAGTCTAGTGACGGCAATTTTTATATCAATTTCTCGCGTCAAAAGTACCCTGCTCGTCGTATTTGTGAACAATCCACAGAGCCTGATCAGAGGTTGAGACCTAATCAACACAGGAACGTCTCGAATCTTTGCATGTCACTTAATGGTTTCGTTTTCAATCTTTTCGTTGGTAATTTGTACCTATACGGATAAAATTCACAAAGTCGCTGTATTTTATGACCATGTGCCATGGCCTTTCGAACACCGCCTTGAGCATGAAGGATTCTAGAGGATTCTATCAGAGACGGTCTCTTTTCTTTCCCTTTCCTTTCCTCAAGATTGTTGTAAACTGCATGTTGGCCTAGTACAATTGAATCAATTCTACTACAGCCCTTCACAGAGTTAAGGAGAGAAGTCGGGGACACGTTTTATTATATATCGAGCATGCTAGGAGGCTTAAATGAAGGTAAGTAAAGTAAACTCTATACCGTCTCGCGGGTTTGGACGGTCAACACCGTCTTAGACTTCGCAGAGGCGTTACAGCGATTCCGAAGCCGCGCACCACGAGGGTAGCGTAACAATAGGAGCGGTAATTAGGCCACGACAGGCCTTGACGAGGCTCTAAGTTCGTTTTCAGAAAGTGGAAAATTCTACATGTACGTACGCGGATGTATATATAGTTGAGGAAGCCTGTATATCGCTTTTCATTGCAAGGGTAAATGATATCAACCAACCAACCAACCTCTGTAATAGCAACGGTGAATCTATTTTCCGTAATCAGCTCCGATCAGGATGAGTTCAGGCCACCCAAAAAAAAGGGACGTAGGACGCGAGCAGGGAGGGGGGTGGGAACGAGGGAAAGTTTAGCCGAGGGGTCAGGGGTGTTCAGGGCGTTCGGGTGAAGGGGCCTGAAGCGGCTGAAGAGTATAACGGCAAGAGTAGTGTCTTCATTTTATGATAGAAGTAAAATCCGAAAAACAAAAACATACAACAGCCAGGATTCGCATGTGGTCACCCACCATACTACTAACTGGCCGGCGTGTGGCTTAAGTACGGCTGAGCGGACGGGAAGCCCTGTTCTCCACACCCTATGGTCGTATGTGGTAGAATGTTCCTTGCTTGTCTTCCTATGGAACCTGACTCTCATTTTTGTAAAAGTGATGATATGTGACTTCCGACTATTTCAGCTTAGGGTGGGCCAAATTTGTGACTCGACACCTTTGAGTAAGCGCGGAAGTTTCCCGGAATTCATGTCGTAATCGCAATATCCGTGCTTAGTGAGTGAATTCTTCTTAGTCAAAATGGAAATAGTATAGGTATCATTAAATGACTAGGTAGGTCTCTCTACCTACCATTTTTCCCCTGCTATATATGGCTTTCTTTTCTGAGATGCCGCCGCTTTTACGAGGGCGCTTAGAGTCAGACTCACTAAGTAAACCTCAGACCAGGCTTAGACCTAGAGACCTGATCAGAGGGTTCACGTGACTACTTAAGGGACGCTTAGTGACCGTAATTAGCTAGCTCACGGATTAGTTACTTAGAGCCCTATCAGAGGTATCTATTAAGCACTTAGTCTGTACTTAGTCTAACCTAAGCAAAGTATAGCGCCCTATAATATTGTTTATTTAGTGAATCCTTCATTTTCTGCTATAACCCCGTGTTATGATGTTAACTGCTTGCAGGGTAGTAAGCCTGTCAACTAGGTAGGAGAAGTAAAGCACTAAGTCGGATTGGAACAGAGACTGTTCTTAGGGGCCCTATCTTCCTTTCCCCAGGCTGATCTTATATACATCCCCTATCAACAGAAGGAGGGGTAACCAGGTAAACGTATCAGCCCGCATAAGAAACACGTCGGTCAGCGGGCAACTCCTGGAAGGGTGGTGGTAGGCCACCGAACTGATGCGTCATAGCCAACCTCCTGGGTAGCCTCAGCCCGAAAGTGTGAATAGCCTCACGGGGGCTAATACCATAACACCCCGTTTCTTGAGGCGCTATATCCTTTTAAGGAAAAAGAAACGATGGAGGTTCCTCCCTCCCTTGGCCTCGATCGTCTGGCTGCAGGACCAGCGATTGTTCCTGCTTGCAGGATGTGCAGGATGCAGAGGGTTTTCTGGCTTCTTCCTTCTGTTTCTCCTAGATTGCTTTGTTCGATGGCCTATATAGGCCATCTCCTGTCTTCATCCTCTTCCTGTCCCTTAGAGGTTTTTCTCTAGATAGAGATTGATGTGTGCTTTCCCTGCTTCCTTCCTGGCTTCCTTTGCGTAGCGGCGATTTTCGCCGTCAAGAAAAGATAGAGAAATTATACCTTAAAAATAAAATGTACCAGAGAAAATACAATCTCTAGTCTCTAGTATTAAATAATAGAAATAATCTATACCTAAGTATTTAAGTATAAAATAGAGGTTATACCCCGTAACTCTAAACCTTTGAGATCCCAGGTCCGCGTCAACCAGGGGAATCATAGACCAATCAGCAAAAGGGCAAGGAAGGCAAGTCCCACTAGGCCAAAAGGTCCACCAAGACTTCTGAATACTCAGAAGTCTTGTACGCGGTTTATATACCATGATCCGCTCCGGGATCTCACCTTTTATACAGTGGCACCGCAAAAGTCTGTGACCCCCGAAGTATCGCGCTAATATTCTGCCGGCAATTAGCGTCTGCACCACTAAAAAACTACTATTACTGGGCTTTATGTCCATTATAAGAAGGCGGTAAAGAAAGGTACTTTCGGGGTCACGGACTTTTGCGGTGCCACTGTATATCCTAACCTGGGCGTGCCGAAAACGGGAGTTTACTGTATGCGCTTGGTAAAGTCGGTTCACCGCCTCCGTTGCTTTTGTGGCTGTGCAGAAATACTCGTCAAATTTGTAAATCCCTTACATCTTCCCAGCCCACTTTCCTAGAACGAACCAAGGCAATACCGCTGATCTGTCATCAATAAAAGGTCGGCCGTTCTATATCTACAAGGAGTACTCGAATCAAAATCGACTACCCTGTGTTTGGAGCTTCATGGCTGGCATGCGTTAAGAGAGATGAGGAATTCGGGTAAGGACATCATTGTTGTGATACAAGGCACTTGCTGCTCAGGAACGAAGACGCCGCATCGGAAATAATTCCTGCTCTATGTATGGGAAGAACCAAGTTGATTCCCCATAAACTTGGACTTCATGTTGTAAATATACCCTCATGTATTCCCTCGAGAAGAATAAGCAAGCTTCCTGTTGCATTGCAACAGGAAGACCCGGGGAATGTGGGTACCGTCCTAAGACTACATATATCCGAGCCGCGCTTCAGTGGCATCAGAATATCTGTAACGAGCCTTGGCGATCAGATATAGGGGTAGCACCCCGGAATATGTGCAATCGCTTAGCTGTCGCAGGATGCAGTTGTTACACGGAGGGCCTTGTTCATCGCATTTGACGCGCCGCCTCCGGCAATGGTCACAGCCATAGGGGGACTTAGAGTGAGTTCTGCCAGGCATTTTTCTGAATAGCAGAAAGGCACATTAACGCACAAGGTTCCCTTGGAGCGCAAAATAAGTAAGACTTGCTAGTTGTGGATTCGAGGAAGTTCCATAGCCCCGGCGGTGACTAGCTAAGTCATAATCTCGGCAGTAAAGCATCCGTCCATGAGCACGCTCTGAGAAAGTCTATTTTCGGTCAACCGCTGTCTGCATTGGGAACGTGTGACGAATTCCTACTTGACGTCATTAAATTCAATCGAAATCAGTAAACCGGAAAAACTCAACTCGTGCTCAAACGGCAATGTAGCCCAACCAGCAAGGAGACCGGATTGGACTTTTACGCCATGCGATTGCGAAAATTGTGAAGATCAATGCTCAAGTTTGAACTAGTCGTCACAGTGCATTTCTTTCACATGACACATTGACATGCCGAAGACTGAATTTCGCATCAACATCTGCGCTCAGCGCTTAGCAGACGCTCTCCCTGTCGGCGTGGCAATCGTCAATCACTGCGACCAGATTGTCTTCAAGAACCGGCAATTTTATGAATTTACAGGGAGCCATCAACCAGCAGGACTGGATACCGTTTTGCAGTCGGTCCACGCCTGCGATTATGAGCAGATAGCCGAGGCGTACCGGGTCGCGGTGCATATGACGGCAGGGATTCGCAGGGAATACCGGACAACAGGTGATGCGAAGGAATGGCGGGCGCTGTCGCTGACACCTTTGGACGAGGATGATCTGAAGCAGTTTGGGTTAAGCGGTACTGGCGGTATGATTTGCATGATCAGCGACATTACGCCGGAGAAGGCCGCAGAGTTGTTGCAGAAAAAGATTGCGGATGATGCGGAAGAGCGAAAGCAGCAACACGAGCGGTTTATTGATATGATTAGCCATGAGGTGCGGAATCCGCTATCTGCGATCTTGCATTGTGCGGAGGATATCATGGATGTTTTGCAGGATCAAGCGCCAGACGACGCGGAGGAGCAGATGGCGAGGGTTGCGGAGGCCGCGGAGACGATCAACCTCTGCGTTGCACACCAGAAGAAGATCATTGACGATGTACTGATATACTCAAAGCTGGATGCCGCGATGCTGGCGCTGGCGCCGCAAGAATTCCAGCCGAAGTCGCATCTGGCAACTTTACTGACCATGTTTCGACCCGAATTGCGCAAGCAGGGGGTTGAATTCCAATACGTGCTTGACCAGTCATACGCCGATTGCAATCTCAACTGGGTCGTCGCAGACCTCAATAAGATAGGCCAGGTATTGGTCAACCTCGTCTCCAACGCCATCAAGTTCACGGCCGAGTCACAAAACGAAAGGAAGATCCGGGTCTCCATGGGAGCCGCCACGTTGAGGCCAACATCATACCCACCTAACGTCGTATTCTTCGAGCCGAGCGAAACAGCTCTGAAGCTTGACGCCACTGGAGACCCTGAATGGGGTCATGGTCAGGTTGCGTATATCATGGTCGCCGTGAAAGACACCGGTATTGGAATCAGTGATCAGCATCAGAAGCTGCTTTTTGCGCGCTTCAAGCAAGCAACCCCTCGCACGGACAGGATATATGGTGGCTACGGGCTGGGCCTCAATATCAGCCGGAGACTTTGCCACATGCATGGAGGGGAGATCGGCGTGAGCTCCAGGGATGGTGAGGGAAGCACATTTGGCTTCTTCTTCGCCGTCCGACGATGCCCCGACTCAGTTGACAACAGGGAAGCGGACAGAAAGTCTCCAGTTGACCAACTGTGCCGCCAGATCCAAGAGCTCGATAGTAAAACCTTTGATGTTAAAAAGGATGCCCTAATGATCGACCTTTCTCAGGATCCACCAATAAAGCACACCACTGAGGCCGCAGTTACAATAGAGAGCGATGAACGGAAAAAGCATTCGTTAGAGCTAGCAGAAGCTGCTGCACGAGGCGATCATCCAATAATCGACCAGAGGCAGCGGTCCAATGTTGATGGGTTCTCTCCCAAGCAGGAGCCCAAGGCAGTAACGGTCATGTCCAAGTTGAAGGAAGAACAACGCATCCTATTTGTCGAGGACAATATTATCAATCAGCGAGTTCTTTCGCGCAAGCTGAAGATAGCAGGGTATGAAGTTATTACAGCCAATAACGGGAGGGAGGCTCTCGACGCGTGGAAGCGCGATTCATTTGACTGTATTCTTATGGATCAGGAAATGCCCGTCATGGACGGAAATTCAGCGGCGCGAGAGATCAGAGCATTGGAACAGGACAATGGAACGCATACGCCCATATTGGGAGTTACTGCTAATGTGCGACAAGATCAACAAGCAGACATGCTCAACGCGGGCATGGACGCGATTTTACATAAGCCCTACAAGATGCAGGATCTGTGTGACAAGATCCGGGATTTGATTGCTACAACTCTGAAATAAAAGACTCCTTTATTCCGTCTGTATCTAAACCCCAATTGATTAACCCTTGTCGTTGAGGATCGCTTAAACTTCCTTTAAAAATAGAGGCAGCAGGAAAATCAGTCTCCAAATAGCTAGATAAGAGGAAAGGTGAGAAAGTCTCAGACAGGAAGAAGAGCAGTTTGAAATAAAGCCGTAATGGACATCTAAAAGAAAGAAGCTCAATGCCTGCACGTTTTGGGGTTGCAAACGTATGCTGTGAAACTAGCTCGAAAAGTCATACACTTCAAGGCCACGTATTACTATGAAGTAAAGCAGATCGTTCAATGAATTTCCATTAGCTATCATTTCATCGTTCGTATTTTCGCGTATCTATAGATACGAAAATGGTAAGAAATTGTAATTGGATTAGTTTATGACGGGAAGGATACGTGTAAAACACGTACGGCTACTACTTCAATCTTACAGGAAATGTGGCTTCGCCTATTTTTTGTGGCTGTGCTGCGATACATGTTACGATGTCAACCACGTGTAGGGTAGTAAGCCTGTTAACTAGGTAGGAGAAGTAAAGCACTAAGTCGGATTGGAACAGAGACTGTTTCTTTGGGAGCTCTATCTTCGTCTCCCCGGCTCTTAGACGTATCAGCCCGTATAAGCAATATGTCGGTCAGCGGCCAACTCTCCTCCGGCGAAACAGCGATAGAAAGGTAGGGGTAGATCACCGAACTGGTGCGTTATAGCCAACTTCCTAGGTGGCCTCAGGCCGAAAGTGTGAATAGCCTCACAGGTGAAGACTCCGCACAACGCTTTTGCGGTCCGCAACCTGCTGGCGGCCATTGAAGCTGACCTGCATCTATACATCCCGAAAGCTTTTGTATCCGATCTTTATCACACTTGACAGCCCGGTACGAAACAAATTCAACCACAGCCCCTGTCGCCAAAATTGAAAATACACCATATAATCGAGAGAAAACCGCGAATAGTCCAAACCCCTGTTCCCCTCCATCACTCGCTACTCAGATATCCCAGACATGTTCGCTAAATGTTTTCAAGCGTACATGCTGATCGGAGTCAAGGAGAATCTAACGCCTATCTGCTATAATGTAAGAATACGTATGAGGCATACGGACTTGGCACTTGCACTTGGATTGAAATATAAACTAAGTATTTAGCTATATTTTTTACTATTATTAAATACTATTATAGTATCTATATAAATATTAATAATAAATTAGATCTATCTTTAAGTAAAATAAGTAAAACTATCTTATATTTAGTTTTATAAGTTAAAGTTTTGTATTAAGTTTATTACTAATATATTTTTAATTTTAGACTATTCTAGTTAGTGTACTTTATGCAGGTAAGATGGACTGAATGACGTTTGTCATTGATCTGACTAAATGGCCCCGGATCGACGGGGATAATCAGCTCGACCTTCAGCCTCGTGCGAGCTCATCCATCAACAAACGTCTGCCAACAAAACCATTCTACCTTCCTGTAATCTCTTCGCCATGGCCTGTCTAATTACCCTCAATTTGCACCACTCTGTCCCCGACCTCGAGAAACCGTCACACCCCTCACACAGGTCATGGAAGAAGAGCCTACAGATATTGCGAGATATTCGTAATGAGGAGTGCTACTACAAATGGGAAATTTCTCAAATCTACTTCTGCGTCGACGAAGAGCACCCCAACCAAGTCGTATTCATGTACCGTGAGTGTTAAATCCACCAAGTTCTCAAATACCAAACTCTGACCAGCCTGCAACAGCCCGCCTCGACAAGAAAGATTTCAAAACTCTTCAAGCCAGCCTGGCCTCTACAGATACAGACACGAGCTTGCTCCTCAGAGACGCGCTCACGCCTCTCCTAAAAGAGCCACTCTCCACAACATCAGCAATCCAGCTCAGCGCAGCCCTCCGCCTCGCATATCCACAAGGTCCCAAATGCCTCGAGTTTCTGACAGCACGCTACCCGGAGAATGAAACACAGCGTCTCGATATTACTCTAGGGTTCATCCTCACACAGTATCTGACGGATTTTGCGCCATGCACATTCGTAAATCCCCCGTTACCGCCGGATACGAACCCAGTCATGTCGTTCTCAAACGCGTCTGCAGACGATGGCAGGACACAATTCTGGTGCATTGAATGGAGGAGTCTTCAGGACCGCCATGCTCTCTTCCAAAGTTCAGGGATGAGAACCGTACTCAAGAGCAGCTTTCCGAAGGACCGGGTTCCGATCCCGGAAGAACTGGGTAAGTCAGATGGGGATCTTACGGGGGAAGAGGGTTTCCGGCCTTATTTTCGTTCCACGGGAGCGTCTGAGGTTCGCAGTCGGTTTTTGGGGGCGATAATAGTAACGGACGAGTATCTGGGTTTGAAAGAGGGTCAGAGAGAGGATAAGAGGGGGAAGGCGGGTTGTCAATGTATCGTCTTATAATCCATTTCGTGTTGTTCTACGTGATTCTTGAAGGCAAAGTACTCGGTGTTTGATTATCTAGTATCGCATCTCAACCCGATATCTAAGCAATAAAAGGGGGCGATTGGGCTCGCCCGCTGTCCCACCACCATTTGTCCATGTACATCGCCATCCCAAAGAAGGTATAGGTGTCGGCATTGCCCACAGCATCGTCTGCAGTCGTGATTTTGTTAACGCAACCCTTCCATCCATAAGTAGTATCTTCTGTTGTTATCGGGTTAGCCGATTCATAGTTAACGGGAGCAAATCATGACTTACGCGATCTGAAGAGCTGATGGGTCATTTCGTGGAGCAAGACTGAGCTGGGGGTCCGATAGTCGTCCAATAGATCCTTTTTCTTGACATTCTTAGCAGACGAAGCCAAGCTTTCCTTCATCTTCCACACTATTGGACAGAAATAGATCATGATTCGCTCTTGTTGCGTTTGGGCCTGGATAGGTTCGTACTCCTTTCCATTCACCTCGCGGGTTCCGCCTTGACAGGGTCCGTCTGGATGCCAACCGTTCTGGAAAGTCATGTATTGCTGCTCGATCGTTTTGCCCCCTGTATTATACCAGGCATAGTCGAACTCCTTATCGCCTTTGAGTACTAGACGATCATCAGCGAAAAAGCTCAATCGGATGGCCAGAAAACTTACTGTCGACCTCCTTGACTGGTGTGCCTTTCTTATACTGCACATACTGGAAATGCAGGTCGGTCGGCAGTTTCTCGACTCTTTGGGCCCAACTGTCGTCGCAGGCAAACCGAAATTTACCACCATCACTAGCATTGGGGTCATCGATGTACTCTTGAATTTTGCCATAATTTTCTGGAAGCCATACAAATCGGGTCAGTGTATTTCAAATACAGACGGAATGGGGTTTCGCACTCTTGATTGCGTCCAGTGTTTTGATGGAGTTTTTATCTTCCACGGTCAATTTGAGCTTGGTGTATTTGATTTTCCAAAGCTTCTCGGCCATCATTGCAATACGCAGACGCTCCTTTCGTCCCTTGAGAGCCGAGCCCTCTGGCGCGGTGAGGAGGGTGTTGATTGCGTCCGTCGCAGCCTTGACCATGGCCTCGACCTCGGAACTCATAAGATTCACAACGGACAGATGAGCATCACAGTCGCCGCCATTGTTATCTCTGGCTAGCTGGACATCGAAAACTTGATCAGTTGTGGTGCCATGAGCGGGGTGGATGAGCCAGCCCAGCAACACGCTGCCCAGGAAAAGCAGGAATTGCCATTGAGAAGAGATCAGCATCTTGCGCTGGGGTCAAGGGCTTGACAGCTGTAAACTCGCAGGAGATGGGAAGAAGTGTGAAGACTGCCTTTTACATCGACGAGAAGCCGGCTCTATAAAAGAGATTCTTCATGCGCTATTCGGGCACATCAAAGTAATCCAGTTCTGCCCCTGCAGCTCGCCCCCATGATCTATTCTTGTCGCCTACAACAGTAGCTGCCATCATGGTGGTACCTACACCTGTGGAGAGCCGTTTACGCCAGCAATGGTACATACAGAGTAGTATGAGGCGCTAGCGTTGGATATAAAAATGGGGGTCGAGCATCGGCTCCATAACAAAAGTGCCAGCGGCTGATTGCGCATAGCCCCCATACAGCATCAGAGATGCCTTATTCGGTAAGATCCGCGAAGCTCGCCCCCATAATCCACTTTCATCGCCAACAACACTTCTAGCTATTATATAGCGGTACCTACATCTGCGGAGCAATATTTACCCTAGCACGAGTATATACAGAGTAGTATAAGGCGCTAGCGTTGGATATAAAAATGGGGGTCGAACATCGGCTCCATAACAAAAGTACTGGCGACAGAGATGCAGGTCCACATCGTTAGTGCGCATGGCCGCAGACAGCATCACAGATGCCTCATGTGGTAGGATCCGCGATAGAAATCTTGGAACGGCTCCCGACAACCTTGGAAAGCAGATATACAAGATCTCAGGTCTAAATCGAATCTGCTCTGGCCCCTTCGCCTGCCGCTTATGGCCCCGTTGGATACTGGATTAGACCTCTAGGCCAGACATGGAGTAATACGGAGATGGCTGAGAGGAATCATTATAAGGTGAAGTGATATAAACTCCACTGGGACCGTTCCAAATGTTTCTTGCAGCCCAGCATTTACATATCTATTCTGTCGTTGTCTGAGGACACCATGCCGCATTTATGTCTCCACACTATTGGTCTGCTTGCAGCGGCCATTTGGCCTGCTTTTGCCTTGCCCGCCACCTCCCTCCCTGATGGCGCCGTCGACCCATCCAGGCTTCAAGTCCGCGCCGGACAGAACCAGCCTGTTCGCATGCAGGGATACAACGTCAATTTCCAGCAAAGCTCGCGGAAAATCTTGGTGAAATCGTTTGACCACAAGGCCACGCCTACGTTGACTACCACCTTGACTCTTTCCGGTCACCCAACGGCCTTCACTATCGAGCCCTCGGACACTGCTATCGTTGCGGCAACCTTCACCGGACCTGGTTCGGAGATATTTGCCTGCTATCCAAGCGTGACGACCCAGCAAGGTGCCAAGTATACGGACTGTTTCGACGACACGATCACCTTCTTCGGTGGTGGAGGTGCCCACACGGCCTCGACCAGGTCTGACTCGACCGACCATACACAATCGACCACTTCGAAGGGTACCGATACTGCGGCGCACACCTCGCACACCTCGCCGAACCGTCATTCCACGTCTACCACGCATACTTCTGGTGGCGATGTGCTGTCCTTTGGTTCTATCACTGCCACTGCGAATCCAGCCGGGTTTAACATTGGTACCGCTACCTTGACTCCAGGTGGACATGTCACTGTTGGTACAGATACGGTGTCGCTGGGCCAAGGTGGTACGGTGTTTGTTGATGGAAGCCCCGTTTCTCATCATACAACAACAAAACCGAATCCTGGTTCAACCTCATCTTCTACCTCCAGTGGGCAATGGATCACCCTTTCGGATGCTTCCATCACCGGCTTGTATGGAATCCAGACCCTGCCAGGCTTGGAAAGTGTGACAGCTCCCACGACCATTAACACCGAGTACGTCATTTCTGGCACTCATACCACAACGGGACCTGTCTATGTTGCATCTGGCGGCATTGTACTAGAGCATTGGCCTCCATCGGGCAATGGCCCAGAGATTGGATCTGGCATTCACCTTTCGAATCCTATCCGACCGAATATCGAAAAGCCTAGCCTGAAATGCCCCAGTCTCCTGAAGTGGCTATGCGGTTCTCATAGTACTTCCCCCAGCGATGGTGGAAGTGAGGTGGACCCAGATGATAAACCGGACACGAACCCGAAGGACGACCCAAATAATGACAACCACACGACTAAGAAGCAGACCACAACTAGTGATCAAACTTCGACAACAAGCCATTCATCAACCTCATCAACCACATCAACCACATCTTGTGCGACCTCTACGACCGCGAGAGACTGCCAGGTCAAGTGCAGCACGGCAATCGCCTCGGGTGCATCCACAGCTACGACCGATTGCTTTACGATAATGTGCACCACTGTAACAGGATGCTCAGCTAAGCCAACTGCATCGACTACAATTATATCCAGCAGCAGCACATGTACGGGTTGCCCAAACGTAGCTATGGGGCAAAATTGGATATTCCCAGTCCTCACAGTCGACACAGCTGGGCTTGAGAAGATGGCCGCTTCGATCGAAGCGGAGGACAGCTCGATCTTTGCTTATTATGCCACGGCCTCGACTCCTGGAGCAACGGCAACCACCGCGCCTGTGCCGGCTTCTACATCGACCGAATCCACTGCGACATCCACGAGATCAAGCACAACCCGTGACTCATCCACGTCATCAACAACTCATTCCTCGTCGTTGACATCTGATTCCACATCGTCCACGTCTCATTCTACGACGTCGAAACATTCATCCACGTCGTCGAAAACCTCAGCCTCGTCAACATCCACATCGCCCTCCAAATCTGGAGCAATTCAAATCTACAACCAGCCCTGCCCCACCCCGGAAACGTACTTCATTTATGAAGTCGACCCTAAGAACTCCGAGGCACAAGTCGGGAGTCCATGCGACAAGCATCCATTCACGCAGCAAGTCACCTGGCAAGGCGAGGATAGCACGATTGATATTGGCCCCTTTACAGCTGGAGGTTACAAGAACTGTAACTTCAAGGCTACTGGCTGGCAGGCTGGGGCTCTTACCTGCGACGATTTCTCGCAGGTGAAATGCAAGTCGTCAACAGAAGCCATTCAGATCGACAGTTGCGCGAAAAATTGTCCGATTGGAGCGACTCTGGACTGGATCTGTACGTGGGGGAATAGTTGAGATCAGATGAAGCAGTGTTTGTGCGGAAGATGATATAGTATCATTGTGTCTTGTGTTATTGCAGATATATATATACGTTACAAGTAAACTCCCGTTTTCGGCACAGCCCTCCGTGCAACAGAATCTTGGTGTGCCGAATGAAAGTGTGCCTGTTGTAAATTGCGCTAATCCGAAATAAGTAAAGACTAGTCTGTTTTTGGTCCAAAGTAGTCATCCACTCTCCTCTCCTTCTTCCCATCTATCTACAGCCAAGAAAAAAGATGACCTATCCTTTCTAGATCCCGTAGATCTCTCTCAGTAATACCCTCTTGGTGCTGAGCAAATTGAAGAGCTTTATCCATATATTCAATGGTCTCAACACGCGATAGGATATCTGGTGGTGGTCCGAATATATATATTCGTCCTTGTTATCATCGCAATCCTACGTATCACTACCAACAGCGTTTTCTTCAGAAAGATCAATAATAATCTCAGATAAATCAGGTTCTTCGACGTCAAAAGCCTCACCTGGAGGGTCTAGGAATTCTTCTAATTCTATAACCTCTGTACCAGGAAGCCGGTCGGTTACCTGTGTGTATAAATCACCTAATTAAAGGTTTTAAGATTAAGATATATCCATCTCATTAGTGCTAGGACAAATAATTATGCTCTTAATAAAGCCTTCTAAATAGTCTCATCTAGAACGTCACGTCTCCAGGCCTAGGTAATCCAATGTAGTATGTACTAGAGGCTCATTCTCTGCGTAGGGTCGATGCCCCGATCTATTATATTAATCATCTATATCATCCATTTCTTCCGATAATAGTGCTAAGGGTTTCGGATAATACCGTAGTCTAATAGCTAGTAGATCGAGGTCAAGTTTAATAGCAAAAAAACGACTTAGATATTAGACGGTGGCGGCGCATTATCAAGCGCAGAGAGATAAGCACTTAAGTTATCGAGTAATAGAACAACTCGTCTTTATATGCCAATATACCTATAGAACGAGCGAAGCCATTCTTGCATAAGATTGCCGCGCATCTATGCGTTCTTATTCTATCGTCAGACGCATCCAATTGATAAGATATTAAGTTTTCGTAGAGCGCGAGGCGTCTTTGCAGTGCCTATCAACCAGACAGGCATTCGATCTGAACCAGTAGTATTTGTCGTTACTACGAGAGTAATCCTAGTCTTATCCTTTTTACATCCAGGACTACCCTTGCTTAACAGACCACCATTAGGCATTCGACGCCAAAAAGACCTGTTTCATCCATATTATAGATATCGTTTGGCTGATACTAGTCGCAGATAGCCCGAATAGCTTCCATCTCGGTATATATCGAGGTCGGGACCGATACAGATTCGTCGTAGAAGGTATGATATCGGATCGAATAGCGCTGTTTAAATCGGGAAAGCCACCCTTCCGAGAATAAAGGCGGGTCGAGGTCTTTATACTAAGGTATTTTCTTCCAGAATTCGACGGCTTTCCTCTAAATCAATAGACCTTTTATAGGAAAGCCAGCATTCTCGTGACGCTGCTGCCAGATATATAGTGCCTCATCCAATAGTGGCCACCGAGATGCTAACGGGCGTTTGTTCTGGCCAGCAAAACCAGTATCAAGGTGCTCGTATTTAGATGAAAGGATCTTCGAGACGGATGCACGATTGATATGACGATTGAATTGAGATGAAAACCACTCAGCGCATGATCTCTGAGTAGGTTTAGGGTGTGTCTCAGATGCATAGATACGTAGTGCTTTTTTCTGAGCGTCGGATATGCCTTTGTTGGGCTGTTTTGGTATAGCCAGCTTGGCTGACAGAAGATGCAGTGGAAGTGGTCAAATATTGCATTCTGATTGGTTGATAGACATGACTAAGCAATATTGAAGAGAATTTTATGTGCCAGACAAAAGTGGGTCCATCCAACAGATTTTGGTGCCTAATGAAAATGTGTGCCTAACCTGGGCGTGCTGAAAACGGGAGTTTACTGTATGACCTGTTGAGGAAGCTTAGTTCAATTGGACTGGAGCCTCTTCTAGACATTTTATTTGGTAGTGGACATTCTGATAAATGATATTTTGTGGCTAGAAGCAGCGTCATGGCTTTTTCTTTAAGAGAGGCAAAGAAGATCGGGGACATGCCAAGAAGCTTTTCCCGACAATCGCAAGGCAACTTGCGATCAGTATTCCCCAGATAATGCTAGCCCCGGAGAAAATAATCCGTGATGACCCTGATATTACAACAAAGGCGATAAGGGAGCAATTTGAAAGACTCCTCTAACCCCGTCAAAGCGCTACGCGATCTGACCTCTCAGTATAGACTAGGGCGATAGTAATTGATATACTGGATAAATACGAAGGAGATAGTGATATTTGACTTATACCTCTAGCTTCTCCCTTAGCTCCAGAAGTCAAGTACAATTCGCCTACGAGCTTTGTTAACCAGTAGGCCTGAATTACCGATTCGTCTAGGATTCTCGAAGATTGCGAACCATAAACATAAGGAACTAGTTCTCCATGAAACCCCTGAAGAGAAAATTAAGCATGATCTATCACTGTTCTCAAAATCCCGAATTTTAGAGCTCCAAAAAGACCGGTAATATCTCCTTTCTAAGAACTAGCCTGGTAATATAAATTTCTATAAGCTAGTAGTATTATTCTTCCCTATTATTTATCTTCGCTACTACTGTCTACCGCATATTTAAGATCTAGTTTAGGATCATATAGAGAGACTTACCGAGATCCTTATACATTAATATAAATAATCTAAGCTAGAATAGATATATCTTCTAGCTCTTAATCGTCTTGTTAGCATATATCTGAGAGTGACACCAAAGTGGTGTGAGTAGTCACCAATCTGCTCTGTTGTTGAGGTCATGTATTGATGTGTCATAGAACACGATGGATCGAAGGCGAAATTGCACCGAAAATCTTGGAGGAGTGAAATTCTCTCGGTGATTCTTCCCCAGAGAAGCGGGTGCATTCAACATTCATCATGCTCTTTGCCCCTGTTAAGTTTCGTTTCGACTATCCCATCAACTGCAGGTGAAACTCAATTCCAGGTAAATGCTCAACGCTATCAGTTATTCTCTAGCAAATTCACTCAGCAATATACGTACAGCTTCAGCCTGCTCTTTCTTCATAAAATTCCATGGAGGACAGAATCTAGGCTCTTAAAACTCGCAAGTGGATAAAGTAAATGTCTTGCCTCTTGTTTGGAGCAGTCCCTTTATAATCCCCTAATTAATTTGTACCGACTGGCACCCAACAATAGCTTCTTAAAGTAATTCAGATAGGATATATCCTTACTTTTCAGAAACTCAAGTGGTGGGGCCCCATCCACCTTGCTGGCGCAACATGCAGATTGGAGGATCGGGGTTAATGTTGGTATGTAGATTTTGTAGAAATTTATTCAAACCGTTAGTCGATCTCTTCAGGCTAGTAAAATGCGGATGATACAGAGCATAAAGGCCTTTGCTAGTCATAACTAAACTCCTTGATTCAGTGGATGACTTATTTTCCCCTCAAGCATTGAATGGTAATTGTATCGTGTTATCTCCAATGCTTAGAAAGACATCGAGTTGACTGTGACTGAAATTGTACTCAAGACTCTCCCCCAGCTTCAGTACCTTTGTCTCCCCAGGCTCAATGGCTTTCAAATCAGTCATAGGTCCCTTGAGCTTTCTGGAACTAGTTTTCCGGGGCATAACGAGCAGACAATTATTCTTTGATCATCGCAGTGACTACCCCCTTTGGCTGTTCCTGCGCAAAATAGCTCAAGGACAAGCGCGGTACCAAAATCATGATGTTAAGGTTTGCAGGACATCGCACAAGGTAGGGTACGCCGTATCTAAGATGGACGGGAATGCTAAAGCCCTTGGAATTGGTATGATAGCTGAGAAAAGAGACTGAAGATGAACGGCTGAGATCAGTTGAATTTCGGTAAGAAGAAATGGAAGAGAACTCCATAAGAAAGCGGTCTGTCAAAGATCGTACTCGACTACCCCCACGTAATATCGTTTTGTCAAAGGTTCGTACATTGTTTAACACCGGCTGAGCTTCACCATTCCGGATAGGCCTTCCCGTTCTCGACTTTTGCTCCTTTCTTTCATGTGTCGTTGCGAACTTGTCAGCTGGTCGCAAGAAGAGGAGTCACATTCCGTCCAGCAACTAGATAGTAGCGCATCACTTTCATTGGGATGTGAACGTCGCCTAGGGGAGGCAATGGATGATCCCAGTGCTTGCTGGATATCAAACTGAAATGCGCTGATGATGTTCTGAAATTGTACAAGTTGATGGCTAGAAAATTGAGTGCGACTAACACTGGGCATTGCCCAATTTGGATAAAGAACACCGTGGGTTCGCCCAGTATAGAAGCGTCCGTGGTGCTCCAAGAACAAATTACACAGGAAGCATATACGGGCTAAAGAGGTAGGGGCCATTCTTCGCCGATCATTCCTAATCGAGTAATACAGATGCAGTGACTAACCAGGCAGTACAGATGCAGCGCTCAAGTGAGTAATAAAGATGTCGTGATGAGCACTTTGCAGCTTAGATATACAAAATATTTCCAGGCGATTGTCGTATGGGATACAAAGGCGGGATATTTAGACCCAGGACATTTGTTTCTATTTTCAGTGAGGTCCCAAATTCAGAGTTACTTCCGCCTCTTGATCAAAAAGTATAAACATGACAGTATTGGAGCTGGACAAGAGTCTTTGTCAAGATTTCATTCGTTTATGGAATGAACATAACAGGTATTGCCAGACATTAGTTCAAAGGCTCAGGGGCAAATAATCATTTCCATATTCGTTAGGTCAATTACATTCAAACAGCTACCAAAATGATTCCAAAACATATTGCGCCAGTCATTGTCGCTGTGAACTACTCCATGCGAACAGAGAATTTCCAGAGCATTGCCACGTTTCTGGAAGAAAGCTGAGGAATACATGGTTGATGACGTACTGAAGCTGCTTTTCCGACTAATTTAGAATCATTAATGACGCCACAAACCCTCTTTATACCAGTATAGATTATTTGTCGTCCTTGGACGTTCGTGAGGCTGCGATAATGTCCCAGTTCTGCCCCAATGAGAGGCTGCTTCTCCGAGGTAGTACCTTTGAAGATGCCAGTGTATCTATTGGACAGAAGGGTGGTTTTCAGAGGTAGGCCGTCCGACCATGGAATGCGATTGCTAAAAGCCACTATTTCAGTCTCGAACGAGGTGTTGGTGAAGCCTGCGCATGGAATTACGCGGTACAGTGACATCACGCCCCGGGCAACCTACGCCTAATACGGTAACTCAGAAGTCGACCCCATCATGGATCTGCAAGAAATCTAAAAGACCACCTAGCGGAGAAAGGCGAGAGACTGGTGAGGCTGGGGAGATGCCGTGCTATCGAGAGATTCGCCCCAATCAAACCCGAATCCGCGGTCTGAATATCGTCAAGGCAGTGCGTCATCGCTGGCCCGCAGTCCATAGTCTTATTATTCCCCGTTACATAAAGTGGCCCTCTGTGTATTTATCGCTCTCACTAATTATTTACCTTCCCGCTTTTACTTCATCTTATCCACAATGGCACAGAACGCTTACTCGCCTATACAGCACGGCGGTGTTTCCAACGGTCAGCCAGGTCAACAGGACCAAGGCCATTATGTCCATCAGCTAGCACTGGGAGTTCCCCAGCCGCAAGACTTTTGTCCGCTAAATGTAAGCACAATCATCATGATGGTGCTGGATTATACAATATTTGATTTTGAGAGCTAGTGCAATAAGCTAACCTCCGAAAGCAGCAACAAGATAGACACTCTCTATCTCAGTTTAGCCAGCAGGGCCATCCTGCGCCATACGGCGAGCAACAACTTCCACAGATCCAGCTTCCTGGTAGCCAAGACTCCAACTACGGTGCACCTCAACATGACTGTGGTAACTCGCCCTGTCCCACGCAACATCAGTACGTGCCAGTAGGGGAGAATGCCTCGTACTACGGCGCTGTACCCACTCATGACCAATGTGGGAACGTTGTTGGCCTTGGCGGTCCGCAAGACGACAAAGGTCTTGGCTCGACAGTCATCGGTGGTGCTGCTGGTGGTTACGCTGGCCACAAGTTGGGAGCAGGATTCCTAGGGAGCGCGGTTGGAGCGGTGCTGGGAGCTGTTGGCATGAACGCGGCAACCCATCAAGTGTGAGTCAATGTTCCATCCAACTTCCATTTTTTCCGTCAGTGGCTGATCAGGTCTTTCTCCCCGTCTATAGCAAGGAAGGCAGAAGGAAGCATAAAAGTCCCAGGTGTCACAAAAAACGACACGGATGTCACACTCGTCGTAGGCGTGCTTCTAGCTCGTCTTCCAGTTCGAGCAATTGAAAAAGGAAAGGATGACTTACTCAATGTTCCCCAGACTATCATTAGTCCGACGCCTTTTGGCTTTTCTGGGTGAAAGGCATGTGGGGCGCAATATGGGGCCTCACTCTGTTAGAGATCAAATGATCTCAGGTGACAGACCTCTCCCCTTTAGATAGATTCTCTTCCTCTCTTTTTTCTTCTCTCTGCTTTTCTCCAGTTTTAGTTTCGTTAGACCAACAACAGATAGCATTGCTTCTCCTTTCTGTTTCTCTATCATATTCGCTTTGTGCTACCTGAATAGAGACAAGGGTGCCTCTTACAAAGACACGCTGTTAGTCAATTATCACTTATCAGACGATTGTAGTTTAAGTATTAAATGATCTCTCACTTTCCATTTCGTAAGACTGCTGTATTTGGGTTGGGGGAGAGGGGGAAGGGGAGTTCGTTCGGAGGTCAGGCTCAAGCCTGCGGCTATTTTCCATGGTTCATATATTGAAAATCGATCTAACTCAACAAATAAATAGGTATAGAGGGAGAATGGAATGGAAATACGTTTTGTGCTCAGGAGTCTGCAGGAAGAGAGCCAACCCTTGTTCTCTCGTGTTGTGAATATTGAGCTTCAAAATGACCAAAAACCGCAAGTAAACTCCCACTTTGAAAATTTTCCGACAATCAAGTCATCTGTCCTCAACTCATAATCTCTTCTCGCTATTTGGGGTATACGGATCAGTCCGAATGAAAGTGCTGCCTTGGTGTCACTCTGTGTTTTGGGAATGGGTGTACTGGTGGGCCTAGCAGATGTACGTGCTAGAATGCTAGGAGGTTGAAATGGAGATGGGAATCTTATACCTTAATCGGAGTCGCTGTAGTGAGCCAGTCCTCCCTTGTGATTGATGTCAATGGGTTGGTGTTTGTGTGAATTAGTTAGAGTTGGGGCCAGAAATGACTCTGTTGTACGACTGTTGTACTTGTTGCGTGTTTTTGCAGGCCATAGACAAGTATTGCGAATCCAGGTGAAGGATAATGGGTTTCATTTCAGAAATAGAATACGACACATAGCCTCAACATGCATCGCTCTCCCGCCCAAGGCAATGGATGAAGGTAAAAATCAAAAATACCTCCTAGATCCTGATATCCCGCATTTTGTGCCACGTACTGTGGCTTGAAATAATTTAGCATCTACGGAGGACCGCAAAATTCCCGTCTTATCTTCCTTACTAACTTAAGCGCTGAACCTATACTGCCTGGTTGGCACTGCATCTGTATTACTCGATTAGGAATGATCGGCGAAGAATGGCCGCCACCTCTTTGGCCCGGTCCTTAACCTCCACAGCCTCATCTTTAGAACCTGTCGAGACATGGAGCGGTAACTTACCATGTAGACAGGGGCTATACTGAGTGACCCACTTTTCCTTATGTTTGTATTGTATTTTGGTATCCTTGGCATTATGGTTGCTGTAACACCGTGTACCTTAGCAGCTATGGGTATTTCAACCTGCCCCATGACATTCGTTCTTTTCTTCAATCAATCAACCTTTGCATCCAAGATTGGTTCCGCTTGGTCCTATCCTCTATCTCCTTCGCCTATAGCGATTACTGGCCTATACTGTCTCAGCTTGCTCCGACAGAATCTTTCCACACTACACCCAGCCGCCTTTACAATTGGCTCGCGCAGTATTCCTAGCCTAGCTAAGCGTGATGATTCCTGGTTTTCGGACCTCCAAATGGCTCGTATTAGCTCTCCAGTCCTCTTAACTGAAGGGCAGTCTTTATTTTGATTTTTTCCTGCCGGCATTGGGAGCTGCGGACTTTTCTAAATCAAGTAACTGTGATACATGCATAGCCTGAACTAAGCTTTGGGGGCCTTGTCTTCAATGCTTGATATCCTTCTAGAGAAATGACGTGATGGGCACTATGAACTGGGGGATCTTCTGGGCGTTTAGGTATAAAAAGGGGCGTTGAGTCAAGAGGAGAAATTCTAATAACAAGCCTTCAGATTTCTCCAATTGCTTTCTAAAATGCTTTTTCTCGGCCGGCAATTGCCTTTCTGGCAATTGGACTTCCAGTTCTTGCCCTTCCCAAAGGTTCATCCTCAGGCAGTCTTCAAAATGCCATCGATGCAGTCCCCGGTGAATCTCCCCTTTTCGTCGATTACCCCGGCAAGAAAACACCCTTGGCCAAAGAGTACCTCAGGGTCATTCCAGCGACAGGGTCAGGCCCCACTGGTAAAGATGATCTCCTTTTCCAAAATCTGCTGGCCGCTGAATGGGCCATCTATTCCTTCTACCAGATAGGAGTAGAATCCTTCACCCCATCGAACTTTACAAGGCTCGGCTGGCCAAAGTCAACCTACGACCGAATGGTCCAAATACGGGACAACGAAGCTGGTCACGTTCGCATCTTCCAAGAACAAATCTCCAATAACTCCATCAAGCCGGGTCCCTGCAAATATGAATACGGCTTTGGCGGTAACCCCAAAAGCTGGCTCGTGCTTCAAACCTATCTAGAGGTTGCTAGCATGGCCTTCCTCACTGGACTTTCTAATCAAGCCGATCTGAACGTTTCCAAGTCCGCACTGATGGCGATTGGTCAAGTCGAATCGCGCCACAACGCCTGGTCCTTGATTGATGTCTGGAACACAAGTCCCTTCTCCGGACCCTCGGACACAATCTATCCATACGCGAACCAGATCCTCGATCTCACAAATAACTTCATTGTATCGGACAGCTGCCCCAGTGAGAACCCGGTCTACCCCAGTCCTCGCCAGAACCTGCCCCAGATTGAATTCTACAGCAATGGGACTACCGCCAGGCCCGGCTCCGACCTCCAATTTGCCTACAAGGACCCGAAGAACGTGCCCACATTCAATGATGATAAGGAGTACTGGGCCGTTTTCTACCACGGTGTGCAGAAGGAAAGCGTGAGGTACAACCCGAAGGAAAATCGCGTCAGGATCCCTCCTTTTGACCTGGATTCTGGTATCATCATTGTCAACATCGCTGAGGAGAAGGGTGCACCAACTGAGGATAGTGTGGTTGCTGGGCCTTTGATTATCCTGGAACAGCCTGGGATTTTGACCAAGGATATTTCCTCTGTTTAAGGTCACTCAGATTTTGCATTTGCAGAGTATCCTACAGAGAGTAAAGGAACAGAACATCACTCTGCGAGAAGTCTACACAAAGTTCCCCTTGGTCTATTGTGGTTTTGAGAGAGCCGTACTGCGTGGTTTGGCGTGATAGCCCTATATCTAGATTATATGCATTAGACCTAGCGTGTCTCGGTTTAGGCTTCCAGAAAAACTTTCTTGTTCACAGTTTGGAAGCCAATTTGAAATTCGCTGTAAGAAATGCAACAAATATCCAGATCAAGAAGAGAAGATGGAAGATTTAGATCCACCTTGTAATCGGGAAGACCGGCCATAGTCATGCGAAATCATTGTGTCTTGTACCGGACGAGGAAATTCTATGGACTTTTCGTTCTCTTAGTGTAAGATTACAAGCGCATTTTACCACGCCCCTCAATTTAACGCAGACCGCTCAATAAAAGATCTCCGCTAAGGTCTTGGCAGTGGGGCCGAGAAAGAGAGTCCCAGTGTGTACTGGTCCAGGCAATTTCGAGAATCACTGTAGCTTTGCTTAATTTACTAAATGAATAGTTGGCAAGCTTTTTTACGCCGGTATATTTACAGTGAATCGGTTCCTTTCAGGATAGTAGATTGAAACACAATTTGCCGGGGAGATCGCGAGTCAGGTTTTTAACCAGATTTAGCCCCTGTCTATAGGATCCATACAGATAGTGTCCATAAGGACTGGAAAGGCCCCTAGAGTAGCCGGAGCGAGCTGTTTAAGGCATATAGGATTATCTTCGTTTTCCTGTTCATTCTGATGTTCACGGGTGAAGCCACGTGACGGAACACGTGTAATTCTTTCATCAAGTTTCTTTTGGACGTCCTTCAGGAGCATCTTCTTCGAATAGCTGGGCGTTAAGGAAAAAGAACAGCAAATCGTACATGCGCCCTAGGGCTCATATTTATGGCCTGGAGTCAAGTGAAAAAGGGAAAGTGGGTGACCTGGGTGATCCGGGTGAAAATCCTCGCCCTGTTCTCACCCGCTCTCATCCCGTTCTCACCCATATCACCCACACTCACCCAAAGACCAAATCCGATGCCATTCTAGAGCTCAGGGCGCATTGAGAATTGACCGCGTACTATAATGGGCTTAAGTACGGCTGAACGGACGGGAAGCCCTGTTCTCCACACCCTATGGTCGTATGTGGTAGAACGTTCCTTGCTTGTCTTCCTATGGAACCTGACTCTCATTTTTGTAAAAGTGACGATATATGACTTCCGACTATTTCAGCTTGGGGTGGGCCAAATTTTTGACTCGACACCTTTGCGTAAGCGCGGAAGTTTCGCGGAATACATGTCGTAATCGCAATACCCGTGCTTAGTGAATTCTTCTTAGTCAAAATGGAAATAGCATGGGTATCATCAAATGACTAGGTAGGTGATTCGGGTCCTTGAGGAGTGTCATGCCAGAACCTAGCGGAGAATCGTGTGGCACGTACATTCGTGCGCGCAATAAAGACTTCCCATGAGTTCTTCTTTTACCCTCGGGTATTAATTAATGCGTAGCAAGATCATTCCAGGGTACGTTTGTGGTCTGATTCATTGACAAATGAAGTTAATATTTGAAACACAACAAGAATTTCCGTGAAGGGACCGCTTGATCATGAAGTGATGCTATTCAGGACTAACTGACTAATTTGAATTACGAACCGAAGAATAACAATTGCCTTTCCTAACTACCACCGCGGCGTCCGGTGATTTAAAGAACGAAAAGACCGGAAAGTCCATCGGCAAGGCCTTACCCGGCCTCTACAAAGGTAGCAAGCACTGAGCATACAAGGTACTGTAAGCAGTGCAAACTCCTTGCGCACAAGTTGTGGGTCCAGTCCAGCCATATCCACCACACTGCCCGTAAAGAGGCGCACCTGTCGTAGTGCTGCTTGGGGACGTTGTCGTAGATGTCGGCTTCGTTGTCGTGGCTAAAGTGGTGCTACTAGTGGGAGTACTCCCACCACCGGTATTTCCGCTCATGATCTGCGCGACTTGATTGACAATGGCAACCATTTGAACACCTAAGAGTAATTAGATAGGCTCTATGCATTTCGACTAGAAAATGACTTACCTCCAATTTGGTCAGCATTTGAACCATACCAACCTACCCAGTCCCAGCAACCATTCGGGTTGCTCAATTCAGTACCGCCCCAGATGGTATGCAAGGTGTTGTCAGGGATTGCTTGGGGGTAGAGTATGATGATGTTGTTGGTATCTGAAAAAGGAATGGAAGTTAAATGAGATGTTCTCGTAACTAGAGCAAAGACTGCGCTTACCAGCCCACTTATTATAGCCAGTATTTTGAACGAAGTCCATCTGAACGTTACTGTAGCTTTGCAAACATCCATGCAGAGCAACATGAAGCTTGCAGACAGTAGTTCCACTTTGGCAACTAGCAGGAACATAGAGGTAGCCAGTAGTGTCCATACCAGAAGCGCCATATGCTCCGGTCTGGGCAAAGGAGATCACAGAACCAGAAAGCGTTCCCGTGTTCCTTACGTTCAGCGTGCCATACATCCATTGCAGTACTGCTCCAGCGCCGTCATAGTTGCAATTGCTGATATACGGCGATGTAGACATGCTACACGAATTGTCGCCCGATCCATCAAAATCGGTTGGGAAGGTGTGGACAGCACCACTTGTTGTAACATATGAAACATCAGCAGTGGTATCGAAGTTGCTCAGTTGAGAATTCAGAGCATTCATCACATTTGGCCCCACAGTCGTGTCTGCCGATCCTTCCCAGAGGTATATTTTGCGATTCTTTAAGTTGCTAACCGGAGCAATTTGATTGCCACTCCATGACTTCATATTGGCAATTGGAGTGGTTATAGATGGGTTTTGGTTGTACATGCAAGTAGTGTACTGTTTTTTCCCAAGGGATTAGCCAGGCCATTGGATAAGGGACGCTTCAATAACAGGCGCTCATACCGCTTGGTTGCGGGCGCAATCGAATGGACCACCCGCAAATACACCGAAACCAGTCTGGAAGACATTGGAATATGCCACGCCAAGCTGCGCAGAGAAGAATCCACCGCTGGAGAGACCAGATACTGAGACAGAGCTGGGGTCAATATTGTAGGCCCCTAAAGCAGCAGCAGCAGAAGTAGTTCCTGCCAAGCTAGCCAGCCCAACGAGGGTTCCCCAATAAGTCATCTTCCAATATTTCTCCTAGCTTTTGAATTGTCTGTGAAGTTGTCTTGCTACAACCATCCCATGAGGATTCAGTGAGGTTCTTATATAGAGAACATCTCGGTTATTCTTTATTCGTATTGTGAGGATATAAACACTAACGTGAGCTCGGCGGTTCACTAAGGTCACATTCGAAGTACTAGCTCCGGTAGTTGATGTCGTGAATAACGCAACGCGATTACCCCACGTTTCGGATCCGTTAAGCGAATTTCTACAAGGCTTCCCCAGACAAAGGGTGATTAATTCCGGCTTCGTTGCCATTTGGGTTAGAACGAAGCTTGTGCGTACCCCAGAGTTACATAGTGGCGTGCGGGGTCAGACCTTGCGGAGCAACCCTGTCGAAGCGAGGTGTTAAACCTGGTTCCGAGATCTCGTTCTAATCTTCATCGATCAGCCAAAGCTTAGCTTAATGAAAATATTTCTTTAAATAATCATTTGCAAAAGGGGATAACTTCGGTCTTGTGGGTCACTGTGCAGTTACTGAGAGCAATCCAGGATCAACTTCGGAGTCCTCTTCGACAACTTGAAACAGTAACTGATACAAGTTGAACTAAATTTGTGGCACGCTTATTGGAGTATTAAACTAAGATCTTACAATCACATTTGCTGAGTTTACTCGATTCGGCGCTTTCTTTCCACTCGGGTCAGAACCGACATGGCTGCCAGGCTTGAGTAAGAATCACTAAGGCTGCATGCCAACAAGGTATCTAATTAGTGCGGGAAAGTCATCCATGAGCCAAGTTCTTAACACGTGGCACTCTATGAATTAACAGACCACCATTAATTATGCTTAATTGATGATTTGCTACAATTTCCCCCATAGGGAAGCTATGCGGGTTTGAGATCAGTCACGCAGGACAGCTCATGCTCTGATGAGTCGCCTGTGGGTGGGCTGAAGTACCTTGAGCGGATCGGATCCGACCCGAGGCCGCCATGTTCCAGATTAGTTGCTGGTCTCGCGTAACGCTAACCAGCAAGGATCCTAGGTCAGTTAGCTTAGGCCATGGTGTTGCAGGGTGGACTTTGAGTTCAACGGCCTCCTGCATTCTTACCCACCCCCAGAAATCCTTGGCTACTCAGCGGTTCGGACGTGCCAATCTTAAGACTCAACCTTTATCGAGGGTGAAATGAGCCTGACTTGCAAATCTTCGAGTTTGATCGTGAGTTCAACACAGGTTGCTCGGATCCGGTAACACGGACAACATTGGGCGGTCTGCGTCGTAAGCTTCGCTTTTCTTTATCCTTTTTGTGGATGCCCTGGGGCTAAGAGCACAACAGCCTCACGCCTTTCGAAAAGCAAGGTGTCGCCATGGCGTCTATATAGCTCCCATATACCCATTATCGGACCTTCGCTCAAGTTATTGTCACGCTTTACCTTCTTAATCCTCTGGGTATTAGAATTTACGAACCTGTGCCCAATACACACCATGTCTGCCAAAGGCATAGAGACGGCAACGACTATGAAGGAGTCTGTCGAGGATGACTACGTTCTCTCTCACCGTGAGAAACAAATAATGCGGCGCATCGATTTACGTCTTGTTCTTGGGGCAGCTTTAGGTTACTCAGTCAATCTGATGGATCGAGGCAATGTCGGAATGGCGGCTATCGCAGGGTAAGAACAATCATCACTCGAGCATACATACTCAGGAGTAACCTATGTTTGTAGAATGTTGAAAGATCTGGATTTTGTCGGCTATCGATATGTATGTCTCCTTTCCTTCCAAGATTTTCCACTATGGAGAATGGTGCTAATGAATCATCTCTAGTCCCTGGTGGTTCTAATGTTCTTTGTCACCTACGTGATATTCCAACCACCATCAACGATTTTGATCCGAAAAATTGGTCCTCCTAAATTTTTATCCGCAATCATTCTTTCCTGGGGGTCTTGATGCTTGTGGGTTTCTACCAATAAAGTTGCGACTTCTCCTTGCTGACCATTTTGTCAGGGTATGGGGTTCGCCAAAACTTGGAGTCAGGTTCTGGCCATCCGTATACTCCTGGGAGTTTTTGCGGCCGGGTATTTCCCGGGATGCATGTATTTGCTCTCTTGCTGGTACCTTCGCTGTAAGATTTTACTACACCCCGTATACAGGGCGTCGCTAATCTACTTGTGCCAATTCAACCAGACGAGGTGCAGAAGCGATTTTCAGTATTCTACGGCGTGGGCTGTGTAGCGTCAGCCTTGGCAGGTATTCTAGCATTTGGGCTGATTCACATGGATGGCATTCAGGGAATCTCAGGTTGGCGATGGATCTTCATCATGGAGGGAGTGGTATGTCATAAACTTTTGTTTCGTATCAAGCTCTCTGGGATCCTAACTCTACCAGATAACGGTCGGCCTGGGCGTTCTCTGTTATGTTCTCATTGTTGATTTTCCGGACAAAGCATCGAGAAGTTGGAAATTTCTCACTGAGGAGGAATGTGATTTCGTCATACGCCGCATTGATCGTGATCGGTTGGATGCTGAGCCAGAGGCATTTACGCTTCGACGCTTCCTGAAACCAGCGCTTGATATTAAAATCTGGGGATATGCAGTCCTGTTCGGGTAAGTTTTTGATCCTTATCCGCCAAGGCCTTTGAATTGATCGTAGCAAACTGCCAGCTGCCTTACAATAAACACGTACGCCATGGCGTACTTCCTTCCGATCATCCTGTCCGAGGGCATGGGATTTGGGGTAGGAGCATCTCAATGTCTCTCTGCACCGCCATGGGTATTTGCTGCTTTGCTCATGTTTGCCGCAGCTTGGGTTGGAGACAAAATCCAAAGACGCGTTCCCGTATTACTTTTCAATGTCTGTCTCTCACTTATTGGACTTCCAATGATGGGATTCTTGAAGAACAACGCGGCCCGCTATGTCGGGGTATTCTTGACTGTCGCAGGAGCAAACGCAAATGTGCCTGCGTGCATGGCATGGCAAGCCAATAATATTCGAGGCCAGTGGACACGTGCATTCTCCAGTGCTACTCTGATTGCGTTCGACGGAATCGGCGGCATCATCGCCAGCTTGGTTTTCGAGAAAGATGCACCCCGATACCGACCTGGCGTATACACTGCGCTCGGGTAAGTCAACCCTTCATATCTTTCGAACATTGATCTAGAGCTACAAAGAGCACCCACTAATTACAAATTATAGAGCAAATATTGTATTTCTCCTCACCGTCGTGTCTCTGGCATTTTGGTACCGGCGTTGCAACAAGAAAGCAGATCGCGGCGAACTTATAATTGCTGGGATTGAAGGATTCCGTTATACTATTTGATTGGCATGTGAAATGTCTTCCTTTGGTTCTTCATCTCGCCTATGATTTAACGTCAGCTTATATGCTAGCACTGACTTCTGCCAATACTTTTAACGCGTTAGTCAATGATAGCCCAGGTTATCAGACGGGTCACTGATGATCTAACTCGATCCCATGAGAAAATATGACTTTTTCTATTTTTGATTTATATCAAACACCGATCTAGTATCCTTTTGTGGTAGAACATCAATGGGGGAAAGCTTTAAACAACGGCGGTGAGTTTTCTGTTCTGCGCCAAACGTGCAGCACTCAGCAGCATGCCACCAAGCAACAGTGAGACTCCTGAAAATATCGAGAGCGAAGTATATCCGTATTTTTCAACTAGCGCTCCACTGATAGGAACATTTGCCATAGCACTGCGGATTTTATATCAATACAATCCGTCATATTTATGTCGGTTGGAGAATTACTTACGATATTGCGGTTGATCCAGTAACAGTACCTATTGCCAGACCCAACGTAGAGGTAGTAGCAACTTGGGCAGCGCATGCTTGTTGAAGTGATAGGATACCCTATTTTTGATCAGTACATTCAAGGTGACAATGCTGATATATACTCACCCCAGATGCGAACCCATAAGCAGCAGCCCAAACCCCCAATCCCGCCATTGACTCCACTTTTGTCCAGCATAGTGCCACAATGCCTGCCACTAGGGTGGAGATGATACAGCAGTTAAACTTTCCGTACTTGTCAGCGACAATGCCAGGCAGGATGCGACCGAAGAATGACGCTCCGTTGACAATCGACACCGTGTAGAAGCCAAAGCTTGATGGAAAGTTCTTGTCGGCGGCGTATGAAGTTGTATAGAAAAAGGGTGAAAGCATGCCGAAGTACGTAATGAACATGGCGAGGCAAAGAAGTTGCATTTCTGGCTTGTGCAGCAATGCGATCACCTCGGTTTTCCTCTTTCTATCCTTTGTTTCGTTGATAGCGTTGTCGCTAGTCAATCTCTGAGAGGGATTCGCATTCTCCACATATTTCCTGGGCACTTTAGGTGATCTGGCAGTAACACAAGAGAAAGCGAGGCACGGAATCATGATGAATCCGACGATGCGCATCGTCCAGGGGAAGCCAATTCTGGGACTTTTCAACAACTTGTCAATGGCAATGGGCCAGATAACCCCACCGAGAGATGATCCAGCGAGTACAATTCCCATGGCTAAAGCACGTTTGCGTTTTATATGTTGTCCGACAAGAGCCAGCATTGGCCACGTAACTAAGGACATGGAGATTCCAAGAAGCACCCCCTGTGCTAGCAAGAACTGGTAGAACTCCTTGCAAATAGACGTCATCATAACCGAGAGAACCGTTCCAATGGATCCAAGGCATAATGGCAGCTGGAACGGTACAAATTATCAGATCCTTAACTCTCACACTTTTCGCGCTCACAGACTTACCCTAGGGCCCAATGTATCGAGCATTGAACCTGAAACAACAGATATTGAGAACAGGAAGAAAAGCGATGATGCCCCGAGCCACGCAATGGTCGACTGAGAGCTTTCTGCCAACTGATTCGTTGCATAGTACTCTTGGAATATTCCAAAAGAGTTCAGGAAGCCCACGGTGCAGAAAAGCCCGGTCGAAGCTCCGGAGATGGCCAGCCATGCTCGCCAACTATATTTTGGCCGAAATCAGTCTTCAATTATCTCGTTTTCAATCTCCGTGAAATGACATACGTGTTTTCGCTTGTTGGACCCTCTTTGTAGGTCATATTCAAAGTCAATCCTTTTTTGCAGAAGGTTGGAGAGACACGACAAGGACTGTTTCTGGCGTGATGGGAGCAAGCTAGCGTCTGAATTGCGCCTGTGGAATCTCTACTGGTTCGAGTTTGAGTCAAATGAGAGTGTCAATTTTGAGTATTAGAGTGGAACTGAGCATTTTATGTGTGAAATATTGCCATAGGAGAAGGTAAAGTAAACAGCCCGCAAGCTCCCCCGGAGCCTCCGTCCATCCATAGCTTGTAATTGCTGTACAGTCAATTACGTGGCGCCAAGACCGGAGGGTCCGCGGAGAGTCCGGCCCTTCTCCCCTGGTTCTTCCCCTATCTCGTAGATGCGACCTGTTTGCGATCGTGCATGATCGCATTTCCAGCTCTATTGCAGCAGTTAAAGTATCTGTGTAAGCTGAAGAGTCCAGTGTGACATGAGTCATCGTTTGTTTCCGTTCATTCTCTCTGCGATTGCATTGATGGAATCTTTTCCACTTCTTGCCCGCTACATGTGAAGTCTTTTTCCATCTCCTCTCCCTCAAAGAACTGAGAACTACTCTTCCCTTCCTTTTTCGACATTCATCGTTCCGACACTAGCTGTTTCACTGCCATGAAGCGCAAAACAACACAAGACACTACAGCTACGCCACAAAAGCAGCCTAGGCAAGACCCAGTATCTTGCGAGTCGTGTCGAAAGAAAAAGACCAAGTGCGACCGACGAAGTCCATGTGGCAGTTGTATATCTCGTCGCATTGATTGCAAGTATGGCAATAATGGCCCAATGGCTTCGAGCCTCGGGCTACCACCCAGTACCCAGGTAGTTGATAAACCCTTCAACGGCGTCCCTTCATCTCGACCGATACAAGCAAGGAGTTCTTGCGACGTAGGTCCGAGCCGGAGCGCAGACGACTCACTCATAACGGCAGACCAGCTAGAGAATATCCTTATGGGCCATCGGATCCCAAGTGCCCTTCCAGCAGCTCTCCGAGAGGAGCTTTCCGGGTCCCAGCGCATACAAGCAACCCGACCACGTTCAGACAGTGCCTCGAGCAATTTCCTCTCACTGGTTCGCAATGTTGGCTCTGTGTCTCTTGAACACCCGGCTTCCATTCAACTGAACTCATTTCTGCCCTCAGAAGGCGACGCATTGAGCCTCTTCGATTATTACCACAAACACCTCGACTACCTATACCATCTTATTGTTCCTGCCAGCACCAAGCGAGACATCCACGCCCTGTACGAAGCAATTTCTCATGGTGGTTCCGGGGATTTGAATCACATCGCACTGTTATTCAGCATTCTTGCCACGGCTCTGTTCTATCAGCTGCTATCGACTGAGTCTTCAGGAGTTGCCGAAAATTGCGGTCGCGAGACGGCATTTCTCGCTGGTGCAGCATTGATTCAAAGCAATTATATTTCATATCCAACAATCGAGGGACTACAGGCAACCATGATCATTGCACACCACTTACCGACGTTAACCCTGAATCCATCCGTGAGCTCGCTATTTTTGCAAGGTGGGATTGTGAGCCAAGCCAAAAGTCTCGGGCTCCACTTAATCGATCATCCTCAAGTTGCATCCGAGCGTCGACAGAAAGGGTTTGACAGTGGTGAGATCGAGCTGAAGCGACGGCTATGGTGGGATCTGGCGTCTTATGACTGGTAAGTCCACCTTCGTACACCACTAGATATCCTTCCTTTCATAACATGGTCCAGGTTGCTTGGTTCCCTAAGTGGGCCCCAAGAATGGACCTACACTATCCAACCTCAACACATGAATGTGCGCCGACCGTGGAACATCGAAGATCATTCAATTGAGGACGAGACTGAGCTAACACTGTCGACACCAACTTGTATGTCCTATACCGTGCATCGCCTGAGACTGGCCGAAATATGCAAGGACATGATCGATGCAGTGTCACCCCATCATATTCAGGGTCATGATGTTCCCTATGAAACAGTGCTCGAGTTGGATTGCAAATTTCAACAGGCATATTCGGAGCTTCCGGCATTTTTCCGATTTGATCAGTCGTCACGCCGCCAATTTGCAAGCCTCTACCGCGAGCGACCAGAGATCGCATGGCAGCGAGCCTTCATACAACAGGGCTACCATTCACGTCTGTGTCGGCTACATCGTCAGTACTTCATTCGCGGTGCAAAAAATCCAAGGTACTCTTACTCGCATGTTGTAGCCCTCCAGTCTGCCCGGAAAGTCCTGGGAATTAAGCGCATCATGGATGAGGAAGAGCCTGTTTTTACTCCAAACAGTTCCTTTCTCTGGGCGGTCATGCACCACGTGTTCATGGCAGCAGTCACCTTACTGGTTGACGTGTGTTTCAACTGGGATGATATTCTTGCTTATAAGAGGAAGGAAGAGGTTCTCGATGCTTGCCGACTGCTAAGCCGCGCTCAGCAATGTTCCTCCGTCGCCCGAGAAGGGATCAATGCAATGATGGGCATTCTTCGTAAGCACTGGAAACAAGAGAAGAGGACGGCCCCATCCGGTGAGATGCAAGCCCAACTACCATCATCATCTAGCCTTGATTCTGCCTTGCACAATCAGAGTGCTATGCCACCCGCCAGTGATGTTCAGGATTCCAAGAATAACCAGTTTGATATTCCGGTACCTGTACATGCTATCCCAGGGCATGGACAGTCAATGGATCTCGGGAACTTCGAGTCTGGTCCTGTCCCTCTGGAGGACTTCTGGAGTCAGATGCTCGATGAAAGCGCTCATATCGCGCTGGATACACCAGATTGGATGGATCTGTTGACGGAGCTGACTAACGCGACCGCTCTAAGCGAATGAACTTCAAGCTCTTCTATCACATACGTTGCCGCAATAATACGTCACTTTCCTCAACCAAAGGTTGGATGAAGACGCTAACCCTTCTTGTATAATGCCACCCCGTCAGGAGAACAACGGTCTTGATATATCCTAGCTCTAGGCTACACCTTTAGTCTTGAACAGAACAACATTCTACCTGCCTGCCTTTTACAGACAGTCACTCCAAGTGTCTTGACTCCGCCCATGTCCAACTTGAAGGAACTTATTAACCGACAGCGACCTGGACCATGGCAAATATTCTGGGTCCAGCCGTGCGTCTTTCTCGCACGGAATTTTTATAGTTGGCATAAACTTACTCCAGCTGTGCCACTCAGAAACCTTGTTTCGATCGTCTGTCTTTCCGATACTCATAACGCTCAAATCAGCGTTCCAGATGGTGATATTCTAATCCATGCTGGCGATCTCACCCAATCCGGGTCATTCCAAGAGCTCCAAGAAGTGCTCGCCTGGCTGCGCGCCCTGCCACATCCTACAAAGATCGTTGTTGCCGGTAATCACGATCTATTACTCGATCTAGCATGGGCTGACTCGTCGAGTCGAGCGGCTTCCATATCTGACCGGGCTCAGCTCGACTGGAGCAACATAATCTACCTCGAAAATGAGGAAGTGACTATTTGCTGTGCGAACGGTCGTCAACTTAGGGTCTACGGAAGTCCACATTCTCCACATCACGGAAACTGGGCCTTTCAATATCCCCAAAGTCAAGATGTATGGGCTAGCTCAGTACCAGATGAAATTGATGTGCTCATTACTCATGGCCCACCACTTGCTCATCTTGACCTAAAGGTTGGTTGTCCTCATCTACTACGGACGCTTTGGAGAGTTCGACCAAGATTGCATGTATTCGGGCATGTACACGAGGGTGCGGGCACCGAGTGGATGTCGTTCAATGGACTCCAGGATGCGTACGAGCGCACTGTCACTGCTGGTGGGGGAATTGGAAATCTTCTTTTGACAGCTTGGGAGTTAGCCAAGGCATGTTTTTCACCAGTCGTGGAAGCAAAATCTTTACTTGTAAACGCGTCCATAGTTGGAGGTTTGCGGGACAATGAACGAAGGCCGCCCATCAAAGTCTTTGTATAATGCTGCTATTTTAGTGGAGCTGGCCGACGAGGCTATCCCAAGCGAATGGAATCCCCTATTCGAGTTGTTCTCAGGGTCACAGTAAAATTCGTAGTCTATGAGGGGAAGTCTGCGTGGTGTTTCATGAATCTTACGCCCCGCCCCACTTTGGGAGATCAAGACTCGCCAATCTCAGCAATGCGGCTCATGCAAGTTTTTAGTGCTGTAAACAAAGCCACGTCACATGATGTTTTGATGCAACGCGGCCTGCTTCAGTCGATTATAAACACCCATCGGTGAACGTGTCAAATATTGACCTTTTGGTTGGAATTGACCGCAGGATCAAACCAGCAACCCCATTATGACCTCTAAGACTGACACCAAGCCACAAGCGATGGCTCATGCAGATGAAGTAGTCAATCTGGAAACCGTTGCAAGTCGCATTAAGAACGGTCAAATCACTCGAGTGGTTGTCCTGACTGGCGCTGGTATCAGTACTGCCGCTGGTATACCTGACTTTAGATCGCCCAGCACCGGTCTCTACGACAGACTTGCGCCATTAAACCTTCCCTATCCCGAGGCAATCTTCCATATCAGCTACTTCTCCCATACTCCGGAGCCTTTTTATGCGATCGCACAAGCTCGCCATCCCGGAAACCTCAAGCCAACTATATCTCATACATTTCTTGCACTCCTAGCGGAGAAAAATTTACTCCATTTTGTTTTCACTCAAAACATCGATGGCCTTGAGCAGGATGCGGGTGTTCCCGTCGATAAGATCCTTTGGGCACATGGGAACTGGAAAAGTCAGCATTGTTGGAAATGCAAAGCCGGATATCCAGACGATTTGATGAAAAAGGCAATCCGTGAAGGCGAGGTGCCCTATTGCTTGAAGCCCGAATGTGGTGGTGCAGTCAAGCCTGACGTTGTGTTTTTCGGGCAATCCCTGCCCCTTGAGTTTGACGAGAGAGAGAAACTCGTGCTAGAGGCAGACCTTATGCTCGTCATGGGAACGAGTTTGAAGGTTGCCCCATGTTCACGCCTACCACGACTCGTCAAAGAGGGAACTCCACGAATATTGATCAATATGGAGAGATGCGGAGATTTTGGAAATAGAATTGAGGATGTGTGCATGCTTGGCTCTTGCGACGATGGTGTACGCAAATTTGCGGATGAGCTCGGTTGGAGAGAGGAGTTGGAAGCCCTTTGGCAAAGTGCAGTCGAGGTTAAGGGAGACGACCAGGCATTTGAAGGAGGCTCAAGTCTTGATGAGTGCATCGCGAAAGTGGCGAGTCAGATGGATGAGCGAATGAAGATTTCATACGGACATAAACGTATGTTGGAGAGCCATCTGAGTAACAAGCTCGCGCAAATCATGGCAAAGCCTGTGTCGCAGGATTGACGCTTGAATGGCTCCAGGTCCCGTTAGAAATATCAAATTCCCTTTTATGATCATCTGAAGGACTTTCGATTCTTTTTGTGCCACCGGGTAAACCGCCCGCAACTTTGGGTAGACACGAGTCTCGGATGATGCAATCATGATGCACGACGCCGTCTATCGGCCTTTCGCTATAAGATCAGTGAGCGATCTCCAGTACTTGTTTTGACTATATGCACTGCTTCAGGCCGTCCCTTATGTCGCTGACCCTAAATGCGAATACACTTGGCAGATAATGTCCACCCACAAGAAGAACGACCTCCCCTACATCCACCGCTACATCACCACCCACAGTTCCGACGGCGAAGCAGTGTTTGTCTCCCATGCTCAAATTCCCGATTACATGCCATCACAACCCGCCGGCGAAGATGGCGAGATCGCACTTCTCTACGCCACGACAAGTGTCCCTGCCAACATCGACGACGAAGCTGACATAGCGATGTACGACGAGTTTCTCCACCAACCTCCAGGGCTTACAACACAGTCAGGAACAGCCTTCAGGATGATCGATCTACGCCCCGGTAAAATTACTCCCATGCATCGTACTGTCAGTATTGACTACGGGGTTGTCGTGGAGGGGGAGGCGGATTTGATACTGGACTCTGGGGCAAGTCGGCATCTCCGCCGAGGCGATGTCAGTATACAGAGAGGCACGGCACATTCATATCGAAATCGAAGCTCATCCGAATGGTGTCGCTTGCTATTTGTGTTCTTGCCAATGCAAAAGATTACAATCAAAGGCAAGGAGTTGGGCGAAGACGTATATGATGAGCAATATGAGAAACCGGGAGAAGATTGACATATTTGCTCATTATGTGATCAAGTGTTCTTACGATGAAGGAAATTTCTCAAGTTCATGTGACAAAGGACCTTCCATGCCCTTTACTTACCTCTCATTGGTGCATTTCGTTCATTCGGCTGTACATCCTTTCTGCCTGAGAAAGTCGATACATATCACCGCCACACAGTCCATTTGGCTGGATCTTGATGGGCCAGCTTCCAGGTAAATTTAGTAACACGATCCATTCACTCGCCTTTTTGGTTCGTTCATATGGCCAAATTCCAACCTACACAACAAGCAACAATCGGGGTCAACATCCGGATCGGCCATCCCGGTGGAATATACAAGTGGTCATATCTACCACCTTCGTCACATCAATTATTAGGCGATATCCCAATTAAAGCTTAGGATACAACCATTCTCGGGCTGGTAGGGCCCATGATTAAATACCCTAGCACCAATGCTGAGGGCTTGGGGTGAAGTTTTGGTGTGTCTGCTTCAGCCTCATCGCATCCAAATGCGCCCAAGTGCAAATTCGGATCCTTTACTGGTGAAACCTGTTTGAACAATAGCCACATTGTCAGAAAACAGGGCGTTTCTGTCGCATGCGTGCAGTCGGCTAATTTGTCCATGGTGTCAACGCGCTTGAATCCTGGGAATTCATTGCCGCTGGTCCAGGTACCCGCCACCTATCAATTCCATCATCCTTGGTCAAGATGGATAATAAGATAAGCAAGAAGATAAAGGCTATTCCCATTCCTCATCCGGCCCTAGCAATATCGTCATTGGCTGACGGAAGCATCATTGTTAACCGAAGAATGTAACCCAAACTACTTCGGGAAATGGAATGTGACCCTGCGATGAGCTCGTGATCTCAACGTACAACGACATCGATTTTGATTTATCGACTTCGAGTATCCATCGGGAACCAGTTTTACGCTCGGCAAGCCGGCACAAAGGTTTGACTGGCTTTTGATATGGCGTAAAGCAGCGGAGCCACGAATCCTATCTGATCGTTATACTTCTAATATTCAAAATTGCAGATAGATTCCGAATCCATCTGAACTGCTTCCTTTTCAACCATGGTTAGCTGGATGTCTTGGTCCAATGGTACTTGACGATTTCTCCATCTCTTGATCTCTGTAGAGGCCCCGGAGTCTCTTTCCATGGAGCGACTTACCTGCAACCTCCACTCTTGTCAACGTGCCGTCAGGAACAGGCCCAGATCACTAAGATAGAAATCTGAAGGTTCCATTGATTTCGTCACCACTCGAATGTAACCTCTTTTCGGACTTGCCTTTATCCTTCTATATCTTCAGCTCGAATTTACAGAGGAATTCAATCTAGTTTTCGTTATTCCAATTATCACCATTTACTGCGTATACACTGGGCTTTTAGCGACTGTTATCTTTCGATCTATTCTTACAAAGTCGAAATGCGCTATTTCCCTTTCCTAATAGTTGCATCGGCTTTTTATGCCTCCGCGCAAGAGCCGACACCGGTGTCTCAAAGCGCAGCCGTACCTAGCGGAAGCACACAATGCGCATCTCAACAGTAAGTACTAGGCGCAAAATCCTTCATTCAATCAAGCTATCTAACAGCAATCAGAATTGTAGATGATTGCGTTGCTATCATGAAGAATTCTCTACAAAAGTGCTCAGCGGATAATTGGGACTGCAAATGTTCGGGTTCTGCGAATATCGCAAAGTGCGTACAGCCCCAGGATTTCCACCTCTGTCACTTAAGCTTCCTGTATACTCGCATTTGGACTCTACGGTACTGATTCATTCAAAAACAGTTGTTATGTGAATTGCCCCGACAGCCCAGACTATATCGCCGCTCAATCATCCAGTGCCTCGGATTGTGCCACTGCCAACGCTTATGATAAGGGAAACACGATTGTACCAGACACGTGGAAGACGATGGATTTTCACAACGATGTTCGTCCAAGCGCTACGAGTACCAGCAGCGATGCTGGCCCTACAACTACTGAGGCAAAGATATTGGATAGTCATAAGGAATCCGCCAAGCCATCCAAGGGTGCCGCAAGTGTGAAGGCTACCGGGAGCTGGCTTGCGTTAGTTGGTTTAGGTATCGGCGCTTTCTTCTAAGGGCAAGAGGGTCTCTCATTCATTGCATTGGGCTCCTCGGTTAGAATTTCTACTTCAATCACCATGAGACGTTTAATTTCCGACACGAATGTAATTTTGACGTGTAGTGTCCACTACTCGACAGTAACTTGAACCTTGGACTTGTCTGGTGGGATAAGAAGATCAGCGCAGTTCCCGTATTAGCAGCGATCCGACCTACAGAACGCGATGTGATCTTTGATATTCATCGCCTTTTCATATGGATTTGCGTAGTACCAGGCAGCATCTTGGACGACGGCGTCTATGATAGTGCGTTAGTAGAGACACCCTGATAACTGAAATGCCCTTTTGACATACCTCCAGTCTTTACAGAATAATACTCTGCCTCACCCTTCCATGGGCAAAACGTCTTCGTATCAGAATTCTGGAAAGTACTCAGATTTTTGATAGCGGAGCGCGGAAACTGCCGATGAGCAATGTCAGCAGAAACTCGATCTTTCGACGTTATTTCGACGTACATATACATTCCCTTCGACTGTCTCCCAAGCGTCGGCCTCAGCCAGCACCAGGTCTCCAATCTTGGCTTTTGCAGTCGGCATATTTCCTGATTAGATTTGGTGGCCCTGTAAGATCAGTGGGTGATGATAGAGCTTTGAAAGATGAAAGGTTGAGGGTGTCAGTCTGCGCTGTCAGCCAGGTGGGGAACACGAATGTCACGGGAATGACAGTGCGGGGAAGAGCGCGCTAGACTTTTGACATGGACCTCACTCGTCGTAGTACGAACGGAAAAATTCTCTGCGATCCGATTTGATACTTCTCGCTCAGTTTAAATTTTGGCTTGATGAATCTCCGTCAACTACATTTGAGATGTTCCCATCTCATTTCGTGACGAGCTTGAAGCTTTTTTCCACGCGATATGATGCGGGGCTATATCGTTACAGTATATGACAATGTCTCTATCCTATCCCTCGTGTATATCTTTCTACTAAAAACTCTCCCCTCTTGCGACGAAGCCGGTTGGAATATCGTGATATTAGTCACATTTTCCGTGTTAACCCCTGATGTCCGAGCCCGAGTCGTCGAATGACTTCACGATTGACCAGATTTTACTAAGTCAGAACAGCCTTTCTGATGCGATTCCTACACAAACTACACTATTCGTGGCTAGCTCAAGAGAGAATCCTGTGCTAGAGAAACCTAATTAGTTTTAGTGATCAAGACTCCAGGACGGCTAACATAGAGTGGGGCATTTTGGCCCCAAGCTTACAAATGGTACAATTATCAATCGCAATTACCTTGTTCAGATTCGAGTTATCGTCAGAAGTCAGCTATTAAATAAACAACGAGAAATATATTAGATATCGATATCGCGTCCGGGACAGTCGGTCAAATCACTGATGGCGGAGCTGAGAAAATCTTGAAGTCGCATGATGTCGTTCTTTGTCGGGGAACAAACCACGAGGGGTGGATCGAGGCAGAGATGCTGCTAGGCTGTTTTGTTGTGGTCGTACCTGCCAAGGATATTGTCACGGGTGACGGTCAGAGATTGGAGAAGACGCCAGCTGGGCCAGTTTTTGACCCTGTCGAGGAGGATTAGGGTAGTCCATCCGAAGGCACTCTCTCGTGTATGACTGTAGACCGAACAATTTAAGGTCAATTTGTTGTGATATTGATCAACCTTTTGCTGCAAAACAAAATTGATCCTTCTGGTAATCTCTGAGCAATTATGGTTCCCCATTCGTGAGCATTACATAGATACAACCCAATTACTTGGAATTTATCTACGCGAGCATAGTTGAAATTTCATGATGACAGCTGATAACAGCAAAGTTAAGTCAGCCATACATTCAGAAGGCACGGATAGGAATCAATTGTTTCTCACATTAAGGTGGGGGTGCCACTATCGAAACACTCTCGCCCATCATCCCGTTCTCGGAGTTGTTCCGAGTAGATATTACCCCATGCCCACCCCACGCGGGGCTGTTCGATGTCTCATCTTTCAATTATCCGGTCTGAGAGGTCTCAACATTCACAATATGTCATCTCAAAAGCCTTCGTAAGATCTACACTCCACATGACAGAGTCCTTATCAAGCTAACAGAAGCAGGCATGTCCTTGTCACCGGCTCAACTGGCTTCATTGGCGCCCATGTCGTTGACAACCTCCTGGCGCGTGGCTTCTCAGTCCGTGGCGCCACGCGGTCGGCCAAGAAGGGGGAGCAGATGAAGGCAGCGCGTCCGCAGTACACATCAAAGTTGGATTTTGTCATTGTGGAAGACTTCACGAACATTGGTGTGTTCGATGCCGCGATGGAAGGCATTGATGCTGTCATTCATGTCGCAAGTGTACGTTTAGTCTTGAACGTTATCAGCTCCTCAATGCCACTAACGGTCATTGCAGCCATTCTTCTATGACACCACCAACAACGAGCAAGAACTGATTCTCCCTGCTATCAACGGCGTCAAGTCAATTCTGTCTGCCTCAGCCAAGCCAGGGAGTAAAGTCCGACGTATCGTGTTGACATCATCCTTCGCCTCGGTCCTTGATATCGACAGAAATCCTCCTCCTGGCTTCACGTATACAGCTGCTCACTGGAACCCTCTCACATACGAAACGGCAATTGACCCCAAATCCACATCCGTGGTTGCATACCGCGGGTCTAAAAAGTTTGCAGAACTTGCTGCGTGGGAATTTGTCAAGAATGAAAAGCCACAGTTTGATCTAGTCGCACTCTGTCCTCCGATGGTGTTCGGTCCCGTCGTTCACCCAGTTTCCAGTGTTGAGCAACTGAACGAATCCAATGCGGTTCTCTGGAGTGTAGCTGCGGGCATTGATCCCATTCCTGGAATTAGGGTGCCTGCTTGGATCGATGCTCGAGATCTTGCCGAGGCCCACGTTCAAGCCCTTCTTACTCCAGAGGCTGGCGGCAAGCGATTTATCCCTGCAGCTCCTGAGCCCTTCTCATATGAATACGCGGCAGACATCATGAAGGAAAATTTTGACTGGGCCAAGCAATCGGTGACTACCAACTACAAGGCTGGGGAGAAGCCGCATGCCTCTTACGGTGTAGATGGGGAGACAGTTGCTCGAGAGCTTGGTGTGAAGTACCACAGCTTCAGAGACACGGTAGTAGAGTTTGTCAAACAAGTCAAGGAGGATCTTACTTAGTTTGGTTGACAAGGACATGGGAGGATTAGGATTTTGTAGCAAAATTCAACTTAACCAGATGACACAATGCGATCCCGGTAACAGTCAAGAAGATCAATGCCACTCCTCATAAATCATATCAGCTCCTTTCTCTGCAATAGCATACACAGTCGCCTGAATATGTGCGCCAACCTGCAGAGGCATAATGCTAGCATCTATAACACGCAAGCCACGCACTCCGTATACACGTAGCCGATCATCAACAACTCCAGCTTTTGCTCCTTCAAGGCCTCCCATGGCACAGGTACCAACCGCTAGATCAAAAGTTAGTCCTTGAAGCAGCAGAATACATGACATTTTGGACATACGATGCCAGTCCGTGACGGTATAGTTCGAAACAAATTCCTCCTGTGCACTCTGTTCAGAGGTCGACTCATGCGGCAGAGGAGGATAGACCTGCTTTTTGATGATTTTTGCGAGGGGCTCTGTCTGGGAGATGTGTTGGGCCATTCGTTGGCCCAGGGCCATCACTTTCTGGTCAATTTTTCCAGGTCCCAGATAATACTGTGGGTCAATAATAGGCTTATCGTCAATTGTGCTTTTGCATAAATTGTCTCTCCGTGGAGGTATGTGAATAGAGCCCCGAGAAAATGGATATTGGAGCATCTGCAACAAAGTTCCATACTTCTTTCCCGGTTCCGAATGGAAATCTTGGCTCCAGTTCCCCAGATCAAAGATGTACTCGAGCTGACCACGCAGTCGTTTCTCTGAATCGAATTGCTCCGCAAGAAGCTTATCCTGTAAACGACCCGTTTCTTGGGCGAGGTTCGAGGCGGCTTCGTGTAGTTGGGTCTGTTCTTCCCGGGATGCCACTTGAGTTAGAGGGCAATAGGCGACAGAACAGGGCAACACGGTCCATGGCCCTGTCTGTGAAGCGTAGTAGGCTCTGTCCGCAGCCTCGCGCAATATATCGTCATTGAGAATGTCATCGCGAGATGAGAGGGTTGGTAAAACTTCGAAGATAGTCGCAGTCACTTTAAAGATTTGTTAGAATATGCTCTATAATTCGAGTCATAGAGTTTCGAGATGTCGAGACAAGTCATACTCATATGGTCCTGTAGGTTCTCTCCGACATTTGGGTTCTCGACCTTGACATCGATTCCGGCCGCTTCGAGGACATTTCTTTGACCGATACCCGAGAGCTCCAATAGCTGTGGCGACTGTATACTACCTGCGCATAAGATCACCTCACGAATACATATCACGTCCTTCTCCTCTTCGCCATGTCTTACTCTAACACCAGTCGCTTCCCAGTATCCATCGACCAGTTCGATAAGCACGTTCAGCACGGTCGCATCAGTTAATACATGCAAATTCTTTCTCTTCGCGGCAGGCGCGTAGTAGGCCGATGCAGAGTAACTTCGCTGCTGAAGCTGAGGGTCTATTGTGCACACCATGTTCCAGACCCCGCAATTCGAGCCTGCGAGTGAATCGAGGGTGGATTCCAGCCCCAGTGCATTCAGAGTCTCGTGCCAGTACTGATGTGCCGGATCATACTGCTTGATATGGGTAGTGTGGAGGGGGCCGTCAGTCCCATTGTATCCAGCATCATAGGATGAGTGATAATGTTCTCGGTGCGTAGCGGTAGGTCGGTGGAAGGTCTCGCTTCGTAGGAAGTAAGGACTGCTCCCGTCAGTCACAGCACAGTCCTAAAGAGACGGTCTGGGATCGAACTGGATATATGAAAAGAATTACAGTAAATCAGCCCATCTCCAACCTTCATTTCCTAGCCGAGCCCATGCATCATAATCTTCACGATGGCCGCGGTTCCAAGCCATGAAATTCAGTGCACTGGTACCACCCAACACTCGCCCTCGGGGCCATTTCAGCGATCGCCCTCCAATGCCTGGCTGAGGAGTAGTTTCAAATTGCCAGTCATATTTGGATCCAATTGCCTCGCCATAGCGACCTGGCACCATGATCGCACCGCCATCTTCTCCATCCAGGGCCGAGGGGCCAGCTTCGATCACCCCCACCTTCACCTTCGGGTCCTCGCACAGGCGTGCTGCGACTGCTAGCCCTGCAGTGCCGCCTCCAACGATAACATAGTCCAAAGGGAGTTGACAGAAAGTTTTAAAGTCTTCAAACATCATGAGTTGCTTGTTTGTAATGCGGAATATGTAACTTACCGCGAGGAGGGGCAAGTCTCGTAAGCACCAGGCTACGGGCTAGTACCTCAAGCCCAAAAGAGAAAGTCCAATCGACTAAACAGGACAAGACACACCATTATTTGATCAATAATCGCAAGCTTTGGAAAAGGTTTTCAGTGCAACTTCCCGAAATGAATATCATCCCAATAGCTTATTTTTCAGTTCAGTCCTAGTCCATACTACTGTGGCGTCTCTTATCATTTCGGATGTGATTGGTTTTTTGGATGGGCCACAGTAAGACGCAAGGCAACTCTTACATTAGTTTAAGAGGGGCGAATTGGTAAATTCACACCGAGGTTGTGATTAGCACGCCTAATCTAGCCATTTGCAGTAAGACCTATCATATGTCAGTCTACTACGTCTTCCTCTATGGGGTTAGAGTAGTGTGCCAACAGTAAAAGCTGGGGGTTTGGGGATCGATTGCAGGGCGGGCTTACTTGAGGCGCCCCGCGACTGAACGAGAGATTTTAGTACTATTCTTCCCAGTCGAACTCATTTAAACCTGGGCACGCTGGCTGTTTCGTGCACATTTTACTCTCGACTTGATTTACAGCGCATCGAGCTGCTAGAGTGGAACACAGTCCAGGTCCACGACATAAAATTCCCGATTCCGCCATGGCGACCGCTAGCACTCTCGAGATGGAGCCAGCGACTCTCGAAGATGTCGAAACTATCACCGAAGTCTGGTTTTCAGCCTTCACAGACCCCAGCATGCGACGCCTGTTTCCAGACACGCCCGGATTCCGCCAATGGCTCACCGATGCCAACCGCAGCGATATGATCAATAAGCCGTTTCAAAAATATCTCAAGGTGGTCGATACAGCATCCACCGACGAGAAGGGCCGACCGCGTATAGTTTCGTATGCGAAATGGGATACGGCCACTCTTGAGGAGCGGGGCCGTCGCTATCCACCTTGGCATGCAGATTCGCCTGCAGACGAATGCGAGGCCTTTTTCATCGAAATGGAAAAGGTTCGGAGACAAATAATGGGGGATACCAGGCATTACTGTAGGATAAGCACTCATACACCATTGAGCATTTACTTTTGTTTCTTGTGTCCTTTTCGGTACTAATCTACGACATTAGATCTTGACATGCTCGGTACACACCCGGACTACAGAAAGCGAGGTGCAGGCAGCATGCTTGTCAAATGGGGTTGTGATCTGGCCGATCGTGAAGGGGTCGCAGCGTATGTGGATGCCAGTTCGAATGGGGCTCCCTTGTATGAGAGGTTCGGGTTTGTGGGCAACAGCGCGTCTAATCCCATGCTGGACGGTATCGTTACCCCGATGGTGCGGAAGTAGTATATACTATTGTATAGGGCTTAGACTGTATCTTTGTGCTAGTTGAATTCGGATGACCAATGCGGAAGAATTCGGTGTATGGGAAAGTATGTGCTGCTTCTCCAGTCTGTTTTTCTAGAAATGGTGGGATCTCTACCAGGCTGGTGTATGATCCTGAAAGCCTCTGACTCGTAGAATTTGAATGTATAAATAAGGTAGCTAGTTGACTATAGTGGCTTTATTTGACTTTCCATTTGCTATGTCGAATTAGATTTGCCCAACTCTATGGATAATTTCTTTCCCATCGCCAAGCTTCCCCCGCCCAATGCCTAGGTTTTTGCTCGCCATACACATAACGATGAAAGGCCGAGAATCAGCATGCCGTGACAGGCCACGCCAGCTCAAGACAATAGTTGGATGCATATTCTCTTATTCCCCCTCTGCCAAGCGTCACACAACACAGGCCAGTCATGAGCGTCGCCAACCAGCCACAGGTCCCCTTCCCCCCGCTAGTCGAGAAAGCCAAGATCGGCCAAACTACGGAAATAAATCCATCGGTCTCAGTTCGGTGAGGATTGGCATTGCAGGTAGGGGTCATAGACGATTTTACGCGATGCTGCGCCTTGCCCCTGTCACTTGCAATCTCTCTTCACTCAAGGATCCATCAGCACGACAGCACTATGTCTGTATGCTGCCAACACTTCGGGAGTATATGATCGGAGCTGTCTGAATCAGCTTGACAGGATATCATTTGCTATGTTCAGCATGAACAATCAATAAATGATCGGAAAAAGGTGTGGGCGAAGGTCCCAGTTTATGCAACAGCCCCTGGCTCCACCTCGGCGCCCATCCGCCTCCGTAACGTCATGCAGTCCAGCCTGTTACTGGGATGTAAAGAGCGACTACTGGAGGTTGATTGTTGGCCAGCTCTACTACTCAAGAGACTAGCTGTGATGCTACTAAGCTGTTCTGCCAAGCCCGACATCATCTGAGGTTTTACAAAAGCCCCAACTCTGAATGGAACATTGCAGATCAGTGGGGCCCCCGTCCAGGCCAATTATTACCAAGCACAGCGGGCTCGACCATCTCGCTTGAAAATCAACCATCCCTCACTAAACAACGCTATCAACTCGAGTGCCAAGCGGCAAATTCACCTTCTTTCATGCCCTGATCGATTCTTGGCCCACCTTTCTAGGCTCCTTCTCCGGTTGAGTCCGGGAAGTCCCCGCCAAGATGTTTGTTGCAGGCTTACGCCCAGTGGGCGATCGCTTCCTTGCCGTCCTAGTCAATTGCAACGATGGTCGTCGTCAGGCAATGCGATCTCGCATCTGCTGGTCTTACATACATCATTGGGCGTACAAGTTGGTCGATCAGTCGGTGGGTACCCCCAACCATCAGTCCTAATTCCGAGACGAGTCGGACCACAAACGGTCTCCAGGGCAGGAAGCGTATTCTTGTATGATGTCGAAGCGCTGCAAGATGCCGAGACAACTTCCATCAATTCCGTTTCCACATCTTTTCTCCACTAGGCAAGATGCCAAGTCGTGACACAAAACTGGAGTTCTGGCCCGCTGTTGCTAGAATAATCCCGTCTCCGTTGGATTGGCAGTCGCGAGCTGGTCGTGCCTGCGCAATGCCCATGTGGTGTGCTTGGCTCTGCATCATTCGATGCGATTGCATTCGTCATTGGCTCTTTCCAAGGATGGCCGTAAAAATAGATCCTTTCCCCTCGGCACTTCTTCTTCTGCATATAAACACAAGCTTTCAACTCGCCAGATTACGTGCGACGATTCTTATCCTTGCTGCTCGTCCTTTATATTGTTCCCTTTCGAATTGAGTTCCCTCCACGGTTTATACGATGCGTGGACTTGCCCTCCTCACGGGCCTCGTTGGCATTGCCAATGCTGCCTGTCCTTACATGACGGGCGAGGCATCTGGGCTGATTCGTCGTGACGATGGAGATGCCGCTGAAGGCACCGAAGAATTTTTGTCCAACTTTTACTTGAAAGACGAGGACGTTTTCATGACCTCGGATGTTGGCGGTCCCATCGAAGACCAGAACAGCTTGAAGGCTGGAGAGCGTGGGCCGACTCTGCTGGAGGATTTCATTTTCCGCCAGAAAATTCAACGCTTTGATCATGAACGAGTATGTATTCCTTGTCTCTCCTGGCCAAATGAGAATCAGTTGACTGACACAACCTGAATCAATAGGTTCCCGAACGTGCCGTCCATGCCCGTGGTGCCGGTGCCCACGGCGTATTCACTTCCTACGGTGACTGGTCGAATATCACCGCTGCTTCCTTCCTCTCTGCGAAGGATAAAGAGACCCCGGTCTTCGTTCGCTTCTCGACTGTTGCTGGAAGTCGTGGAAGTGCTGACACGGCTCGTGATGTCCATGGCTTTGCAACTCGCTTCTATACCGATGAAGGAAACTTTGGTATGTATTCGGACATTTGAGATCCTCCCAGGTCATATCTCTGACAGAGTTTAGATATCGTTGGCAACAACATTCCCGTTTTCTTCATTCAGGATGCGATCAAATTCCCCGACTTGATTCACGCCGTGAAGCCTCGCGGCGACAATGAGATCCCGCAAGCGGCGACTGCGCACGACTCTGCTTGGGATTTCTTCAGTCAACAGCCGAGTGCTTTGCATACGCTTTTGTGGGCGATGGCTGGCCACGGCATCCCCCGATCATTCCGTCACCTGGACGGCTTTGGTGTGCACACCTTCCGCCTGGTCACCGAGGATGGTGAATCCAAGCTGGTTAAATTCCACTGGAAGGGCCTTCAGGGCAAGGCCAGCCTTGTGTGGGAGGAGGCACAGCGGGTGTCTGGCAAGAATGCGGACTTTATGCGTCAGGATTTGTATGATGCTATCAACGCTGGTCGCTATCCAGAGTGGGAGGTATGTACTTCCATTTCAGCACATCTTCAGCTTGCTAATACCCCATAGCTCGGTGTTCAAATCATGGATGAAGATGATCAACTGAAGTTTGGATTTGACCTTCTTGACCCGACCAAGATTGTTCCCGAAGAATACGTGCCCGTCACCAAGCTGGGCAACATGCAGCTGAATCGGAACCCCAAGAACTACTTCGCTGAGACCGAACAAGTCATGGTACGTCTGTCGCTCCTTAATACCATTTTGCCACTGCTGACAATCGGCGATCAGTTCCAACCCGGTCACATCGTTCGTGGTGTCGACTTCACGGAGGATCCTCTCCTCCAAGGCCGCCTCTTCTCCTATCTGGACACTCAACTCAACCGAAATGGCGGCCCCAATTTTGAACAGATCCCCATCAACCGCCCTCGCATCCCCATTCACAATAACAACCGCGACGGCGCTGGCCAGATGTTTATCCCCCTCAACCCGAACGCCTACACTCCCAACACGCTGAACAACGGCTCCCCGAAACAGGCCAATCAAACCGTTGGCAACGGCTTCTTCACTACGCCCAGTCGCACAACGAGCGGAAAGCTGCTTCGTGCCGTCAGCTCTACCTTCGAAGATGTCTGGTCACAGCCACGCCTTTTCTGGAACTCGCTCGTGCCCGCGGAGAAGCAATTCGTTGTGGACGCAATGCGCTTCGAGAATGCCAACGTCATGAGCTCCGTCGTCCGCAACAACGTCATCATCCAGCTCAACCGAATCAGCAATGACCTTGCCAAGCGCGTCGCCGAGGCGATCGGTGTTGAGGCACCCGACCCCGACCCGACATACTACCATGACAACACCACGGCGAATATTGGTGCGTTTGGACAGAGATTGCTTAGGCTGGATGGACTGAAGGTGGGCGTTCTCGCCTCCGTTTCGAATGAGTCCTCTATCGCCCAAGGAGCCGAGCTTCAGAGCCAGCTCAAGGAGGTCGGTGTGGACGTGGTTGTCGTTGGTGAGCGACTGGCGACTGGCGTGAACCAAACATACTCGGCAACCGATGCCGTCAACTTTGACGCTGTGATTGTTGCAGATGGCGCCGAGGGGTTATTCGCCTCCAGCTCGTTTACTGCGTTGCCCACAGCCGAGGCTTCGGGCACGACCTCGTTGTACCCGGCCGGTCGACCCTTGGAGATTCTCGTTGATGCATTTCGTTTCGGCAAGCCCGTGGGTACCTTGGGTCAGGGCGTCCTTGCGCTGGATGATGCGCAGATTTCTTCTGATCGGGACGGCGTGTACCTCGCTGACGCAGTAGATGAGGATTTCGGCAATCATATCAAGGAGGGGCTGGTCACGTACAAATTCTTGGATCGATTTGCGTTGGACGCGTAGACTGTCGAATGTTTACTCTTCACTTTATCATTACACCGCTATGGGGGATAATTCCGTCTTGGAAACACCCCGACGACTATCGTTATGTTAATTAACCCATAACACGACCGTTGTATGTACTACGTCTCGCAGGAAATTAAATCATAATGTCACCAGAAATGATAATCCTATTCTTCAATGCAAGAACTAGACCCGGTGCGAAAAGTATATATACAAATCATCTCCATCCATCATTCCTCAATCCCTCCAGATAGCATCACTACAACCCGTTCTTCACAGAATCCTTGTAGCGGCGCTCCATCAACGACCGCGATCCAGCCAGCTTAGCCGCAGCACGAACATTCATAGTCCGCTTAGAAGGTGAGTGAGACGCCCCCTCATCGGAACCTTGCCCGATAATCGCCCACTCGGCAACAGTCGCACCGGTACCATTCTTAGCCTTGAGGTCAGCCTCATCCAGAGCCTGATTACCCACAATAAGCAGCGACGCATACCGCGCCGCCGGCACGGGATGCGAAAGCGTCACGTTAGTCGTGTTACCAATGGGGATGGCAATCGTGTCCAGATTCGTGGTCCCCGGTTGATACGGGTTCGACACCTTGATATCATGCAGCGAGCTGATGACCTGGTAATCGCCGCTAGAACCGGAGGCGTAGGCCTGCGCGGGGCTGGCGAGTGTCTTGTTGTGGAAGATGACAGTTGCGTTGACCGGTGGCGCTTGGGCCCAGTCGAACTTGAAGCCGGAGATCATTTGGCCCAGTTCGGACTGGAGGAGGACGGTTACGGCGCTGAGGTTTGACGCGAGGCTGGGCTGCCATTTTGTGGATGTTGCGCCGTCGTTGGCGGATATGGGGAATTGGCCTGGTTCGAAGGTATCTGTTGACTGGATGGGTTGGCATTGGACCAGATTGCCGGATATCGTGTTGACGGAACCGATTTGGCGATTCGGGATGACGAGTTGACCCTGTGTGGGGAGACTGTAGGAGGTGGAGTTTGCTTCTGGCCCGGCGTGGACGGTGATTGGGGAGCTCTTGAAGCGGGAGTCTGCTGTGTCGAGGGGTTGACTGTGGGCGCGGGTGAGGGTGGTGTGGGTGTAGTTTGACCATGCGGAGATGGGCCAGCCGCGCCAGTAGAAGGTGCGGTATTTCAGGTAGGGGATCTGCGGGGGCAGGTTGGGGTCTACGTGGAGGATGTCGTCGGGTAGCAGGCGGAGGCCGAGGTAGCCGAAGAGAACGACTTGGTTGGAGCCGCCGTGGCCGGTGAGGAAGGGGAATGCTGGGTGGGTGCCGCCGTTGATGGTGGCGTTGTCAATGAGTTGTTCGGACATTTGGTAGAATGGGGCGCGAGCGTAGGGCTTGAAGGAGTATTGGGCATAGGTGTATGCTGAGCAGCCTGAGGGAGACATCTCGTTCGCGACGGCGGAGAAGATGGCCCAGGTCATGGCAGGTCCGTCGGGGGATTGCTTGTTCGCGTACTGCGGAGAGGGTCAGCTTGGTATTTTATAACTCAACAAGGGTAGGTTGGTACTCACGTAGTCAAGGTCATTCAGGGAATCCTGGGTAGTGTAGTTGGAAGTGTAGGCCAAAGGATAAGTGTTCAAGACAACATCGGCCTGCTTCACAACAGCACTGCCGTTCATAGTGGTGAACTCCAGGGTGACACCGTTCTCGCGAATAACCAGGACGTTCTTGGCCATCTCGTCCCAGGTGGTATTCTCCGCGAGACCATACTGCTGGCGGAACTGGTTGGCATACGTCAAAGTCTGCGCAATGAGCGGCATGGTGAAACCGCCAGCGTCGACGTGGTTCGCGTACTCATCCTGGACATTGTTAGAATTGCATCAGAATAGGAGAATTGAGGTCGTGTACTCACAGGGTCGGTCATATTCTTGAGCGTCCAGTGGGATCCATTCTGCACCAGTAGATCGGCATAGAGAGTGGCGGCCGAGTCATAGATAGGGAACAAGCTGTCCTTGAAGGTCTTGTTATCGCCACTGGCAACCCACTGGTTGATGATCGACAAGCCAATGTCGCCATTCAGGTGGTACTCGTAATCCCAGCAAGGACCGGTAGCAGTACAATTGCCAGCTCGTCCACTGGTCCAGGGGTAGATAGCAGCATCAGGAGAGAAGTATGTCTGATTCTGGGATCCAGCAAAAGAAGTCTTGATGTTCTCCTGCGCCTGCGCATATCTGTCGACACGGTAGTTGGTAATACGCTGAGCAGATTCAGGGTGAGACGCGGCCAGACCAGGCTGCATCCAGACATCGGCGTCCCAGAAGACCTGACCAGCATAGGAGTCGGAAGTCAAACCACCGACGGAAATACTGTCTCGGTTCAGGGAAGTGCTGTTGGAGACCTTCATGGCGTTCTTGCCGACAGTGTTCTGCAGGAGATAGTATGTGTTGGCCACTGCGATCACGGCAGAATCAATGATGTTGCTATCTTCGGGCAGAGTGCCATTCGGGAAGGCATAACTATCAACCGAGTCCGCGGGCATCACGCTCGCCCACTCGGCAACGTGAGCGCGGAGGGACTTGGCGTATCCGTTCATGGTCGCAGCCGAAGCAGCAGCCTTGGCAACATCCTGGGGGTTGGTAAAGGCATCCGTGGAAGCGCCGCCAACGAACTTGGTAATATGCACTGTCTGGCCCTTCTTGAAAGTGACTGGCACAGTCTGGGCAATAGAAGAGGAGTTCTGGCTGACGTATGGCTTGTTGTTAACCAGTTTCCGCGAGGACAGATCGACGTTGGGAGTGGCGGTCAGATTAGCGTAGATGTAGGCCGTAACGTTGGCGATGCCATTTGGTCGCACTGCAGAGTAAATGGCTCCATTGTCCTCGCCCGAGTGAACGAAATCAGCGCGAACAGCAGAGAATCCCTCTAGAACATTGGCAATAGTTCCATTGGAATCCTGCGAGGGAACAATCTCCATATCCACAACGGCCTGGTTGACATACAACTTGTTGGCAAAGAGGCGGTAAGTAATATCAAAGGAGCCAAAGTTGCCCTTGGGCTTCCACTGGTAAGACCAAGAGAGGACACCAGCCTGGAAGTCATAGGTTGAGGTAAAGCCCGAGATAGTAGAGTTATCAACCTTGGCATCCAAATAGGTATTGCTGTCAAGCTCCAGGATCAGACCACCCCAGTGGGGAACACCACTGATAACACTGTCACTACCGTACTGGGAGATCCAGCCAAAGTTCGAGCTGTTAGTGGTAGGCTGGGAATCCCAGAAACCACTAATGGTCGCAAAGGATTGGCGCCGCGAAAAGAGCGGCCATCCGCTAATCACATCGCCGCCCACAGCGGCGTCATCCTCCTCGAAGAACGGTCCAACGCTGGCAACATTGATACCGAGGTAACCGTTGGCGACGGAGCCTCGTGTCTGGAAGCGACCCTGCTCCAGGGTAGTAGTCGTCAGGATCCAGTTATCGTCATCCCAGGTCACGCCATCAAAGTCGGTCTGGTAGACATTCTTGCTGGCATTAGCTGAGGCAGATGCACCATGGCCTGTGTAGGCCTTCAAGCATCTGTTTACACGGCTGACTGGAGAGGCCGCCTCCACCAGTGAGTTCAGCTGGAGAAGCACCGGCAGTGCCGTCCAAAGGAAAGGCTATAACGCTGTTAATACTAGTTCGACAAGAGGCGAGAGGCATATAGTAGTGAATTGATTATCCTACTCACCTTGAACTGCATCTTGCAGTCTACCCTCCTGCTGAGGACACTCGGTCGATATCGAGTAAATAGTCTGCTGGAAAAGAGGCGCGAGTCCCTCGAAGTATCCTCCTCTTAGAGAGAGGCGGGACGTATAAGGAAGGAGAGAAGATGGACAGGCGGGAGATGACGATGCCAGGAAATACAAAAAAGAAGTCCAAAGAAGGGGTGGACGGTATGCGCGAGATATTTAAGTAACCACAGGCATCAGCTTCAATTTGGCAAAAATGGGCGCTGATCTCAGAACCACATGGCACTTGATCCTGCGGCCAGTACGGTACTACTCCGGTCTTTCTGTACAGAAGTCAATTTGCTCAGGCCCATGCCATCCCGTAAGTTCAGAATGTGGGGAAGCAATCAAAGTTACTTCCAAAGTTACTTCCTTCACGTTACAGTCGGTGCTTACGACACTAATACTCGGTGACTGGTTTTTGTTCTCCCTGACAACTTTACAAGTGGGCAAATGATACGAGCTACAGATCCTCCCAGTGGAGTCTTTGTCCGTGCAGATTTGCCCCGCCCAGCCGAGTCGGGGGAATGTCGTATGAGGCTGGGGGGGTTGCCTTTGACCGGTCCCCGACCTTTTTACTATTCGGACAGTCCGGTGGCGCCGAAAGAACCGGTTAAGAAGGGTGAATGCCAAAAAGCCATGACGGGCATGACGCTGTGGGCTGACTTTGGGTTGGGGTTGGTTGTAACTTGTGTAAGTTTCTGGGGGTGTAAATTGCCGCTCGAATGCCGGTACTTTGTTCCCCAGTTACCGAAGATTCCAGGACCAGGACCGAGAAAGTGCTCGTCCTGGTCGGGGCCGGGTACCAGGCAGCGATGAGCCATCCGTTGGGGGAACCGGTATCTCGTCATCGAGCCGGCCAGGATCCTTGGGAACGGGATTTGGCGCAGAGTTTGTGTGGGGGTGTTTTGGACTGGTTGGTACATTCCTTCCTTGGTTGTTTGAGGAGCCCCCGGACGGGTTGCTGGCGGGCCCATAAAACGCCCGACAAAAGCCCGTCATGGCTGACCGGGAAAGGCAGGTCCCTGTGTGCCCGGCGAAGTTTATATATTATTAAGGGGTGGCCACTGGCCAGCCAAGAGGACGGTGCGTGAGTTGAGTTATCTTCTCTCAGGGTCTCTTGGGGAGTCTTTTCCGGTGACACATACGTACGTATCGGGGGAAATTCCAATGGAAGTGTTCTCGAATTCTTGATTTGAGGTTTAAGGTTGTGCGACCGTCGAGCGCCCCAAAGGCTTGGCTGGGAGCCTGAGGCATAAAGAGAACTGGCGCAAGGAATCCATACGAAGTAGAAAAGAATAATTCATTACTAGATAGATCCCTGCTATGTTTCATTCTATGAATTTATACGAATCACGACCAGAAACATAGTCAGGCTGACCGAGAACCCGAGCAGGTGGTACTCTGATTGAACCTGCATGAACTATATATACACTAGGGAGAACTAACACCTCCAAATTTAAGCATATCGGCATCCCCGCTGGCATGGGCACGTGTTGGCCCAACAGAACAGACGCGGGTTTGAGAGCTCTATGATGTACATGAAATCATAAACAGGATATGAATGAACATTGTTGGACATTGTAGGTTGCCGGCTTTATCCAAGACTGGAGGCCTTCCCAAACGTACGGGTGGATGGTGAACAGCCACCGATAGTCCTTGCGGAGGAGCAACGCCAGATATTGGCGACCATCGGCTTTCTTCAGTCACCTATTCTATGTTCAACACGTTCTCAGACAGACCAGTCCTCGGTCTGGCACCCATGTGGGAACTTGGGTACTCGATGGCCCTGTATCATCCATCACCTTCGGTGGAGACTTGAGTAAGAAGGTCGCAACTCCCATCCCCTGATAGCGGGATTGAGAGGGGCCACAGGGACAGGTAGAAATATTTGGAGGATTCCGTCAATGGTCACGGCACAAGATTAGAATAGGATCCATCGTGCTGTCGGCATTGAATCGACTTCTCGTGGTTCACCCTTGTTCTTCTTCGCTGTCCCCAGAAGCACCAGCATCACCGTCTGGTAGGTCCGGAGTGGCCTCAGTCTCCTGTCGCAAATTCCTACTCGGCCTTGGCCGGCTCGCCTCCTCCACAGCTCTCTCACCCACAAACTTTTCTCCAGACCAGTCCTCTTTGCACACGGGACATTTCTCAGCTTTTTGCATGCGGAAGAAATTGCGCACGCAGTGGTCATGGAGGCGACCCAAGCAGTCACGATCGTCACAGCGTTGGCCCTATAAGCACATGGTCAGTTCGCCGCAAACCCAGACCTATAAGGAAACTCGGATTTGGGTTCGCATTCTCACCACTGTAATAATATCCTTGCAAGCAGCGCAGAACTTGATCCGATGCGCTACCCGCCCATCCTCTTCCTCATTATACATAGACACCAACCAACCCCGCAACTCCATCAGTGCGCGCGGACTCAAACTGAAGTAGCCCTTCCGACTCTTCTCCAACCACCCTTCCTGCATCAAAGCCTTGATCATATCCTGCGCCTGCTGCATGGTCAAGTTCTGCGCTGCACCACCTTCACCCTGCTGTGTGTCGACATTCGTAGATCCCCGTCGGTCTCCGCCCACTTTTGCAAGTTGAACAGCTTGCATAGACGTGATAGTCATCCCCTCGCATCGGCGTGTGTTATTCGTGTCGAACATGAAGTCGAGGACTCGCTTGACGAATGCGATTTCATCGGCTGAGTAGGTTGTCGCGAGCTGGGTTAGAGGATCACTTGTCGTGTTGACAAGTGCGTAGACCAGGACGGGGGCCGTATGCGTGGCATCTTGGTGTGTTTCCTTCGGGTCTTGCCGGCGGGATGTTCTGATTTCCAAATCGAAGGGGGAGATGGCCGAGTTCGCGGCGTCGACGAAGGCGCTCAGGTCTTCTTGGGTGATGTGCTCGGGGTCGACGGATCCTCCTTCTGCGTGTGTTTAAATGGTTAGCATTCCAGGGCAGGGATAATGATCGAGAAAGAGGCAGATATGCGTACGATGGGCCGAGAGGATCGCTGCTAGCACGGGCTGAGCTTCTTCAAAGGTCATGGTTGAGCGTGCCATGAACGCTTGGAGAAAGGCGCGGTTGCTATCATTATATCCGTCGACTTCCATGATGTCGGGGTCCTTGTGGGACTCGTGTCAATGTGATTCCAAGTCAAGGGAAGACCTGACGCTGCCTGTCTGCTCACGTCTCGAAATGTGAAGGAAGTGGTCGGACGCGATGCTACGCGCCGCGTGTGGGGGTGCCAAGACTTGCGGACAAAGAAATCGAGTCCAGTGAAGGCATGTCCCTGTTTAGATATTTGCGACACAATGGAGGTTTTCAAAGACAAATCAAATTAAATAAAAAGATTATTTGAATCCGTTCTCAATGTACATACCTGCTATAACTCTGCATCTGTTTGCACCATCCTAATTTTTGCCTTTGAATACTCCACAATATCCTCCATAGATCTACTCTTAGCATCCGTGACATATATCACTACGAATGTCAATGGGCCCCTCTACAAGTTGTAATAGTTCCATAATGCCTCATGTTGCCAGGTTGTGGGCCGTGATACATACACAAGGAATTCGATTCCCTAAGAAGCCGGCTGCAAGTGCACACTGTGGAGGATTAGTCCTGAACAACGGAGAACCCTTACACAGCATCTATGCTGTCTCGAGGCACATGATACCCATTGGTAGCATGCAGCACAGAGTTAAGTTAAAGGAAAATTGGACCAACGAATATCCGATCGTGTCAAAATCGATAACTTGCAGGTCTGATATCATGATGTAAAATACAAGATGCCAATCAGCAAAAACCAATGCTGAACCCCCAGTCCTGATGGCGCTTCTTGCGCACAAAAAGCCTCGAAAGTGGAATCAAATAGTCCACAGACCTCGCCCAACGCCGGGAGTATGAAGACAGGAAAATCGAAGTAAAGCACATTTGCAGAAATTTAGAAAGGAGAAAAGAGAGCAACGACCTCCAACGCTTAAAATCTCCGCCGAGTCGGCTCAGGGCTGGGGCTGCGAGTGGCACTGCGGGCATCACGACCCCGTTCCTTGAGCCACTTCTTTGTGCTCAACCGCAACTCACGGTCCAACTCGGGGCCAGGGTCTTTGCGATGAATAAAGTTGCAGAATCCCCCACGTACACAGCCCTCTCCACTGTTCAATCGACAGCACGCTTCTCGGAAATCCGTGACCGGTGATAGTTCGCAATATATGGGTCGCGCAGCGTACCACCGAGAGTTCAATGCATCGCATGCCGCCTGTGCGTCTTCCTCGTACTTGAATCGGGCGTAGACGTTACCGATCAGATCTGCAGTAAAGAAGACAGGTTAGTAATTTGCAATCAAAGCTCCACCATCTGATCAAACCCCCACAGAAGTCTCAACTTACGATCATTGTTGTTATCGCAGACAACCAGCTCCTCGAGTTCGCCGTACTTGCACATCTCGCACCATACGTCCTCGTAGAAAGCGTCGAAGTGGTTCTGCAACTGGCTCGGGTTCATTTTGTTCTTGGGGTCATACGCCGGGTTCTGGTACATGTTTGGCATGAGGACGGTCTGCGAGTAGGAGGGCTTGACGTGTTTGCGAGAGCAGCGGTCGCCGTGACGGCATGCGCCGATCTTGTAGTAGAAGGAGCAATTGACCTTGTCCTGCTCGGTACCGAAGATGGAGGCGAGGTAGTTGGCCATGATGGGCTGGTGTAAGTGTTTTCAGTCGCCGGTGTGAGGGTTGTATAGGAAGGTGGAGGGGGTGGAAGAGGTTCGAGGAGGCGAGGCGACAAAAGCGAGGGAGCGGACGATTGCTTGGTGATATCGGATGCCTGAAGTTTCTGGAGAGCTCCAGTGCCACCGCTGACTAAAGCCAGGGAGCTCTAGCGGAACAACTATCATCCGATGTACTATGCCGGGAGGCGTCAGGGATTACTACTTAGTATTACATGAGTAGCAAGAGAGAGTATGTAATAGAAAAGAGTATTCAAGTTTTTAACGACCATAAGTTCCAGATTGAGTACTTCCCCCGTCTTCATCCCGATCTGCTCAAGGGTACATTTCTTGCTATACAAAAGCCATACTCCTGGAGTTTAACCTAGGCGACGCTAGGTTTCGACCTCATCGAGACAGCCGAAGATCTTTCAAATGTGAAATAACCTATCTAATGATACTACCTAGTTTTCTCTCCTGTAAATATCTGGAGACGACATTTTGGGGCTCTCGGTCTGAGAAACTTCCCTTCGGGCATCCCGTACCTGGGGCACACGATATATATCCCGCAACCCTACGTTGGCGGTTGCCTCTCGCAAATCCTGGACAGGCGCTGGATGTCTACTGTAGCTTTCGCATAGATTTAATTATCGATTGGAACCGATATGTCAACCGAATTATCTCATTCATCATGACCAATGCAGAGATATGTGCTCTTTAAAGTTGCACAGCATGACGTCGGTAGGCCGAATGCCACACCCCGCGAGATTATTAAGCCCCGCACCTAACGGCAGCTCTTGGAAGCATTCTGCAGCTCCCATCCATCCAGTCATATCGAGGCATTCCAAGTACAACCTTGCTCTTGTGCATCACTGTTGAGCGTGTAGGTTCTTGCATCTCTCCCTGGTCAATTTTGTCGAAGTTCACCGCAAGAGGTTCCGTTTCGTTTACAGACCACTCGTGTGTTTGCTCTCATATCAAGGGCCATTGCAGAAGCAGGACCTCTTGTCGACGAACCCTGTTAACTCAATTTGTTGTGAGCTTACTGGACTCGTCGCTGACCAGACGTACAGATATAAACATGGCTGCCAAGACTATCATCGTCACTGGTGCCTCGCGAGGTCGGATCTCCCCCACCATGTTTCCTTAGCGAGAGACTGACAACCTCACAGGCATCGGTCTTGCCATTGCCAAGTACCTCCTCACAGCACCTCAGGCGCACAATGTTGTCGTGGTGGCTCGTAGTGTCGAGCCGCTCCAGAAGTTGAAGGAGCAGTACAGCAAGCAAGTGGAGGTGGTTAACGGTGACCTGGCTGACTTTTCTCTCGCTCAAAAGGTAGTTGATACCGCGATCAACTCCTTTGGCCAGCTTGACGGGATGGTGTTAAACCACGGCATCCTGGGCCAGGTCGGCAAGATTGCTGCCGCTGATGTTGACCAGTGGAAGAAAGACTTTGATGTCAACTTTTTTAGCCTGGTTGCTTTCGTATGCCAATGCTCCTCCATGCGAGACTACTGAACTATGTGACTGACCGATCTACAGACTAAAGCGGCTCTCCCGGCTCTCCGCCAGTCCAAGGGAAAGATTATCTTCACCTCCTCAGGTGCCGCCGTGTCCGGCTACCGCGGCTGGGGTCTCTACGGAGCTACCAAGGCGGCAATGAACCACTTCGCCATGAGTCTGGGCAACGAGGAACCCGATGTCATCTCTGTAGCCATCCGACCTGGCATGGTTGACACCGAAATGCAGCGGGAGCTGCGTGAGGACCACGCTACGAACCTAGACACCGAGATGCACTCGAAATTTGCAGGTGCCCACAAGGACGGCAAGCTTGTCAAGCCCGAGCAGCCGGGCCATGTCATGGCGAAGCTAGTGCTCGAGGCACCCAAGGACCTCAGCGGCCGTTTCCTCTCGTAAGTCCTACAGCTTTACGAAAATTTGGATGGTGCTAACAGTACGCAGATGGAACGACAAGGAGCTCGATGCTTTCCAAGAATAGTTTTAGAATATTCATTGTTTGTAATTAAATTCAAGATTATACGGTATAGGAAACTGTACAGCAATCAGTATTGAATGCCATAAAAAGCAATGGATGTAAAGTCAAGAGCGGTTGAGTTGTAATCAGCCGAAAGATGAAAAGCAGGTACATTTTATAAGCATTAGGTGCAGAACACCTTCATACTTAGCATGGAATGTAGGATGATCATCATACAAAGAGAGAGTGTATATTGAGAGAGATTTTTTCGTTCGTACCTATCGAGTATGCTCGAGGAAAGGGATTCTCTCAACCGTGGAAAATTTCTAAGCGAGAGCCCGAGATTTTTATCCGTCTTATAAGATTGCAGAAATGGACTTCCTAGATATCTTGAAGAAGTCAGTCGAAGATTCTTCACAATGCAGTCATATACAGAAGCAATAATAGGAGTAAATATCAGTTCGTCCGTTTGGCTAGGACAGTGTAATCACCACGGTTTTGTATGATAGGGGCGACAACGTTGTTCATCATAGAAAAAAAGCAAGAAGGGAGTGATGGAGATGAAAGCTTACCATTAGTGACCAGCCCCAAGAATGAATTCACATCAGAATCCACTCTTAAGGAAAGTATCGAAAGCAGATTGAGGTTGTTAGGAGAAAGAAAGAAAATCTTAGCTTGAAGAAAAAAAAATTGAGAATAAATGTGGTTGCAGGCGGTGAGGATCTGCCGGCAGGAAAATATATGGGCCCGAGTCTCTCGAGCACGCCTCGGAAGGCATTTAATGCTTCAGGTTCGCCCCACGCAGTGAACTCAAAGAGAGAAAAACAAAAGTGCCCGACTCAGCCGTGCTGCTAGCCTTCTCTTTTGTTTGGACTCGTGGCTGCTGACGCGCTTTTTCATCTCTTTCATCTCTTGACACACATTCAGTCACCATGTCCGATCGAGAGTTCGGCTGTAAGTCTCCTGTCTCAATGCTCATGACGTGCACGCGCGCAAGCTGACATGTTTGGATTCACCTTAGCCAACGATGACCTGTCGCTTCCTAAAGGTATGACCGAATCCTGCCTTTCATTCTTATTTCAGATACTTTGTCGTTTTCGATCCGGCTCGACCGCTTCGCGGGAAATCTCCGTTTGCTGCGCCTACACAGACAGCCTCGCGTGTTTGATCAGACCTTACTGACATTTGTTGACTATAGCAACGGTCCAAAAAATCATTACCGAAATTCTACCTCCCAGCATGGGCCAGACCTTCTCCAAAGATGCGCGCGATCTGCTCATGGAATGTTGCGTCGAGTTCATCACCTTGATCTCATCCGAGGCGAACGACATTAGCGAAAAGGAAGCCAAGAAGACCATCGCATGCGAGCACGTTGAGAAGGCACTACGTGATCTCGGCTTTGCAGACTACATTCCCGATGTACTTGCTGTTGCCGAGGAGCACAGGGAACAGTTGAAGGTGCGCATTCACAAGTGTATTCACTCTGAGGTTCTTGAATTGTCTTAGCTAACATACGTTTGGAATAGTCACGAGAGAAGAAGCAGAGCAAGATGGAGCAGAGTGGCCTGTCTGAGGAGGAGCTCCTTCGCCAACAGCAGGAGCTGTTCCGGTCTGCGACGGAGAAGTACAATGCAGGCCCGGAATAAGATGACTCTTAGTTCTAAAAGGAACTCATGCTGGACATAGAGGAAAACGGATCCTTGGCGTTATTCTGCTTTCATTCGGGATGGTGCGCCCTGGGAGTTTACGATGCTGCTTTATTCTTTCCTTCTGCTTCTTTAAACGCATGCAAATGAGGCGTAATATAACTAATGACATGACATTTGAGGCATTATGAGAAATGCAGAGTGATTTGTGAATTTCCTCAAAAGAGTTACATTTGCAATTCAAGAGTAACGAACTAGACGACCCATCCTTCGATGGTGCTTGATACATAGATGCCGTAAAGGAGGCCTCTGCGTGCACATTCGCATAGTAGAAGCTGAGAGCCAAAATCTTCAAACTGGTCTTGTTTCGGGCAAATTCTAGCATTTGAAACACAAATACCAAAACATCTAGGTCAGTGTGTTCGTCATGTAGAAGTTCCACGATCTATGGTGGTGTTTACCATCTCTGAGCCCATCCTTCCTGCCTGGATTCTTAGGCTACTAGACGCGATCCAAACGAACACGTGACCTCGACTCTGCATTCTCGCCTTATCCCTCAGGCGACAACTTATTCCGACTCAGGCCAAAACATACACACGTGATCTGTCCTGCCAAGCCCAAGGCGCGCTAAACCACGATGGGACGTCCCAAGTCCAAGCCCAAGCCCACACCCAGGGCCTCCAGGACTCGGAAGGGCCGACAGCAAGACGACGAACCGTTGTTCCCTGATCGCAAACCCTCAAACATGCCACCCTTCAAGGATGAGCATATCTTGGTACGTGAAGCTTTGGACCCTTCGTCCAGTCTTCTGCATCAGCAACTGAGCCATCCAACTAACACTCGCATTAGTTGATTGCGCCAGGTTCGCAAATGACCCTGGCGCAGCTCGGCCTCCCCGAAACGTTCACGCCGGCGCGCTTTCGCTTCCCCACGCGCATGTTCCCTGCCCAGAAGAAGGGAGAATATGAGCCTTACCAAATTCGCGAACGTCGTCAACCAGTCGCAGCCACCAATGGCAATGGCGCGCCCAAGACCGAGCCCGTCAAGGCTGACGTCGAGATGAAGGACGCGGAGTCCACTGGCCAAGATGGCACTGAAAAGCCCGAGTCCATTGAGAATACAGAGAAGCCAGCCGGCGAAACTGCCGAAGGGGCCGAAAAGACCGAGACCCAGGAGACCTTCTACGAGGAGGACGTGACATCCGATGAAGGCGCTGTGTACCCAATCAAGGACGGACGCATTGTCGACTGGCCTTGCTTCTTCGCCCTCCTGACCCACATCTACAACGCCCTGAGCCCTCCATTCCACACCCCGATCCTGTTGATTGCGCAGCCAGTCTGGTCCACGCGCGACCGCGAGGCAATCACCCAGTTCGTCTTCGAGAAGTTCAAGACGCCCGCGTTCACTCTTATGGACGCTGCATCTGCTACTTGCTACGGCTACGGTGTGGGAACCGCTACAGTTATTGATGTTGGCAAGAGCAAAGTGGACGTGACTGCGGTGACCGATTTCCAGGTCAATGAACATGGCCGAGGTATTGCACTGGCAGGATGCGGTGGCGATGCTATGACTGATCGACTCATCGAGCTCCTGGGTTCCAAGGGCTTCACTCGGGAGATGTGTGAACAGCTCAAGCGGAGCAATATCGCCGAAATTCTAGCTCCTGGTACACCACTTCCCGGGGCTGCTGCTACTGCACGTCAGGGCACAAACCCGGCGGCGGCTGCATCGACTGGTGGAACGAATGGAAACGACTCTGTTCCTCGTGGCCTTGGCGAGGGTACCCAGACTGGTACTGAAACTAATAGCGAAGAGGATGAAGGTGTCCTCGACGTTGCTGCCATCGTGAGCGGTGACACTACTGAGTATCTTGCCAAGATTGAGAAGGAAAAAGTCAATAAAAAGGGGGCGGAGACCAAGCAGAAGAACGCTCCCAACCACCAGAAGGAGAAGGCGACCTTCCAGTTCGAGGAATTCGTCCCATTGGATGATGACAGCGCACCCACCAGTGGCTCCCGCCGGTACATTCGGCACACTCGAGAGATTGAGGTTGGCGCCGAGCGCTTCCTTTTGGCGACTCCTGTGCAAAATGCTGGAGAGCGTCTGACTAGCGGCATTCTCGAGGATATCGCAACCCAAATTCATCACACCATCCTCGCCGTTCCGGATGCGACCAAGCGCAGCGAGCTTTGGGATTCCCTCATCATTGTTGGGTGCGGTAGCCGAGTTCGAGGTTAGTTATCAATTCCCGCCTTTTGCCCTGTGTTGGACTCTTACTGACTGTTCGAATGTATAGGCTTCGCCCAAGCTCTCCTTGGCGTCATCACCCAGAAGTACATCCTTTCTCCGTCTGCTACCATTTTCACATCTGAAATCCCTTCCGCCTTCACAACACCCCTCCCAACTGGTGGCACCAACACCCCGGCGCCCACAGGCCAACCCGGCATAATGTACCACCCGGCGGCCCATGGTGTTAACCCACTTCTCGTGGCTGCTACCCACAACAACCCCGGTATGGCCGGCGCCACTCCTGGCACTCCGGGGATGGACCCCAACATGTCGGTGCACCACCGCTCGACCGGCCACTCGCAGACTCCCACTTCCGTCAAGTGTTTGAGACTGCCCGATTACTTCCCCGAGTTCAAGCACGAAGGCAATCGGAACGCCCCCGGTGCCAGCCATGGCCCCAGTGCCACACAGGGCGGCCACGGCATCGAAGAAGCCACCTTCCTCGGTGCTCAGATGGCTGCTCGGGTCGTCTTCGTGCTCGACCAGGGCCTCTCAAAGGGCTTCATGACCCGCATTGAGTACAACGAGAATGGTCCGTCGGCCATCCACGAGTACTACCTGTGAAAACGGGCCTGGTCTCAACGAGCACGACCATGACGGCATTCTACGAACGGAGCGTGTTTTTTGATTTCTTTAATGGGTCCTTTTCATGTGGAACATCGGAACATCTGGCGAAGTGGGCTGGCTTTTTGTAATTTGCAGACCCTTTTTTCAACCTTTTCGCCTACAATTGTCTTGTACTCCTTTGCTTTGATGCCTCCTAGAAAAGCTTCTTCAGGATACAGGTGCTGGGTGGGGACTCCGGAGTTCGGTTCTGTCTCTTAGGACAAGTGTAAACAAATTCATATGGGACATGGGTCAAGATTGGTTTTTTTGTAGCCGTAATTCTGTCTTGTATACGTATACTGGAACTACAGTAATCAGATCTACATCGGCTAAAGTGTTAAAGATGTGGTTGGTGGGTCTAGGCCCTGTCGTGGTTATCGACACGTGACCCGGAGATAGCGATCGCAACGCCACCGCTCCAGCATTTTGCCAAAGATCAGTTCTCATCAATCACCGCCATCACCACTGCCTTCGCTTTTACTCACGATTCAACGGAATAGATCCCTTGAGATTAGCGCGACATTTGACAACTCATCTTTCCGACCCACAATCTCTCAGTGACAACACGCATCCTTCACGATGCCACGCGCAGAGGCCGGTAAGCTCTCCTCGAAGAACTGTTCAGATTGGCTCAATAGCTAACTTTACCTTAGGTAGCACCAAGGCCATTTCAAATAATATCAAGAGCAAAGGTGAGTCCTTGTCAGAGCATCTAAAGCTCTTTCGAGTCGTTGCGCTCATCCGGACGCCGAGCTCTTGCATACCAAGGTCTGCAAGTACTGACCATGCTGTTTGATTTCCAGGACTGGGCAGATTGAGATGGTACTGCCAGGCATGGTAAGTTTCACAATCTCGTTTTGAAGACTAGCAGCTGACATTAACTCGAAGCGAACGGCAAATGCGGGACGAGAACGGCTTCAAGTGAGTATCTTTCCTCTTTGTCCAGACTATGACGAGATCCAGGAGCTAACATCGGATTTTACAAGGTGCCACGTCCAAAGCGAAGCGCATGTCCGGCAAATGCTGCTCATCGGCGAAGATCCCAAGAAACACATTAAACAATTCTCCAACGAGTTCTTGAAGAACTTCATCGACCTTTTGAAAACAAGTGTGTAGTAGTATCCTATGCTATTCCTCGACCAAGAATGCTGACATTTTGATAGCACACGGAGAGAAGCAAGTCAACGCCAATCATTTCTACCAGCAAGTCATCGCGGACAAGACCCACATCCATATGAACTCCACGGAATGGAAATCGCTCTCAGCTTTCACCGCACACTTGGGGAGGAATGGAATTTGTCGAGTGGAGGAGACTGAGAAAGGTCTATTCATATCATGGATCGATAATAGCCCAGAGACAATGCGCAGACGCGAGGCGATCATGAAGAAAGAACGACAAGATAAAGGCGACGAAGAGCGTGAGCAGCGCTTGATTCAGGAGCAAGTTGAACGCGCGCAGCGCAATGCAAAAGAAAAAGAGAAAGAAGAAACTGCAGAGGAAAGGTTGCTACAGCGGGAAGAAGGCGAAAAAGTCAAGTTGAATTTCGGGTTCAGCGCAAAGCCAAAGCCCGATGCCAACACGGTCTCACCTTCGGCGGCGGCGGCAGCGACGGCGGAATCTTCTGATGCCAAGGATTCTCCTGCTCCGACAGACAGAGAAGCGTCAACTCCAACTACCTCTCGGGCCCCTACCAAGATTTCCATGTCATTCGGCGGCGCACAAAAGCCGAAGAACGTGTTTGCCTCGGGCCCGAAAAAGAACCCCCTAGCTGGGAAGAAGGGACCTGTGATGGCGCAGCCCAAGAAGATGACCGAGCAAGAGAGGATCATGAAAGCCGAGATGGACGCTGCCGAACGCAAGCGCTCCAGACCGGACTCTGTCTTTAACTCTAAGCGGCCGAAGCTTGCATAGGCTTTGATGTGTGGTTGTCCGGTTTCGTCGTCGGATTGTACATTTCTTGTTGCTTTCTTATTATACCCTGTATCCTGCATGAAATAGATGAATTCACAATCGAGATACAAACAACATCCATACATACAAGGTCAATATGCCCCTCGGCTGTTTCTTATTCCTATGTCGCCTGGTAGTAGCAGAACTCTAAAATGGCTACTAGTACTTGGCTAAACTTCGTTAGTACAGCACCCTCGGTACTCTATTCTAAGCCACAATCTCCATCATCGAGACTTTGGTCGCCAAGGCATTTCATCACTCATTCAAGAGGTATGCGCATTGCCGGTACCCTTGTAATGATGGTGGCAAGAGTGTCCTAGGTTTGCGATTGTACAACTACGGCGTAACACAAGCCGGAGAAGCACATCCTACCACATAGAAATTCTCCTCTCAAGTCGTACATAGATCAAGTCAGGATCATCTCTCAATTCTTTCTCGGCTGCCTGGCTTGGTCGGTGAGGGTGTAATTTTGAGTTCCTCACGAATCAATGCTGGATCCTCAACTCGGCCCCCACTCGAGCTGCACCTGCATTCATCAGGTGCAGATCATCCCCGTCGGCCGTTGGCAAACGACCGAACGGACACTGCCCATTTGTTTTCTCTCGCCCTCGCGCTTTAGTCGGACCGTCGGGGCGGGCACCACCGGAAGAGGGGTTATGCAGGAGAGTAGTATCCGAGAGACTCTCGCACATGGAGAGAGTGATATAAATCCTCCATGAGCTCGCATTTTATCGTTGGGAAAAGCAAGACAAAGACCTGCAGCAAGTCCGGGACATGGAGTTGGTCAGCAATATCCCGACCGTTTTGGTTTCCTCGATTGGATTCTTATGCCTGGTAAGCTCCTATAACCAGGGTCTGTTATATCTTGGGTCGAACCTTGAAGCTGATCGTATCCGCAGCATGCCTTGTATAGACGCGTGACTAGCCCACTCTCGCAGATACCAGGTCCTGAGGTATCGAGATGGACAGACATTGTGTACATTTACTACTGGCTCAACGGCCAGATCCCACTCTACGTTCATAAGCTACATGAAGAATATGGTCAGTAGTGCTTACCAGGATGCAACTAGTACTACAATAAAGTGCTGACGCAAAGCTTGTTTCAACCAGGACCTGTTGTTCGGACTGGCCCTTCCCGTGTTGACATCTGTGACATCGGCGCTGTAAAAGAAATCCACAAAACAAATAGTCGCTTCTTGAAATCAGACTGGTATCTGAAACTCGTTCCCAACGGCTCCGAAACCATGTTCTCTACTACAGACCAGCAACTTCATTCTTCGCGTCGGCGTTTACTTGCATCGCCCATCTCTGATTCATCGCTGACACGGATGGAGCCTATAATCCTGTCCCGGGTCCATATGGCAATCAACAGGATAACGGAGGAGATGGGGAGACGTGGTGCAGCGGATGTGTTCAAATGGTGGCTGTTCATGGCGACGGATGTTATTGGCGAACTTAGCTTCGGGGAGTCATTTCGGGTGCTTGAAGCTGGAGAGGTAACGCAGCTACATCAACAATATCATGAAGAATGATGGCTAACAAAGGGTCTCTTAATAGAAAACCCAATATACCATGGACCTTGAGCACATCTCCAATCTCCAGCCAATCCGCACCACTTTCCCATTCCTCGTCAAACTAGGCAAATACCTGCCACTCCCAGTCTTCAAACAGACGGCAGACGCAGGAAAAGACTCGGAATGTACTCATTCAAGTCCATCGAGCGGTATAAGAAGATGATCGCGGAGAATCCCACCGACCCAAAGCCAACCCTCTTCACGAAAATGTTCGACTCGGAGAAGAGCGGCTTAACCCACGAACAGATCCGACAAGAGGCGCAAGGGTACATCATTGCAGGCAGCGACACTACAGCTGTCACTTTGACATACCTCATCTGGGCTGTCTCTCGAGACGCCCGCGTTCGAGACAAGTTGGTCGAAGAACTGGCGACAGTGCCCGAGCCAGTGGCCGATCGAAACTTGCGCGATTTGCCTTACCTGAACCAGGTCATCAATGAGACACTGCGATTGTACACGGCCGTTCCATTTGGTCTACCGCGGTCAACCCCATCTGAAGGAGCTACCTTTAATGGATACTTTGTTCCGGGTGGGACTACAGTGTCCACACAATCTTACAGTATGCATCGGGATCCGGCAATTTTCCCAGATCCACATGCCTTCAAGCCTGAAAGATGGGCGAATGTCACAAAAGATATGAAAGATGCGTCATTGCCGTTTGGAGGGGGCTCAAGAAGTAAGTGCTTTGAGATTTATTCTTTCTTGTCACTACTGACTATGTCAATAGTTTGTATCGGATTGCATCTCGCCCGCATTGAGTTGCGCCTTGGTACAGCGCTTTTCTTTCGCAAATTCCCTAATGCGCATCCTTCAGCTACAGAAGGGATGACTGAGCGGGATATGGATATGAAGTCTTTCTTTTTGATGGCTCCGCAGGGACATCGGTGTCTTATTGAGGCTTGATTGTCTTTGATGATATTGCATATCGCATCAAGTACATCTGCACACAATGCAGAGTTTTAGCATTTGGGTGTCTGACTAATGGGACCCAATTCTATTATCTGCCATAGTATGTTACCTGATGCGTTTTCTGGCTGACGTTGAGATGTACGGAAGCTTCGAGGCCCATATTTGAAATGACTATGTTGTTGGTTGTCACATTGGTACTACAATAAACATTCAGGCACACCTGATTGTACACATCCCAGGGCCGAGAAAACCTTGACCTAGTACTATGAATAGCCACAGCATTCTGGATAGTATCAATGTCGAAACCCCTGAAGTAACAGGGCTTTAAGCAGACTGGTGTATTGTTCACCTGTCCAATTCATGCTCTTCCATTTTGATAGCCCCTCTCTTCAAAGAATTCCTGCGCAAAGTTGCAAACGAGCTATCAAACCTAACAACTGACATCTAGTCAGCACCTCCTTATAAGATTAAGTTTCATCCTTTTCCGGAGCTAGAACTAGGTTAAATCAAGATATGGCTCCCCTAAGCATCCCATCCTACATCACAGATCACCTTCCAAAATACATGGCAAACTACCTCCATCGCAACATCCCAGAATGCATTAAATTACTTGACAATATTAAAAATCAATGTGTTCCACTGAGCTCCGTGGTAGCCGCGATCTCCATTTATTCGGTCATCGCACTCTTACTTTCTTGGTGGGGTTGACTCGATACTCCAGGGAACGAAAAAGCCACGACGGATAGTCTTGCTAACGTATGAACTTTTTCGGTCCCAAAAGTCTCGATTCTTTCGAAGATAAGCGCAACAGACGTCGGAATCGGCGAGGTGGTAAATTACCCACCATCTATATCACTGGAAATTGAATTCGCTGACACATGCAAAGCCCTGTACCACCGCCCACCGCTGCAGCTGCCAACTGTATTCTGCGACCGTGAAACTCAGAGTTCAGCACCTGCTGGGAGAGACCTGAATTCTGCAGATACCCAGGGTTTAACCTTCCGCCCGAAAATGCCATTTTTAGGAACTCAGCCTCCGGTGTTATTTCAGGGATTCTCCTTTCCTCCGAGAGATTCATAATATCAGGATTGATGGAAGCGAGAAGGGAAATACCTCGGCAGGAACATTATTGTTTGCAATGAGTGAGGAGCTGGAAGAGAGGAGCTGGAAGAGAGGAGCTGGAAGAATGAGGTTGAAAAGCTTCCAACATAATATTGAGGTTTGATTGAAATGAGACGGAGCACGCGAGAGTGGAGGAAAGTACATGTTTAGTTAACTTCGTGAAAATGAACGTCGAAGCAAGTCTATAGCGCATTTCATTGCATCTTATCTATACCACCCAATCTGGCCACGATACTCAAGAATATTCAACAAGAGCCTGATTCGCATGGTTTCGATAACTCCTTGCCATCTGGTCCCGCCAGTCATCGCCCAATTGACCACCCAGGATCAGATCTATCTCTCTTAGTATCTCATTGCTCACATCCCTCCAGGTTTCCTTCCCATGTTTCTCCTGAAGCCATACCAGCGGAGTAATATCAAATCGATGACCCGCCCATTTCCCACGAGTAATGTGGTCTCCCCCGCCTATCATTTCGGGTTCCGTCGACCAAGAAATACGAGAAATTAAAACTTCAGCAAACCCAAAGACTTCAATCTGAGGACCGTGGATGAACTCTTCTTTAAGTGCGATCACTTCTCCTCGCACGTACTCTCGAGTTGTCAAATTACGCAGGATCCATCGTTGATTGCGTGGATAGAATTCCAGAATTTCCGGCTTAAGACCCATCATGATCTCTGCTCGATTGGCGGGGCCCATGTAGTGACTCGCTTCGTAGTCGAGGAACCATCTCTGCAGTCTCTGGGATAGGGCAGGTCCACCGATCTTCTTGTATGTGTTCCGAATGGAAAATGATTTTAGATCGTACACTTTGTTTAGCTGTTTGACCTCCTCGGCTTCGGTCACACTGAGCAGATCTGGCGGGAAATCGTGAGGATCGCTTTTATCGCCCACGCAAATTATCTTTTCTCCAGCCCACGGCGCGAGAGAATTGATGATGTGCTCTTCAATGTGGGAGAGTCCGACAGCCCAAAAGTATCGATTTGTCAGACTGAATCGCAGCACGTCTTCCACGCCATCGAGAAACGAGAAGATGCGGTGATGAATCTCGGATGGGAAGTTGAAGAGGGAATTTGGGCTGGTCAAGCTGATTTCGGTGGCATTGTGATGCTCGATTCTCGCGGCTTTGCTGGAGTGGTTCTGCGAGAGTTCATTGTGGTGAGTACGCTTTGTGCATTCGAAATCGTCATCTTGGTTGTCTTCGGCATTTTCGCCCGGGAGGAGTCCATCAATTTGTTCACTAGGAATGGAAAGTTAGCGTTTGCTCAATCTGTCTGGATGTTATCATCGACCGACCGGTGGGCGTTAAGTGGGACTGCGAGGAGTGGAACGAGACCAGCTGCGCTGCCCGTAAGTAACGCGTCGCGTAAGTTGCCCAAGACGCCAGTCGTTTCTTTGCGCGCGGGCGCGATGACTTGCCAATGCTGGACCATGAGGAAAGCTCTAGATCGCTGGACCGTGCAAGACTATGGTTTTGGTGAGACTATCATTTTTACTACTTCAGGGCCTTTTGTGTCGGTCAACGTCAGTACTACGTATGGCCCTACATCTATTTCATTGATTTATGCACTCATCAGAGAAGTATGGTCCTTCCAGCCCATCCGATCAGTTCATCATTAACTGCGATAGCTTGAGCTATTTCAGGAGTTGTGAGAATAATCTTTAAGCTGCTGATCTGAATCCGCACACCAATCTAAGCATAAAACGTTTAGCTCGATTAAAGTGCAAGGATGTATATTTCAGCACTCCACCACTCCCAAGCACGCCTGATTCGACCGACCAGGCATCTCCCTGACATTAATAATTTGGCCATTTTATGATTCGGTTGCACTGGCCGAAACATCCACCGCAGACTGGACTAAACCCAACTTGGCCTCCGTTAAGAACTCCCATTGGATGCGTTGTCATGGAATGAGGAGCCACAATCTCGCAGCACCGGCCCGCGCAAGCCCAGCCAAAAGCCGAGAGCTTCCAAGTTCCAGCAAGGAAATCCACCCCCCGCCCGCAGGATCCCCCCCCCCCCAGTTCCCGACATTCAGGAATCTCACAAATCCCCGTTCTCCCCAGTCCCCATTGAAATTGATATCGGCTCAACAACCATCCGGACGAAGTCCTGTAGGAGCGAAGATGGGTGGCATTCCGTGGCAGAGCAAGGGTTGTAGGACGTGTCGGAAGCGGAAGATCAAGGTGGGTGCCTCGTTTTTATTCCTTTTTTTCCCGTGACGTGACAGCCTCACAGTGACTGATTGGGAAAGTAGTGCGATCAACAGGAACCTGAGTGCGCACGGTGCCTAAAGACGGGCGTCAAGTGTTTAGGCTACGATAGGGACCGCTTCTTCGTTCATCAAGTCACGACTGGAAAGTCCAAACGATCCACTAATTCCAACGCTACTGGTGGTGGTGGTCCTGGTGCTTTCTTCAAGGGCGCGGGGAAGCTTCAAGTCGCTAAGCGGCCTCCGTTACGGCCGCAACAGCAGCAGCATCAGCAGCAGCCATGGATTATACCGCAGGCTGTGGCATCGGGGCCAGCGATGCGGAGCCAGGTGTTTTCCGAGTTTGCCAATATCTATTTCCCGCAGAGCATTGATACAAGCTACGCGCTGGATGTGTGGCATTATCTGATCTCCGGGTTTTCCGCGCTGCCGAAGAAGACGGAGATGCTGGACAAGGCGATTGCGGCCCTGGCATGCTTCTACCTCGGCAAGCTGCGAAAGGATAACCGTCTGTTTAACCATGGCATTCAGTTGTATAATAGTGCCATTCGCCATCTGTCGGCCATGATGAGTCAAAATAGCTATTGCGACGATATCGTGTATACGACGATTGTTTTTCAAGAAATAGAGGTATGTCGTCGTTGTTGTACTCGGTGATGCATAGGATTCTCCAGCAGATGGAGAACAAATGGAGACTAGTCGATGCTAATCCGCATACGACGATGCTAGTCATGTTACTGCCCCCACGGACTGCATGTATGGGTTGCGCATATTGCGGGTACCAATGCAATCCTCAGGCATTTCCGTCGAAAAGCAGGCAAGAACCCCTTGATCGACGCCATTTATAATCAACATCAAAAATTACGAATAGTACGTGCATATCTTTACATTTCTCTTGTACCTTCTTTGAAGAACCTTACTAACTTAATCAGCTATTCTCGACCACGGGCACGGGCATGTCCCCAGAAGATTATGACTACCTCACAAAACCCTGCGACGATCGACCCGTGAACGGCTTAATGAAATTCTACGGCGAGGCTTCGCCAATAGTAGACGCAATTAACACGGTCGATGCCTCAGACTATCAAGCCTGTAACGCAGTCCTTGCCAAGTGTATCGCACACAAAGACGCCCTGATGGCATGGTACGCAGCTCACAAGAAGGATTTCGGCGGAGGACCGTCGGAATGCAAGCCAGGCACAATATTGAATCCACGACTTCCTCCGACAGACGATTTATTCGGAACTTCCTACCGCTTCTCATCGCTCGATAATGCAAAACTACATATTGTGTTCTGGGTCGCGTTGTCCATCAGCCACCGCATGATCTACGAAGCCCGCGGCCTCGTCTTATCCCACAGTAACACACCCAGCACACCTACCGACCGCACCCAAGACGTGGACTTGTTACTTTCAATGTTCTACCACGACGAGATTGGCCGCTCCGTTCCGTACTGTGTACAGGACAGCATGAAATCATGGGGTTTCTCTACGCTACTCTGGGGCCTAAGTCAAATCCTGAATCCCTACGCAGAAGCCGGGAATTGGGATAAGTTTGTCTGGTGTCAGACTGCGTTGATGCTTGGTTCTGAGCGGGGATATGAGTCTGCAGTCCGGCTAAATGAGATATTTTGGGCTGTGTGGCACCGGGTAAATCCTCGACAACAGAGATTCATGGCGTTGTCGCTGCGGGACTTTGATCCGCAGTATGACAAGCAGAATCTCAATACCCCGAAACAGCATTATATGAAGCTTATGGATGCGACGGTGGAGCCGACGATGTTGGATGGGCCGCCGGAGGAGAGTTTATAGGTTTGTGGTGTCGAGCATTTGGATTGGCGTTTCAGGGAATACTTCCTTTGGGGTTTGATTCAGCGAAGAACATCTCCATCATAAGTGTGTGTGTGTACAAATTGGACACTCTATTCCTGTAAGGGTTGTCAAATTACTCGAACCTTCCCTTCTCAATGTACACAAGAATACAATCACGATATCCAACATCCTCATCAAAACATCCAAACACAAAAATGACTACCATAATCACAATTCTAATCACACTTGTACGCCCCAATCCAACCATCATCCCATAAACATCCAACCCCATAAACCAGCCATTCAAAACCTGATGCAAATAATCCAATCTCTGCGGCACCCCATTCGCCCTGTCCTCCTCCGAACAAGGATATTCCACCGTCAACCCCTTACACCCATTCACCCCACTCCCCGTCGTAAACCACCCATCATACACCCTAAAATCCTGAATCGCATTCCCCCCTCCGCGGTATCCAGATGCGGCCTGAGGTAATTCGTGCCCGCATCGACATTATCCTGAATCGAATCCGTGCATTGGCCGTTCGGATAGTTGTCGCAAGACACTTGCATAAGGCCGGGTGTGGGGACGCTGGCGCTGGCGTTGCAGGAGGATACTTATTAGCGATCGAGGAGAGGATGACGGGGTCCACGTCGTATTTGGAGCTGGCGAGTTGGAAGTATTGGGTCGTATTGGGCGCAGGGGAAGCCGATATTGGCGTAGAATTGGGGGAGGGTGATGCGGAGTACATCGGAGAAGGCGAGGCAGGGTAGTGTCCAGCTGTTACTGGAGATGCCGGTGTTTAGCCAGTCTTCGGATCTGTGCTGCTAGTTAGGGACTGTGATTCCCTGTCAAAAGGTCATTCATGAAGGGATGGGGCGTGGATACCCGCTTGGCCCGGTACTGGGCGTAACATTGTTGGTGGCGCCTTGAGCTTTGGGGTTGCTGCCCACGCCTGGGTTGGCGGATTGGATTGAGCTTGCGTGGTACCAGCCACTGCTGCCAGGGCTGCCAGCAGAATGGGCTTGAGGATAGCCATTGCAGTTTCACATGGAATCGAGCGCGAATTCCAGAGAAATAGATGCTTGCGAACGGCATGTCTGGATCAAGGTGGCCATATTAATATCCGGGTATCGTACCTGCGGAATGTCTCCACTGTGTATTCCCCAGCAGCGATGGACGATAGTCGTGATGTTTCATTTTGATAGTGACGAATTTCCCCTAAGGGTAAATGGCAAGGCTGATGGCAAACGTATTACCTGTGGAGATCAGCTTGTCAGTAACCAGTTTCATGTTCAAGTAATGGCGTTGACGTATATTCAAGACCCTGTAGATACAGGGGTTCGGATCTATCGGGTCTACCGGGCATTGTTTGGAGTAGATGCGTGGTGGAGCAGTGAAAGTGTGGGGTTGAGCACTCGAGGCCGCGGTAATTTGGGTTGTGGCTGCGGAATGCGGGACTGGTGGGTCTATCAAGATCGAGGAGCTTAGGACATCATATACTTGATATAGAGTGCTTAGAGGGCGATGTAACATTTAACCATAGGGGATGGTAAATGGAAATAGAAATGGAAATTGCAGAGACAACATGCAAAGAATGGAAAAAAATTGTAAATATAATATAAATATAAAAAAAGTGCCCCGACACCTCCAGTGCTTCGGAGGGCCCCAGACCTGTATGGGCTCAAAGATCGCAGACGCTGATCCCACATCTTGAGGGTCCCCCTGACATCGGCAATGTTACTAGCTACGGGCTCCGTGGACGCAACTCTCACTCCCCCGTCCGGTCTGCCCTATGTGTAGTCTTGGCAAAGCTCCTGTCAGGCTTCTCCCCAGGTGACAACAGACCGAGGAAGTCCTGCCTCTCTCCCGGTTCCGTTGCTTTGGGACAAAGGTTAGCGATGGCCACTTTTTGCCTTAGTACAGGGAGTGCCGGGAGTCCAGACATTACCACTCGACTATTGGAGGGGGTTGGTTGCATTTTCACCTTTTTTTACCCCTAAAAGTTCTCTCTGCATGCCGCGATGCGTATTCAACCTGCTAGATGACCACCTTAGCCTTGATCAAATTGGATGAAACTTTCATGATAGCTTCAATACAATTTATCCTATCTCTCTGCCAAATTTGAAGCTATTCAAATAAGTTCTGATTCAGTAGTGTTGGGTCAAGTCAAGGCCCTGGCATCGAAGGGTGAAGCTATTCGCAACTCCAAAATGATGCGCTTCTCTCCAAATCGGGAAAATCTCCGGTTCGAAACCCCACTGCTCCACTTTGACCCACTCTTTTCCTGCAAATCAGGTCCTTTCTATTTCTGGATCCCACATAGCGGGAAGCCGTGTCGCTTAGATAATAGTCTTATTTGACCTCTTTCAGCCTGTCAAGCCTTTGAGAGAACGCGTTGATTATAACTGGCACGTAAGTAGCATTTAACATTGTCTCATGCCATGTCTTTAACTTTTATATACTCTCTGAAGACCTTGAACGAAGATAGGTCAAACACTGGTAAATAAGATGCATCTTGAAAAAGCTCAAAGGGAACTTGTATTGGAACAGTATAGAATGGACAAGTTGTGTGCTAATTGACAGTATCGCTGAGCCTACATTATGGAATGAGGGATGTACTAAAAAGAGCAGCGAAAGCAATTTGTGGTGCCACCTCGCTGGGTTGTAAGGCAAGTCTGACGGGGAAGAACTGTCTAATCAAGCTCAGCAGGTGACAGCCCCATAGCATCGAAGGATATCTTTAGCCATATAACGTAGTTTGTCAATATCGAGGTAGAGAACATCGTTTGGGTTGCGGCCAGATTGAAGAGCAGTGCCAAACAGGTCGCCCCGTCGGATTTCGAGCCGTTGCGGAGTTGTGACAGCCTGCAATGGGAAGATAGTCTCTGACTGTTGAAGTTCCGGCATTCCTGTTTGGTTATTTTTCCGGTAGAGCTCGACGACACCGCTGACATGAGGATATTTGCATCTCGTCCATTTGATGATAATGACAACGTTGATTTCACCATTACTGCCGACGAGCAACCTGTTCATGTCTTTGACAAGTTCGTCGTAGCTTTCCGACCAACCGACCTGGGCCATAACAGCTGCAAGAGCCTGCGAGGGGAGAAGAACAAGAAACATTCCATCTGCCTCCTTTCGAGAATTGCGATATAGACCCTTTGTTAAATAGAGAGCTACTAAAGTTAGCCAGGTTACGATCAAATATAGTAATTGTTACAATACGCGCGCGGACGCGCTACCTGTCGCACAGGTCAAAAGGCCTGACACATCGGAACGCTATGTCCTAGCACATGTCATGTTAGGGGTGAAACTCTGGCAATAAAAGCTTACTCGCCATACCCCCGACCATGAGAAGAGGCTCCTCTGTCTCGTTTATCGCGCTTCATCGCCCATTTAAACATCATTTTCGTTAGCCATGGCACAGCCACACTCTGAATCAAAGGGTACCTAACGGTGTCTTGGAGGGTAGCAGCCTGAGGATCGTACGATTTCTTGGTCCTGGGGAGATCCGATCTCCCCCAAGAAAGTCTCCCACCCGGGGGTTACATCGGTAATGAGGATCTCATCAAATTCTCGAGATTCTCATATAGTATCGATAAGCCAGTATTCGAACTGACAGCGGTCTGAAAATTGCTTTGTGGATCGGACAGTCCGCGATATGTGCCACTGAAAAGCAGGGGGGAAAGACACGGCGATGGCGAGGAAGCAGAACTGGGATAGGAAAAAGAGAAGTGAAGAAGGACACAACGATGGAAGCGGGAATGAGGACAGAAATGTGGGCGGGAAAGGATTAAAGAGGCAAAGTGCATTAATGGCAACTGTAACCATGAGCTGAATTTTATTCTTTCGCCGAACCATGGAATTAACACTTGTTGTTATTCCAAACTAGGGTTTCCATGAGCAGCTCTAAAAAAAAGTACTGATTCTAGGAGTCAGGCATAAACGCCTAATTTTCAATGGTAGCAGAAAATAGGTCTACTCAAGTCCTATTATATTCAAGGCTATCTCGAGTATACGATTATGACGATCCGTCGTCTACTACCCTGAATTATACCTCCCAACTCTAATCAGACGTGGTCCCTAGATTCTGATATCTGGATGCTGCCAATCATCCAAACCCCTCTCTCACCACACACATAAGACCTCATGTACCTCAAAAAAAAAATAGAGATAGAAAAAGAAGGCATCACATTATGATCTAGACTAAAAAAAGAAGACCGAAACCGGGCCGCCCAGGTGGAGCATTGGCCCTGGTCACCCGCTAACTCCGCCCAACTGACTGTCAGGTAATTAAACCCGACGATCAAAGGGAGAGCGACATTGATTAGGTGAGTGCATCGACGCCGCCCGGTTTCGAACACCTCCCACTCGCCAGAGGTGTGCGGTAAACCTAGTGTTTTACCACTAATTTACCAAGGGGTCTTCTTGCCATTTTGGAACTGGAAGTGGCCTTTAACTTGTCCTGAGCAAACAAAGGGCGTTTGTTCGATTCCCACTGTCACCACTATCATGTATTATTTACCCAGCTGGCTCCTTGTCCATGCCCATTATCCACTGGCAGTCTCACGGTCATCAGCCTGTCATCATGCTACCATCTCTTATACGCTTGGTTGTCCCAAGCGACCCTGTATCGGCCGAGGCTCCTCTTGCTCCAGAACGACAGGTAACCCAAACTGCTCCTCACAACCCTGCCTTGCCAGCGGTCACCCCTCTCACCCAGCTTTGCTTGCAGGCTGCACTGTCACTCAACGAGCTACCACGATGCTCCCACAAATGACTGGTTCTCTTGAATGCTCATGCTGTTTCCTTTCTCGGCCACTATCTGCCCTAGCTTCTGGGTGTCCGCTTGAATTCTCTGATTCTGATATGCATGTCCGCGCGTTGATTTTGCACGAGTTTTGCCTTCCACACAACAACATACCGACCCCCCGTGCAACCGAAGCCAATCCTCAAGGCCCTTCAAGTCTGACCTCCGTTCACAGACCATTCAGTGCTCGCTACCATATCAGGCGAGCCAACGGATTCAGACAATACTCAAGCAGCAGAAACGATGGTGCTATTCTGTCAGAGCTAGGCTCGACCTCCTACGCAGTACAATCACTCCGCTATGGACATCTATACGAGCTATCCTTAGTGTATAAGGCGTGCTTTCGAGCTTTGGCCAAGCCGAGCTTTGGACCCTCGGGCAGTCGAGACTGGCTTGTTTTGTTATCCACAAACACCAAACCGTGCAGTGTTGCACATAGGGACTTTGAGAAATACTGTGGTGGGAAGTGGTACTTGGAGATCTCGTTCGTGGTTATGGGGGTATAAGATTGATACTTTGAACCGATTCTCAGACAACAATCTAGAGCGTATGTCCAAATTTGGGACCGGGACCACCCGAAACAACCGAGTTTATAAAACGCTGGCCATACGATCTATTGTGTTCAATCCACACTCATTACTCGATAAAGGAAACAGACAAGATCTTCATTTGGGTTTCATTTTCTTTTCGTATGGAAACATCTGCACACTCTGAACTGGTCCATGTCTGTCGTCTTTCTATAATATTCACAATGCGATGAAACTGCCAGGAATGTCTGGTAGAATGCTTCCACTTAGCCAGACCAAAGTGTAGTCCATGGATGTACACGTTCAGTTTAACAAGCGGGCTGACTGGTAAGGTCCCACTTAATTGGCTTGGGCTATCGTGGTATCATTGAGGAAGAACACTGCAGAAGAAGTCGAGAAATTGGCTTGATATATAACTAGAGAAAAGCCAAGCTGATGAATAATGGGCTAAAGTAATGAGACACACAAAGCTTCCTGCCAAACGAATATTTCGATTGCGTGCAGTATTGCTGAACGTATACAATTTATTCCTCGATCAATAAAAAGTGGCTAAAGGATCAGAGTGCTTCACGACTGGACTATGTGGATCTTCAACGGAGTCCCTGTGCCGGATTCACTCATCGACTCCGCGAATTTCCGCTTCTTCAATATGACGAACTGCCTCCAACTTTTCGCTAGTTTCAAGGTCCAACCCTCCACATTTTCTCAGAGCGTTAGAGTAATTAGTCACCTGCCACCAGTGCTCGGGTTCCTGGAATAGATTGTTCATTTCTTCAAGCGAGAGGCTTTTAGTCTCAGGGAAGAAGAAGAAAATGAGAATCGCAACAGAAGCTGCGATGACAGCATACACAATGTAATACCGGTACTTGATGGTTACAAAGGCGATTGGTGTAATCTCCGCAATGACAAAGTTGAAAAGCCAATGTGTGGCTGTCCCAATGGCCGAGAGATGCATCCGCAAATCCTGGGGAGCGATTTCCGTGCTGTACAGGAAATTGGCACCAAGGAAGCCGAGAGGGAAGAATGTCATGTAGAAGAATAGGAAAAATGTGGCAGCCACTGAAGCTGCATACGTATCGTGATTCTGTAAGACCCAGACACTCACGGCAAGGCATGCCATGCTCACACTCATCCCCAAGCTGGAGATGATGAATAATGGCTTTCGCCCAAAGCGATCCACGGTGAGGTATGCTAAGATGGCAGCAAATATTTTCCAAGTGAGCACACCGGCATTCAGCAGTGATGCCCTCTCCGCTGGTAAGCCCAGGGAGGAGCGGAAGATGGTGGTGCCATAGTAGGATATAGCATTGGCTCCAGTCATCTGGGCACCGAAATTGACGCCAATAGCAAGGCAAAAACGATAAAAGAGACGCTGGCGTTTGTTCTTGAAAAGGTCGGCGAACCCTCGTTCTGAGCTGCTAGCCTCTTGGAGAGCACGAGAGATAGTCTGCATCTCCATAGTGATGGCCTCTTGGTTAGCCTGGTCGGCACCAGCCAGTGCAATCATAGCGATACGAGCTTCTTCATCTCGACCCTTGCTTAGAAGCCAACGAGGAGATTCCGGGAATGACATCGTCGACGATATGATCATGAGTGTGAAAACTATTGGCAGGCACAGAGGAAGACGCCAGGCAACTTCGTTGTGGGATATGTGGGAAAGCCCAAAGTTGACCCAGCCGGCAACAGCAATTCCAGAAGCGATGAAGATGCCGATGATGACCACATTCTTTCCTCTAGATCGAGTTTTCGTACACTCGCTTTGCCAAACGGGTACGACCGCATTCACACCACCATTTCCAATACCAGACAAGATGCGACCGACAACCAACTGACCAATGGAATAGGAAGTGGCTTGGATCAAATGACCGATGGTGGCCACAATAGAGACCACGATCAGTGACTTGCGACGACCGATACGGTTTCCTAGTTGCGTAACCCCGAGGGCACCTATGAGACAACCGAGTGTATAGATGGCAACAACCGTACCTACAAGGAGCTTGGTTATCGACGGCTTCATGACAGGAATATCGATCGTGTAAACTAACCCTGAACTGTAGCATTTTGACTCATGGCAGAACCCTCGGTGTTCACGGTGTCGATAGGAGGGAAGTATTTGATGAAAGAAGGATAGTCAAGGACACCGCCTATATTTGATTGATTGTAACCGAATAGTAGAAAGGCAGGGACAACTATCATGAAAATACGAGCCCGCGCTAAGGCTGGACCTGTGAGACCGAGAAATGTCATATTGCGTTGAATTTATCCAAGAGAAAGGATCGGTGTTCGCGGACTATGTGAACAACTCGAGAGTTGTGGGTACAAAGAGATCTGTATCGTGCTTATGGGTGAGTTTTGGCAAGGCAAAGAGGCCCCCTTTATAAGTGGTGGCTTCCAATTGTACTTAGGACATACTCTCAAGCACTTAAAGTTAGTTTAGTAATACGCAGCTAGATGCACTCCGCAATCTTACCCCAGTTTGTCATCCTCCGTATCCAGGTTATCTTTCAAGCAAGTAGCAAATTGAAATAACCAGAGACGGCCTGTGTGGCTGCTGAAACATAATACAAGTATCAGTGATTGGTCATTGGCACGACGATCGACATGGAATGAACGCGACTAGACATCGGTTCTACCCGCCAAAATGAAGCGCCAGAACCCTCTCCCGGTCTCCTCTCCCCTTATACCCTACTGCCGGATGAATGCGGCCTATATTTCAACCGCGACTCTGGCTGACGTTTGTTCGAATCAGTTTACCTCAAGGATGTCCTGCCTACCGAGATTATCCAAGCCGAGATTTGCGTATTGTCCACAGATTATATGCTCGCCTGTCTTCCACGTGACAAAAAGACTTAAACGAATAAAGGCATCAATGAAGCGCTCGTTCCTCCCGAAGATAAGTCTTCATTTGCATTTGAACAACCATTATTGCAAAGACTTCTCAACAATGTCGCCCTCCAAGCCCCTCGTTCTGTTCTTTAGCCCTGTTCGACATGCCTTGTCCGCGTATAAGGAGCTGCAGCAAGTGGCCCACACGGAGGTCGTCACAACCCAAAGCAGAGACGAATTCTTCAATGATGTCGCAACCAAATACCAAAATTTCGTTGCTATCTATAGGACATCTTCTAGTGGCTCGGTGAGTATTATTTTAAGATCAATTCACACGGGTTCCAGTTAAATCAATGGCTGCATGAATCGAGTAATATGTTAACCACCGAGTATAACGTAGGTAGCAGGAAAGTTTGACGCGGATTTCATCAATCGCCTACCCAGTAGTTGCAAATTTATCTGTCATAATGGCGCTGGTACGTTACGACTTTATTTGCTAGTGGTTCAACAATGATGATCTTGAGTTAACTTGTCATGAATTAGGATACGACCCCATCGACACCGCGGCCTGTGAGAGAAGAGGCATTATTGTCACCAACGCTCCCGATCCTGTCACCGATGCGACCGCCGATCTGGCAATTTTTCTCATGCTTGGAGCTCTACGCCAGCTGAATCCTGCTATTTCTTCATTGCGTGCCGGACTATTTAAGAAAGGTGTCGACTTCGGTCACGACCCCCAGCAGAAGACGCTGGGAATTCTGGGTATGGGTCGAATTGGTCGCGCAATCAAAAGGCGCTGTGACCCATTTGACCTCAAGACAATCTACCACAATCGCAGCCCACTTTCGCTCCAAGAAGCAGCAGGTGCTGACTATGTTTCTTTCGAACAACTGCTCGCCGAAAGTGACATTATCAGTGTAAATGTGCCCTTAACTGCGAAGACTAAGCACCTCATTGGAGCAGCGGAAATTGCCAAGATGAAACCTGGGGTTGTCATCATCAACACTGCTCGAGGCGCTATCATTGATGAGGCTGCCATGGCTGACGGTTTGGAGAGCAACCATATCGCTGCTGTTGGGCTCGATGTGTACGAGGAGGAACCTAAGATCAACGAGAAGCTCCTGAAGCAGGATCGGGCCCTCATGGTCCCACACGTGGGAACCCATACCATTGAAACATTGGCGAAGATGGAGACTTGGGCGATGGAGAATGTGCGCCGCGCAATCACTGGAGAGCCGCTACTTTCGCCCGTTCCAGAACACCAGCATCTTCTCCAATAGTGTGATTTGAATCAGGAAATCACTTAGATTTTGAGCTTCTCTGAAATTATGCAAATGGTAGCGAGCTGGCATTGAGTACTATATTGCTCCAAATTCTTCTCGAGTATCTAAAACAGTTAAGTACAGCCTGCTATTATAACATATCCCTTAGTTAAACTACATTATTACCAAAGAACTGATGAAATTAATACTGTACCGTAAGATCGGGATCAGGAATTTTCATTGGCAGCGATAGAGATGTAAACAGAAGAATGCAGAGAGACAAGCTAGTAGAAGTCCGTGGTACGGATCCACGCCGATTGGAGATACTTCTTCCATCAACGATGGGGGTGATCGAGTCAGGTTGGACTGCTTCATTAGCCAAGTTTCCCCACTAGCTGTAACCACCTAGCGCCCGGGAGATCCGAGGTGTTATTTTAGAAAAGCCATCGGAAAATGCGGATAGAACCGAGTACGGCCAAACCTTCAGCCGCAATATTCCGCCCCTGTCAAACAACCGAGACAACCGAGTAGCAGGATCAAGACAAAGCATTTGACAAATCTCATGTGTGGGATAGCCAAGTGGGGCAATTTGACTCTCCTTTAAAAAACTGCCTGAAGTCCAGATGTGTGTGAAACTACGCCAGATTCACCTATTATCAATTTCGAGGATATATCAAACCCAACGCACAGGAGATCATCATGGTTAAAATTGCTCTCATTGGCGCTGCCGGCCAAATTGGGACTCCACTGAGTCTTCTCTGCAAGGCTGTATGTGCTTTCAGAATACCTAGGTTCTACGCGAGTGAATCGTCACTAATTTAAATTATCCTGGCTTCAGAGCGATCTCTTTGATGAGATATCGCTATATGATATCGTGCATGTTCCAGGCATCGCGACTGATTTGATGCACATCGACACCAGAGCCAATGTTACCGGTTTTCTTCCTCAGAATGGCGGTCTCAGAAAAGCCCTCAATGGTGCAGACATTATTGTCGTAACCGCTGGTATTGCCCGAAAGCCTGGAATGACGAGAGATGGTGAGTGACAAATTGAATTGGCGCTTTAGAGCATGAATCCTTCTAAAGAGGCTGACGATAGACTCCTAGATCTGTTCAAGGTACCGTACCGTTTTTCAGTGTCCTCGCTATGTTATCTCCCTTTAATATCAGGACTCGCCACAGTACTAATTTCCACTAGACCAACGCAAGCATTATTCACGACATCTTCATCGAAGTCGCCGCAACTTGCCCCAATGCAATCTCTTGTGTGGTGACCAATCCTGTTAACTCGACTGTCCCCGTTGCGGCGGAGGCTTTGAAAAAAGCTGGTGTTTTTGACCCCACCCGCCTCTTTGGAGTTACAACTCTCGATGTTGTGCGTGCATCAACATTTGTGGCGCAAGCCCTTGGTGGTAATGCCGAGCCCAAGCAATTCAAGGTCCCAGTGATCGGCGGTCATAGCGGAGCCACCATTCTACCCCTTTATAGCCAGGCCCAGCCTGCTGTCAACCTCAACGAGGAACAACTGGCACCTGTCATTCATCGTGAGTTATAACATAGCAGATTTGATAATTATATTAATACTGACAAAGTAGGTGTGCAATTTGGCGGCGATGAGATTGTGAAGAGCAAGCAGGGAGCTGGCAGTGCCACAACCTGTATGGCGTATGCCGGATTCCGCTTCATTAAAGCAATTTTGTCTGCTTGGAATGGAAACCCAGTGACAGAGGAGGCATATGTGTACCTGCCGGGTATTTCTGGCGGCGAAGCAATCGCCTCGCAACTTGGCGTTGACTACTTTGCTGTCAAGATTGTACTGGGTAAAACGGGGGCTACTAAGGTGCTCCCCATTGGTGATTTGTCTGAGAATGAGATGAAGCTATTGGAGATTGCTCTGGGTGAGCTGAAGACAAACATCTCAACAGGCGTTTCTTTTACGTCTGTCTGAAGTTCAGTACTTTGTCAAATACCAGGTAGGATTATGCATACTGCCAAGAAATTAACAAGAGTTCCAGAACCATTTGGACATTTCGATTGTGTGTGAACCCTGTCCTCGAGGTCAACACTGGCCTCTGGGCCGCCTTTGCTCTCATCTGCTCCAGCTTTCTATTTTACGATAGAAAATTTGCCTCAAGTGTCATAGATTAAGCTCAGATTCCCTATCATTTACACGAATATAGAATAACCTACCTTTGCTTTAAGTGCTTCGAGTTAAGTCATTTTCGCTGTATATGAGAACCATCAAAGTTACAAGTCAAGCGCGGAACCCCCTGATCGAGTTCGCTGATCTGTTAGAATACGCCAATGACTCATTAACTACCGCCTTAGCCAGAAGGACTTTTCAGAAAGCAACGCTTGGTAGCGAGTAGGTATGTCCTACTAAATTTTTTTTGAGAGTTTACCCTTATTAAGAACATTATTTGGTATTTTCTGACCCCGTATATACCACTTTAACGAAATTAGGACTGTAAACCATACTCCACCTAGCCGGATTCCCACATCATGCACTATTTCATCTCCGCATATACCTCCAACGCATCATGCAATTTCCCGAAAGTGGCACCATGCCAGCTTTTCAGCTCTTCCCATTCACTTTGTGGTAAAGTCGCTCGCATCATCCGCAGCCACCCACCGACAATCATGTCCGCGTAGCAAGCCTTCGTTCCAAGTACAAACGGTCCACTAGTGTCCTTTCGGAACAGCTTGGCCAGCTCACCCAGCGTGTTCCGGAACGAATCCTTGACCTTCTCTCGCGCCTCACCAATCAAGGCAAAGTCCTCCCACCCTGAAGCACCTGCACGCCGGGCGAACTCAGCCTTGCTAATATCGGCAGTGGCAGGGTCGAATGGGAAGCATTCGACCGTTAACTGCACATGTGTGGTAAATACCGCATCAACGTGCATATTGAACTTGGCATATTCGGGAAAATCCCCCTCGCGACAGTCCGATAGAGGTACAGCTATCGCAAACTCGGGCTTGAACTCGTAATCGAGCGTCTGAGGTGGAAACAGGTCGCCTGCGCCCGAGTTCGGATACGTTTTCTGTAAGTAGACAGCGATGTCGAATGAGTCGCCCACTAGAGAACCAGTGCCTCGATCGTCAATGATAGGGAGGGTAAAGAAGTCGCTGCCATCGGCAAATTTCCGACAGGGGGGTACTTTGAGGCCGCTGCGAACTTTTGCAACTTCGGGCAAAGGCACCCATGAGGTCGAGTATGGGACGCCCTTGAAGTTTAGCGCCATACGGGTTTTCCAGGGGTTCACTGCACAGGCATTTTTCTCGACTGGGGGGCGCATGGCGATGTCGTAAAAGACGATAGATCTGGGTGGGTTTGCAAGCGTCGACATGGCGAATGACAGGACTTTAGAATGACTGTCTTTTGATAGGCTAGATATTGTGTCTTTGGGTGGAAGAATGGTGCAATGGTTGCATAGATTAGACTCAAGTGGTTTATTTATAATCGATTAAGCTTGTGGCTACTGAATCCTGACTCAGATTCATGACGTGGGGTAACTAAATAAGTTGAGATGATTCAGGTTGTCTTATGGTGAGTGGCGGTCAATGCTCCACATCAACCCCACATTCTACTTGCGGTGATCGTCGCGGAAGGTAGCAGTTGTCTGCGAACAGGGATAATTTATGCAGGGCGTGAGCAGCAAATTGTTGAGATGGTCCAGTGCTGAACGTAAGACACGAACATAAGGGTGCATAAGGGAGAAATTTGTAGGAGAAAAGATCCCTATCAGGGGAGAGGGCACAGGAATACGAAGAAGATCACATGACCAGCAACACGTTATTCGAATACCTGAAATACAATACTTGGCAGCAAGCTATGTGTGTAATGATGTTTGGGATTGTATGAATATTTCAACAACTATTCTGTCCGAATTGCTCTGCAATGGCGTATAGGGCACTCCGTTCGAGCAATTATTCTCCCTGAGGGTTCTCGTCCAGATGCTTTGCGGTCTATAGTTAGAGAGAATTTACAAAGTTATGACCAGGGCAGACCAGGATGTCAAGATATATAGGCCAAACTTTGACGAGCTACAGTGTTCCCAAGGTAGACTCGCCTTCACCTCTTAGGCCTCGAAACACATCTTGACTCCTGTCTACCTAGTCTATCTTCAATGACTGGCAAATAAATTATTCCAAGAGCTCCCCCCAAAATGCTTCTATAACCTCCCTGAAATAAATTGACCATCCAACACGTCCACTTAGCTTGGACGGTGTCTCGCCGAGAGAATGGCAAATTCATCTCCTATAGCATGTGGGCCGTCGTTGAAATGATGTTCAAGATGGAGGATGAGAGCCTTTCCATCTAATCATACTTGGGGTCTCCCTTGGACCAGAAGCTGACCAAAACATCGGCTTCCGCAAGAGCATAATCCACAACCTTCCTGGCGATGATGCAGTAGTGTTCCCGGATCTCATTCTTGTATGGTTGCCGGCTAATAAGAGAGAAGAACTTTATACAAGACTCAGACTGACAGGTAAAATGCGGTGTTCACAACAGTGACTGGATACTGTGGTAAAGACATCGTGAATGTCATGAAGTCCGGTATCTAAGAGATGGTAATCCATGATTTCGTGGATCTTAAGAGGAATAAGTGCTCATGCCTAGCCTCGAACTCATTTGAATTTCACATGATTGCAAGCTTAAACATCTTCTCGCGATCGTTTAGGGACTGCGTGGCTGCAGATCCTTAATTCAACTTGAAAGAATTATTAATCAATAGGAACAGCGTAAGGAGAGGTTATAACCTAGTTCCAGTTCCTCTCAGTAACCCTGCACCTCTATAGTCTAGTGGTTTAAGAATCAATCTGGCCGAGTCTCCCACTAGACGGGCCCCTTCCAGGAAGGGGTCTTCTGAGGTGGAGGGTTACTCCATTTTTATGCTGGCCTGGCACAGAAGCAGCCACAAGGGCTAGATTTTTGTATAATTTCATGTCCTACTCATATCGAAATGATGCTCAGAATTAAGAGAAGATAATAATGTCTTTTGGAAGCTTCCTAATACTGGCAGTGGTCGTGTAAATGTGGTATTTGTCCGGTGTGAGTATCGTCATGAAGTATATGAGCGTCGTTGAGTGTCGGGAAATGTTTGTATGGTGACGCGCAGCTTGGGGGTTCGATTAGCGAGGGTAGTAGGTTATATTTGTGTTAGATTTCATGCGAGGTCTTGTCGTTTAGGACCCGAGAAAAGTTGTAGTCTTGTTTGTTTCTTAACAATGGGGGACATGCCACTTGATTTATTCTATTGCAATTGTATGATTTGACAAATTGATGTCAGATATGCTGGTCATCAAATGGATGGATAGGTCTTTGAGAGCCTATTAAATGGGGTCTCCGATTTCCTATCATCTTTGAATCAAATCAGATTACTGAGACCCAAGAATCGTGACCGGGGTTGCATTGTTGTACTGAACCTAATCAATTCAGTGTCATGAAACGCGGTTACGATACGCGGTTGAATGCCCGGGCATAGCCAGAAAGCTAAAGGACATGAAAGTGTCAGACCAGTTATGTTCCTGACCTGTACAAGTAGCGCACATAACTCAAGGGTGGATCTTGCCCACCCTAACATCGAGTCCACAAATACGGGTCCGTACTGGACCCAAACATTCTCTCTACAGAAGGTTTTCCGGTCCAATCTCTGGCGTTGCAAAGTTCGACAATTCCCAATCCAAAGCTGTTCTTCCGAATTCATGAATGAGCAGTTTCGGTATTTTTGACAATCAATCAAAGTTGCAAACGGGCGAAACGAGCGGGGGTCCTTGCATACTCGGCTGATCATTATAGTTTACAAATACCCTAGAAATAAAAACGAAAGTTTGTAGGTCTCGCAGGATCGTATACACCTGCGAACCCCTGGCTTATGACCAAGACCAGACCTATTTGTACCACCTCAAATATAGGCCTCCATGGTTAAGGGGAACCTAGTTACGGCAAGTCAACTATTATCGATATTCGATACTGTAACGTCGCCCATGCATAACCTTCGACTGCAGCAATCGTTATTGAGCCTTCATTCCGAAGACAATGATACCTCCCAGTGACATGGTCAGATCGGAAATTCGAATTTACCGCTTGGCCAATCGGCGTCGATCGGGGATGCGAGGGAGGTCCATACTCGACGTTATGTAAAGAAGTTGGGTGAATTGGTATTGAGTGGAGCGTTGATGAGTGGGACAACTCGCAAAAACCGGGTTTCAGATCCCATGAGGTTTCGCCGATGTCTCTCAACACTTGCGTTGTCCAATCCTCGCTTAGCATTCTTGGCAGATGGCCGGAAAGTGGGATTGCAGTTGTCCTTCCGAACGAGGCTTGAGTCGGTGGATCGGTTGTGGATACTCGCGGCGTGCGCCATACATCAGTGGCTGTAGCTTGACCCATAGGGCAATATGGAACTCGCCTGGTTGGCCGACATTGCATGTACCACACGGGCAAGTTTATGTTATCTAAGGAGGATTCGGCTTCACGAAAGATTTTCGTTGGTAATGATAATAAGAATGGGACTTTCTTCTTTCTCTCCCGGCGTCCTTGTCCGTTGTCGAGCCACGAGAACAAACGAGTCCTACCATCACTCCCCGGGGAAGGCATACTAACCACTGCTCTTGACCGGCTGGCTGTTCTTAACAAAGAACCTTGGTGTCTTTCACGCTAATTCATTTCAATCGATCGAATCTCGGGACTGCTGACAGCCTTCAACTGCTAGATAGTTTCAGAGTCCAAGAAACTTCGTCCATACTCAACGTCTAGCACAAACTCGAAGCTCTGAAAGGTAGCAGCAATTAGTTGCGTTTTCAAACCCGTTGCGCCACGTCCTATACACTTGCTATCCCATCGCGCAATCTCCTCGGTGTCGCATTGCAACTTGGATTAACTTGATGAGCCCTTGCATCTGCGAACTACACCCACCATCGCGCCAGACACTACACCACGCTTGACGAACAGATAGTAGCGACAAACCGGAAGAAAGACGATAAGCATAGCCCTCCGCGCGAGTAGCGAAATTCCATCACACCAACCTTCCATCTTACCCCTCAACTCCATTCATTGCCCTGTTGCGAAATTCAAGACCCGAGCACCATGTCTGATCTGAATTGGAAGGATCTCTTTACCAACCGCGATCGGCGAGGATTCCCCGAGGTCGTGGTGCCTCTTGCCAGTGGCTCCGCACCAAAGAATCAAGATACGGCAAACAATGGATCAAATTCTAGCCTTGATAGAGCTTCTTCTCAAGAGAATGGCACCAGCGGGATTCACGATGGCACCACACTGACTTTGGAAGCACTCCGAGCTGAAGTGGAATCGGATATCGCTGCTTCAGGCCACGATACTGTTTATGACCGTATGTATACCATTTCCCACTAATTTCATGTCATCAACTGAAGCTGGGTTTTAAACCCCAGTTCCTCAAATGATAATGTAAGCTAAATTAGCTCGAATTAAAGGGAAGGCGAAAATCATCAATAGGGCCGTTCAGGACATTGGTATGGGCCGGTACCAGTGGGGCCTGTTTGTTCTCTGCGGTATGGGTTGGATTGCTGACAAGTAAGTTATCATGGACATCCACCGTTAGCTACCTTGGCGAACGCCCTTGACTAACCTTACACCACACTAGCCTCTGGTTGCAGGTATGAATGCGACTGTCCGAGAGAAGTTACATATTTCAGCTGACAACATGCAGGGTGTTGCCCTTACTCTCACTCCGGTCGCCATGGAATTTGGTGTTTCCGAGACAGATTCGCGATTTGCAACTTGCTCTCTTTTTGTCGGGTTGATTATAGGTGCTTCGTTCTGGGGTATTGCCTCCGACGCAATTGGTAGACGCCCAGCTTTCAACATGACCCTTTGTATTTGTGGCACGTTTGGTCTTGCCGCCGGTGGTGCGCCCACCTGGATTGGGTATGGTTGAGTATTGGTCCTAAAAAATTATTAAGCTGACATTCGACAAAGTACATGTGCGCTTTATGCTTGTTTGGGTCTCGGCGTTGGCGGAAACTTGCCTGTTGACGCGGCCGTCTTCTTGGAATGTCTGCCCCCGAATTCCAGTAGTATTCTTAGTGGACTAGCAACATGGTGGTCCGTTGGCACTCTTATTGCCAGGTTTGTCATAAATCTCCCTTTCTTTTAGCGCGAAGCTAACCTGTAGACAGTATGCTTGCTTGGGCTTTCATTCCTAACTTCTCCTGTGAAAGTTACGCCGCGTGCACTAAGGCCAACAACTGGGGCTGGAGATACCTTGTTCTGTCTCTTGGGGCCATCACCTTCATCGGTTTCCTCTGCCGTTTCTTCCTTTTCACTCTGTACGAATCACCAAAGTTCCTCGTCTCCCGCGGCCGCCAGGACGAGGCTGTCGCTGCTGTTCAAGGGATCGCCTACAAAAACAAGACCACAACATGGCTCACAGAGGATATTCTTAATGAAATTGGGGGATACCCAGAAGAGAATAAGAAGCAGGGTTTGTCGACCAGAGAGATCATCCAAAGGTCCCTCGAGAGATTCTCGTATCAGCAGGTTGCACCACTTTTCAAGAACAAGCGAACTGCAACTTCAAGTATGTTATTGTACCCAATCCTGCTTTATGTGCATTACTAATCAAACCCCAGCTATTCTCATCTGGTTCTGCTGGACGTGTATCGGAATGGGCTACACACTGTTCAACGCTTTCCTCCCTCAATACCTCAGTGCAAACTCCACAACCTACGAGACATATCGGAACTACGCCATCACAGCAGTGTGCGGTATCCCCGGGCCACTTCTTGGATGGGTAACTGTCGATATCAAATACATCGGTCGAAAGGGAACGATGGCCGGCTCAACCTTGATCACCGGGATCTTGTTGTTCTGCTTCACAGCCTCCAAGGATCCTAATGTTCAGTTGGTTTGCTCCTCGCTCGAGTCCTTTTTCCAGATGATCATGTATGGTGTTTTGTATGCCTACACGCCTGAGGTATTCCCTGCTCCCAACCGTGGCACAGGGTCAGGCATTGCTAGCTGCTTGAACCGAATTGCAGGTCTCATGGCCCCAATCATCGGAATTTATGCCAGCACTGATCCAGTTGCACCCATCTATGCAGCAGGCGCATTGATCTTAGCTTCCTTCGTGGCAATGTGCTTCCTGCCAATTGAAACACAGGGTAAGCAAGCGCTCTAGATCACTAAAATTTGGTCAAAACCTGATGCACACTCTGAGGAGCCCATGTACCTTCCAAACAAACGATACACTGGAACGAGCTCAGTGATAAAAAGTTCCTATTTGGGTTTATTGCCCTAGAAAATAGAGAATTATTCAATAAAATACTCCTACTTCATCTTGCGTTTTGCGATAGAAACCCCTATGAAATAGGTACAATCCATCAACGGACGAAATGTGTCTGACTGCAAGAGTGGAGGTTTCTGTACATGCCAGCAATGGGAGACAATATTTCTAGTCTCCTGTAAATGGCTTGGCTCATGAAAAGACAGGGGAACTTGTACACAGAAAAATTCTCTAATGTGACGGCAGGGACAACAGTGATTCTAAGAAATAAAGCTGAAGAAAGCGAATTTTGAAAGACTTGGATGGGGTCCCAGCTGGTTATTTCTCAAGTTCTATTTTGATACCTCCAGAGCCCACGAATAGCTCTGGATGCAGACTTGTCATGAATTTGCACATTCCTGCAAACTCGGGCATTGTCGAAATTGACAGAAGATACTCACGTTCTGGTTTCAATGTAAGTGGATGTGCCGAATTCAAATGTTGGATTGCGGTCATGGCTGGAAAGGGCATAAGGTGCTGGCGGAAAATACCAGTAGAGGGATGCACGAATAAAGCGATACAGCGGATGATTTTGCGGCAACAGTTGTCGACATCGATACCAAGGGTATTTGGCTCCTCATGGGATATCATCCGATAGGAATGATGAGCGATCATAAGTGTAGCCCAGTAAAAGGACATGAGATGCACATTGGCTATTTCATCATTTGTGAAGCTTCTCGGGGATTGCCAATCTGGCCGTGAGAGATCCACCGAGATGCCAAATTTTGCGGCCCATTGCAATAAGCGGGTAATGGCACCACGGGCGGCTTCTTGAAGCTCTTGGCGGAAGGCCAAGTTAAAACGCTCCTTACCTTCTAGTTCATCAATGCCTTCGTATAACGAGGGAATCTCCAGGAGGATATCCACAAGCAAATCTTTCGGGGTCTTGTCATGGAGCTTCCACGGAGCCTTCATCCAGGCTGGCTCAATCAAAATGGACCTTTTGCGGCACACATGTGCATATAGGGCCTGATAAAATGTTAGCCATTTCCCAGGCTACAGTAGGTGCAAAGTACCAAATTGAGCCGACCATCAACAAAAAGCCGATGAGCTATGCCCGTGCAATAAAATTCAGGGGCTGCTGAAACCGTGAGTGCGAGATCGCCAGAATGATGCACACTCCAGTTCCGATAATGAGTCTCTTGATCAGCCCAATCGCTTCCATACAATGCCTAGATTGGTTCATCGAAGGCTTAGTCAAGGCTGTACCATAGTTCGCCTCAAATTCACGCTCTGAAATTTCAAATACCTCGTAGAAGCTGAACACTCGAGTAGCACTTAGCATCTCAAGCCCATTATTGCGATTGGAGGTGAGTAATTTCCTTATCTGCTGTAACGCACTGGCGTGGAGTCTGATAGCCTGTTGTTTCATCGAATGCGATTCTTTATTCATGGTTGCCACTGATCGGAGGGCCATAGCGCCAACAGCAGTGCGAAGCAGGGCACTATGTGGGAGAAGATCCCCGACTACGCTGATCGAACCTCCAAGAGTACGTTGGCTACTATCAAGGAGGGAAGAGCAGCGACTATTTGGTAGATAATAGCTCCAGAACATCCCTTCGAAGGCAGATTCCAAAGCTGCACGAGAAAAAGCGACATGATCCATCCTGGTCACCGGCGAACGTGACTGTGCCTGGGTTGAGGATGAAAATTCAGTCTCAGGGCTCAAAACTAGTCTGGTTTGGGTGTAATTGTTTCCCTTGACATTTGAATAATCCAGGCTTTTTTTGCTTCCGTCATATCGATGTACGGTCAAGCTCGTAGAATAACCTTCGCAAGGAATGCATGCCCTTCTACATTGCCCGCAGAAGGGCTTCTGCAGGTCGCACTAAAGCCTCAGTTATTATTATCGCAGACAGAATATACGTCAGGTGAATCTCGTAGCCTATCAACTTACGCCTTTCTTGCGCCGCCTGCAGGTACGACATGCTTTGGAGCGACCTGGAACGCCCACCATCGGAGTTTGTGGACGTGGCAATGTGATAGCTGTCAATTAATCAGGATAGTTGAGATCCTCTTCTTTCACCGTGTGAGTACTCAATGATGAGATATTGGTTCTAAGTTTCCTTAGACTCCTGATGAGAAGCACCTTCAATGTGTCCTCTGCCTTTTGTCTATTGAGCTACCACCCGGAGTTGAGAGTGTCGAAGGTCAGAGAAAACTTGCATAATCATTGGAAATAGCAAGGCTCAGACTAAGCCCAAAACAGAGGATTACGCGCGGGTTGCATTATTTGGGTAATTGTTTGGGGGCCAAACTCGCCATAGTACAGTAGTCAATTTTACCCTCCGGAAGACCGCTGCAGTACTCCCTGTGTAATTTCAACGGGACCAAGAGAGGCTTCACCTTGTCAAATACTTGAAATAACGTTCTCTGGGCAAAGTGTAAATGCATCTTCACGGAAACTGAATATTTTCCCTGCAACGGATTACAAAGCGGCGTCTTCTGGCTCCTTTGTTCCCCACTCATTGAGTTGGCCGTAGTTGGTCCCACAATGGTTTTCCCTGTCCATTGTTTGGCTTAAATCTCGGTCTTCGTGGATATGCTACTCAGTTTTCCAGGTCTTCGAGCCAAAACTCCAACCAGCTCTAATTATCGTCAAGCTTTAGCCGAGCTAATTACTTTCGGTACATCAATTTTGATCTACTATTCAATGAATACTCCAATCCCACGCCTCTTTCAGCTCTCGTTGGGCTTCTTTGGTCGATAATGCGTGAATTTCTTCTGTTCTGACGAGTATTTGGAGCAGGGCTTCTCGTTCTAACGTGTCCGTCACTCGGTCCCCACCTATTCTATGTCTTAGCATCACCAGACTTCGCAATCGTGTAGACAAGTTACTCACAGAGGGACAGACCCATGCACGCAGTGATGAGTCCAGGTGCTGTTTTGTTGGAGCAAGCAATGCCGCAAAGGTGGAAGACGTTTGTTTTAATTTCACCCTAAAAGTCTCTTCAGAAATACCAACACAGTCCTTGGGTGAGCATGATATACCTTTTTATGAACAGCGGCTCGCTTCTGGTTAGGTCCTATACCAGGCGTAGTAGGGTCAAAGGCAGAAAGTAGGAACTAACGGCCATAAGGTTTAGGAGACTTGAATCACCCCTTCTTCATTGGTCCTTGCACTCTTTGGGGAAATGTCTGATGATGCCTGTCTCCTTGCTCTCGATGTCTTTAAATCCGAGCTTCCTGGAGGCGTTTGGGACTGGGAACACAGACTTTGATCGTGGACAATTTCGCTTTTGCGTTTCGTGAAATCGTCGATAGTCATGCTATACCTACGATTGTTCCCTGTCCTTTGTTGGGCGATAATTGGGACTCTCACATTCGTTGTTGCAATGGGTGTCACCTGTATCTTAGGCGCGTCGTTCAGATGTCGGCTCATCGGTGCTGCGTGGAATCCATGAAACGATGATCTTAACAGTTTCACCTGCTTTCCAGCATTACCATTCTGGATTGCATTCGGTTCCTTATTCCTGGCGTCTGACATCGTGGTCCTATTGCTTCCAATGAGAACTATGCTGGGTTGGTTGTTTCATTGGAAAACTGAGCCATGTTTTGTCTGACAACGGGGCTACTTAGGACTCAAAAGAAGATCATACTCGTTTTCCTTCTCTCACTGGGCGCATTGTAAGACCTCTGATAACCACAATTTTAAGCCATTTTTTCTCACCGAATTATAGTGCGTGTATTGCTGGTATTGTTCGTCTGGTGTATGTTATCAAACTATACACCACTGAAGACGCTTCCTGGAATACGGCTTTCGTCTCGATCTCTTCAACCGTAGAGATATGCTGCGCAATTATTGCGGCGAGTATCCCGCCGACGAAAGTCTTCGTGGATCGGTTGTTCCCGAATCTCATCAGCAGCACACGACAAGGCACGAGTTATTGACAGCAGCGGTATCTGGGCAGCATAGAACTGGGCTCCAATAGGGGCCACTACTGTGGCAATCCCATAGAAAACGTAACCGATCGCACAAGACCGCGTCCCGAAAGCAAAGGTTAGCCTAGCATCGTTATGACTCGCGATTTCGAGATGGATGTGTCACCTTCGTCAATCGGCAGTCTCGACCATTACGGGTTATGAGCCGCCTCCGTACAAAAGCACAAATCTGTCAGTGGAAAAGTACCTTGATTAGGCATCAGCCGGAATAAAAATTTACTCACATTGACGATAGCTCCCTTTTGTTTTTGTCGTAAGGCTATGGGTTCCCTATACACGTTGCTGTAGTTGTTCTCTTCGGCTTCGACTGGGGTACGTTTCTCTCCAAAGGTGGATTAATCCCCCACACCTCTTGGCCAGTGTAAAACGCGACATTGAATCCTAACACGTCTTTTCAACGCGCGTGATCAAAAACAGGTTGCTCAAATCCTCACTACAACAAAACGATACAGACTGACAATTCCGTGAACATCATTTTATGCCTTCCAAACATCGTATCCCTTTCCTCAAGGACAACAAGCGCCCATCTGGGCTGTTGGCTGATGGGTATTTCTCAGCACGGAGTGGTCTCTTGAACGCCACCTTAATTGTATGTGGGTAGGCAAATTTCTAGTGCTCCAGAATACGCAGCTTGTAAGCAGTTTTCTCGTTGGTTACCTTAGCCGATGAAGATACGCGAGCTAATTGGTGTGCCTGACAGGCTAATGCGATTTTTTCACTAAGAATAGATAGTTCCAGGCTTGTTCTCTCCACGGACCCTCGCTTGGGGCCTGTTCTGTACAACTAATCTCGCTCTTCCTGCCTGACAAGGGGAACCTCCTCCGAGAAACCATGAATCGGTCCTATTTCTCTATCATTCGTGCAATTGAATCTTCATAAGATGTTAGACATCCCTTGCCTCGAGTCTTGTACACCTGATATATGTATACCGTGCTCTCGAAATCACGCCCACGTAAGCATCTAACTACCCCAATCGACTACATCTGGTCCATGTATACAGTCAGGCGCACGGTTAGATCTAGCAAAGACTTGCGAAAGAGCCCCATGGTTATTATCTTGTATTGTAGTTTTTTCAGTCATTATTATCCCGATCGGCTCCTGTTCGATCGAATAATTCGCCCCATACGATGCATCCCTCTGAAGCTTAGCCCCCAATCGGACTCCATTCGACCCTCTTTGCGGCTCTCGAAGGGTTGCACTAGTCGGTTAGACCCGACGGGTCTGCTGCGATGCCACCCAAACAATCGAGTCAGAAATGAGCACTAGGCTTTCACAGCCTCCCAAACGAGGCTAGCGGTCTTTAAATGATGGCCACAATTTTCTACAAAAGAAAGGGGCCATCCCCAATCCGCTTGGAGCGGTTTTGAAGAAACATCCAACTTCTGTCTCAACGACTCGTCGCTCTTTTCAGTCATTCGTTTAACATTCACTACCATGGTTCGACTTTCCTCCCTATTGACGCTCGTCGGGCTCCTTGGCGCGCCTCTGGTGGCCGCAACCTACAATCAAACAGAGCAGAATGAGAACGCCACCTGCGATGTAGGTGACATCCCTTCCTATCTTGCAGCTGAATTTGCCAGCCTTGCCACGAGAAATACCAATGACTTACATGTTTTATCTTGATCAGAATGGGTGCTTCTTCAGCTCCTTTAACGGATCTTGCGCCAATGATCCGGCCTGCATGTGCGACCAACAGAAATATCGCGAAGCCTACTTCTGTTGTATGGGGAAGAAATGCGCCAGCTCCGTCTTGCCTGGTAAGCTTCGCCATGCTCTACTTGCAAGTAGAATCTCCCGCTAATCACTCATTGTACGATATCAAGACTCTATCGTGCGCCAGCAGGCGGACTGCGACGCCAGGAACATGCCATTCACTTTTGATGCCGAAGCAGTTTGCGGCATCACTCTGACTACATCCACAGCTGTCTCAACAACTGCTACATCCACCAGCTCTGTAAAGACCACCGCGTCCACTGCCGCTACAACCACCTCTTCCGGTTCCCCGACCGGTACATCGGCGGCTTCTTCGACGAATTCATCCGGATCTACGTCCACAGCTAGCAAGACCAGCACGGGCTCTTCAACATCAACTCCTACGGGCAATAGCGCATCAGCAAATAAAGTTTTGCTGAATGCTATTTTGGGTATATTTGCCGCGTCTGTGATCTTAGCCTAAACAGATTGGTCGCATGCGAAGATGATTTAATGGCTGGGGATAATGGATGGATATATTTTGTCCGTAGAAGATGGACCGGACTTCTAATTGTATCATACTGAAATTGGTTCTGCTGTTTCCTGATCAGAACGGGTTTTTGTGCTTGCCTAGCTACAAATATGTATTGAAATCATTCAGCTTGATAGTTCCACTAAACAAATCCAAGCCAGGACAAGGTATTTTGAATGAGGCCTTGTAAGAACCTCCGTCGTTTCGCCGAGGTACGAATGTCATGACTCACACTGCAATGCACGATATCCGCATAAACGCCGAGTCCGGGGTAGCGGGGTATAGTCCTTTGCGGGGAAGTTGCATTCTCCTCGATTATGGGCAGATAAACCATACTCTACCTAACATGACGTAAAATAAAATTAAGTTTACTCTAGCAATCATTCATTCAAAGCGGATCCGATATCTCAAACGAGAGAAGAATGACTCGAGCGCAAGGCAATCAATCGCGTGTGCGGATATCCTTTGGCCTGCTCTACTCCAGTCGCCGCATAGACCATATTTCACATAATACTTGAGTATTTCCAATCATAGTGCCATCTCGTATTTCAAGCGTCAAGCGTGTCATGATATTGCAGTCATACTAGCCTCGGTCGCATAAACGTAGAGGGGCGGCGAAGGACCTCGGCTATTTTCCACTGTTTGACGATCGTCTAGATAAGCGGAAGATAGGGGGCTTATTTCAATTACGAGAATCTTGGAATTAAGAATAATTCTTCGACTTTCGAGGAATATCTTCCAGCCTACTAGAGCCCGATTTGACCCATGGATTCCCTCGACCGCATCTTAGATGGGTTCACAGATCCTTCAACCGGATCGTTGCACGGTGCGGTGTTCATCGTTGTTGACAAGTCAGGTATGTCGACAATTTTTGATATCTAGCTTGATTTACCAATGAAATTCATGTCTTTTAATCACCCGCTTCCTCCCTTCGATGTGTCTGACAGTCTGACATGTTCAAATAGGAAGGACACTTTACAAACGCGCTACGGGAAGAATCAATGCCGATGGACATGATGCAGAGCCGTTGGGATTTGATGCATTGTACTGGGTTGCATCAATGACAAAACTTATGACCGCGGTGGCTATCATGCAACTCGTGGAACGTGGAGTTTTATCATTAGACGACGATGTTCGTGAAAGAGTTCCCGAGCTTGCGGACATACAAATCCTGCAAGATACGAAAGAAGGTAGTTTCCGTCCCAGGACTGGCACGTAACTCACTAAAACTTAGTAGATCAACCGTCAAATTCAATGCAACCCAAACTTCTGCCTATTCAGGGGAAGATAACTCCTCGGTAAGATACGCTCGTCGTTACTCAGGGTCGTTGCCGGAAAGGAAATGAATCAATAAACTAATGATAACCACACATATCCTCAGAGATCTGATATGTCACACTTCTGGCTTCATTTATGACAGTTCATCAACTCTACTAAAAAAGTGGTCCAAGTCAGTGGGTCGATCAGCACACACGTTCTGCGGGAGCATGGTCAGTTTCATCACCCTTCATCCGTCAAAAATTTGACCCTTTTGGAGATTGGAATTTACAAGATCTAATCCTAGGAAGGATACACTCACCCAATTCTCTTCGAGCCCGGAACCTCATGGGGGTATGGAGCGGGTTTGGACTGGGCCGGTCGCCTAGTAAGTCATCCTAGCGTTCACTTGAGTGGCAACTAACACCCGCAGATCGAAAATGTCTGTAACTGCTCGCTTGAAGAATACATGCAGAAAAATATCTGGTCAAAAATCGGAGCCACATCAACAACCTTTCATCCAGAGCTACGTGAAGAGACTCTTCCCCGAAGACTAGGAATGGCCTATCGGGTTAGTGTTGGTCAGGGCACGAAATCCGTCAAGTCCATTCCTGTCATGTTGGGACAGCCGCTAAAAGACGACCTGGGAGGAATCGGACTTTGGAGCACGCCAAATGACTTTATCAAACTCCTGACTGCTCTCTTGCAAGGTGGACAGCCGTTATTGACGAAAGCTGGTGTTGATGTCTTATTCCGACCACAACTTAGTGATGCCTCCCGAGCAGCAATGCCTTTGCCTTTGGGAAGTCAAATGCGACGTATCCTTGGTATAAAATCAGTCGATGATATTGACCAGGCAGATCATTGTTTGGCTGGAACAATAACGCTAAAAGATATCCCTGGTCGCCGGCCTCACGGTACAGTGAACTGGAGCGGACTACCAAATCTTCACTGGGTAAGAGCAAAGTCATGATTCGATGATTATTCGTGCACAGTCAACAAATATCTAACTCGTATACATTGGGAAATAGTGGATCGATCAACAGACGGGCATTACAGCTGCACTATTCACTCAGCTTATGCCACCCGGTGACGCTGCCGTGACGGGTCTGTTGATCGAATTAGAAATAGCACTATATAGGGCTTTACGCAAAAGAGAGGATTTTAGTCCAGTCGGGAAGTTGTAGGCGGAAGATTGCAGAGTAACAAATCAGCAAGTGGATCATATCAACGCCCCCATGTTACGTCCTGCCAACTACGTACGCTGTAGAATCTATGAAATTCACAGTATTGAATTACTTTCGTATTTCTACCTCAACCATCCTCCACTGTATTTTCCCACCCAAATTATATGAGATGGCTCTGGTCCGCGCTTGTTCAATTCATTGACTACGCAATATGACAAGGCTGGGCCTCCTCGCCCGACAAAACGGGCCAATGTCAGGGCCAATTGAAAGATATATCGTGGGATTGAGGGCACTGCGGGCGTTTTGGTACTGTTTTCGGGCTGATTTTATATTGCAATACGCCGATTTCCTATGTATTTACTGTTTCATGTGCTTTGGCTGGCGTTCGGATCACTCTTGCTTCCGCCGGAGGAAGCGCCTGCATAGCCATTACGCCACTAGTTAGGCTGCATCAGGTTAATAGAGTGTTGATTGATTGATTGATTGATCGCCCGACAAAATGGCCCATCCGCTGACCAAAAGAACAAATAATTGAGGTAAAGAGACTATATCCCTTGATAGACCATCATAACAAGCGAATTCCCAGAGTCGACAAAACTACTGTGTAAAGATCCGACTGTCATACATGTTATTGTAAACTGCGCTGATCTAAGCTCCCTTCTAGGTACTTTCCATCCACTCCGTCACTGACACCGAAAAAGCCACAACCATCGACTCTACCGAGCCTTCCATCGGCCAGAGCCTTGCCGACTGTTTACTATACTACGTCATCCTACGTTCGAACAAGAATGCTCCTGCCGTTACTCTCACGGCTTCACCCTCAGTTATGGCGAACATTCACGGCGTCGCCACGGGCTACGGCGCAAATGACATGGAGGTTCGGGGAGTCATGTATGTAAACGAGGTATCAGTCTGATAAGTCTATTCAAAAGAATCAGTCGCGAGTAGAATGAATTCAATTCAATTTTCCTTCCGTTTAGTTGGCATCTTCTCCAAAACAAGGCTGTCACTTCAGAGCTTCTCCCCGAGCTTTTGTTACACAATGGCCGATCACCCATCGTATCAAGCACATAATTTTGGTTGTTCATGGTCATTTGTAATCTCATGGTAACAAGCAAAGGAATCACCAGCTGGGCAGCTGGTGAGGATTTCTATGCCCCCCCTCTCGGCCCCCAGCGAATGCTCCAGTGGCTCAGTATTGCACTCGGCAGTCAGTCGAGCACGGAGTTTACATGCTACAGCCATCTCATAAAATTACTGTTTGGGCAGTTCTGGCCATGACTCCTCCGGATTCAAGCTTTAAACTGAGAATGTACGGGAGGGACTTCGGAATGAACATTATCATGGGAAGAGGAAGCCAGATATGAGATTACGAGATACATTGATCGCTACGTACACAAGCTGTTAGTCAGATACTCCCCGACAACAACCCAGCCACACGGGGGAGCATCCATCTGCCCAGAGAGACCATCCAGCAGTTGCTTGTCAACGGTAGTTATTGTGGAATGGTAAGGTTCCTCGACACACCGCAGCAGCGTGCTGTGACATGAAGGTTCCGTTCTGGCATGAATTATCACCAAAGATGGTGATTGGCCTCAGATAGTGCATTTCTGCATCATCATGGTGAGGGACCTGTTAAAGTTGTCAGCATAGATCAAATGAGTACGGTATTGGGAAACATATCTTCTTTCTGGGCGAGAGCCCACCACCATCCTCCCCGATCTGCCTCAAGCAGCCATTTTCTTCTCCAATCGAGCCCAGGTGGAATGTTTCGAGCTAGGGAGAATGTCAGTAGATGTCGCATTAAGATGTCATGGAGACAACATATCTTTTTTTTGGGCAAGAGCCCGCCACCATCCTCCCCGATCTGCCTCCAGCGGACTTTCTTCTGCAATCGGGACCCGGCGAGTCGTTCAAAAGTCTGTCGATGGGGTCAACAAATAGTCAAGCAAATCATGAAGTGGTCTGACCTGTTTCGCCCAAAGGCGAAGCCACCATCCTCCCCAATCAGCCTCCGGGGGCATAACCTCTGCAGCTCGGTTCGTTCGGCGGGTTGGTTCGGCGAGATCGTACCTGTGGTCTCATGAGCGCACTGGGCAGGTATCCGGAGATACCCACCGGCCAAAAGAAGAGAACAAACAGGAAAAAACAACAGCAGCGACATGGGGCAACGCAGGGGAGAGCACAAGGCCCGTTTTTTTTTGTGTTTTTTCAATTTTTCTGAACGAATCACACTGGGGGAAGAAATGAAATGGAAAGCAGAGAAGAGAAGACAGAAGAGAAGAGAGAAGAGATATACAATGGCCAGGCCGGTCCCACAGGTATAAAGAGTGTAGAAGGTGGGTGAGAAACAGGATAAAAATGCCCAAGGTCCTCCCAATCACAACCACGAAAGAACAGTCATGACGCCAATAGCACAAGCGGTCCATCCGAGCCACTGTCCCATAGTGGGGCCTCGAACGGTGACCTCAAGATACCGCTGACGACGCGGCAATTCCTCTGGAAGAGGAGAAGGAAGACGAAGAGGGAACGAACGTCGCTTGGGCTCGAAAACAGCAAAGCGAGGGGGAGGGAAGACACGCCATGGGAACCGCTCAACTTCATGGACGACTGCATTCCCAAAGGATACATGACGCTCACGAGCCTTTGCAGGAACCTCAGCACGCTTCAGAATCGGAGCTGGCGGGGAAAAAAGAGGGCGGCCGCGAGCCAGAACGGGAGGAAGAGACAGGACGGGACTGGGCTGGCAATCCAGTCGGGGACTGGGCAGAGGAGGGAGCTCGGGCTCGGGAGCAGGAAGCTTCTTCTGCAGGTCGTCGACATGGGGTTTACGCCAGGCAGGCAGTCGCCAGGGGCGAGCGAGTGGCTTCATACCGGGGAAGTAGACCGGCGGGTTCTTCACCACGGGGCGGACATCGAGGGATGTCTTCAGGGCGAAGGTTGGCAGATCCTCACTCCCAGTAAGAAGGAGACGGGCAGATCGAGGCGAGCAGATAGCTGGGAAGGCCATCGCAAAGGCAGGATCGGGGAACAAGAGGAGAAGAGTATACAAGCCTCAGAGAGGACGCGCAGGAGAAAAGAGGATGCTAAGCGCAGTGAACAAAAGCTCAAAGCCAACAGCAGAGACAACCGGAGGTGTGAGGAGAGAAGAGAAAGAAAGAAGAAGAGGAAGAGGAGAAGAGAAGGAAGAAAAGGGCACGACTGGCCGGTGGGCAGGCTGTCCCTGGCAACGGAGCATCATCGTGAGGAAGGAACAACAAACGACCATCGCAACTGCCAACATCTCAACTTGAGGAAGGTGCGATGAACCTCACAAACATCGAACGGAGCAAGTGCAAGTGGACCAGAGGAAAGTAGTCACTACGTCAAAAAATATGTCGCAGACCAGCGGAAACAGAGCAACCGAGTAAAATGATATTGTGACGGGACCATACATTGGCAATATCAAATGTGACTTGATATCAACTCAGTACTAGCAGACACACACCTTGAATCCAATTGAGATCTCATGGCATTTAAAAAGGACTCTGGTTTCTATAATAAAACTTTTGGGAAAAGAAATAATATGATATCGGTCTCATACAACATGTTATATTATACAAAAGTCTAGCCCAAGTCCAGCAGTATGTACTATCATCAAAGTCTTCCATCCCGAGCTTAAAGTCTATAGATGAACCACCTTAATGTTCTTTAATTGGTACATAGTCTCACACAACTTTGTTATATAATATGTTGTTAAAAGTTCTCCTTCTCTTCTACTGAATGGCAACATGGTCGTGCTAAACACCTGAATGGGGAGATCAAATCATCCAAACCCTTGTCAATATGGCAACTGCAGATCTTAAATACAATATTAATATAACCAGAATTGGAAATTGATTTGCTTTTCTCGAAAGTGAGTCTTTCTCACGGCTCAATGATCAGTGAGAATTTGCACAATGCCTTGTCCCTCTTTCAATTCCGCGGCTATTGACAAAGCCGTGTTTCCAAAAGTATCTTGTGCATCGACGTTGGCCCCGCTATCAATAAGAAGTCTCACAAGACCTTCGTTCTTTCTTTTCACGGCTACCATGTGCTGTTTCCCCGTCCTCGGTCGTAGCATTGACGTCTGCTCCGTGCTCGATAAGTAGTCTCGCAAGCGGCTCGTGTCCGTATTGCAGGGAGCGCAAGAGCGGCGTTTCTCCAAATTCATTTCGAACATTAACATCAGCTCCGTGCTCAAGGAGAACTTTGAGTACTGCCGGAATCCTCGAATCGTTGGGGGTCGGAGAGGACGGGGAAATCGAGTGCTCATTTCCAATGATCTCGTCGCCTTCTTTGACGCTAGGGGGTTCGCTTGTCTTGACATGGAGCGCCAAAGCGAATGTTAGAAGTGGCGTGTTTCCTTGTTTATCTTTTGCGTTGACGTCTGCGCCATGTTCGATGAGGAGTTTGGCTATTTCCGGCGTGTCGGTCAAGAAAAGCGGCGTGCTCCCAGCCAAATCTCTCACGTCCACATCCGCTCCACTGTCAAGAAGAAGCCGGACTAACCGTTCATACCCCTTTTTCGATGCATGTGAAAGAGGCGACTCTCCATAGTGATTCTTAGCGTTAATGTCTGCGCCATTGTTGATGAGAAATTGCGCTACTTCAAGGTGTCCGGCTTCTAACGCAGTGAGCAGAGGTACAGCACCATAATCGTCTGTAACGTTCATTTTTGCTCCGCTCTTTATCAAAAGCTTTACTGTCCTAAGATGGCCACCTTGACAGGCATATGAAAGTGGTTGCCTTCGAAAATCACCCACAACATCAATTTCAGCTCCTTTATCAAGAAAGATGCTTACGGCATTGTCAAGTCCTTGCTCGCAAGCATAATGCAGAGGAGCTGGTATACCTACAGTGGAGGGGTTCACATTCGCTCCGCCGGAAATGAGGAGCATCGCAGTCTCTTCATGGGAGCTCGCCAAAGCCCTGCAAAGAGCAGTCATGCCTTGTCGATCTGCCTCATCAATATCGACCCCCTGGAAGAGAAGAAGGCGAACAATGCTTGAACGTCCTTCTTGGGCTGCCCAAGTCAGGGGAGTCAACTTCTCACAGCCATTCATGTCTTGTCTGTATTTCAAGCCTTTCGTAATGTCTTCTCCATCGTAAATGTACGAAGGGGTATTCAGCAGAGCAGCAACGGTCTCTTGGTTACCGGCGGCCAACGCAGCAAAAATGGGGTATTTGTATCGCTCGGCCGGACAACTTCGATGGATATCCGGATAGTCCCTCATTCTTATGCGAATAAGATTTGGACATCCTTTGTCGGCGAGGATGTATATTAGACTTGCATCATCCGCAATTGACATGTATCGCTGGGCCTTGACCTTTTCGACAAAGTTGTTGACAAGATTCCACCGATAAATTTTGCATCTATCAAGGAACTCTTTTTGAGGGGCAAAGCTGGCAGCTGCGTCTGAGTGGTAAAACATATACTGACAGGCATACTCCAGAAATGGGTATGACCTTTGGGCATCAGGATCTGGAATGCCCCCGTCCTTGGTGAGAATGCGTGGAGAGACATGGTTCATATAGAGACTGCAGCACTGTTTCAGCATCTCATGGCTTGGTCCTTCCGGGTCCCAGCCAAGCTCTGGCCACATTTTCTGTAGACCTTTGTCTTTGATCAGAAAGTCCCGGACTGATTCATGAATGAACTGCACAATTGGCTTCTTGGATTTTGTAATTTCAGCAAGGCCTTTTGACGAACTGATTATACATTTCTGGAATCTTTTGAAGCTGTCACTTGAATCCGGGTCGCTGAGGATAGGCGGCTGGTCGTCGAGTAGAGCTTTGAGTGACAATCCGGACCACAAAGCATGATAGAACTCTTTCGGCTCTAATGGTCGCTTTGCGTAAAGTATCCATAAGATGCAGAGGAGCAAATCATCCATACGTTTGTTGTCACGTCTTAGAATATCCTTGAAAAGTTCGCTCAAGTCACTTGGTATTTCTGCAAGTCTCTTTCTGAGGTAGAGACCACCCCGTCTGTCCTCCTCGTTCAGAATATCAACGACGAGAACAAGCCACATGAATACTCCAGCAGCTTTGTTGAGAAGCTGTAGCTCTAGCTCTTCGCGGAACACGGAGTCTTCAACTCGAAGGCGGCTTGCAATATACGCTTCTAGGTCTTCAGAATGACCTTGTTGATCCTCGAGCGTAAGTCGAAGTCCTTGCTTTATGCTGATATAAGGATAGTGGCGGCTAGAAAAGCAGATCCGGAACGGCACATTATGAGATGTAGCTTGCTCGGCGAGGTCTTCGAAGTACTGGACCATTTCCACGACTTGTTGCTCATCGCACTCATCAAGAGCATCCACAAAGCAGGTGAACGATTTTTCACCGAGACCCAAGACAGCGTCACAAAAGACATCCTTGAGAACATTCAAAGAAGGGCAGCCACTCTGGTCGTTGGGTATGACATCCGGGTCATCCAGTACTGACTGGAGAACAGGATAACCTTCGAGCAATTGTAGAAGTAGGGATCGGTACATGCCAAACACTGACTTCTCTATATATTCACCACGAGCGTTAAAGAAGAACGATGCTACAACGGAGTGTTGACGGCGAGCTTTATTCTTTGTGTTCGTGTAGGCAAACTTCATGATCGTTGACTTACCGGCACCAGGCTTACCACTGATCCACAGAAAGCCATGATGCTGCGATAATTTGGTAGGGTCAAGCCAGGCCTTGTAGTCGGGATGGCTCAGGAACCATCGACATGTCTTAGCATGAGCCGCCTTGATAGTCAACTTTCGAGAATCAATTTGCTCGAACCGCAAAGAATCTATCAGCCTCTGTCTGCAGTCATGGACTCGACTCTCACCTATCAATCCGAATAAGTAAATCTAACATATGGTCGAGATAGCCAGGAAAACTCACGAGAATCAGGCACAAAGAAAGTTCTTGCATTTCCTTCGGTCATGGGTAGCTCTCCGAGTAACTCTCTGGCATATGCGGCGGCCGTTGCTGCTGCATACCTCTGCCATTCCTTGCTTTTGTGACTGTCTGCGTAGTCACATATCCCGCGGATAACAAGGCATGACATAGTGTCCATCAGGCCAGCCGCTTCCATCTCAAAACAGACAACGTCTAGTTCTCGAGCAATCATATCCCGGGCCCTGCCGTTCTTGATCACTTTGTTTCCAGAAGCGATCGCACCGTAGTGAATCATGACATCGTCCGAGTTCCGCTGGCTGCGTGAGATCAATTTTGACTGGTCACATTCATCGCAGGGGGAATTAGGATCTTCATGATCATACTCGACGCAAAAAAGGCGGTCAAGTGAGCTTGGCCGTTGATAACCGACGTGCTCCTCCAGCTTCTGTTGCAGAATAGACGATATTCGACTAGGCCCAAGTTCATGTTTCGACCGGAGGGCAGATACGGCTGTACCAAGCAGCTGATGGGGAATTTTGGGTATGCCCGTCCTCTGCATCTCTCCATCACCGATGATTTTGCCGAGATCGTACTGCATAACTCTTGTTCCAACAACAACATCACCTAAGCGTATATCTTTAGTCTGACTTGGGACGCCTCCACCGATCCCGACCATCAGCCCCACACGTATTGAGGGGAATGTTCGTTTCAAATTGGTCACCACGTTCGCCGCATTATTCGTGCCGTATCCGCCATTAGGTAAACATGCGATCACGACATTATGCCGACTGATGCTTCCCAGTTCGTAAGTGTTTGTATCATCTGGATCTGTATGCAAAGGCTTGTGGGTTTCATCTAGCATGGCCATTGCTGCGGCCCTCTCAATAGGAAGCGCGCAAATCCAGGCGACAGTGTATGAGGCATGCTGCAGGGTAGCCGAGTCACGATAGTGGGAAGTCTTTTGCCTCTTCGGCAAGTGGCATGAGCCTGATGCCATCTCATCTTCATATGCGTCCGCTCCCTCGTCCATTTCGCCTGGGCTATCATACACCCCTATCAAGAGCGTGCCGGCGCTGAGCTGGTGAATAATCACTCCTGGTTACTGACGCAGATGCATCCAGGTCGTGGGCATCTTTAGGTCAGCCAGAAGCACTGGGGGTGGCAGGCAGCGAAGAAGTCTTAAACCAGTGGGTCTGCTGGGTGATGCTTAAGGAAACATTGAAGCAGGCGGAAGATCTCCATCTTCTGTTCCTTTCGAGGGGCTGAAATTGGGCCTCAATGGGGGCCAAAAAAGGCGTTCCTGTCACCACTCATTTTGCAGCTGGTTAGTCACACCCAAGCGCCACCAACCCGGGTGCTCAAGGCCCATTGGTAGTCGAGTGCGATGCAGTACTAGCGGCTGCACCGAGTCGTGCCGGTCGTCGCTCAGCCCCTAATCTTCACACTCGGGCATGGTTGAGGTTACCCGCTCTCCGCGGTTGGCTTTGGTTTTTGCCGATGACACTTCGGATGCCTATTCACTGCGAGACTCTGGCCAGGAAAATAGACCCGTCTCTGCATGCTGAAGTGCGAAGATGGAGTTACGCCCATAGTCATTGATCAATTTTCCAGTTTTCCTGTGTTGATTTGTGCGTAAGCTTTATGTACGTGCTGAGTCTCTACGCCGTCGTCTATGAGTGGCCTTGAGTTGACCTTGGATCCCATCCCCGAGAAGTGATGACTTGCCTATCCATCGCCCGGCCGCAGGTCCTCAGTGCGAGTGAGTTTCATCTACGCATCCCAATTTCTAAATAGAGTTCACAGAGGTCGATGCAGGCCGGACCAAATGGGGAGCCCGAGGAGATAGGGAAGGCTAAGGGCAGGTAAACATCGAATAGATGTCAAATTTCATATCTTATTTAATGGGGCGGAGATAGTGGTCGCGGCGTTGCAGGATGTAACGACGTAGAATTAATCATAGGCTATCTAGCAGATAACTTTCCACACGTTCATCCTAGCCATCCTGATACAAGAGCCATCACAACACCATCAAGCAGCACTCTTAGACTCTTGAATCTCCACATGTGCCGTATCCTGTTTCTTCTCGCCATCCTCACCAAGCTGTTTATGAACAGCCGCAGCGACCTCATTGGCCTTGTCCTTGTCCTCGAACACTGTGTACGTTAGCTCTGTCTCTTCTAGCAGCAGAACAGGAAGATCACTTACAGAACGATAGCTCCTCAAGAGTGCGGTCCGCTGTTTCGGGGAAGAAGAAGTAGATAAATACCAGCTCAAAGACCAGCCAGCAGCAGTACACCAGTAGCCACTTCCAGGCGATACGCGCCAGACCAATGGGGTTCACATAGGTGGCGAAGAAGCCTGCACCACGGCCGTAGAACTGGAACCAGGAGAGACCGCGTGAGCGGCCCATGTAAGGGAATAGCTCGACCAGATATGCTTGTTTGTGTTAGTATGGGTATGCTAGGTATTGGAAAGGACACGTACTGTAGGTCAGGGCGTTGTAGCCAAGGTTGTAGGCCGGGGAGTAGGCGAAAATGAAGAAGATGGTCAGAATGGCTGCGGAGTGAGCCTTGGTGCTCATGAAGCGCTCCATGGAGATGGTCCATGCGATGTACACACACAGCAGAGAGCATGCGCAGGTGAGGTACATCGGGCGACGCTTGAAGCGTGGCGCTGTCAGCGCCAGTGCAGTGCCAGAGATGAGACCCCAGCAGGCGATACCAATGTTGATCTTGGACTTGGTCACGCTGTCGGTGATTCCGACCAGGTTCAGGAGGTCGCTCAGATAGTACCTATTACACGGATGAGCGAGGGCGAAAGACATATAGGGCAAATGCTACCGGTGTATACTTACGAAATGAGCGTGTTGCCAGACCACTGCGTGAACAGACCGAGAAAAGCGGAGATGAACAGTCGACGACGCATACCGGCCGTGCGGAACATGTCCCACCAGGATTGTTTCGACTCTTCGAGCTCTATCTTGATAGTGCGTTCGATCTGCGCCATTTCAGCCTTGACAATGACCGAGCTGCGGTCGCCCTCCGCGTGGTACTTGGTGAGGATGTCGAAGGCTTCATCGTAACGGTCTTTGCTCATCAGGTATCGGGGACTTTCAGGGAGGAACCTAGTCGTGTGTTAGTGGGAGTCGTCATCATAGCGGCAATGAGCATCTTACATCACCGTCGAAATTTGAATACAGGCGGGCGCAATCTGAAGCAGAGATGGAATTCGCCATGCCCAGTTGGACGCAATGGTCACGGTCCCAAGACCTACGGCTGCCGCGATAATCTGGCCGATGAAGTAGGACGAGTTGAACAGCGAGGTGAGAATCGGTCGTTCTTTGGGGTAACCCAGCTCTCCCAGCAACGATGACCCAGCGACGATGCAGAACGGGATTCCGAATCCGAGAATGATACGTGCGACAATGTACATGGCCACTGGGAACTGTTAGAGATGCGATAGAAAAGGAAAAGCAAGGGAGAAAATACCTCCATTAGCGAAGCCCTGGATGAGGGCCCCGACCAAGCTCATGAATGAACCGAACATGATCGTCCATCGTCGTCCAACTCGCTGGTTCAGGTATGGGACAAAAGGCAGGGAGAGAATAGCTCCGAGGGAGTATGCCGCACCCAAAAAGCCCTTGAGGTTTGCTTCGATCGTATACTGAGGGAGTCCACCCACGACCTGCCCGGTTGGATGACCAAAATCTATATCGCACCGTTAGTTCCCGTCTGTAGAGCTCATCGTGGATCGAGAAGACATGCACTTGTTCCAAGTATACACAATCTGGACCGTGTTGATAATCTGCGAGTCGAATCCCGACGTGATCTCAATACCCATGCACGCCGGGAACAAGATGAAATAGAGTCGTCTCAGATTCGGCTTCTTGTACCACGGCGTACGGTCCTCGGCCAGCAAGTTACCGAGCACAGGCTCGGCAACATTCTCTTCGCGCTGTTTTCCCACGACCACCATGTTGAAAGGCTGATGTTTTGAATGCTCACAACAGGACTGATCCGTGGACCCCTGAAGAATTGCCGGGATCGACTCCAGGTTATATATCCCGTCCGTTCTTTGCTCTTTCTCCAGGGCGAGAGGCACGTTGGCCGAGTTCTGAACAGCCAAGACCTGTCTAACCCATCAGGTCATGCACGGACGGTGTGAAGGGCTTCATTTCTGTCGTCTCGGGAAAGACAAGCCGGGTATAATCCCCGCGGGGGGATTATAGTTTTCATCACCCCACGGGGTAACTGGAGGTTGAGAGTGGGGGGCAACAAAGGACGGCAGTCTGACTGGTAAGCTTATGGATGTGGTTGGCAGTTGCTGGACGCGAAACCCAGGAAAGTCTTGGCATGCCTTCTTAGCCTAAATTGGGCTAGTCAGCTGCAGGGTCTTCGCGGAGTCTCCCCGAAAGCCTCGGACTAAGAGTACTGTAAGCCAAAGGTCCCCGCTACAGTAACTCACTAATGTGGGGATAGCTCCAGTTAGATTCTGCGGAGTACTCGAAGAGAAACGGAGACAGAAGCTCTCCTGGACCAGATAATTTGGCTGTGGCAAATAGATACGCGTCTTGCATTTTGTGTTCTATAACTCCAAACTGCTATGCATTAACCACTCGAGCAGCACACTTAACTCCTTGATCCCGCCGCCCTCCTCGCCCCAAACCTTCAACCGCTCAATCACCACCCGCACACAGTCCGCCCAGTCGGGAGGAATGCTCACATATTCAGCCGAGGGCCGCTGCGTCAGCTTGGCACGGAATCCCGCAATCAGGCAAAGCGCATGGTTGAACCGGACTCGACATGCTCCCCATGACCCCGGATGCCGGAAGAATGGCACTTCGGTTTGAATGCGATAAACTGCCAACCGTAGCGCCTCGCTGGCTTTGACTCCATACAGCGCCGCCATGCCTGGGTCGAGTGGTACATGGATGCACAGGTATAGATACGCGCGGCAGAGCAGTTCGCGCACCTCGACGTATCGCTCACGGCTTAGCTTCATGAGCTCGCCTTCCTTTGGTACGGGCGCGGATGAGAGAGGCATGTTGAACCGGAGTGTAGGTGGGAGACAGTCTACCCATTGTTGGAGCTGACCTTCCAGCTGCGTTAGAGTTTCTGCTAGAACCTTGATGGTCGGCAGATCGATATCCGGGGAGAGCACACGGACGGCATTGCGGACCCGGTTGAGAAGTCTGCGCAGGAAGATCTCGGCCAGATAATAGTAGGAAGATGTTGCTTCGAGGTCTGTGGACGAGGGACTGGAAAACATCCACCCATGGCTGTCGTTAGATGGTTGTCTCGTGGGGAAGCTTGGAAGAGAATAAGGAAAGTCGGAGAGGCTGAGGTCACAGGGCGGGAGATCCATTAGTTCATAGCGAACCTCACTATTGTAAGTTAGTCAGATGTGTGAGGATGTGAGGTGTGTGATATATGTTATATACCATTCGGATTTTAAGCATGTCCAGTAGAGTCGCTGCTCCAGACCTGGGAAAGGAGTTAGACATATCCGCAATGGAAAAATTGAATCACCTACTCTCTTCCTGCGCACTCCTGATCGTCTTTCCCTCGCGATGCTTTAACCGATACGTTTGCCACAGCATGGATGCTGTCCGGAACATTTTCCAGCCCGGAATCGGCTCGACGTTATACTGGTACCAAATTCTATGCGGGAGTCAGATATTCCTATTCTCACAGCATTCAAGAGGAAGACAGCTCACCCGAATAAACAGAGACACTGCACTCCCAGTAAAGTATCGTCGAGATACGCAGTAGAGATGCGCTTACGCGCCATAGATAGAAAGGTCAACGATTCCTTCATTCGGTGCTCCGGAACCGACATCGTCACGTAGGTGACCGGTGGACTGAAGGATGGTTCATTGTACGAGACCTCGCGGGTTTCATCGTCAGGATAATTCCCCCAGATAGCCGCAAGCGCAAAGATCAGTAGCACCAAGCACGACGAGGCAGACCAGTCAATTCCATTTTCCAGAACTCGAGCGATATAAAAGTCCAGCTGGTCCGGGTCAACGATCGGGTTCTTAGTCCAGATCTTGGTCATGAAAATCTTGCGCAGTTCGAGCAGCCTTTGAGGATCTAAGCTTGGTAGAGCTGTAACCACCCATTAGTATCGAGCTCTTTGGGATACGATGCGTCGAAAAGACCCATACCCGTCTGGAAGCGATCTGGCTTCTCGGAATACGCTTCCATTGGAAAAGTCGACACGGGCTTTTCTTTCGGAAAGATAGGCCAGCTGAGGATCATGTCGGACCCGGTAATAGGCGTCTTGGGTGCATCATTGCGCGATATTGACTCGGGATCTACTTCATCCACTGGAGATGGCGATGCCTGTTGCGAAAAGAGAGAAGGCGCCCGCTTCGAAGACAGGCTCTCTGACAGAAGCCGCTCTTGACGTTCTACTGCGTTTAGGATTCTTGCGCCCCATGACTGTAGACTTTAGACAGAATTAATGGTCATTAGATGCCTCCGCTAGTGGGGAAAACAAAGTTCTATGGGAAACCGACACTGATATGGCATCCGTATCCGGATACTCGCACGCCACTCCCCGCTGGATACATTTGGCACACACTGGCCGTGCCGAATCACATCGAGTCTTGCTGAGCCGACAGGCATCGCATGCCGTGAGCACCCGAGTATGCTTGCGAGGTCGCGCAGTCGACGAAGTGTCCATTTTTCTTCCTTCTTCCTGCTGGGGGGTCACTTCCTGCAGTCGGACATGGGATACTCCGAGAAAATACAGTGGGTAAGGAGGTCTTGGCAAGGGAAAAAACGACGAAGTCGGTGATTGGTGATGGGGGTTGGGGCTAGGCGAACGGTGGCTGAATCATCCCCGCTCCAATAATCAAGCCAAGACGGGACTCATGATTATTTTAACCGGACAATTGACCCAACATAAAGCCCGATGGTTACAACGTTGTATGATTTAGAGTCCCCGCCAATACGTGGTACGGTCCACTTGGAATGTCCCGCGGGCCACCATTTCCTGGCTTGAGGTTCCAATCAACACTTCATACGTCCCTTGCTCACTCTTCCACATATCCTCGATCTCGTCCCAGAAGCTGGTCGCATATCGGTCCAGCTGGATGTCCACTGTTTTCTCTTCTCCGGGCTGCAGGAATACCTTTTCGAAACCGTGCAGTTCCTTGCTTGGACGCGGGGTTGGGGATTCGGGGGCAGAGATGTACAGCTGGAGAATCTGGGCGCCCGCCAGTTGTCCCGTGTTTTTGATTTGTACCGTTGCGGCCGTAGGACGGTCCATGTTGAAGATCTCCGGGGCGACGGTAACACTTGGTGAGATCTCGAAGGTCGTGTATGACAGGCCATGACTATAATATGGTTAGACAAGAACTAGGAGACCAGGGAACCAAACTCACCCAAATGGAAAGAGGACTTCTCGTCCGGTCTTCTCATAAAATCGATAACCGGCATAGATGTCCTCACCATACAGCACTCGGCCACCCACACTGGCAAAGTTCAGGTAGGCCGGGTTGTGTTTCACATCCACCGGCCAGGACAAGGGCAGCTTGCCGCATGGATTGACATCTCCAAAGAGAACATCGGCAATTCCATGGCCCGTCTCGTTACCTCCGTACCAAGCCTGCACAATGCACTGCGCCTGATCGGCCCATGGCATAGTCACTGGTGTACCGGACTGATTGACGATGACGGTCCTGTCTGCGGCGGCCTCTAACACCTTTGAGATCAACCGGTCAACTCCCGGTGGCAGATCCATATGCGTGCGATCGAACCCTTCAGACTCCCAGTCTTTGTTGAGCCCGGTGCAAAGAATGGTGTAGTCGGCCTCTGCGGCAGCTTCCACGGCCTTTGCGATCATTTCATCCCCGTTCATCCGTAGACAGGCCCCCAGATTGGCGGCGCCGCCACCGAAATTCACCATTCCGACCGTTTTCATGGTGGTAGTGTTGGCAGAGCCGAACTCAATGCGGATCTTGTATGTAGACCCTGCGACTAATTCCTTCGATCCCAGCTCCTCAATGGTGCCTTTGCCGAAGAATGCGGTTCCACGCGTCTGGTTCGTGGTATTGTCAATCACGAGCTCGTCGTCAATATAGAGATTTGCGGTTCCAAAGACACTCAGGCCAAAGTCCCAAAGCCCAGATGCGTCGGGCGTGAAGTCGCCAATCAGTGTGGCCCAGAAGAGCCCTCGGTTGAGGCCCGGAGCATAGTAGTCCATGAACTGGACGGCGGACGTCGATACAGGCTCGGTGCTGATCAAATGCCGTTCCTGGTTCATCGGCTCGTTGTAGAAATGAATAATAGCGTTGCTCAGGAGCCGGTCTATCACGGGGAGCATCCTATGGGCGTATGCGCCCGCTTCGTAAAGCACCTCCGCGTTAGGAAGAGCTTCCTTGCAGGCGTCATATAACGAGACAGAGTAATATGGCTCAAGCGACGCACTGCCACCCCCGGAGATTGCTGGAGACTTCATGTGGGATCCAATCAGGGCGATCTTTTGATCTCCTTTGGAAGGGGCAAGATGCCTTCATTCTTGAGGAGGACAATACTGTTCGCACAGATTTCGCGATTCAACGCTCTATCCTCTGGGAAATCCCGTCCTTGCTCGACTTCTGACACCTGGACCTGACTCGCTTGCTTCACGAATTCCAAGACCTTTCGCACCCGTGCGTCGATTGTCGATTGCTTGATCAGTCGGGCCTGCATGGCAGACTCGAGGTACTTTCCCCGATATCTGGACACTCCCGGCATTTCCAGGTCAAGGCCCGCATTTATAGAGTCGATGGTTGTATATGTCCCATACCAGTCGCTCATAATCAGCGGATTCCACTTCCACTCCTCGCGGATCAGATTGAGCATGCGCGCATCTTCCACCACATGTTTGCCATTGATCTTATTATACGAGGTCATGAGCGCGCCGGGCTTCGCATCTCTCGCCACAATCTGGAAGGGTCGTAGGTAGATCTCGCGCAAGGCACGCTGGGTGACGAGGACATCCACCGCGCGGCGTTCATGTTCCTGGTCATTGCCCACGAAATGCTTCACCGTGGAAATGATCCCTTTGCTTTCGCACCCGAGGATGATTGATTTGGCCAGAATACCCGAGAGATGCGGATCTTCTGCAAACGACTCGAACCCGCGGCCACCGAGGGGAGCGCGCTGCATGTTGATTGTCGGACCCAGCCAACAATGCGCCCCTTTCGCAATGCACTCGTCGCCCAACAACTCCCCCGCTTGGTATATCAGATCTCGATCCCAGGTGGCGCCCAGAGCAGTGCCGCAGGGCAAACATGCAGCGGGGATACCGGCGAAGAATTTCGTGCCTCGGATACCATTGGGACCGTCGGTGGCGCGAATCGAGCGGACGTTGAATTCGGGGATAGGATGCGTGTGCCAGAAATCAATTCCTATTGTTATTAGCGGATGAAGTCTTCAAATGTTTGTGGTCTCTGTGTTACCAGATAGAAGAGCGATCTTGTCCTGCTCGCTGATGTTCGCCAGAACATGCTCTACATCGAATGTCTCCGGCATAATGAACGGGAAAAAAAGGAAACAATTTCAAGAAAGGAATCTATTAACCTCTACGCAGAGCGAACAGAAGCAGAATATGCAGCGACTACATATAAGTACCTGCGCAGTCCACCAATTCAATCTTTTTTTTTACGTCGAGGTCATGTTTCCGAGTCCCCGACATGCGGAGATGCACAGCGACGCGTTGACGGCGGAGACTCCCCGACTTGGTGGGGACTGGACGAGCATCCCCGCATCTCCTCTTGGAGTCTTGTCCGCGCGCAGTTTCTATCGGGGCAGATTTCCAAGTCGCGTATGCTGTCCGTCGCCACTCACCGGTAGACTACTTCTTTGTTTCTCCTTAATCTGAGCTACACACACTCCAGGGGAAACCGAACGGCCGGCTCTTCCACCAGAATGCTCATTCCCGGCATGATCTCCCCTCCCGTTTCCACCGTCGCCATCACGCCAGCCCGTCGACCAACAATTTGTCGACTCTCGTCTCGAACGAGCATTTTCTCCTTCAACCCAGTCTGGAACTTGTCAATCTGAGGACAGGGATTGCGTAGCCCCGTCACCAGCACGGTGGGCGCATTCGTCTTTGCACCACCGCCCGTAGCTGACACAAAGCGAAGCCTCGTGCCCCGAGACAATCTTTTCAGGTCGATACCCTTAGTGGTCACATTTTCGCCCAGATCGCCTGGCTGGACTCGCGGGGTGCTTCCGGATGCTACCTCGTCAAATAATTCTGCGGGGACAAGGTGTACTTGACGCAGGTTGGGCGGAGGAGGTTTGATATGTAACCGGGACAGGTGTTGCACCGTTAGTCCTAGGTGGGCATCGCCCTCAACTCCTAATCCTTGGACCAGCCTGATGGATGGCACGGGTTTCTTGGAAAAGGAGTGGGTTGGCGACACACTGACGGAGACGACGACGACGCTGGTGGACTTTGTCACTAAGATCTTGGCTCTTCAGATACAGTCAGGCGAGGGTATGGGCTCACCATTGTAGTTGTACTTGGCTGACTAGATAAATATCTCAGCTGTTCATTAACAAAATATCTGCGGCTTGGTTACTTCTTGGGTTCGTCGGTTAGATGACTCAGTGATGGCAGGGATGTTCTTTGGTACGAACCCCCCTAGTTATACGAGTCCCGACAAGGGCCGACAAGGGGGAAGGGTCACAGACTTTTGCGGCGCCACTGTAACTACTCCGTATATTTGAAGAGGAAACCATTTTAATTCTAGAACGCGGACATTACGTATGGAAGGGGTATATTACAGAAATCTCCCATCCGCTAATACCACTTTGCCCCTCCATGCCCAACATACCCCATGGCCTGGCGGCCATCATTTTTCAGCATCAGTATCTCGGGCCAGAATCATGCCCGCAATATGGCACCGCGACTTCCTCCCTCTAAGCTATAATTATTCATAATATGATCCGTCAGTCACTATCCACGTCTAAAATGACTGACGCAGCTGAATGCAGCGAATGGGCTATCAAAAGAATCCGAGGGAATTTGCGACTCTTCGAAGCCGTATTTCTTAGCTTATACAGGCTATGCCTGTTAAATATCTAAGCGTCACGTAATCTTGAGATCAAACTTTGAGAGGGTCGCGGCCAACAGGGACTACACCTGCTAGCCCTGCTACTACTATCCCGAACGGTTAATATTTTGCTGGAACTGATTCCCTGCGCCATATACTGTGTGTCTTTGTGTATGATCAGATAGACTCAACATCAATATCTTTGCTGCATTTCCAGTGAAATTATTGGCTCACCCTCTAGAACCACTTGTTTTTCCAACTAATGATTCTTTATCCTTACTCATCGAGTAATTTCTCCAAAACATCAGCAGGTGTTCGTTTTGGAGCAGCAATCTCAGAATCTCTTTGCTTGTTGTAGAGGTCGAGCATTTCCCTTCCCACGCTGTCTCTGGGGCACGCTTGATTGAGTAGATGACGTTCTTCGATTGCTTGGTAGCCGCATACTGGTGCTCATAAAGCATGTCGATGAAAGAAACGTCTTCGTAACTGACGTCTTTGACGGGTGCGCCAATGTGTCGCTCAATCATGCCGACAATTTGTCTTCCAGTTATGTCCTCAGGTCCGTTCAAAATATACTTTGCCTTGTTGTGCACGGAAGTGTCATCTTGAGCCAAGAGATGAGCTGCAATAACACCAATCTCGTCGGGGTCGATAATCCCGACTGGTCCATCCTCTGATAGTATGAGACGAAGGGTATCCTGCTCTCCAGTCTTGCGGTACTTTTTGATGAATTCCACAGCAGGGGACATGATAAGCGGCGAGAAGATGTTCGGCTGAAGAGACGTCCATTGCAAGTTGTTGAATTCGGGTGAGTCGAGGAGAGCCTCGATGGCCCAGTGTTGGCGTGGATAGTAGGCAGGGCAATCCGGGCGCACATTCGCAGCCGTAGTCGAGATCCGCACGACATATTTGACGCTGGCGCTGAGGGCATTGAGATAGAAGGTCGACTCCTCGGCAAATTGGTTGGGCTCATTGTGGCATGCAATAAAGGCTCTAGTAACTTCATGCTCACGGAGCCAGTCGGCGGTGATCTCAACCCAGTTCTGCTCGATCACTTCAACTCCAGGGATTTTGGCAAGCTCGTGTGCCACTGGACTGCTCGAGGAGCGAGTGAGAGCAATGATACGGTTCCCATTCAGACTCTTGTTTGACTGAAGCAGCTTTGGCAGCGTCCGAGCGACAGCTCGGCCGGTGTTGCCAGTGGCGCCGGCGATTAGGATGGAAGAAGTCATGGTTTTGAGGTTTAAGAGATATAGTCCCCGCTGAGCTATGGGCCAAATATCGGAGGCTGTGCAAGATACTTATATCCTGGTTTTGCCTTGAATTGTCAATTAATAATATTAAAAGGAATTATGAAGAAAGTAGAAGTTCGAGAGTCCTGATTCGCAGACATTTGGCTGTGGATAATCTCCTGGGTCTCCTGCCCGCCCGCCGGCATCCCACTCAAGAAAATATGACGACGATTGCACCGGTCCCAACATCCTTGACTAGGTTGTACTGCGATGAGAATACCGTTTTATTCTACCACCCTGCTTGGTTCTTATCTGCCTCTACACATTTTTCCCCGTATGCAAAATGCCCCAAAGTTTGCCCAGACTACCAGGAGAAGAGGTGGGATGCCGGTGGGTCACCGGTGGGATGCCGGTGGGATGCCGGTGGGCGTGTAAAAAGCTTCTTACCGCCCGGCCACCCACCTACCCAGGCATGGCTCAGCGAAGCTCACTCTTCATTGCTTTTCAAGGCCATTCCTGCAGGTTGACAGGGCAGAATTTTACCCATGGAAAGGTTTGGCGGCGAGATCGAGTGCTTTCAGAGTCCCTCAGGCCCTATCGCGTACGACGCGTTTCGGTGTCGATTTCCTGGGTGCAATGCCAGATACCAGCGCAAGGAGCATCTGAACCGCCACGAAAGATCGAAACACATCGAGCAACAGGCTCTTGTCTGTTCCCGCTGTGGTGGTGAATTTCGACGAAGGTATCCATGTGCCTGCACTCGCCTTCTTACAACGTCATCTCTAACACTAGAACGTTGATTTTAGTGATACCCTTCGACGTCATATTCAGAGGCAGCACAAGATAAGAGAACCTCCAAAGCGCGCGTCTAAAGCTTGTGTAGGTTGCCATACAGGTAAGACTCGGTGCGAAGGGGGCGTACCATGCGAGGAGTGTGTTCGTCGCAACGTTCAATGTTCTTTCCAGGGCCACTCTAGTATTGAAGCCGAGCAACAAATTCGATCATCGACAACATCTCCGTTACCCCCAAACCCTGAAAAGTCAGATTTATATTGTTGGGAAAAGAGAAAAAAGTGGATTGATCATTATTTTGAGATATTCCATCCGCGTTGGCCTTTCGTCCACAGAGGATCGTTCGATATACGCCAAGAACCTCCATTACTTCTACAATCAATGATGGCCATAGGCATGTGGACATCGGGAGAACAACCCGCACAGTCTGCGGCAGTGGAGTTATTTGATAAACTTGACTTTGCTATTCGAGATCAAATGGTATACCAGATTATCTATCTATGATGTACTTGATTTACTAACGTGTAAATTATAGGAGAAATGGGATGCCTCAGAAGTAGAGGGAGCCTGTAGCGCGTGCTTTTGGCCAATAGCTACGTACCAGGCTCTCTTACTACATGTTATTCTTGCTGTTGTCATGAAGGCCGACAGAGTTGTCAACCTCGACCTCAAAGCATCTATCTCAACTGCTGATTTAGAATTACTCAAATCGCTTGTTAGAAGCTGTCGAAGATTAGGCATGTTCTTTTATCCAAACATGCTCTCTAAGTTTAAAGAAACTGATGTGCCCTCGTTTGTGTGGGTGGGTATTGAGGAAGTCAAACGTTTCAGTGTGGCACTATATAAGCTTTGTGCGAAACTGAGCAACTCTAGCACGGAGGACGGGCCTCTGCTACACGCGAGTGAACTCCAATTCCCTATGCCAAGCAATGATGCCTTGTGGAATTCTGTTAAAAGAGATGAATGGGAAGCTAATGCGAAGGAGGAGAATATGATTTCTTTTAGAGATGACCTCCAGACAAGGTGGATATCGAGCCATACAGATACAATTGAATTCCTTGATTTCTGATTATCGAATCATGATCGCAAGTTGGGCGAGCGCTGATGGTAGGCCGGTGAGCCGGAGGCCGACACAATACACTATAGCGGGGCTCCATCAGAACTCAACGAGCATATATACAAGACATTCAGTAATGAGTCTATTTTCGACAGGGACTTTTTGACAAGGGGATATTTTTCGGTGGACATCTTGCGGGGTCTCTGTAAGCAGCGCCATACAGCCATGTGATGGTTGACTGGCCATCGTGACTAGGGTCAACTCCTGGGATTATGCGTTGCTTTATGTGTCATCTAAAGCGAAATGGAGTGGATTGAAACCTACGCCGTACAAAAGCTACCTAACATCGCTATATTGGTTTTCCTGACCGGAATAGTCTAGAAGCGCATCTGCAGCTACGTTAGGAACGAGTAAATGTGGTAAAAGAACGCAGAAACTACAGGCGACACGATCGAGAAGCATATTAGCCAACCACAAGTCAGTCGTCTACAGCAACAGCACATTTTTCGCCATGGAGCATGCTGATAAAGACAAAGACTATATAACTATAAAAGGGAAGAACAAGAAGACAGCCAGTAATAATAAGGCCAGATCGCCAGGGCAACGACCCCTCACCAAGTTCCGCTTTCGAGGCCCTACCAAGAATGTCCTGTGCAGATTTACGGTATTTTACAATACCGTGGAAATCCCATTCACTTCAAGACTGGATACGGCCAAGCCGCGGTCATTCCCGCGTAACCAAATACGGATTAGCGTATACCCCGGTACGGGACGAGTAACAAAGCGAGTGTCCGCGGGGGAACCCGTCTTCGAAAACCACTGTATTAGATTTCAAGGTTTCTGTAGAATACTATGAATCTGTACAGAATGTTCAAGACAGGGGCCTCTGAAGGAGGAAGGGGTGGTCGTTGCCCTGGCGATCTGGCTTAATCCACGCTCGCCGTCCTGCCTTTTCAGCTACACAGCCCTTATCTTCATCTTCATCTGCATCTTTCATGACAACGGCTATGCTGTTGCTGTGGAGGGCTAACACCGGTAGGCTAATATAGTTCTGTTTATGTTGTATAGTTCCTGCTTCCTAATGCTGCTACCAATAAAATAAACGAAAAGAGCCTTCGCATAATAGTTGGCGATGATCGCCGCGTAACTTGCGACAGTCTTTTCTAGTGCGTTTGTTGCGTTTCTGAATCAGATTGTCGTCAAAAGTTAAAGGATGAGGTTACTAGCACGTGTTAAATGAGCAGTTTGGCCTGAAAAATCCAATAAGTCCATATTGGAGAATTCCGTCTCCCTATTTGTCCAGGTCATAATTAGATCTCGCAGATAGCTGGTTCTTCCCTTTTCTCTATCACTGCCACCAATGCCGACCTTTTCTCCCCTTACTTCTTCTTAGTGAGATGAGTCTTCCCAGGGCCCAAAATATAATGCAAAAAGTATCTTGTCTTGTGTGAAGTATATCCACGCTCAGTTGTTGAGCGCAGTACAAACGCACGAACCAGAAAGGGGACACTGAATGCAATACTCGGTTCCTTCATACTCGCAACAACTAGATCCCCCTGATCCACAAATAAAACTTCCACCCCCGGAGCAACTTCCGCAAGTTGGAGGGGGCTATCCGCATTATAAAGATATCAGCTGCTGCATCTGAGTTTTCAAACATTCAATGTTTGTACGTACACAAGAAACACCAGGCTCCGGCGAAACCGTTGCCGTAGAAGACATCACTGAAGTAGTACAAGTTGTGGTGGGGGCAGATATCGCAACGCCAGCGAGAAGTGCGCAGATTGGCAAGGTGAGGCGCATTTTGGGGTCTGCGAAATTTGATCAAAAGTGCCAAGATAATGTCAACGTTGGTTTAAGAATCGGTAATTGCAAATCGGTATGAGATGGGTTCGATGAGGTGAAGAGTCGAGTCTATCGTCGTATTTATATCGAGTCCCCGTTAAAAGTCCATTACCAGCTTCCCTATTGCTGAATGCACAATTAAATATGATTACGATATTATTGTGAGCCAATGATTTTTTAGACGCCACTAGTATGGAGAAATTAATCGTTTTCAGTTATACTATGAGTGCTTTATGCTAAAGTTTAAAATATTTAAGAATAGGTCGCTTCAAAACAAGTTAATGCTACACTGCTTTAACTTTGACTTCTGGTTCCCAAATTCAAAGAATATACCTTGCGGCTAGATTTCATCATTCCAGAACAAATCCAGAGGATCTATGATGAAATGAAAGTATATCTCCTACACACCAAATACTTCTGGCATTGTTCACTACCACGTAGTAGATTCCGACTAATCGGATATATTATTTTCTGCGTATAATTAACAGTCCTGACAAGCTATTCCCATACTAGTTGGCGAGGGAGACATAGACCAGACCAGGCTTAGCCACTACTCTGTCCATAGTTGAGTTTAGGTTGTTGAATATTGTGACCATCATGGCTACAGAAGATTGACCTCATGAGTCAGGATCTACTGTAATCTACTGAGACGATGGACTCGTAGTCAGTACACAATTAGTTAAGGTGAATGACACTCAGCCGTTAAGATCGTTTCTTGCCTGCCAACAACCGGCATCCGGCCAGAAAGGTTCTATGCTGATACAATCATTCGCCGGAGTACTATTCGGTCTACGCCCATCACTTTTTACATACATCGCAAACCATATTTTTCCTGGAATCCACGAGATCTCTTTCTGGACGCATCGTGTATTTTATGTTACATAGCTAGGTGCTGTAACATTGAAGTGCAAAAGGGCATTTCCGGCATGCAGGCGTCCATGTGAAGGAGACGTGACCTCATTGAAACTTAAACCTGGCTATATACCAACACCGATTCAACCAGTGAGACCAGAGCATTCCTAATATTTTGACAACCTCACTATTAACTTCTTATTTCTAAATCTTCTTTAATGATTACGGTACTCATACTTGCGTCATAGTACTCATATTTTATGAGGTACGAATTTTGGCCTCCAATGCAACTTCCAATATCTCATCAACTGGGTCTGTGGTGCTTAGTGGTAGTCTTCGTGTCCTTCTAAAAGCTGTCCATCTCATCTCATATGAGGCCCTTCGCCGAAATCCTCTGCATCAACATGTCAAACCAATCAAACGATGCAACCCAGCCAAACAGGAGAACGACACGATCAAATCAACAAAGCAAGTTCTGTCTAAGAAATCGGGCTACCAAGCGCCCGTCAGCGGTTCCCCTACTACACTATCTATATATAATTAGGAACGCAGAGATCTTGAGCCAAACACTAGGAGGAATATTGCTACTACGACTAATCGTAATCGGAGGCGATGATATACAGAAGCAAACACTAAGAGGATCAAAAGTGGCGAAGTATAGATGCTAAAGCCCGATTCGTAGAAGATTGGACAATCCTGCCTAATTAGGTTCTCGGGGAGGTATTAGGCTGATTATGGCCTACTGTCTATCTATACCGTATCTATTGAAGGATATTACGAATATAATATTTACTATATACCTCGTATTATAAATTCTACCTTATTTCCTATATTCAAGAAGTAAATCTAAGAAAAGGGGTTGCTAGCCGGTAATTAAGTCGAAGATACGTCGAATGATTAGGTCGTGGATAGAGGAAGAAGTTAGGGTATACCTACTTATATATTAAGGTTAGCCCTCTAGATATATCCAGTACCGAAGCTATAGATTACGTAGCCGGTTATGAGTTTTATTGACTAATATTGTTGTAGGTATAGAAGCTAACATTAAAATTCTTTACGTAAATTATGATCTACGTTTAATTCTACCGAAATTTCACCCTGCAGAGTTAGCAAAGTGTATCTCCCTCAACTACCAAAGCGCACTGCTAGAAGCCTTCCAACAAGCCCACTGTCCAAAACAGCTTCGTAGCTAGTAGAGCGAAATGGCTTGTGACTGAGGAGGAGTGGAATCTACTATGTGGTAGTCTATTTGAACCAAGATAATAGAAGCATGGATTGGAGAAATCGCGCTGCAGTTCTCGGGGGTGACGATATTGTACTGCATTCCGTCCACAGTAAACGTGTCAGCATAATTCTCAACGTAAGTCTCAAGCTGATTGTCCACGATAAAGATTAGCCATTCCCCGTATGTTCTTAACTCAATTGGTTATTTGGATATTCTTGAAACTCCCGCCACCATTGTTTCCAAAAACCCCTGCCATGCCTTGTGTGAAGCTGTTGTCAGTGACGGTGTAGGTAGTGGCCTTCGAACCACCCTGCTCTTCGGCAAGCATCACCGTGAGTCTATCAGACTTCACAAACACCGACAAATGGTACCATTTCCTTTCCTGAATCCCTCCAGCATGAGCCTC